TGCCCGCGGGCCTCAGCACGGACCTAACCAATGCGGGGCTTTTGTTGAACACAGCTATTGCGCCCGCGGGCCTCACCACCGACCTAACCATTGCGCCGCTTGCTTCTGTTGAGCGCCTGGCCGGTCCCCTCGTTGGTGACTGTTCTGGGGGTGGTCCGCTCGTCCGCCCGAGGGGCCGCAACCGCAGGGCCCGAACCGTAAGGCAGAGTGGCGGGGAACAAGGCCCACCACACTGGGGCGCCCGCGCGCGGCGGCGGCGAACGGGCCCCAAAGCGTCCCCATCAATAGTGTTGTGGCGCGGGCCGAAGGGAAAGAGAGGCGCAGCGGCAATACTGCCCGCGCGCGCCATCACATTGACACCCGGAAGCGGAGCCGTGATACTCGGGCGGGCGTGCCGAGGAAGTTCGCGACGGCGGTGGTGGTTGTGGGTTGGTTGTCAAGTTGTCTCGTTGGCAATGCGTCAGTTTTCAAGTTGGTTGCCCATACGCCAGAACGACAACACAACTGACAACCAACAACAACCAACCGAAGAGGAGACACAGCCGACATGCGCATGTCCATTCTCAGCGCGACACAGTGGACACATCCCCCACATGCGCAGCAGCCAGCGCGCGCGCGCTGGAAATACTGCCCACATGCGCCAGCGCAGTCCCGCGTGGAAGTTGGGCAACCGGGCGCGCCGTGGTTCGCACAACAAAACTGCCGAAGTTGAGCGATTAGCACAAGTGGAATCGAAACGCGGCCCATACCGCCCTGGTTCGGCGCAAAATGTAGGGATGGTTGCACGGCGAGTTGCGCCGTGCAACTTGCCGTGCAACTCGGGCCATACCATCGCGATTCGCAACGCAAAACGTGCAAAAGATGCACGAGTTGCACAAGTTTCCGGGAAATCTCGGAAGGGCCATACCATCCTGGTTCTGCGCGAAATGTTGCGATAGTTGCACGGCGAGTTGCACCGTGCAACTCGCCGTGCAACTCGGCCGTACCGTGGTGATTTGCAACAAAAACGTGCAAAAGTTGCACGAGTTGCACAAGTTCCCGGGAAATCTCGGAAGGCGAAAATTCCGGGACCCCGGAAAGAGATGAAGAACAGCAAAGAGAGCGGATTGGAAATCCGTGCTGCCACGAATTCCCAATCCGCATGGTATGGTGGGCTTTGGCCAGTAGAATTGCTATGTTTCCATAGCCTAAAAAAAGGCGCTCCACGAGGGCACCACGCCCGGGTATATACGCAAGGTTTGACCCCAATCAGGGTGCTGCGATGGATTTTTCTGGGCCTCAGCGCGTACCGTTCTGGAACTTTTTGTCATGCATGAAAGGAGTATGAATCTTTCTGATGCAGATTCTAGGCGTGTTTCGCATCGCTTGCATGACAGACGCCGCTCTTGCTGGGATCTTTTGCAATGCAAATTTTTGCTATTCACGATCGGAAATCTGTGATGCTGGTAGATGCAAGAGGGCGAATGTTTCATTGATTTGAAAAGGTCTGCAATACAAATGCTTTCAAGTTCGGGGGTGGGGGCATTTTTCATTGTAATAGACCGTCTGACTCCACAGCAACCGGTGAATCCCCTGGTCCACCGAGGTCGGGTTGACCCCGGCGTACAGAAAGTACTCACTCCCGCCCGTTCGCGCCAAATAGGCCCGCTCGGAAACAAGCAACTTCTCCGCCTCGATGCTACTCGCGTCACGACCCGAAACTACTCCGTTCTGGTCCTCCTGCTGCGCCAGCTCTTCTTCACGGCTCATCTTTACGTTGGCAAACTTGCTGGAGGCACCTCCGCCCCCGGTCGGGCTGTCCGCAAACTCGGGGTGATACACCTGCAGGAGCGGTCGCACGATGGTGCCGCCCTCCTCGAGAACCGTGGTGGTGGAACCCGCGAAGGTGGGGTCAGTCGCGACGGCTTGGTTCAACTCCCGCGCAATCTCCTTCCAATTGGTGTTCACACGATAGTATCCTGTGCAAAAGTATCGTACTCGTACTAATTGCTTTTATGCATTACAAATCTTTTTCTGAAGGCAAATCCGCATTACAAATTTTTTTTTGTAATGCTGAGCTAATTTGTGTTGCAATTTATACTAGCACGGTGCTTTTGCACAGGATAGATAGCGCACGTGATACTCGCCGCCACGGGAGGAGGCTCCAGCCTGCGCCGCAAAAAGCTTCAGTAGGGATCCGGCCTCCTTTTGCGCTAGGTCGGCGTCGGCCTGCAGTCGCCTGGCCGTCTTCAGCCACGCCGCGCGCTCCTGCTCCACGTTGCGGCCCCCTAGCAGCTCCTGCGATTCGGTATCTTCCTCCACATCAAAGTCGCTTACCTGGTAGTAGTACCTCTTTGATGTATCGCTTGATGAAGGTGATGTACTTTCGTCTAGCCCTAGCAATTCCTGCTCTTGGTCTGATGTTTCAGAAGAAGTTCCGTCACCAGGATTTGATAATGATGATCTCGTCGCTGTTGTGCCCATGCCCTTTCGTCTACTACTAGAAGTCTCTTTCACAAGGGAGTAGTCCAGCTCTGCGGCATCGCGGTGCCACCGCTCTCGGATCTTGAAGCCCAGATACAGCACGTTGTGCAAGTAGAGCCTTTCCCCGCTGGTCGAGATCGTGTCTAATTCGATCGCAAATGGATCTTCGTCCCCGTCTTCATCAAACAAGGTCGTGGTCCCGTCTTCTTGCGCTTGATATCCGAAATTGGTGGCCTCATCTTCATCTTCGATCGGTCGTACGGCTCCACTGCGGGGGCCCTTGCTTGAAGATGTTGTTGCGAAGGGGCCGGAGTCGTCGGATTTCTTATTCGTTCCCATTTTTCCGTACAACACGGGCAGCAAAGTCCACGCTGAGGCGCCCGCGGAACTTATGTACTCGGGCCACTTCACGGCGGTGCACCATTCGTTACTGCGACCGCGACACGACGTGATGTCCTCGTCCGGAAGGTTTTTAAAGGCTTTTTGCAGCTCTTCATCGCGTTCGTCTACTTCGGCCCCCTGGTTCTTGTGGATGTCATAATTCTGCAGCTCGGCGACCAGTTCTTGCAGCTCAAGGTTTATCCGCTGCTGCTCTTCGCTGAAATACCTGGCCTCGCCCTTGGTAAACCAGTTCCAATTTTTCGTCCTGGAATTATACAAGGGACGGCCAGGCCCAGAATAAACCTTCTCCTTGCCGTCCCGCATGGCTTGGAGCTTCCTTCGGGTTTCCGCCTCCTCCCGTTTTTGCGCTTCGTTTGTAACTGCGGTCCACGCGCGCAGAAACCCCAGGCTGCTGATCGACGCTCGGAGGCCGCCCCCGGCCAACGCGATACCCGCCGGAAGCTGGTGCCACGGCTCGGTAAACCGCCCGGCGTAGTTTTCCAGCGCCTCGGGAAACTTGCGCCAATTCACGGCAAGAAACTTGCGCGCAGGAGCAGTTCGTGCTGGCGCTGGGGGTTCTTTGCTTGATATTCTTGTAGTTGCCTCTCCTTTTTTCGTTGCTTTCGTCGTCCCAACTTTACTTTCTGTCGTGGTCGTCGCGCTTGAAGATGAAGTTGAAGACGCAAGCGTCGCTTTCGTTGTTTCAGATTTTTTGGCGTAGAAGTTGCGGTTGCTCTCGTGTCGGTCAGCACCCCCTACTATTCCGGCCTTTATTTCATTTTCAACGCGATCGCGAGCGGTGATTTCATCAGCCTTTTATAGAGACGAAAAAGGTGATCTTCAGCAGTGTTCTTATCCCTAAAGGAATTCGCAGCATACCGTCGGGATTTGCCCTGTTTTTGGCGCCAACGCAGGCGCTGCAGCTTTTATGGTCGCGCCTGCGTAGGAGTGCTGTTGCCTTCCCTGGTGGGTTTGTTTTTTCACGCGGCCCAGGCGTCTTTCTAGAGGAACCAACAGGCACGCTAGCACCCCGGCGAGCCTAGACATAGACTAAAGAGGCCCCCCCCACTGCGCAGATCGACGCGCCCCGCGGGCACTCACAACACACCCACCCGGCTCAGGCGGGCATCTTTTCCGCGGCCCCGAGCCCGACGCACTCGCGACCCAAAAAAGGCCGCAAGCCGGCTCGCGCAGACTTGGTGCGCAGGCCCCTCGAGACCTCTTGGAACTCTTCAAGCGCGCCCCCATCTCTCACCCGCCGCCCCAATCACTCACCGTTGGCACCGGACCGCTTTCGCGGCCGTGGTGAACGCACTGGCAGAAGACCCGAAAAGCTTCCCGCCTGATGTTCGTTTAAACGCTCAAAAAAGATAGATAAGAACGCCTACTGCAACGACCTGTGATTGATGTTCCCGCTCTCGAAGACTGCTGCTCTTATCCTCCACGCCGTGCATAGATAAGAGCACGTTTGTAACGACCAGAAATTGGTGGCTGGCACGAAGCAGAATGACATCTTCTGCGCCAGATGTTCCCGCTCTCGCAAAAATGCTGTTCTTATCCTCCAAATGGGGCATCAGCTCGCGCCCAGGCGCGCGAACTTGGACGCAGTGGCCGGCGGTTATTCTGTCAGCGCGCAGCGCGTTCCCTGGCGCATGCGCTGGGGCTGCGCTAAGCACGAAAGCGCGACCCTCTGGAGGATGCGCGGCGAAGGCTTTGGATAGCCCTGGGCGGTCTCGCTTTTGTTGGCCTCAGACACGCCAGGCCTCGCCTAGAATGAAAAAAACTCACGAATCGCGACGGTATGGCGCGATTTCTCTTAGGGATAAGAACACGCGGGAAGATCACCTTTTTCATCTCTATACCTTTATTTCATTTTCAACGCGATCGCGAGCGGTGATTTCATCAGCATTATCACCAACAACTCGTCCGTTGTAGTTGTGGTAGTTGCGGCGGTACCAGGGCGTACTCAGTACGGCAGGAATGGAGTGGTACATGCGGTACTGCAACTGAGGATTGTAGCAGTAGTGCAAGGCCGAGGCCTGAAAACGCACGTGCGCGGGCGGGTGGTCGGGGATCGCGCTCGAACCCAGCTTGGAGGTCACCAAATCCGCATACGCCAAAGCAGCCTCGCTGTCTTGCCGGGACACCGAGACATACTTCCCGGTGGTGGACATATCAAATGTAAAAATGTCCGGGTCTGGAAGAATCCGAAATTTGTTATGCTGTTTTTGCATGACACAGAATGTCTGTCATGGAAGCCCTAGCATCACAGATTTTCAGAGGCCTTCATGATGCCTATTTCGCATGACAAATGCCCTCGACGCGTAGCACAAACCGGACTCCCCTTGCTGGTCATGCAATACAGAATTTTTTAGAGTCCAAAGTTAGCATCACAAGTTCCAACCTTCCAGACCCAGACATTTTTACATTTGATAGGACATGGGATCCCGCAAAAATTGCGTCAGGTGGTGGTCACTGTTCGGAATGTCCTCCACGTCATACTTCATTGGGCCAGTCTTGCTGGTCGCAGTCGGGTCGTAAGGATAAAAGCCACTTCTAGTTCTACCTCGTTCTAGCTTAGGCTCACTATCTCTACTCTGAAGCACGACATCATCGTCCGGCACAGATGAGGAAGTTGACGGGGTCGTCGTGTGGTCTTCCTCTACTAGCGCACGTCGTTCTTCTCCCACGAGGCCCCGCCCAACAAGCTGCGACGACAGGCTCTGGCGGGCAACCTCGTGCTCTTCCAGGTCCTCGACGGTGTCTGGGTACCGCACCGCGTACACCTCGTTGAACCGGTTTTCCATCGCGGACCGGGCGATCGTCTTGCAGTAACACTGCATCATGTCAGCCCCGTCGCTCTCGTCGGATCCCGGCGGCCAGGCGGCCATCAGCGTCCCCACCCAGGCGGCACTCATGCTGTACACCGTTCCGTGGTGGCAGGGGTTCTGGCCCTCTTCCTCGTGCTGCTCCAGGTAGTCAAACGGCTCCCCGATGGCCGCCGGCGTTCCCAGGCTGTGTGCGGCTTGCCGCTTCTCCAGGATCTTCGCAATGCTCAGCCGCTCCTGTACAACATCTTCGGGTACTTCGGATGCTACTCTTGATGACTTCTGGCCGTTTGGACCTTGTATTTCATCGACTTGGTCTTGTTCTGTAGACCACGGCATTAGCCACACCTTTCCCGGCAATCGCAGTTCGCCCGGGCGCGTCAGAAACAGCCCAGCAGGGTCGTTCATTTTTCTCGTTGTACTCGTCGCAGCTCCTCGACCGGGGTCCACCACAAAGATTTCGCCGAATAGCGTGCTTAGACTAGGCATCGCTTTCAGCATCTGGTGGTTGGACGCAGGAGCGGGGCCGTTCCATCCTGTGCGCTGAATGGCCTCTTGCGCGTTCGGCGTGGTTTTTGTGTCTTTCCAGCCTCGGGGCGCGACGAAGTAGGCGAGCTCGCGCCCGTAGGTCTGGATGACGAACCCCCCATAGGGCTCTGCGTCGGACCGCAGCTCGTGGCCGGGCGTCAGCGTGTCATACACGGTCTTGTCGAGCAACTTCGCGCGGCAGTCGTGATACAGCTCGCACCACCCGGTGTGGTCCCAAAAATTTAAAAAGTTGCAACCCTTCCGCAATCTCTTCGCGTATTTCATCTTGCTGGTCTTCCCTTCGACGATATTGTTCTCGGTGTTCTTCATCTTCTCGTCAGTCTCCGTGGCAGCCACTGTACTAGGAACGTACACGTCCACGTCGGATGCGGTGACGGCCTCGAGGGTCGTGAACTTTTGTGTCCGATCTAAATCCGTCACGTAGTTCTCCACCAGTTCATTTGCTGAGGTCGACGTAGAGGCACTAAATCCATCAAGACCTTCGTGAACATCTTCATGTGCTGCAGCTGGAGGATCAGCCTTACGTAGTTGACCGACGTCAATATCATCTTCCCTGCTGCTCCGGTTTGTTTTCATCCTTTTCCCCCCCGCCCCCTTCGCCAGCAGTGCAGCGGGTTCCAAATAGTCCGCCTCGTCGCCGGCCTGCAGACAACGCCGCTTGCATTCTTCCAGGTCTTTCGCGGTGGAGGCAGCTGCGGTTTCAATGGTGCCCCACGCGGTGCTTCCCGTCACCGAATGCACCACCCCCTGGGACCAGCGCTTGACCCCGTCCCACATGTCTCCCTCGGGCACGTACATGTCCACTTTGTCGCACCGCGCGGGCCCCTCGGACAGAAAGGCCATGACAGGGTGCACCACCACCTCGTACCTCTCCGCAAGCTCGGGGTCGTTCTCGGTCGGATAAGGAGATGAAGGGGGTTTATGATCTTGCCGATCCTCTTCATTCTTGTCCACATCTTGTTTTCTTTTGGTGTCCTCTCCTGTGGCATTTTTTTCATCCGTCTCATCGCTCTCTTCTTCACCACCGCCACCTCCACCGAAAGGATTCCACCACTGACCTGTTTCAGCTCTCCTCGCCTCAACTGCCTCGGCCATCACTACTGCAGGTGTGCTGGTCGTCAGCGTCGTCGTGACCAACGCTGCAAGAAGCATCGCGCAGGACGACGTGGTCGAGGAGAGTAGAGCTGTGATGCCCGAGATCATGATCGCCAGGACGAGTACAAAGAAATTTCTTTTTCGGGGCCTTTTTTGTGTGGCGAGGGCAGTACTATGTGTATGATCTTCAGACCGCATCCACAGGAGCACGTGGTTTGTCCGTTCTATTTTCTCGCACGAATAGACGGCTTTCTTGTGCACGACGGGGACTGGCACTAGGTCTTTGCCTTTATCTGCGTCGACGTGAAGAGAATGCGTGGAGGATGGGCGATTTACATTTATGAAAAAAAGCAGATGTCCCCGCACTACCATCCCATTCCGTGGTTTTTCTGTGGACAATGCTGGAAATCTTCGTTTTCTTTTTGTCGTGGACGCTTCGCCGCAGCGGTGGTGTTCAAGGTCATCTTCACGCCCACAAGCACCACGACGGTCACGGCTGAAGAAAATCTTGCGGAGCCTCATCTTCGTCATGCTTCTGGTTCTGGTTCTCTTCTGCCACGACGAGGGCGTCTCATCTTCTAAGAAAGAACTTCGACGACGTGTGCATCTCCACGTCGTGACGCCGGTTGTGGACCACATGAAGTTGTACGCGCGGCGTCGAGTTCTTAAAGCAACGTGAAAGCAAGAAGATGAAGTTGTGCCACAAGAATCAGGTCCGCATGCGCTTTGTTCATCTACCACGTTCTTACTACTTAACATCATCCCAGCACCATCATTTGTCATTCTTGCTCTTCAATAGCTCCTCGTCCGTGCAGACGCATTTTTTTCTGGCTCGTGCTCGTTCTCGTTGCGATATAATCTTCACACCCATGAAGATTTTGTCGATTCGTAGCAGCGACTTCGACATACCGACCATCAAAATCAGAATGATTAGCTTAGTAAAGGGTGCACTTACATCAACATCAACAGTTCGTGACCTAACATGAAAAGAGGTGCAGGTAGTTAGAGACAGAAACAGAATGAATGTGCACGAAAAGTAAAAGTGTGCTCCTACTAGCACAGCTTGCTTTGTTTTGTGCAGATTTGCTTTATTTCGTCCAAGATCTATTCCTACACGGATGGAATAGAATCAGAAACTTTAACTTTAAGAAAAAAACACAACTACACATTCGTCGTACTTCTCAGAAAATTGGACGATTATTCGGAAGCGCATTCACGTGCTGCTGGGAGACGAAGGCGGAAAGCACCTGTGACTGACAACTTTATTGGTCGGTGATCGTGATAAAATTGTGGTCTACATCGTCTGGATCTTTCACACATAACGATGAAGCAGAAGCGATACGAGAACGAGTACGACATGCTACCACTACCATACTTTGCTGGTCCCGAGAACTTAGAATTCGGAATCGAGTGTCGAGTGTTTCAGGTGAAACACGATGACGATGCGTTTGCGTAATTCCACCCCTCCTATCAAAAATAGATACGATGGATGCCCGACAAGAACTCTTTAGTTTTGGAATCTTCAACATGTACTACGATGAAGAGATACGGAAGCCCCATTTTCGCGACCCAAATAGAGAAATCGACGAAAAGATAAAGAAAGCAGCGAAACGATTTATCAAAGTCTTGGACCTATCACGACGTCTAACCAGCCGCCAAAATTTAATCGGCTACAAGTACAATTCATATTTACGGGAGAAGCGATGTACAGGAACAAAAAGAAATAATGGCTTCGTCTACCCGAGATGACGGGAGAAATTCTCCTGAAAATTTCGCGAATCAAGTGAAAATTTACAGCTGCGCTCATCAACCTCTAAAAGAAGTTTAATATTTCTCTTGCGTGGTTGTATCTTTATTATCATTTTGATTCATTGTCTGATGGAACTTACATTTTCTGTCGCGAGGACGCTCCTTGCATTCTACATATTAACTACCCGACTCTGATGTGCGGCGTTGTTTTTCCAATGCAATTTTTTTTTGTTTGAGCTACAAAATCTGCGTCCATCGTCATTGACGTTGCGCACCATCTCGAATCGTGCTCGTTTCTCCCGAGAAGAGACCGCCTGCTGAGTCGTAGTTCGTATCAAAATAACGTCAGCTACGCGATAGTATCGGGGTCGACTCCCTTCCAGGTCAGGCGCTGCGTGCCGCTCTTCCCGATGCTGTCGAGTTTGGCCATCTCGGCTGCTGTCAGCGTCCACTGGAACAGGTCGGCGTTCTCCCGCATGCGCTCCGGGTTCTGGCTCTTGGGCAGCACCATGCAGTCCTTCTGCAGTGCCCAGCGAAACAGCACCTGCGCCGGCGTTTTCTTGGCGGACTTTGCGACTTCCTTAACCGTCGCGTGCAGGGTCAAGCTGTTCTGCGCATCCTTAGAGACACGGTCGCTGCCCCCAAGGGAGGCGAAAGCCTGGACAAGGATGCCCTGCTCGCGGCAAAAGGCGCGGAGCTTGTCCTGGGGGAGCAGGGGGTGGCATTCGAACTGGTTCACCATGGGCGGGATCAGGGCCCCCTCTGTAATCTCCTGCAGTTGCCGCTCGCTAAAGTTGCACACGCCAATCACCTTGATGATATTTTTTTTTTGGATCTTCATTTACATTTCTACATATTCAGGCTCACAAGGCGCTAAGAACTCAAGTGACACCAGAAAGAAAAAGATGCCCCGTGCGTCTCCTACAATAAAGGTCGAATAAGTACATCATCTTCGCGATCAAAGCCATCTCCAAGCGTGCGAGAAAGAAAAACTATGTAACACCCGCACCCAGGGACAGCAAATGCGATGATAGCTACTTTATGCATTCTACTTTGTTATTGTTTCAAGTTCATAGGCTGACTAATCAATTATATTACCTCCACGCGGCCGTCGATCCACAGGTCTTCCATGGCCCGCCACGTTTCCCGCCGTGTGAGCGTCCCCTGCCAATCTTTGGGCAGAGTTTCGCCGCGCTTCAAAGGCCAGCCGGACTTGCAACCCGGATGGTGGATCAGGTAGCAGCCGAGGGGGGCGCGCTGCACCCACTGCCCTTTGCCCGCCTTCTCCAAAAGCCCCAGACTCTTGCAGCTTTCGTTCAAATATGCACTGGGCAAAAGTATTGCATCGCGTTTGTCCTCTTTGTACTACACTAGAAATAGCACAAGTAGCATGCACCTTTATTGTTTGAGTTTATTTCATGCTGCGGATTCACGTAAAGCAACTCGAATTATCTTGTCAGGAGCCTGCAATTTATTGATACGATAAGCACGCGGGCCATGAGTAGCATACTTTTGCAATGCGTACGAAGCTGTCCATGGTGCCCTTGTAGCCGTGCTTGCTCTGCCACTGTTTTGTCTGCAGGAAGAGATGCTCCATTGGCTTCCGGTAGACCTTCACGGTGTGCTCCCTCTTTGAAGCGTCAGTCTCGGCGCGATTGTACGGCGCGACCTTTGTGAGTCGTGGGAAGATGTTCTTTATGTGAAAAGCAAAATCATGATTCGCGCCACACACATCAACATTGCAGAAGATGAAGATCTACCATAGATGAGTTGCGATTCCAATTCCACTGACCCATGCCAGAAGTTTTCATTTCCTAGGTTTTCTTCGTAACACATGTAAGACGGGTAAGTACCTTGAATCCCTCTTGCTCCCGTCCCTTGCTCCTCCCCTCTTCCACGTCCTGCATAGCTTTTGCGGATGCCGCTGCCTATTCCGTGCAAAAACGTCCCCACCCCAGATGAGTCAACACGATGAAAATAAATCACTGCTAGACAAGTCAACAAGCTTTGGTTGATTGCTGTGCGCGACAAGATTGGGCTCGCAGTGTTGTTTTGCAAGTAATTATAGGTTTTTTTAGCTAGAGCAGACCATCACAAATTTCAAAACATCACTTCTCATGGGATTCCGCATGAGAAGCAGAAGCTTTAGTTTTCGTTTCATTTCATTTCTCCACATTCGACCTTGCATCACAACTCTGCGAAGATGGACGCGTTTTTACACGGGATACTGCGCCGACAGCCTTCAGCGCCTTCTCGTTGCCGTAGATGACAGCGGTGTCCACACCCTGAAAAATGCCTCCACTTGACGATATGCATCGCAAAAGAATTTCGTATCGGTATGCAATACAGATTGACATTGATGTATTTAATACAAGTTGAAGTTTTATCTTCCAAGAGAGAAAATCGAATTTGTCATGCAGTTACAAGTAAAGGAGTAGATCTATCATGCAAGATCGGCACTTATACGCGAGCGATACAACTGTTGCACAGGATAGACGAAGACGCAACCGCGTTCGTCTTCTTCTTCGCCGGCTCGACGTCGCTGGTCACTAGCGGCGCCAGCTGTTCCGGAGACAGTTTGTAGGTCCCGAAAAACGACACAGGAAAGTCGACTCCGGCAATAGTTGACGTGCCGCAACTATCTCCCGTGCCTTTTCTGCAGGTCTGGGCAGCTGCATCAAACATCGCTGACCCGATCCGGATACGCGCTGTTTTCGGACACAGTGGTGGCTCCTGCGGGTTCTTTATTCGCCTTTCGTTCTCGGAGTCGAGATATTTGGTCAAAAAACCCTCTGGCAGGGCGGAGCGGAGATAAATTGAGTCGCGGGCGGAGCCGAGATTTTTATTATCCGACTTCTTGGACTGTCCGCGAAGTAGTAGTTCCTGGCGCTCGCGTTCCGTCGTCAAAAATGCGGCCGCATCGTCCTCGCCGAGGACGGGCTTCTTGTTGCTTGTCGTGTTTTTCTTATCGTTTTTCTTGTTCTTCTTAACGTTCTTCGATGAAGAAGACGCCGCTGCTGTCGTGCCAGTCGTGGCTGCAGGGAGAGTGGACTGCTTTGATTTATTTCCAGCTTGTTTTGCCACGCTTTTCTCCTTGGCATCTGCTGCGGGCTTTTTCACTCCGGGCGGAGGTGCCGCAGAGTTTGTCGTCGCTTTTGGCGCTGGCATCTTCTTGGTCAACAAGTTGTTTATCTTTATTCTCATGCAAGGTTACTTCTTAAACTCAAGCCGACTTTCGAAGAATTTCTCTAGATCTACTGTACTAGTACTATTTCTATTCCGAAATAGAAGTCCTCATAAGGTCGCTTTTCTTGGCTCACCTACACTTTGCTGCCACTTTCTGTCACGTTTAATTTCGCTCATTACCGTTGTGTGAAACTTACATACTAGAATTACTTTTGAACCCACCTAACACTCTATTCTCGTCGTCGAAGTATGTGTAGTGGTCGAAGATGTAGATGACGAAACACGGTCGACCACAGACACGATTATATATTACATCCATATGCTGGGTTGGTTGAGAACTACCTTAGGTCGCTGGTTCAAATACGAAGACATACCTCTACCTAGGAGGTACTTCTACTTACTCCTGTTGTTTTCAACAGCAGTCATCAAATTATCGTCGTCAACATCGAAAAACGATCCACTTCTCCGACAAATAAACATAAAGCTAGTATAGGTTTGACCTTTTTTTTTTGCTTCGTGTGTGCAATGTTGAAAAATACGAGCTATCAGGCTGGCTAGCGAAAAACTTAAACTTCTACAGGATGCAACATCTGCATGCCGTAGTTTATCTTCGTGGTCGAAATGCTGTTGTGCGCCCGTTGAGAACACACGACACAACTTCTTGAGGGACCACGTCATCGTGCGTCTGTGTGTCCTCTGTTGCAGTACTACTATCGCGGTGAAGAAGAGCGCATAGATGAAGCTTGATGCAAGCGAAAGGAGAAATCTGTTCGTTCTTCGAAGCAAGCAAAATCGTCTTGTTACGATTCGCTATTGTACTCCCGTTCCAGACGACCGTGACCCGACCGTCAGGTGGAGGTTCATTCAACAAGAACAAATATATCAAACTCGGCCGTAATAGTAGATCTTTGAAACGTAGAAGTTTTACTTCTACAGCTCCTACTGCCAAGTGCAAGCTTTATTTCCACCGCTCGAGGACGTTGCTGTAATATTGGATACTAAAAAACAGATCTTCATCCAACACGGTCCTCCTCGTGCATCGAATCGTACAGAACAGCGGGAGAAAAAAGGCATGACTAGAAGTTGAGCTACAACAGAAGTATACTACTCTGTCGTTGAAGTAGACAATGTGTTGGTGGCATTATCAAGTCTCCATTTCTGTCAAGTGCGTAAGCAAATCCGACGCCGTTTCCCGCGTCGAGGATAGCAGTTCCTGCCCGGTGTCCGACGCGTTGGCTTTGGTCTGCAGCGGGTCGCACCGGTTGGCGACCACGTTTTCCGAGCCCACCGGCTTGCTGAACCGGTGGTCTTTAGGCACGTTCATGTGCGTGAACAACTTGTCCAACTTGGTCCAAAAACCGGCGCGCCGGCCCGCTGCGGCGACCAGCGCGTCGGCGTCGCGTTGGGCTTGTTCCGTCGCCAGCAGCGCCTTTCGGCTGATCGCCTCAAACTGTTTGGTCAGGTGCTCCAGCTTCTTTGGTCCCACGGCGAGCGCCTGTTGCCGCGACACAAAGCTGGTTCTTCTATCGTTGTTGTTCATCCATGTGGAAGCTTGGTTCGGTCCCCGGTCAAGGTCAACATCGTGGTTGATGTCATTCTCATTCGTGGCCTGATTTGACCTTGTTATTGTTTTCATCCACGCCCAGCTTCGGCGTTTGTCCCTAGTACCGGAATATGTATGATCGAAAAACGCCGTCCAAGAAGCTGATGAAGATGGGGAGGATGGTACTGCGCCTTTCTGATGTTTTGTGCGCAACACCAGTTTTCCACCGCTAGTACCCACACGATCTGACGACAGCAAAACGCTAGCTCTATCTCGTCCGGACCAGTTGCCAAAGACCTCCTGGAAAGTACCAGGGTTGTTCGCCTTGTTGGTGCCAGAGAACGTACCATCTTCCAGAAAGCTGGTAACAGCTCCGACACTGTTTGCGGCTGCATGATGATGGCTCCCGTCAGTCGTTAGTCTCATGATTGAGGATGCTGCTGGCATTTCTTTTTCTTATACAACTCAAATCAAAATCTGACCGGATCGTATAAATTTTGTTGATGCCCTGGTCGTGTTAAATTCTAGCTATTATTCAACCCAAATTTGTTTTACTTGAACGCACGGTGTCGTCCTGAAGGCAGGACATGCATATCATGATCGCGGAGCGAAGACGTCACTGAAGACGAACTCGATTACTGCTCATTGATCTCTCTGGTGGTTTCTGCATCTTTCCAGCAACCCTCCCGCTCACCACGACTCGCCGGGCGGGGCCAACTACATCAAGCGACACTGTACTTCCCTCTTCGGTCGTCCTCGTGTGTCTCAAGTTTCAACACAACCGACGAAGAAGTAGTCACTCATGATCAGATTTCTGAAGCGAAATGTAAATATTGTACATAAACATATGACCGAGAGACTGACACGACGGGCACGGGTTCCGGGCAAGAATAATTTCGACGAGGCAGTACCTAGTGGGGTCGCGGTGGCAGAGAAGACACAGAAAAATCAAACGCAAAGTTCGTCGGCCAACGGATCAAGTACGCCGTCCATCAATCATGTTGGAAAGAAACTGTAACAATTTCAAGTGCAATAGATACAGTACATTCGCATGATGGGCAACAAACCTTCTGCGGTCACTCACATGTGTGTGTTCGATTTTCCCGAGAAGTAGAGCATCAAAATGGTATACAAGTACTAGAGAAGTACCCAGATCTACAACTACATTTATGCTAGGACTTTTATATGCTTATGGGTACTTCACTTTGCTTGTTCAAAAACGTCATGATGCAATATGCGTTTATGAATATTTTTTACGAAGACGATAATGCGTAGCTGTCCGTCCTCACACTTAACTCATTGTCAGTATGGGGAAAATAAGAAAGGTATCGCGCTTCGTTTTTTGCCTCGAGAAAAAACGTTCGTCGACAAAGAAAATGGTATACAACATGGGTACTGCACTACTACACTTAGTACGACTACGGATACACGGGAAACTTTTTTATCGAAAACCATTCAAGGGAAACTGTCCGAAATTCCTCTGTAGAATGCTGCGTGCAATCATCAGAGTACAACAATGCTAGCAACCTTGAAACTAAATCAATGAAAACATTGAAATCAAAAACAAATACAAAGAATTAAACTGCTGAAGAAGACGTTGCGCAGGTGCATCGACACGTAGCTACTGCCACGCTGTTCATCATGCCCTGGTCATCGTCAAGGTCCTGCTCGTTGTTCCCCGGCGGAAGATACAACGAACCACTGCGGCGGCACCACGGGTGACTGCACGCCGGCCATGACCTTCGCGTAATTGGCCTATTACAGTGAAAAATGCCCCCCACCCCTGAAATTGCAAAAATTTGTGATGCGAGGTTTCCAAGTGAAAACTTTTTGTCATGCATGAAAGGAGTATGAATCTTTCTGATGCAGAGTATAGACGTGTATCGCATCGCTTGCATGACAAGCGCCGCTCTTGCTGGGGTCTTTTGCAATACAAATTTTTGCTATTGTTCACGATTGGAAACCTGTGATGCTGATAGATGCAAGAGGGCGAGCGTTTCATTTGGAAAGGTTTGCAATACAAATGCTCCCAAGTTCGAGGGTGGGCGCATTTTTCATTGTAATATGGCCTGGATGTCGTTTAACCCGGCTTCAAACCGGTTTGCCACGTTCGTCTGCATGAGTTTACTCCTTCCGCTCGCGTGGCCGCCGCGAAGGGTCGTGAGCCCGTGGAACGAATCCCCGCCGTCGCCGTCGCGAAAGAGCAGCGACTCCTGTCGGGCGTGATTCTTGTTGTACAATGTTGTCAATGGCGCCTCTCTACTATTTTGATGCGCGGGGGCCATCACCGGAGAGCAGCCCGGGGAAGGACTAGTTGCAGCTGCTACGGTGGTGCTCACGCGCGGGGGCTGGATCGTGTTGGTCAGGTTCGGCATATTACAACTACTGGCGCGGTTAATATTAAAACTCATCATAGAAGTTCCGGAGGATGATGTCATCGAAAGCAAATTCGCGTTCAAAGTCGTGCCAAAATTCAATTTCGCCGTGGGAAGGACGTGGAAGGACTCTGTGCGGGGGAACGAGTTCGAATGCGCCGGCAGGTTAATATTCATCCTCCCGCGGGTTGCGGAAGCCGAACGGAGACCACGTTGCTGCTCGTCCTCGGGAATGGAAGTCGTGTTTTGAAGTTCAGCGTCGTGTTGTTCACGATTTTCATCACTGGAAGGAGCAATGAGCCCTGCACTCGATGTGGTCACCTTCGCAGGCGAGAGGCTGCGGGCCTGTTATGCGTCGATTGATCTTTATGTATTGGTTTAGTGAATCTGCAATATCTAAAAAGAACAACAATCCACCAGTTGAAGAAAAAAAAGAATCGAAATAGAAAATGAAAATGACATCAAACAGAAACAAACATAAACATTACTATAGCAGGTACGTTCAAAAAACTTCTCCCCGAAGGAGCTGCTCCTCCTCCCGCCGAGGGCATGACCCGTAATTCGAACCCATGCGTGCCCACCAGGGGCCGCGTGAACCCGCCCGGTGCGGGGTTCCACCGATTGATATGCATTGCAAAAGTATCCTACTACGTAGAAATAGCACGACAAATTTTATCGCGAAGGAGAAAACGTAGAATTTGTAATGCTGATTTACCTAAAATAGGAGATTTGTCATGGTGCATCGCCGCAATTACTACGAGTACGACACTTGTGCACAGGATACGTGATGTTGCTTTGCGAATCCGTTTCTACCTGCGGCACCACCCGCCGCCGATCCCGCGGGGAGTCTAACGTACGCGGCGACATTAGAGACAGTGATGCTCCGTTCGTAGTAGAATCATCGGTAGTTGGTCGTGTCGGTGCTCCTCTAGCCTGTCGAGATGAAGACGACGAGTAATTATCATCCTGCTCCGCACGACCGGGTAGCAACTGTCGCGCAGCTAGTACACCAGCCGAAGTGGACGTCGGTGCGCCCCCGCGGAGGCTACGCACGCTCTCGCTGCGAAGGAAAGCGGGTGGGGGAGGGATTACAGGTGGTCCACCTGCTGCAGGGTTGAAATTATTCTGGCTATTGTTGAATACCCCCGTGCTGGTCGTCGTGACCACCGCTGGGATCTTCGCTGGTACCCCCAAGGTCACCGGCGTGTTCACTGCAGTGAGCGGGTTGGCGAACACCGGAACGTTGAGTCTACGGGTCGTACTTGCTTGCGTCGCGGTCGTTGTTGCTGTGCCCATGATCAGCGGTGCTGTCGTGGTCTTGTTCAACATGTTGCCCGCGTAGCTTGCAGACGCGGAGATGAACTGTGGCTGCAAAATCTGGATCTCGATCTGGTTCGGTAACGCATTTTGTCGGGCTCCTACTTCTAAGCTCGTCGACACGTTGCTATTATTTTCAACAATCTTGCCAGAAGTACTATTTTTCGACGAGTCCGGGGTTCGATTTGGTCCTGCTGTGTTCTTCGACGCTGCCGGGCTGCGCAGTTGCTGCATGTGTTCGCTGGTGGTAAAGTTAATATGCGTTTGTTTCGACAAGCTACCGCCACCAGCATTTGCAGCACCTCCACTGACCGCACTATGAACATCTTCTTGCGGAGTCTCTCGCCCATCAACAAGCGGCAGTACTTCTTCCCCGGCCGCCCTCGCCGCGGCTTCATCACCTCCACGACCGCCCACCACGCCCCCCGGGGGCGCAGAGAGCAGCACCGGCTCCGGGCTTCTGCCCTTCCGTTTCACCGCTTCGTAGTCCACGGCGAGGGTTCTGCCCCGCGGCGTGACCTGGACGATGAAGTCTTCGAAATTTGACCGGTACTTCTCCAGCATACTCGGTTCCGTTTCTATCTCGCTCGCCCTGCGGTTCAGGAATTTCTTGGATTATCAAAATGAACAATCCCCCCTCCCCATATTGAAACGGAAATTTCTGCTGCTGGATTTGTATACACAAATCAGCTCTGTCGCGCACTAGAGGACTGCAGGCCCATGTCGCGCCAATGAATGCAAAGAGGTTTTGGCCTAGTCGCTTAGCATGAGGAACGTCTATGCTGTAGGCCCAACAGCATTACAAACGACTTGCATAGTGGCTCGGAGCCGATGCCGTCGCTTTCTTGCAAGACAGACACGATTTGTGGTCACAAATCCGCATCACAAATTCTCTGAGGCGTGCCATTTCGATATGGGGAGGGGGGATTTTTCCTCACAATATGGATTCCACGCAGTTCTCGCGCTCCACCTTCAGTTCGAACTCCTTCCGTTGCTTCTCCAGCTTCTCGCACTCCTGCTGTTTCAACTTTTCCATGAATTTCCGTGTGTATTTCACGTTGTCCGCGTTGGTGTACAACGTCGTCTGCCGGTGCAACTTGACGCGCTGCAGCATCTTGGCCGCCTTGTGGAACAAATCTTTCTTGAAGGCGTCGGACGTAAAAAACGCCACGTGGTTTTTCGCGTGCAGCTTGCAGCTCTGATGGACACTCGTGTTATAATTCCCCGTGGTGCTGTTCATGGTCGTCGTGGCCGCGTTAGTACTCACACTGCTCTCCATGTGCGCCACCACCACCTCCTGCTCCAGCGCCAACGCGTCGCCGGCGGAGGTGCGGGACAGCAGCTATCGCGAGGAAAAATGCCCCCACTCCCAAAGTTGCAAAAGATTGTGATGCGAAATTTCCAAATGAAAACTTCTTGTCATGCATGAACGGAGTATAATGAATCTTTCTGATGCAAATTCTAGGCGTGTTTCGCATCGCTTGCATGACAAGCGCCGCTCTTGCTGGGATCTTTTGCAATACAAATTTTTGCTATTCACGATCGGAAATCTGTGATGCTGATAGATGCAAGTAGAGGGCGAGTGTTTCATTTGGACAGGTTTGCAACACAAATGCTTTAAAGTTCGCGGGTGGGGGCGTTTTTCATGGGAATAGCAGCTGGTAGGAATTCTTGTCGCTGTTGGAGGGGTACTTATCCTGTGCAAAAGTTTCGTACGCGTACTAATTGCAAATATGCATGACAAATTTTCTTCTTAAGGCGAAACAGCATTACATATCTTCATTCTCATGCTGAGCTAATTTGTAATGCAATTCATACTAGTACGATACTTTTGCAATGCATAGTACTTCCGGTCCAACAACTCTTGCACGAGGGAAGAAGTTGTCACCGGAGATGAACCAGAAGTGCTCATAACTTGTTCATCTCGTTGTACTAGTCCGCTTGATTTAATACTTTTCCGCTCGTCGACGTTGGCACTTCCACCTTCTTGCAGAGAAATCGTCGAGACGAAACGGCTGTTCTCTGGGCTGGGGTCGCGAGATAAAATCTGGTCGCTGCTGGTGCTGCTGTGCCGGAGCAGCTCCTTCTTGACCGTCGTCGTGTACTCGTCGGCGGTCATGGTGATCCCGCCGATATTCACCGTCGGTTCCTCGTCACTGTCGTGGATTAGCAGAGAGTTCTGATCTATTTTTCCGGCACCAGCTTCAACAGGCGACATGGTAGCTACAGAGTGGTTCTTGTCCTCCGCATGTTTCATTTCCCCCGCGCCGCGGCCGGTGTTAATATTATTAGCTTGTTCCACCCCGTGGTCCTCGCCGAGGTTTGTAATTCTGGTCACCTGTACGGGCGACTTGGAGATTTCCTTTACCCGTTCGGCGATCAATTTTTCGTGGAGCTCGTGCTGGAGCAGGGTTTCCTGCTGAAAATCCTGCAAAAAGTGCTTGTTTTCCTCCACAATGCGCCGCCACTCCTCCTTCTGCTCCTCCGACACGCCGGGCATGTAGAAGGGGCTGTCGCACTTCCGGAAATCGATTCCACCGTTGGAATCGTGCTGCTCCAGGTTTTTCGCCTTCTCCACATCGATCCCGACGGGGGGCACCAAAATCCCGCGCGACTGCAAATACGCCCGCTCGTTGATCAGGCCCGCGCGGGCGTGGTGGCCCTGCGAGATCTATGAACTGCAAATAAAGTATCGTACTAGTAGAAATCGCATCACAAATTTTGTCAGCATGACCACAAATCGATCTTGTAATGCAGATTTTTTGCCTAAAGGTTAATAATGCATGGTTGCAATTACTACGAGTACGACATCACTTTTGCAGTTCATAAGATCACGGGCCGGTCGATTCTCGTAGTGGTCCGGGTGCTGGGCGACATGCTACGGGATGAAGGACCACCGATGTTGGTATAATTTGCGCCACTTCTACCTTTCCCTGTGGTGTAATCCGGCTGGTCGCGCAGCAAAGTGAGCGCGAACGCCGGCGATTGCCGGAACAGATCTTGCTCGCGTCGCTTCTGTTCGGCGAGTTTCTGCTCCTCCGCCCTCTTGCGCGCGGTCGCGTCGTCAAAGAACAGTGCGTGTTCCATCGTGTGCTCGTACCAATTCTTGTGGTTGCCGTGGTGCAGGCCGGTGTGCTCTACTACTACTTTGTGGTGATGACGGTGAGGATGATGGCTAGCAGTCGTTGTACTGTCAGTTGCTGCCCCGCCACGACCAGCCCCGGATCGTGGTACAACTGCTCCGTCCACTCCGTGTATCTGCTGCAGCTCTTTCGAGTTCTTTCTCATCTGCTTCTCACCCGATATCGACAGCCCTTGTCCCACTGCCTCATCTCCCCTGCTGCACGAGGAGTGGTCCAACCTGCCCCTGGTTCCTTTCGAGATCAGCTGTTTCAATTTTTCGTCCTCTGGGCTCCGCTCCCGGGATCGGGAAGGGCCAAGCGACAAGGTTTGCTTGGAACCAAGTACAACACTGGGTGAAAATCCTGTGCCGTCGATCGTTTGTTTTGACAGTTGGATGATGTTGTCCTGCTGCATACTATGTTCCCGAGTAGAAGTACTTTCAAGACCCTCCTCGGGTTTCGCCTGCACCAGCTGAAGACCTCCACCACGCACGGCTTCTTCGGCCGCCTTTTTGTCCGCGAAGGCCTTGTCCGCCGCCTCCTGCCGTTCGCGGACTAGCCGGTCGCACTCCTGCTTGATCAGAAGACCTTGGGCTTGCACCTGAAGATTGAACAATATCCGTATATTCAACTTTCAATTGTCGTTTTGGCTGCATACAGACGCAAAACTTTTCAATTTCATTTGTATGCAGTATACGACGAAAGTGAAGAAACAGGAACTACGGCGCACTGTGTGTATCTCAAGAACCGTCATCCAGCAAGAGGACCGAAAACAATCATCAGTAGTACGACCAGTTCGTCCTCTTGCTAGATCTAGATGGAGATGGAATAAAAAGAAAAACAAATTTACAACAAATATATTCAAATTTATTTTTTTAGTGAAGCAGCTGTAGCAAATAGCAGTACCTTCCTCCAAACTTGCTGCTTTTGCGTCGCCGCCTGGTCGTCGACGGCCTTCAATTTTTCCCCCAATTTTAGATCCAGCTGCCGCATTTTCTCCATCTTCGCACGAAAACTTTTCTGTTTCAGGTCCATTTGCTTCTTCGCGATATCGTTTGCGCAAACCTGGATTGCGTGAGAGAGTTTCTTGTCCAGTTCTTCGCACTTTTGCCGCACCTGCTGCAAGTACCGCGTGGCGATGTGGTCCTTTTCCTCGAGGGTCAACTCTGTCATTTCGTTCAGAAGCAGGTCCGAAGCTTTCGACAGCAAGTCCGTGTCTTCATCTACTTCGTCTTCGTGGTGAGTATGATGATGATGGTGATGGTGATGATGAGCGTACTGTGACTGGCGTGGAGGTTCTCTATAATTATTCTTTACTGCGCCAGCACCTCCTCCAGAAAAAACGGACTCCTCGCTGCTCTCATCCAAATAGAAGGACAGAGACTCGCTGTCAGTGACCATTGGGGCCGGGATATTCTGGGCGTCTACCGCCAGTTTCGCTGCGGGCGACACCCCGGTCAGCAGAGTCGGGCGTAGTATGCAATTAAAAAAGAAAAGTGTTACACACTTTACACATTTTATTTAAGTACACACGTTGTTGCGGGCGAGTGAGATGACAAAACTACAGACAAGTTCTCTCATGTTGCCGAGTACGCTTCAGGAGCCTACTTCCCTACTAGAACTTACACGTGTTTTGCAAAGTAGGAGTCTCATCTGCGTGAATGCATAGCATAGCTTTCTATATTTATCACGCAGAGAAAGTTTGTGTTGCTGAAGGTACATACAAATTATGCGTATACAATAACATCTTTTTTCTTTCGGGGGATACGTGCTTGTGGATCACTTTCGTGGTTCTTCCGGTCCGTGGTGATGTTGTGTGCGAGGTTTCGCGCTTCGCCTTCCGGCAAAGACTGGATGTGGAGCTTGTTCATCGCCCCCAAGAAATAAGGTCTTTGAAGAGGAGGTTGTACCACTGCTGGGTAGTTCTTGCCGTTGTCGTGGGCGGAAGTAGAGGACTGTGAGGGCGGCTCCGGATTTGCGTGGGTCCCCTCTAGTACGGTTCTTTCTTGAGACTTCTCCTGCTCGTCTTGCGTATTTACTTCTGTCGAAGTACTAGTTCGTGTGGTGGTTGTGACTGGATCCGCCGCACCTGGGTTCGCAGCTGTCGTACTGGTACTAGTAGCTCCACCCTTGATTCGATCGGAAACTCGGACGCTGGATGAAACGCAACAGGATTGCATGCTTGTTGGTCCTCTAGCTCCTGAGCCTCATGGCGTTTTCGAATCTTTTATGCACTTGAACTTGAAGTTACGACGAACGGCTTCGGCCGCGCGTTCTGCTTTTAAGATTATGTGTAGTTCTTCTAGTTGGGGCAAAACTCATAGTGTTGTCGAGCAAGCGAGTAGGTTAGGGTTATTTCCAGATGACGCGGCTGGTGTGGTCTCACTAATCGCGAAGGGACGCTATTCTTCAATCCGTCAAACGAATAAAAATTAAGGATAACACTTACGCTGTGTCAAGGCATAATCATGGGGGCGCATCTATCATTCGGAGGGTGTAGTTCTACACCGCCTGAAGAAATATATCAATAGTTGGGTGAAACTTGTTAGTACATAAACAAAAGTAGAGGTACAGGACAACAACTCCAACATCATGAATGAATGACAGAACAAGCATTGTGCTGGACACAGGAAAAGAAAAAAGACGCAGACAACAAACACAAAGAAAAAATAAAAACGAATTAGGATTAGCACGACAAAAAACGCACGATAATAAATCAACTGACGTTCTTGCTGCACGACGCCACCTCGGCTTCTGATTGCACGAAAAAACGAAGGCAGAAAAAAGCACGACGATCACGGTCAACAGGTTGTACGACTTGTTTTCAGTTACAATCATGCTCATGGTGCATTCACAAATTGCGGTTTTCATGGTGCAGCTGGGCAAATTTTTATTCATTGATGTAAAAAAAATTAAAAAATACGATGACAACTAGAAGGATAGAGGGTTTCCAGGTTTTTATTTTGTCGACAGCTGGTACGAAGATTGTTCAACTTTGATCAGACGAGCGAGAAAGAGAGAGAGAGACCGACTGCGCATTCGTACAAAAAAACGGCTCTTCATCCGGAAAAAAATGGAACCTCCGAATCGTTTTTAATACAGGTGCAGATCAACAAAGAAATACAAATTGAAATTCTTCCCACCGGACGAACATATGCTTTTGTCATACACGATCTCCTCGCCCTCCTGCAGCAGGGCCGGAAGAACAAACAGCAGGCTCCTGAAACAAGTGCCCGTCGTGCTTCGTGCAGCTCCGTGACTTTACAGCGAACTCGTAATGAAATACTGTTATTTTTTCGCAAAGGAGGGGGAAGGAGTGTTTTTAATGCAACTACGGGTTTGTGCATTTTTCAAGAAATTGCTGTCTGGCAACCTTTATTATTTTTCCGCTGTTGACCACAGAAGCTTGATAAGATTTATGTATCATTCGACGCATGGTAATAGTAACCCAGCTCCACCTGGTTCGCGTCCCTCAGCGGAACTGCCCCAGCAGAAGGAAAAGGCGCGCCCAGGCGGTGCTCAGAACTACATACACTGCAACTGCAGGGTCAAATTTGCGGGCTTCAATAAGTGCGTGGGTTTAGCTTGAAGAAACCTGTGCATGCGCGCACGGTAATCTCGTTATCACCCCTCACATGACGAGCAGCCCCGCTCGGAACTATTTTTGCGCTGTGTACCTGGTTGGCTACTACCTTGTAAACGGCACTGCTACCGGTACGTCTGACACGCCGATATGAAAAGATTGCCATAGCAAAATGATGATCATGGGGCACGGTGGGTACAGCTAATTGGTATTGTCTTTTTGGGACATCAACTACTGGGTCGTTCGCTGCAGCTATTATAGAAATAGATTGGGGAAAAAAAAACTTTTAGCGTGCACGTGCTTGTAGTTTGATATTAAACTTAGTTTCAGTTTGCTCATGTTGGATTGTCATTGTGAAAAGAAAAACAAAAATTTGAAAAAATAAAAATGTGAATGCGAAAAAATTTGTAGATGCAACTACCGGATGATACAATCTTTTATCGTGTGGCTTTTGACGTATGAGAGAGTTGGACCTGAATCTGCTCTACTACTTATCTCAGGGAGTATACTTCCTCTTCCTTCCCGAAAGGAGGCAAAGGAAGCACGACTCCCATTTTTGAATATGTTTTTCAAGCAGGAGGATGCTGATGTTGCCGCTCCCTGTAGTAGTGCAAATAAGTGACGCTGAAGACTGAAACAGTAGAAGAAAACTGAAATTTAAAAAAAAAATGCTGGCGCGTTCGCGTGATTTTCTGCAGATGATTTGAAAGAAAGCGCTCCTGAAAGTCGTGAAAGTGCAAGTAGAAGAACAATAATTTGAATTTATGAAGAAGAAGAAGATGCTAAAAGTGGAACGAAACCGAAAGTGCGAAAAATTGAAAAAAATAAAAAACGTAAAAAACATGTAGGGTTCAGACAAGATGAGGACACATGCTCGCACAATATCCAACTCCAACAACCCTGTGCACAACTACTTACAACTACTTTTGAAATATGGGCACAGAGAAGATCATGGTAAGTACTAGAGTGAGATATTTATATATTGATGCATATGAAGTTCTTTTATTGTCCTCCTGTTGCTGCTACCAATGGTTGGTGTAACTTTACGGAGAGCCGCCGCTCCATTTCCCGTCCTTTGCACTGGCGTGGTACGACGCACTGGGGCCCCCCTTCCCTTTCGGCCCACGGCCTCGTCCCGGGCTAGAAGCGCTCTTCCCCCACGCGGTCGACGCCCCCGGGTGCGAGGTCGAGCCCACCTGCCACGGGCTTGGTGGCGCAGCCCCCTTGTTCCAGTGGCCATAGGAGCCCCCGCCCTTTCGCGGGCCCGCCCACGAGGAGCCTCGTCCCGCCTGCGACCAGGACGACTGCGCCCAGCCTCCGCCGGTTCCAGATTTCACGTACGATCCCCCGAAGAAGGCAAGCACGACCGCGACGACCACGAGCACAGCCACCCACCACGCGTTGTCCTCGTCCACATAGACTGTTCCGTCGTCATTGGGTGCTGCCACTACTGCCGGTTTTTCGGTGGTACTGCTCGTCGTGGATGAAGAAGAAGATGCCGTGCTCGTGCTTTCTACTTCCCGCTGCGGGGCCACCCGAGTTGGCAGGCCGGTCACGCTCGCCGCCGTGACCTCGGTATTGTGAAAGGTGTTACTGCTGTCCGCGGCAAACGCGGCACTGAACGCCTCCGCCACGCCGGCAGCAGTTAGCTGAGTCTGGAAGCGCTCCAAGGCCGCTTCCAATTCTGCCGTCGAGGAAACTACTCCGTCCTCCAGGTACAGGCCGTACGACAAAATGTGCACTGCGTAGGACGACGCACTGGCCGCAGAAAGCCCGCGATCTGCATGGAGCAGGTTCCTCGATCGGCTGCGCGTCCGCGACGAATCGGACGCCGGAAATGTTGCAACCACCTCGGACTGGCTGCCCGTGATCTTGACCAAGTTGGCTTGCTGCATCAGGAACGCCGTTGGAACGCCGGCGTCGGTCAGCCACGGCACCACGACCTCCGGCTGTTTGTGCAGTGTGCGAACCCCGTTTTCGACGAGCCGGAAAAACGTTGCTGCGGTTGCCTCGTTGGTGCCGACTTCGTCCATGAGGGTCGCGAATTCCGGCGCTGAACTCAAAGTTATCCATGGCAAAAGTATCACAGTTCTCGTAGGTAGAAATTGCAAACTTGCGATGACCGATCTTTTTTTAACCCGCCCATTCTGCATCTTGCACATTCCATTTTTCGCTCTTGAATAAGTTTACCATGCACCATCCAATTGCAATTCCTAGGTACTTACGTACGATACTTTTTCTTTTGCAATGCATAGGAGTAGATGTTGACAGGGTGACGCGCAAGTTCTGCATCCTTGCGCGCAGATCTTCACTGGTTCCTTCTTCGGCCGTCACGCAGCAATACTCGGCGGAGTTGCAGGCACTGCCGTCCGCGGGACACAACTTCCACTGCGCGAACCCCCGGACGCCGGCTCCCGCACTCTCTGCTGCCCGGCAAGATTCCCGGACGGATGAGTCTGCGTCTGCCTCGGCGCACGTTGGCTGGCAGCACTCTGCAGCGGTGCACGCTTCGGCATTGGCACACATTTGTAAGCTGAGAAGAGCTGCCTGCGTCGGGCAACCGTCACGGAATCCGCTACCGCAGCTGCCGATGATCTGGCAGCAAGTGGCCGCGTCATTTGCAACTGTGCAACCCTGACCGCGGCAGCGTGCGGAGGCATCCGGTGTCAAGACCTTGCCAACGGGACAACTGAGCGGTCCGCTGGCGCCGCCAAATGCCGCAGCGCACAGCTGTTTTTCACGACAATCCGCGCCGAACGGGACGAAGTTTAGATGGCACCTCTTGCACCCAAGACGGCCGTGTTCCTTGCAAACCTCGCCACTTGACGCGCTAGTGACGAGCGGAACTCCATTCGGGCAGTCGCACACATTAGGATAGCACTTCTTTTGCTGGCCTGCCAAAGAGTACTCCCTCTCCCCAGTGGCACACTGAACCGCCGGGGCGTACACTTCGATTTCGTCAACAGTGGAGATCGCGCGAAGGTTACGAGGCTCGGGCGACGTGATAGGCCAGGAATCCACGCCTGTGAAGTCTACCCCTCCATTTACGCACGTTTTGTCCAGCCAATTGGATTGATATGCTGCCGGATTCCCACCGTAATTGACAGAGGCATAATTTCCGTTTTCTACGTACCAAGGAAAACCCGCGTCGTTCCAAGCAGTGAAGTCAGCTGTCCACGTATCTCCACCTCCCGCAGCGCCGTCCTGCTCGAGAAACTTCTTTTGCAACTTCTTACAATCGAACTCACGTTGGGCTTCCGCTTCGGGATCCTTAACACCGGGAAACTCCACGATTACGTAGTTTGCTTCCTTTCCCAGGCAGTCGACGTCGACGTAAAACATCTCCCGACTACACCGGTCCCAGCTGCTACCTCCAGCATCCCTAGAAACGAAAGATGCGGAGAGAACAGGGTGAATCGGTTCGAACAAAGAGACCGTTTCGGCCTCGGTCGAGCCGGGGGGAGTTGCTTTCATTACCTTTAGGCCCGTTAGGTCGTCGGCGCCGTCTACGCTTTCATACGGAAAAAGCTCACTCATCGTTTTAGAAGAGATTGAGCCTGCATCTGCTAGCGTTGGGGGAGGGGTTACAGTGTCGCAGATCACTTCATCTTCAGGTCGTAGAATTGCCTCGCAGATGTCATAGCTTCGGTCGTTCTTGTTTTTCACTTCTGACATGCTTACCCGCGGAGTTTTTCCGACTTTAACTCGAAGCCCGTCCTTCTGGAACAAAGACTTCAAGCGATCCAGGTTGTCGCCGGTCAAAGTTGCGGTAGTGCCAACATCACCACTCGCAATCGGACTCCAGTTACCACCCGTGAACCAGATCCGCACTGTCCCAACTGCCACACCAGGTGTGTCTTCAGAGGGCGTCGGGGTGCTGGGCACTAGCTGCATTTGGTACCAGGGACACGCCGAGGTCGTGTGGTCCAGACCATTGAACGGAGTCTCAACGCTGGTGCCACCATAAGTGTTGGTGTTCGTCCCGTCCCAGCGCCCTACCAGACCGTCGTAAAGCTGTGGGTAGTCGGGTTCCGGTATTGTGTACTGCACAGCGTGCGCAGTTGCTCCGTACACCTGCAGCTTTGCCGCACCCGGAGCGCTCGTGGAGAGTCGCGTTTCCGTAGATGGCGGGCCTGCGAAGGCAAAGGGCGGGACTCCATCTTCTCCCGCTTCTTCTACTCGCGGTTCCTGCATGTTCAGGTCGTACGCACCGTAAAAGTCGAAGGCCTCATTTCGGTCAGCCACTGATATGTCAGTTGCGCCACCCGCTTTTTTGCGGTCTTGTTTTCTGTACCATTTTGGACAATTACTTGTAGTTGCTGCTACTGATATTACAGCTTTTCCCAGACACAATAACCGAAGCCTATTCATCTCGTCGGAATTCTTGTAAAACAAAGTGAAAGTAGTTTATTCGTCGGTGTTCTTCTTTGAGGAACTACAGTTACAACGGACAACAAGAAACTCAAACAACTCGTTCACCGTGATTTATCATTTCCACAGATCAGATAGAAGATTGTATGTTCAGCTTACGTTTAGTGTCAGAGAAACTGTGGATGAGATCGATGTAAGTAAAAAAGAAGAAGAACATCGTATAAAGACACTACTGCTTGCCGCAAAATTGGAAGATGATGTTGACGGAGTAGATGAAGATGCTGGGGGTGATAACTTAATCTTAAACTTTACTTATTTATAGGTTCTGAGGGGTTTTCAAATCGAACGTCGCAACGGAGTTCAATTTTCGCAGGCAATGTTGCGACGGCGGGTCACTGCAGTTTATCTTTTGTCGAAAGAAATAACAACAAGGTCGTGTCGAAGTGGACTTATCGACGGTGTGTGTTTCCACCCGTGTTTATTACTCCCCCGCGCGGCTGCCAGCGAGCTCAAGCCTGTGGCCTAGACGAGGGGCAGGGGCCCGGCGGGTTAGAAGGACCACGACAGGGCCACCCAGGGCCAGGGGCATGCGTCAATACAAAAAAAGACACTTGCTTATTCAATTTTGGACGAAAACGAAACAAACCGCAAGAAGAAGAACGACGTCGACAGGGCCAGGGCGCACGATAAGGTATGTTGTACTACTCATCTGTTTTTCGAAATAAAAAGACGAAGTCGCGGACGATAAAATTGCTGTTCCAAATGATGAAGAAACAACAAATAAAGACGATACCGAGTTACGAAGATGAAGGACGAAGTTTTTGCTTTGCCTCACGATTCGTGCACGAAACGTAATCTTCATCAACCGAGAAACTATCTTGTTCTGATCTCTGATCAACATCGTGTCCAACTCGACGAAGGATCGCGCGCTAAAAATCTGTTGGCTCCGAGCTGCAAGTGAACGATGAAAACCTGCTAGTTGTGCAGCTCTGCGCTAGAAGTGTAAAGTACTTGACCACACGGAGCTATACGATCATCGAACGGAGAGCTGCAATAAGAATATCAATATCTTTTTCTTTATATAGCATCTTTAGCGGGGCGAACGCCTTCGACGATAGCGATCAGCAGATCGCGAGAAAGAACTGCGAAGCAAAATCAGCATCCAAGATTTTGATTCAGATACAGCAAGAGTCACCACTTATTTTTTGAGAAAGTGACGCTGTGAGACCCAGAAATCAATGGATTCCGCTCGGGCAAGGTCGTTTAAGGTTTCCCGGGAAACCTTCGGCTTAGCTCGTGCTAAAGTGTGTTGCAATGCAACCGAAAACGCGGCGCGCGCAAGGACTCCGCTGCTGTTTGTTTGCACAACCGCGCCGCGTCTGCGTTGCAGTCTCGTGCGCCCAGATCGCCACAGTCGGCTGCGGATTGCGAGCAACCTGGCGGCCCCGGCAAACCGGCGCACATTTTCGCAGAGGATCCCGCAGAGGATTCCGCAGAGGATTCCAAAATCCTCTCAGGAATCCTCTGGCCCAAGTTGAGCCGTCCCCCGCGCCCTTTCCCCGACGGCAGTGCCTCGATTTCGGGGGAGGATTCCGCAGAGGATTCCTGAGAGGATTCCAAAATCCTCTCAGGAATCCTCTGGCCCAAGTTGCGCCGTCTCTCGCGCCCTTTCGCCGACGGCAGTGCCTCGATTTCGCGGGAGGATTCCACAGAGGATTCCTCAGAGGATTCCAAAATCCTCTCAGGAATCCTCTGGCCCAAGTTGCGCCGTCTTCCGCGCCCTTTCCCCGGCGGCAGTGCCTTGATTTCGGGGGAGGATTCCGCAGAGGATTCCACAGAGGATTCCAAAATCCTCTCAGGAATCCTCTGGCCCAAGTTGAGCCGTCTTCCGCGCCCTTTCCCCGGCGGCAGTGCCTCGATTTCGGGGGAGGATTCCACAGAGGATTCCGCAGAGGATTCCGCCGAGGATTCCAAAATCCTCTCAGGAATCCCGTGGCCCAAGTTGAGCCGTCTTCCGCGCCCTTACCCCGGCGGCACTACCTCGATTTCGCGAGAGGATTCCGCAGAGGATTCTGCAGAGGATTCCAAAATCCCCACCCTCAGGAATCCTCTGGCCCAAGTTGGCCCGTCCCTCGCGCCCTTTCCCCGACGGCACTGCCTCGATTCCGGGCGCGGATTCCACAGAGGATTCCGCAGAGGATTCCGAAATCCTCTCGGGAACCCTCTGGCCCAAGTTGAGCCGTCTTCCGCGCCCTTCCCCCGGCGGTATTGCCTCGATTTCGGAAGAGGATTCCTGAGAGGATTCCAAAATCCTCTCCGGAATCCTCCGGCCGGATTCGCGCCGTCCTTCGCGGTCTTTCCCCGCCGGCACAGCGTCGATTTCGGGCACCGCGGCAAACCGGCGCACATTTTGGAAGATTTTGGAACGCACTCGAGTGCAGGGCATCGCGGCAAACCGGCGCGCATTCTCTCGATTCTCAAGGCCTCGGGTGGTTGTGCGGACGCCTCCTGTTTCTGTGTGGTTGTCGCATCTCGATCCTGCTGCTGGTTGTCAACGCGCCGCTTTGACAACCAGCAACACGCTGACAACTTGGAAGAACCAAGCCGAAACAAGAAATGTGCGCCGGTTTGCCGGTGCCGGTGCCCGTGCCCACCGCCAACGCGGCAAGGGCAAGGACCCCTAAGGCGGGAGCCTCTGGCGCAAGGGCGCACCCGCCCCGGGCTGGCCGGGTGTCCGTCGGGGAGGGAGTGAAACCCCGCGACGCCGGCGCAGTCCGAGGGGCAAGCACGAATATCGGATCCCTCCTGGCAAGGGGAGATCCCCGGAGGCTGGGGCGAACGCACCGGGGCGAGGGCGGATCCCCCGAGCTGAGGAGGATCCCCCCAAAGAAAGTTCGTAGGCTGGACCCCCCGAGGGCGCGCGGATCCGCGGGAGGCGGGCCGGCCCTCCGGGGCGAGGGCGGATCCCCCGAAGAACCGGCGGACCCCCCGGGGCGCGGGCGGATCCCCCGCAGAACAGGCGGATCCCCGGGGAGCGGGCGGATCCCCCGGAGAACCGGTGGGCCCCCCGGGCGAAGGCGGATCCCCCGGGGTGCGGGCGGAGCCCCCGGGGAACGGGCGCATCCCCCGGGAACGGGCGGATGCCCGAGGAACAAGCGGATCCCCTGGGCGAAGGCGGATCCCCGGGGAACGGGCGGACGGGACCCCCTGGGCGAAGGCGGATCCCCGGGGTGCGGGCGGACCCCCGGGAGCGGGCGGATCCCCTGAGCGAAGGCGGATCCCCGGGAGCGGGCGGATCCCCTGCGCGAAGGCGGATCCCCGGCGGGCGGATCCCCTGAGCGAAGGCGGTTCCCCGGGGAAGGGGCGGATCCCCTGGGCGAACGAAGGCGGATCCCCGGGGAACGGGCGGATCCCCTGGGCGAAGGCGGATCCCCGGGGAACGGGCGGATCCCCTGGGCGAAGGCGGATCCCCGGGGAGCGGGCGGATCCCCGAGTAACAGGCGGATCCCCGGGGAGCGGGCGGATCCCCGTGGAGAGGCGGATCCCCCAAAAAACAAGAGAAATCGAAATCACGATGCTATGAGTATTTATTTTTCGTCATTCTAAACACAAGAAAACCACGCTGCCGTCGTGTTTCGCTGGTTTGGGTCTCAGAGCGTCAGGGTCTCTATTTTTTTCCGCTTGCCAATGTGGTTTAGTCGCAAGGACAGTGGACCAATAACGAAACTCACAGCCAATGCTTGATCTGTAGTTCTCGCTCGGCTCGCAGAGCGGACAAGAGGAAAAGGAATAAAGCTCTTGCATGTACTTGTACTTCTTCATCGCACGACACTGTTTTTCAACAATGACGGTTCGTGTATCAACGAGAGCGTGGATTATTTTCTGCGCCAGCGCAGGAGGAGACAGTGCAACAACTCCTACTCGAGCAGCGTTCTACTCCGTTATGATATGTCTCAAAGCCAGTACCACGGCAATATCTTGACCCAATTCCAGGGGTACAAATACTCGTAGTAGTCGGCTTGCTATCCAAGAAAAAAAGAGTGTATAGTGTAACTCTGACTGCTTTCGTTTTGATTTTGGTTTTGGAGGAACAGCATTACAAAGCTGTCCGGCATGACAGCAAAGAATCTTGTATCATGCGCAAGTAGCACGTCCGAGAAAAGCACTTCAATGCTTGGTATCTTCTCATCATGGGGCCTGCCAGTCATGCATGACCAGCATGACAGAGCCAGCCGCTTTATTGGTTTTGCATCTTGCACATCTTGACAAGGTTACACTAAACAATCTTTTCTTCTTGCATATCTGCCGCTCCTTCTCCGCGGAAGAGGCACAGTTATCTTCGTATAACCTGCTCAGGTGCTGCAATCTCAAACGATAGCAACAAATTCCTGACTTTCTATTGCATCATCAGTATCATGAGAAACACACAGAGCAGCGTCCTTCCCCTTGCCCTTCCGCTTTTTGCAATGCAAATTTTGCCGCACCATTCTCATGCGGTTTGGGACAACTCCAGCTCTAGATCCAGACGAAATTGTCATGTGCATTCATTCCTGTGAGAGCAGGCCAGATCACAACTGTGCACTTCTTGCATCACAAACACAAATCGAAATCTGCGTTTCTATTTTGATATACAGGTGAGATTACAAACCTGGGCGGGCCATATTTCGCTCGAACTTTTCAAGTACTGAACGCGCTGCGGATACTTCTTTTCCAGCCACTTCAGGTGCAGCCAGTGCTGGCTTTCCGGCGTCTATCCATTTTTGCAGAAGTATCTATCGTGCCCGTACGGTAGTAATCACGACCAGGACAAAAATTATGCATGACGACTACAAATGCAAATCGACCTAACGTTAAGTGCGTCAGCATATACAAATTCCAATTTCCCTGCGAGGAAAGTTTGCAATACTACTTACTAGAACGATACTTTTGCAATGCATAGTGTCGCACTGCGGTCGATTTGCACCGAGCCGCCGCCCTGGCTGACCATCTCCCGGATGGTTACACCGCACATGCACTGCCAGTCGTCTCGGAGCCCAACATATGCATTGCAAATAGATTCTTTTACTTCGTCAGTGAGCATATAATCTGATTTTTCTCGGTGAGTGCAGATGTTTCTAGTGTAGTTTTCCATGCAGATTTTCCATGCCCCACGAAAGCTGGAATCCGGCAGGAGCGTCAGCATCACAGATTCACCTGGACGGTCTTTGTAATCCCGAATTATCTGCACGAGAAATCAATCTCTTGTTCTACTCAGCAGGTCCAAAATAACGGACCGCTGCTTTTGCTCCTGCTCCGCTACTGCAAGTACAAAATAGTGATAGGAGATGTTTCTGTTTGCGTGATCATCCGCGGAAAGCATCTTCACGAGCTTGTAAATGAATGTCGTGGACATCGACCTATTTGCAGTGGATACAAAACCGTCGGTGCACTTGCCCTTGTACAGCTTCGCTTCTTGCTTGAGAAACGCGCTGTTCGGCTTTGCGCAGATCGCCCGCTTGCACAGGTCGCCGCTATCCGAGTGCACAACGCGGCCTCCTCACCTTCATTTGTCCTCTTCACACAGAATGTCAATGTTGAGAATACCAAATCCACATCTTAATCTTTTCTTTGGGTTTAAGCACCAGTGTCTGCATGACAACTTTCGGAACAACCTCAAACAATAACTACGGTCCGTGTGCAAGAGCACGCGCAGCTGCGGAACAAGATAGATTTAGAACTTCATGCGAATATTAAACGCAACAGCGTTGATCTTGATTTGCGACCTTGCTTCTTTCCGTTGCTGCTCGTGCCTTTCAAACGATGGGGTTGGGGTCGTGAGAAGCAGCTGTGTGCACTCTGATAGTCGTCAGATTCGGTGCAGAATCCATCGCCGAGAAAGGAGCCGTTGCTCGCTGTGCCCGTTCCGCACTTTTGCAATGCGTCGCCCAGGACGGAAAGCGGTTTCATTTTTGATACGGGGCCCGGGGTGTCGTCCTCGTGAAGATACGGTGGCTGAGTGGCGCAGCTTTCTTCACGGTCCACACGTCGACGCGCTGGCTTTCACTTTGTCTTTGAAGGGCCGTAGCACGACGGCTTCGACTGTGACCCGCAGAAGAAAAAAACAACTACATGTAGTAGACACAGGTGAAGTATGGCGTCAACCCGCTGCGTTACAGTGGTCACGTCCGCGTTGAGTAGTACTTACTACAAGTAGTAAAACTCTCGGCAACTACACGACCAGCCCGAGGTAGAGTTTTCCTCGCTTGTTCTGGTCATCTACCGGAGACAGCAGGACACGACCTGCCACGAACGACGAAACGAACCGGCCGCTCCACCTCACGAGCATCTCACGGGCATCGTCCCTGTAGTCCATCATCTCAGCGCTTCACTTCTTGTCGACGACGTTCTCCGATGTAAACAACGAGCAGGTCTGAAACCGAGTGCTTCTTCATTTATTTGCTCAGCACAACGAATCAAAAGTCGCTTCAGTGCAGTTTCTTGCGGCCCGAAGAGTTTCTGATGTATTTACCGCGGATCACCCCCCGGGGCACGCTGTCGCTGTGCCGGACGAATTCTCACTCCGTAATTATTTTTGCTTTCGATCTTCACGACGCTAGCGAAGGTCTCGTTTCTAGCACTCGTCGGGGTAGTTGTACTTGATGTTCTAGTACGCTCGTCCTGGTGCGTGATGTTGATGTCTTCATCTACCGGTAAATCATTATCATCTGCATCTCGACCTCCTCCACGTGCTCCTGGGTCGACGAGCGACGTGAAGAGACTCTCGACGAGAAGCAGGCTGTTTTCTAGAAGTTCCGGAGGTCTTGAAGTCATCATCGCGAAAAATTCCTCCATCCCGTCTGCCAGCTTGGCTGCGTCCACCAGGACGTCACGCCGGATCCAGTGATTTAGCTCCGTCCCGAGCGACGCCTCCTTTTCCTTCTCCGTCCTCGGGTTGCCGAGAAGGCACAAGTGCGGCACGTCGAATACCAGGCCCATCCCGCCGTAGGCATACATCGGCGTGTTGTTCCAGCCCTTGCGGCACAGTTCCGTAGCCAGCTGCGCCATAAACGGCATCAGTTCGATGACCCCCTTGGAGAACGGCAACCAGGAGAGCGCCTGTCCGTGCGGACCGATCAGCAGGCTGTTCTGAACGATTCGGTGCTGCATCCGGATCGAGAAAAGGCTCAGGTCCACCGCGAAAAATTCTATCGTTGGGGAAGCAGAAACAGCATCTTCCTCTGCTCGTCCGTCCGCAGAGGACCACGATGGTGGATCCCTTGTTTCTTCATCCCGTCTCGACGTTGAAGTGGTCCCAGAATTATACGAGAAGCGAAGACACACGGCTTTCAGCACTGCCGCCAAATTCTCGACGCGGCGCGAATCACCGAACCGCAGCGCGAAGACGACGCGCAAGACGCGACTTGGAGCCGCGCCTCCACCGGTGTTCTTGAAAGAGGTTCTTGCTGTACTTCTACTAGCATCTCGTGCTGTTGTACAACTATACAAAAAAAAAGACCCCATCCATTTTTTGCATGACACACAACGGATTTTAGCTTTAGGCATGTTTTGCCGCATGAAAATTTGCAAGGGGAAGATGGGTCTTTTTTTGTGGATATGTTGTTCCACTCGTAGTCGAGAGAACCCCGCCTCTCATCTTTACAGTCATGACCACGCCGCCGACCAGATGATTCAGCGAGCACGGGAAAGGCGAAGTAGCTTCTTCTTCTTCACCTCCACTGGCACCGGCGATGACTTGTTCCTGCAGGGTGCTACGTGTCGTGCTCCCGTCCTCCGAGGCGGCGGGGGCTGTGGTTCTAATACCTCCGGGTGGTCGTGCTGTGCTGAGAGGTGCCACCACATCTCTGTCGAGCTGGTTGGCCTGGTCTCGCAACCGCTCCTCGTCCATTATTTCCTCCGAGAAAGGTCCTGATCCACCAGAACGCCAGGCTGCGTTGACTTGGTTCACAAAGGCCGACTTGATACCGCGCCATGTGCTATCCAAATGAGGAAAAACAGGACCTACCCACGAGATGAACGCCATACCTGTATATGCAAATCCGGTTCCGGATGCCCGGAATTATCAAATGATGTGTCTCATGCGCAGGAGCCGCATGTTGAGAAGATGCATTGATGCGGTTTTGCTCTACACCTATAGAAATTTGTCATGCTCGAGCAATCAGAATGAGAAAGTGGGCTAGCGCTAGTCCTAATCCGGCTATAATATACCTCAATAAACGAGACTAAATCCACAAAAAATCGCACTGTCTTGCAGATCGCTCAAATCTTCGTGATTTACCATCTGTATCTTAAGGATGGCGAGCGCGCAGTGGGCAATTCTTCGGGTAGGAACGTTCAATTATTTGCAGAGGATATGAGCCCTTATCGCGGCCGAACAGGGTGACGTGCTCCACACCCCATTGCGAGCCAGCGGCGTAGCACTGAGTAGAGGGCCATGAGGGAGAAAAGGCGTCGGATTCCGCGTTGCTGGATGACGACGACGCCGACGACGACGCCGCCGCCTCCGCGGGTGTCCTGAGCCAGACTATTGAAAGGAAAAACTCCCCCTCCCCATATTGAGCAGGTATGTTTCCGAAAATTTGCGTTGCTGAATTGAGGTCACAAATCGCATTTGTCTTGCAAGAAGGCAAGTCCACAGGTTCCGCCGCATTTTGCAGGCGGTTCGTCATGCTGTTGGGCCTACAGCACAGACACTTTTCATGCTAAACGCCTTGGCCAAAGCCTCTCTACTCAAACTTGATATGGGCGCGGAGTCCTCTCCAGCAAGACAAATCTGATTTTTGTACACAAATCCAGCATCAGAAATTCCGTTTTGATATGGGGACGGGGGATTTTCCTTTTGATACAGACCAGTTCTGTCCTTCTACGTGTTCTTCCAGCAGGACGAGCTTGCTCCAGCAAAACCGGAAGAAACGCCTGCATCAACGGGGCGGAAGGGTTACACGGCCGCTCGACGGTCCTCGCAGCATCACCAGGCCCCCCGGCTAAGCTGCTGGTTAAGCAATCCAGCACGAGAAAGTCAAAGTGGCCCTGTCGGAGCTCCACTGCGAGGGGTGCCAGCAGGTGCACGGCGTGCCACATGTTCTCCGTCGCGGGTTGCGTCACACGCACCAGCAGGGCTCGGCGGTGGTCGGTCTTCATCTGCGAAAACGTCCTCGAGGAGCGGGGGCCTGAGCCAGAGGACAGAAGTACTTCTGCATTTTCTATTTCATCTCGCGCAAAACCAGGAAGAACCCTCTGATCGCCCGTGACCTGCCTCGCATTCACTCGACGGTACTCGCCGTAGCTGTCGGCGCAGTGCGCGAGCCACATTGGGTAGGACGATGAGGTTGTTGATGATTGCGGTTGTTCACCATGTTGATCTTGTCCAGTTGTAGTTGTACTAATACGCAGGTCCTGCTCTGCGGAAAAATACTTTTGATTTTGAAAATTCAGTGTGATTTCGCCCGTGCTTTCATCCACACAAACCTCGGGCAAGGAGCGCACCACGCACTCGGAACGTGCAAAGCTTTTCCGCCGCGCAGGAAGGTGCGTCCAGGCCTTTCCGCCACTCTGTATGGCTCGCCGAAATTCCGCGACGCCCGGGCCCTGCACGCCCGTAAACGGGGTGTGGTCGAAACAGTCGCCGGAGGTCTGCAAAAGCCTGGCGACTTGACGCTGCAACGATAGCCTCCCCTGGCGGTGGTGCTCGTCCTGGTCGTCCGACGGGGTTGAGGATGGCGGGTTGAGCGCGTTGGCGTTTCCATTTTCTATGCATTGCAAACATGTCAATAGTTGGGTCTGGAAATCTTGTGTGTTGCAGTGCCGGCACGTCATCAATTGAAGAGAAATATTAACAACGGCTTGGGCTTGTGCAACGGCATGACATCAACAGCATCAGAAGTTTTTTGTTTCCTCAGCTTCTACTTTCGGGTTCATTCGTAAATAGCAAGAAAAAATACCTGCTTCCAGCAGCGCGGCAGAGAAACTCGACACTCGTACCGAGTTTTCCATGGATACTCGACACACACTCAATTTCAAACCCTCCAGACACTACATTTGCAATGCATATTCTCGCGCAGTACTTCATCATCATGATTCTCTCCGCCGACAGCGAGGACGCACGCAGTTTTCTGCAACACCTCGAAGACTTCGCACGTGGTCATGGTCGGCGCCTTTTTTGCAGCAGGACCCTGCGCAAAACTGCGCTCTTCGTCAATCGCTTCCCGTAAAAACTCGCCGCACTGGATATCACAATGAAAAGTGCCCCGCTCATGGTCATGATGACAGTTAGAATAAGTGTGTCTGATCCAAGAAAGTCACTTCCGAAGGGAACGAAGGCTTTGCTCTTCCTTGTATGAGAAGACCACTATGAGTTTGTCTGATCATCTGCATCTTCCAGCAGAGTCTGGCTAGGGTTCTTGCATAGGCATAGCGTCTTATCATGCTATTGCATGAAAAGGGCGTTAGTTTTCAATTATATCATACTGGAAGAACTCATAGGCAGCAGCCCGGGACTGGTCACTTGGCGGCACCGGAGTAGTACCATCACTCGTAGTTCCTCCTCCCGACTTTCGGAAGAAAGAATCGAAAGCATTGGTGAAGAAGCTGATGGTCTCGGGCATGTCGCGACAGGCACAGTGTGTGTGTGCAGAAATAGAAATCGTCGAGAGCGTCGCCCTCGGCGCCTGGTGGTCCTGTGGAGGTTCTCCATGACCCCCTCGTCCTCCCGGTCGCAGGTCGGTTTCTTGGCTTTGCTCGAGGAGGAGCTCGTAGCGGTTCCTGCGTCCCGCAAAAATCTCCCGGTGGAAGTAGTCGTAACCATGACGGTGGATATCATCGTCATCCTGGAGTAGAGCAGATCCGTCGTGGGCCTCTCCTTCGCTATCCAAGTGGAAAACAGTGGTCGACGTCGTGTTCTCTGCGTCGTGGTCTTCATCTGTAACTGTATGTTCATCGTCGACCCTCCTTATAATCTCCTTCTGGTCGTAGTTGTAGTACTCGTAAGTATTGTATCGCACCCCGCCCTCGCGCAGCATGTACTCAGTCATGTTTTGGTGTTGCGGCAAGAGCCACGCTCCGAGGATCCGGCTCATGCGCTCCACTTTGCGAAACATCCACGGGGACGACGAGGTAGTTGCCAGGAGAGTATCTCCACCGCCCTGGGCCGCGGGAGGATGAACCGCTGCGGCTGTCGCGGCCCCTTCTGCGAAGAACAACATCTTGATCATTTAGTTTTATTTCTAATTGCTTGAAACAACAAGTGCAAGTCAGAAACAGAATCAAAAGTCATGCGCGAGGCCGCCTGGGGCTGGGCGCTACTTTCCAACGAAATAAAGGTAAACCCACTTCAGTGGATCTCGATCTTGATCTTCGCACGGTCAGCGCACCACCAGCACGATCTGTCAATGATCCGAAAGCAGGCAGCAGGAGACGAGAGACAGCGGGGGGAGGCTGCATCAACCGAATTCACGATGAAAAACCGATAATGTTGCCAGAAGGATATTCTGAGTCTGTAGAACTTTCTGCTTGCGAACACCAACGCCGATAATGTCAAAGTCAACTTGAGCATTCTTGTACGGCGAGAAATAATATCGCTCTCCTCGAAAGGTGCAGCTGCCTGTAGTTGCCGCGCTGGGCATCTTTATGGTGATCGACATGATTTTCACAGATTGTCATTTGAAGATGACTGCTTTACAAACTAGGACACAAGGATCGATCCATTTGCGCTTACAACGTGGGAGGGCAAACATGAAGAAAAATAAAGCGCCAAATCATCCTACAATACAGAGCTCAACTGCAGCTGCACGTGTCTAAGTCTAGCGCAATGTGTAGGAGTAAGTCAGTGTAAGTCGTCGCGGTCGTGGCAAATGCAACTTGAACCCTTGTTAGTCACGTACAATTTCAATTGAAAAACAACTTATCGCCCCCAGTCGTACCGACGATACCGCGTGATCACATCCAGCAGCCACGGTGGACAATCTGGATGGTTTGCCCAAAATTCGTTGAAAAAGTGAATTCTTCCGTGGTCAATACCCGGAATGACGCGCGACGTCGCCTTGATTGTATTAAGATTCTGCCCTCCTGGAAGAGTTTTTCCTCCTGGTGGAAGTGGCACGGCCTTCTCTTGCAATTCGGCAATTAGCTCCAACACCGTGCGCCAGTTCTGGATCCGTATTTGCTGTTCCTCCGGTAAGTCGCCCGCGGCGTTCTGAATCAGTGGGTGTTCCCCGCAAAGTATCCTGGCTGTCTCTTCTGTCACGCGGGTCGGGGCACCGGGTTCCGCATTCCCCTCTTTGTCGGTCGGCCAAATATCGTGTGCAAAAGTATTATCGCGGTCGTGGCTACGAAGTTGCCCGAGCCCGTGCGTGGTCGTAGTAAAAGGAAAAGAAAACTAATTGCTTTTGCTGCCATGTATAACAAATCTCCTCGCTGACCTGATTCTGCATGGCAAATTCCATTTTTAGTAATCATCATGCAATACAGTACAACTACTACTCGTGCGATACTCCTGATTTTGCAATTTGCATACCACGCCCACCAGGCCCAGTGTGAGCGTTTCGCGCCGTGCTCCTGTAGCTCGGCGAGAATGCGTGGCAGGTGCTGGAACTGACGCTGCACCAGCTGCTGAACCTGAAAAAAATAAAATTAATATGTTGAACATGTCCTAGCACAAAATTAAGAACCCATCGTGAGTACTAAGTAAGAATAAGAAAATGTATTGTAGTATCATATGAACAAAAAGAGAGCCCTAAAAGCACTGCGCATGTCGACGTCGAGCTGTTTGTTCTTTGTGCTGCAGATAAAACACGTGGATCGTTGTAGCCAATTCTCAACACAAAAAAAAACTACCGCCTCGAGGTCGTCTGGCGGAATCTTCTTGTTGTCGCGACTTTGGTTGTTATTTGTCGTGCCCATCTGGCGCGTGCCGTTTTTCACAGCACCAAGCGACGATGTTGAAGGCTCAACAGACCGCGGGGAAGGGGATTGCGCGCCGCTCGCTCCTGTTGCCGGTCCTCGTCGTGGGGGCTCCCGACGAGTATGGTCGTGTGCTGATGGTGCCAACGCGGCCGCTACCGCAGACGAGGAACCGGAGGCTGACGACAGGGGACTATTGCTCATCTGATTTTGTACGGGCGCATCATTTTTAGGGCTTGTTTGATATGCATCAACAACCGGGGCAGACAACTCAGAACAAGTCGTCGTAGTCGTACAGATGATACTGGTCGTCCTTACAAAGCTGGGCCCTCGCTTCAAACAGCAGGCTAGCGAATTTTTCAACAGTGGAGGCTTTATTTGCGCCGCCGGAAGATCGTCAGCGACCACCATGAAGGTGGAAGACGATGCCCTCAGCACTCCGCTAGCTGCTCTCCTCATTAAGAACGGCCTCATTTTATTTATCGCTCGGAGAGTTCGTTTTCGCACCGGTCGTGCTTTTTTACTATTCATTTTCTTTTTCACGGATGAAGTTTTATTTTGAATACGGGGAAAATAACGCCTACAATGCCGTCTTTTGCGCAGGAAAAAAAATAGCTTCCGTGTAGTGTAATATCCGGTCGAGTTCATCTTGGAGCCGCAGGTCGCTCCAGAAACCTTCTTTTTATGCGCCGGCTTTCGCTTACGCTTTGTTTTCTTCACCATCACTTTGGCGGCCATGCATCTGAGTGACAGTAGGAGAACCAGGAAACGATCGCTGTCGTGAGATAAGTAATACCTCGTCCTAGAATATCAAAACCAGAGGAAGAGCTGTTTCAGCAACATCACAGGCTCTTCATCATCTAAAATTGTTGTCGCTCGAGACAACTCTACCATTCCACTGATGTGACAATTAGACCGGAGGGTAGTAAAGAACACGGTTAACGAACCACGTGACAAGGCAACTCATAGGAGCGGACTAGAAATCAACATCTGTAATCTGTCGCCGCTCAAGCGCGTTTTCTTGAGCTATAGTTTTCTCTTCTTCAAATTATGCGCGTCGTCGTGGAAGAGGTCGACATTGACATTCTCTTTCATTGGTTAGTAGTAGTATTGATTTGAATTTCGTAATCATCTTCCCCACAGTGAGATTATGTTTGTCGTCAGTCGCGGTCACGATTCGATTGGCTTATGGTTATGAGGAAATAAGCGGGAGCGCGTTTATGTTTCGCATGCGCAGTACTTTTTTTGATGAACGTCACGAAGCCGAGGACAACAAGCGGTTTATCAAGTACGAGTTCTGCTTGTACTGTGGATTTATTTTCTTACAACATCATCATCATCAGTAAAAGATGAGCGCACCAAGCATGCCAATCATGAAGGTGGAAGTGGATCTTGTTCTTTTAGTATGTCATCTACTTCGTACTGTCTGCCGTGTAGATCCTCTTCACCTTATTTTCCCGCTTGCTGCTGCTGCTCCTGCTGCTCTCGTTGACTGCGTTTTCTGACGTGTTTTGCGCCTGGTTGGTACACCTTCAGCTCCGGCGCGGCGCCAGTGGGGGAAACTTGAAACGGCGGCATCTTTTCCAGGGTGTATTTTTTCACGTACGCGCGGAACTCATCCTTGTCAACGTAACCGGAGTCGTCGGTGTCAAACGCCTTCCAAACCATCTCCCATTCGTCTGTTTGTTTGATGTGTTGTATGAATGGAAAAAAAAAAAAATTTAATTGCAGTTGGATAAGTACTAAGAAATGAACGCGCATGAGCAACAGGACAAAGCCCCAACGCAGGTTTCATGCGTGACGAGAAGCGCGTCCTACCCCTGATGCACGATGCGGCTTTTCGGAGTAACAATAAGACTAAAAGCAACATCGCCTCACGAACTACTGCTGCATCAGTTGTTGCAGCGAGAACAGACGGAAGCGAACATAGAAGTGCTGTTGAATTTTTACCAAGCGTCTCAGCCTTTTTTTTTCCAAATTCAGGCTGTAGAAAGAAGTTTGGTGGCGTAGTACTAATACCTGTGTTCATGTATTCCTTGTGTCCGAGGAAGGCACGGATCTCGCGGAGCACGATTACCATCTCGTCGCGGTCCAGTTCGCCAGACAAGTCGTCGTTATGGATGGCAAATATGTCTAGGTCTGGAAGATTGGAACTTGTGATGCTGTCTCTGGATTGTAGAAAAATCTGTGCTGCATGACCAGCAAGAGGAGTCCAGTTTGTGCTACGCGGGGAGGGCATTTGTCATGCGAGATAGCCATTAGGAAGCCCTGTCAATATCTGTGATGCTAGCTCATGCATTACCGGCATCATGGGTCATGCAAAATATGCATGACAAACCTTGCGTTCTTCCAGACCCAGATACTTGCAGTGGATAGTCGTCAAACCGCTGCCATATCTCGTCGATTTCCTCGTCTGTGTACTTCTTCAGGTCGTACTGGTGCTGTTATCGGTGTATTGTGAATTCTTGAAGATGATTAATAATTCAAAGTACTTGGTTTGCATTCGACGAGATACATACTCTGGCTCTTCTATTCGAAGAGGCAGAGGAGGTGGGAGGGAGAAGTGCTTTTATATCCTACTCATTTAAATGATCACCTCATCACTTCTCCGCGCAAAAGCGGCAAGGAAGCCGAGGGACGACCACGGAAAAAAATTATCATTAATATTGCAGCTTGTGTTAAAAATCGTGCTATCGCATTCGCAACTTCTGTTACCGTCTCTGTCAAACAGATAACTATCATACCCAAAACTGCTCGAGCGGGAGTTCCCTGGACCTTTCGCGCAAGTACTCCTGGGACGACATTTCCGTGAGCCTGGAAACCGTCCGGTCCCACGCGAAGATTTCGTCCTGAATCGCCGTCTTTTTATCGATCGACGGATCCACGGTGAAAATCTCGTGCGCTTTCTTCTCCTATGGATTCCAAATTTCTCAATCTGGGTCTGCGTCTAGAGAGCTGAGACGTGTGTTCGTGTTGCTGACTTTACCTGAACCTGCATATATTTGGCAGGGTGGCCTCTGGTCTGGTATGGCAACATACCAGCATGACAAGTTTTCCTCAAGCTCTCGTCGTGCATTGGAATTCATGCGTATTTAGCATGACAAAGCTCCATGCAGCACGACAAAAAAGCTCGCCACTCCACCTGCACCTCTCCGTGCATCACAGATTTTGTCGCTGGTCCTCTCTTTCAGATACAAATCTGGCGTTACACACTGAGACCCAGACACAAGAAGATTTGCGTTCGATATCTCCGAGAGGAGGACAAATTTTGTCCTTTGTTCGTACAAGTTGTCGATCAATGTGATGAACCTCCTCACTTGGCTATCCTGAGGAAAAACGTCCCCACCAGATTAGTCAAGTTGGGATCTCTGCAACACAAATCGAGAAGTTTTGGGAGTCACGCACACGAATGACAAGCAGGAGCTTCTCGCTGTTTATTTGTAGTGCCGGTTAATAGCAAGGGCAGCCGCATGACAAAACCTCCTCGTTATATGCTGTTTGCAGCATTACAAATGCCAAAACTACACGATTGGAAATTCCTGTAGTTGCAATTCTGAGTGACAACACCGGGATTGTTGGGACGTAGTTTCTATACTCAGGATATTGGTCGCGCTCCTGCAATGACAACGCCGGGATGTTGTCAATGAACACCGTGTGGAAGGTTTTCGCGATGGAAATGTAGTCCGCGGCGCCGAGCGGCTTGTCGCAGAGGTCCTTGAAATCGAAAAGCGCGCACTTCACCTTCTCGCCCATCTTTGGGATGTGCATCTTCCGCCCCTGCACTTCCAACTCCTGATCTTGTAAAACCTGATCCCTCGTCGCCCGATGGAACTTGCCGTCGAAAAATCCGCGCTGTTTCTCATCGATCGGGGAGAAAAAAACTTGGAACGCATCTTCCGCGTAGTCGGTTATTAGCCGGTAGTCGGTCTGGGAAGCGATGTCCAGGACCTCGCAGCGCTCTTTCAGCAAAGGGATGAAAGGGAGGAATAACGGCCGGTTTAGGCCGTTCAGATACCTGAGATGGAGAAGATCAAGGCGATAATCATAAATTTGTGGTGAGCAGGTTGGTGGAGGAACGACTGAAGCACACGAAAATAGTTGTGGTTAGTTCCGTGCAAAAGAAAGATGTTCGACGCTGCACCAGCAGCTTGCCTCTGTCTCTCTACGGGAAAACTTAAGACCACGACTTACATCAACTGCAAAGTACCGACCGGTAAATAATCTTTTAAGAACTACGCACATAACAATGTACAAATCCTCCGGCGGCCGGTTACTGGTGGAGACTACGACCGCGCCCTTTTGGAAGAGGATCGAAAAGAGCTGCTTCATAATCATGGCGTCCGAAATGTGGGTGACTTGAAACTCGTCGAAACAATACAGCCACGCCTCCTCGATCATGTCGTCCGCAATGGCGTTCATAATGTCCGCCTTGTTCTCAGCATTATCCCCGCTGGCGGCTTGCAGTGACTCCCGTTGGGCCTTCGCTGCGGTGGCCGACCATTCACTATCCGCCTTGGCATGCACCCCGGCAGAGCTGATGGTCTTCTTGTGGAGGCGGTCGTGCACCTCGATGAGCCACTCGTGGAAGTGCACGCGCCGCTTCTTCTCAATGTGGGTTTGCGTGTCGTAAAACAAATCCATCAGGAAGGACTTGCCGGACCCGCGACTATCCTACGAGAAAACATAAACTAAGGTAGGGTCAGAAGTCTCTGTGACGCGGCTAGTAAGTTGTAGTAGACAACATGCAAGACTGACAGCTAGTGCGCTCTATCAGCTCATCCCGCGGCCCATCATGCTGACCATGCATCGTGTTACGACTCAGGAGCACCACTTCTCATCAAGCGCATTTATTTCAGGCACGAATATCTTTCTGCGCAGCCAGATGAACTTTCTGCTGCCAAGCCGGACAATTTTGCACTGTTCAACATCTCTGAAGAGACCAAACACTAACAAAGTTTTTTTCCCGGATAACAACCGCCCCAAATGTAGAGGCCCGTCGGGGCGGTAAACTTCTCGGGCGCGCCGGCGGGGGAGGCGGGCTCGGGTTTGGCTGTTTTTCAATATATTTTGAATGTAGTTGTAAAGATTGAGATTCACGTTCACCATTCCAGTATTGGAATCAGACAAGATGAAGATGAACATGAAGAAGTACGCCTGTATTAATTTCGCTTTCGCTGTTTTGGGATGCAAATGGGTGAAAAAGCAGTGCACTAAAGTTTCCCTCAACGTCACCGCGGAAGCAAGTACCCGCTCCTCCTCCGCCGAATAAACTTGCAAAAAATCCTCCTCCGCCACTGCCACTGGCTGGAGGTGACGACGCCGCAGGGCTGGCAGCGGGCGCTGGCGTGTACCCTTTTATCTTTTCCGCGAGCTCCTCGAGTCGCGCCACGATTACCTGATTTTCATGTGTTCTAAATTCCTCTGTGTCAGTCTATCTTTTTCTTTACAGAAACAAAGCATCAAAAATAATTTGTATTGCAAGTACTACTAGGAGTACGGTATTTGCAATGCATACATGGAATGTACCAAAAATACCTTTTGGTTCGGGTCTTCGTTGATCTTTCCCTTCGCCAGCAGTTCGTCATAGGTCGCTTGTGGCGCATATGAAAGTGCACAGCTCCCCCCGACCCTCCCCCTCGTTTGTCATGCAAGGTGCCAAATCGTCCACGACCTGTTTTTGAACCGCACGTCGTCACCATCTTCTTGGCAATGCTTGCATGACACGTTCCGGAAGTTGTAGCCGAAACAGTTCACTAGAATCGAACAACTTCAAGTCGTTGTCTTGTACTAAAGCTGCAACGTTGCCAGAGCTTGCATTCATTCTTGCAGCTGTGGATGCCAACTACAACAAATGAGGGGGAGGGGGTGAAGTAGTTGTGCACTCGAATAGCCCGAGCCCGGCGGTTGCGCCACTTGTTGGAGAGGCTGAAGCGAAGCCTCTCGAAGTCGTCGTCGTTCTCGCGCTGACGGTACAACAACTACTGAGGCTGCTAGAGGAACCACTCCTCGAAGAACTGTTCCTGCACGAAGTGGACGAGGAGCTCAAGCTCTGGACGAGTTGCGTTGATGATGTGGCCATTGTTCTAGCACTTCTACTCAACGAGTCGAGCTCGAGCGGCCTCGCGGCCGTTTTTATCTTCCCTTGACGCGTAGTAGACCACGTTGCAGCGCCACGACTTGAAGATGATGTGCTGGACACGGAGGGCGTCGCGGGTGAGCAAGGTAGTATTCTACTTTGCGCCACAACAAATCGTCCTGGAGGTAGTGCATCAATTGCAATCTTCCCAGGAAGCTGCCCAAGCCCTTGTGCAGGAGAGGTGGTGGTCCCAAAGCTGCTGCAGGAGCCTCTTGGTAGCAGTACGATCTTGTTTACTGCGCTGGTGGTGCTGGTCGTGCGGCTTGTTACCGACGTTGCCGCGCGGGCGCGGGCGACCCTCGAGGCTTGCTGCATGATCCACCGGCGACCTTGTCTGTTTGCTTCTGAGTGTAGTTGACACCAAGATTCTAGTACTTGTCGCGCAGGAGCTCGGGCCGGCGTGTACTGCAGTCCGCAAGATGAAAGTGAAAGGACGACCTCTTAGGGTTGTACTATAGTCAGGGGGTGGAGGCCCAGCTAGGATAAAACTAGCGTCTTCTGCGTAAAAACCGAAATCCAAAATGACGATATTGAAACGATGTTAATCATACACTGACGCGGGGCGGAAGACCTCCACGTCAGAACTATACAACAAACTTTAATGCCGAGGTAAAATTAACATCATGATCATAACCTTCACATACCGCAGCTCGAATGTGCATCTAGAACTACATCTATTTTTTTCAACGCACAATAGGCCTCTCGAATAATTTGGGACACCACCACCAGGAAGATTCCAGGCAAACCTGGTCTGTACATTCATTGAACTGGAAGATATGCTGTGGATTTCCACGATCCGATACTGTGCTCCGACAGCGCAAGGCTGACAGGTTCTTACAGAAAGTTGTGAAGCAATAAATTCTACAAATTTGTGTACAAAAGCTTCAATAAGTGCGATGAAAATTATGCTATAAACAAATCAAACCGAGTGCTGAAATAGAAATTGCAAGCTAAAAAATTGTATGCTGCTATCTTTTCGCCCAACTTGTCCTGCACACGAAAGGAACTCCTTTCAGCAGCTCGCTTCACAATAAAGATGCAGACGCAACAGCTGTGATTTTCAAGTAGATGGTAGTTGTATGCAGCTACCCGGAAAATGTATTTTCTGTATCCGACGCCGTTATCAAGGAGGAGCCACAACAAGCCGCGTCATTACCGACATCATTTTTGTCTTGGAGGACGTTGTAGTCTTCAGTACATCGTAGGTATAGGATACAAAAAAGTTGCACCGACGTGAAGTCGTGGAAACAACTACAATGTCACAGCCAATGTGGGTCAGACAGATCGATGAAACATTTATTTTTTGTCCCGCGCAATAGAGGTTCCGAAAAAAGCACCGATGACAGACAGACAGTTGCTTCAGTTTGATGTTGTTCACAGGAGAACCACTACTGCACGAAAGGAACTATCTCATCCACCTGGTTGCGCATGATGTGCCGCAAACAAAAACAGCACCGACATAATCTGCACACGAGAACTAACTGGTGGACGCACTGTCTCTAGACCACGTATCTGCAACTGTAGTACGCACCGTGTCGCGGAGGTCTTCTTGTTCGTCCGACGGATGCAAGTACAAGGCGCTCGTCTCATCTCTCATCACCAATAAACCGGCTGTAGCGCAGAAAGAAGATGGTACCACGAAAGTGAACAACAACATCATAGACGCAGGCTGAATCAAGCGTTACCGTAGTTTCTCGTTGCAGTTGTCTACCTAGTATTTCACAATCACAATCACTTTATACAGTACTTCTATTCATCTCACAATCATCTTCAGGGCGTATAAGTTGTTTTGCTATATTTTTTTTTCGATTGAGGGGGGATTCATCTACTTCCTATGCACGTTGCTACAACTGAGCTAGATTTTGGGGAAATTATCATGGATGTGTGTCTGACTAAATTTCTAAATTTCAAATACATTTACTTTTACATACTGCAATCATAGAATTGAATCTTCGCAAAATAATATTGTCGTGGGTAGTTGTGGGTCTTCTTGGTTTAGTACGCATCTATAAGCGTATACTTAGTACTGTAGCAATGGTGATGGATATTCATATTGTTGATATTCCTAAAGTATCAATTCGTCATCGAGGTGCTTGTCGTGGCGGTGCTGTCCTACATCTATCTTTTGGTCTTCTACACTTCCTCGACCTTTTAAACGAGAAAAGAATCAGATCTCGATTGTTCATGTAGTTCAGCTTCTTCACCATCATCCGTGGTACTTATTCGTGGTAATTGATGGATCTGATGTCCATCGTGTTTGCCGAGGCTATCTCCTTGTCGCCTTTATTTTTTCCAGATTTTTTCGATGACCTTCGGGCATCGGCTGCACCGGGTTGTACGGATGTATTAGTAGCTTCCGCAGGACTCTTTTCAGGAGCAGGTCCTTGGTGAAAAAAATCGTTGTTGAAGACACCACCCTCGCCGGGATTGTATCCATTGCAAATAAAGTATCGCACAACTCGTACTCGAACTCATCGTAATCATTCATGACAAATCTGGCGTACAAATCCCAATTCATATCCTTCTTGAGAAAGTCATCCTCATCCTTACGCGATTTCATATGGTACCAATAGTACTACTTCTAGTGCGATACTTTTATTCTGCATAGCTTGTCGGATGGTGCAATTGTCAGCTGAGTAGTCAGGTTGTTCATCATCTTCGTGGGCCCGCCACTGCTGTCGGACTTGTCGGAGGACTGCGAAAGAATCTGCATCCGACTCGAGTGCCTCGAAGTTTTTGTGTTGGAGTTGTCGAGACTTTTGGAGGCCTTCTTTGAAGATGACTTTGAGGACTTCAAGTCGGTTTTTCTGCTCCTCGTAGTTCTGGCCGCGCCAGTATGGATTGCAAAAATGTCTGGGTCTGGAAGATTGCAACTTGGCCTGCTAAATCCGAATCATGCAAAAATCTGTGTTGCAAGAGTGCCAAAAGCTGTCCACTTTCGACCAAGTTGGGAGGGAGTTTCTCATGCAGGATAGGCATGAAAGAGACCTCACAGACTCTGCCATGCTAGGTCCCGCATTCCATACCTCAAGGGTCATGGAAAACATGCATGACAAGTTCACACTCTTCCAGACCCAGACACTTTTGCATTTCATAGCCAGTTGCGGTCGCCTCGCCCCCGCTCATGGGAATGGAGGTGACCTGCAGTTTCGCGGGCCCCGCCCCGGAGGTCTATGAGAGTGCACAACTTCCCCTCCCCCTCAATTCCAATTCTATGGCAAAACCAGCAATACAAACACCAGCACACACGGAGCCTTTGCATGACAGGTTCTTCTTCATACGCCAAGAAGTGTAGTACACCACGTACTTGTTGGACTCCTTCATCCGAAATTTGTCATGCAAACAGTGCTACTCGGCAGCAACCGGATTTGGAATTTTGCATCACAAATGAGGGGGGGGTTGTGCACTCTCATAAGGTCTCGGAGACGTCGGAAACGTCCTCGGATTCCCAGTCGGTTACGTACATTGCGTCGAAGACCGAATTATCAGATGCAAAAATGTCTGGGTCTGGAAGGATGCAAGGTTTGTCATGCAACTCATCGAACACAAAAATGGTCTGGAATGCACCCAGAAGCGTCACAAATTGCGCAAGAGTTTTTTGATGCCTAGTTCGCATGAGAAATTGGCCCTTTGCGTGGCAAGAATTGGGTAGCGTTTGCCATTCATGCAACCCAGATTTTTGTGCGTTTCGGATTTAGCATGACAAGTTGCTCTCTTCCAGACCCAGACATATTTGCAATGCATACGAATCATCCGACGATGTCTCGGCGCGGTCCAACACCGATTTCCGATGCAATTTCGCTTCCTCCTGGTCGGCGGCATTGGCTGCGCGGAGAAAGTCGGCGGAGTACTCCGCATAATCCGCAGTGGAAAGTTCACCACCTGGTGCTGTGTTGTCGCTGAGAACTACCTCTTGCTCGCCATAACCCGACGCAATTTTCTTGGCTTTTTTCTTGGCTTTTTTCAGCAAGAAACCCATCACCTCCTCCACCGTTTCGGTGCCCCCGAAGCCCCAGCGGTGCCACGCCTGCTCATCCTCGGGAAGGGTGGGGGGAGGGATATTGATATTGTTGTTGGCACTCACCTTGTTGTCCCGCGCAGGTGGTTCACTAGATTTTCTGGGCAGAGAAGTTGTTGTAGTCCTCCTCGCGCTCGCGAGGATCTTTGCCAATTCTTGTGCGTACAGTGGCGAGAAGTTGTTGGCTAAAAGTTGCGCTCGCGCAAACTCTTCCGTGGCCACAACTCCCTTCTGCCCGGCTTTGGCGCCGACTTGCCTGCGGTTCCTCTTCACCTTCAACCGTTTCTTCAAAAACGCCTGCATCTTCCACGGGTCCCGCACCTTCCCAGGCTCGCGGCGGTCTTGCATCTTCATTTGTTTCAAAACCAGCTGGTCTTGCTCCGCTTCGGCCGCCGGCAAGTCGTCCACCGAAGCCTGCAGTAGTCTCCCGGGCTCCACAATGTGCCGCGACAACTTTTTCGCGTAGCTGCGAGTAAACCCGACCGCGACAGCCACCTGCTCCACTTCCCCGAACTCCGGCACGAGGCTCTCCGCCACCACGGTGAGCTTCATGCGGCTAGTACTCTCCTTGTTGTTCTCGTCAGCAGTACGCCCGGTGAACCACGAGCTCAACCGGTCGAAGAAGTTTTCCTGTTCCTCCGCCGGGGCGGCCTCCCGGCGCTCCTTGGCCCTCCGCCACTTCAGCAGCTATCAAATGCAAATATGTTGTCTGGGTCTGGAAACTTGTGATGCAAGAAAGGAAACAGAGAGCAGACTCTGATGCGCTGCCGCGCATGGCAAAATTTTCCGTGGTTCTGAGTTGCGTACTCCGCATGAGAAACTGCGTTTTTGCATGACAGGCACGAGGAGCTCTTTGGCTTTGCGGCCACGCAATACAAAGTTCAGGGTCATGCTGGACTAGCATGACAAATCTCGCAAGCTCCCAGACCCAAACATATTTGCAACTCATAGCAGCCCGTTGCGCACGACGGCCAGGGTCTGCGCCGAGCCCGCGAACCCCCGCCTGCGCAACAGCTCCTTGTCGATGTCCGCAGTGTCTTCGGTGACGACCGACTTGGCCGGATCCGCCGCGGGGTCCACCAGTTCCTCCGCCAGGTGGTGCGAAAACCCCGGGGTGAAGCCGGTGAGAACGAGCGCGCTTTCCACCGCCCCAACCACGCTGGGGCGCGGGGGGAGGGATGCCGCGTAGTCGTAGAGCAGGTTCTGGTCCTTCATTTTCGCCTGTCGGAACTGCTTTTCCATGAAGTCCGCCAGCAATTCCTCCTGCTCCTCGTCGTCCAAGGTTTCCTGACTCGTGGGCATCACCATCACCCCGTCGTCATCCGCGCCAAAGCCTTCCCCCTTGCCGCTGGCCATCACGGCGGGGAGGACCTTGTAACTAAGAACCTTGTTCGTCCCATCATCCTCCTGCTCGTCCCCGGGTGGATGGTCTTGATTTGTTAGCCTACCCGTTCCGCTCGATGGTGGCAGAGCTGCACCTGTCGTGTTTAATATCACTTGTTCCTCCTTTATGCCCTCCTCGTCCTCGTCCACCCATCCGGTGGGCCGATCCGGGGGAATCAGGTTGATCCTCATGGTCTTTTCCTGGGATTCGTGCGAGGGGGGCTCTGGGAAGGCGGTGCTGGAGGGCCGGTTGGGTTGCTGCCGCTTGGCCGACACCAGGCACCCGCGCAGCTCCGCCACACACTCAATCCCGCCGAACTGGCCCAACTCGAACAACGCGTCCTTGTCGTCCTCCGTGGGCGGCGGCGCCATTTTGGTCGTGAGACCGGTTTTGGGTTTCACCATGCGGTCGCCGAGCTGCGCGGCCAGCGCGGTGGCGTAACTCGGCTGCAACCCGGCGCGTTTCAGCTTCAGCTCGAACACGCGTGGTCCGGGGTACTTGGGCGCACAGCTCCCCTTCAATTTCCAGCCCCGCTTCTGCTTGAACCGCGGCCCGAAAAACTTCTATCAAATGCAAATATGTCTGGGTCTGAAAGAATGAAACATCTGTCATGCCTGTCTGGCATGACGGAAGAGTTTGTGATGCGTGTCCAAGAAGACAGAGAGAGAGATCCTTGATGCTCTTGTCATGACAATAAAACGCAGGCTGTATTGCGGAAAGCGCAACACTAAACCGCGCAAATATTTCTCGTGCTTGGCTGTGCATTAGAGAGCATTTACTATTCGCGACTATGCATTACAAGTTTCCAGACCCAGACACATTTGCAATCCATAATTTCACGGCCTCCGCCACGCTCTCGAAGCCGCCAAACTTCACCCGCTGCATGGCGGCGAGGTCTTCCACCTTTTGTGGCGCGGGCAACGGGTTCAGTTCGAGCAGATCTCCCTTCTTGTCGTACTTGGCGAGCGCCTGCGCGAACTGGCGCGCGTAGCCCTCGCTGAAGCCGGAGGCGATACCCACCTCGAACGCTTCATCCTCCGAGGGCGCATGCTTGGAGGACTTGACCTTCACCTTCTTGTTCCCGGGTAAGAGCAGCCCGTTCATGCTTCCCACAGCTGCGGCGGAACCCCCTTGGTCTCTTTTACCTCGGTTCCGCGCGTGGTAAAACAATCCGACGGCCAACCCGAAGGCGAGCAGGCACGCCACACAGATCAGCACGCAGGCGAACGCACTGCACGGCAGGCACCAATCATCTTCCGGCGGCGCGGCAGTTGTGGAGGTTGTATTGGTGGAATCGTACACGTTCTCCACACCTTCCGGAGTGCCATAGGTTAAGAGACCGGTTGTGTTCTTCGAGTCGTTCATCGCCATTCCCGCGAGCGCGACGCTCCGCGTAGTGCTGGTCGTGGAGGTCGTGCTAGTCGTACTATTCTCCGCGGCTTTTGTGGTCATGCCATCCAGTAAATCTGGGTCCGTCCGCCCGCGGTTCAGCTCTACTGCCGTTGTCGAAGAAGTAGTCGTCGTCGTATTCATATCAACTTTCGCCGTCGTTGTGGTGTTTGTCGGTGGGGTCCCACCAGGTTGCGACGACGGCGCCAGGGAGGAAGCGGGGGCTGGGCTGGTGGTGGGTGGTACAACAGCTTCTGTCAAGGTAGTTGTAGTAGAAGTTGTAGTACTGCTTGTTGTAGTCGTTGTCGACGTGCTAGTAGAAGTCGTCGTTGAAGTAGAGACCACTTCTGTTGTGGTCGTTGGCGCTTTCGTCGTAGTTGGCGCTTTCGTGGTAGTTGGGACCTCGGTTGTCGTGGTCGTTGTGGTTGTCGTGCTAGATGTTGTGGTCGTAGTTGAGGTCGTAGTTGAGGTCGTAGTTGAGGTTGTAGTTGAGGTCGTAGTTGAGGTCGTAGTTGTGGTCGTAGTTGTGGTCGTAGTTGTGGTCGTAGTTGTGGTCGTAGTTGTGGTCGTAGTTGTCGACGTAGTAGTCGTTGTAGTCGTCGATGTTGTAGTTGTCGTGGATGTTGTTGTCGTTGACGTGGTCGTCGACGTCGTAGTTGACGTCGTAGTTGACGTCGTAGTTGACGTCGTAGTTGATGTTGTCGTCGACGTTGTCGTCGACGTTGTCGTTGAGGTTGTTGTTCTTCTCAGGTCCGTCTTGTCTCCGAAGCAGCACGTTTCCGCGCACTCCCAGGCATTGTACACGCCTTGCGCCCCTTTATTACATCGAACGATCGGCGGATCCTTATCCAAGCTCCAGGCGTGCGCGTGGATGCCCTGCGCGTGGACGCAACCCCCGTGTCGCCACCGGGCCGTGAAAAAGAGCGGTGTGTCCGGCTCGTTGTCGGGTTCAAATTGGTTGTATTCCGCCTGCGATACCTCGACCCAATCGCCCTTCGTCCCTTCGGACAACCGCTCAAATTTCTTGAACTTGTTTTCGAACCGCTTTTCGACCACCTCGTCGTCGCTCAACGGGTTCGCATCCCACCATTCCTGAAATTTTTTAAATTCGATAACGAAATATACATGTGCATGTTAATTTGGATACGTTCAGTGTGAATTTGCTCGTGTTCTTGTTCATCATCATCTTCGCACCTTATCATTGATGTGTTCAGAGCTCCACCGCTGGCAGCTTCTACTACGTGATGATCTCCACTAACCCTAGAGGTTGAAGTAGAAGTACATTTTTCAGACTGAACGACCATAGTTGTAAACCGCCTGCTAGATCTTCTTCTCTTCTTCTTCTTCAGCCATCACTCAACTTCAACAAGAGCCAAAAAATGCTGCAACTACAATCATGATTTTCATCTACTTTACCCTCCGAATACAACAACATGGATGAAGTAGTTGCAGTATCCAATACCGCTGGCTGCAGGGCCGCCCTTGATTGGTCCCACAGGTCCCACGTGCGGTGATCTCTATCTGCTGCGAAGGACACATGCGAACCGCTGCAGTCCATCCCTTCGTCAAGGTCCTGCGCGGCAGCCAAACGGAGGGGCGAATTCGCGAAGAAGTCCGCGACATACATACCACCCCGGCACAGCGGGCTGAAACACTTTTCCTCTGACTCGTCGCAAGGGTCGTTGCTGATTGTACTAGTACTCCTCGTGAACCCAGCCCAGTACTCGTCAGGGTCTATGGTGCGAGGGGATAGCGCGGCCCAGTTCTCGAGAGTTTGGTGGACAAAGTACATGCAGACGCCCCCACTGCTGCTGCTCGCACCAGCCGCTTGCTGTTCTTGTTGTACTATCCTCTTATTCGTGCTGGTGCTGGCGGTCCCTACATGTACATGTGCACTTGTTTTTTCACTTCTAGTTCCTTCTGCTGCTGTCTGCTGTGACGTCTGCTCCTTTCTCGATAGTGTTCTTCTTGTCCTCCCGGCACGGCCCACGGTTTCCCGAATACTAGACCGGGTGATGTCAATGAAAGAAGTTCTTGTGGCCGCCACCGGCTCGGGTGGCAATGCAGCAGTCGTGCCTTGTTTTTTTCTCGACAGTACTTTTGTCTTGAAAATTTTTCTGGCCTTGCTGGATTTGCTCTTGCCGGGATCATTTCTGTTGTTGTTCGCCCTTTGTAGTTCTACCAGAGGGGAGGTATTTCTACTTCCATTGTTCCTCGTCTTGACCACCAGCGAAACGGCATCCACAACATCTGTAGTTGAGAGGAAGTAAAATATAAATAACCCGACTGCCGTAGTACTAGACGGAGCTGCCAGAAGGCCGCGGGAATAAACACCGATCGTGCTCCAGGCGAAGTGCGTCAACATAACTAAAACTTGCACCCCGGAGAAGGGGAACATCAACATTCTTCGTCGTGCTGACAAGGAGCGCCAGCCGCTCCCTGGTTGGGTATTCTGGTTCTCGTACATACCGACCGATCTTGCAGTTGTCTCTAGCAGGGGGCTTGATGTAAGTAGCTTCGCACGTCAGTGCTGCACGGGCTTCGGCTTGCCAGTTTGTTTACTTACGCCTTGAAGTTGCATCCGTGCAGCATGAGCATGACAACTTACATGAAGAATGACGAGTCCATCGCATGTTGATGTTCATCGGTGAAACTGAATGAGAACGACATAGCAGGTGCAACTTACTTTGGTTACCAGACTTTCATGTTCATGGGGGGAAATCTCTTTACAAATCTAAAAACAAAACATTATGTCGTGTCCGATTCGTGGTTGGGGGAGAATAAACAAGTACTGTCCACAAATACAAAGAAGACAATGAGGCTCTTGCAAATGTAATGGTGCAATGCTTAGACTAGACACGACAAAAGTTTTTACGCCTGCGCCTGCCGTGGTGCACAATGCGGATCGGACGAAGACGTAAATCGGACGAAGCAGGCTACGACACAGCAAGTTGTACGAAAGCAGATTGTACGAAAACTGTTTCAACAAACGAAACGATGGGTCTTGCGCAAAGGCAAAGCAAATAGACGCAAATTATATATGTACGAAAACGAAAAGATGATGACGACAGAGATGAACCACGAAAACCGACAGAAAGACACTGAGGGAATAATCATCAAACTGCTGAAAGCTGAAGAACTTTATTGTACCACGAAGAACGAGGTCGTTGAGATGAAGCTCTTTCCTATTAACACGCATCTTTTGCATCTGCACGTCTGGTGCAGATGCGCACCGATGTCTTTGTCTACAACCGAAATTGAGCATGCAACAACAAGTCGAGAAATTCTACTACCTCACACAAACTACGACGTTCACTTTACTTCAGCATGGATCATGTTCTTGTGCTGTTCTATTTTCAACTACAATTCTCAGCGTGAACAAGTGAAGCTGGATGGATTTGAGGAGTTGTAGTGTCAGTGCGTGCAATATTCATAATCTATTGATATTGTACTTCGCGGGCGAGAAAATAGATTCTTCTTCTCTTACTTCTCAGACAATGTAGTTCTTGACCGCCCACAACACGACTACCAGGAAAAGGAGCAAAAATGATCATGCGTTACTGATTTAATACAGGGTGTAAGAAATTCTTAAAACTAGAAGAAGATCAAGAACTGTGCGACGCCGTGTTTGGGCTTTCATCCTTAAAGCTGTGCGCTTCTCTTATTTCGTCAGAAAGCGCGCGGGCGCCACCTCCTCACGGCCAAATAATTGACTCATATTCATTGATGAAGTTGACCCACAACCTCAAGTAGCGGAAGCTGCGAAACATAAAGAACATTACATTTGCAACAAGAGCCCCTCCCTTTGATAAAATTGAAAAGTTAGGAGCTTTAAATTTAAATGAGCCTGTCAACCTCACGATACAAAGATAGAACGTGGAGCTGGACCGACGAACAAAATGAAAAGAAATATACTGCGACTACATACATTCATGAGGACATGGTTGATGCAAAAATCAGTTTTATTCTTGTCATCCCCGCACCTTGACGTTTACCGTGACACCGTTTTTGTGGCCCCCGCCGGCGGCCCTCTTCATCACCATCTTTTTGTTGATCTTCCCTCCACGGCTGTTCACAGCTTGCATCATTTTCATGGGTTGATTCTTCATTTTCGGTGGGGCAGTGGCTGTCATCTTCCTCTTCAGGTTGGCCGGCTTAGTTTTTTTCGCACCAACGTTTTTGATGTTAGCCTGCATCATTTTGTTCTTAACCATCTTCATCGCCGAAAGTTGTGCAGATTTCTTCATACCCACAGGAGTTGCTGCCGTCCTCATCTTCTGCATGGGCTTCTTGGTACTAGTTTTTGGTCGTATAGCTTTCATTTTCTTCATCGCAGCGGCCTTCATCCTTTTCGCAGCAGCACCGCTTCTAGCCCGCGACGAGCTCCCGCTTGCAGCACTCGCCACGCGGCCCCCTCCTGTGGAAAGAATTTTCACCGCCACTGAGGCAGAGGGCTTAGTAGTTTTTGGCAGCTTTCTCCCCCCAGCAGTTTTGTTTTTGTTCCCTTTCTTGACCTCCTTTTTCAAATCAGCAATCTCCTTTATCGCAAGAAAAAACTGTTTCACTGTGAACTTGTGATGCAGAGAATGGAGCACAGAATGATTTGTCTTGCTGCACCTGCAAGACGTTGGATTTTTTAGCGTGTTTTCACTTGGGAAGTGAGCATGGCAAATTTTCTGTGTCATGTGTAACAAACTTGTGATGCAGATCTTGCAAGATCATCACAGTGAAACAGTTTTTTCGTGGAATATCCTTCTTCAGATCTGCGATCTCGGAACCGCTCGAGGGATTATAGTTGTCAGGGGCGGCGTTGTATCAACTGTAAAGATGTCTGGGTCTGGAAGAATGCAACTTGTGATGCTGAATTTGGATTCCAAAAAAATCTGTATTGCATGAGCAGCAAAGGGAATGCAATTTTTGCTACGCGGAGAGGGCATTTGTCATGCGGTATACGCACCAGAAAGCCCTCAAAAAATCTGTGATGCTAGGCCATGCATCACAGACATCAGGAGTCATGGAAAATGTGCATGACAAACCTGGCAATCTTCCAGACCCAGACATTTTTACATTTGATACGTTGTACACATTCTTTGTAAGGTGAAAGCTCACCGCCGCGCCGCTCTTTAACGCTTTCCGGAGGGGTGAGTTGTAGTGCTGGACCACCGCCGGGTTGAGAATGTTTATGGAGGTGTCAGGATCGAAATCGACAAAATCGAAAGGATTTGTCATGCATAAAACGGATTCCAGTTCGAGCCCAGTTTCTAAGTGGCGCATGACAAATTCTGGTGGTGCCTAAATCCAGTTTGTAATGCTGTTTAGGCAAAGAAGACTGGCTCTCTCATGTTGCTTTAGCAGCTCGAACCATAACCCCAAACAGGCTTACAGTCAGCCTCACTTGCCTGCTCTGCAACACACGTACTTCGCGTCATGCATTTTATGCATCACAAATTTTTCGATTTTGTCGATTTCGATTCTGACAGTTCCATAATGTTATCGAACCGGTTATTGATGGAATACAGGTCGCCCTTGGGCCCACCTGCGGGCAGCAGTGCCAGATGAGTACTCGTCGACGAACCCTTAATATTTTTTTCATTCTCGTAGACAACGTTGTCCAGTTTCAACTTTTTCAAAATCGCCGGCGATGGCAATCCATCGCTGACTCCGCCCTTCTTCAGCGGCTTCTTGTAGTGCAGCACTGGCAAATCGCCGGAGGAGGAACTCGTAGTACGTTTTTGGATCATAGATGAAGCGGCAGGAGGGCTGGCGTTGTTCTCTTTCTGCATGTTCTCCTTGTACTCTTTCGAATGCTATGGCGTTCCCAAACGTTACACTCTCAACTGTTACACGATTTGCCATGCAGAACTACAATCAGACACGAACACGATCAAGCTGCTTCGCATGACAAATTCACTGAGGGCCAAACAGGATTAGAATATGTGCCAGATCTGTCATGCACGACGCGCAAGGTCACCCTGTTCATTTTTTCTTTTTCCAGTCTTGCATGATCACAAATTCATGCAACAGTTAAGATTGAGAATGTAACAGTTGAGAACGCCATAAATGCCACGTGTAGTTTTTGATTTTGTAGAAATGGTCACTGTTTCCTCGGCTCGTCGCACTGGACGGTAACGGATAATCATTGTTGTTGTAGCTGCCATTTTTCTTACTCATGACTCCACTTGTTCCTGCAGCTCCTGTCGCGTATTTGATGTGAGAAGAGCTGGCTGAGGTCCCGCTCGCGCCGTAGTTGTTGCCAGTGCTACCACCTCCTCCATTTATTTTCGCAGTATGTTCTCCACCACCCACGACCTTTGGTGAACGTGAAGCAGACGAAGTTGTGATGGCCTTCGCGTATGCTGTGGGATTGTGGATCCGGTAGCCGTTCTTGGTGTACAATGTTGGGGTTACGCCGCTTGGCACCGCGGCCAGATACCGCTCCGGGTTGGAAATCCGTTCACCTCGCGAAGTGTACATGTTGGTACAACTGTGTTAAGCAGCAGAGTTGGACTCAAGAAGTAGACGATGGGAAGATTTTGGCAACAAATGAGAATTATGTATGCGCGAAGTGAAAACGAAAAGTGCTAGAGCAGAGACAAAATTTCGGCAGCAACTGCTAGTAAAAAAGAAGTAAGTACTTCTACCAGCAGTACGAGTTCGGAATCTCCTTTAAAATAAAACGGGAGGACCTATACTGATACATGATCTCACACACCGTAGGCCTGAGGGAAGCAGAGTGGCACAAAGACAGAATGGACACGGAGTACATGTACAACTATCGATCTTATGACGTCGCGTCACACCTCCACGCGCGATAACGATATTAATAAGATCAACTACATGACAATGCTATTCTCGTCAAACACAACCGACTCTTTTTTGACTCTGATACGAATCGTCCGGTTGATATTGACAAATCAATACCGAGACCACCTGACTTTTTTCGATTTCAAGAATAAACCTTTACAAACCGAATCAGTCACATCAAATACGATGCAAAAAAGTTTATGCATAGGTGTAGTTCCGAACCGGAATAAATAGCTGCGCCGAAAAAAAAAAAACCGAAGGAGGACCGCTCGTCCACAATAAATGTCTCGGAAACTACTAACTACTGTATCCGTTTTAGATCTAGTGGATACTGAGGTAGTTGTACTAGTAGACAGCTGAACAAGATCAAGAACATAAATCATAAATGCAAGTGCAAACTATGTTCGTAGCATTGACGCTGGTAACTATCAGTTGCTGGTACAGAACCTCCTTCAATACTGCTTTCTTGAAGATCTTCCACCGGTTTGTTCTCGATAACGCGGTCGCCACAACGTTGCAGCGTACATCATACAGACCAAGTAGCAAAACTATGGCTCTTCACAATTAATGCGTCCTTTTTCGATGTTGAAACTTCAGGGTACACATTCCCGTTGTGCTATCCTGACAGAGCCTCTCCTCCTTCTTGGCCACCAGTCCGCCGGGGCCCTTCTATCAAATGTAAAAATGTCTGGGTCTGGAAGAAAGCAATGCGTCATGCTAAATTATCTGAAGCATGCAAAAATCTGTGTTGCATGATTACCAAATAAAGTCGCCCAGTTTTGACCAAGTCGCGAGGGAGTTTCTTATGCAGGATAGGCATGAGAGAGATCGCACAGAATCTGTCATGCTAGGCACTGCATTCCAGACCTCATGGGTCATGGAAAAGCTGCATGCCAAATCGCGCATTCTTCCAGACCCAGACATTTTTGCATTTGATACCTTCTCTGCCCGCACAAAATCGCTGTTCGTCGGCACTCGGATGCCTTCCCTATGGAACTCTCAATTGTTACATTCTCAACATGAATTTGTAATGGAAGAATGGGAAAAGTGAAAGAGGCGAGGTTGCACCCGTAGCATTCCAAATCCCGCACAGATTTAATTGCTGCTTAGCCCTTCGGGAATTTGTCATGCGAAGTTGCTGCGCCGTGTGGATGTTGGTGCTGGTTTTGCATGACAAATCATGCAACAGTTGAGAATGTAACAGTTTAGAACGCCATATTCCCGCCGCACGGCTTCGAAGGCCTCGAACACGGTAGTATTGCTGGGGAGAAGGTGGTAGGAGTAAAGCGCTGAAGGAGCTGCTGATGATATTCCCTGCTTGGTACTTCTATCAAGGGTTTGTCTTTGTGCAGAAGTTTCAGTCTCATCGATCTTCTCGATCCCTTGTGTAGAAGTCGTCTTATTCGGCTGCATTATCCCCCGCTCAGGTGGGCGGAAGAAAATCTTGGACTTCTCGATGTTTTTCCTCGTCGCCCCAGCAAGGTCAAAGAACGCCGGCGCGGGGTCGGGGAGGACAGGTCGTTTACAATTATTAGAGGGCGACCTTCTAGCTGCCGGGGAAGTACTAGAATCTTCCTCAGCCCGATGAGCTGCAGCCGCTTCTTGAACAACGGTGGCTCCTCCTCCCCTCTCGTGGGCTCCTTCCGACGGCCAGGTTTTTGCCAAAACCAGCCGCAACACGATTGCGGCTGCGGCCACAAAGCTGGCCTTTACCGCCGTCTTCGTGTTAACCCGAGCCTTTCCCTATGCAGTGCAAAAGCATCGCACCATTGCAATTATGCATTTACAAATCTAGTTGCCGAGCCTGAGGTAAACCCGCTCCCGTATTAGAAATTCATATTTGTAAAGCGAGCCTGAGCCAATTTGCATTGCATATATTAGTACAAGCATTTTAACTAGAACGATATATGCTTTTGCACTTCATATTCCCGAAATCGGAATGATTTGGTTCCCGCTGTACTCGGGAAACTTTTTTCGGATCACTTCCAGTCGGTCCTGCAGCACTTCCGCGCTCTCGAGCAGGTCCACCTTGTTGCAAACCAGCACCATGGGAAACCGATGGTGTACGAAGAAGTGGACAAAGTGCATCAAGTCCTCTTCTTGGTAGTCGGCGAAGTTGAGCAGCTCTACTGCTGGGGACGCGGTTGTTGATGGTGGAGGACCACGACCCGTCGCCCAGGCGATCCACAAATTGCGGACGTAATCCGGCGTGCAGTGGTACCCAGTGAAGAGCGCCACGAAACGGTCCAGTGCGGGCGAGTTCAGACTGTCAGATTTAGACGACACGCCGCGCGCGCCGTGGTCGTGCTGCCCGACTAACGCGTACTTGTAAACTATCGTACGAAAAAAGTGTTTCACTGTAAGGATTTTGCAGGTTTTGCATCACAAGTTTGTTGTACATGACAGAAAACATTTGCCATGCAAGGTTCCTAAGGGAAAACACAGCTAAACATCCACTGTCTATGCATGTGTAGCAAGACAAACACTTGTGAGATACATTTTCTGCATTACAAGTTTACAGTGAAACAGTTTTTTCTGGCGATATAAACGCCGTGCCACTTTGCCTTTACGTTCGTGAAAATCCAAGCGAAAATTTCCTCCCGGATGAATTGAATGTCGTGCAGGACCGTGGATACTATGAACTGCAAAAGCATCGCAATTCTCGTAGTAATTGCTGTTATAATGCATGACAAATCTCTTTCCTAAGCGAAAACAGCATTACAAATTCATTTGTAATGCTGAGATAATTTGTAATGCGATTTATACTATTGGAAGTACGATACTGTTGCAGTTCATAGATACCTCCTCGTCCCCATTCGTGTTGCTCACCTCCCCACAAGCGTCCAGCCGCCCGTATCAAATGCAAAAGATATGTCTGGGTCCGGATAGATGCAAGGTTTGTCATGCACATTTCGCATGACTCCTAATGTCTGTGATGCATGCCCAAGCATCACAGATTTTATGTGGGCTTCTTGATGTTGCCTATACCGCATCAGAAATGCCCTGTCCCCATGGCAAAAACTGGACCTCTTTTGCTATTCATGACGCAATACAGATTTCTTGTAGAATCCAAATCCAGCATGACAAACACAAGTTGCATCCTTCCAGACCCAGACATATCTGCAGTTCATAGCCCGCTGATGTCCACGATGTGGGCCAACGCGTCCGCCCGAAGCAGGTCGTTTAAAAAAGCGTTCCCACGTCCCTTGCCCTGGTATGCGCCCGGGACCAGGCCGGCGACGTCCTTCACGAGGAAGGGAATTTTGTGCTCGCTGGTCGTGGAAGTTGTAGGTGGATGAGGCTGTTGTTGGTGATGAAACGCGCTGCTGCTTGTGCTGCTGCTGATGTTCTTGTCATGATCCGTATTTATTTTCATCTGGTCTACAACTCCTTCGTCATGAATACGAAGCCACGCTTCCCCGATGTTGGGCTCGATCGTGGTGAAGGGGTGTGAAGCAACTGCGGCTCTCTTGGAATGACCTTGCTTTGACATTTTCGTTGGGTCTTGTTCGCTGTCCGTTCTCGAGCTTGCTGAGCCTTCAACGTCTACTAGGTCTACAACTTCCCTTTCGTGGTCACAAACCAGCGCGTTAAAGAAGGTCGACTTCCCTGCCGACGGTTTTCCCACCAGCCCGAGCACAAACTCGAATATCCTACCTCGACGCCCGTTCCCGCGCTCGCCGGATACTATGTGGGTGCTGGTGCTGGAGCAGGTAGTTCGCGGAGACGAGTTTCTATTAAGGATGTGCGTGGCCAAAAACTCAGCGTAGCTTCTCCGCATCATGTCCAAATTGATGCACAGCTCGTCGTCGTTCACACCGCCCTCCTGCTCCCACCACTTCGTTGAAGGTTCTTTAGCTTTGCTCGCCTCCGTGCGTCGTGTTTGCGCACCAGCATCTTTTTGTGTTTGATGTTGTTCTTCACCCTGAAGTTGACGCTGCGATGTTGTTATGCATTGGAATTGCACAATATAGTCGTACTTTTACGTTTACGTAGTGTACTTCTACGAAGTAGAAGTAGTACAAATAATCAAGCGAATTTGTGAACAATTTTATAAGCATCAAATTTTTTGTCATTGTGGTAGGTACTGTTTGGGACGAACAAGAAAGCAAGTTTTTTTGTCATGCATTTGAGCAATCGATAAAACTTAGTACGCTTTTACGACTATAGCCTCCAAACTCGACGATACTAGTAGTTGTTGCGGCCAGCACACCAGCACTGACCGCTTTGACCGCAGAGTTTTCTTCCAGCAGAACCCGCTCCCAGTCTGCTGCCGCTAGCCCCAAGGAGACGCCGTACCCGACCTCCAAAACCGGTCCGGTCGCGCCGTCTTCAACCTCGTTCAATAAATCCCCATCCGCAGCCAGCACGTCTTCGAGCTCCGGGAGCCGCGCCTCCAAAAGGAAGTTGTGCGTGATCATGCGCTGCAGCAGGGGACAGGCGGGCGCAGGAGGACGAGCTCTCGAATTATAAATCGCAGAAGCCGCAGCATTTTTACAATTGTCTGGTGGCACGTAATCTAGATCTAGATCTCCTTCCGCATTCGCGAACCCGGGGGGATACCACATCTCCAGTGCAAAATTTTCGCCGCAGGGAATCTCGATTATCCACGGCAGACGAGGATCTTCTTCATCGCACTCCTTGTTGTTCTGGTCTTGGTGGTCCTTCTTGATGTCCATGTCAGTGTCGAAGGTCGCTTCGAGCAACTCCTTCTCTAGTGCCAGGTTTTCGAGCCACGTCTGCAGGACGGACATTTGTTTCATTTCGCGACAAAGCTCCGCTTGCTTCTCGGTTGTTGTAGTACTGACAGGATTTTTTTTACTAGTACAACTATCCGTGATGTGCGGCGCTCCTTTCGCTGTGTCTTCGACTTGTTCCATCTTCAAAAACGACAAGTCCTCTTTTGTGATCAACAGCTGTCGTCTTCTCCCCGTTGTCGTTGTTGGAGTTGAAGTTGCAGTCATCTTCCTGGAGGTGGAGAGGAAAACCTCCTTCTCAACGTGCCCCAATGGCACGTGGTGACCTCCAGGATGCAGAACCGTAACGTGCTCCAGCTCCTCCTGTCGTTTAACTGCCGCGATATTCTTGTCTGGTGCGCAGTTCTCGCCGTGGTCCTTGTTCATCATCTCGCTGGCGCCATTTGATGTTCCACCTTCTATCCCAGATTCTCGTTCGACTCCATGATCCCCTGGTTCTTTTTCTTTATGAGAGTGCATAAATTAAGAATTTGAATTCCCATTCACCCTGTTCCCCCTCATAAATTCGCATGAGAAATTATGCCAAGAGGTCCACCCTCTGCGGCCTCTTGAGGCACCGATTGTGATTGCATGTGGACAGATGTTGTGGTCAACGTTGTCATCATGATGCAGTAAATAATCGCTGCATCTTTCCCAGCTCTTGTGTTGCTGCCGGAGGTATACCAACATCCAAATGAAGGAGAGAGAAAGGGAGTCGTTTTTGATGTGCAGCACTCTCATATACATCTACTAGTTGTAATTCGTGCACCCCTCGCCAGAACCCGGACCCGGAGTCACTACTTGCGGACGTGCGGTCACAGCTCCTACCGGGAAGCAAGTACTGAGAGGAAAAATCCCCCCTCCCCATATCGAAAAGGTATGTTTCCGGAAATTTGTGATGCAGATTTGTGACCACAAATCCTGTCTGTCTTGCGAGAAGGCAAGTCGGGGCTCTCTGCCACTCTATGCAGGGGGTTTGTAATGCTGTAAGGACTACAGGATAGCCGTCTACCATGCTAGGCGCCTACACCAAAAGGCCCTTAACTAGACTGGCGATCTGCGTGCAGTCCTCTACTGCAAGACAAATCTGATCTGTGTACGCAGATCCAGCAGCAGAGATTTCATTTTCGATATGGGGAGGGGGGATTTTTCCTTTCGATAGCAAGCGCCGGCTCATCAAAGGCGTCACCAGTTTGTCCCGCGCGCCGATGAAGTGAAAAACCGTGGTGAGGGTGCTGGGAATAATTCTTCCGGACGAGATGAGGCTCTTTCTTGCAGCCATCAATTCGTTCTCTTTCTTTACCTTGTTTTCATCATCCACCGCCAGCGCCACCCCAGCGACGCCAGATGAAGTGCTTGTAGACTTAGGAGACCCAGCAGAACGCTCCCGCGGCCCGTGATACGGGTTATACCCCCCGCAAATCACGGCGAATTTCAAAAGGGGGCAAAACTCCTGGTGCCTCCTGGCAACCAATGCCGCCAGGGCAGCGCCCTGGCTGAAACCCAAGACGCCATCGAAGGGGCCGTGTGTGAGCCAGTAGCGGTAGACCTTTTTCAACGCCGGGAGAAAGGCTTCTGGTGGCGTAGTTTGATCGTACTTCATATCTTTAGAAGTACTTCCATGTTGTCCGTCGCTTGCATATAATTCTCGGGTCCGCGACGCCTCGCCGTCCGTTGTACACGGCACCCAAGACAGAGTGCCCTCGTCCACTCCGCTCGCGTCATCTACTTGTTCTGCTGCTTCAGAAGACCCGCCGCTTTGCTGAAGGTGGAGTTGTTGTTCTACTTTCCGCTCGCTACTAGTAGAAGTAGGAGCCGTTTTCCACTCGAAGTCGCCCTCCAGAAAAAAGAGGTCTGCGTGACGCTTCAAGGGCTTTATCCGTTCTTCAAAAATCGAGGCAGTTTGCCGGTTCCCGTGGAGGCAGAGGACGCGGGGGCGGCGTGCGGTGCTGCTCGGGGCCGCTCCGGTGTCGAGGGGGAAGCTGCTCATGATTTAATCTCAGGGTACTAGTAACTGTAGCGGAATTCAAGCCATATATATAATTTTCAGGGGGGATGCGCACCGGAAGTATTTGCGCTTCACGAGTCCACGACCGACACCGAGCCACTCGGTCGATCATAAGAGATCTTGATGATTTCAATCCCTGGCTCGGTCGATTTTTTTACAACTTACTATTCCGAAATGTAGTAGTAGTGGACTTCGGAGACCACCACATCTTGTTAATACCGGCATTGAAACAAAAGCGGCTTCTACTTCATCATGATTTTGGAGGTGGACAACAACTACTTCTACTTTAGATCAAAGCGCAATACATGGTTGATACCTCCTTGTTGATCAAAACTCAAGGGGCACTAGCCCTGGAAGAGACTTCCTCTGCGTCATGGATCTGACTTGGAAGACGTCGTCAGGATCTCGATCAGGGTGAGGACCATAGATTAGAGGTGTGCGATGGATCGATAGAGTTACTTATGCTGTAGCAGCATCTGAAGCTTCTTGCCCCCGTCCGGCTCCGGGCGGGAGCTGCTACTTTGATGCAGCTGTATTACCCGTGTAGTTCTCTAAGTATCTCGACTATGAAAATCGGAGGATGTGGATGATCGTTTTGTTGAAGATGTTGATCAGCAGGAACACGAAGACAAGTGTAGTGTCCTATGCTGACACCCTGTCCTACTCCTATGCGAGGACGTCAGAGGACCTGCTTGATATTTATTACAGCTGGTCGCAATGTTGAAGTTGATGTTCTTGCGCGTTACTTGTTGAAGAAATTGGGAAATTGGGTCGGCACGCGAGGTGGTTGTATGTACATTTCTTATTTCCCTGGAATTGTTCATGTTCTTCACCTTGTTGTCGTTGTCCTACAACTTGTTAGTTGCAGTATTAATTTCATAGAGCATTTGGATTTGCATTTATTTGTTCGTCGTGCTGCGTTCAATTGTGTCGCCGCATGAATGATTCTTGATGTACTTAGTCAGAAGATGTAATACTAACTGACTTTCTTTCGCTTTCCTGTCTGTGTGAGTTTTCTGTTTTGGAAATAGCGGACGTGGTACTGGTTGTAGCCTTAGGCTTAGCTGCAAGCGTCTACATAAATATGCTCCAGTGCGAAAGTCATGCGGTCCGTCTGGACGGTCTGGAATTATCTTTGAATCAAATGCTGCTTCTAGTAAGTCGAAGAGAGGAATGTGCTCTCGGTCGCGCTCACTCTGCTATGTTTGTTTTGGGAGGTCGAGGTGTTCTTGAAATAATCCTATACAATTTTATAAAACCTACGAAAAGGTGAAACAGAAACGTTTTTTCTTTTGGTTTATTTGCGTTGTATCATACAGAATGCGTATATTTGTACCAGTGAATTCTTGTGTTCTTAGGTGGGTTTGATGTCGAAAACAACTTGAATTTCGCAGCAGAAGTTAAATGCTTTATGTTCATTTATGCAAGTACCAGCCGTGGGGAAAACCATGCCTCGCTCCTTCAGAGCTCACCGGCCGCAAGCGGCAAACTTTGGAGCCGGCAGTAAATCTATTTTCATCATGCATAGCAGCAAATTTTGCAGCGATAGCTGCGCCTCTTTCGCAATTGAATGCGATAGCGTGTATTTCTTGGTCTGAGTTTGAAAAGCGCTGGTTGGCCGGCGCATCGCGCTGAAGTGTAGCGTCTACAGATATAAAAAAGGCCAAATCAAAATCTACTGTAGGTTCCTGCAGTAGATATTATAGCGCATCCGAGTAAAAAGGCGAAAGCTTCTGTAGGCTCTCGCTCTACTGAAGTAGATTTTTTCATTTTACAGTAGGCGCCTTCAGTAGAAAATTTCTGCAGAAGGGTCTACTGCAGATTTTTGCGTTTTGGTTGGACATGGACGACTTATTTAGTCATTCTTCAGTAGAGTGGCCTTCAGAAGACTCAAAACCTTCAGAAGCGTTGTCCAAAAAACTTGACTTTTTGCCATTTTTGAAGCAAAGAGGTCGGCTTTTGTGGCAAATTTCTACAGTAGGTAAAGTAGTCGTTTTCAGTTTCTGAAGGTTGAAAACTTTCAGAAGAAATTTCTTGAGGCCACTTTTTTTTCTACCACTGAAGAAAAAAAAATGACTTTCTTCTGTAGGAGTAGGTCTCATCTACGTTCAACAGTAGATCGACTCCTAGCCCTACTGAAGATTTTTTCAAAATTAATTACTTTTTGCAAACAGCAGCGACATCTGCTTGAAGTGTTAAGCTTTTTTTGTGGGCCTGTTTTTTCAACCTTCAGAAGGTATCTGCTGCCTTCTGTAGACTCTTCTGTAGTAGAACAAGTCTTCCCCTAACTATATTGTACTTCAATTAAAATACTCTGTGCGTCATCTGCGTGCGTATTCATTTATTACATGCTTTTTTAGTATAAGTAAACTTTAACTTTCACCTTTATTTAGACTCTTTTTGCAACAAATCCTATTCGGTCTACCAGATCTGTTTTTCTCAAGAAAGAGCTCAAAATGGCGACTCAAAGGCACGACTCTGACGCCCGGGCTCGGGAAGTGGGCCGTCGGTAGGTTGCTTACCATTCGCGAAATAAGTCTTAGTCCGCGTTTTTTTTTGTTTTTCTCACGGAACATCAAAATAATGGGCGTGTTTTTTCGCTTGCTGCTTATTGTTGCTGGCCATCATCGTCGCGATTGGCTGACGAAGTCCTTCATCCGGAATCGTGGCGTAGTCTTCGTCGCTTCCCGTGCCTGCTCCTGGTTTTGCGGCCCGGGCGTGGGCCGGGGCGGGCTTCGTTTGATGATGATGTTGCTGGTGGTGGTCCTTCCCGTGATGAAACAGCGTGTCAAGAGCTTGTTGTACGTGGCGAGAAACTGAAACCGCATCCCCTCCCAGACTGCCGACGGCCCCGTTGATGGCCTCCGTTACCGCCTCCCCGACCTTGCCCTCGACCGCGTCTACCAACTTAGTGACCTTCGCTTGGATCCAATCTCGCACAGAAATTTTCGTCTTTCGCGACGTTTCATCGCCTGGAAGTGCCGGGGCACCATCTAGGTCTAGTAAGGCGTCCGGGCCTGCCATGGGAAAGACATTCAGGTGGAACAGCAGCACTAGCACCGGCGCAATTTCCACGCTGAAAAGCACGGGGAGGGGCGTTTCCCGGATGAAGGGAATCAGGGCCACCACCTGACTCAGCACTTTCCCCGCAGCGGTGGCCAACATGATCAACAGCCCCTCGACGGCGGAAGACGTGAGAAAAACCTTGATCGATTTCCACTATCCTGTGCAAAAATGTATGGGCCAGGAAGAGTGCGAGACTTGTAATGCAGGTTTTCCATGAAGACCCGTGAGGCCTGGAATGCAGGACCTAGCATGACACATTATGTGAGGTCTCTATCATGCCTCTGTCTGCTCCTGCATGGGAAACAAACTGCGTCTCAATTTGATGTTCAAAAGCGGACAGCTTTTGGTGATGCAATGCAACACAAATTTTGTCACCATCCAGATCTACCATGACAAGTTGCCCTATATTTCCAGACCCAGACATTATATTTGATATCGAAACCCCCGCAACGACGTTGTGGAGTGTGTCCTTTATTTCCGAAAGCCCGTTAGCGAATGCCGTCGCAAGCGTCGTCTTCGCCTCGAACAGCGACTCTTTCGCATCGGCTAGGAGATCCAAAACGTGCGACGCCTTTGCAGGTATCGAAAGAAGAACCTGTCTCGGTCTCAAACCTTTGCAGACTCAGCAGTACTAAACTTGCTGAGCATGACGCGGAAAACCTGTGACGCATCAGACACAGCAAGAAAAAACACATACGCAACACGACTCTCTTGTTGCATGTGGTCGAGCATCATGACAAAAAACTATCTCAAGGAGGAGGTTGCGCACTACAACAAGTTAAGGCTGAGACGAATTTTTCTCGCGATAATAGCAAGGCGTAGTCCCTCGCGCTGCTGCTGCTCCGCCAGCTGCACCAGCGCTGCACCGGGGGCGGTGGAGGCAGTTTTCGCAGGGGCTTCTAGGAGGTACGGACCCAAGCCCTGCTCTTCTTGGCTGTCATCACCTGTTCCGCGCTGCGCCCTCTGCTGCCCTGCATCTCGTGGTGAAGGCAGCGCGTAGCGAGGGAAGTTGTTCGGGCGCAACCGCATGTCGGTAGGGCCTGCTTTTTGCGTAAACGAGGTGGACGAGGCTCCTCTCCCTTCACTTTTTTTAGTTTTATGTGCAGCTGCATGATTTTGATGCCCTTGGCCTTGCTGGTGCTGGCCATGATTTTTTGAGTTTGTTTTCTCGTGGTGGCCCTTGAGATGGTCGATTTTTCCTTCCCCACCCGCGCTACCCTCTTTTTTGCTTTTCCACCCCTTCAGCACCTTATGCAGCAGGTCCGTCATTTTCTCGTCAAACCAAATACAAAGGCTAGCCCGGAGGCCCTCGAAAATCCCGGCGAAGTTCAGGCTCTCGAGGAGCTTGTTGGCAACGCCTTCGACAATGGGAACCAGCCCCGCAGCCAGCTTGTCGCGAATCGCCTCCGTCTGCAACATGCTCTCGGAGACCAACGAGAACACCAGCCGGGCCGGACCAAGGAGAGGTGGTGCGGCCAGCGTCGTGGCCGCCAGTCTCGCCAGCGGCGCCGCGATGCTGTCGGCCAGCACGCTCTTTAATCCTCCCAGATTGGTTTCTGCCAGATCGTACAACACGGCCCCGCCCGAGCGAAGCACAACCTCCTTCGCCTTGTCCTTCATTTTTTCCAACGCGCCGCCCATATGCGTCAACCCCTTGTGAAACACATCGGCTACATGTCCCAAAAAGGCGTCGTCCTGGTGCGAGGACTGGGCCAGGCGGAGGTGGCGTTTCTGCAGGAACGAGAAGCGGTCCTGCAAAGCGGCCGCTTTGGTTTGCTTGTAGTATTTCGGGGCCAGAAACTCGATCAGGCTCAGCTTTTTCGACTGCGTAGCGGGAACTTGCCGTCGCAGTTGTGGTAGCGCTGGGCTAGTAGTCGATGATATGGAGAACGACGCAGGGCTGCCTTCGTCGATTCGTTTGCCCTCCTGCGGCCCTTGATGCAAAAAGCGCTGCCAAGCGTCATTCGTGTCGAAAGAGCTTGCCGCCACAGGTTGCTGGCCGTCTGCATCTTCACCGGCCGCCAGTAGCCAAATCTTCTTTCCACGCTCTGCCATCGGCCGCGGATTGGAGTCTTGCTCTCGCTGCAGAGCGGACCATCCATAGGTCGATCGCTCGCTTCCGCTGCGCCAGCGACCAGAGGGGACCACATCCACATCATCCATCTCGATTTGATCTTCCCGGAATGGGACTTCTAATGCGCTTGATCCTGCTTGAGCTGGATGTTTGTCGAAGCCCGTGACCATCTCCGCGACAAGGCTGTCTTCCACCTCGTCGGCCTGCTTTTTTCCATCCTCCTGCTGCAGCGGGTTTCTTGGGTTGCCCGAGCCCTCCCCCTTCTCGTTCAACGCATACCTCGCCCCTGCCTTTAGGGCGGAGATTGCGCCGCGTGCGTCGCGGAGCGCACCCCGCCCGGCGTGGAGCAACCCATTTCCAACGTGGGCTACGTTTTCGATGGAGCTTACTTTCCCCAAGTCCACCTTACTGAGCACAGCGCGGAGGCCGTCGCGCAGCAGATCGAAAACTCCTTGTGATCCTTGTCCTTCTCCAATGGTGATCTTGCGCAATTCCTCTCCTAAACTTTTGAGCTCGTCAACGGGATGGTTTTTCTCGAGTGTAGACGACGCCTCCTTCTCTCCCTTGTGCTTGTGGTGCCTTTCGTGATGCTTCTTTTTTTCGTTGTGTTTCTCGTGCAGGTGCTTGTCCAGTGTCTGTGGCAAATGGCGCCTCCCGTCCTTTGTACTCTCCTCTCCGATTGATTCTTTTTTTCTTGCGAACCCGAAGACGCGTTCCAGAGCTCCGGCCGTCTTCGATTTGAAAAAGGAAAGGAGCTTTGCAGAGAGGATCGGAACCACACCGACCAGAAAGGGATCCACGATGCTCTCTATCGGAATGCCGGGGATCACACCACTAAGGACGCTGTACAACACGTCGCCGAGCCGGCTGACCAGCTTTTGAACCAGGTGTTGAAAAAAGAAAAGAGACAGGAACTCAACTGCTTTCGTCACAAATACCGACTGGAGCAGCAGGTGTGCCACATGCTGCCACAATTTTTTCAGCTTGTTCTTCACCTTCTCTAGAGTCGTCTTCGCAAGTTCCATGGCGTGGTTAGCTTTCTTCGCAACTCCGTTGACGCCGTTTTTGAACGAATCCAACATCTTCTGCATCTTTTTACCCATCGGCGCGATGTGGAAGTCAGGCAAGACACGGCGGAATTCGGGAAAGAGCCTCGATTTCGTATGGCTCTGGACGGTCTCGTGTGCCTCCAGCTGCTCCGCCTCGAGCGCTTTTTGCCGCGTCAATAGATGGCTCGTGATTCCTTGTTCCAGCTGGTCCGCGTTGAGCGCGTCTGACCGCCTGAATTCAGGGTGCTTGTCTTCTGCTTTCGCTTTCCCGCCATCATGCTCCGTCTGCTTCTCCTCGTTGCCCCACACCAAATAGTTACGCAACTGATGGCTAATGATGTACATGGCCTCGTGGAGGAGGAGTGTCGTTGCCTCTGTGGCGAACGCAGGCAGCACCTTTTCGCGGAACACGCCAACGATTTTGTTCAGCACCGGTTCCGCCATCTTAGCGAGGGCTGTGCCGAAGCCCCAGTAGAGCAGCCTGTCCAACACGGTCGCGAGCCCGGGCACAAACTGCAGGACGATCTCGGCCGCCGTGGCCAGGAGGGTGGCCAGGTTTTGTTTTAGATCCTGCACGACGGCATTTTTCCACTTTTCCACTTGCTCTAGTGGAATAAAGTACGCTGCGACGGAGGACATCAAGTGTTTGATCGTCTCCGTGCATGCCGTCTCCATTTTCGATTGCAAATCCCCCAAAAATGACGTGATCCCGATCTCCCCCACCCGCACTACGGAAGTCGCTTCAAGCTCCTCTTGCTGGTGGTGCAGAAAAATCCTCGCTGTGGAAGTCCCCGTCGACGTCGATGTCCCAAATTTTTCCAACAGACTCGCTGTCTCGTTAAAAGTTGTAAAAATTTGCCGTCCACCGTCCCCTCGTGGTCCCCTCGGCGGGAGGTCGGTCTCCTTGGCGCCATCCGGCTCGTGGTTCATGATCGCCAACGGCATCATTTCTTCCCGGTCGTGGTCCAGCAAGTTGTCCGCGTCTGCGTCTTCACCATTGTAGTTCAACATCTCGAGCACGGACGAAACGTCGGTGTCGGCATCCTCCTCATAATTTTTCTCTGCCAGTGCACAACTCCCCCTCCCCCTCATTTGTATAGCATGAACGGCAATACAAGCATCAGTACGAGTGCCGGTTTTGCATGACAAATTTGCACTGGACGAGTGTAGTGCTATTTGGCGGGCTACCAGAACTTATCATGCAAACAGTGCCAAGAGACAGAGGGTGGGTTGGGTAATATTTTGCATGACAAATGAGGGGGAGGGGGAGTTGTGCACTGTCATATTTTCTCAAGGAGAGAAGAGAACGACCCGTCGTGCTCAACAGTAACGACGCCGACAACTGCTGGTAGTTGCTCATGTTCTTCTGTCGTTCTGTTCAGGAACGACCCAGGGTGGAGAGTTGTCAGCGCTGAAGCTGCGGACGTATCGCTCATCTCCTGATGTAGCTGCTGGTCCGGCTTGTCGACCAGATCGTCCTGTAGTTGCTCTGGCAGAGTTGTTCGGCGAGCAGCTGCGCCAGCGGGGAAGAAGATAAAAGAACAGTCGGTAAAAAACAGCCAACAGAACAACACGATGGTCTTCGTGATGCAGCGATAAAAACGCTTGCGCCGGCAGCCACACTGCGATAGACACGCTCCCGGATCATCATGCGCGGGATGAAACATCGTCGCGGCTTTGGGCTTGTTTGTCTCGCGGCTCACACTGAACGACCCGCGCGTGGTGGTCACCTATCGAAAAATGCAGATATGTCTATAGTCACAGTCCCGAAAGGTGCAGATGACAGTTACAGATACAGCTCGAGTTTCGATCATATATTTCATCTGATTATGTTTCCAGTGTTACTTTTCTTTGATCAAAGGCTGTTTGCATACGCTACACCTGCATGCAAGCCATCAAAATCATCAGAATACAAAACGTAGGTGGAAAGAACCAAATAAAAGAAGACAGCATTTTTACGTTTCCTCCGCCATTCAGCATATTCATCTCGTAGTACAGCTTTTCGTTCGTGGTCCTTTCATCCGGCTTGGACGGCAAAATGGTCTTCCTCGCGAGAGTCCTCTCATCAGCCGAAAACGGTGCAGCGTCCATTGCCGAGTTCGCGGGTGCTAGCGCCATATTGTGCGGCATCCCGAGCCGCTCGTAGTTGTACTCCTCGGTGAACTTGTCCTCGCAGATGTAGATTCTAATCCGCTTGTTCCCGTCGCGGAATCCGAAGTCTTCGCCGACACCGTTTGTTACAGCTGAAAATGATTTTTTTGTGATAGATTCTCACACGCACAAGAAACAAAAAAAGGAAGATGTTGTCATGCACTAAAGACGCGCTCGCGCATATTAAGGAATATGGATATGCAAAAAACACACCACAAATACCAATAGCGTCCTTTCCGTATGCGTAGAACTGCAGCAAATGTCGCTCCAGCACTTCCCAAGTGGGCAGTTCGTCAAGAGTCAGACTTGTCTGCTGGCACACTTGTCCTCTCGTGGTGCTGCTCGGCAAGCTGCTCTGCCGGAATTCGAATGTTTTCTTTGGTCGTGCCCGGATAATAAATTTCGATTGTGCGGCTTCGAACCTGGCAGTTTGTTTTTTGTTTTCATACTTTCTTATTTGCCCACTATTCCTTGTCATGCGTGGCCATGTAGGAGCGAGTCAGGCAAGCTTGTGCATCAATTAAAAGCTGCAAGAACTCAATATTAAGTACCTTTCTCTATTCCGCGCGATTCTGCATCCGCCGATGATGGACCGGGAGTTTTGTCTTGGGAGGTGCTTTTTGCCGATGGATGTGGACAATTGCGACGTTCCCGGCAGGTTTGGTATCGCTGATTTGATTTTGTTCGGTTTTCGTAAAATGCATGAGAGCGCCTGCTCTTGTCGTTCTCGTTGTCGTTACCAAGAGTTTTTTATAATTACAAACCACTTCTTCGCAATACAATTCCTATTTTCTATTGCTGATGCATGTGACAAAAAAAAAAAACGAATACCGGTTGCATTCAACTTCGGCTTTCTCGTGGTCGCCAGGTGCGACGCGGAGGTGGACCTCGTCAGCGTCGAGTCCATTACCATTAGTTCTTTTTATTTTCAAACGTAAGTCATTGTCATTTGTTTTCCTTTGACAGTAGTACTCCCCAGTCAGAAGAAAAAAAGAAACTGCGAGTCAACAGTGTAGTGACGAATTTTATCTCATTCAAGCGCAATTGGAGTTTCCGTTTCGGTTTATTCTGTACAGGTGACGACGACACGACTTGCTTTGATGCGGTGGAGGAGCTAGCATTCTCACAACGAGTCTTCATGAAACATACATACATACATACAATGCACTTTGCCCTGTGTCTGGGGTGCGTGCCGCTCGATTTTTGATCGTGACACCGGGAAAGCGATCCACCCAAACGATTTGTACGGACGAGCAAGGGTGTGAAGCTACCCTCTGTGTTCGCGATGGGGCTGGCTAGGCCCGGCCAACAGCGCAAGAGGTGAACATCGAAGCCGGGAGGAGCCTATGCGACCCCTAGGGGGGCGGGCGTACTTAAACGCTCCGGCAATCTCTATTCCTTGTTCCTGGCGGCCACATCAAGGCGATTCTCGCTGCTGGCGCCGTGTTGCTCGATTTTGCCGCGAAGTGCCGGCGCACATCGGTCACAAGCTACTAGCCTGTAGGCGATGCGGTCGGGGGGCATCCTGCGCTTCCGCGGATGCTTTGCGCCCTCCTCGTCTGCCCAGCGTCTCAGACAGAAGAGGGGGGGCGCCGCAATGCTCTCCCGTCTGGGCTCGCATTCCTCACAAGGCCCGCGCGATGCGGAAGACAGAGAGAAGACAAGCTACTAAAGATAACGGGTCCCCCGGCGAAGCCGGTGCCACCACACACAGCAGTCCAGCCACGCGGGCGAAGAACTGGGGCAGCTCCCGGCTTCCTCTTGTTGGTTCTCGGCAGTCGCGGCCCTTCGTGCCGTCAGCGCCTGCGCTTGGCGTGCGTCCCTATTGCTGCAGTGGCCGCGTGCTCTGACGCGCCACCTCCGCCTCAGGGCTGCGCCGTTGCGCCTGGTGCTTGCGAGCGCTGAGGGGTGCGCGCGGTAGCTAGCTAGCTGCTGGCCAACCTAACTGCGTTGAGACCCGCACCCAGGAAGCCGGGGCCGGTGTGTCTACCTCCCTGCGGGAAGCAGGCTGCGTCTCGCTCAATGTCTTCCGCCACGTGGCGGGCGTCTATGCGAAGAGACTTTTGCACCAGCTGCGAGCTCGTGCTAGGCGCCCCTATGCGGCTGGCTGCGAGCTCGTGCTAGGCTGCGAGCTCGTGCACCAGATGCGGTGGAGGAGCTAGCATTCTCACAACGAGTCTTCATGAAACGTTTGTGCTGCAGAAACCTTCACCTAGTTGTGCCCCAGATAATTGTAGCAGCATTTGGTTCAAGACGTAATGCAACGAATACGAAAACGGCCTCGAGCGCTGTTTTTATTCTACTTAACGTGGCAGGAACATGTTGACCCTGCTGTCTCAGTCTCTCGACACAATCTTTTTCTTCTGACTTCCTCGACGACGGTCACTACGGAAGAGAAGCATTCGACGACAATTTGGTACATCAGCTCACAACTTTGTACGTAGTTCAGAGCTCCACAAGAACTGAAGTACCATTCATCTTGGTCCGACACGAGCACGACAGAATTTGCATTGCTAATGCACACTTTGACTTTTCAATGTATGTATCAAGAATAGCAAAGCAGCATCAAGCTTTACATATTTCAAACAAAACCGGAATCGGCCGGCAACAGACGTTGTTACATGATTTTAACCAATCTTTGCAGTATAATTTTCATCATTTTGCATCTAAGTTGTATATTAGTAAAGATGCTCGATTTCGTTGTCTGCTCTAGTACCAGAACAGGGCCAACGCCAACTACTATGACAAGTAACATTCAAGAAAATTCAATCTGATACTGTAGTAGAGGTACACTCCAGCTCTAGCGATAGTGTAAGAATAAGACGACCACGACGAAGACGATGAAAAGCAAAAGTGGTTGTTTTACATAGAAAGCAGCTCAAAAAACTACATTTTTCTCTAGCGGTTGATTTTATCTCTCGACTCATTTTCATTTATATTTGCGATTGCGTCTTTCGATTTCTAACGAACATGTTGCAACTACAGGCACGTGGCAGACAAGGCCTGCTGTGCTAGTGTATGATGATTTGATGAAAAGTTGTCCAGTAAAGACATTTCGTGGACCACTTGCATTTGCGGAAAGGGAACGACCTCCACCTCCACCTCTTCCTCTGTACGATCACGAAGAATGACCCAGGATTTTTACGAGCCCAACTTCTTCTTCAGATATCAAAAGGAAAGATCCCCCCTCCCCATATCGAAACGAAGTTTCTGATGCTGAATTTGCGCACACAAATCAGGTCTGTCTTGCTGGAGAGCACTGCAGGCATATGCCAAGCCTGGGTCGAGAGGTTTTGACATAGGGGACTAGCATGACAGACGTCGGCTCTGTAAGCCCAGCAGCATCACAAACCGCCGGCATAATGCGGCGGACTCTCTGGCTTTGCCTTCTGGCAAGACAGACAGGATTTGTGACCTCAAATCTGCATCACAAATTTTCAGACGAATGCGTTTTCAATATGGGGAGGGGGGATTTTTCCTCTCAATATCAGAATCGACGCCCCCTTCGTTTTTTTCGCAACCGCATCGAAGCCCATCAATTTGGCCGCTCCCGGAACGGGCGGCGGCGTCGTGTACAGCCGGGCTAACCTCCTCTCCTCCCGGGCAACCAGGGCCGCTTTCTCCTCAATCGCCGTAGACGGGCGTATCCGCGTTTTCCTGTTGTATAGTTGGCAGTTTAATTTTGATATTAGTAGACAGAACCAGAAGTATACTCTATTTTTTTTCACACCAGTGCAGCTTTATTCGGACCTACTATATTCCAGCAGCACCAGAGGGAGTTCCATCTGCTCTTCATGCAACAAGCCAGCGATAGAGAAGATGTACGACCTCGTGCTCGTCCAAAGAACTTCTATGGGACGAAGGTCTAAAAAAAAGCATCAACCACGTTTCAGCTGTAACAACAACATGATCGCATTTGTCAAATAGAAATATTGTAGATACGAGATGGTGATAGAGATCATCATCATACCTTATCACCGCCCGCTCTCCGTCCAGTGTCCAACTGACCGTGGGCAATGTAGTTGCGCGGTCGACAGCTTTATCAAATGCAAATACGCTAATATCCAAGTCTGGAAGTAAGGAGAATCGAGGATCTCCTGTCATGCTAGGCTGACAAGACAAAAAAAACCTGTCATGTTCTTGCATGTGGCGATGATACAGCAACATCATCAAACTTAGAAAACCTTTCTAGTTGTAGGAGCACTTCTCTGTCGACGCGAGTTACCGCGGAAAAGACCACTCAAGAACTCGTCCTGTATCATGTGTGTCTACTCCGCGGAGGCAGAGGCTGCTGAAGACCATGAAGATCCAGACACTCAATGATAGACATAGATTTTTGACATGACAAGTTATTTCCAGAGGACCCAGATGGATTTACCGATATTTGCAATGCATAGACTTCCTTGAGCTCTAGTGGCGTCATGCTTTTATCCCCTGAAAATTAACCATCCCCATCCAGTTTGTCATGCAAAACATGTAGCAGTCTCTGTGTTTGTCATGCAAAAAGTGAATGGGGATGGTTAATTTTCAGGGGATAGCTTTCCACCCGGTCGAAGAGCTGGTTTTGCCATCGCACCTCCTCTATGCACTGAAAAAGTATCGTACTAAACTAGTATAAATTGCATTACAAATTTGCTCAGCATTACAAATGGAATTTGTAATGCGGATTTGCCTTAGGAAAAAGATTTGTGATGCATAAAAGCAATTTCTACTAATACGATACTTTTGCACTTCATATCCTCCTCGTGCTGTTTTTCCCGTCTCTTCTGCTCCTGCCGTAAAGCTCGCAAACTGACCAGCCCTGCGGGAGCGGAGCCCGGTCGGGACATCGTGGTTTTGGGTCTATCGTCGTCCTCCTTAGGTTTTTTCTCCTTCGTGTCCTTCTCTTCTTTGACTATAGTGGGCAAATGAGTGATCTTAGCGACTGCTGTTACCCCGAAGAAAATAAGTCACAAGCTGTCATGCGGATTTGCTATCTCCCTCTGTTTTGTTATGCAAATAAAAAGCACACCAAAAGTCACTCATTTCTTTGCGGTCTGGAATGATTTTTGGCGCATCTCGCTTAAGTAGACGCTTTGCTTTTGCACCACGACGAGAAATAAAGCTCTACAGGCGAATCCGCATGACGGACTGCCTTTTTATTTTATTATTCCTTAGGACTACTAGCAGCAATCGGGAGGTACTTAGATCACTGAGATGTTCTTCTCCATAGTGACGAGTGTCGTGAAAAACTTCGGGTTATGCAGCGGAAAAGCATCGTACTCGTATAAATGCATTACAAATTTCCTCAGGAGCATGAGAAATGCAATTTGTAATGCTGATTTACCTTAGGGAAAAGATTTGTAATGCATGATTGCAATACGAGTACGATACTTTTGCACAGGATACGGGTTCTGCGGCAACTGCCCGATCCCGTGCGGTGGCGGCTCGAACCCCTATCGAATGCAAATATGTCTACTGGGTCTGGAAGAGTGCAAACTTCTCATGCATATTCTCCATGCCGGGTGAGGTTTGGAATGCAGGTCCTAGCACGACAGGTTCTGCGACGTCGCTATTATGCCTGTCCTGCATGACAAGCTGCCACGAAACTTGTTCAACGGTGAACAGCTTATTTTGGTAGTCATGCAACACAACTTTTTGTACGATCCAGACTTAGCATGACAAGTTCGCGTCCTCCCAGACCTAGACATATTTGTACTGGATAACCCCATGCTCATCGCTAACCTCCTCTCCCGCCACTTCAACTGCTGCCACAGCATGCTGTTTCCGGTGGGCAGTTTGTACCGGCCAGAAATTCGGTACTGCCCCCGCTCCTCCTGGAGATCGGTATCCCTCGAAAAAAGAACCATGCCGCCCATCCATTTTTTGCATCATCATCATCATCATCATCATCATCATCATGTCCGTGCAGGACAAACACGGGACTTTAGTTTATTTTTATACATGTTTTGCATGACAAATTGGCATTGGGTGGGGACGGGTCTTTTTTCCTGAATAATCGGAGAAGGACTTGACCACCTGCTGCTTCTCCAGCCAGGCGATCTCCTATCAAAATGAAAAATCCCCCCTCCCCATAGATACTGGAGCGGAGATTTGTGTAGCGTGATTTGTGACCACGTATCATGGTGTCATGTTGCTAGAATGCAAAAGAAGCAGACTGTAGTGCTGGGCGGCGTAGGAAGGCCTTGCAACTTCAGCATGACAGGAGGCAACTGGAAATGGGAAGCAGCATGACAAATCGGCTGCAATTAAGGCCGCAGCGGCGTCTCTAGGCCTTCTAACAATACAAGTCGATTTGTGTACTCAAATACAGCATCACATATTTCGGTTTCGATATGGGGAGGGGGGATTTTTCCTTTTGATATCTCCGTCTCGAAGTTCAAGCTGCCGCCGTTGTCCGTATCGAGCCACTCGAACAGCGTGATCGGGTCGCAAAGCTTTGCCTGCTCCGTGTACCCCAGGTGCGAGCAGCCGGTCAGGAATTCCTGTCTCGTGATATTTTTCACGTTGGATCCAAACACCGACTTGAACCCGGTCGACGCCCTTTCGTCGTCCGTGACGTACCGCAGATAGCCGAACCACTCCTCGAAAGCCTCGAAAATATCGGGCGCGAACTCTTGGAAGCTGACCATGCCCGTGTTATCCTCGTCGATGTACCGGAACAGCTCCTTCAACCTGCCCCGGAAGCCCATGTCCAGACACGCTTTCGCAAATTCCGTGTAGGAGACTCGGCCGGACTTGTCTTTGTCCAAAAATTGCCACGCACGGACCATGTTCCCGAACCTGGCTAGTAAGGCCGCTTTAAAGTCGTTGTACAGCTTCACCACCTCGGCCTGCTGCTCCATCGCGCGCTGCCTTTTCCTTCGGGCGATCTCCAAAGTGGTTTGCCCCTTGGCGTGGATCAAATTTTGCGCGGACTTCAACTTCTGGTATCAACTGTAAAAGTGTCTGGGTCTGGAAGAATTCATTTTTGTCATGCTTGTCTGGCATGACTCTTAAATCTGTCATGCACGTTACCCAAGAGCTCCGTTTTTCTGTGATGCAGAAAAGCAGTTTGTCATGCAGAATAGGCAACACCTAGGAACTCAGAGACTTGTCATGCTGAGCCAGCATTTGTAGCCTCACCATGAGACGCCACCCAGCATCACAAGTTTCCAGACCCAGACATTTTTACATTTGATATCTGGTCTCCCGCGGCTGCCGCCTTGGCGAGCTGCTCCTGTCGCAGCTGCTCGTCGGTTTTGTTGTAGTGGTACAAATATCCTGTGCAGAAGTATCGTACTCGTATTGCAATTCATGCATGGCAAATCTTTTTCTTGAGGTGAAGCAGCATTACAAATTTCATTTCTCATGCTGGGGAAATTTGTAATGCATTTGTACGACTACGAGTGCGATACCTTTGCAGTTCATAACAAATCCAGCATGTGGAACTTCTCCCGGGTCATGAAATTGATCTTGTCGTAGTCCTATCAAATGCAAAGTGTCTGGGTCTGGAAGGTTGGAACATCAACTTGTGATGCTAACTTTGGACTCCAAAAAAAATTGTATTGCGTGACCAGCAAGAGGAGTCTAGTTTGTGCTACGCGGGGAGGGCGTTTGTCATGCGTAGTAGGCTTCAGGAAGCCCTCTAAAAAAAATCAGTGATGCTAGGTCGTGCATTACAGACATCCTGATCCTGGGTCATGCAAAATATGCATGACAAGTCTCAGAATCTTCCAGACCCAGATATTTTTGCATTTGATAAGTCCAGAATCTTGAAGACCCGGGAGGCCAGCAACTCCGAGATTCCCTATGGCGTTCTTAAACGTCACACCCTCAACTGTTCCAGAATTTGTCATGCAAAACTCTCAGCAGCATCTAAACCATCTAGCTGCTTCACATAACAAATTTACGAAGGGCTAAACAGGATCTAAATCTGTGCCAAACCTGTATTGCAAGAGGCGCAATGTTCCCCCTTTCACTCTTGCTATTTTTGCATCACAACTTCATGTAACAGTTGAGAACGTAACGTTTGAGAACTCCATATTCCCGGAAAGGCGGTTGCGAGTCTGACGAAGGTTTTCTCATCTAACCGCCCGTACGACTGATCCTTCACGAAATACAGCTTCCACGCCTTGAAGACATCCGGGTATTTCTGGGGTTGTTTGGATGGAGATGTTGTTGTAGTTTCTTCTTGCTGTTGCTGTTTCTTTATCAAATGTAAAAATGTCTGGGTCTGGAAGAACGCAAGTTTGTTATGCTTGTCTGGCATGACTCTTAAATCTGTCATGCACGTTACCCAAGAGCTCCGCTTTTCTGTGATGCAGAAGCGCAGTTTGTCATGCAGAGTAGGCAACACCTAGGAGCTCAGAAACTTGTCATGCTGAGCCAGCATTTGTAGCCTCATCATGAGACGCCACCCAGCATCACAAGTTTCCAGACCCAGACATTTTTACTTTTGATATTCTTCCCCGTGAAAAACATGCCGCCGGGTGCGGTAGCGGGTCTGGCATTGGCGAATTGGTTCGGAAAACGTGACTCCTCTTTCTGCGTTATGACAGTGCACAACTCCCCCTCCCCCTCATTTGTATTGCATGAGCAGCAATACAAACGCCAGCGACCTTGGAGCGTGTGCATGACAAATTTCTGTACCTGCTGTAGTACTGTTTGGGCTTTCGGACTTTGTCATGCAAACAGTGCCACAGAGCAACGACTGGATTTGGGATTTTGCATGACAAATAAGGGGGAGGGGGGGTTCGTTGTGCACTGTCATATGCGTTTCTTGATTACCATCAACACCAGTAGCTGCGTTGTTATCCGGGATCCCGACAATCGCGCTGGTGAAGGCGGTGAGAACTTTCGAGTCGTATGACAGTGCACAGCTCGTCCCCCTCGTCCCGCTCACTTGAAGGGCGTAAGACCAACACAAGTGCTGGGATAAATGCGGCTTTTGCATGACAAATTTGCGACCGATTGTTCATCTAGCGGTGTTTTGGCTTCTGGAACGTGCTGTCATGGAAGCAGTGCTAAAGGGAAGACAGAAAATGGATTATGGAAATTTGCATGACATCAAACGAGGGGGAGCTGCAGAGGGAAGTCGGAGTTGTGCACTGTGATAAGTCGCCGTCTGGATCCAGGAAGTCGATCGTGATAAACCCGGTCCGGTCCTGGTCGAACTGCACCCACAGCTGCCGTAGGTTCAAAAAGTACCCGACCTCCCGACACCCGCGCGTGAATTCCCGGAAGCTGATTATGGCGTTCTCAACTGTTACATTCTCAACTGTTACATGAAATTGTGATGCAAGAAAGGGGAAAGTGAAAGGGGGAAGTAGGTTACACCTGTAGCATTACAAATTCCGGACAGATCTAGGTGCGGTTTAGCCCTTCGCAAATTTGTCATGCGAAGCAGCTTAATCGTGAGGGTGATGATGGTGCTTTTGCATGACAAATTCATGTAACAGTTGAGAATGTAACGTTTGAGAACCCCATACTGATCCGCCCAGAGTTGTCCTTGTCGAAATGGTATGAATTGCAAAAGTATCGCTGTACTCGTACAAATGCATTAATTTCCCCAGCATGAGAAATAAAATTTGTAATGCTGATTTTCCTTGAGAAAATGATTTGCAATGCATGATTGCAATACGAATGCGACACTTTTGCACAGGATAAGTGCATCCACGCGACGATAATGGACCCGAATTTCTTGCGGAGAAAGTTCCGGAAAGCGCCGAGGGGGCTAAACTTTTTCGACTGCTGGAGCAGCAAGTTCTTCTCCTGCCTCTCCCGTACGTGCTTGATCAGGTCCAGTTGCTCCTGCTTCTTCATTTCCACCCGCATCTCCAGCGTGACTTGACCCTGGCCCATGCGAAGCTCCTTCTGGACGCGGGGGTCCACGTCGGCGAGGACGATGCCTTCCTCCTTCTTCACGTTCAGATACTGATACAGCTGCCGGGCACGGCCCTCACCGTACCTAGAGGTGCGTTTGATTTTAATTCTTCAAGGTCCTCGTGCGAGATGGACAATGAAGTTCAAAAACAAAATTAACCTTCAAAACGAAACCACACAAAATGACGCGGAGAGAAAATAGTAGAACTGCACACACGCACAAGACACACAAATTCAATGAAATTACCACGCCGCAAAACTTCTATCTACTACCTCTACAACGCACACATAAATGCGCCGAACTTGATTCAAAGTAGCACATCACTTTGAGCGGTAGACAGCAACGGTAGTTGGAAACAAACGCATAGCCGATGAACTCTATCAAGTGCAAAAATGTCTGGGTCTGGAAGAATGCATGTTTGTCTTGCTTGTCTGGCATGTTGACTCTTAAATCTGTCATGCACGTTACCCAAGACCTCCATTCTTCTGTGATGCAGAAACGCAGTGTATCATGCAGAATAGGCAACACCTAGAAGCTCAGAAGATTGTCATGCTGAGCCAGCATTTGTGGCCTTATCATGAGACGCCACCCAGCATCACAAGTTTCCAGAGCCAAACATTTTTACATTTGATAAACTCACAATATCAAGAACATAATGTAAGAAGTACTTCAGTTTCTTCACCAGCCCGTCCACAAACTCCTTCTCGACTATGGCGCTCTCAAATGTTACAACATTCTCAACTGTTCGATGATTTGTCATGCAGGACTACAATCAGAATTGACACGACCAAGCTGCTTCGCATGACAAATTTTGGAAGAGCCAAACAGGCTGTGAATCTGCGCCAAAACTGTCACGCAAGACGCGCAAGGTCACCCCTTTGGCTTTTGCCATTCTTGCGTCACAAATTCATGTAACAGTTGAAAATGTAACATTTGAGAAGAACGCCATATCGACTATGCGACCGTTATTGTCCGCATCCAAGCTGCGGAAGAAGCGCTGCAGGTCCCCGAACTCGTCTTCGGCCTTTTCCCGGAATTCCGTCAGCATAGCGCTGCCCTTCGGCTCGAAGGTGTCAAACGTTATTCGCCCGTTCTGGTCCAGATCCAGCTTCTTCCACAGCGTAAACAGGGCCCCGGGATGCCTATCCTGCGCAAAAGTATCGCACTCGTAGCAATTGCGTTTATGCATTACAAATCTCTTTCTCAAGGTAAATCAGCATGACAAATCTAATTTGTAATGCTGGGCTAATTTGTAATGCAATTTATGCTAGTACGATGCTTTTGCATTGCATAGTACCCGATGCGCCGCAAGTGCTCGGAAAACTCCGACTGTATCCTGTGCAAAAGTATCGTATTCGTATAAATGCTAATGCAAGTCTTGCATTACAAATCTTGTTTCCAAGTCAAATCTGCATTACAAATTCCATTTTTCATGCGGAGGGAATTTGTCATGCGATTTATACTAGTACGATACTTTTGCAATTCATAGACTGGGAGAGGGCACCGTTGCCGTCCTTGTCTATGGTGTACCTAATTTTCAATGCAAGCCATTGTAGATGACAGAGAGCGTCCGACGTCGAGTGCGACCCACAAACAACTCAAACATCGGTTTCGGTGGAGTTCAGTTGTACAAAAAAATACGTAAAAAACTAAAACCTCGTAGAAAAAAAAAAAAATCTTCTAGGAATATTAACTCTTTATTAAAATAAACAGACAACCTGTACTAGTACCATGCCCGCACCATATTTCCGTGTCTCTTCTTCAAGAACGTGCGTAAATTTTGTACGGCCGGATCGTCGTGAATCGCAGCTATCGCTCTCCTCCGCTTTTCTTGGTCCTCCGCGGAGATTTGTTTTTGATGCTTCGTTCCTTTCTTCCCCGCGGCCCTTTCGTTCTGTTTTTTCAACTCCAGTGCCGCCTTCCTCGACTCCTCCTCCTTTGCCTTCTGCAGCGCCGCCTCTTCGTATGACAGTGCACAACTCCCCCTCCCCCTCATTTGTCATGCAAAACCCCAAATCCACGCGCTTCGCTTCCCGTTCCCTGTGGCACTGTTTGCATGACAGATTCCGGAAGCCCCAACAGTACTAAAATAGGCGCATGAATTTGTCATGCATAGGCTCTCTGTATGGTGGTGTTTTTATTGCCGTTTATCTTTATGCTATACAAATGAGGGGGTGGGGGAGGGGGACTTCTGCACTGTCATACTTCGTCCGCACGGATGGTCGCGGACAAGCGGCGCAGCGTCGTCTCGTCGGCGACCTCGATGGGCACGTCGATTGGCGCGTCGGAGATGGACACCACGGTCTTTAAGTTTTCCACGCCCGTGCCCTCGAATGCCGTTTGCTGCCGCTGCAACCGTCGTCGCTCCTCGGCCTTCTGCTTTTGCTCCTGCTCCATGCGCTCTAATTCGCTCCCCGACGGGATCAGCAGGTCTTCGTCACCGTCATCCAGCATCTCTTGATGGTCGGGGCCAGTTGGCGGTTGTGCTGGTCCGTCTGTCGGCTGTCCTGGCACTGTCTCGAGACCAGTACTGTTGTCCGCAGTGCTACCCTTCCTGGCGAGTGAAGCTCCTTTCCTGTTTGTCGCTGCAGGAGGTCCTCCGCTGGAAGTAGAAGACGATGCTGGTTTATCTGCTTCTCCTGTTTCGTCTCCTTTCATCATCGGGTCCGCTGGTGCTTGCGATAGTGATACGAGATCCGGCTCCTCCGCCGGCGCCGCGAGCACGCTACCATAGGTGTCGTCTTCCATGATATTTCCAGCACCTTGGAATGTTGATCCAGTTCCGTCGTCTATCCTGACAGTCTTCGTCCTGTTTATCCCAGCTGCAGCACTCGGTGCAGCTGCGCTGCTGCTACTTGCGCTTGCCCCCGAAGGAGAAGTTCTTTCAGACGAGGCAATTGGTGCGGCCGAAGCGTGCACGCCAGAGCTGGCGATTGGGGCGGGAGGAGGTGGTGCGGGAACTAGTAGGTTATCGTTATTCATATCGGCAGTAGAAGTTGTAGCTGCGGAGGACGCACCAGCTGCAGCTGCTGCCCCCACTGCCGGTGGTGGTGGTGCGTCAAAAATGTCCAACTTGGTCCCGACCCGGTCGAGCATGCCCTTGGTCTTACTACCCGCGGCCCCGCCGTTCTGCGACATGAAGGGCGAGGCGAACATCTCGTACTCCGGGCCGGACTCTGATTTCTCCGCATCTTGTTGTTCCGCAACGGCAGGTTCCGCGTCTTGGTCCACATCCTTTGCGTCGGCCGACATCGGGCACAGGAGGAGGAGATAGAAACCGGGGAAGGGGAAGGGCTAGTAGTACACTTAGCACGCGAGTTTGTGGTTGTGATTTTTACCTTCCCGGGCGGCGTGACGTCTGATGAACGCCGTCGAGGTCCACCTTTCAAGCTCGAGCAACAGCACAGCAAGGCACTTCCAAAAGCGTGAAGATCAAAACTAAGTGAGTATCAGTATCTTTCAACGGGATACAAGGGGAATAGTTCTCAATGATAAACAAGACCTGACGTACGCTCTTCAAAAAAACTATAGCTGGGCCGATATCGGCGCACAGCAGATCCGGATGCAGATCTATTTTGCCTGTCGATTTTTGCTGGTCGACTTTTGTTGCGCCAGAATATTATTGCTTTTGCTTCACCATCTCAATTCTACTATAATCGTCTGCCACACGTCGCGTGGATATTCGTCAAACGAACTGAGACCTCTAACCCGGATTGATACAATACCATCACCACCTTCTCCGAGAACGCTACGATAAGTAGTGCTCGTCATCACGACACAAAAAAGACGATCCTTGTCATCACGATCCTGACCCGCCCCCGGCTACAATTACGAAAGCAAGACGAGCAACATTCAGCTAGAAAAACACTTTATTTCCCACGACCCGCCGCTTCGCGATTTCTTCTTCCCCAGAGCTGTCACAGTTTCGCTTTTGTTTCGAAACACACGATAAAACATCTTCGAGGAACTTACAACTGGCAAGAACCGACCGACACCGAGAACGAGTGGCCTTTACTTTCAAAGAAGAAGAGGTGCGCTCATTACTTTTCTCGCTGTGGCTCAGTGGCTCCTTGTGGTTGGGCCCTTTGCCTTTATTCCATCCGTTCTGATTCTTTTTCTATTCATTTCGAATTCTTCAGACTACTTGCAAAGCACGGTTGTTGTACGCGGTTTATTCATCGACGCGAAACCAGTCGATGAAACAATTCTGCAGTTTCCGTTCATTATGAAACGCAAAATGTATCTTAACTCCTTCTATTATCATCAAAATTCGTTCATTTTGGGAGGACGTTCCTCTCTCGCAAAAACGTTTTCGCCTCTCGCACCACATCCGCTGGGAAGAGGAGGTGAGACACATGCTCAACATCTTTCTCGTCGGTCTCGTATTTAGCGATGCGAAGTTCCGAAAAAGCCGCGCGGAAATTGTAGATGCCCAAAACCTATCCAGTGCAAAAGTATCGCACCTGTACGCCCGGTAGCGGTACTTCTAGTCACAGTCATGCACAATAAATCGAATGGAATTGCCGGCATCTGATTCAGCATGAACAATTGCATTCTTGTTCTTAATCTTCAAGAAATGGAAGTGTGATAGAACGCAGTACAATACTTTTACACTGCATAAAACCTCGTCCAGCCAGTCAAAGCTTACGTTTCGCCACCAACAGACCGGCACTGGTTTATTCTCCCCGCGCTTCGTCTTCAGCACGACTTTCCGGCGCTTCTTGGCGGATTTAGCTTCACGTTGCTCTTCATCTGAGAGATCCACTGGGTCCTCACCGCCAATTGGTTTTGGTGCAGCAGCTGCAGTGGGAGACTGTCGTGCCGTTTTCTCCGCGACGCGGCCCGGAGCTGCACCTACTTCGTTGGTGGTGTAGTCGTCCGCCCTGCCATCTTGATCTTCTTCTACTTCGCGGTCAACACAATAGACCAATTTCTTGAATTTGCTTTCAACAACGGACGAACACGTTGTGTTCTTAGTAAGGTTGGAGGACAAAGCATGATCAAGATGACCGGAGGTCGCGGCAGCACCATGATCAGCCTTCGTTGTGGATCCAGCCGTTGATGTGTCGACGCTTATGCGTAGCAGCACGTACGGGCCGCTCCGGAGTTGTGCAGCTGTTGTTGTACTGGTTTGCGTTTGTTCATCTGCGAGAAGTCCGCGTGAGGACAGCGACACTGTCGCTTGGTGCTGCCCCTCTATCAGTTTATTGCTGTTCTTGCTCTTGGCATTCGCGTTGGGGTGGCTTTTATTAAAACTCCCAAATGTTGAGATGACTGAACCTGTCCCATCAAAAAATTGCGAAGTAGTGGTGCTCGGCTTGGACCACGACATCGCTGCCGTTCCGAAAGATGAAATCGGTCCTTGGTTCTTGAGGTTCGTGCAGCCGCCAAACGCAGTGGGGAAGGAAGGAGACTTGCAGGTATTATTGAAAGACGTGGAGGTCGATCCAAAACTAAAACACGACGGCTGATGTGCCACGTTACTTTCGAATGATGATCCCGTAGCTGGTGCATCTTCAAGCGTAGGTCGTTGACCAACAAAACTTCTAAAACCGGCTGGGTCCACCTTTGTGGTAGTCGCAGAAGGTGGCTGTGGTTGTGTAGTAGTCCGCGTTGGAGGCGGAGCAAAAGTAGTGACCAATGGCTTCACTCCACGTGGTGGAGCCGCAGCGGCCCAGCAGCTGCTGGTGCCAAAAAACTGGGATGGTGCTGGTGCCGCTGTCTTCGAAGCGGTAGCAGGCGTTTGAAAAAAATTAACCCGCTGCAGTGTGCCAGCGTTTGGAGCTCCAGCGGCAAACTGCGACACAAATGCTGGTGGACGAGCAGCCCCTCCACCCGCAGCCGGCGCACAAAAAGCGGCCACTACAGGAGGCGGCTCGGCAAGAACTGCAGTAGATCGTGGGGCCGCGGGTGCCGGTGGTGGGGGCGCCGGAGCCTGTCCTGCTGCTTGGAGATGCGTAGAAGTTGCAGCTGGATTTTTAGGATCAACTGCGGATCGCGCTGGAAGATGATTCGATGAATCCTCCCCAAGAGGAAGGCCCTCCGAGTTTTTTTTACCCGCGGTGGTGTCCGCGTTCCGACCAACAAGGCAATCCACTGCGCCACAAGGTGGCCGAGCAGCGCCGCGAGACAGCAGAAAGCAGTCCAGAATATGGTCCTCCTCTCGGCGCTTTACCACTGCAAGCAGTACCGCCGCGACGTCATAAGGACAGGGGCGGCCCACGAGGGGAGGAAACATGCGTTTTTCATTTTCCACTTTCCCGTTCAGCTTCCAGAGAAGTCCCATGTGTTGCAGCGTATGCATAGCAAAAGCATCGCTCATCTCGTTGACTAGAATAAAATGCAACATTTTTTTTTTGCAACATATTCGTCCACATACAAACTTAAAGTTGAAGAGAGGTGGAATTTCTCATGCTGATCCATCTTAGGAGTGAGATTTGTCATGCGTGACTGCAATTCATGATACGAGAACGGTACTTTTGCACAGCATACAGCGTCCGTTCGAGCAACTTCTGCTCGATAAACCCACGACATGTCCTCGCCATCGCCGCTCTAACGGCCGCACGGGCGATGCGCGCATGGTCGTGCTGCGGATTATAGCAGTTGATGTCCACCTGGGACTTCTGATCTATAGCAGTAGATTGTTGCACACGCACACCGCTATCATTTCGCTCATGGTCCTCAAATATTTCCGGTGCTGCGTCGTCCCGTGCAGGCGCCGGCGCAGCCGCACGTGTAACAGCCTGCTTGGGCTTGGCCAGCGGGAACATATTTGCTCCAACCTGCTCCTCCAGTCCACTGTCGCGCGTAAGGTAAAACGTGGCGAAGTAGTCTCCGCCATATCGTTTCAGGTTTGTCACCACGTAACGACAGCCGATCATGTCCTGTCCGACCCCTTCTGCGGCGTTTGAAGATGCCCCGCCGCCCTGAAGGTAGTTGTACGCGGTTCCGTGCTGTGCAGATAAAGCACCAGAAGTTTTATTCCGCGCATGAAGTAGATCTCCGCTGCTGAAGTGCGCTTCTCCTCCAGTCATGGTCTCCGGCGCTGGGCTGTTGTAGGGCAAGACGAGTTTCGCGAACAACTGCCCGACACTCGAATGCTCCAGCACTTCAGCGGGCGTGGGGCACAGCGGACCTCGACGTCCACGCGCGCCGTGAGAGAACTCGTCGAATTGCTGGATTGCCAGAGCACTAGTACACGCAGGCTGGTCTGCAAGAACTCCTGCGTCCGCTACGAGCAAAACGAGCTGCTTCTCCACATCTTGACAACTGCTCGTCGTCGTGGTCCCACCTCCAGGAGGTGCAACGCGTGATGGCGCAAGATGAACACCGCTACTACCTCTAGTTATACCGCCTTGAGCAGAAGCTCTATTCGGCAGGCGATCATTTCCTCCTCCTGAGCACGGCTTTGAAGAAGACGACGCAGCTCCTGCACTCGAGGAATTTGATGCTGAAGCAACCGACCTCTTCTTGTTGCACAACACCGCTCGTAAGACCACCACGTCGATGCTGGGGACCAGGCCCGCTTGCACTCGCGTATTCCCGATCGGGATGGGAAGTCTCGGTGTGAAGCCAAGCTTAGGTAATCGGTTGTCGAAAAAAGTGCTGCACAGGAAATCCTCGGCCGGGAAAAGACTGCAGCTGTTAGACTCGAGAATGAAGCTCATCCGGTCTGTATCCAAAGGAAAAAGTAGAAGAACTGTGTAGCAGGAGTGATCGTGGAGTTGTGACAGCATGACAAAGTAGTTCTGGATGACAGAGACGAAGGCCAGTCAGATGCACAGCTAGTATCAGTGGAAACACACTTGGAAAGCATGACTACAAGTGTGTGGGATACAACTGCGTTAGATCATACTTGTTCCACTTACTAACTCATATAGCGCGTGTGCATTTCAAAAACTTCTTTTTAATAAACTATACATATATACACAGTTTTTGTTTTTTTCTTGCATATTCCTCTGATGTTTGCTCCACGTCCTCCTCGTCCTGCCGCAGGAGTGCGGCGGCGGCATTCGCCATCCGATCATCCACGACACTGTCCTTCTCCGACAGCTCCGTCGTGTTGGTCCTCGCGTATGGGTGTGTCAGGATCGAAATCGACAAGATCGAAAAATTTGCGATGCATAAAATGTAGGGCACTGAAGGTCTGTATTGGGGAGCAGGCAAATGAGACCGATAGCAAGCCTGTTTAGGTGTACTAATGTGCTGCCAGAGTAGCATGACAGGAGGAGTCTTCTTTGCCCAGACAGCGTGACAGACTGGATTTGGGTTCTCCCGAAGTTTGTCATGCGCCACTTGGAAACTGAGGCTCCAACTGACATCGATTTTGTGCATCACAAATTTTTCGACTTTGTCAATTTCGATTTTGACACTTCCATATAATCGCGTTCCTAGAAAATAACCGGAACTCCGGGTGCGCTAGCGTTTGCCACCAGTGCTTGCCCGGACTGCCGGTCAGTCTTGCGTTCTGCAGGTTTATGTAGATTTTCGAGTTCATCATCCTCGTCGCGCCTTTTTTACTGCTCTGACTTCTAACCAGGTCCGCGTATTTCTGCTCCAGATGCTTGTCCCAGCGGGCGCGCATTACGTACCGACCGTCAGTGAGCAGAAGAAGTTGTTGTACAGGCGCAGAAGCTGCGGGCCGCTGATGTGCTAGTACCGATTTCATTCCCACCTCATCAAGATGAACTCCCTCGTCGCTTACGCTTTCATTGGGCGAAGAAGAACCACCTGCAGCTATTTCTTCAGACGTATCACTATGGTAGAAGATCTGTAGCACTAAATGCAGCGGGCCAGCATCGTCGGCCAGGACGCGGCGTTTCACCACTTGACCGCTGCACATGTCCGCATTCGTCGCCTCCTCATACAGCTGGCGTAGTGCGGACGGGGACGAAGAGAATTTAGGCTTATTTGTTGCAAGAACGCCGGTAGTACATTTGGCAGGCGCGGTGCTACAATTTTTTGCCTGTCCCACCGGGTCCTCCTGGGGACGAAAGAACAATTCTTCGTCCCACCGCCGGGTGATAAAATCGCACAGGAATTTATTTTCGGTTGAGCGACTACTTGAAGCCCCAACAGCATCAACATCTCCTTGAATGGAAGAGGGAGAGAAGCAGGTCGCATGATCATTCGGGTTTGGAAGTTCGCGCGTCGTGCTGCCCTCTCGTCTTCCCTTGCCCTCTCGTCTTCCCTGATGCGGAAGGACGAAGAAGCATTGGAGTTGCGATGCAAACCATTTCCCGTCAAGCAGAAACTGCAAGTTGGGATGCAGCAAGGGATGAGTGGTCGTGCTGGGAACAGCCGGTGCTGGAGGTGCTGTTGTATCCCCATTGATGGTTCTTGCAGGTGTAGTTGTCTCATCTGTGTCCTTTGAGATTTTTGTGTCTGCCGGCTGCGTGGTCTTCGTCTTGGTGGATTTGTCTGCTTCGTGTAGTACAGGTTTTATTTCCGAACTTCCGCCGCCCACCTTCGAACACACGTGATGAAGCAGCCGACAAAATGCAATCCAAAGCATTTCACTTTCAGTTTCGCCCTGCTTCGAAAAGAACAACGAGGACGTGCTCGAAGCTTGGCCCGGGACACGCCCAGCTGCATGATCAGTGTGGTCCTCTAAGCTTTTCACAGGTGAAGTGCCACCAGATTGTCCGGGTGAAGCCGCGATCGACAAATCGCGAACCAGAGAATCTACCAGCTCTCGATACTGATCTATCGTGCCCCCTCCACAGCACAGCGTCTCGCACACCTTTTGCAGCTGCCTCTTCGCATCTTCGACCTTCTCCTCAACGGTTTTTTCTTTGCGCGGTTCTTTGCCTTTATTTTTCTCCAGAGCAACAGCAGTGTTCGCGCTTTTCGTCGGTAGTTTTGCTTTCGCGACTGCCACTTTCGGCCTTCTGATCGGAATAAACTTGTTGGTCCGCAGTCCTCGCCCTACCTTCGCTAGTACCGCAGCCCCCCCGCGGTCATTTCCTTTTGCAGACATTGCGGCCTTGTTCCCGGCGGTCAACATGCGCAGTTTGATCTTTGGAGGGGGCAGTGCTGCCGCTCCCAAACTAGCGCCTCCACTAACTCCCTCCTCCTCCTCGGAAGAATCTTCGAAGATTTTCGCGACCCGCCTCCGCGCAGCTTCGCTCAGCTGGGGAGCTGCTGGCGTTCCGCCGTTTAGTTGTTCTAGCACCGGATTCCCTTCGCCTGCAGCTCCACCAGCCAGCTGGAAGGAAGAATTTTTTGTTTTGTTCTGTATCAGCGGCTGCAGGGAGGGCCCAGCAGTAGACAAAAGTGGTCCTGTGCCTATCCTCGCAGCTCCTCCATTACCAGTAAGAAAGCTCCTTGTTGATGTCTTCTGGAACAAAGTTGCACTCGTGGCTGAAGAGGAACTAGCTAGCGTGAAGCCGGTCGCTGGGCGGGAGAGCGGCAGAAAGGAACTGTCCCCAGGTCCTCGTGCAGATGATGATCCAACCCCTCCCACACCGCAATCATTCATTTCTGATGTCGTATCTACTACTTCTGCACGTAGTAGTTTCGTCGCCGGGGGCCCAAGAGCAGCAAAATTATCTTCGTCAGAATCGTCCGCGAAAATTTTTCGCAGCTTCTCCTGCAGCAAAACTTGGCGCTTGGTGTTGGTCGGTGCTTCATCACCATTACGATTACCCGCTCCGCTGGTGGGATTGATGCCACGACCTTCAACCCCAGAAGCTTGAAGAAATCCACCACCACCACCGCGGCGCTCCACGGCTTTTCCCGAGGCACAGGCGAAGGAGGACGCGGTGGTCGGCTGGGCGAAAAAGGTAGTACAAGAAGACGTCGCCGATGCATTGGGATTGGGATTGGCAAGCGTGCCTGAAGGCGATGACGCCGGCTCCTGGTCGTGGTGTGCCTGAGAGGTAGAGGACGTCATAGAAGTTGTAGGTTTTGCTGACGATCCCGTTCCCGCGGTTTTGAAAGAACCGGAAAAGTAGCATGATGAGCTTTGTAGTTTATCCTTATTGCCGTTTCCCGCTTGAAGATCGGCCTCATCTCCCGGTTTCATCTTGCCAATTGGTGGGAAGTTCATCATCGAGGCTGAGCCACTGCCGATGTCGATGTCCACTTGGCAATCTGCTTGTGGTCCTTCTGGCATTTTGGTTTTTTTCGCACTGTTGCTCCTACAAAATAGAATTTAGACGACGTACTAGCTGTGGCTGTCGGTGTCGGTGTAAGGACGAACAATAATAAACTACTCTCGAAGCTCCTACGCGCGATGACAAATTTGCCTTTCGCCACGTATCCGCCGGAAGTATTGACAATAGAAGCCATTTTGACAGAAGCAACATTTTCCTCTCTTCGATTTCGACAGCGACTCACATGATGACATCTTTTTTTTAAAGATCCTCGGGTCGCTCAACAACGATAGCGGTGGCCGACGAGGAGGCATGTGCCAGATTTTTGCTTGTTCTCTCCAGCGATATTAATCCGATCACGAAGAGGAAGAACAGAAGAAGAAGTTTCCTTTCCGTAAGCAACTTCTTGCAGATGGACGACAGAAGCCGTTACTTCTTCGCTGCAATTTGAATTTCATTTTTTTCGCGGCGTTAAAGACAGTACATTTGACATTGTCATTTTCCAGAAAAAAAGTAAATAGTTCTGCTACTAGGTACCAGGTGAGATGAACGAGAAGTTGAGATGAACCTCCTGCGCATTTGTCATACTAATTGTAAAATCGTAATTGCTCAATGACGACCTTGCGGACTGCTACAAGGTGCCTCGCGGGATAAGTCAGAATAACTATAACGTTGTGCTTGTGCTATCATAATCATCAGAAAGGTGTGACTGTTGAGCTCAAAATCGTAATTTAGTCGTATGTGGAGAAAGAAGAAGATGATGAAGAAAATACCTCAAGCTACAATCAAGCATTCTTGTCACAACACAGGTGCAGCCGGTCATGACAGAGAGTCGAGTCGTACTCGTTGTACAAAAAACTTCTACAGCGCAGCAAAGATCAGCTGAGAAGAAAAGTGATGACAGATGATAATGAAGCAAACCACATGTAAGCCTGCGAACCTGCTGTATACTTCCAAAAGGGAAGCAAATCCGAGCCAGAATGTGTGTATTCTCCATTGTCATGACGTCGAAATAAAATCGAAGTCGTATTGATTTACTTGGTGCTGTGCGTTGGTCTTGGTGCTACTGCTCATATTGATTCCTCATAATGATGTTAATGGGTGCGTTTTCTAAACCTAAAGGTTTCAGGTCGTCTTTGGAGTTTCTCAGTTCTTGAAACCACAACTCGCAATTCCACTCCGCAATGAAAATGCAAAGTGCGTTGCGGTAATATCCTGCAGGGGAAACTGAAGCTGAATGCATATTGGTGCATTTGTGGTAATGCGGTGGGCCCATACCATGACGATGACCCAATAAATGTTGCAAAGGGGAAAACAAAGGAGAAAAACAAAAACCACCCACTGAAAGCTGTTCGGCTAGGTAGCGAAACCAATCCAGTACTTAATACATACTGCGCGCGCGGCGCACGTATTTTATATTACAGCGTCAAGTGCAATCAAATTGTATCTGATGTCGTTTAACTTTATTCTCAAAATGAGTTGTAAATTCGTGAGAAAAACGGCGGATTTCGATTCATCCAACAGTGTAAAACTTTTCTTCGTCATGCATCCAGGTCCAGCAGCGACACAACAGCGCAAAAAATGTCGGAAAAAGTACGGGCACAGCGCGCTCCCGATGTAGTTTCATGTTCATCGGAGGAAATTAAGATCATACTTTCACCCAGAGTTGGTCAGCCCAGCTTCTACGTCCCACCAACCCTAGGAGTGCCGGATTTTTTCGCTCAAAAGGGTTTGCTGCACATCAGACTAGGCTCCGATATGCAGCTGCTCAACTTATGGTTAATATGACTTTCAATTCGTTCTCATCTTGAAAATGAACATGTCGTTTAAATTTGAAACCGCCTTGTACTTGTTACTTTTATCTATCGTTATTTTTCTAGTACGATTGAGGACCCAATTGTTTACTTGGCGCAAAATGCGCGTGCGTACAGGTACACCGTCGTTTGACAGTAGTTTCAACATTTCAGCCGTTTAATACTGCTGATACTGCTGGTTGTAGCCGTAGTATCCGTCCCAACCACCTTGACCTTGTTGCGGTTGCTGGCTTTGCTGGTCCCAGTTTTGCTGTTGAGCATACATGTTGTTCGCCGGAACACCAGGCTTGCCGTATTGCTGTTTTGAATGTCATTCGAAAAACAAGTTTCCTCTGCTTACACTGCTAATAGATAGCAAAGAAAAAAGAAATCTATCACTTGCATCCGATAATACCGAGAGCGACGCTCTTTGTTGAGTGTATTCGTGAAGATCCAAATCCAATTATACCTGCTGCTGCGCATACTGTTGCTGCTGGTTCGGCTGAAACATCATGCTGTTTTGCTGCTGAGCCGGTTGCGCGGCCTGCTGCTGAGCGTACATATTCTGCTGTGCACTCGCCTGCTGCTGTGCGGCATACATGCTCTGCTGCTGCTGCTGTGGCGTTTGCCCGTACATCGGTTGCTGATGACCTGGCAACTGTTGCGGACGCGCAAATCCGGGCGCATTACCGTATTGCTGGTTGTAATTCGGCTGCTGTTGATTGTAATTTGGTTGCTGTTGCTGCTGCTGCGCATACTGCTGTTGTTGCTGCGCATACTGCTGCGCATATTGTTGCTGCTGCGCAGAAGTTGCCTGCTGTCCCGGTGGGCCGGGAGGTGCACCCGGGGCTGCACCCGGCATGGCAGCCCGCTGCTGCTGCTGCGCCTGCTGCACTTGGGCAGCCTGTTGTTGAGCAGCGTACTGGTTGTAGTACTGTTGCTGCGCTGCCTGCTGCGCCGGAGTCTGTTGTTGCTGACCGTAGAGTGGCTGTTGTCCGTACTGCGATGCTGTCTGCTGTGACAACTGACCGAAGCTGGACGTTGTGCTGCCCGGTGCCTGCTGCTGGAGTTGGTTCAACAAAGTCTGTCCCGGTTGCATCACACTCGTTGCCGGCGTCATCGCGCTTCCGATTTGCGAGGCCGCTTGCTGCTGCTGATGATGCTGTTGTTGGTGGTGCTGTTGTTGCTGCTGCTGATGTTGCTGCTGCTGTTGTTGCTGCTGCTGCTGTTGCTGTTGTTGCTGCTGCTGTTGGTGCTGCTGTTGCGCAACTGCAGCCTGTTGCTGCTGATTGTACTGCTGATTGTTAGTGTAATTTTGTTGCGCCGTTGGGGCGGGTACACCTGCTGGCAATTGCGGTGTCTGGCTCGGGGGAGCTCCTGGAACACCAGCAGCTCCAGGGACTACGACGTTAGTGGTCGAAGCACTGCCTGCTGCACTACCCTGCTGATGTCCTAGTTGCTGCGCGGCACTACTATTGTTTTGCGGGGTTGCCATCGGCGTCGGCACCCCCGTCGGTTGCTGGTAACTGTGCGTCGCGCTTTGCGGGGTGGGGGTCGCGCCGGTCGTGTTCTGCTGCTGGTTATTAGTCCCGAACCCGCCAAGACTCGGGGTCGGCGCGCGGGACAAGTCGTTGGATTTTTTTCTGGCCTGTTGCTCGGCGGCGTACTTGGCCGCGGCATTCGGGTCCAGCTTTTCCACTTGTTCGTCAAAGAATTCGATGATGACTTGCGCGGAGATCGGGTTCCTTTGTTCCGTCTTGCGGCCCCAGCCGACGAAGATGTCCGCCGGCACGTCCTTCTTGGCCCCGGTGGCCTTCTCGGACCGCGGCTTCACCGACATGGAGACCCCGGCGATGTTCACGTAGACGCCGTCGCGAATCAGCTCCTTGCTGTTGCGAACCGCCTCGTCCTTGTCGGACCGCTGAAAAAACCAACAGAGCATGTCTCGGTGCCGCTCGTCTCGGAACGTCAACAGCGCGCAGCCAATTTCGGAGTGTTTCTTGGCGACCTGAAGACAGATGATTGTTGATCTTGTTTATCTAAAACTAAAACTTGTACAAGAGATTACCAAGCCAGGATGGATTCAGTACGTATAAAAATCAGTCCTCGCGGCGCACCACGCTTCGTCACATTTCATCACTCCTGAGTATTTATGAATGCCTTTCCTTTTAAACAGTCACAAGTACAATGATGAACTAAAGTACGGTATTATACCATGTATTTCCCCTCTTTTTCCTCTGCTTTCCGATCTCTCTCGCCGCCGCCGCGCGTTCGGCCCTCGTCGCCGCCGTCCATGCCACTATTCCTGCGTTCCCGGTTCCCGTAGTCCTTGCGCTCGGACATCTGCATGCGCTCCACTCGGTCGTCCCTGTAGCTGAAATCTGGTCGTCCAGACGATCCTTTGTTGTTCATGCCCCCACCACCTCCACGGTGGTTGTCGTTGTATCGGCCACCTCCCTTGTTGAAGCCTCCCTTGTTGCCACCAGCACCCCCCTGGTAGTCACCGGTATTGCTGTCAAACATGCCTCGCGGGTCGCTTGTCTGGGTGGGTGCGCGGCCCTGGAACCGGTCGGCGACGGTGGCGACGCCGGGTCGGTTAAAGTTGTTGTTCATGCCGTTCCCGGACGCGCTCGTGTAGTCCCGCCTCTCGCCGGTGTTCATATCGCGTAACCGACCCGCATGCTCCGGGGCCACGCGGTCTTGCACCCTGCCGTTCATCACCATTTGCGTCTCGTGGCCGTGGTTCGGACTGTCGTGCAGGGAACCGTAATTCGTCTTGGACGGACGGGGCTGTGACCAAAGTTGCCGATTTGAACAGATACGAAATCAAAAATTTTCATTTTGGTCTTCTAGGCAATAGTAAGTCTAACTAGATTCTTTGTATATCAAACCCAATGTGGTGCCCTTAAACATACCTGAAATAACTAAAAATGCGCTTAGAACATATCATTTGTACGCTGAAAGACTTCTTGCCCTTCTCCTCTCCTTGCAAGTCGTCCCATCCTGAGAGCACCTCATCGCCACCCTGTGAGTCGTTCGAAATTGCAAGAATCTATAAATGAAAATCTGTGTGTGCATTTTTATGCGATTTGAAGCACAAATAGTACGGATACTTTTCGTTTTCCGATCAATGCATACCATGGAAGCACCATTAGCACAGACATCCTCAAAGGCGCCGGATAACTAGCGCAAGTACCTTCCCGTTGCTTTTTCCATCATTCTTCGGACCCTTCTTTCCCGCGAGCGGACCGCCGAATTTACTTCCGGCGTTTTTTGTTGAGGGCGTCGCGTTGAAGCGGTCGTACCCGTCCAGACCGGGTACCGCGCCGTAGTCGGGCGCGTCGTCGTACGCCTGAATGGGAGTTGAGATTGCAGTTTCGGCATGACAAAGCGAAATAAACTTCTCTTCAAAAATACTGCCTAGCATGGTATGCTCCAAGTTGGCGAAATTATTTGTGATGCATTTTGTACATCATGTTGTAAGGGAAATTTGTATTGCATAACATGCACGAAAATGATGATCCATACCTGCTTATTGGAAAGCGGCGACATCATTCCTTTCTTTCCGCCTGCTGGCCCGCTTCGCTCTGGACTTCCTGGGGGCGATTCCCTACTGTTTTTCCCTTCCACCATGCTGGCCTGCTTCGCAGCGCGGGCTCGCTCCATATTTGATATGTACCCCGGACCCTTCTTGCCGCCCATGGCTTGCTGGTGGGCGGGGACTGCTCCTGATGGAGCAGCTCCTGCGCTCAGACCATCGTCGTTGTTCTTGGTCATCTTTCCACCCTTGTTGGCCCCCCGTTCCGGACTACTGTAGTCGCCTCCGGCGCCCTTGCGGCTCGCAATATGGTGATCTCGCTCATCCTGATTGTACGGGTCAAGAACTACTTTTCCGCCCTTCTTGTTCATTTTCCCATAAGAAGTATGATCCGCCGCGCCGCCCTTCTTGCCGCCCTTGTAGTTGTACCCGTCGTCGTCATCCGTCGTGTGCAAGTGCACCTGCCCCAACTTACTGGCGGTGGACTCCTTGCTCTGTGTGGGGCTGTCGCTGAGCTGCGCGGCTGCGCGGGTCAACTCGCCGAGCGTCTTGGGCCGCTCGGCCTCCGTGATCTCGCGCCAGTCGTTCAGTTCGCGGTCCCAGATGTGGTTGCGGTACCACTCCTCTTTCTCTTTTTTTTTGGCTTCTTTTTTGGCCTTCTTTTCGTCGAGCTTGCGCTGCTCCTCCTCCTCCCAGGCCTTGCGCTCCTCCTCCTTCTTGCGCTTCTTCTCCTCCTTCTGAAGCCGCTTTTCCTGGTAATTGTGATAAGAATTTACACGACAAACATGCACTCTTGTATCATTATCAAGCCCAAGCAACATCTTGGAGCCCTGATTTGTGTTTCACGAATGCGAATGACAAAAAGAGAGCTGATAGATACAGTTCTAGTTGAAGTTTCCTTCAGGAGCAGGACAGTAAAGTACATTACTAGGTAATAGTTCTCTTGCGATACAAGCAGTCGTGAAATTGTTGAAGAAAATACCTCCTCCCAATCCGCCCACCATTTTTCCTCCGCGGCTTTCTTCGCTGCCTTTTTTTCCGCCTTTTCCCGCTTCTTCTCTTATCACAGAGAAAAAAGCCTGCAGATTTGTAATGCAAATATAATGATAAATAATCTGTCATGGGCGGACCCATAGCATAGCATATGCAATACAGTTTTTTTTTAAAAATTTTCTGTGTATTTATTTTTGCATTACTAATGATGTGACCTGCCGGCTTTTTTCTGTGTGATATCTCTTCCTCTAAACGCTTCTTCTCCTCCTCTTCCTGTCGTTTTCTTTCCTCGACCGCCATCTTCTGGCGCTCCTTCTTGGAGTATGACAGGGCACAACTCCCCCTCACCCTCATTTGCGTTGCATGAACAGCAACACAAGCGCGGGCAAAGAAAAAGATGCAGCTTTTGCATGACAAATTCCTAGGAGATTGTAGTGCTGTTTCGGATGCCGGAATCTGTCATGCAAACAGTACTAACAGGCAAAGGGTGGATTTGGTATTTTGCATTACTAATGCGGGGGAGGGGGAGTTGTGCACTTTCATATGGAGATTACCGGTTTCCAGGCGTCTGTCACCTCGGTTTTTTCCGCCAGGATGGCGTCCACCTGACGCTGCACGGCATCCTCGTCGCAGTCGCACTTTTCCACGATCTCGCACAGCTCGTTCTTGCTGTACGCAAGGTCCTGGAGCATGGGGTACAGGTTGTCCACCAATTTCTGCCCCTTCGCCGGGAGAAAATCGTACAAATTTTGCTTTTTCCCATCGTCGCCAAGAATCTCCAGCACCCGCCGGCTCTGCGCCACGCGGTCGTCCATGGTGTTTGCGTTCTACTTTCGCGGAAAAGGGGGGAAGTGCTGTAGAAGTCGCGGAATGGAATATCGGAGGTCTTATTCAACGAAATATTTTTTTATCGCCGGGTTTTAATTTTGTCGTTTTCTAGTTGGCGTGAAAAGAATGTAAAAATCTAATGGTCTTGTTCTAATATTATCGTGTTCATTTGATGCCAAGTGTAGTTCCTGCGTTCTTTTGATAGTACTTCTTCTCCTCGTTCATAGCAGTCTGTAGTCGAGCGAAAAAAAAAATCCTGTCCTACCAGAAGTATTTTTATGAAAAGCTGCAATTTTTTTCTGCGTCATTAATTCGTCCTTTATTTGCTTTTCTCCTCGCACAATCTTCAAACTAATATTATCGCTACTTTTTGATTTTGACAATTTCGATGGTCCTCCTCGGAGTTCAATGCTATACTGATCTGACGAAGTGCCGCTGTAGTGGGTCATACAGAAAAACTTAGAACATTTTGAGTCGCAATTTGGTGGCTGGCTCGTCGCTAACGCCAATCTATTATGACGAAAAAAAAAATCTGCGTAAAAAATACTCAGATCGCGTGGTTTGAAGACTTTCGTGCAGAGAAAAATCGAAATCGAAAAATAAACGAAGATCTTCGAGTCTCAGTTTTCAACGAGCAAAAAACTACGAGCATATTGTTCAGCTTGAGCGCGTTTTTTCTCATCACAACATCAAAATCAAAAGCAGAAATAGATCCACATAGTCCTTCTTTTGTTCAACGCAGTTTTTGGGGCACTCATTCACGTTTGTACGACAAACGAGGCGCAAGAACTTTGCAAGCGCATGATCACACACGCCGAGCCAATGCGCGAAGATCATTCCTTTCTTACTTCTGGAATCGAGCTATTTAAACACGAGACGGTTACACGAGGAGATAGAGATTGCAGAAGGAACATAATGATGGACCTGCTCTATCGTACTATGACGTAATGCTTCGCAAAGACCACGAGCAAGGTCCCGGCCTGCTCTACCTTGAGTTTCAGGAAGCAAAGGCGGGAAGCTGAGTTTCTTTTAATTTGGAGGCCAAGTACAACTTCACGGAAAGTTTTTTCTTACGACGACGTAGGAATTCTACATTCGATTCAATAGTTTCTGTCTTACATCATACATAACATCATAGACAAGATCTCAAAGTTCTTCTGTAATTGCGGTTGGCAGAATTGCAAAAGGGCTTAGAATTTATGGCAAACGTCGGATTTTTTATTCACACGTCGGAAAGGAGAGTAGAAATAATCGCTTCATTTTCTTTGCGTTTCGCAGTCAACAAACAAAGTAGAAGTCGGAGGTCTTGATGACATACTAGAGGCGGTGGAATTCATTATATCAGAGTATGGTGCACCAAAACTAACAACTTCTGCGCAGAGAAGTAGTCAAGATCAGTTAAATGTAAAGGATTTTATTTTGTGGACAGCGGCTAGATATTCAAGATCAATAAAAAGTCAGAACCTATAGCGATGCTAGCAGAGGAGAAAAGACTGTCGGTTGTCGTTGCCCCGGTCGTAGGCGGATTCATTTATTGAGGTCAAACGCATTCATACTCATTGATTCACTGTCGGCTCACAGGCAAACGGCGTCGGCGCAAAAGTATAAGTACAATAATCGATACCGGACTACAAGGATAGAACCTGCAGCAGGCTGGACTCTGTTCGCGTAGTTACTTCTTAGGTTCTCACCTAAACTACACCTATGCCGACGCGAGTAGAAACTTGTTTACCAGATCCGCATATCAAATGTAAAAATGTCTGGGTCTGGAAGATTCCGGAATTTGTGATGCATGTTTTCTATGATCCGTGACGCATGTAATGCATGATCTAGCATCACAGATTTTTAGAGGCCTTCCTGATGCCTATTCCGCATGAGAAATGACCTCTCCGCGTAACACAAACTGGACTCCTGATGCTGCTCACGCAATACAGATTTTTTTGGAATCCAAAGACAGCATGACAAGTTGCATTCTTCCAGACCCAGACATTTTTACATTTCATACCGCACAGTCGACGGCCGGGACCCCCGGCGTTTTCAGCTTGTCCATACTTTTGCACCCGTTGAGCACCTATCAAATGCAAATATGTCTGGGTCTGGATGGATGCCATGCACATTTTGCATGACCCCTGATGTCTGTGATGCATGCCCTAGCATCACAGGTTTTGTGAGGGATTCCTGATGCCTATACCGCATGAGAAATGCCCTCGCGCCGTGGCAAAAACTGGACATCTTTTGCTGTCCATGCAATACAGATTCTTCTAGAATCCAAGTCCAGCATCACAAGTTGCGTCCTTCCAGACCCAGACATATTTGCAATGCATAGCACCAAGGCGTGCACCATTTTCACGTCCTTCATCACGTCCCACTGTGCCGCAGAGACGCCCAACGTGTTGATCGCGAGGGTTCTCTCCACGTACGTCGGGTTCCCCTGCATGCTTCTCAACTGCTGGTTCGTCAACTCCGCCGTGACATAGTTGCCCGGGTAGCCGAACAGGTTGGCCGCGCCGACGTGCCCGTTCGTGAGCGGGGGCGGCGGGTTGTTGCTGTTGGTTGCAGCTTTAGCACTGCCCCCATACCACCAGTCCACCTGTTCGTCGCTGTCTAAGACGAGAAAGCCCAAGACCATGTTGTCCTGCTCCACCGGTTTGCGCTCCATCAGCCATTCCAGCGGAAAATTGTCCAGGGTCCCCCCATCCGCGAACGGCTCCACGGCGTAGTGGACTTGGCCGGTCCAATCGGCGTATTTTCCGAAGGCGGGAAGGTTTTCCGGGGCGATATGGGATTCTCAAACGTTACGTTCTCAGCTGTTACGTGATTTGTGACGCAAAAGCGCCATAAGCTGCAACACGATCAAGCCACTTCGCATGGCAAATTCCCGCAGGGACAAACAGCATCGAAATCTGTGCCAAGTTTGTGATGCAAGACGAGTTGCAAGCTTGCCTCTCTCGCTTTTGCTGCTCTTGCGTCACAAATTCAGTAACAGTTGAGAATGTAACAGTTGAGAGCGCCATATGCAGGTAAAAACGGGTTGGTGTAGGGAGCCACGTTGCCTACGTAGTGGTACTCGCGGGGATCTTCGTCTGCTGTGGACAGTATGCGAGCTGCTGCACGACGAGGACCATGCAATTGATGTTCTAGCTCCTGTTGGAGGTCGACGTGTTGTTGATGTTCGTGTCCTTGCAGCGTGCAGGATGTGCTGGCCAGCTCCACACCTTGACCTTGTTCGTCTTCATGAGGTCCCACAACTGCAACTGCTTGAGTCTTCGCTTTATCCTTGTTCGCTTTATTCTGCTCCCACCTCCGGTTTTCCAGCAACTTCAGACACGCGTCCGTTTTCGGAAGCTTCTGGAAGAATCGGGCCTGGAAGTAAAAGGGCATGCTGCTCGACGTCACCACTGCGTCGCGGATCGGCATGTGGGGCACGGTTTCGTGGCTGAAAATGACGGATTTGGACTCCGCGACGGAAAACACCACGACGAAGAGCTCCTTTTTCTTCTGCTCAAACAGCTCCAGAAACGTGACATCCTCCGCAAAGCCCTTGGCTTTGATCGCCGTCGTGAGTGCCTCGCGCAACGGATCCCCGGTATTCCACCCGTACCGCTCGAAAAAACTCTCCCGGATCCGGTTCAACGTCTGTAACGGATTGTGTTTAAAATCCTCCCCCGTCGGTCCGTCCGCAAAGGACGCCCAGTCGATCTTGGTCAAGAAGGCCAGCAGTTCCTTGGGTGTGTAGCCCAGCACCACCAGCATCGCCGTGATACTGCCCGCCGAGGTGCCCATGGCGCCGTCGACCAGACTGGACAGGGGCGTGTCCCAATTCCACTTCGATTTTCCGGGGGCGGTCATGCGCGCAAACGCGCCGGCGTAGCTCACGGCGCGGACGCCCCCGCCCGCAAACACCCAGTAGCGGTTCACGGTGGCCCAGCTGGTGTCGTCCTCATCCTCTGGATGGTCGTTGGTCGTTGTGCTTCCTGTGCTTAACGGGGATGAGGAGGACTCGCCACTATCATCTTGGAAAGAATCATCCAAACGGCTCCCGGGAAGGTAACGTGGTTCACCACTTGCAGAGGATGCAAGAACACGACTCCGGTGGCCGAACGGGACGATATTAACGGTTTTGCTCTTGCTGCTGCGAGTAGAGCTTGCTCCGGTTGCCGCATTTTTTGTGATCTTCGCCGCTATAGCTCCTATAGACGACCTATCGGCCGCCACGCCACGGGACGACGAGGCAAATGGAAGTAAAGATTTTGCAGCTCCCGCAGTGCTGGTCCTAGTGCTCGTCCTAGAAGTAGATGATTCTTTCGAGTTCTTCCTGCTGTTCCCAGCAGCACGACTGGTCGCGCGACCGCTCGAATCCTTGGAACCATTCCGAAGTTGCTGCCGTACGGCGGGAATGACGGCGCCCCCGAGGAACGCACGACGCTTTCCGAAGGCGAAAATACTAGAAACCCCGTGTAGCTCTTGTACATGTACTAGGGATGATCCAATGCCACTGAATAGCAGAAATACACGGAGTAAGGCAGCAAGGAGGATCTTTGACGACGCAGCTCCTTTGGAGCACAAAGGGACGACGTTTTGCGGCCGAGACATTTTTGGTTTGGGATATACTACTTTTATCAACGTCGTTTTTCGCGTTTACCTCTCGTGGTTTCCTTTTGTACAGTGATACTCCTTGATGCTATGAATTGATTATCGTTCATGTAAAATCCTATGCCACTTGTTTGCACAAAACACCGAACAACCAAGACAAAAAGAAAAACGGCGTCGCTTCAAAAAAATCAAAAATTTCTTCGTAGTGTTCATCTCCCAGGCGGGATGCTCATGATCTTAGGCCACAAATGAGGTCACAATTTGTGAGGATCAACTTCATGGGGATGGATCTTCATCAACGTGGTGGTCTGAGTTCTTCTTGCAGCTACCGACTCGACATCAATTACCGAACATCAGTCCCTCTTGTTTCCTTCCAGTTCTCCTCGTGCAGAACACTTTCATGAAAAATGGAATTTCATCTGACAGAAATACTAAAAGCATCCGCCAAAATTGGAGCATGATGAAAAATCTACCTGCAAGTATCGTTTTTAATAAATCCGTATTCAAAAATTCATTCGTTAAGCTCTTGCTCTCTCCGTGTCCGCAAAGGTTTTGATGGTTCTGCATACGCGATTACGTTATAGCACTGTGTAGCTGCGATTTGTACTCGTAGCTAAGCGGTTCGGTAGTGCTTCGTACTTTTTCATGTGCTCGTCGATTCCGTGCCATGCAAGAGGATTCACTGGGTCGGTAATGTTTTTTTTACCAGAAAATTTAAGTTTGTCAGTGCTCTACTTCAAAAATCACGATTGGCTGGGCTTTATCATCTGCAGATCAGAATACAATGAGCCGCCAAACAAATCTTGTTGTTGATGAAAGAATAAACCAAGAAAGAAAGTGCAATAACAAAACAGTGTCAACACTGTGTCGTCGTGTAAAGGATGAATATGACAAAGTCTCTACGCAAGTTTAATTGTAACTGAAAAATGGAACTCCTGGTGAAAGTGCCTTAATACATTATGATCGGCATTCTCCCATGCACAACTCCCGATGTAATAGATTAATCAAATGAACACATATACTCGTCTGTCGGTCACCACAGTCTGACGGGCCTGTAACCGCTCCACGCTCCTGCGTAATGCCAGTTGTGCTCCTGTTGACCGCTCCTATTGTATTGTTACTGTAGAAATCGATTTAACAATCTTGAAAACTTGTACTGTTTGTTACTGGATTCCTGTTTCTCCCTGAAAAAAATCTTCTCCGCCTCAGAAAGTTCTGCTGTTTGCTGACTTGAACGCCCCCGGGTAGCTCATTGGCTCGAATATCATATGTAAAAACGTCCCCACCCCATAGTCAAGTTGGGAACTTAGCAACACAAACCCAGAAGCTTTGGGAGCAACGCATGACAACTTCCAGTCCGTAGTGTAGTGCAGTTTAGAAAGTGCAGCCGCATCACAAATCCATCTGCTCATCCCGTTTACAGCATTACAAATTCCAAAACGCGCTTGAAAATGCCTCTCATGGAGATGCACATTACAAATGTTCCTGTCATGGCGAATCTGCATGACAACTATGGTGTGGGGACGTTTTTACTCAGGATATCGAAGTACTCGTCGTCATTCGCCATCTGGGCGGCGGATATGCGGTGCAAAAGTCTTTTTTCGTACTTCTTTTTCTAGTAGCAATTGCATGACAGATTCATCAGGCAAGAAGAAGAGTCGTGTTATTTGTCATGCTGATTCAGGTTACTTACTAGGAGAGACCCTTCTGATACATGGCTCCACTTAGAACGAGTACAACGATAAAGAACTTTTGCAGTTGATAGCGGACACCGGTATGTGAATGTTTGCGTCCGCCATGGTGCCGCCTGCCAGCAAAGCCTGTTCCATTTTTTCGAATTGCTTTACCCGGGCAATGGCCTCGTTCTTCAGGTCTCGGATCATTTTCAGTGTTTCGTTTTTGTCCGACGCAGCACCGAGGTTCGGCATCGGCGAGGTCACGGCCCCGTAGTGCATGTTTGCCGCCGTTTGGACGTCTGGCATTTTCGACGCCCGGTCCACATACTTCTCCCCGCCTCGCTGCATGTAGACCCCGAAAGCCGCGCCAGCGGCTTTTTTGTCTTTCAAAGGGGAAGCCACATCGTCCAATTTCTCCTGCACCACCTTGTCGCTCAGTCGCTGTTTGTGGTCGCTGGTATGCATTGCAAAAGTATCGTACTAGTATAAATCGCATGACAAATTTATATCAAAAAGAAAATTGGAATTTGTAATGCAGATTTGGGTAGGAAGCCAGATTTGTCATGCATACCTGCAATTCATACGAGTACGATACTTTTGCAGTGGATAGCTGGCGCGCTTCTGCAGCTCCTGCTTCTGATCCGAGGACAATCGCCTCTGGGCGGGGGAGAAGTTGTTCTTGTTCCCCGCCTGGCCGGGGGATCCGGGACCGCCGTCCCCCTTCCCCGCCTTCTGGCCCTTCACCCTCGCTAAGGTCTTCGTGGCCTGCTTCACGCAGTCCGTCGGCCAATTGTTTTCGAACTTCCACTGGTAGACCAGCACCGGGGCCTCAATCGCCCGCTGGTCCGACGGTTGGTACTTGAACGCGTCTTCCCGTTTCTGCTTCAGCGGCGCGTACCTGGTCCACGGGTCAATCTCGATCACGTACGGGATTTTTTCCGCGTCCTTGTTTACTTTCTTCAGCTGCAGGTTCACGTGGGACCGCTCCCCATACTCGCCCTTCCCGGCCTCCTCGGTGATGCAGAGCCGCTGGCAGTACTCGAAGTGGCTGGACAACTGCTGCACAAACTGCGACTGGTGCGCCTCCCACGGGAGCAGATTCTTCGTGTCCTTCGCGGTTGTTTTTGCATTCTCGTACCGGGGTTGCGGCTGCCCCGGGACTTCGCCGGTAAATAACTCTTGGTTCCACACGTTGTCCACGGCGTAGCACGTGTCCATCACCGCCTGCCACCCGCGCTTGAGCCCCAGCCCCATGGGCCAGAAGGGCTCCAGCAACGAGTCGCCGCACAGACCCAAAGGCGGGGTCCAGTTCGTGCCGCCGTCGGCTTGGTTCTTGCTGGGATCCGGCAAGTTCACGCAAAACGACTTTTTGCAGTTCCAGCACTCGGCAAAGTCGAACGCCATCACGTCGTTCGGCGCTTTCACGAAACCACCGTTAGAGCCCTGCTGCGGGTCGAAGGGGATGCCGGAGGAACCGAGAATCTTTTTCACGTACTCGCGCAGCTTTTATGAACATGCACAACTCCCCCTCGTCCCCCTCAGTTGTATCTGGCATGAACGGCAATACAAACACGGGCACATCACGTGGAGCCTGTGCATGACAAGTTCTTTCACGACTCGACTAGCATAGTACTGGTTGGGCTTCCGGAATCTGTCATGCAAACAGTGCCACAAGGCAGTGCCTGGTTTTGGGATTTTGCATTTACAAATGAGGAGGATCACGAGGGGCCACTGTGCACGCCCATAGCTTCTCCTTTTCGTCCACGTCCTTTGATGCGACCTGCCGGGTATGGAGTGCAAACATGTCTGGATCTGGAAGGATGCAACTTGTGATGCTACCTTTCGATTCTAGAAAAAATCTGTATTGCGTGGGCAGCAAGGGGAGTCCAGTAGCTGCTACGCGGAGAGGGCATTTCTCATCCGGTATAGGCACAAAACCTGTCATGCTAGAGCATACATCACAGACATCATGGGTCATGCAAAGTGTGCATGACAAACCTTCCATTCATCCAGGAGACCCAGACACATTTGCAATCCCTACCGGGCTTCGGTGTGGTGGTAGATTTTCCCGGAAATCCCGTGTTTGATCAGGTTCTTCCTGGTCGGGGCGAAAATGCAGTAGTTGTGCGTGGCGGCGCGGTAGTAGATCACCACGTCCAGGTCGATGTCGACCTCGTCGAGGATTTTTTTGAAAATATCAACTGCAAATATGTCTGGGTCTGGAAGGATGCAAGGTTGTCATGCTTGTCTGGCATGACAGAAAAACTTGTGACGCAGGTCCAACAAGAGACCCTTTTACTTGTCATGCGAAAACGCAGCTTGTCATGCGGGAAGCGCAACACTATAGCCGAGCACGTATTTCTCATGCTCTGCTGTGCATTACAGGGTGTTTTCTGTTCACAACCCAGCATTACAAGTTTCCAGACCCAGACATATTTGCACTGCATAGAAGAACGGCTTGAACAACATTTTCGACCGGTTCATGTCCTCCAAATCTTTCGAATATTACAATGAAAAATGCCCCCACCCCCGACTTAGGAGCATTTGTATTGCAAACCTTTCCAAATGAAGCGTTCGCTTTCTTGCATCTATCAGCATCACAGGTTTCTTATCGTTAATAGGAAAAATTTGTATTGCAGAAGACCCCAGCAAGAGCGGCGCTTGTCAGGCAAGCGATGCGATACACACCTAGACTCTGCATTTCATACCCCTTTCATGCATGACAGAAAGGTTTTATTTCGAAACTTCGCATTACAAATTTTTGCAACTTTGGGGGTGGGCGCATTTTTCACTGTAATATCGAAAACCCGAGCTCCATGGCGCGCTTCCGCGTCAACTTCTCGATGTTCGCCACAATCCCCACGGCGTCCATGAATTTCCGCTTCTCGATGCCGCCGAAGTGCTTCTCCAGCTTTTCACGGACGGTACTGCGCGGCCCGTCGCAACCCAGGATCACGCCGAAAACCTGTTGGAATGATCGGAATTTCAAGATAAAGGTTTAAGTTGGCTCATACAAGGGTTGTAATTGTATCTTTACATTTTCTACTGTTTTCTCGATTTCGTCGTCTGAAGTTAATTGCAGAGTTCGAGTGCCGAAACACTGCTGGGACGAGGAGGTGAGACAAACTCGCAACACAAATATAAAGAAACGACCAAACCACTGTCATAAAAATCTCCTGAAGCTAGTCCACCTAGTACCTCTTTGTCTTCCGCTCCTTTACCGTACTTTTTTTGCGCCTCGGCGTCGTAACTGATTGTCACGTTCCAGCGTGGTGGCGTCTTGTCCTTCCCGGCCACCACCTCCGCGTCGACAAACCCCGCCCCCAGGCGAAACTCGACACCCAGTAACAGCAGGTTCTTCAGCAACAGACACTGCAACTCGTCGATGCCGATCGAGCTGGTGTGCGGCTCGGTAAACACTGGGTAGCAGGCCTTCTGCGACATCAGCTCCTTGCCGTTCAATTTTTCCAAGTCCTGCTTGAGAAAGGGCCAGTTGTGCGGCCGGTTGATGCGGTTGGTGAAGCCGAGCGAACCCTTGCCCTTGTCCTCCCGCCTCTTCTCGCAGACGGTCACCTGGTGGCCACCTAACACAAGCTCGATGGCCAGCCGCATGCCCACCGGACCGCCGCCGGCGATCAGAACTTTCTGGGGCACGATCCGTGGATTCTTGTTGGGGCGACCCAGGTTGTTAATCTCATTTGGGCGGTAGAGAGTGCCTGTGGGGAGAATTTTGATTTTCATTTTTTTCTCAAAGAAAGCATGAAGAAAATCGATATCTTTATCCGCTTTATTTTCTATTCGACATCACCACCAAGAACACGCAAGCGCAACTATATGTATATCTGAATTAATTATGATGCCAGAAGTTTTATCATAAAAAGAACTACCTCGTCGCTCCAGCTCGTCAAAGCGTTGCCACATGCGTGGCCACTTCCAGTTGCCCCCGTCGCCGACGATGGCGCGGATTTTTTCGTAGGGAAACACATCCCCCGTGACACCGTCCACGGTGTTTACCTCGACCGATTTCAACTCCTCAGTCCATAACTTGTCCCAGATGGCCAGCAGCCCCTCGCCCTGCACATCTGGCGGTTGCGCGGCCAACAGTTCCTTGAGCTTCTCGGTGGTGTTTGCCTCCAGGGCTTTCAAAGCATGGTCTGGATACGACATCTTGGTGAAATCTCTTGGTGGAGGTGTGGAAAATACTGAAATGGAATTTTAGATTTATTTGAACAGGGAATACTAATAAATTACAACGAGTGGCTCGAAAGTCAACACGTGAAAGTCAAATTTTGTTTCATACGGCAAAACCAAAATGTTCTTGTGTGGCAAGTATACAAGTAAAAGTTGCGCTGAAGTATCGGGTATAATAAGCAACGGGCGACTTTCACTGTATCGGGGATGTGAGGTTTTCTTTCTTTTGCTTTTCAGGCCAAAGGAGTTCGACAGAATACGCCTGGCCGCGTGCAGAGAGGCTAATACTATACGAATGCGACGTATGCGCTCCTGCTTCACCATCAAGGACCGAGCTATTACGTCTACGAGGACACCGATTCGGAATCTTGATACCACGCCAGTTCTTCTACTTTTACGTATGAAAGCTGCGACCGAAAGCAAATAGATTGAAATACACGGCGACCGATCTTTCACAGTACTAGCGTCTACCGATTTACTCGATAGCGCACGAAGTAGTGTCTACTCTGTCTGACATCTTCCTAGGAAAGAATTGTTCACGATATGATGCTGTCATTTTTGTCTCGCACCGAAAGTACTTCTATCTTGGTGTTGTAGCAACATTTGACAGTGATGGAAGCACGACCGGAACACGACGGCCTTAGCGCTGCAAGAGGTCATGTCGTCACAGTTCACTATCTGAAGTACGATACCTTGTAAACTCGTCTTTACTCTTCTTGTTCTTTTACTTTTTCCTTTAGCACTTCATCAAAGTAGAGCGCGCCTCGTACGACGACTCTACCAATCGCAGTCATGTCTACTTCCTTTCTTCTTGCACTTGCTAAACGCCTGCTATGGTTACTGAAGTATAGAAACTTTTTGAGCAAGAATGGGTTTGCTCGTTGACACAGCATTTTGCATGCTGCACTCCTACATGCTTAATGCTTTCACTTACGGTTGCGTTTTCCATTATTTCCTTTCTGAGCTACAAACACAATATTTCGATTTCTTTGCTTTAGGTCTGGACTTTGTTTTTCTACATGATGCGATAATTCGCACCTTCTTCGCTGCCCTTCTTGGTCGCTTCTTTCACACTAGCGCTACCAGTGGGTGCGAGCGTCCGTATCAATCTATACAGGGGTAGTACGGACTGGTGCTGATTCGACTCTTTTTCTGGTACTCTCGCGTGTCTACATGTATTCTGGTACTACTCTGGCATAATATTCGTCATCATTTCATGCTTTCCTCCCAGTATCCTATCGCTTTTCATCCTACCTCCAATAGAGTAGCAAAGGAGCACGCGATCCTCTATATTAATTCAGATGCGATCAATTTCAATCCCACTTATTCCCCCAGCTGCTTTGCTGATGACCGCCCTGTATCAAAAGGAAAAATCCCCCCTCCCCATATCAAAACGGAAATCTGTGATGCAGATTTGTTGTCACAAATCAGCTTTGTCATGCTACACGGGAAAAGATGCGGACTGTAGTGCTGGGTGGCGTGGGGGAGCCTTGCATCTTCAGCATGATAGGAGGCAGCTGAGAGTGGGCAACAGCATGACAAATTGCCTGCAAACGAGACCACGACTGCGGCTCTTGGCCTTCTAGCATGACAAGTCGATTTGGTACCTCAAATCCTGCATCACAGATTTCCATTTCGATATGGGGAGGGGGGATTTTTCCGTTTGATACCCTGGTCCCAGTAGCTTCCCTTCTGCTCACCCTGCTGGTGCACCGGGCTCCCCTGCGCACTTATTGGTCGGTCAAAAGAAACGGGGCCTGGTTGTTTATTTGGCGGCTTTCGTATTCGTTTCTTCTTCCACCTCTAGCATAAAAACTGTACACGATGCGCTGCTCAAACCCGAGACAAAAATTTGCACTCGCAATTGCATACGAAAGGAGCACAACTCTAGAAAGGTATAGTTTGAACTTGATTCTTACCTGACATGGCGGTTGGGAGCGACATGTTTAGGTTTCCAGAAAACGGCTTCGCAGGTGAGTTGTTCGGGACTGATTGTGGACCAAATTTCGGGACCACACTTGCGAACCTGATGAAACATTTTTATTGTCTGGTACTGGTTTCACATCATGAACTTCATCTGCATGCATCCCTGTGAACAGTCTACTTGTCGAGGACGAAGCTCAACCTCCCCTCTTCCCACGACAAAATTACGATTTTTTATTTAGTACATGTTCGTCGTTGCGCCCCCGGCGCCAGGTGCCACTTGTTTGGCATCCATCATTTTCTTTTGCAGAGCGTGAGCTACTATGCACTGCAAAAGTATCGTACTCGTAGCTAGTCGTATAAATTTAAATGCATTACAAATTTTCTCATCATGGGAAATGAAATTTGTAATGCGGATTTACCCTAAGAAAAAGATTTGTCATGCATGATTGCCATTACTACGAGTACGATACTTTTGCAGTTCATAGCTACGACGTCCAACTGACCCCCCTTTCTCGCCACCAGCTGCTCGATTGTTGGTTTCTGTAGTACAGTGTGTTTTGTATTGTTTGAGATTGAAATCCTGTTCATCTTCACGCACTTGTCATGCTAAAACCGCTAGCGCTAGTTCAAGTTCTTGTACCCAAGAGGACTATAGACATGGACATCTCAAATAAAGTTGTGGTATATCTAAATCTATATTTTTGTTTTATATATAAAACAAAAATATAGATTTAGATATACCACATTAATAATACCTTGACAGCCCTGTCGATTGCTTTCTCCTTTTCACTTTGTGACCCGGCGGCGTAGTAGACGGCTAACCCAAAGGCGACTTTGTTGATCAGGTCCGCTACTATCCACAGGAAATTTCCCGTACACGTACAAAAACAAATGCGGTTTCTGCATGACAAAATTTACCTTCAATCTCGTCCACTCAGGATGACAAGTTGGACACAGCTCCAAGTTAGCGAAATTTGTCATCCATTTTGTAGATCATGTACGGGAAATTTGTATTTCATAGCTACATTGTAAATCGCATTCAAAATTTCCTCCTCGTCGTCACCGCCTAAGTTGCCCGCAACATAGCCGATCGGGTAGAGCGTCCAACCGAAGACGATGATGGCACGCAAAATATGCTGAGTAAAAACGCCCCCACTCCATAGTTGTCATGCAGTTTTGCAGTGACAGGAAGATCTGTAATGCGTATCTCCATGAGAGGCATTTCCAATCGTGTTTCGGAATTTGTAATGCTGTAAACAGGATAAAAAGTAGAGGGCTTTGTCATGCGCCTGGACTTGCGAAACTGCACTACAATACAGATGATAACTTGTCATGCGTGCCTCCCAAAACTGCTGGATTTGTGTTGCGAGATCCCCATCTTGTCTCTGGGGTGGGGACGTTTTTGCTCAGGATACAAAATCTCGAACGCGAGCTGGGCCTCCGGCTTCTTGAATTCCCGCAAGTTCTGCTTACCGCGGAGTCTGTCGGTTTTGATGAGTCGGGCATACACATAATTTGGACAACGAAAAGGAATTTGAATTTCACTCATGCTACTGCTGCATCAATGAGCAAGACAGATGTTCATGTGCGCGCAATGCTAAGTACTCAGGGCGAAATCGAAAAACAAATGTTGAACCACATCATCATGATCTACTCAACAACATCCCAGATTCCTACAAAACGATAACGATAACGAAAACGTTCGATTATACCCAGCGTTCTTCAGTGCTTTCTCCACTTCTATCTGTTTTCTCTTCGCCCCGTTTTCCAAGCTATCGTCGTCCTCATCCATCTATGAATTGCAACAGTATCGTAGTTGTAATCGCGTTCCTGCATTACAAATTTCTTTCTCAAGTTAAATCCGCATTACAGATTTCATTTCTCACGCTGAGGAAATTTGTGATGCGACTCATACTAGTACGATAGCGATGCTATTGCAATGCATACCATCTCGCCGTCCCTCCCGCTCAAGCGCGACAGAAACTTCTTTGCCTCGAGCAGGGATAAGCGCGACGAGATTTTGCTGGCCTCCCCGAAAAACACCTCAAACCCGATGTACGCGTGCATGAAGCAGCCGCAGCAAAAGGCGACCCATTTGTCCATCACACCCGTCTCGCCCTGATGCGAATGCGATAGTAGAAAATACGTCGCGATGTATACTGAAATACATCTAGAACTCGTAAATTCTTGAGCTGAGCTTTGTCATGCAGATCATCCTCGATGAAACGAAGGCAAATACAACAAAGACGAAACAAATAGATTCAATACCATGTATCCGAAGACGAGCATCAATATCGAGGAGAACATGAGTCGGAAAAAAAGATTGCTGCCGATGGGAGTTGAGCTCTCCGGGTTTGCCGCTACCAGTATAAGGTAGAATTCCACGACCTGATAAGCAATTTTGTATGTAAATGTAATGAACGCCTGGTATTAAACCACACCCTCTACGTTAAGCTCGATAATGCTGGGATAGAAACGCGAGGACCTCTAACGAAGTGGGTGCAGCCAAAGGAGGAGTTGTAAAGCCGACAACTATACTACCATGTTGACATGGAAAAATCGACGATTGATCATGAGAAGTACTTACCTGCATCGGCACGGTGATGAGCCAGTCCATGTAGCGGTAGATGGTTATCCCCCAGAAACAAGCAGGCAGGGCATACTTGTAATGCGAAAACAAATACATATACACGGAAAAATTTGTATTGCGCGGCATCCTAAACAGCATGCCATGGGGCCGCCGCCCATTTTTTATTTTTCTGCGTTTTCATTTTTGCATTACAAATCTACCCTGCCTGCTTTTTTCCGTGGGATAATGGTTGGTGCTTTCTTCGTCTCCGCCCATATGTCCTTCATGTAGGTGTAGTGGTGCCATGCTACCCCGGTGACCAGCCCGGCGACGATCATGCTGTTTGCCCACCTTCTTGGCACCAGGAAAACCTGAAAGAAGAAAAACACGGTGGCGGCGAGCTGCATACTGGCGGCGAGCCAGAAGGACAGGCCCACGTGGTCATCCGTCTCGAGTGCCACGGCGAGCCTGGATTGTATTTTCGATCAAGTCGTTGATTATGATTTTCATCTTCACATGAGATTGCTACGTGCTCTTAAATTTTTGGGCGCGTAGACGTCGCATACAGAAAAACAACAGAATGAAACATACAGCAGATGATGCAAGCAGACCAAAAGCAAAGCAACCAAAGCGACACAAAATAAAAATGTGAACGACATCCACAAGATGAAACCACGCGCTCGTAGCAAGTACCTTCTGAGAACTCCCTGCTGGCTGACAGCATCCTGGAGGTGCTCCAGCTTGTCCTGCAACACGCCCAGCTCCTGTGGCGATAATGCGTGCATGTTGTTTCTTGTTTCCCTATATTACACTACACTCAAACTCAAAACTCAAGAAACAAACTGCACGTCTCCTTAGCTGCACTCAAGAACAGCCCATTTCCTACTCCCGAAACGTCAAGTAGGGATTGAGCGACTGGCCACTTCATCAACGCTAGAAACGCTTACTTCATCCTCTCCATTTTCTCATTTTTTCCCCCTGACTCAAACCTCCTCAGATTACTGACTTGCTGGTGTTCCCCGTTGTCAAGAATTGGGTTGATAACTCCCGTCCGCAGAAAAAAAAAGCTGCTCATGCGCTCTCTTGTACAGCTGTACCACTACCAGCGAAAGCATATAAATTCCCAAGTTGAACGGAGTAGTAGGAAAAACACGGGACGAGGACACAAAAGAAACGCATCATGCTTGTGTGGCTTTGCTCAAAGTATCCACTTTTTTATGTTGCCTAAACTTGTGTTTCATGTTCACGTGTTGGAAAGCTTCTATACAGTTCAAGCCAACGCGTCTGCTCTACTGGTCGTGTATTGTATGTTCGTGTGTCGTACTTACTTTTCATCACTAGATAGAGGTCCGATTCCTCAACAACCATTTTCCAATTGGGTTTGAACTTGCTCTTCTAGCACGGGCGGGACTAACTTCGTTGACTTGCAGCTCGAACTTGGTGGTCTCAGCCTTGGTGACACTTGAAACTGAAAGCTATGCTAATGAATTCTGTTTACGCATATTTCCTTCCATCAGAAGTACGTGGTCGTACGTCGCTAAGTTTTTGACGATTTGATTCTTGATACTTTCTTTTTCCTTAACTCTGGCTGATGTAATAGTTTTAGTTTGCTTTTTCAGCGTCTTTTGATTTTTACATAATGAATACAACGGCTCTTCAACAACCTTGTTCAGATTTAGCAGATTTACAGCACATGCACCTGCAGCTCCACTCCGACGTGAAAAGCGCACCTTTTCCAGGATGTGTTTCTTTTCACTAGTTTTCCACCTTCAGTAGAAACAAAACATTATCCGATGACAATCATCTGCTCCTTGCTGCGATTTGGTGACCCCTTGGTTGCGGAGCTCCGTTTGTTTTGCTTCAGTACGATTTCCATGCCGCCCGACTTGGGATCGCCGATGGAAATTCCGCCGGTCTCCGGGTTCATCTGTGTTTTATATGTGATGAAAAAACTACTTGAAGTTGAACTTACACAAGAAAAAAAACGCTACCGCATCTCCTTCATCAGCAACTTATGTAGTTGGGTCGATTTGCATAGTACCATGATGCTGCTTTTTCTCTTGCCGCCACCACCACCGCCTCCAGACCCGCCCCCACCGCCGAAGGAAATGCCCCCGGTCGCTGGGTCGATCGAGATGCTTGCCCGCTGCGCTTGGTTCTGCTTATTTTTCGGTGGCGGCATTGGTAGTTCGATGTCGTCAAAGTCCGACGGGGTGTCGTTCCCCGGCCTGCCCCGGCCGAAATTCGGATTTTGGATGATCTGCTGAGACGACGCCGGCGTCTGCTCGAACGTCGGTCTCCCGCCGGGAACCACGTTCGCCATTTGGTTCGGACCACCCGCACTCATTTGGCCTGCGAAAGCTGCTCCTCCGGCCGATGTTGCTGATGACATGCCGTTGCCCATCGCCGCTGCCCCGCCAGGCCCACCCCCTCCGTACATGCCACCGCCGGGGTGCTGGTGCAGTGGTGCACCGGGCGGGAATATGCACGGCAAAAGTGTCTGGGTCTGGAAGGATGGACCTTGTAATGCTAGCTCTACATTCCTGGAAAATCTGTATTGCATCCATAACCAACAAAATCTGCATTGCAGCCTCTTTTGTCATGCAAAAACGCAGTTTCTCATGCGGATTGCCTATGAGAAAGCGTTTTGTTTTAATGCTGGGCTGCATTCGGAAGTGTTTTCATCATGCACATTTTAGCATCACAAGTTTCCAGACCCAGACATATATGCATTTGATAGGGAAAAAGCTGTACATGCTGGGGTCCATCATTGGGTGATGTCCGTGGGGAAACATCGGCATCGTCGGTATCATCGTCCCGCCTGGTCCGCCATACTGGGGGAATGGGCTGCCGGGTATCATCATCGGACCTCCGCCGAACATTCCATTCTGAAACTGTTGACCACCCTGGTGGTGACCGCTGGTGGAGCTGCTGCTCGTCTTTGCCTCTTTTTTCTTCCGTGTCTCCTCGTCTTGCTCCTCCTCGTCTTTCAGATTTTCGTTTTCCTTCTTCGGACTCGTTCCTGCGGTTGGTGACACCGATTCTGCCGCCGCGTGCAACACCGTGCTCACGATATTCGCCTGGTGTGCCGGGCTTGCGTTGCTGGTTGGGGAAACGTAACCCTCAATGGTGAACTTGTTCTGCTTCGATGGACTGGCGTCGCGACTCTTGCTGTTTTTTCGTTTTGAGAAGAAGAGGTGGAGGACTACTGTCGTGAAGAATGGCCTTCGTCCGTCGTTCACATGATAACTACTACATGCAAAGCAATCCATATTTATGTTGATCCAACTCCAACACTCTACCTACTTACCACACGAAATCCAGAAAATATCGAATATACGTGCTGTCCTTTAGCAACGTTGGGCTGCCGCCGAAAAATGAGGTGTGCTGGTGACCACCAGCACCACTACTCGCGCCCGGCCCACCACCGGGAGCTCCCACTGGTGGTGCCATCATCCCAAAGGTCGGCCACTGTCCGAGATGTCCCAGCTGGAAACGGTTCGCCGGCTGCTGCTGCTGCTGCTGCTGCTGCAAAGAACTCATCTTCTTGTTCTGCTCCAGGTCCGAATTTCGGTTCGCTTTCTCCCGTTCGCTCACACTGTTAGCGGCAAAGAAGACGCAAAAACCGAAGGCGCACTTGTTCAGCAGGTCGGCCACGTTGTAGATAACTGTGGTTGGGTGGTGTTTTATGGTGTTTTCTTTAATTGGCATGATGAGCTGCAACATTACTAGATCGAAACTTGGTATGTTGCTCCTACACTGCTGCTAAGCTACCTCCCTTTATACGACCTCGAACAAATTCGTAAAACATGAAAAATAGTGGAAAGCATTCCTTATATACGGTTGAGCGCCTTTTCTTCGCGATTTCGCAGAACCAGATGTCCGTCCACCTTCTCCGCCGTGACGTAGCCCACGAGGTAGCCCACGGGATACAAGACCCACCCAAGGAGAATGATGGCGCGCAACAGCTCGAAAGCCACTTGGGCGTCCGGTTTCTCAAACTCCTGCATCGCGAGCTGTAGTTTTTCTTGTAAGTTTAACTTTTAACTTCAAGTGCGATTAACAACACAGTATACAAAGTGGAAAATTTCCCAGTTGCACTTTCTTCGTCCACAGGGTGAATCATGGTGAACAATTTGTTTCATGCATTACATGTACAACTTATTATCTATCGTTACACTGCATATCTTCTTCTACCTCTTTCGCGCTCTGTTTTTTCCCCGTCATTTTCTCGATGGTTTTCCGCACGTTGCGCATTTCCCTCCTCTGCGGGTCCAGCATTTTCACGTCATCTTCGTCGGAGCTGGACTCGTCCCCGGGAGCTTTATTCTTCCCCGCTCCCTTCCCCCCAAGCCCAACCCCGTGCCCGTTTTCCCGGGCCACGTTCGCGAGAAAGCGCTTGGCCTCGCCCAGACTGAGTCGCCGGTTGATCTTGCTCGCCTCGCCGGCGTAGATCTCGTACACAATGTACAAATACATGGCCATCGCAAGGACGAAGGCCACCATAGCGTCCATAATGTCCGTTTCCCCCATGTAGCCGAAAATCAGCATCAACACGCTGCTGCCGCCGAGCCGGAGCCCCAGGCTGACGTGCACGGGGGGCTTGTCCGCGGGCGTGGCCGCGGCGAGGATCAAGTAAAAACACGTCGTCTGCATCGGAACCGTGATGAACCTGGTTTTTATCCGGGAAGGATTCAGGTGCGAAGACGCGGATGGTGGCGACGCTACAATCAGAGTCATCAACAGACGCGAGGACATATGTCAGTTTAGAATGAAAAAAGGGCTGCCGCCCGTACTTGTTTTAAAAACTATGAAAGAAAGGAAGGAAGGTGTGCTGCAGAACTTGAACTCAAGCTTAACAATATGATTTTTCATCATCTTCCGCCATCCGACTGCGCAGAATCAAGTGTATACTATACTTACCAATCCATGTATCGCAGCACGGTCGGCGCTTTCTTTTTGTCTTCCCACTCTTCCGCCATGTACAAATAGTGGTGCCAGGCAACGAAGCAGACCAGCGCCGCCACGATCATGGGCGTGACCCACCGTCGCGGGACGAAAAACACCTGCAGCGCGAAGAACAGGGAGCAGGCGAGCTGGATGCCGGTAATCAGCCAAAAGGAGTGCCCCACATAGTCCTCCTCCACGTCCTCCGTCGGCGGGGCCAACGTCGTGGAAGCCATCTTGCAGCTCGGGACGGAGGACCCCGAGAGACGATTTAGCAAGGCTCCTTAGCAGTACCAATGGAGATGACGAGGACTTGTTCTATTCGCGCTCTCTTATTCTTTAGTACTTACACACAGACACAACATAATTGAAGCAACGCTCACAATCATCGCCGAAGGCGCCAGGTATTGATGACCGGCAGCAGGAGTTCATCCGCATTTGAAGATCGGAATATTGATGGGTCTGCAGACATTGTTCTCCACACTCTCAGCAACACAAGCTCCGAGATCCCCCCGCCTCCCTCTGTGCAAGCAAAAACAATTCTACCTACCACGCCATATCTATCAAAGAGCCTCCAGACATGAACTTCTGTCACTGAAACTGAACAACGCTTCTTGCGGTCCTGACAGGCCGCTGCATTGCTATTTGGCAGACAGGCGAGGCACGCTATGCGCACACCCGTAACGAAGAGCGAACCCATCGCCCAGGCGTGGCAAAATAATAGCGCAAGTTGAAAAGGCACGCGGACCACCTGAGCGTGAGCCGCGCCCCCATCGTCCTGGGGGACGGGTGAATGGCTGAAAACGCGGGAGCAGGCTTGCAGCTGCGTTACGTGTTCCGGCCGCTCCGCGCTCAGAATGCAAATCCTGCAAAAGGCTTCCACTATGCTGGCGCAGCAACGCCCCTAAAGCGCTGCGCCAGCCACAACATCCACACCTGCTGCGCCTTGCTTTCCGCGCCCGGGCGCGGGCGCACTTTCTTACAAGGCCGGCGGGCGGGCTCTTGGCACCTTCCCCCACCCACCCAGCGAGCAACAAAAGGCGCGCACGGAAGAAGGCTCGACCCGCCCGCCCACAAAGTGCATCGGGGCCCATTCTGCGCGCTGCAGTCGCCCGCGTCATGCCTGTCGGCGGGCCACGTCCGCCAGGCAGCGGGTCAGCACTCGGTCGGCACAGAGACGCCAACAGACTCCTGGCATCTGTGGGGCGTGCGGGGTTGCGCGGTTTCGCTTTCGGAATTCGACGACCTTTCTGCCCGCTCAGGAAGTATGGCGCGTGTGCTCTTTCGAGCGAGGCCACGACGACAGCAGGGGGGCTCCGCGGGAAAGGTAGGGCGCCACGGGGGGGCCCTCCCCCAACGGCCACAGGGCGGGGCCGCTTTCTTTCCCGAGGCCGCCCCGCAGCAGTTGGTCCGGGGCCGCTGCATCAACATCCATCGCGCCGGGGCGCAACCCCGACTGCTCTGCCGCCCAGTGCCGCAGAAACAGCCCCAGCCGTCTCCCCAAGGCAGGCGGCGCGCAAGGCGGCTTGTGTTTGTTTCTCGCTGTCGTCGCGCACGTTTATCGCCCCAAAATGCGCAATGCGGAGAATGGCCGCGCGGCGGGCTAAGAGAGACCAGGGGCACCGAAGAAGCGCGCCAAAGCGCCAACGCCTTTTCACGGGCCAGCCCGCACTAGTGTGCTTGCTCACACTACTTCGGGGCTTCTTCGTAAAACGCCCCGCCTTATCCGGCGGAGCTCCCCGCACTGCAGGCGCTCGGGCGCAATATATACGAGCATAGCACCCCGGTGCGCGTGGTAATTGCTGCGGAGCCCACGGCGCTGGTGGGGTGGCCGAGGAAGCGGCCGCACGAAGTTGCGGGAAACAGGGGGGAGGGCGGGCCGTGGTGGCATCCGTGCGCCCAAGGACACTCCGCGACCCACTCAATGGCCCTAGGGCCCAAGCGCTGCGCCAGCTGGGTTATGGGACTGGGGGGCCGGGGCCGGGACAGTCGTGGCTGAAAGTTTGCTACTCGATCCCGCCTGAGCGGCTGTACTTCGGCAGGCGTCCGTCCGGAGGAGCGCTGGCTGGCACACCAAACGCGACCCGCCGCAGCGTCTAGCCCTGGGCCTGGGGCTTCCGTACTGTAAGCGCAAGCGCTCGCCCCCAGAGGAGGAAGCCGCTGCCGCCCGAACTCGCTCCCTTGCTCGGTCCGCCAAAGGGTGGCGCAAGGGCGCGGCGGGCCATCCATTCCACCGGCCCGACGTGTCCCGGCCCGCTCCGCTTGCGGCTTCTGTGCCGCCCGAACGCTCCGGGCTCTTCGCGTTTCCTGGACACTACAGGAGTTTGGTCGCTGCCAACAATGTGGCCAACAGGAGCGTTATACGTGGCACAGCCGCAACAGAAGACCAAGATCCGCGGACGAACACGAAAGAAAGACTGCATGCGAGCGTGCTCGCTTCTTCATCTTCTCTTTATCTTTGTTCCAGACATAATTAAATTGCTTCAGCGCAAACACATACACAGACGAGCTTTCCTCTTGTTCGTCACGTTCAAGACGCAACAGCTTTCAGGCATATCAGTTGCGCATGGTCTGTTTGTAGAAAGCTACATCACAATGCTCAAGCACGCCCCGCGACTCGGTTGTAGTGAGCGACCTTTCGAAATGCGTAGTTTGCCCGAGAAACGAGTCTGAAAACGTAGCCAAACATAGAAAAATTCGAGACGATAAAGGGTTTTTGTGTACTTATCGATAATTCGAAACATGTTCTTGTTCAATCTCTTCTCCTGACGGGTAGTTGCAAAGTTAGCAGTCAAGCTACCGTCAACTTACAACTTTTCAAAAATATTTCAAAAAAACCGCTTGTGTAAGTAGCAGGCCGGAGGGGATTGACCGTCGTGCCAGTGCAGATCGTGTTGCCACGACTGCTTGCCACTGCAACTCCGCCGGCTCTTTCAACCTGCGCTCCGCTTCCTTCATTCACTGCAGCCCCGCTGTTCATCTTTTCCTTCAGGGAGAAAGCGAAGCACACGAGAACTACCCGGCGGAAATGCTCCACGACCTCCCCCACACGGCCCATCCGCTCCGCCCCCACGAAGACGCCAACCTGCCTACTGCCTCGCCCGGAGCCTGGCTGCGTAGGGGTCCACCTTTTCGCTGAGTGCGAGACAGAGGGCGCGGTCCTCCTCCTTCAAAAAGGTTTCGTTGACCGAGGGACAGGAGCACAGGTAGCAGAAGGCCGCGTTCAGCTCTTGCGCCATCCGACGCTTCTTGCAGTAGCTGACCGGATCCGCGTTCAGGCCAAGGGAGGACATCATCAGTGGCTCCCGGCGGGGACGGCTCTGACGGTACAGTCCGATGACCAGCAGCCCCTTGTTAAACAACATCCATCGGGTGTCCAGGGGTAAATTTATCTCCGTACACTGAAGAGGCTCCTGCATGACGCTTTGCAGTACAACGTATTCTCTTTAGCATGACAAGAAGAAGAAGTGATGTGTGTCCGCTCCTACATAAATTCTTGCTGTCATGTAGCTTTCATCAGTGTAACAAGGGAAATTTGTCTTGCATAGTCGAAGAGCTGGAACAACGAGCGGCCCACGAACTTCTGGGGAACCCGCAGGACGATCTGCTCGTGGTCGACCAGTGCCTTCACCAGAGCCGGCAGCGATGGGTTGTAAAACGTACCAACCGCCAGAGACGTGAACACCCCCGCGGTAAAGCAGCCTCCGGAGGCGTATCTGATAATGAAGTGTTCTTGTTGTAGTCGTGCTTTTTATTCTGATCACACGCAGTCCCAGTCGCACAGATTATCCAACTCCCCGGCTATGGGCAGCCAACCTCGATGCTGAGTTGGAACGAAAACAAAAAGAGCAAATGCAAAAACTGTAAATAAGTACCTCGGGAAGAACATTGCCTGCATGTCCCCGGTCCCGCTGGGCCCGTCGAAAAACGAGGACTGCAACCGTTTTTCCTCCGCCGCCTCCTCCGCGTTGGTCTCCTGCTTCCCCTCTATGCCGCCCTTGATCAGCAACGACAGGAATTCGAACGTGCCGTACAGCATCTTCCAGAAATCTTTGGTCAGCGACCGCACCAAAAAGCCGGTGACCGCCTGCCGCGCCGCCGTGAACCGGGCCGTTTTGGCCCCGAGCGCGAGCGCGCCGGCGCTCGCCTCCTTCTGCTCCTTCGTGGCGAGTTCGAGTTCCTGGATGAAGGTCTCCTCCAGTTATCCTCTGCAAAAGTATCGCACTCGTACTAATTGCGTTTATGCATTACAAATCTCCATCCCAAGGTAAAACAGCATGACAAATTCCATTTGTCATGCTGAGCTAATTTGTATTGCAATTTATACTAGTACGATGCTTTTGCAATGCATACCAGTACCTCGTCGTCAATGAAGGGGAGGTACTGGTGCATCTCGTCCAGGGTTATATCAAATGCAAATATGTCTGGGTCTGGAGGGTTGCAACTTGTAATGCTATTTTTGGAAACTAGAAAAGTCTGTAATTGCATGGCCAGCCATAGGAGTCCAGTTTGTGCTACGCGGGGAAGGCATTTGTCATGCGGAGTAGGCATCAGAAAGCCCCCTAAAAATCTGTGATGCTAGGCCATGCATTACAGGCACCATGGGCCATGCAAAATATGCATGACAAGCCTGGTCATCCACCTAATCTTCCAGACGCAGACATATTTGCAGTGCATAGGTCAGTTCGGTTATCAACAGCGGGCCGTCGGGGACCACGCCGCAGGCGAAGCGATCCACGTCCTCGATCACGCCCTCCTCCTGCTCCTCCTTGTTGCCGCTCTCGTTTTTCAGCTGCTGCTCGATGAACCGCGTGCAGAAAATGGACTCGGCGTCGACCATTTGCTCGTCGATACTGTCGTCAATCCCGTCGTCCTCCGGCTGCGCTTCCTCGTCGTCCTCATCGGGTTCGACCCGCGCTTTGGCGGCCATCTGCCCCCTATCATGTGCAAAAGTATCGCGCTCGTGGTAATTGCAAATATGCATGGCAAATCTTCTTCCTAAGGTAAAACAGCATTACAAATTTTATTTCTCATGCTAAGGAAATTTGTGATGCAATTTGTACAAGTACGATGCTTTTGCATTGCATACCCCCGGCACTGGGCCACGTAGATCACGTTAGCTTCGCGGAAATTCGCCTGCTCCAAGTCGAAGAGAACGAGTGGGTTGCCTGGGAAAAAGTATGCGCTTTTATTTTCTGCATGTGGGTACAGTACTGTTGTTTATGTAGTAGTTGATCTAGCGCTTTCAATTATTTTCTAGAAAGATACCAAACAAGATCTTCCCTCCAGTAAGCAAGTGTGTACTTGTACATCAATACCTTTCATAAAAAAGACGTTGCGCATCATGGACACGTGCACCCAATCCGTCGGAATCGCCTCCGCCAAGACCATATCAACTGCAAATATGTCTCGGTCTGGAAGCTTGTGATGCTAGTGTGTGAATGGTGGGCGCACTTCGTTACGCTGCCACGCATGACAAGTTTCTGAGCTCCTATGTGTTTCGCTTCCCGCATGACAAACTGCGTTTTTGCATGACAGGTAAGAGGCTGCCTTCCTGCTCATGCGTTACAGATTCAAGTCAAGAGTCATGTGCGACAAGCATGACAAACTTGCACTCTTCCAGACCCAGACTACATATTTGCAGTTGATAGACCAGAATGGGCACTTCTGACGCGAGTGTCACCGTGCTCCTATCCGCCTTCCTCCCGGTGTCCTCGTCGTAGAAATTTATCTCGCCGCAGGTGTGCACAAAGTGCTTCAAACCCATCGTGTTTGGGTACTTCAGACCCACGATGCACATCATGATGTGACCACCCTTGACTAGGAGGGAGTGTGGCATCTGGAGTTATGATCATGTTGCGGGAATATGATTTTTTTTTTTGAAATGAATGCTTTCCAGTTGTTTCGAGAATCTCGGCTTCATGCAGTTACCCGTTTTCAAATAAAGTGCAGCAGTGCAATACAGCAGTCGACCTAACACCACGCCACCCCTTTCTCGCACTAAAGCGAAAATAGAGTTATTCTGCACCACCGTTGTAGAACTAGAACCTACTTGAGTAATTTAAATAATACCTGTCTTGGATTTATCGCGTTTTCCTTTTGGTGCGACAGCTTCTGGAGGACTTCCAACGTCAAGCGGTTGTGACTGAGATCTGCGTTGGGGTCTACTTCCGCCTTGTAATCGAACCGCGCTTTCACAGACTTGTAGTACTTCTTCGGCTATGCACTGCAAAAGTATCGCACTGACTACATCTACAACACAACTCATTAGCAACAATTGCATTTAGACACTACTTTCTTCGCATGAAAGTCGACGCAACTTCTACTGCAAATGCTGACTCAGCTTGAGCCTCAACATTTGCCATGCCTGCTTGCAAGAATGATCTTTACGACGAGTAACGCTAACGATACTTGTGCAATGCATATAGGCGCCCCACTCGACTCCTCGGCGTCTGCCACCCCCAGAAGTAAGTCGTTCTGGCGCATCTGCACGATGGCGTCACGATCCGCGGCGATAAAGCAGCCGAAGGTCTGCAAGGTGCGGGAATTTGGCTTGATTTCGTACTCGGGGCCGGGATTGATGAGGACTTTCCTGGAAAACGAAGTGTTGCCGTCACTGGTTTCCCCGGGACCCACGTCCGCCTGTTGCTGCTGCTGCATTTGACCTGTATATGAATTAGTAGAGTCTCTCATGCATTGCAGATGCGTCTGACTCTGGATTTGTGATGCGAGATTTGAAGGACAACAAGACATATGATGCTTGAATGCGAGTGGCAACTGTTCTTTGTCATGCTGGAGGCCAGTTTATCATGCGAACTCCGAATACGAATACCTGTCAACGGGTCCGGTTCGTTGTTCATTTGGTTCGCGTTGGTCCCGTCGAAGAACGTGATCTCGATCAGCCCGATGAGGTACACTGACTGAAACGTGTTGTTGGTCCGGGTTAAAATGTCCAGCACCACCTGCCCGAAGCTGCACTTTTTCTGGGCGTACGCCTCGGATAAGGGCTCTTCGTACAGCTCCAACCCGAGCGACGTGTAGTACTCCCGTTGCCAGTCGTACATGTCTTCATCTAAATCGTCTTCATCGACCGCGCAGGTGGTCACGAGGTTAGAAATAATCGTGAAAAAGGACGGCACCTGCGTCGATTTCCCGATCAGGCTGTACTTCACTTCGTCGATGGCAAGAACCGCTAGTTTCTCGCTGATCCGCCCCTCCTTTTTGTCGTCGGATTTTTCGCTGTCTTTGATCAACGTCCGCATCAGCGTCTCTTTCACGGAGAACGTTTTGTCCGATTTCCTCCCCAGTAAATACCGATATTCCCCGTTGTACAGGAGTAGAATCGCCCTTACATCCGCGTGGTACTTGCGCAACGCTAGCGTCCTCACAATGTTCACCCGATCGTCCTCTTCCGGGTCACCGCTGTTCATGTATCAAATGCAAATATGTACTGGGTCTGGAGGGCTCCGAACTTGTGATGCGTGTTTCGCATCCTACAAAGATCTGTGATGCAGAACGTGCAAAAGGTGCCCACTTCTGGCCATGCTGAGAGGGCACTCATGCAGAATACGCATCACCAAGGAGCTGCAGAACCTGTGATGCTAGGCCCTGCATTCCAGACGTGGGGGAGCCGGAGCTTGAAAAAACTGCATGACAAATCTCGGAATCTCTCAGACCCACACACTTTTGCATTTGATATCATGTGGGGGAGAATGATGAATGCCGACGCCGTGGTGCAGGCCACCCTTTTCCGGTCCCCCGCGTCTAAAATGTCCCCAACCAACAAGTGTATTCGACTCGCCAGCGCGAGGTTTTCGCCCCTTCTCAAGTAGTTCTGCACGGTCTCCAAAGCGTCATTCGGGGTGGAAAAGAGAATCACCAGCTCCAGATCCTCGGCGTCGTCGCTCCGGTCGGGGTGGAAAAGTTCTTGGATAACGGAAATCAGCGTGGCGCCGTCCGGGGACCCCATCACGACGATGTGGGGAGGTTTTTCCCGGGTGGGGTACGTACCCTTTCCGACCTTCTTCTGTCTCGCCATCTTGACCAAGGAAAACATCACGACCAAAATCGACGCGATGCCCCCCATGATGCTGAAGATCGCGAAGATCCGGCCCAGGCCGGTGCTGGGGACCAAATCGCCGTACCCCACGGTGGTTATTGTGGTCAAAACGTAGTACAGACTGGTAAAGACCGTCCACGCGCGGGGGTTGTCCTTCTTCTGAAACCAGGTACCCACGTCCGGCTCCCCAACGTTCATCTATGAAATGCAAATATACCTGGGTGTGGAAGATTGCGAGATTTGCGATGCTAGTCTGGCATGACTCTAAACTCTGTATTGCGTAGCCGCGAAGCGCTCCTCTTGTCTGTCATTCAAAAACGCAGTTTCTCATGCGCAGTGCGCAACTCAGAACCACGGAAAAACTTGTAATGCTTGCCAGCGCATGAGAGTGTGCTCACTGTGCCCTTTCTTGCATCACAAGTTTCCAGACCCAGACATATTTGCAATGCATATCTCCAACACCATGACCAAAGCCGCGGCGAAAAATAACTGCGAGCCGATGCGGATGGCGAGATTCAGCATTTGGTAGAACCCCAGCGCGTTGTCGACGAAACGGGTGTTTTGGAACCCGTCCCAAACGTGCTTGACCCGTAACGCGGCGAAGAAACTGAAGGAGAACCAACCGGTAGTCAGCGGGACGGCGGCGAGACTCCCGAGCATCACGGTTTCGTACAGCATGATGCCCAAACTCGCGTTCAGCCCGGGACTGGTGCCAACCAACTGCTTCCGACTCCAATATTTCAACCCTTCAAACCAACACCAAACTTCCAACCTGAGGTTTTTGGATAAAGAAGTCGTAGTTTACGATCAAGATCTTCGTGGTGAGTTTTGTGTAATTGACACGCTCAGCAATTTCAACATCGACCTCCTTCTCCTTCTACGAACGTACATCGAGACAAAAAACCTGAGATCTTTGCAAAGAGCTGCATGCGAAAGTGAATCATCAACCACTCATCTTCAAAAAAAAAATAGCTACACGATCTCAACCATCCAGAAGATGGACAGGTAGGTTTTCTGGTAACTCCTGAGCGCGAAGACGGAGTACTGAAAAACGGAGATCACCCACATTTTCGTCGGATACTCCCGACTACTCCAGCTCCGCATAAAGTGGGCGTCGATGGCGTTTCGGAGCATGAAGTAGTCGTTCTGCTTGGCCTGGATGGAGAACAAAATCCCCCACAATGCCATCACCGCGGCGGGGCCAAAGCCGAGGATCGAGTGGGTGACCAACTGGGACCAGTCGAGGTCATCACAGCTCGAACCGCAGGTCACCATGGCTGCAGTCGGTGTCTTACTTTGAAGATGTGACTTTCAAAGTTACTACCACGTAGTGGGAGTTGTTCTACTTCCTGGGACAAGAACTAGTACTCCCGTAGGTAGAAGTAGCGAACTCGTGCGCCACGCAAGTAGAAGAAGCGGATCGAAGGTGCTGGAGATCCAAGAACTCTGCAGTACCAGCTCGTGGTGGTGGTGGACGACTCCACCTGAAGTTTATCTTTATTCCTGTTCACCACCCCCGCTTTGCTCGTGTCTTAACATCAGTCCGGTTGCAACATGGAGGAGACCAAAATAGGTAGCTCGCACGCCGCACGCCCCAATGCGGCCGTCTTCATTGTGGGGCCGTGGAACCACCGCCGGAGCGGCTCTTCTGGAAGATGGAGTGGTCGTGACAAGTCTCCCGAAGCAGGAGAAGAAACTGATCTGGTCCCTTTTTCCTCGATGAAATTGATAATTTGATAAGCAAAACAAAGAGCAAAATCAACGTGCGCAAAAGAACAGCAGAAACAAGAAATTGAAAAAAATTGCAAAACTAAGAGCAAAACCTACACCTCTGAAAAAACTACGATCCCGCTAAAACAATGCTTTGATTTCAACTTCATCGTGGTTGGCTGCTCGCTCTACAGATGCGTCTTTGTCTTTAGCTTTACCGCTATCGCGGTCGCGCTCGAGTAATTTCGTCCATTAGTATTACCGCTTTACTCTCCACGAAAGCAACTTTTTTCACTCCCATAGCTTGTTCTGGTCTACTTTCTCATGTAGTGATAGATTTTGATGTAGATCTTCGTTGCGTCACCCCTCCATGAGTTGTTCTTCTCTTTTAGCCTTTTTTGATGTATCTAACGCTCTCAGTTGTCGCTCGCCACGTTTACTTAGTGCTCCACTCCAAGTCCGAAGGAGTTCTCGTCTGCCCAGGTTACTGCTCGTGCTCTGAGCAGCTGCTACACATTTGGAATTAACCGTCCTTCTTCATGTGAAGCCTGAAGAAAGTCGGTTTTTGTTTCTGTTCTTTCTTCTACTTCTTTTATTCGTCACACATCACCAAAAATCGCTTTCGCAGTTCGGCAGCTAGTTCGAAGGTCGTGTCGAATTCATCACGGTCCTTGTCTTTGTAATTGTAGGCTACACATTCATTTTATTTCGCAGAAAATAATATTCTCAATTTGCAAAACCTGGCCGAATTCTTTTTTCACTTGAGTCTTCAATCGTTATCGTACACGACCTAGCATAGTAAAGTCAAGGTTTACTAAAGACATTTCGCAAACGCATACCTTGATGCTGTAAATTTCCTTTCGTTCTGATCTACAAGAGCTGCATCGTCGGTCGTCGATGCACCAAGTTCAGTACTCTACCGGTAGTACTAGCCCAGATTCATAGTTTCAAGCGGAGGAGACGTCGGCGCTATTGTAGTAAAATTTTCCCCCTCCTCCTCCTGCGAGGACACAACATCAGCAACTCCTCTACTTCTTTTCGCCCGCACCATTCGCCGGGGTTCGTGGATTTCACGCAGATACAGCACCGGCAGGTTTTCATCGTCAATGTTCTCGCTTTCCAGCAGGTCCAGCCCGGTTCGGCGGTACTCCTGCATGAGAATCCGCGGGGAGGTGCGCATATGCATTGCACAAGTATCGTACACGTATAAACGCAAGCCTTGCATTACAAATATTTTTCTTAAGGTAAACCAGCATGACAAGTTTTATTTCTCATGCTGAGGAAATTTGTAATGCATTTATACGAGTACGATGCTTTTGCTGCATTGGATAGCGCAGCTGCTGAATCAGCAGGGTCCCGAGGTTTTTTTCGTCCGTTTCGTAGTAAAACGCGTTTGCTTGACCTACTTCTTTCCTCACATTCAACATCCGTCCTCCAAACGCGTTATTTGTCGGCTGCAGCTCCGTGGTCCCGTTTTTGTACTCAATTTGCGTCAGCGCCGGGAGGAACAACTTCCGAACATAAGTGCACGGTCGGTTCTTCGGCGTGTCCTGCTCCAGATGTTCCATCACGTCCGCAACGGTCGCGCCGCCGGGGAGCCGGATCGTGTAGTCGTGCCCGTCGTCAGGAGCGTCATTTCCGCTACTGCTTCTTCGCTCCGGCGCACAATGAGCATCTAGAAGTACTTCGGTCGCGTCGTGCTCAAAATCTTCTACGGCGAAAGAGTTCTGGACCTTGACAAGCAGGTCAAAACCGGTCGAGAGAGAAGATTTTCGAGACGGTGAACGCTGGTGAAATACATCGCCAGTTGCGGTGGTTGCACTCGAAGAGGACGAAGAGGACATCGAGGCTTTGGATGTAACGCGATCTTCTCCCTCGAGGCCAGGATCCCCCGTCGGAGTGGAAGCGCTCCTTCCAGCACCTTGTTCCTCCGCAGGGTACTGCAGCTCTCCTTGTTCCTTCATTTTCAACGCGGGCAACTGCTCCCTTGTCCACTTGTCGTACGCTTTGTCTAAATTCGCTTTCAGTTCTTCTTGCTGCGCGGCGGTGCCCGCGTACCACCGGTTTTTGTGTTTCGACAGCGCTTCTTGGAGAATCCTGTGGTACCGGTCCCGCTGGTCTCTGCTCAACATAATTTCCACGTCTGCTGCGGACGAAGTAGTGGTCGCTCGTCGCCGCGCACAGGATTGGCAGGTTCGTGCAGCGCCATCCAGGAGGCGACGCAAGAAGTGTGTCGGTTGCTGTGGATTCATACTTCCGGGCAGGGAGTGCTCGTTAATATTACCAGCAGCAGCAGCAGTAGAAGTTGCACTGCTAGAAGCTGCACCGGCTTCTTGTTGCGATTTTTCCTCCTCCTGGCGAGAGTTATTCTGTGGCGAACAAAAGAGTCCCCGACAAGCCTCCTCCGCGTGAACCTCCGCCAACAGCCGCAGCGCGTTCTCACGCAGAAGTTCTCGTGCACGAGGAGAGGACACAACTTCCGGCGGGGTTACTTGGTCGCCGTTGAAGGTAGAGGACTGGTCTGACGCGGCGGTTGTCGCATCCTTGTCGTGGAGGTTGGTTCCTTGGCCACCTGCATAATTTTGATCGCGCCGGTCGGTCGGAATCAAGGCTGAGCTGCTGGTGTCCGCAGCAGCCTCTGTTTCAGTGCAGTCCTCTTCACCGCTGGCGGTCGAAACTGGAGCAGTAGCTGCAGCGCCAGTAGCACCCGATCTTCGTCCGAGAACTACAGAAAGGCCCCATGTTTCGTCGACGAGTCCAACACTCGAGACGAGGAAAACAAATACGGAGACGAATGTGGACATGATCATGGAATAGAGTTGTACTTAGTTCTATGTGGGATATATTCTACACGATCACGATCGGATAAGCAGAGCGAGAACCAACTCTAGCGTCGAAACGGCAAGAGAAAAGCAGTAACACTAACACAACCTATAACAACAGAAACGTCGAAGCCCTAGACCACCTGTATCGAGTGCGTTTGGTGTACGTGCTGCATTGACTGTGGTCCTTACACCAAAGCACGAGGACCAGCTTCACATACCACGAACAGCAAGGGAATCCATCCATCTCTTCAGATACGTCGTGCTGGAGCGCAAGTTTGACTTCAGATACAGCTTGGCGGAAAAAATTTTCAGGCAACAAGCAGTCCTGTGCGGGGTCATGCGTACCAACCAAAAAGAAAAGAAAAAAACGCTACTAGTACGTACATGAGTGGTGCAAATCACCTCCTTTTTGCTTTTGCAGCTAGAGCATGTTGGAGCTGCGGTAAAAAACGTTCAGCACTCGCAGTCCATTTTCACCCTTCGCTGGCCGTTTGGCTCAGGCTCGTCTTTCTCCCGAGTGCTTCTCGATACAACAAGCCTTTGAAGGTCCCGAGAGAGGATGATCTATCGGTTTCAGCCCGCGCCCCCTTCTACAAGCTCGTCGTGGTCGAGGAAGCCGCGGCGGAGGCGGCCTTCTGGATTTGCGTGCGCATTTGCTCGATCGCGGTTTTCAAAAACTGGTCGGCCTGTTTCTCGATGCCCTGTTTCAAGGCGGCCTCGAAGCCCGTCAGCCGCTGCTCCACGAGGTTCATGCTCTGCGTCAGTTTTCCGGTGGGCACGGTTTCGTTCACCGCCTTTTCCAAGTCCGCCACCCGTCTTCCAGTGTCGAGACTGGAGCCAGAGAGTTGCAACACGTCCTCCGCCAATTTCGACAGTAACGTTTCTTCCTGACTCAGCTTCCCGGTGTTGTTTACCAATTTCTGCTCGGCCAGCTGCGCCGCGCTCTGCAGCTGCAGAATTTGCCCGCTGGAATTGCTGGCGCTGGTCGCGATCTGGCGGAGCTGCTGCTGCAAGTTGCCCAGCTCCAGCAACCCGGATGTCGTGCTGTTCTCCACCGCGGTCAGATTCTGCGCGATGCCGTCCATCTGCAAGTTGAACCCCGCCATCTTCTTCTCCAACACGTCCAAAGAAGCGGAAATCACAGTTAGTGAAGGCACGTCGGAAACCGTGGAGTTGGTTGCAGTTGCACCACCACTCGTGGCATTTTTCATCAGCAACACAGCCGTACTTCTAGTATCGCTGGCAGAGGCCGCGTGGCGGTTCGCTTTATAATTCGCCGTCGTTTTGGTGCGCTGGCGGTTTGTTTCGTCCACGTGTTGCAGTCGTCCTTCATGTTGAAGGAGGTAGCCGCGCGAGAGAAACCTAGCCTCAACGAGGCTCACGAAATGCTGACATAACCCGGCCAAAAGGAGGACGATTGAAGCTCCATACCGCGAGGACAGGATGAGCAGCTGCATCTTGACCGGTTAACGACGCTATTTACTCCCAAAGCACTTGTCTACTAGCACACAGCTGCTAGCTTGTTGTGCTGGTGGTGCTTTCGAATGCAATGCTGCGCGTGTGCTGCGGAGGCTGTGACCAACCACTCATCACGCGCGACTACGTTCAAAAGGACACCGGGCGACGGGCGGGGGAGACATACTTTGGCATGCGTCCACTGCAGCTACGTAGTCGTGGTGTTCCAACACGAACGGGAACGGGGCTCCAACTTTTGCGACGGTTCTCTCTGTTTCACATCATTCTTGAGCGAATCTAGGGAACGGCGGGCAGACCGGCCCGACAACAAGGAAGGCTCTCTCGAAGCCGGTTGACCCCTAGCAGCTCCTGATGGCATCACGTTGCCAAATCGACGAGCCAATACTTTCTCGCTCTACTTCGTATTCATTTTCTGGCTAAAGAGCGACGCGAATGAGTTTGTTTGAGTTCCGCGCCATCCGCTCTGCTGTCTCTGTCTCTCATACTGCCGGTGGGCTTGAGATGATCAAGGTAGCGAATTTCAATATGTTTTGTGCAATAAACTGCTCACCACGCTAGATACTTCATCTCCACTTTGCAAAAGAAACCACAAGACAGAAGGTCACAACGCGACGGCGCTTCAAAGCACGAAACACAAAGTGGGCAAAACCTTCGAGCCCCAGCACCATAGCGCTGCTGACGAGCCCGCGCGCGGCTCTTTCAGGCACACACAGTCGCAAGGGTAAAGGCGCAATCAATCCTTGTTTGATAGGGAGACAACGGCAGCTGTGGCCCAACAATCTTTGCCGCCGCGCCGAGCGCGTGCCAACCATACTTACACGGGCGACCCACCGAGGCGGGCGCGCGGGCGATTGGGCCAATGACCGCGCGCGCCAGCAAGTGCGAGGGCTTTGAAGCCCCGGCCGCCGCAGGCTGGTGTTCCCGGCCGGCCGGTGGCCACAGACATTGGGGGCGGGGGGCGTGCGGGGTGCCAGCAGATGGACCGACGCGCCATCCTGCCGGCCGCATCGGCGCGCTGTGCCCCCGCGCCCCGGCTCTTCCCCCCGGCCGGCCCCCTGCCCGGGCGAACTGATTAAGAAGTTCAAAAATAATCGGCAGGGCGGGCCGGCCCCCAAACGAAAAGGAAGCCCGCGCCCGGGCTTCTCGGGAAACGACAAAGAAGGGGGCCGCGCTTGCTTGGAGTGGCTCGCCGGCAAGGTCGGAAGCCGGCCTGCGATAAGTCCTCCGCTTTCCACAGCCGGCACCGTCCCGGAGTGCGCCTGCTCGTCCATCTTTGTCGCGCCCGGACCTTCCCGCGGCCAAGCCGATGGGACCGCGCTCAATGCCCGGCGGGGCGCTCGCAGAGGCGCAGCGTGCGCGGCAACAGAGCAAGGCGCTCCCGGGTCGATTACGTCCATGGCGAGGCTGGTGAGGCTAGCAGTCGCGCCAGATGGTAGCACCGTCAACACGGCACCCGCTGCGGAGTGCCCGGAGTACGAGCGCAATCGTTTGCGCGAGGCCCGAAAGATGCACTTCATCGACGGCCAAGGGGTCCGCTTGTAGCGAGTCCGCGTCTTCGATGTCCTGCGCGCGCGTGTGCGTAGGAATGGAATGGGGCCGCGGGCCGCCAGACCGAGTCAAACGCGCCTGCAGTGTTCGCCCGGATGACAGACGCAGACGCGCCTCCTTGCCCTGCCTGGCGAGGCTTTCCAGGTGTCCGGCAAGCTCGAGCAGGAGGGTTTCTGTGGGCTTACTTTCCTCCCAAGTAGGCGCGCTGTGTGCGGTCTTCCGCGGGCGGCAGGCGGTGGAGGGCTACGCTCTCCATCAACTTGGCCACCGTGTTAATCGGCGGCGGGCCGCGCAGCGCCACAATGCTTCCGGCGCGGGCCGTTTTTTTCCCTGGCGGAAGCCGGCCGGAGACCCAAGCAGAGGCCCTGGCGGCGGGCCACCGAAGCCGCGAACCGCGACGAAGCCGGGGGCGCGTCTGCGGCTGGAATGCGGTACAAAAAACGAGAAACATGCACACCAGTGAAGCGGCAACGGCTGTTTAGCTACTCACTTCACTTAAATACTCGAGCCGTCGTCCTCTATTAGTAGGCGAACACGAGACTTGCGGCGCTATGGTTGTATTTACGAAACAGAAGAGCCTGGAGCTGGATGCTGTAGTCCGCATAAGTTAACGCATGCACTGTTTAGGGTCAGGCTTTGCTTCACCAAATTGGTGTTACAATTTGCCGCACCTAAGGTGCCGAAATGGACAGGTCCAATCTTGACGCGAGTAGCTGCTGGGTCTTTATCGAATTTGAAATAAGGACCAAAACATGACTCCGCAAAAATGTCGTCAATGTATGACAGAAAAGCAGCTACGGTTTACCTTGTGCTATTCCTATTTCGTTTTCGTGTTCGTCCGCTGCAAATATAGTCTTTATAAACACTGTACTTCAGGTTCAGAGGGAGATAAAGAAGCATATGAACTAGCATTTGTACTTGTTGCTCCTATAGGCTTGCAGTGCCACACAATGACCTAACCCTCATACTTACTACAACAAATGAAATAAATCAAATCCGGCTGATCACGGTCTTCCCAAACTCCTCAACCTCCTCATCCACCTCGGCCATCGTCGTCTAAAAGCTCCCTCAAATTGCGTATCTGGTTCTGCAACTCCTCCACCAACTCAGTGTCCGGAAACGCCAGACCCGATGACTCCTGTCGCTTTCGCAAGAATCTCGCGACATCATTCGGCGTGATAAAGTCGACCATGTCGTTGGCGTGCGGCTTGTAAGCCTGGTATTTCTGTATCAGCGGTTGTATCTTGACCCGCACAATGTCGTTTTGTTCTCCATGCTGATCCCCACTCCGCGGCCCATGCTGTCCTCTCCTCATCTCCTCCACATCGTGTCGCTCCCCGTCCGGTACTAGCGTGGAGTAAAAGACCTCTTTTCCGCAGTGTGGACAGGGCTCCTTCGCGTTATGTGGAAACCCTTTGCTCCCGTTGAGCGGGAATGTTTCCAAAAATTTTTTCCGGCTGGCGTACCGTGTTCCGCAGCAGCCGGTGATGCCGTGAACATCAACTTGTGGAGTAGTAGAACTTCCTGCTGCATTGTAGTTTTCATGATCTACAACTCCGCATCCGTTCATGACGTCCGCAAGGACCACGGCCTTTCGAAATTCCCGGTAGGCACGAGTCAAGCGCTCAAACGTCTGTTTTTGCGGGTTTACAACATGAACCAACTTCGCCACGGCTTCGTCAATCGTTCGCCTCGCTTCTGCATCTAGTTGTTGAAAGTCCAGCGTGTTTTGCATCGCCGGCCCAGTTCGGACTGCTTCCGTCAATCGTGCGAGCGCGGCTTGGGTATAAGGCGGTTGGCCTTCTGGAGGACGTTCGTGCGCGTGGTGCCGAGATGTTGGTTCTTCTTGACCTGCGATAGCACTAGTTGACCTGCGCACAGATGTTGGCAGGGACCGCAACCAGGCAGGAAGACGAGGCAATCGGAAAAAAAATCGTCCTCGTCCTCCTCCCCGCTGGTTGTAGTTCTCCGGGGCGCCGGGTTCAGCTGCTGGAGGGGAAGATCCAGAACCAGTACTAGCAGCGGTTGCTCTACCTCCCCCTGAGTTAGAGGTGCCGAAGAGCGAATCGAAACAGGTACGGAAACAGTCAAAGCAAAAAGATGAACTCGTCCTTGAAGGTTGTAGTACTCGGTTTGTTGCATCGGACGTAGTAGTAGCAGTACCTGAAGAACCTGCTGCAATTATCCCTGCCGCCGTTGACGAGGGGGAGGTGGCGGGGGGACTGGCAGGCTGCGGGTCGTGTGTGTGCTGTTGAGCAGAAGTAGTTTCTGGAGGTCCTCTACTCGGTAGAAGTAGATTCTGCTGCGAAGATCCCCCGCTCGAGGATGAACTCGCTGAGGGTCGTGTTGATCGTGCTGTACTACTAGCCGCTGCAGGAGCAACATCAGCACGACGTCCCACAAGAGCGATTTCCGTGGTTGTAGGAAGAACCGCATTGGGTGGAATGGTGGGCCCAAGATGCGGCGAAGGTGTTGGAACGAGGTTCCCTCCTCGTCCTCGCCCTCTCCCTGCGGGGACGAGGAGGGGGGCCTGATTTATTTGGTCGCTTGTCAGTGCATGCGGTCGAGCTTCTGGTGCTCGCGGTGGCGCGACTACTCCACGCTGCTGCATCAAATATCCGCGTCCTCCTGGAGCGCGTCCCCTTCCTCCGCCTCGTCCCAGTGTGTGCCGTCCGAGCAGGACTGGTAAAGGTCCATCTTGAGCTGATATTTCCCCTTCCGCGAGGAATCTTTCTTCTCGCCCACCGGTGTTGTGGTCGTGTACTACGATTGGGGTCGCGCTGGCACGACTACTTGCAACGGGTTGCACAGCAGTGCCGCCTGCCGATGCAGCGCTGCTGGCGGTACTACTTGGTAGCGGAGGAGTTTGTGACAGAAGTGGAGAAGATTCTTCACCTCCCTCGCCTTCAGGATGTGCCTGCCTTCCTGATCGTGACAACTCGAGCACCGCGCCCCCGCAAAGTAAAGCGACCCATTCGCTCGCCAACGCCACGCTCAACAATTGTAACAGGATGAGTCTCCTCATTTTGTTCGCCGTGTCTTCTCGGTTTCACAATCTTTTTCTTAAATGTGGAAAATACAAAAGAACCTAGATAGAACAGGGGCAAATCATATTTCTTTGAATGTTTTTCTTGATATGTATGAGCATAATCATCACTGTACAGATGGGCACTACAATACCACTCTCTACTTTCCCAGTCGTAGTCAAAGCCTGATCCGTCAATGCTAGTACTCAGCAGCGGAGCCTATCATCTTCATCTTCTAGTTCTGTCAGGAAAAGTTATATATCTTTTGCTTTTCGTCCGTCTCTCCGACCGCGACACATAGTTGTCACCTATGATCGTACAAGTTCAAAGCAGATCTTCCCGATTCATTTCCACCACATAGGGTTGCCGATCTTTTTCTCAAGTCTGTGCATTTGTGTGCTGTCAGTCTGTCTCCGATCCAATAAAAAGTGGGTCCGGTTAATTATGCTCCCACCAAGATCCTTTGCTCTGTTTTTTTTTGTATCACCGACCTATTCTTGCTCTTCGTATCACACCGTACACCGAGCGGTATTAAAAAGTGGAAACTAGTAGTGAGTACTTTGTGTATTGTCTTTGTTGTAGATTTATCACGAGTGCAAATCGAGCTCGAAAAGATTGACCGACGGATTTCTTTTGCCTCAGCACTCCCACTAGCTTGTTCTGGTTCGAGCTCTGCAGGTATGTTGCGTTTGCGCCAGCACAGATCGTCGTGTGCTCTGCTGTAAGCGTCGGTCATGTCATTTTTCGCGGAGGTCCGGTCCCACGACGGCGCATTCATTTTACATTTTTACACTCTCCGATTAGGACAAGTGACTACAGTGAGCTTTGTTCCGTTACATTTTTTCAACATGGTAGTGCCGCCAGTTTGAGTTTTGCTTTTGACGGTAGTTTTACTGTAAAGAAATGAATTGTCGTGATAGTGATTATATTCTCGGCGGAGCAGCAACAAAAGTAGCTCGTATTTATTAAGAGGTCTCATCCAAATCGGCACCTCCAGCTGCACACGGGGGCCGTAAGATGAATCCGCTTAATGTAAGTCAGTCTGAAGTAGTCTACAACGCCGATGTTGAATGCTGCTAAATTCAATCTCGAAGTCGCCAAACGTCGACGCGCTCGCCTGGTTTGCTGCAAAAGGTATTAAACTCTCCTGATCAGTGTACACCAAGCAGAGCAGGAGTAGTTGTCTTCTTCATGTACTTGTCCATATGCGACGGACGATCGCGGCTGCTTTTCCAAAATTAATTTGTGTCCTGCCTTCTTAACCGGTTGCAGTACGATTTCATCACCACAAGATTAAATTCGCTTTTATCGTTGAGACTGAGAGGGCCAGGGCCTCATCGTCCCATATTAATATCCGATCATGGTGAGAACGAGGGACTCACCTGGCGCGGCGACGATCTATTGGCACCACCGCCAATTCGACCACCCTCTTCCTCTACCGCCCTCAGCGGCAGCTTCCCCTCGAACGCGGCCAGAGCCTCTTCTAAATCCGCGCTCAACCCTTCAATCACCATGGCACGGTCGGTAATATCGTCCGTTGGCTGCCGCCGTTTGTCCGGCGGGGTTTGGTGGAGGGAAAACTTCTTCAGAAGTTTCCTGGCTTCTTTATAACCTGCTCAGGTGTTACAATCTCAAACGTTACAATAGAGTCTGGAAATCTGTGATGCAAGACTGCATGATCTAGGCAACTCTCATAGAATTGCGCATGACAAGATCCGGAGCCCCAGACCCCACGACAATCTGGCGAAATTTGTATTGCAAAAGGTGGAACGTTGTGCGAGTGTGTCATACTCATCATGCAACACAAGTTCCAGATTCTATTGTAACGTTTGAGATTGTAACGTTTGAGCAGGTCATACTCTTTCGGCGGGAAAAAATCCACGGTGTCGTCGCAGTGCGGGCGGTAGTGGTTGTGGTACTGCGAGAGCACGTGCGGATTGTCATCCGCAACCTTGTAGATCAGCTGCGCGTCGCAGCAATTGCACGTCGTCTTCGTCCTGGGCGTGCAGGATCCATAGTTCAACTGGTAACAGTCCACGCAAACCTTTTGTCCACAACAACCCGTGAGACCAAGGTTTAACACCGTGGTTGATTTGTAGTTTGTTCCGTCACTTTCCTCTTCGTGCACAGTTTTCATTCGTCGTGGCGAAGTTTGCTGGAAATTATGGCTCGAAGGGGTCGCAGTCGTTCCGCTCGCTGTACTAAAACCGGAATCCTGCGTCGAGGTGCGCGAGGTCGCCGCGTAAAAAAAAGGGCCCGCTTGCTGCTGCGATAATGCGCCGGCGGCGCATCTAGCCCCTCTAGGTGCCAGCGGTAGTGGCGGACGTGTTGAGGTCGACGTGTTGCCATGATACCCTGCTTCTCTGCACGGACTGAGGCTGGGAGTTTTGCTGTTGTTCGCGACTTTCTTTTGAGAGGAAGTTGCTGTAGATCCTGAAATCACTGTGCCAGAACGTTGCGTCATGCTGTCGTAGGAGTCCACTAAGGCCGGCGGGGAAAAAGAGCCCCGAACACTTTTGCGCCGGTCGGTGGGAGAACGACTGGGTGCAGCTTCTGCTTCTCTCCGTCCGCCGCTTGTTCCCTGTACCAAACCCGTTCTGGTCTGTGTACAACTAACACGACTAGTACCCACAGCGCCTGCGTCCTTGCAGCTCCTCGCAAATTCCACACCCCTCGCTTCAATCACTGCCTTATTCCTGGCAATGTCCTGACTAGGGAGCGCAAAGAAGTACGGCGTGACACATCCAACACCATGCTCTGGCGTCGGCGGCGAATTACTCCCTGTCGGGCTGCTGGCGGTTGTGTGCCGGCTCCAGACGGAAAAACTTGCCTTCGCCGACGGCTGCACATGCTCGCGTCTGCGTACGAAATAAGTCGGGAAATCCGTGCCGCAAATGCAACAGGGTTCGTCCTTCAGACTTCCGTGCACCGCGCGGACCACCACCAAACCCCGTCGAAATTCCCGGTACGCGGAGACCAGTTGCACGTAGGGCCGGATCCAGGTGCCGGATTCCCCGGCTTTCAGATTCGAAATCTGCTCGATCACGGCCTTCGCCTGCTGGTGCAGGTCCCACAGGTGCTGTGCGGTTGCGGCCGAGTCTGGCTGTCCAGCTGATGAATCGGTCTGTTCTTGCAATAACGCACCCGTCAACTCCCGCATTGCGAGGGAGAACGGGCCTGGTAAACAAGTTTTGGTGTTCTCACCAATGGTGCGTAAAGACCCGGGCGTCGCAGTGGGGTCACCGCTTCCGCAAGGGCGTGCTGCTTGTAGCGAGGACGTCGAAGACGAGGTGGAGCTCTTGTTACTCGCTGCACCTGCTGGAGCACTTCGAGAAGACGATGCTGGCTGTTCTGTCGTTACGGGTGCATGTCTAATCGCGCGCTTCGCCAGTTTCGCGACCGCAATTTCGTAGCTGCGGCTCAAGCTGGGCGACGCCGTGCTGTCGGCAAGCGGGTCTTCGGGCTCTTCTCCCTTACGAGGGACAAATAAATACCTAGAGTTTATATCCCCGTCCTCTCCCAGAAGTTCATCTCGTTCCCCAGGCCCTTGCTCTCCGGGTGGAGGACTCGGAAGACTGTTGGCGTAGTCGTTGAAATTCAGCTCGTACAACGGAAAATTCGGGTCGACGGCGGTTGCCGTCGGCGTGACGGCCTTCGAAGGAGGCCACATTTTGGCGGCATAAACTCCAGTGGTTCCGCATGAGCCCGTGGGACGGTGTGGACTTCTGCCGATCGAGTTAGAGAAGATAAAGAAGAGCTGTGCCAATAATTCTGTAAAAATATTACCCGAAGCAATGAAGTGGCTCCAGAGAAACACCCGAAGCAAGCGGTTGAGCCGCAATGTTGGCCGGGACATTGTCTGTGGAAGTCACAATCAACAGTCTAGTTATTGCAGCCGCACCACCTTGCTGGCCGGGCTGTTATTTCTTTTTTTTTTCTGTTGCAGTCAGATGAGGGCTCGCAGGTGCTCGCCCATAGGGCAGTTGATTTTCGAAGAAAAATGCAAGAAAAAGGACGAGAGAATGGCTCTCGCTAGCTGTGAACGCTAATTCTACTTCTTGTTCTTTCAATCTTCTAAATGGAAAAAATACGAATATGCGCGAACAGATTCCTTGGAACAACTTCTACCCGAAAGAACATAGCGGCCTGTAGAGTGGAGTGATTAAACATTCGCCATAGCGTACGACAAATGGTATAGGGTCCAGAAAGGGCAAAGGTGAAGGTCTGAAAAACAATATAAGTACTGCCGGACGTATGGCCATTCTATCTGCATCTTTTCAAAGTAGATAAAAAAATTTCAGGGTCCGCGCATTTCGATATCAAAGCAGGCAAGCCTGTTTAGGCGTGAGCCCTAGCCAACGCCTGCGCTATTTTTCCAATTCTTCAAACAGCTAGTTAAGGAGGCGGCCTCATTCTAACATTCCCGATGGCCTGGGCCACGGATTCGGGATCGGGTGGTAGGCTAACCCGCAACCCCGAGCACCGGCAGAAAACTGCACAGGCTCCACGCAGCGAATAAGGTTGCGGGAAACGAAGGAGGCGACTAGCTAATCAGCCGGACCAGAGCGATTCTTTCGGAGTCCGCAGCACACTCTTGGCGTGCGGCGTCAGGATTTCGAGCAAAACAGCTACGCGGCCGCGATGCCATTCCTCTAGGCGGGCGTCAGTAAACGAGCGACATAGGCAGCGCGGTGCTGCCTGGTCTGGGCCCACTGCTCATGCTTTGGCGCTTACCTGATTCGGCCTGCCGGAAAATCTAAAACGCCACGCAGGGCGATCAGGCCGCCTCGCGCTTGCATACTTCTGGGCAGCGGCTCCCCAACATCCCCAGGCCACTGCTGCCGGGGCTGCCTGAGTCACCATATTCATGCGGCACATTTCTCAACGGGCCAAAGGCTTCGCAGGCGGGGCAGTCGCTGCCACGCCGCAGCTTGGTTTGTGCCAAGGACCCAGCCATAGCGGAATCACTGAAAATAATCATCCTGCGCCGCATCCTGAAAACCCTCGCAAAAAGCCCAGCGCTGGCGCACGCCTTGGGTGGCCCGCTATCAAAGGTGCTACAACCTTCGCAGACGATATCGCACTCCGCCGGGCAGGTTGCGTTCTGAGGGGGCGGACAGGCTATTGCCGGCGCGCTGCGCCACAGAGCTAAACTCGCGGCGCCATTTTTCTAGAAGTCCCGTCCCCGGGTCTCCGGGAGTTCTGTAGATTCTGCGAAGAAAGGCCCTCCCCGAGACCCCTGAAAGGGGTTTTTTCCGGAACCCTCGTAGCAGTGGGGGAAGCTTCCAAAACTAGTGTTTTTGGCTACCCCTCCCGGAGGGTCCTCAGCAAGGGTCCCGCAGAGGAGAAAGCTTCCAGCTTCGGAAGCCCTCGGCGAATGTTGCCACCGGGGCCCAAGGCATCCCGGCCTGCTTACGGGCGAAGTTCGCATAGGCCCCAGGACCTATCAGCGCTAGAGGTAGGCAGGAGAAGGTGTAGGCCGCTGGGGCCTGCCCCTGGTATACAGCTTTGCCAGCGCGCCCGCCCCCTCCAGTTCGTTTTGGCTCCACCACAGCAAATACGGCCATGGCCTTGAAAGCCTTCACCACCAAACCCAACCAAGGCAATGCGTACCGATGGGGCTGCCGCGCCCAGGCTTCCCCGAGAGGGGCTGTGCCGCATGTGGTCGCGCTACTGAAGCGTGGCCCGCTTGGATTGGCGCCCATCACTCACGCAAGCGCATGAGGGCGCTCCGGAGAAGCAGAAAAGCTGCAAAGGTAGGAAAACGGCAAAGACTGGGGGTGAAGGCGGGGGCGCTGATGTTCCCAGCGACGTTGGGGTGGCGGAGTGAACAAAACAGCCTCGCAACTTGGCCGCCCACACTTCCTCTGTCGAGGGAGCTGCGCGGGGAGTGTCGAGCGAAAATTGTAGAGCCGCCGCGGATGTGACCCAGAGCCAGGTCTTCGACTTCTTCTGCCCCATCGACGAGTCGGGGGTGCCACCTGCAACTCCGCCGCACATGGGGAGGGCAGGAAGTTGTTGGAAGCCGCTCGGCTTCTCTTGGGGGACATGATTATCTCCGAAGTCAGGCGGTCTTCGCCAAAGACTCAAAAATGACCCGGGTCCGTGCGCGGGATAGTCCTCGCTGCGGCGACATGGCCGCCTTCTTAACTAGATATCTTGATACGCATTGCCCAAATGCATTTCATGCACGACAGAGGCACATCACAAAAGTAAAGCAGCGCAATGCCTATGCCCGGAGACCCTGAAAATTTTTTATCCACTTTGAAAAGATGCAGATAGAATGGCCATAGGACGGCAAGCACTTCAACACGAACAGGGAACATCAACATACAAGATGAAAGCAAAGCCACCGATAGGCCTCCCTCCGGACTCGCTTCCGCTGGTAATAGACAGCACAAGCGCAGGGCGTGGCCCGCTTGCCTTGGCCACGCGTAATCAACTTCACGAAGAGGGGCGGCTGGCGCGCGCAAGCATAATTGCTCGGCGGCCGGTGGACCCTGCGCCGGGCCGGCCGGGGGGCCGGCGGGCGCGGGCGATCGAAGGCCCGGCGGCCGGCGCCCTTCGCGGGCCATGCACTTTGTTAAGCTGCTGCACCCACGCGCCAAAGATCTGGCCCGCCTTTTTTGCCCCTGCGCCGTGTAATCCAAAGCCGTCTGCCTCAACAAAAGCCGCCCCCCGCTGCCCGGCGCTGGCCAAATACCGCGCCCGACCCCCACTCCCCGCCCTGCCAGCGAATGCCTGCGCCCCGCGGGCCGGCAGGCTGCGGGGAATCGAAGCCCGCAGTGCCTCGAGTGGGATGCATGGCGTTGCCCAATCAAACAGAAAGGCCCGGGCCGGCGGGCCGGCTGCAAGGAAGCAAATGCGAGGGCGGCGGCCTTTCACGGCTGCCCCCAATTCCCCCTCCACTAGAGTCGCGCCCGCGTCCATGGCAAGCAACCAACTAACGCGGCCACTCAGAGAGGACATCCCAACAACCCGCTCCGCTCTCCCGCCGCAACTCGACTCCCAAGCTTTCGCCTGGGCCTGTATGTGTTCGAGTTGACTCCGGAGCCCGCGCAATGGCTCCACATGCATAATTTTGCGACGCACCGCCTCGAGGTGGTTCTCTTTCTATGCCGACCCTCCGGCACGCTTCGCGAGTCATGTCCCCCAGGATTGTGCCCAAAGGGAACGGGCTGCGTCGCATCTGATCACGTGAGGCGCCGACATGCCGCGCAGCTGCCAAATGCCGACGCCTCTGATGGGGCAACCGCCCCAAATGCTCGCGCCGATGTCCCTGCGCATACCAACGCAACCGGGAAGCGATCGGGCGCAAACTCACACGCGCCACGGCAACCAGAACCACCGACGGCCAGGCAGAAGCAAAAAAAACAAAATGGCGGGCGGCCTCGATCCCCAAACAAGCGCGCGCACCAAGTGGCCACACCAGGGCGCCCCTGGGCCAACTTACGCACCCGGGGCGCCGCAGCTTCCTGCCCGCTCGCTGGCTAGAACTTCGCCGCGGCCCCGACTGTGCTCGCCGGATGCAAAGCACCCGGCTGCCGGGCCGAAGAACCGCCCGCGCCAAAGCGAGGCCCTGCGACGAGCGCTGCGCAGCGAGCTATTGGAGGCGCGCGGCCTTCTCAAGACCTTCGGCGCGAAGGGGCGGGGCCCCGGGCGATTCGCAGAACGCCCGGGCCTGTTGCTGCGATCGGCCCTGAGCGCTAACCTTCAAGCGAGCCACGGCGCCGGGCCGCCCTTCTCAAGACGCTGCGCGCCCCGGACTGCGCCGGCGCGGCCCGCTTTGTCTGCTACGACTGAAGAACGCCGGCGCGCAATTTTTGAGAGGCGCCCAGTATACAGAAATTGAAGATTTCCAACTCCGAGATGGGCGACATAGGTGAACACAACATTGGCGAAGCTTCGGCTGTTGTAGTTGACTGATTCCAATTTATATTGCACACGCCGCAGCAACAGGCGGCAATAGGTCGAACTAGTCTCGCTCTTTTTCTCAAAGTAGATTAGCCCTGAGCAGACTCATTCTGAATTCAATTCATTTGTGTCTATGTCCATTTCCTCGAGCAGTGTAGAAGAAAGCAGATGAGGTGGAGCGCTCTGCTTCTACTGGCTTGCTCTTCCAGCAGTATGTTCAGGAGCGCCTGGCCTTTTTCTTGGCCTTCCCACAACTTCCCGGCGTCTCCTTCTGACTCCCACCGGGACCATGATCGTCCGGTCCCTGTTGTACTACTTGCTCTTCTTTTTCGGTCTTCGTCGTGCTGTCAGCTTCTTTCTTCTCTGCTCTCACCACAGCTCCGACTGCCGTTGTACCAGGCCGCGGCCCCGTCACGGGCTTCTGTGAGGTAGAGGGTGCTGAAACTACGGCTCCTGCAGCAGACTCCTTGTTCGACTCGCTCTCGCTGACCAAGTTCACCACTTCTTCTGCGCCGTTCCCGTTCTCCTGCGCCGATTTTTCGCTGTCGCTGATCAACTCGATAACCTCTTTCTTGCTAGTTGTGTTTTCAACGCGCTTTGTTTCTTCTTCGCTAGTACGCGGATCGTGACTCCGAATGCTGTTCCGGCGGGACTTCTCAGTTTTCACAACCACAGGGTCTTCATAATCTGGCTTTACAAAAGGCAGCGGCGGGGCAGCAGATGCTTTCCCTTTCTCTGTGTTCTTACGATGGTCTTCTAGAGTAGTGCCACCTCGTCCACCCGGTAGAAGTACGATGTCCGGATCTGGTGCCTTTATTTCTCCTTCTCGTGGAACTTCCACCCTTTCAATTCCCAAATCAACCAGACGAAGAAACGAGCTCCGCAGCCACCTAGCCGTCTGGTCGCATACGATATCAGAAACCGCCGGCTTGCGCTTGGTAGAAGAAACAGGCCGAGAACATAAATCGATGAAATTTCTGTCCCTGCTCGCGACTTTCGCCCAAGTCCCCAGCCGCACCTGCTCCGCGTGAAGAATCAGGAGCCTTTCTTCCAGACTTACGGGAAGATTCTTGGTGGGCTCGTTCTCAACGTTTCGAGGATGTTCTCGTGCTTCATTCCGGTTTCGTGCTAGTGATACAATTTTATCCGATAATCCTTGCGGTAAAACAAACCCACTTTCTGAGCCGTGGCGCGTGATGAGGTCGAAAATCTTGCTGGCCTTGGTGTCGCGTGATTTTGGGCACGGGATCTTCGTTTCCGAGGTGAGAAGTGGTTGCTTTAGGTGTGATGTCCTCGTAGTTGATAGGCCTTTTCCACGATGAACGTCACTATCACGACGGGAGGACGAGCGGATGAAATATGGCAGAAAAAACCGATCCATCACGAGTCCGCAACTCTCACCCTTCCCCGCACACCGCAACGTCGCCATGGCCCTCGCCAACGGTGCTATTCGGACGAGGTCTCTCGTGTAAGAGGCCACGAGAAAGCGCCGGGTTAACTCCTGCGTCGCGGCAAAGGTGCGGTCTTCCAGGGAAAGGAAAGCATTTCGCGCGAAAAACCGGGTGCTCCGTATTGTCAAAAGGGACGAACTTTCGTTGTACAACGTCTTGACAGAAGTAGGGCGCATTATAGTAGTACAACCAACTTTCGCTGCCATTCCGAACAAGCCCAGCCCGTATTTCTCATCCACAGCACTCGCCGCGTTTGCAACCGGAAGACCCGAAAACCCCACCTCCGCACGCGCCTTGAACACCTCAAACCCCGGTGGATCCGCGAATACTAGCTGGTGTTCCTGTACCGGTGAGGCCCGAATCCAAGAATCCACCTTTGGGTTGCAAAACCAGACCTCGGCGTGGGTCGTTTGCTCAAAAGGAAGATCATCGGCCTGGTCTTGATCTTCGCTAGAGGTTGTATTGTGATTGGGAGCTGTCGTGAGTTTGATCGCGGTTATCAAACCAGAGGGTGCGACCACCACCTTGTTGGGCGTTACCGGAAGTGGCGGCGTAATCTTTTCAAGGCTGAAGGAAGAGGAGTTCAACAACACGAGGCGGCCAGGTCGGGGGTTGGCTTCTGATGCATTAGATCCCGCTGCTGGGCCACATGCTGCTACCTGGAGGACCTGGTCGCAAGTAGTAAATTGAAAAGAAAATCGAAACAGATTTCATTGAGATCTGCATCTTCTGCGTCTCGTAGCTACATTCGTACTTTTCTAGCCTTATTCCGAAATACTCCGCTTGCACTGTGCGACGACCACAAAACAAAACACTTACCTCCGGGCATGCCGACGCGAGTACGTAGGGTGCACTTTTGGTTAAATTTGCGGACTCCACGGGCACGGGGAGTACCACGCTGGGCACAATCGTCAAGCCGTGTTCGAAGTAGGAGAGAAACCGCCCCTCCTGCACCACAAGCGTGTTCAACGGGCCGTCCTGCTGTTTCGCGGTCACGTTTTCTAGCCACACCTGCACGACGTTTCGCCCCGGAATCTCCATAAACTCCTCTCCAACTGGTTTTTCGGCCGCAATGCCAAAAGTGGAACTGGGTAGAAAACTTCTTCTAGATCTAGTCGCCCACGATTCAGTTTCAGATTTTATTTCCCTCCACGGTTTCATCTCCCCTGTTTTCGTCTCGTCTGTAGCCTCCACGTCATGCGCATCAACGACCCGGTCGCAGATCATGGAGCTCTTGCTCCTGATAAAGTTTCTCGCGTTTCTGCCGTTATTTTCTAGCGCTTCTAATCTGTGAATTTCTTCCATGAGAGGGAGAGACAGTGACCCAAATCTGCCCCATTCTCTTAATTGGATTTGATGTCCTGCTACGTCGGTATTTGATGTCGCTTTCATCAGTTCGTCAACCCCGCTCGCCAGGTCCGCTGCTATTTCAGCACGGTAAGCTTGAAGGTTTGGTCTTTCCGCACGACAATCGACATTGAGGTCCACATCGTCTTGTTCCTGGCCTTCTTCAAGAAGATCATCAAAATGATCTAGATTTTCCAAGCAAAAGTACTCCAATGTCTGCAGCAGTCGGACCCCGTCCTCAATTGTCACGGCAGCGCGTTCTTGGCTCGAAAGCTGATGCGGATCATCTACTTCCTCAAGCAAATGCTCTGCGATTGGGCTCACTTTAGCAACCGCGAGGTCGAGAAGCTGATCCGGTAGGTGCGTTACCTGGTTCAAATCAGCTCTTCCACAGTTGTATGCCGCGGTTCTTCGGTCACCGTCATGATTTGTTTTCTTTCCGCCGTTCGAATCGATTCGCCGTGCTGGATCGAGAAGATTTTCCGAACCACAGTCGGTGAAAGACGCGACATCGTAGTCAATCTCCAATCCGGTTGGCCCTACGAGAGTGATTGGGCGGATATAGTCGAGCTTTTTTCTGATAGAAGTTGTACTAGGACAAATTGAATCCGCTACCGCTTCGTCCTCCTGTCCGCACGAGCTACTCCTGAACGTCGACGGAAATAATTTCCGACACGTCTGCTGGAACATTTCGTCCTGGAGATCTTCCGCAGTTTTTGATGTAATTGTTTTCTTACTTGATGGTCTTTTCGTAGCAATCATACCCTGCTCTGCTGCGCCCAGCCGCGCGTCAACACTTTCGTGCGATGCGGCCTCTCCACCAGATCCAGATCCAGGTCCCAGGGTTGATAATAAGAGGCCTATCAACTCCTGTGTGTCATCTTCTGCTTCAAACGACCCGAAGGCCGCCGCAAGTTCTTCAAAAACAGTGGACAAAAGCTCAACGTTTGTTGAACACGAGCGCATCGAGGTTATTTCAGCGGTCTGATCCTCCACATCCTCGTTGTGTCTTTGTAATGCTGCATCGTGAAGATGTTCTTGTCCTTGTGTACGAAGTAGTAGTCCCTGCAACGCTTCGTCCAAGGAGAAAACCAAGGAATTTCCGGCGTGGAGGTGTTGGTCTACCTCTGCAGATGTTAACACCTTCTCCTCATCCTCGTTTTTGTATGGGTTGTTTTGCTTTTGACAAAGTCTGTTCATTATGCCAGGACAGACTTCATCGCCGGCGCCATGGTGAACGCAGAACTCCCTGGGGTCAAACGTCGTCGAATCCTCGGTTGTTTTATCAACGAGGATCTTCTCGTCATCTACTTCAGTGAAGGCCGCAGCTGCTGTTGAAGTTCTTGAAATTCTTCCCGCATAACCAATGGCAGCTGTTGACCTACCTCCAAAAATCGCTTCCACTTCCTCCGGTGCCTCCATTGCCACCACATCCGACAACGTTCTGCTCCGCGCCAAGGAATCCAGGATTTCCCCTTCCGTGAGCTGTTGCTTTCGCAAATTCCGGACTACTTTCTCGATGTTGTTATTCTCGAACAAGTCTCCTGCAGCTGCTCGGTGGTCTTGGTTTTTCTCGTGGTCCAAACAGGACACATCAGCTCCGGTGGCTTTGAAATCATCACAATGATCCCGCACATTTTCACTGTCGCCTGCTCGTAAAACTGCATTTGTTCCTTTTGCACCATTCATCACATCCCAAGCTATCCTTTCCCTTGCCTTCTTTTCGAAAAATTCCACGTTCATCCTGCTCGCCCTGTCCAGCCAGGGACAACTGCTTCGGATGAAGAAAAAGCCCCCCGTGTTCGTGCACAAAAGCAGCGTCTGGCCGTCGCGGGGGAGCACTATGTCGAAAACAATCCCCGCCTCGCGCGGTAGCGCGTCGTCGAACACCATGAGTGGCTGCCGCGCAGAGGAAGACCAGATGGTCACGGTATTCTCCTATCAAATGTAAAAATGTCTGGGTCTGGAAGCTTGCCAGGTTTGTGATGCATATTTTGGAAGGCTCGTGATGTCTGTGATGCATGCTCTAGCATGAGAGATTTTTCGAGGCCTTTGTGATGCCTCTATCGCATGAGAAACGCCCTCTCCACGTAGCACAAACTGGAGTCCTTTATTTGCTGGTCACGCAATCATGCTCGTACAGAGACAGCATTACAAGTTTATATCTTCCAGAACCAGACGCAGACAGTTTTACATTTGATATTTCCGGGCTGGTCACCATCGCGAACAAGGAGACGGGGTCGAAGTTCTTGTGTTCATCTTCGACTGCTGGTTGAGTCAAATTTGTCGCCGTGTCGTGTGCTCTCTGCTGCACGATTTGTTTATTTCCCAGCGTCCAGTGCGGAAAAATAGGCGAACAAGATGAAGAAGCATGATTCTTACCTAGTAATGTCCGTGATAGTTCCTCTCTCGTCGTACCATCTGCCTGCTTGTTGTTCGGCCCCCGACTGGTAGTATCATCACCTTCCCTCCCCTCCAGCAACGTCGGTGGATACAACAACTCGGGATTTTTCGTGCTGTCGACGCCTCTTGAACAAGATGTGTTTGCCAACATCAATTCTCGTCGAAGTTCCGCCGCGCTACTACTAGCACAGCCAACACGACCTTCTACATGATCCCCTTCGACGTCCTTCAATCGCCGGCACAGCGGCCCGTGCGCGATCAACGACACCCGATCCGAAGGCACGCTCAGCATTGTCAACGGCTGCTGCCAGTCGTCCCGGCCGTATATTGGTGCGACGTATTTGACGCGATTGTAGTTGCTTCTGCCGACATTGTGTTGTTGATCGTCGGATGAATTTTGATCGTACTCACCGTCTGAAAATGATTTATCGTCTTCACCATTTGCATTTATTTCTCGTTCTCCAAGAAGACTACCACCAGCAAACCGCTTCTCCTGGTAGGGTAGTAAACAGCTGCAACCCAGGGGGTCCCAGGTCGGGCGCGCGGACAGAATGATCTTCGACCGGTTTTTATCCTGTGCAAAAGTATCGCACTCGTATAATTGCAGTCACGCATTACAAATCTTTTTCTTCAGGAAAATCCGCATTACAAATTGCATTTCTCATGCTGAGGAAATTTGTAATGCATTTACAAAAATACGATACTTTTGCAGTTCATAGTTTTCCTCAGACATCTCGGCCCAGGCGTGGACCACGTCCGGCTTTAGCGTCCACACACTAGATTATTATAGTGAAAAATACCCAGACCCACAAAGTTTGTGATGCGGAGTTTCCAAATGAAAACTTTTTGTCATGCATGAAAGGAGTATGAATCTTTCTGATGCAGAGTCTCCTAGGCGTATATCGCATCGCTTGCATGACAAGCGCCGCTCTTGCGGGGATGATCTCGCGATTGGAAATCTGTGATGCTGATAGATGCACGAGGGTGAATGTTTCATTTGGAGAGGTTTGCAACAGAAATGCTCCCAAGTTCGGCGGTGGAGGCATTTTTCATTCTGATATCGATGTTTTCGTTTTCCTAACCTTCTGTGTTCCTCCGGGTCCTCCGGAACTAGACGACGTTTTCACCACGATTTTGCGCTCCCACACAAAGGGTATGCATTGCAAAAGCATCGTACTAGTATAAATCGCAACACAAATCTTTTCAGAAGGAAAATTGGAGTGTGTAATGCTGATTTGGCTAAGAAACAAGATTTTTCATGCATGATTGCAATTAGTACGAACACGCTACTTTTGCAGAGCATAAAGGGTATCAAATTTCCGTTCGCGGTGGCGTGCATGGCAACGACCTGCTCTCCCCACGGGTCGATTTGCGCTCCCACCCACCGGTGCATCGTGTCGTTTAGCAATTTCTTGCAGGATATGCATTGCAAATATGTCTGGGTCTGGAAGATTGGAAGACTTGTCATGCACGTTTTGCATGATCCATGACGGCTGTGATGTATGCCCTAGCATCACAGATTTTCTGAGTGCTTCTTGATGCCTATCCTCCATGAGAAATGCCCTCTCCACGTGGCAAAAACTGGACTCCTATTGCCTGTCATGATGATGATGTTGGCAGTGCGCCCTTAGAATCCAAAAATAGCATTACAAGTTGCATCCTTCCAGACCCAGACATTTTTGCATTTGATACAGGAGCTGATCGATTGCTGGAGCTGATGAAGTGTTTCGTCATGGTGTAGCTTATTTTCCTGCATTTTTGTTGTTGCAAGAGACGACTTGGAAGATTTCAATTTATTTCCAGTTGCTCTCCTGCTGTTTTGCAGTAAAACTAGGCGCATCTTCCTTCTCCTGGCTCTTTCCTCCAGCTCTTCGACCCTTCCCTGCACCAATTTGTGAAATTTCGCATCTGACACCGTCCACTTTTGCAGCCGCTGTCCGTTCGACGTGTCCACCAGGTGGACGTGCCCGCAGTCCGTGGCGATCACCATCTCCTTTGGGTTGGCCTTGCACCAGGATAAATCGGTCACCTCACACTCCACCGCCATCCCGCTGACCATCGCCTCCGCGGAGAAACGGTACGTGCGGACCCGCTTCCAACTAATGTTGAAGTGCCTGAAGGCGGCAAGGGACCGGAAACAGGTCTGCAGAAACGCACTGCTCTTCGGATCCACTTTTGCGGGCAGGACCGACGTGTTCGCGGTCGGCTCCCAGAGCATCACGTTGCCGTCGGCGCCGCCGGAGGCCAGCATCCGGGTCCTGGGATGCCACCGCACAACATTCACCGCTTCGTAGTGGTCGGTCAGAGACGCGACGGCCGAAGCCTCAAATTTCCTATCTTTATTGTCCCATTCCAAGTGCCAGATTTTCACCGTCTTGTCCGCGCCTGCCGTGGCGAGTAATTCCAAAAGCTGGTCGGTTGAAGACGTCAAATCCATGCACAGAATCTGTTTTCCGTCCTCGTGCGTAACTTCCCCCAGCGCGCCCGCACAGACGCTGTGGGATGATGTGGCGAACATGGTATTGTGGTCGTGAGGATCTCTTATTTGCTGGTCGTGTGCTAGGTCTGAGTTGTTACCCAATGCATCGCCAGACGCGGCGGTGCTCGCTTTCTGCAGTCTTTTCTGCTCCAGCTTGTGCAGGTCTCGCCAGGTGAACCGCTTTTTCTTTTTTTTCTTCTTCAACCTTTTCTCGCGGCGGCCTTCAGTAGATTTGCGCGTCGCTGTTATTTTTTGGCTTCTTGTTGCATGAGAAGAGTTGTTGTAGTTCCCTTTAGATTTATTCTTGTTCCCAGCGGCACTCGCCCTTCGATTCTTACACCTCTGAGCCTCAGTTTGCAGCTTCAAAACCTCTGCCTCCTCATCCTCTTCTTCGCCCTCGTAAATGGTGGCGAGCGAAGGCTTCCGCGACGCCCGGACACGCCAGCCCGGAGGTGCTCCTACTGGCGTGGTATAGTAGCCATTGCCATCCTCATCTTCATCCCTGCTGCTGTTCACCTCCGGGCCAAAGCCGGGTGGCGAGGAATCTGAGGTTGTTTTCTGATCTTCTTGATGTTCTTGTTGACCATGATCTTCTGCTTCACTTTTACTCTTTGCCGATGATGATGCTGTTGATGCTCCTGCTGTGACAGAACTTCTAGGTGATGCTGCTTTATTATTCCCTGCTTCCTGTTTCTGCCGTTTCGGTAAGGGAGCTCCTGCGATGTTGATCTCGTCCTTATCTTCCTCGTCACTAACAGGCGGCTCTGACGATGAAGACGAAGATGAGTTAAAACGATCTGACGAAGGGGCTGACCTTCTTCTTTTCCTGGCAAGACCTCGAGAAGAACAAGTTCTGTCAGGAACATCATCGTCGTCTTCTTCCTCGCACGAGCTGAATTCCGCCAGATCCTCAGACCCTTCGCTGCTGTTTATGCATTGCAAAAGCATCGTACTAGTTTACATCGCATCACAAATTTTCCCGAGAACAAAAATGCAGTTTGTCATGCTGGACAAGGTAGAAAACTAGATTTGTAATGCATGCCTGCCATTACTACGGGTACGATACTTTTGCACAGGATACTGTTCCCCTCCGAACTATCGTCGTCGTCCATCCGCATGCGGGGGTCGAAATGGAGTGCGCGAAAGTCCCGGTGGTCGACCAGGTCGTCCAGCAGCAGCTGCGCAAGCCGCTTGTGCTTCAGCAGCCTCACGTTTGCCTGGGACACCGGGTTATCAAATGTAAAAGTGTCTGGGTCTGGAAGAATGCAAGGCTTGTCATGCTTGTCTAGCATGACCCATGATGCTTGTAATGCATGACCCAGCATCACAGATTTTTGGAAGGCTTCCTGATGCCATTTCCGCATGACAAGTGCCATCCTCGCGGAGCACAAATGTGGCTCCTCTTGCTGGTCATGCAATACAGATTTTTTTAGCATCCAAAGTTAGCATCACAAGTTCCGACCTTCCAGACCCAGACATTTTTGCATTTGATGCGGGTCGCGGCTGCCCGTGAATAGCTGGAGCAGCTCCTCTATCCTGTGCGAAAGTATCGTACTTTCGCAAGGTATATCCGCATCACAAATTCTATTTCTCACGCTGAGGAAATTTGTAATGCATTTATACGAGTACGATACTTTTGCAATTCATATCCTCCAGCTCGCGAATTGTCAGGTCGCCGAATCGTAGGAACGACTTCAAGTCAAAATAAGACGTTGCGACTTCTTGTTCATCCCTTTGGAGGTCGTGTCCCGCATGTTCCTCTTGACCCCCGACTGCTTGTTTGGTCGAAGTAGTGGGCAAGGCGGCTAAAATTTTCAGATTTTCTTCCCTTTCCCGTAATTTCTCCTTGGCCATGGCTTCGACTAACAGGTCGGGTAACAGTGACATCTTCGAGCTTCGAGACCGAGTTGTAAGCTGTGAGAGGAAGAGCGATTCATTTTGCCTGCTTGTTCTTGCTGAAGGTGAAGGGGTAGAAGTTTTACGATTTTGAATGCAGCCAAAAGATGTTGACGAGACTGCGGTAGTTTTGCGGCCACTTCGAGGATTTTTCGGATAATTGCTCAACGACTCCAGAGGTATAATTTTTCGGAGCTGTCGAGTCCCGTCGCCCGCACAGGAAGAACCCGTAGCTTTATTTTCGTATCCCACGAAAAAACTGTTTCACTGTGATGGAAGTTTTGCAAGATCCGCATCACAAGTTTGCTACACATGCCAGGGAAAATTTGCCATGCGCGCTTCCCAAGGGAAAAGACGCTTAAAAATCCAATGCCTTGCAGGTGCAGCAAGACAAATAGTTCTGTGTTCCACTCTCTGCATGACAAGTTTACAGTGGAACAGTTTTTTCTTGCGATATTTCGCCGTCGTCGTCCACCGGCAGAAACGTCTCACATGAACCGTAGAGCCGCCTGCCGTCCGTTATGCATTGCAAAAGCATCGTGCTAGTACAAATTGCATCACAAATTTTGGTAAGAAGGGAAGTGGAATTTGTAATGCTGTTTTCCCTTAGGGAAAATATTTGTCATGCATATTTTTTTTTTTTTTTGATTGGGCCCCGCTCTGTTGACGCATATAAATTCATCACTAAAACTAGGGGGCCGGTGTGCGTTACTTAACATGTGAAGCAGTTCTACGAATTCACCTGCCTGCCGCAGCAGGTCAAACAGGGCCGACACCTTTCACACAGTTAAGCAGTGCGCGTGTATGCGTGCGTTTTTGTTTCATCTTTTTTTTGGTATTCTTACTTTCCGCTCTTGTCCCCTGCTCCAGCACATTGCACTGCGCATCTTGTTCTCGCTTCGCTTCCGTTTTCCCCCTCCTCCCCCGCGTGCGTATCCACCTGGGCCTAGTCCCCCCCGTCCTGTAGCTCGAGCGGCTCGCTCAGGTCCCGCGATTGCATCCCCGCGGGGCTCGGGCTCGTGGCTGTTTTCCGTCATACCTCCTTGGTATGTCCTCGCTAGCAGGCAGATCCTGACTCCCCACTTTGCCGCACTGCGTCCAAGCCCGCTTTCGTTTTTCATGATGTTCTCTTCAAGCTTCGTGTCTGTTAGGGTGTATCTAGTTAGTCTGTAGTGTAAAAAGTAAAATAAAGCGATGCGGAAATCTTAAAGAGCTTACACTTGATTTAAAATCGTGCTAGCATCTTGCTTCTATTTCTAATCCCCGTTTCTTCCCCACAACCCACGACCAGCCTCTGCTGGAAAAAAAGAAGTTCCCTGGTGAGTTTTTTAATAGTCGCAGCGGGTGGGGGGAGACCACATTGGTCTCCCCCCGCACGCTACTCGTCTGTTGTAGTATCTGCTTTGTATTTGTCATGCATATTTGCAATTACTACGAGTGCGATGCTTTTGCAAAGGATATCCGTGAGTAGTGACCAATTCGTTTCCGTAGCGAAAACCAAATTCCGGGCACGAGTCTTTATTCTATCGGCCCAATAGGACATCGGGATCGGTCGGTCCATGGCGAGAACAGACTCTCGTCGATCTTCCGATGTAGCAGATCCTAAGCCACCCTCGTCAACAGCATTTTTTTCATGTGCGTCCTCGAGGAGAGACGATCCAAAAATTTCCCGAGCTGGCTCCGGTAACTCAAGAACGTCGATGAATTTCTTCGGAGGCCCACAGGTGCTGCTGCTACTTATTGATGTACAAGAAGAGGTACTAGTTGACGTCGCGACAGCGCCGTGTTCGCCCTCGCGCTCCTTTCGGACCCCCAAAGAACTACCCTCAAGCTTGAAGTTATCAATACTCTGTAAAGCCGCGGCAACTTGCTCGACATCTATTTCTTCATCTTCTTTAGGCTGGTGGCCCTCCTGCGCCTCCTCGTCCTTGTTTGTCGAAGTCAACGCAGCAACTTTTAATATCGCGTCCCCATTCGTCCCCTTCTGTTTTTTGGAAACATTTTTGCTCCTCGGTGGCGATGGCGATGGCGATAGCGCTGGTACCGTAGTGGCACCTACTGCAGCCGAGCAAAATTGCTCTGCTTTTCGCATCCTGTCACGAAACTTCCGGACCATGAGCTGTGTGAACACGATGCCACGCCCAGACCCGGAAGAGTCGCTTGGTTCCGAAGAGGTAGATAACTCCATTATAGATAGTTCATATGTAGATAGTTTTTACAACTCTTTATCTTTTCACATGTCAGTTTTCCTGATCTTGCGTGCCTGTCACCAGCCTCCGCAGGTCGTTGCGGTCGAGGTCGTGGTCTTCATACATTTTCACACTTATCATGGTTTGCTTTGTCATGCTCATGAGATTGGCTCGTTTACAGTTTAGTACGAAGTCTTGTCGCTGGAGGATGAAGTAAGCTGTGCTAGTAGAACCGAGTTTGACACGTATGAAACTTTAGGGCACCAGAGAGCTTAATGTTATAGAAAAAAAAGAAAACGCCACATCAAAGGTGCTAACTACGGTAAAACATATATATTGTAGTGAGATCCACAGTGGCGACCGGAGAGTACTACACAAAAAACTCTTCTATCGCACGCTTCCTGTGAAATGACTCACAAGATGGTATTGCGATGGCTACTTGACCTACTGCAAGCACAGCAGAGAGGCTCGAGGGTCAGGAAATGCATCGCGGACAGAACAATTACTCAGACCAGTTGACAATCGGTTAATATCTTAGTACGCAATCGAAGTGCAAGTTGAATGCCAAGGAGGATCTTCTGGGTAGTTGTACATGATCTCTACATGAGTCAGTAACGGTTCATACTGTGCTCGTACCGTTACACAAAGCGTCAGAGATCTTGTTTGCGGTACAGAGGCAGAACCAGAATCACAGAAGCTGTTGAATAAAGCACTAGTAACCGTAAGCAACAGCACCTCCCTGAACACATCCGATCCTCCATCAGGCTTGTGAACAAGTCTTCGCAAGGGCATCTCTCTCGTCCACAAACGAGGATTGATGCCATCTGTTTTTGGTGAAAGTATCTCTGTCGTAGTGTTCTGTCGCCGTGAATGAACTTGTAATTGACATTGTGCCGTCCATTCTTGAGATTCTGAGTCCGCGTCTTGGTAATTGTTGACCACCTCATGCTAATCAATCGCATTCGCACAATCATGCCATATATGTTTTAGCCTCAGAGACAGGCCATCTTTCGTATAAGAAGCTCACCGCGATTAATACTTCTTCTACTTCAAACGCCTATTAACTGCCGCTGGAACATTTTTTGCGCTTCCTTCAGTACTCTATATTCAGTATCAGACCCACCAGTGCATACTGTTCCCCGAGCTGGTGACGATCATGGGCCTCCCCGGGTTCCACATTGCGTGCACGGGCAGACCCGTGTCGAAGCCGTTGATGATGCGCTCTATGTCCCCATTCGTCGTGGAGTACAAAGAGACACTCCCATCGTGGCGGTGAAGGACAAAGGCGCTGTCGGGACTGAAGAAACCGGCGGAGTGCGGGATGGTGGGAGTTGTAGTTGTAGACGTCCTTGCTCCCGCTTGGTCCGCCGCTTTCGGAATTTTGTACGTCACAATCGGGTCTCCGTCATAGGCGTCAAGAAGGTGCCTGTAGTGGTTTGAAGAAGATTGCGATTGCCATGCTTGCCTTACCAATCGTTTCATCTCTTTTACCTTGACGAAGGAAAGTAGCTGCAACTTCATAAATTTACATAAATTACCTAGAACCAGTATTCGCAAATGGACAACATCCCCGAAGTAGGCACAGCAAAAGCGAAAAAGCTATAGCATTTACGTTGCGTTGCACAGCACATATTTTCCGCAGGGCGAGAACTCCAAGTGCAAGCAGGGTTCGGCGAGATCGAACGTGAGAAAGCTCCCTTTCAGAAATGTCTTCGAGTCGAAGAGGTGGATACTCCTGTTTTCGTGGTTCATTTGTGCAGTTGGTTCACTGAAAAGCAACATGGATGTGTGGGGCAGACCAGGACCATGCTCAGGCGATAGTACAACAAACGAACAAGTAATAGACGCAAAGGAAATAAAAGTTCTTCCCTAGTATCGAGGTGGTTAATAAATATTCTGTACTTCTTCCCGTTGCACAGGCCGAAGACCATTCCTTGTGAGTCGAAAGCCCCGCACGTGACGTCCCCAATGTTACTCAAACGGCCGAGGCAGTTGAGCTCTTTGTCTTTGTCTTTGTCCGCGGTTGCTGCTGTTGTGTTAACCACGACACCTCCGGGCTTCTTCTTGAAGTAGCTTGAGTAATCCCACAAGGATATGTCGCCCGTCGTGCCTGCGTGGAAGTAGATTGTAAATTTGACATTGATTTTTTTTTTGATGTTACAATGCACAGTATACGTGACTCTTCAAGGGTAACAAGGGGCCGCGAAAAGTAGAGCCCGTGGCAAAGTTATCTGGTCTGTATCTGTAGCAAAGATGAAGATCGTCAGAGTCAACATCGAGAGCATGAGATGAACCGCTTCTATCGTTCAACACTTAATTCATGATACAACTGAAGAACGAATCAGTACCCAGCAACAGCGTGTCTTGATTCGGGTGCAGGGCGAGAAAGTTTATGCTTTCCCGCATCTCTGGTCGCATGGTGATCTGGAACATGAGCTGGTCCTGGAACAGATCCCGCAGTTGCAGGCGGTCCGCTTGCATCCGCGGAGGGCAAGTCGAGGAGGAGGAGCCGCCCTTTGTGGATGAGGATGCCGTCGGATGTCCTGTAGAAGCCTTGTTTGCATCGGTCATCTCGACGTCCCTGTCCTGTCCAGTATTTGATGAGCTAGAACTACAGGTGGCTAAAACTTGTCCACCCCCGTGCTGATTTGGGTTTCTCCCGACCTCCTCGCTCTTCTTCACCGTTTTTGTCAGTAAAAAAGCGTAGCTCGGGTCGGTCTGCTTGATAGTCACTTGAACAATCCGCTGCTCGGTGTTTTTCCGGCTGACCTGGATGCTTTCGTCGATATTGTCCTCAGAATCTTCGTCATTTGATGGTGCACCATCGGTCATTGCGACATCGGATGATGTCTTCGAGCCAGCTTTTATTTTCGGCGGGTTCTCCGCTGCCAGGTCGATTTTGCGTTTCAACTTGCTCTCCGTCACATCGTAGATGGCGATTTGCCTCTCCGAATAGCAGAGAACCAGGTCGCGGGACACGTCGATCCCGACTATTTTGTCGTCCAAGTCGCCCGTAAAGGCCTTGGCGACCTTCATCCCAACGGGAAAGCCGGGAGCTGCTGCTGGGGCTGCCATAGTCGGTGAACAAAAATTTTTTTTGTCGTATACCAATGTACTGTCTAGGTGAAGATGCTCGTGAATAGCAACAAACAGAGAGAATGGTTGTGAAAAAGTAAATTATAGACGCCTACCACTACTGCGCAAATCTGCTACTCATCATTTGTGCCTCGTGTGCCGGACAACTACGACTACAGAAATTGAAATAGAATCTAGGAGGCGTGAGGATCATGATCCGACTCCTTAACTGAAAGTGAAACTAAACTAGGGCCGCGATAGAATCTTGTTGCTTACAGAGCGTGGTGACCACACGAAGAAAACCAAGCTGTCTGTGACGAGCGAGTGAGTATATAAACGCGAGACATTTGTCACAAAAACTACTTTCGTCGATACAGTGAAGCCGCTCTAAGGGCGTGTCGTGCATAATTTCGCAACATTTGACTCAGAAAAGTTGCTTTATTCCTTGAGCTTCCTAAAATCAATGAGATCACACATACGGCATCAAGAGAAGCACGTGATGTACCATTTTCACGAGAACAAGAAGAGCGCTCTTGATCCGTGTGAGTGCATCCTCGTCCTGCAAGATCGAAGGTATTGAACTGACACGACTTTTTCATCTCTTTCAAGAACTACAGACCAAACGACCAATGAATTTCTCAAGAACACGGTGCTGGCCGGCGGTGTCTCAAAACTCGCTGCAGGAGGTTTCGCGGCTACCAGTGTTTGACTTTGATTTTCAAGGCGGGAGAAATGCGTCATGTAGAGCACCAGACAAAAAAAAATTATTTCGTCTTCCACGACCTAGTTCCACAAAGCGATGACCCTGAAAATTTTGAATTTTACACGCTGGATAAATACTTGTATTTCCAGATCATGCTCATAGAGATCGCGAAGCTTCCTTCGACATAGTATTTTTCGCTTCTGATTTTTTTTTTTGGTTTTGCGCATTTTCCAATACAGTTGAGAATGCAGATCTTCGACATTTGTGGGGGATACATAGAAGAAGTTCATCTTCATTTGGTAAAACGCAGAGAAAAAAAAGTACTCGATAAAAAGGGGCTTGAAAAAATAGAAACAATTTTTACATTTCGGCGTGCATTTTTTTGGGGTGTATTGTACAAAAGAAAGATGACATAGCCAGTGAGTGTAGAAGAGCTCGGAAGAAGTAGAAGATGTTGACCTGCATAGCATAGTACAAGCGGTTCTTGCAACTACAGTATTAAAGATGCATCTCAACAATCTTTTACATCAACTCCGTGTTGTTGCAAATGACCCAATCCCCGTCGATGAGTTCCACTTCCTCGTTGCTCACCGGCATGACGTATGCATTGCAAAAATGTCTGGGTCTGGAAGAATGCGCGATTTGTCATGCAGCTTTTTCATGACCCATGAGGTCTGCAATGCATGCCGTAGCATCACAGATTTTTAGAGGGCTTCCCGATGCGCCTTCCGCATGAGAAATGCCCTCTCCGCGTAGCACAAACTGGAGTCCTCTTGCTGGTCATGCAATACAAATTTTTTCAGAATCCAGGGACAGCATTACAAGTTGCAGCCTTCCAGACCCAGACATATTTGCAATCCATATGACGTATTCCACCTGGTCCTTCTTTTTCTCCTCCTCGGCCTTGGTCAATTATCCAGTGCAAAAGTATCGTACTCGTACAAATGCAAGTCTTGCATTACAAACCTTGTTCCCAAGGCAAATCTGCATTACAAATTTTATTTCTCATGCTGAGGGAGTTTGTAATGCATTTATACGAGTACGATACTTTTGCAATTCATATCAATGCTTGGGTCTTGATGTTCTGCCGCTGTTGCATCTGCCAAAGCCGCTGCTCGTTCTCGCTCGTGCTTTCCGACTCAAAATCTGACTCGTATATCTGCTCCTCTGTACTCTGCCCGCTACCACTGGTGTGACCTGGATAATGGGAAGAAGATTGAGTTTTATTTTTTGCCGTAATTCTTTTTTGAGAAGGTGGACGTGACGAGAAGGTCTTGAAGAAAAGATTAATGAATTCTCTTGCGTTACAGGTGCTATTGTAAAGAACTACCAGTAAAAATAAGCAAAGATTGTACTGCTATCAGACAGCCGGCCAGCGCATTTTTTCGAAGACAGGGCCATGTCCAGAATGAAGGGTGAGCATTTCTTCTGCTCCAGCGTTGCTGTGCTGTTCTGCAGCAACAAACTCGTGGGAATGTTGGAAAATTTCGTGGCGGCACGTGGTGTCGAGGCATTCACTGCTGCAGCTGTGAAGAGCGGCGCAGCGGCCCTTCTCACTTGCGAGATCGTCTTGTTGTTGCCTGCTCCATTTACATTTTGTTGTTGTTCTACACCTTTGTTTGGCGTCTTTATGTTGCTCGAGCTCGTGTTATTTGATGCTGCGTTCATTTTCATGTCGTCTACCCCACCAAGTCTCTGTTGCATCAAGGTATTGTTCCTTTGCTGATTCAGTTGTCTCACCGCGCAGCATCTGTCGCCAGCATCGCAAGTTGTGGATGTCGTTGTACAGGTGGTAGCTGTTAGTGCACTCGTCTCACCACGACGAGAAGCACTACACGGCTGCTCGTCAATCATCTTCCCACCCGCGCCAGCTCTTGCAGTGTGCAGCTGAATGTTTGCTGGCGAGGCATGAAAGGGTAAAACCGGGCTGGTCGAGCTGATATTCTGCTGGTTGTGCGCCATCTCACGCATGACATGCTGCAAGGGTGCGGCGTGGTTCGACGAGGCTTGGGTGAGGAGAAAGGACGACGCAGCCGCGGCATTTGGTGAGGAACCTGTCGTCGCACAGGAACTAAGACCGTGCTCCACAACAACCGGCCCGCTGGTCCACGCGTGATGTTGCGCGTTTACGGAGTTCAGAACTCGGTGGTCCGACAACTTCAAAATGGTATCCTGTGATAGTGATTTAGTGATAAGTATCAGCATTCCATCGTGTAGTAGTTTCAATTTCAAAATCGAAATCATCCTACCGCATCAGTTTCTCGTCGAGCAGTGCCATCTTTCATCATTTCAACTGAGAATAGGAAATACAAAAGGCCAAGCACCGCGACACCGAAGAGGGCATGAAGACCAATCGTCAAGAACAAATCGAAATCAAAAATACCTGCTTGTATAGCCTGTGTGCCGGGGTCGGTGTGGGTCTGGTCTGCTGGTAGTCTGCGACGACGCTCTTCAAGCAGAAGCTTGGTGACGTGGCGTGCTCCATTTTTTGTTCTCCCAGCCGGTACGCGCTGTACAACCGGTTCGCTGCGATGTTGAAAGTGAACTTGTTGTGCGTCCTATCTCTCCTGCAACCAGATCTGGCTTGGGCCAGCGAGGCTACAAGAAAGCAGAGGCACGCATGGTCATATGTGGGGGAGATCTGCTCCGGTGGCAAATAGTCGTGCAGCACAGGTGGGATTAGAAAAGGAAAAGGTATGCGAATAAACAAGAACGTAAATAAGCAGGTACAAAGATACTATTCGAATTCGAATCTAAGGTAGAAAAGATGGATATGGTACAAATGTAGAATGGTGGAGGACCTGGGAGTGGAACGAATACGAAGTGCATGGGCTTGTAACAATACGGAGGATTCTGCGTTGCCGCGCACGAATAGCACATACAACAAGTGCAGACGCACGGAAATGGACGATCCGTGCTCTTCTGAAAGACACAACAGTACGACACAACCACAAAAAAAACGAAACCGATTGGCACGATGCCGCTGCTCTGAATGTTATTCGTACGATTTTTATAGCTTTACGTTTAGGAAATCGAAATAGCAACCGAAATGCTGGCCATTGTTCTTGCTATAGCAAAGACGTAGCTCCTTGTTCTGTCTCTTCGAAAAAACGAACCGAAATGTATCTATTTCGCCTTTGCACGATACCAGCTTTGAACGACAGCTGCACCGAGAGAACCCTAAACGTGATGATTGACAAAAAAGTTCGATACCGAGTGTGAGTTCAGGAAATTTGAATGTGAAACGAAACCTGATGTCAAAACCGACAGGGTCGTGGAAGAGCCAACTATAGGCAGAACCGACAGTAAGGTGCATTCGTTGATTCACACTTAATCTGACAAGGAAAAGAACAGATGAATGTGTGAGAAACTATTTCGGTCTAAACACGGCTGCGCAAGCACATGCACAGCGCCCATATCAAATAAACTTTTAAGCTGCAACATGGAAAGATAATGCTCTCGTCTGTCGTGTTCGCTGCTCGTTCCCGGCCATAGCATTTTGCTGCAAGGTTCTTGCATGGACTGCGCAACAAATTTTAAAACGGGTAGGCGATTCCTCGAGGCGAGGTGTAGATATTTGTCTGGGGTAGAGTTTTTGCGCGTCTCGAAAAGATTGAGGAGGACCTGCTTCCTGGTTAGCACACGGGGCGCCAGCCAGTAGCCTCGTGCTTGCTCCTTTCGTACTCCTGCTACTTTTCATCAACATAGGCTGTATGTAAGTTCGATAAATGAAGTTGCATGCAAGACACTACGGGAAGGCGGCTGCTAAAACGTATTGCGGCGAGGCAAATGCATAGACTGAACAAAATCAAAAACATGAAAAGGTGTAGATTAAGTAGCTGCTAAACTGGGGTCAAAACTTTTCCGGAAATAATCGTACTTGGCACCTGCATCTTTTATCGGACACGCGGCTGCATTTCCAACGTAGACGTACATGATTTGGCAGAAAAAAATGGATAAATTAAAATTGTTTTCTTGTGTGACATAAAGAATCCAAACAATCTGATGACGGTAGAATCGAGGTGGAGTGTTGCAGTCGTAACTAGAAAATCAAAATGCGCATGCGCCTTCCCTTTGCTGTACACATTTTTTTTTCACGCTGAATAAAGTAAAAATATGCTTAGTTTCAATGGGAAAGCGGACGTTGTTCGCTCTCATAGCGTAAGTGAACAGCTGTGGATTTGTTTTTGCTTTCATTATGAGAATACTTGGTTAATGGAGTGCTCTACTCGCGACTGTGATGTTGATGAACTTTCGAAAAACAAAGGAGATCGAGTCAGAGTATCCGCCCCGCTCCCTGACGTAGACGACAACATTCCTGCGGACTATTCTCACCACCAATCGCAGTAGTCCGCGCAGGCAGTTGTATCCCCCGGACTATTTTTCTTTTGCACCTTGCAGGTGGGCATCGTCTTCACGTGCTTCTCACACTCGCCACACTTCTGAAAGTCCCCCGCCGAGCCACTGGTCCTCTTCACCGGGGTACGAGCATCAACATGTGGAATTTCTTCTAAACAGCCATGATACGGATCGCAGCCCCCACCAAGCTGCAAAAATTTTGCGTTCCAGCAGCAATCATTTGCCTGCGCCGTGCCCTGCTCCGTCACATCGTCACACTGAAAGAAAGGAGTATTGAGTATAGTTGGTTTCTCGCCAGCGCCGTAGTCGTAAAATAGTACAAAAAATATCATGGTGCACGATAAAGTGCATATTCCGTCGTTCTCAAAAAAGCGTCACGCTTTTCCTTTTGGCCATACGTCTATTTAAGTAAATGAAGAAGATACTCGCATCATTCAAATACCGGGTCCTTGGCCTTGTCCTGCAGCATGGTCGTGGAAGCTTTGCCTTTCGACACAACCGACGCCTTGTTCTGGATGAAGCCACTGGCTGCGTCACCGTCTTCGCGTCCAACCCACCCGTTCGTAAACCCGGTGGGGGGGGGGGGGGGTGATCGCCGCGGCCTCCGCGACAATCGACACGACAGTCGCTCTCTTCATTCTTGATTACTCGAAGTCGATCTATTCTATGGCCTTCACAATCACGTCGAGAAAACGTCAATATAATCTTTCTAGGATCTACTGCGCTTTCTCAGTCTGCGGCGATGTAAAGGCAGTGTGGTACTTGGATCACGGAGGAGTGAAAAAAAAAAACCTTTTTTCCTGCCAAGTCTGTTGTTTTGTAGAGTGGACTTTTGGGTCTAGGTCGCGACGAATGGAAAACTGAACTAGTGCATCCCTGTCAGACGTTGATATCGATATGTTGATATTCATAGAAATTATCCGATCACTGTTTTAGTATTGAGGACGGAGACGATGCGAACGAATACGCGAAGGACACGGAATTGAGCGTAAAAACGATACAAGCGGACTGGTACGAAGCAACTCCGCCCTACGAAAATCACAGCAAATTGAACGTATTTATGGCAGTACGATCTAGACTGATCAATGTGTCATGATCAGAACGTGATGCGGAACGACAGCAGCACTGGGGAATACGACGAGGAGCACCGTCTTTTATTGCTGCAGGCAATCTAAGGCCCACGAAGATCATGCGAAGAGGTAGAACACGGTCCGTTCAAAGTGCTGCAACGAGTTGCTTGTACGATCACGACGAGGAGGAGAATCTTTTCCCTTCACCCATATCAAATAAGCTTTCAAGCTGCAACATGGAAAGATAATGCTCTCGTTTGTCGTGTTCGCTGCTTGTGCCCGACATGAAGCGCTGTTCACCGTATTTGCAGCAAACTGCAAACTACCTTCACGTCGAAATAGACGGTTTAGACCACAAATGATCTTCTCCACAACCGCCGCGGCCAACCACCCGCCCGCACGAATCAGCATGTTGATGCAGCCACTCCAGCTTACGCGCTCTCCTTGAGCGCGATCCCCTCGCTCTCGTCCTCGCCGGCTATGGCCTTCGCAACCTTCTCGGCCTCTTCTTTCTCGGCTGTCGATATCACGGTCGTGAGGGACATTATGCAAAAAGAAAAATGATAGTTTTTTTTATTGATGCTGTTGCAGAAATGAAAGAAAGTAAATTTAGATGGAGAAAAAAGCTCATGCGCGGTAGGTTAGCATGATGATGTACTACAAGGACAGATGATGATACTACATTTAAATTTATACCTTTTTTCAGCACGGCGTTGAAGTCACCGACGTAAAGCAAGCTTGATATGCCGAAGATCAGCACGGAGACTACGAACTCGGGGCATACTTCGGAGTCGAAGAAGATCCAGCTCATAAATGTCGTTACAAAAATGATGACGACCCCGCCAATGCACTTTACGACGTTGTCAAAATACCTGAAAGAGTAAAATGTTTGCATCTACTTCGTAGAGAATATAGATGCCGAGGAAATTATGTTCAGTTCTGGTGACCATCCTCGACAGATGAATTTTCTTCAAATTTATTCATGTTGTGGTCGCATTCTTGCTTTCCAAACCAAACGACCTGCTCTACTCAGAGGACTATCGTGCGATGAGAAAGCAAAGTAGAGATTCTTGAAGTCAAAACAGACATCAAACCTCAGTATGAGGCTGACAGACAGTCCATAGGAGCATTCGCACACGACAAGGAGCCCCACTGCCCAGGTAAAGCCGTGAAATATGCTGCCGCTGTCTTCTCTCGTCGATGTTGAAGACGAGGATGCGCTTTGTTCTCTTGACCTGTCTGCCGAGCTGAACGCGACGGCGCCGTGCCTCAACAGACTTCTTGCGTGCATCACGCCATACGTGGCGGCTGCACCTTGAAATGAAATTGTTGATGCGCGAGGTTGATTTCGATGCTACACGACCATTGAGATTATGTGCTAGTTTTTTTTCCTGCCTGGTAATCTGAGTTCGAATCGCTATCAGTCCTACTGCGAGGGCTCACGCGCCCTCCATCACAAGGTGGCCCCCGACCGCTACCGTCTCGCTTTCTTGCCCCCAATAGTACTTCGTCCTGAGTACATAGCAGGCTTGGTGGAAGCTTTCGTTTCCTACTGCTAGCTATTAATATTCTCTGCGACTTGTGCATGTTGCTGCTGATCGTGTACGACCAGAGCTATTTTCCAAAAGCCGACCTTACTCAGATTACCAGGAACGAAATCGAAATCAACCAAAACATTCGCGCTTTATTTTAAAAATCCCCTTTGGAAGTGAGTGCCCTCCACCACCTATGTGGATAGTTCCACGCTCTATCATGGTGCAGCAGCGGTGCTGGCAAATCTCTCCTGCGGGTTGTCTCATTCCCCATCGGCAAGAGCACGACACATCCCTTCCTCCACGCCAGCAAGTAGAACCAACCTCCGCTGCGGCAGTCGGAAAGGACAGTGAGCTCGTTAGGTGTAAAAACTAACATAGGCGAGGTTGGTTTCTTATCTTTCTCATCCCGCCGATAGTCTGAGTAAGGCGACCTACTAGCGCTAAGAAAATATGTAAATCATTCAGAGTTGAGTACTCCTACCAAATCTAAGTGACAAGTGGAAATACAAACATACTACACTAACCGTTACGGTAGGTCAACGACATATCGTTGCAAATAACTACCCAGCACCTGAGGACAAGCGAGACGGAGAGGCCCAGGAGCACGTTGCAGCAAATAATCGTGTACACGCCGGCATTGAAGCCGCTCAGGGGGTCCAGCAGCGTCGATGAAGTATTCGAGGAAGTGGCATTCACGAACAACATCGCTGTTTGGTGGAAGAACGGGAGGGTACTTCTACTAGATCTTCTTCTATGCTACGCAATCTACAAACAGATTAACTCACGTCCTCGACGTCCCACTAGTGCGGCCCGGCGCACAGGCGCTTGCGATTCGAATTCACATTACCAGAAGCAGAATTTCTGTGCGATAAAAACTTCTGTGGAAACATCAGCGTTGGTTCACTTCTGCGGCCATGAAATTATTTCAATCACCAACAAAAAAGTTTGATTCCCACGTAAACAACTCGGCACTATTTCTACGAAGAACTTTACTGTTTATACATAGTAAGAAAACCAGCTTACCGCCCAGGTTGAATATGCAGCCCCACTGGTAGGTCCAGGCGTTTTTCCGCATTAGAGGCACATCGCTGTCGATCGACTTGAGCAGCCACTCGTTCACGGCCCCGGAGAGCCCGCTGGTGACGGACATGATTGTCACACAAATCATACCCAGCACGAAGGAGCCGAATCCTGCAGACGGCGGCTCGATCCCAGCCGGACTCGTACCTGCTTGGAGCAATCTGACAGCACTCGCGTCCGCGACGGTGTAGTATTGCTCAGAAGTTGCGCCAGCTCCTGCATTTGATGCGCCTGCAACTACGGTTCCTGCAGCTGCTATTGGGCTCGACCACACGGAGGAGCTCGCTGTTGATTCGCCAAACAAATTGTAGTCGGGAAACAGCATTTGGGCTGCAGCTGAGGTCGTTGACGACGCAGATGAAAGGACTCGTCCAGCACCTGTTGATCCGCCTTGCTGTAAGAGACTGGTCGCACTACCTGCTTCACTGGCAGCTACATATGAGACTGCACAACTCCCCCTCCCCTCATTTGTCATGCAAAACCCCAAATCCAAGTGCTTCCCTGTGGCACTGTTTGCGTCACAGATTCCGGAAGCCCAAACAGTAACTACACTAGGCGCATGAATTTGTCATGCACAGGCTCCAGGTGTGGAGGTGTTTGTATTGCTGTTCATGCAATACAAATGAGGGGGAGGGGGGAGTTGTGCACTCTCGTACTACAGAAGTGCTGTCTAGTAGACCGCTGGTCGGCGGCAAATCTAAAAGCACGGAGGCCTCGTGAAGGTGGCGGTCCCAAAAATAACTGGGTATCAAATGCAAATGTGTCTGGGTCGTCTGGAAACTTGTGATGCAAGCAAGGGAATATTGAGCACACTGTAATGCGCTCCCCAGCATGACAAGTTTTTCCGTGGTTCAGAGTTGCGCACGTCGCATGAGAAACTGCTTTTTGCATGACAGACAAGGGGATCTCTTCGCGGGCACGCAATACAGAGTTTAGAATCATGCCAGACTAGCATGACAAATCTCGCAATCTCCCAGACCCAGACACATTTGCAATGCATACTGGGGTTCATACTCGCATTTGACATTGCGATCGCCGCATCCTCGTCCCACATATCCTGTGCAAAAGTATCGCACTCGTACGAATTGCAGTTATGCATGACAAATTTCCTTTCCAAGGTAAAACAGCATGACAAATTCAATTTTTAATGCTGAGAAAATTTGTAATGCAATTCATACTAGTACGATGGTTTTGCAATTCATACCACATCAACTGCCGCAACTTCAGCCCGCATTCCCCGATGGTACGCACTTTGGAGACGACGAGGGCGAGTACCAGGTTGACCAAACCCAGTATCAAGAAGAAAAATCTCCCTTCCCCATATCAAAGCGGAAGTCTGTGATGCAGATTTGTGGCCACAAATCAGCTTTGTCATGCTAAAAGGGAAAAGATGAGGACTGTAGTGCTGGGTGGCGTAGGAAAGCCTGGCATCTTCAGCATGACAGGAGGCAACTGGAAGTGGGAAACAGCACCATGACAAATTCGCTGCAATTCGGCCACAACGGCGGCTCTTGGCGTTCTAGCAATACAAGTCGATTTGTGTACTCAAATACAGCATCACAAATTTCGTTTTCGATATGGGGAGGGGGGATTTTTCCTTTTGACACCCAGCCACTGCACCTTGGTGAAGTGCTGCTCGAGGAGAAACCAGCCCGACACCGCGGCGAACAGGATCTTGGAATTGACAAAAAGGCTGAACAGCGGGGGGCCGAGCAGGGAAATCGCGTAAAAACCCAGGTTGTTCTGGATCGCGTACATGAAAGCCGGGCCAGCGTACCTTAGATAGTAGTTGATACTGAAAACTAAAATCCCAAAGGGAAGTTTGAAAATAGCACAGTAGCATAGCGAACTGAGAATATTTGTGCAAGCACATCCTGTGGAAGGTTTTTTGGAAGATGAAGAAGGAGGCGACTACGTGAGTCCCTAGCTAGAAATGGGCGCGGCGCGTGTGTGGATACTTCTGCCCACGCGGTCCCACATGGCGTAAGCCGGAGCACCGCGACCAAGCAGTGCTACACCCAGCCTACCACGTGGGTGCTCCCCTAGTTAGCATTTGGTCGATCGTTTTGCGCCCGTGGGTACCGGTTCACCGGAGATAGTAGTTGATACTGATCGTGGAGATGGGGCGGAGGGTGATTCTACTTCTCGTGTATCAAGCGGTTGGTGTAGCGGCTTTCGCTTGGTTCTTTCATCTTGTTACGTATAATTTTTCTAAGTGTACAAGGCGACAAACATAAATACCGAACCCAACCAGCCATCGTAGTGGACCGCCGGCTTTCCTTGGTGGAGTATCAAATGCAAAAATGTCTGGGTCTGGAAGAGTGCTAGGTTTGTCATGCAGGTTATCCATGACCTATGCGGTCTGGCATGCACGGCCTAGCATGACAGATTCTGTGAGATCTCTATCATGCCTTTCCTGCATGAGAAACTGCCTCTAAACTTGTTCAAAAGTGGACCTCTTTTGGTAATCATGCAACACAAATTTTTCGACGATTCAGATGTAGCATGACAAGTTGCATTCTTCCAGACCCAGACATTTTTGCAATGCATATGGAGCCGCACAGCCCCATGTTGTCGAAGACCAGCGCCGCACAGAGCTTGAGGAGCTCGATGAAAAAGACCGCGACGGTATCCTGAGTAAAAACGCTCCCACCCAATACGTCAAGATGGGGATCTCGCAACACAAATCGAGAAGTTTTGGGAGCCAAGCATGACAAGTTCCCTGCTGTAGTGTAGTGCAGTTTAGCAAGTACAGCCGCAACACAAATCCATCTAGTGATCCTGTTTGAAGCATTACAAAGTCCAAAATACGTTTGGAAATGCCTCTCATGGGGATGCGCATTACAAATCTTCCTGTAACTGCAAATCTGCATGACAATTAATATGGGGTGGGGACGTTTTTACTCAGCATAGACGGCCACATTGTACACGAGCTTTCCACCGCTGGCCTCGGAAAATTTTACCACCAAGATGGACGCCGAGCCCATGCAAATGTAGTACGCAAAAAGACCAACGAGAAACGGCGACATCTTGATCTGGTCCTGCGCGTATCTATAGTGTAAGGATAAGGAATAAAGGGGTTCAATCACAAACTGAAAGTTGCAACTATACTTATCAAGCCCAAAGTGATGAACAAACTTGTTCCGCTACTGTAACTTTCTTCCTCTGTCTCTCTGCCGTGCCGCGGCTGGTTGTATTTCTCAAGGTACTGAATGGTTTGACGAAAGAACAAGAAGAAGATCAAATAAAACAGACTGGACGAAAGCAAAACGACCTTCAACGAACCTCCTGAACCATGTCCAGAGACGACCAGAACAACGTAAACTGCAATCACACTGTGAGACCGCAATCGCTACACTGTTTGCATCTAGTACAGCATATCAACTTCTTGGTTATCTTTTTCTTTCTTCCGTCGTGTGTAGCCAGAGCGTTGCCACGACACTTAACATGCGGCTCGTTCCAGTCTACGAATAATTTCCAACCGTGTCGGCTTGGAACGAGCAACAGATCAAAATTGCGCATGTAAGTTGGCACATCACTGTCTGCGGCGAGGCTTACTCAATCGTAAAAAACATCGCCCAGTTTTGCAAAGAATTTAGTCCACAACACGTTGAAGCCGCTTGAAATCTACTGCATATTCATTCTTTTTCTACTTGTCTTTTGGTGAAGCAAGTTTAGCTTTAGTTTGTTGCCTATATAATCGGGCAATTTACTGTATATTCATTCCTTTTCTACTTGTCTTTCGGTGAAGCAAGTTTAGCTTTAGTTTGTTGCCTTCATCATTTCTAATTCGATCGGGGAGATGAAATGAAATTATACTTATACGCACTTCGCCGAGGAAGCCTTTGTCTTGTTTGTTTGTTATCATTGGATTCGTGGCATCCGGTTGAAGGGCTCACCTTCCTGTTTGTTTGTGTTCATGCGTCAAGGTGGGAACGCGTTTACATACTCTTACTCACCTTTTTCCCTAAAAATCCGCTGCTGAGACTTTGCCCCGCTGAAGAACGACTCTACAGCTATTTCAAGAAAAATACTATTTGGCTCAGGCGTCTTTGGCTCAGACCTGAAAATCAAGCGTCTTTGGCTCAAATACTATTTGGCTCAAGCGTCTTTGGCTTATGCGCCTCAACATCAGGAAAGCACCTCGGAAAAAAAAATGATGACGGAAAAGGTGATTATAAACCAAAATCTGCATACAGCCGAAAACATATTTCGCCAGCTTCCCGCTGGCAGATCTCGTCGGGATCTATCCTTCCTGCCAGACCGAAAATGTTCCCGCTATGGTATGGAGTTGTTTGCTGAGTCACCAGAGAAGTGTTGTTGTTCGCAGTTCCTACTTGACGACCCAGGCCAAGCTGGAGGTCATTTCTTCGTGTGCTGCTGGGTGGAGAATCGTCTACTTCATCTCCCCGCTCATGATCTCCGGCGCTCAGCAAAGGTGATCCTGATGCTGTGCTCGTGGTCGACGACGTGTTCTCATCTGTATCCGACATCTTTAGATTGCGACTGCTCTCAAGTACTGTCACTAGACACGAATTGCTAGCGGTGGTTCTTTCAGCGGGCGTCATTCTGATCTCCTTCATCCGCTCCGAGGGTCGCTGAAATTTTAGTAGGATCGGTGGAACAATTTCAGTGTTGTCCACTACATCAGGTTGCAGCGAAGCCGCATGTTGCGCATGTGCATGAAAATCACAAGTACAAAAAGTGCCGTATCTTTTTCGCGCAATCAAATCAATAAATTAAATAGCAGGAAAAGAACTACCGCATGACTATGCAATACCTGCAACGTTCGCACAATGTCATAGCCTCCGCCGGCGGCCGAACAGCCTAGTGTCGTCCCCCGTCTCGTTATTTTCCAGTTGCGAAACCAATCCATGAATACCATTGCCTCGTCGCTGAAGCGCCGCACCGCAGACGTCCAAGCACCGGCCCCACCTGCTTGTAGTCCGGCAGCACATCGGTAGTGGCCCTGGCCTCCGAGCACGTGCCGGTCCATGACTGCTTCCAGACAGCTCGTGACCAACTCGTAGCTGGCTCTTCGCACCCGCGTTTTATGCATCGCAAAAGCATCCCATCGCACTAGCAGTGATTGCATCACAAATTTGTTTGGCAAGAACAAAACTTGAATTTGTAATGCTGAGTCAGCTAGGTGTCGATGTTTGTCATGCATGACTGCAATTTGTACGAGGTCGATACTTTTGTAGTGGATAGGTTTCGCGGTTCAACAAATCGGCGGACCACATCAGCTGTTCGAGGACTTCCGATACTTTCTTCGTTTCCGGCGTGCAGAACTCTTGGATGATACTCTTGCACACGTCTAGGAAGGTCTCCCACACCACCGGACTGACGAAATCAGAGGAGTCATGGTACGTAGTAGGATTGCTACTTGTGAGATTCTCGTCCTGGTGAACTATGTTCTTGTTGTTACCGGTAGCTGCAATTGCAAACTGGTCACGGCGGCCATTAATCTTCTTCATCCGGTTCATCGACGCCCAAGCTGCAGTACTAGGACTCGTTGATGTTGCTGGGTTAGTACAAATCGGTCCAGGTTGCACTTGTTCCCTCGCACTACGGCGGTAGGGTCCTTCCTGGGTTGAAAATAAATCCATGCTCGGATCTTCAGTACTACTAGCACCCGTAATATCATGCGTTCTTCGTGTTGTACAGCTACTAGGGCCTTTCTTCCTCCTACCTCGCTGCAGATTCTCCTTTTTCAAATTTCGCAAAATTGTCTCCTCATCCTCTTCGTCCTCGGCGTAGGGCACGACTTTCTTCGCAAAACCGCCGTCCGCTGTGGCAATCCACTCGTTGTCGCAGGCAGCAGCAGCTGTACGACTTGCATCAGATGGATAGGGAAGTGCATCGAAATCCGCCCTGCTGGACGATGTTGATGATCCGGTGAGTGGCTGGGAGTTGCTCCTACCACGAGAGGTTAAAGAGAAACACGGCACAAGCGCAGTCGCCCCAAAAAGGTGCGTCAGCGGACGAACGTACGAGTCGTGTAAAACCTCGGCCATATTGTTTTTGCCAGCAATCCGCATTTTATCTAGGATGATGTTCACAATGTCGCTGCCACCGAACGGAAGCCGCTTCGCCAGAAGGTCGTAAAGAATCTGTGTGTATTACTTCTTTTGTTTTGGATCTACTTTTGCGGTGCGGGATGTTGATGCGAGGGAGGCCAAGCACAATTGGCATGGATTCTGAGTCTGTAGGTTGCATCACACCTACTTCATCAACAGGTCAACAAGTTCAAACTTAAACTCATGCAGGATCGACACCAATATAGTACTGGAGGCTGCAGGCCGAAACGTTGCAAGCAATTAGCAAATAGCTAAAAGTGAAACACAAACATCATTTACTGGTAAATTCCCCGGAATGGCGGCCACGATCTGCCGCCGCAGCCGCTCCAGTTCCTCCTCGTCTTCGTCGGGATAGAGAGAAAAGTCGAGCTGCAAGAGCCGCGTGGTCAGTGCCATCCGCACGCCCCGCTGGCTATGGGGGTGTCAGGATCGGAATTGACAAAGTCGAAATAGTTTGTCATGCATAAAACGGATAAGTACCAGTTGGTGCCTAGATTTCTTTTTCAAGTGGCGCATTACAAATTTGGGTAGAACCGACATCCAGTTTGTCATGCTGTTTGGGGAAGGTAGACGCCTTTTGTCATGCTACTTCAGCAGCTCTATTTGTACCCCTCAACAGGCTTTTTACAATCTGCCTCCCTTGCCTACTCTGCAAGACAGGCACTCTGTGGGCTGCATTTTATGCATCACAAACTATTTCAACTTTGACGGTTTCAATCCTGACACTCCCATACTGCCCTTCCGTCGCGTAGTCGGCGAGCAGCAGCCCCGGTGTTTATGAAAGTGCACAACTACTCCCCCTCGCACTCGTTTGTATTGCATGAACAGCAATACAAGCGTCAGCAAGAATACAGGTTTTGCATGACAAATTTGGACAGGAAGGTAGTCTTATTTGGGCTGCCAGAACTTGTCATGCAAACAGTGCCAAGAGGCAGAGGGTGAGTTTGGTATTTTGCATGACAAATGAGGGGGAGGGAGATGTGCGCTCTCATAGTGTTTCCTCCGGGTCCTGGAACGCCTGGAAAGGCAGGCCCATGGGCAAGGGCCGCGTCTCCGGCCATTTGCTCGACGCGTTCGTTACAGACAGCAAGGAGTTGAAGGAGGAAGACTCCAGGTTGCCGCTGCTCATCATCGCGTGCAGTTGCAGTCCGTCGTCGGCGTCAGAGTGATCATGTGTTTCCCACAGGTGCTTACTCCGTCTTGTGCGGGCTCGGTCTGCAGGTATCGTATTTCATGTTGCTTTTTATCTTTTTATTCATCTTACCACGTTCTTTGTATATCATCAGAATCAAAGGCAAATTAAGTTTCATGTCTACCTTTCTCCTTTTCCCGCTTGGACTTGATCATCCTCATCCTTGTCGGATCGGTCGGGTCCATGTGGCGCCGGGACGGGGAATGTCTTCGCGTGGGCGAATGCGGCCGGTCGCCGCGCTCCTGCACCAAGGGGCCGCGTGTCAATGTCACGACTTGATGTTCTTGTTCCAGGGCTGTTGTTCTCGAAGAGGATGGAGGTTTTTTGTTGTTCATCTTTGCTCTACTTGTACTACTGCTGCTGCTGCTGCTAGATGAGCTAGTAGAAGTAGACGTCGCACCTCTACCACGACCCTGTCCATCCTTCGTGTTCTCCTTTTCCTCATGGTCGCCGGCGCCAGCCCTCACATCCTGTACCACCTCGAGGACCCATGGTTGCCCGTGTTGCGGATCGAAGGTAATTGCCGGCACAGTGCTCAATCCGTTCTGGTTCTTGTCCTCGGCGAAAAGTAGCGTCGTGCGGTCCTCTTGCACGTCGACGCGGCCCCTGCTCTTGGTTGCACATGAAGAGTTTTCTTTTTTGTCCACCCAGATCCTCGGCGATCGATGGTAATCCATTCCTCCCAAATGGTCCATGTCGGTGAGCCGCTCACAGTGCGCCTCCCGGTGTCGGGCAAATTCGTCCTTCAAAAGCCGATCTGCGGAGATCAGCAAGTGCTTGATGTCCACGTGCTCGTCGTCGCTGCGCTGCGAGGCGGACAAACAAGTCTCCGCGTCCTCTAAACACTCACGAAGCGCCCGGTAGAGCTTCGGCGGTCGTTGGGTTTTCTTTCTTGCTTGTTCCAGCTCGTATTCCATCAGATCGTCTTTAACTTTTGCCGCCTGCATAGCAAAGTTGTACTTGTAGCGGTCTTCTGCGAATAAAAGATGATACAGTGCGACTACTTTTAGTTTAGTGAAGCAAAAATGTTCATGTTACAGTAAAGTAAAGAAGTCCCAATAATAGACAGCACCAATTCTGATTCCTGCAGCATCCTATACCTGAACTTGTTTTGCATTTCCGTCTTCGTCTTCGACCTCGTCCCGATCCACCCCCGGCTTAGCAGCAACACATTCAGCACCAGGTCTCGTCTGCAGTTCCGGTCTCGGCTGTTGAGCATCCGTGGAGGTCAACTGTGGCTCCTCCTCGCTGTCGTCCGTGACACTCTCTGCGTTGGCTCCTGCCAACATGTCGGTCAGCGCGCGGTCTTTCGCCACCTCGTCGCCGTCCCTGTCGGAAGATGCTACGGAGAATGCCCCTGTCGTGTCGGCATCTGCTGATTGAGCATTTTTGACATTTTTGTCGGTGGCAACTCGCGGTGCAAGAGCAGATGCTGTTGCAGTTGCTCTTGCTGCTGAATTTGAGTTGGAATCACTTCCTACAACTCCGGAACAAGCAGCAGAACTCCTCCCACCTCCTCCACCAGCCGCTGCCTGTTCGCCAGCTGGACTCGTCGCACTGAAGCTGATCTTTCTTCGGAGTTCGGGGAGTTTACGCTGTAAAAATCGGGAAGATGACGATCTTCCCGCTGGAACGTCGTCGCCCGGATCTTCATCTGCCCCCACCGGGCTGCTCAGCAAGTCGCTCGACGTGGAGGTGACAAAACGTCGACCTTGATGTTTTTGCGGAGCGCGACAGATCTCTGCAGTTTGCTCTTCTGCAGAATTCGCACGCAACATTTGTGCCGAAGAGGAGGAGGAGGAAGATTCAGTTGTTCTCGCCTCTACTCTACTAGTGCTGGTGGTAAGAACTTCAGTTTCTGCAAGAGCGGTATTTTTCTCTTCATTCTGCTGATTTGCCTCTCCCAGCAGCTGCACCTGTCCTCGGTCGTGCACTTTCAACTTCGAATCAACGAAACGGCGCTGCTTCGCCCACGGATGATCATCCTCTTGTGCGACGTTGTCAACTTCGCTTGGGGAGGACACACCAGTTGTCCCGGCTTTTTCTGCTATTCTTTCTGGATAACGATGTAGCGGACCTCCTCCGGGTGGCAACTGCTGTAGAGGTGGTGGGTAGGCAGACAAAGACAAAGGATCATTTTGCGTCAACATGACGGTTGTTCCAGCATCCTCGCTAGTATGCGAAGTTGTTGTTGCACGATTAGCACGTTCCTGCCTAAAGAACTGGGTTCTGTCCGCGACATAGATCTCCTCGATCGTAGTGTTGTTGCGCCATGGGTCTACGCTCGTCCCGGAGAACCGCGTCGCATGATCCCACTTGAAGCAATTTTTCCGGCTGATCGGGTAGTAGTTTTCCGCTGGCTCTTGGATACTTTCCAAAGGCCGGCGAGATGTAGTAGAAAGGTGGCTTCTTGTTCGAGGGTCAACGTAGTCCTGTGACGCTGTTGAACAAGCAGGTGTAGATGAAGTAGATCTTCTTCTCTCGCTTGGCTCGAGCGGGTCTTGATCTTTTTCAATTGCCAACTGGAAGTAGGGTCTTAAGGCCTCGCGCAATCCATCTCGATCTTCTTCCTCTGTGCCAGTTCTTGTGCAGTTCTTGTTCAAAAAGTAGGCGTCGAAGTCCTCAGATTTTTCACCTGTGCGGCCGCCCTCTACCGTAACCGTTGTGCGACCTCCGCGAGCCGCAAACCTCATGGTGGCTTTGCTCATCGCGTGCATCACGTACAAACCAAGCACCCGCAGGGTTGGACAGGAACTGTTGACGCGGGCCTGGACCCCTGGCAGGACCAAGGGGACCACGGTCGTCGTGGACATGGCATGGGTGAAAAGCTCGAATTGATGCAGGTGCTTCATTTTTTGTTTCTGCACGACCTGAAACCGCAGGTACCGGACCACGTTCAGTGCCGCAACGACGTGACCCGCAAGCTCCGGGAGAAAGTAGGGGAGCACGTGGTTATCTGTAGCTCTTGTTTCGCTCGTTGTCGTTGTGCGACCAGTAATACAGCCCTGCTGCTGCTCCCGGTCGCGGTGCCCGTTCTTGTTTATCGCGCCACTATCCCGAATAAATCTCTTCGCTCTGGTGGAAACCAGTGCGAGCGAGCGCATCCCCGAGCCGGTTTGTGCCCAGTGTGCGCAAATCGATTTCCCGAAGTAGTTGTCCAGCAGGTCCGGGTCGACCGCAAGCATCAGGCGGAAAAAGGCACTGTTGTGCTTCGTAAATAGCTCGTCGCAGAGCAACCCCGCATGCTGCACGAAGTAGTCCGTCAACGCTTGGAAGGCTGCCTTCTGCACGTGGCGCAGAGTTTTGTGTTGGGTCGAGGGATCATCAGCTGCACGAAACAAGCAGGAGATGTTGCTCTTGCTCGTCGTCGTCCCATTTTTGTTCGACGAGGACAGCAGGTAAGAATTTCGGATCTCCTCCCAGAATTCTGCCACCTCCGCTGATTTTGTTTCCGAATCGAGTAATTCCTTCTCCTCGGGTGTTACTTTGCCGTGTCTCTCGCGGGGCATACTACCAGCGGATCCGGATGGAGTTGCTTCTGCATGATCGACGCCGTTTCGTCCACACCCGTGCAGAAAAAACAAGTGGCGAAAAAGCATCCCCAAGACCTTGTTGCTCTGGTAGGACTGATTTGTTTGCTGGTCGCGCGTCGGGTCGCCGCGAAGTGTTGGTCGTGCTCGTGAAGAAGTAGAACAAGTGGCACTTCTTGATGTAGTAGTTTCAGTTTCTCCTACGGTCGTTCTTGCGGTCGTTTCTATCTCTGCCGCATCCGTAACGAGAAATCCAATCAAGAGAATCAGCAACTCGGCACGATTCAACCTGTCGCGCCTCGCAACCCGGTCAGCTCGCTCCTCGGCCATCTCATCCTCCGGCGCACGAAGGCCCATGGCGATCAAAGCGGCGGCACTAGGTTTGTCTATGTCTTTTTCGGGCTGCATGGGTATTAAACCCCGATGCACTTCGTCTCGCAGATTTGGTAAACGCGTTTTCCGTTTCCCTGTTGTATGCAAGTACTTTAGTTGTTCATTGCCGAGTTCATGTCATTTTTATCATCACATACAGCAGATTGCAGTTTTTTCTATTTTTATGGTACCTCTACCTATCAAACTACGTACGACGGCTATCTGCTCCGATATCTTGCTTACTTCGAAATCGCGTATAGTAAGCACTGTTATCTGTATCTGACCCGATCAGCAACGCAAGTCTTTGTACCTGCATCGCCCCGTTCGCCTCCACCTAAAGAAGCACCGAGCAACAGCTGTCGCAAGGCCAACAACACCACTTCGCGATGACCGTTACTCGCGCGGACGCAGAGCCGCTCGAGCACGTTGCGACAGTTCCTCAAACTCTGCAGTTTCAACATGTGCTGCGCAGGAGTGTCGGGTTCTTGCCGTCGATCATCTGTTTTTGTTAATACTGGAACGAAGATGTTTGTGTTTTCTCCTTCCTCTTCCTCGGATGACTCCGCCGCATTAAGATCAGCCGCCGTAGGAGCGGTCGCGGTCGAATGACGCAACTCACCGCTCGTGTCAGCATCTAACTCCTGCTCCGACCGCTCTTTGTCTTTGTCTTTTCGCGTCTTCTCACTTTCCTGTTTTTTGTTGTTTTCCGGAGCGACGATGAAAGCCACGAGGGAGTGGAGAAGCTGTTCCAAAAGTGCGGTAGATAAACTGTGGTACGTCTTGGACACCAAATTTTCTGCGTAGACTTGCTCTTGCGCCCGCCCGGTTGTGACCCAGTGGTCGGAACAAGAAAGAAGATCAAGATCGAGATCGGTGAAGATTTTATCATTTATTCCCCTGTCCTCGTGGTCTTCTGAGAGGCCGCAACTCGGAATGGAACTCGAAGAAGTTGTGGATGAGGTACAGCAGCCGCGTGAAGAAGATGAAGAACTAGATCCTGCAGCACCTCCACTTTCCCGTAGCGGCCCACGACGAGAACGAGAACCCCCACGAGGACCGCTCAACACGAAGTTCCGCAGCCACGCCGCGTTGTTGCGCTGGCGGCGGGGATGTTCGAGGGCGTCGTTCTGCTCCATTTGTTCAATCGCGAGCTGGGCGACGGTGTGGACACAGTCCGGCAGGAAAGGTAGAAACTCCTGGTAAACTTTTGCCATGTGGTCGAACTCCTCTTGATTTTCAGCTGGAAAAAACGCGTCGCTGTCGTCTTCGCGGTACAGAGGGACCTTTTGATGGGGTCGATAGCAACCAGTGCTCATGGAGGACTCGCGGTCGTCAAAGGGCAGGGGAAGAATTAGATGATGTTTATTTTCGTCTACTCCGCTGGCATTGGTCGGCAGGACCCCGTACCCGTTGTATTTATCGTGTAGCACTTCTTCGCTCGGTCGTCCACCTACGCTGGCATTTGCACTGTTCTCGCCCGCTTTCCCCCCGACATGGGAGTGCCAGTCATGGTAATCGGAAAAGGCCGTTTTCACGATCGCTCGAATCTGAGACGGATCCTTGGCCGTGCACAAACAGTTAAGCAGGTGGTATGCGCGGATCGGCGTGGTTGAAAGCGAGACCCTGCTCTGGTTGTTCATTTCTAATGGAGTTGTTGTTCGGTCGTCGTTTTCTTGTGGGCGGTAGAACTTCTGTCGTGGTGCAACAACTCCATCTGCGGGTAGTTGATCATTTTTCCGTTTATCTTTGCAGTACGCCCAGATGATGGGCCACAAAAACCAGTGCACAGAATGAAGGTCGTTTAGCGTCATCTTCGCCCCCGGTTCCGCCGGTAAGGCAGCTCGGACTCTATCTCTACTCCTTCTCGCCGCCGCATGATCTTTGCTGCCAGGAAGATGTCCTTGGTCAGAAGATTTTTCATCTCCGTCGATTAATTTCTGGTCAACACCTGCAGAAGCCGTACTATTCTCGTTCGGGTGATAGTACTTAAGCAAGAAGGCTTCAGGAGGTGAGGAGGAGCTATGTTCCAACCAATATCGCGCTAGAAACAAGCGGTCGGAATTGGTCAGGAGCAGCTTGTTCGTCTTTTCTTGTTGGCCTTCTCGTTCTACCTTCCGGAACTGCGCCTGTTGGAGCTCCTCATCCGGCTCCTGCGCCGGTGGAACCTTCATCGTCGGGGATCTGGGTGGTTGCTCTGCTGGTGGTGATTCTTCCATATTGTGGCGGGAAAGAAAATGAGAATGACGAGGCTCTCAACAAACAAACCAGCGCCGGACCTGCATGTTCAAACAGCTAAGTAAGTAGTTCTGGAAGTTCTTGATTTACTTTTACTCAGGGAAGAGGTCGTGGCAGGCCGAATGATGCTGAAGCCAGAGGCAGATGAGGCTCGTGGTCTTTACAAGGGATCCCGATCTTGGAGGCGTGGCCTGCGCGAAACACGACCCGGATTGGCGATGCATGTGCGCCAGGAGGAATCAAATTCGCATGCTGGAGGTGAAAGAAAAGGAAAGCTAAAATCGAATGATGGTGAAGATTGCTGGTGTAGCGCTTCTACGAATGAGTGCGAGGCACTTTATTTTTACCGTATACACTTGACTCAATGTTAGAACGAAGAGAAGACGATGGTGATTTCTAGACCTCGTGCTTCGTTCCTGATTTTCTGGGAAAATCGAAAATCGAAATGGCAACAGCACAACACAGGTCTCGGTTGTGCCTCAATGCGCTTGTCCTTTTGATAATTTTTTGACCACAACAACATCAGCACAAAAAAAAATGAATTTTTGACAACAACCTCGGAAAAATGAACCTAAGCAGCGGCAGTCCTAACGAGATCCTACTGCACCAAAGTGGTACTGAAAGAAAGTGATGAAGATCTGAAGGAAAACATAAGTAGATCTTCGGCTTCGTGCTTCCAACGCGGGATCTTGTTTACTCACACGTGAGCAAGCCAATCAAAGTCACAGCCACTCCCTGAAGCTGCATCTTGATCTTCACAGAATTTGCATAAACAAGAAACTCAGTCAAACCGACGCTCGTCGTGAACACCGTCAACAAACTTTCCAAAAAACAAAGGCGCATTGCCCCCTCTGCAGCGATGGAGCTTCAGTGTTGATCTGTTTTCTTCGTAAAAATGTCTAGATCAAGAACCCACGAGGGGGTTCTCGTCGTGGTAGCAATCCACTAAAAATGTCTTCCAGATGAAATATCCTCCTGCCTATACAGCATATAATCAGCTGCGTGCGGCATGATAGGGATAAAACTTTCTAAACCGTTCTGATAAAGAACTCGCGAGAAGGAAATGCGTGCTGTTGTCATGCGCTAAAGGAATCCTGTCCAGAATCGGCGATCACTTTCACTTTCTATGTTTTAATTTCATATGCATACTACTAGAAAATTAAAGCAGGTGCAATTGCAATTGCAAATGCAGCTATGCATGAAAGGAATGTCGTTGTCGTGCGACATGCGAGATAAGTTCGTTGGGGGCTGTTGCTTGTTTAATTTTACTATAGCTTGAACTTGATGCTCGTGCAGTATTTCTTGCACACGCAGCTACGTCATTTGTGCCTACTGAATTCAAATAATTTTCCTCACAGATCATACAACACCATGACCATGTGCGCGCCATGATCCTATAAAAATTGAAATGCATTTTCACAAACCTGGCTAGACTGCAGCAAGGAAGAGGACCATTGTTGATACTACATTCGGAGTTTTCGAAGGATCATCAAACTACACTGACATAAACGAGTATGAATTTTGGACAGACTTTCTGCTCTTCTTCACTGAGAAAAAGTATAACCTCCTCGCGGGATCGTTGGCACCGCGCCGAGGCCGAATTGCTGCTGAAAGGAGGAATTCCTTTGCTGCGGCTGGTATAGGTAACTGTTCGCGGCCTGATTGTGCTGCTGCACGACGGGACCCACGACACGAGAAGTTGTTCCGGCAGCAGTGCTCGGCTGGTTGAACCCAGAAATGGGATAATGAAGCTGTTGCGACATCGGGGTATCAACTGCGGTAAACGCATGCGGAATGTGTACGGGTCGGATTTGGCGGTATTGCGCCGGCACGCTCTGCGGCATGGGTCGCAGGTTTGTCCCTTCGACGTGATATCTTCTCGTAGTCTCCAGCGCATCTGCCGGAGCAAATTTAACACGACGGGAGCGCAAGTCGTTCGTGGACTTTGACCGCCTCAGAATAGAAGTTGTAGGCGGCGCGGAGGCTCGGCGGGACCGCTGCGCAATTTGATGTTGTTCTACCGGGATCATCTGCACGGTGGATCTCGCACTGGCAGAGAGTTGATTTGATGTTCCGGTGGAAGCAGGAGGTGCTGGTGCAGAAGAAGAAGAAGAAGACGATGATCCACCATACTGGGTTGCAGAAGTCGTTGTCACGACTTGCACCGGCACGTCAACAGATCTCGCCGAGGACGACAGCAGTGGCGCGGCACTGCTTGCAGCACAAGATGAGCCTTCTTCTCCTCGGCGACTCATGAACTCCGGCCTTGGATTCGTCAGAATCACGCTGCAGGGGGAGGCGTCTGCGAAAAGATTTTCTTGACTTTCGTCGGCGAGGACGCCAGAAATATCGCTGGCGCGCGTCCCGGGAGAGACCGAGGGCGAAACTACGCGGCCCGAGCCCGCCGTGCAACTGGCTGCGGACACCTCATCAAGCAAGCACCGGCCAACCGCATTACCTCGACCCGCAACCGCGCTGTGCGGAGAGGGGTGGTGCTCTTCTGGCCGTGACGAGCCGTTAGAGGAGGAGGAGGAATTAGTACTGCGAGGTGTTGTCAATGTCACCGACAGTTCCGCGTCACCATCGCTCGACCGCGACAGCGCCAGACTGGACGGCGTTCCATTTGGGCCTAATTGCTCTTCGACGTCTTCAGCCTGTTCTTGCGCTGCCGGTGCAGCAACGACCTCGGCTAGCTCACCCAGATTCTCCTCTGGGGTTCCAGGAGTCTGATTCTGGCTGTTCGCGTACGTGCTCGCCTCGGATGCCGGGGTGAGAGGCCCATCTCCAAAGCCAAAGTCGTCCGCATTTATTCCCGCGATCGGGCTGAGCTCGTTCTCTCCGTCGAAAAAATCAGCGGCAGCGGGCTGGGGGGCGGCGAAGGTCCTCGGAGAATCAGGAATGTGAGCGACTTCTTCAAATTCCTCAAACAGATTGCGCCTGACCGGTGGAAAGTCTGCGCCAGAGCAGGGCTCCAGCAACTGCGACAGGACGACGACGGCAGCAAATCTCATGGATAAAGAGGCCATGGTGTAAAGTTGTTGGAACTTTCTTCAGTCAGATCGAGTATCTGTATCTTCCTGCGGTAGCGATCTTGCTTTTAACACTTACGCAACAATCCTAAGAAATAAAGTTTGGATTCTTTATTGCAAAAACTCAGATATGTAGCAACTATCAACTACAGTCCACTCCGCAAGAGTCAAAGTCAATGTCAAGGTTGTGATTGAGTACGAAGTATGTACTACAACTAGGTAGAGCGATCGATTGCTGCACTGGGGATATTACAGAGAGATCATGAATTCATTCGTAGACGACAAGGACGACAATTCTGAGCGGGGTTCCGATTCGCGAATCTTTAACATGCAGGAGCAGGGGGGCTTTCTGGATCTGTGTCTGAACATTTTGAACCACAATTTCATGAGGTTTTCGCTCGTGCGTATGAGATCTTTGTTCAAATTTCGGCTCAGGAAACCGAGGATTTCTTCGCCGTGCCAAACCGATGTATTGATCTTTCCAGTGTTTCTCGTGTCGACGTCATTCTTGGTTTCAATCCTGGCCTTGCAGCTGCACTTGGACTTCGTCGATTACAAGCGAAAAGAAATACGAGACTTAAATGACATTGCAGAATGGCGTTGCGCTTCCTTGTTTGATCCGATTTTGGTGCTGATCCTCGGTGTTGATCATGGTCATATGATACATTTTCGTCCGAAATCGATGAGAAAACATCACCCCCTGACAGTGGCCGTCGCGCGAACACACATCCACACTCAATTATCCTCACGGCAGAGGAGCATCAAAATAAATCCCGCAAAGTCTGCTCGGACTCTACGCACTGGCACGCAGCTGCGTCCTTATTGTTTTCTTTGCGAGCTGGGGCAAGCTACTTCGCAGCGGGGCTGCGGGGCGCGCGGGCAGGGCGGGGGCGCGCGGGCGCGGGCAGGCAGATCTTTTTGGGCGAATTTATGACTAGCTGTGACCTTGTTGTAAGTTCCAAGAATCTTGTGTAGATGCGGTGTTGTGTGTTGTCATTGTATGTCCAGGAAATGGCAACATTATTTTTGATTTTCATCATCATGACTGCGCTTGTTGAAAGATGAACACCCGCAACGCGATGTCATTCCTGCCTGCAGTTTTGCACACCTCCGTGCGTGGAGAGGTGTAGCTGCACCACGAGTGCCGATGAAACAGGATTTTTAACTTTATTCTTGAGATTGTCTTCGTGCCGGTCGTAGTTTAGATTTGTAGCTTTGCCCTCGCTGTTAATTGACAAAACCACTCGTCGCGAAATTGGAAAATAAAGCTGTAGTGCTGATGCGCGCTTCTGGTAAAACGTTGAAATCAAAATCATACAAAATAAGCCACTCGGAATGAATAAACCTTTGGCAAACGAAAAGCTAGCCCTTCGCAGTTTGTGTTCTTGAAACGATAGAAGTACATCAGTAAATACAGATCTCTGTCGTGAAGACGCTTGGAAGATCGCCGTTGTCATGAATCTAAATACAAACTTCACGCCACAATTAGCCATGTTTCGGTAGTTCTTTCGCAATGGTAGTTCAATGCGGTCGCGCGAACAATTGTTGCGAAGAAACAAGAATTCGTGGCACAGATCTTGCGCCGACATGAAATTTGCGAAAGTCCTCAACAACGACTTCCTGCTCGGGATGAACATCCGAAAGAGTAGAACTAGTAGCAGTGCGCGATGGTCGTGCTGGATGATGGTGAAAAGGAGTGTCATATGCAAGCAATGAACGCCCGGCTCGGGGAGACGAGGACGTTCACTGAAAATTTTGCTGTCATCATTTGTGTTCGTGCAAACAAGGTCGGTGAAAGGATTTTTGGTGAAGAACCTCGTTATGAAGAGGCGTAGGTAATTATACGCCAGGTGGTGTAAAAATTTCTCCAAACCGAAACCGCTGGGTGAAAGTTCTTCTTTGATATCTTTTGGCAGTTCTTGTCCAGGGAAAAATAAAACCATTCTCGGATAGAAAACATCTTCAAAGGTAGAGACTATAGAAGATCTGATGAACATTCTATTTCCTTGTGTCAGCACAATTACTAGCGCAATCAAAGCGGAGGTGAAAATTTGAAAGGGCATCTTCCAGCGGCAAGAACCTTCGGTTGAGCTGCAGTGGCCCGAAGGAACCTCTGCTACTCGGGATCTTTGCCGGAAAAAGCCAAAGCTTCGAACCACCAGCAATAAGAGAGCGACCAAGATGTTGATGACTAGAGGGAAGATAAAACAAAAAACCACTCGATAAAAAATTCTTGAAGACTTCCGAATATTCTTGACCTTGCATAGTGCTTGTACCAGAAGACAGTAGAGTTCTTGTTTGCGCCTCTTCTGCAAGAAAAACCGTCGCAGATGAATCTGCATCACCTTGCGCTGGCTTGCCTCTAGGAGCGGTCCTGCTCTTTCTTCTCCTCGTTAACCTCCGACGGAGACATTTCTTCATCGCCGTCATCCTCCGCACCGGTTTCGTCCTCCTCGCCATCATCCTTTTCGTCCCCTGCTTCCGATCCCTCCTCCTCTTCCTCCTCGTCGTCGCCCCGATATTCCATGAATTCCTCAATCGCTTTGCCGCCAAAGAACGGGTCTTCGTATTTCAAAAAGCGGTCCCACGGGGTCTTCAAGCCGCCCGTTCCCTTCATCACCTGCTTCTCCGTCAATGAAATCAACGCCTGCTCCCCGCCCTCGGCCGCGGTCTTGACCATGAACTTGTCGAACTTCTCCTTTTCCTCCGCCGCTTTGGTCATTTCCTCATCGGTGACTAACGTGTTTTCCAGCTCTTCCTCGATCGCCTTCTTGTCCAAATCGATGCCGATCACCACAATCTCCGTTTCCCGATCGCCAAAAACACCGCCGAAGGCAGGATTCTCGTCCTCGACTTCCATCTTGTTCGTCGCGTCACCAGACTTTGCGACGACCTGGTTGCCGTTTTGGTCGACCATCTGCTGCTCGAAGCCCGCGTCCTTAATGGCGGCGTCGAACGGCTGTCCGGGGTTTAAAGAAAATTGCCGTCCCGTGCTGTGCCAGTCCATGCGGTAGCCGCAGGCGTTGGCGAGCCAGATCTGCCCCTTGGACCGGATCACACCCTTGAAGATCTGCTTTTCATCTTGTGTAGCGGTTTCATCAACTACCTTTTTGTCTTTCCCGCCAGTCGGAGGTTTCACCAGCTCAGAAATCCGTCCAAACCCGTTCAAGATCGCGTGCAATTTCGTCGGCACAAACGGTTTCTTCGAGCGGAACACAACAGAACTGATTCCATACTCCTCGGTCTCCGGCACGTGGTGCCCATCGTTCGCCAGCTCCTGCAACCAACCGGCCGACCGCTGCGCCACCTCGAAGTTGAATAAATTGGTCCCGAGCAATTTTTCCGGGTCGACCTTCCCGTGTTCCGTCCAGTAGACGTTGGCCGAGGGGTTCAACTTCTTCACCAAAGCCTCAATCTGCGTCACTTTGTCCGAACCGCACACGATGTTCTCCTCCGTGTTGGTTTCTTCTTTCTTCGCAAAGGGATTGGCGTTTTTCTGCAGGAGCAAATCCTTTTTGTTCAGCAAAATCACGTTCGCGAACTCGATCTGGTCCACCAGCAAATCGACGATGGACCGGTCCAAATCCATGCCGCCCTCGTCCTCGTTGGATTGCTGCGCCTCGGACTTTGACCACTTGGAATCTCGCAGGGAGTCGAGACTACCTAACACGTCGAAAATCTCGGCGGCGTCGACCACCGTGACCATGGTATCTAATTTCGCAATGTTCTGCAACTCGATCGCCTGGACCGCGAGCTTTTTTTGATCTTCCGCCGCCTGGTTCTGGTCCGTGGCGACGGATTCATGATCGTGGTCGTGATTGTCATGGTGATGTCCCGCGGCCTGGGCCATCTGCTCCAATTCCTTCAGCGAGTGGCAGAAGGTTTGGGCAACAGGGACGGGTTCGGAGATGCCGGTGGATTCGATGATTAAGTAGTCATATTTGTTGTCCTTCGCCAGTTCCGCGACCTGCTCAACCATATCAAATGCAAAAATGCCTGGGTCTGGAATGTTGCCGGATTTGTGATGCATATTTTGCATGGCCCAGGATGTCTGTAATGCACGAGGTGGCATCACATATTTTTAGAGGGCTTCCTGATGCCTACTCCGCATGACAAATGCCCTCCCCGCGTGGCACAAACTAGACTCCTCTTGCTGGTCACGCAATACAGTTTTTTCTAAAGTCCAAAGTTAGCATCACAAGTTCCAACCTTCCAGACCCAGACATAATTTTTGCATTTGATAAACCAAGTCCTCCCGCAACGTGCAGCAAATGCAGCCGTTTTGTAACGCGACCATCTTCGGCTTCGCGGTTTTGTTGGTTTCCGTCTGCTATCAACTGTAAAAATGTCTGGGTCTGGAAGATTCTGACACTTGTCATGCACGTTTTGCATGAGCCATGATGTCTGTGATGCATCCCCTAGCAATACAGATTTTTTGAGGGCTTCTTGATGCGTATTCCGCATGACAAATGCCTTCTCAGCGTAGCAAAAATTGCCTTCCCTTTGGTACTCATGCAATACAAATTTTTTTGGAATCCAAATGCAGCATCAAAAGTTGCATTCTTCCAGACCCAGACATTTTTACATTTGATATCTGCTTCTTGTCACCACCGGCGGCAGCTTTCGTCGCACCCCCGGTCTTCTTCTGCGCTGCACCACTAGTGTCTTTATCACCTTCCACAACCTTGTTGATTTCCAGCGCGTCGACGTTTACGCTTGCCATGTCGTTGACGATCAAGGCGATCTTCAACCCTTTGTTGTTGTTCAACAAATGCGTTAAGGTGGTGGTCTTCCCAGATCCCAGGAACCCGGACAGAACGGTGACGGGTAACCGGGTGTCCTGCTTGTTCATCTCGGTTTCTTGCATATCTTCGGCGTCAACACTGGTGCGCTGGCGCTTCGGAGCGTTTTCGGTAGTAGTTGCGGACATCTTGGATCTGTTGGTGTTGCGTTGTGGTTTTTGGATTTAATGGTTCTTTTCCGAAAAGATTTCTGAAGACTCTTTATACTTTTTAGCGGCGAATAAACTTGAGGCGGTGATTTTCGGCTACTCCTGTCAGTGACTTCTATGTCGACTTTATTCTTTATTTCAATTTCTACTTTACTATTGTGACTTTCAAAAGCGCGGCACGGTTTTTCTTTTTGCTGTACTAGTCAGACTTTAACTGTGGTGACCCTTCTGAGACAGGCGTCGAGGAAAAAGAGGCTGGAGGTCGTTTTGGTTGTCGAAATTCAGATGAAATTCAGGTTGCCATCAGGATCATCGCGCGGAAAGCAGTGCCACCATCAACAGGGCCAAGAAAAGGATCTTCAGGGCCGGACCTAATTGCATTCGGAAGAAGAGCTCGTTTTTTTTTCATTTGTATTCAACTAGAGAGGGAGATGAAATTGAAAATAATGTTGATCCTTCTTGCTAATTCATTGCTGAATAGATCTGTCTTCTTGAGTGTCGTGTGTGGTTTAACCTGAAGAAGGCTATTGACAAGAACTTGCTTCGTGTCGTGTTAACTCCTCGGTTCTTGGTTTTCTTCTACGACTACTAATATTCGTTCTGATTGTGATTCTTATGAATTGATGCTGAACTGGCGCGGTTCTTCTTTTGTAGCGTGCCAGCCGGCACGCAGGAGCTTTTGAACCAACTTGTTCGGTATCATGTTCATTTATCACTTTCTAAACTTCAAGATCTTCTTTGCTGTAATACCAAGTGAAGTTCGTTGCCTCTTGCACGAAATTTTTAAACCTCGTGGGCCGAAACAGGTGCGCAAAGTCAATCAGATCTCTGGTTTCATCTTCGTGGTGCTGATCTTCGTTTACTTTTGCTGATGCAAAAACCCTCGGGCGCTGTGTCGCCTCGAGGCTCACGCTGCGCAACCCCTGCAGCAAGGCGGGGTCAAGCGATTCAGCCGGGTCCCACAGATGAGGCGCGATGGGAGTGCTGCCGTTTTCGGAGGATGATGTTGGTGCTGGTGAGCCAGCATTTTTAGTGCCAAATTCTGGCGCGGCTGATTCCGCATCCCGCGGTAGATCGTCCGCCAGTTCGCGCAGGCCTTTCTGCACGACCCTTTCCTCGTAGTTCCAGTACCGCCGGTCGGCGTTTGTCTCTCTGTTTCTGGAATTCATTTCTTCTGCATTTTCCCTATTTATTGTTCCTTCTTCCAACATGTCCACCGTCCATTCCCGGTCTTCTCGCCGCCTATCCCGTAAGAGCTTCAGCCGCCGTAGAATCAACAAGTACGGGTTGCACTTCACGTCCACAGAGTACCAGTTGAAAAAGCAGCTGTATTTCCGGCCGTTTTGTTTCATTTCCCTCAGTCTCCCCGGCTCGTAAACCGCCAAATCGTGCAGAAACTGGTACAGGCGGCTGTCGACCAAACTTTCCGGCCACTTGATCGCGATCTTCTCCCACGGGATCTCGTGTCGGAAGGCGACAAAGTAATCATCCGACAATATCACCGGCACACAACCGGAGTAAAACGATTCGTACAGGTGGTTGGTCCAGGGGGAGGTGCCCGCGGGAACGAGACAGAAGTGGCTATCCCCCTTCCGCTCCAAGTAGTCGGACACAAACCCGCCGACGTCCACCCCGGGAAACCCGGAAAGGTCCATCACCTTTCTCCTCACTGCACAGTGTTCATACGCCGTGTGGCCGCCGGGCGCGCGCCCGTGAAACGTCGCGAGCAGCTGCCGGTCTTGCGAGGGTTTGTCGTGCTTCTTCATGTACTCGAGTCGCGCGTAGTCCGTGTGCCCGGGGATGATCACGTCCTTCCAGGGGCCGAGACACCGCTTCACATCCACATATTTCCGCATGTTCTCGCCCCACGTGGGGCAAGTCGCCTCAGGGGAGAGAAACACCGCCTCCGCCCGCCAAACATCGTAGCTGTCGAAAATACGGGGGCCCTGCCCGTCGGCGAAAAGGAAAATGTGGTCCTGGCCGTTGTGCCGGTGGTAGTACTTACTGGTGCGGAGATACGCTAACACGGCTTCCCACGAAAAAACTGTTTCACTGCGATGATCTTGCAAGATCTGCATCACAAGTTTGCTACACATGACACAGAAAATGTGCCATGTGCGCTCCCCAAGTGAAAACACGCGGAAAAATCCAATGTCTTGCAGGTGTAGCAAAACAAATCGCTCTGTGCTCCATTCTCTGCATCACAAGTTCACAGTGAAACAGTTTTTTCGTACGATACACGGCTTCCCAGATGTAGTCGGTGGACAATTGGTCCATGGATTTCATTATGCAGTGCAAAAGTTGTATCGTACTCGAACTCGTACTAGAATTGCGTTTCTGCATTACAAAGCTTTTCCTTAATGCAAATCCGCAGTACAAATTTAATTTGTAATGCTAAGTCAATTTGTAATGCAATTTATACGTAGTACGGTGCTTTTGCAATGCATATTCATCACTTTGCCTTCATCCACCACACCCTCATTCAATTTGACGTACCGGCAGGTGGCAAACAAACCCACGTAGAACCAGTCCGCAGCTTCTTCGTCATACGTCCGGCAGCTGCTATTCTCGAAAAAGCTCCGCACCAGCACCTCGGTGCCCCACTGCCCCTGCAGGCAGGAGAGGAGGCCGGGCGTGTAGAGCGAGAAGTGCAGGTCGTCGTATACGAAAAATCGCTGTCCGTGGCAAAGTGTACTAGCGGTTTCACTTTCATCATCTCCGCTTTGATGAGGTTCGGTGCCGTGGTTTAGTGACGATGCAGGAGATTTCGACGCACGCTTGTAGTTCTCCGTGCTAGAATTTGTTGTACTACTGCTCTGTAGTTCATTGTCCACATTTGCGCCACGATTCCAAGCCGTCGTCCTGGTCCTCGGCGCGAAGGGGCCTAGACGCTTATGGCGTTCTCAACTGTTACATTCTCAACTGTTACATGATTTGTAATGCAAAACGAACATCAACACTCACAGGGTGAAGCTACTTCGCATGACAAATTTTGGAAAGGCTAAACAGCGCCTAAATCTGTGCGGAATTTGTAATGCTACAGGTGCAACCACCCTGCTTAGACTTTTGCCATTCTTGCATCACAAATCCATGCAACAGATGAGAATGCAACAGTTGAGAACGCCATAACGCTCCCCGTGCACGTTGAAAACTTTCGGGTACACAAACGCAATGTCGACCTCCCACTCCTGCATCAGAATCTTCAGATTTCGCAGCTGGTACTGTTTATCGCCGGTGGATAACAATTCCGGGTCGCGGCGCTCGAGGGCGGCGACTTCGCTCATCAGGTGGGGTATCTGTGGCCAGGGTAGGAGGCCTATTTCATGCTCTCGCGTGACAGTAGGAACGCTCGGCTTCTCGTTCATCTGCGGGTGGTCTACACCGTCCGCGTCTACAACCACAGCTGAGGTCGAAGAAAATGGAAATGCACCAGAACTACTAGTACCGTCCAATCTTTCCATAATCGCGTCCCGCAGGTCGAAGATGTACTGCACGTATCGCTTGGCAGCCTCCCGCCCGTAGTGCGTGTCCACGTGCAGCACGCCGTTCATCATGATCTCCAGCGTCGCGGCCGGACACCGGCGAACCGCGTCGGGGAACAAAAGTTCTTGCTGTGGTGATGTGGTCTTCCTGGCGTCAGCGGCTGTTTCACGACCTTGAAGATCAGAATCTTCATCGGAATTTGCAGCCAAAAACTTGCCGAGAAACATCTCTTCGTAGAAATGTTTGGACAAGGATAGGTTGTCTCTGCCGTACCGCGTTTGCCAATTGCCGAAATTCTGGAACCACTCCGGCGCCAGATCGCCGACCGGAAGGGAACAGACCAAAGGCGAGGAGGTGGCGTCTTCATTGGATTCTTGTACTGTCGGTTGGTGTTGTTCGCGCTGTTCCTCATCTGTCCTCTCGGTGACATCGACCTCAGCGGTTTGATGATGTTGAACTTGACTAGCTGCAATAGTACTACCATCACCATCTTCATTCTGGCCTGCGGCGAAAAGCAACTCCTTCACGAGGCGGTCCAGCACGACTGCGAACGTTGTGAACAGCAGCCAGCAGCCCCGGCCGCGACGAGGGCCGCTGGCGCATTGGTCTGCTGGCACTCGGTGTCTTCGCCTGCCTTCTCGCAGAACAGGCGACATCGATACCATAAAACCTGGCACGACCGGGGTCAGGTATGATCGAAGGTTTCATCGCGTGCTGGCATGCGCATCGACGACGAACAAAAAAGTAAGTACTTCTTAGTGCGGCCGCGGCCAACAAGATTTTTCAGGGAATAAACCGATCGAAGTTTCTCTGTGTGGGTACTAAAAACAGACCATAGTGAAAACAAGGTGTTGATGATCGTGATTCGCAGTGTCCTTGCCGATACCGGTCTGTCTCTTCTATGCCTTAACTTTTCTGTAGCCGAGCCGACGATCTATCTTCGAAATGCAGAAGGATCTTTTTTGTCCTTGTGATCATACCGACCGCAGCGGAACATCGTGGTAAATCTAGACGAGCACAAGTAGCTGATGCCGCAACCGCCCCATCCGACGCCCTCGCCCTCGCCCACTAGCACCAGGAGCAGGACCAGCTGCACACAGTGTGCATTACAGGCAGTAAGAGGTTACAGGATTTTTTTTTTGAAAACAAAAATAAAGGTACTAAGACATCATTGTACAGAAAATGGAGTTGACAAACATTCTGTTACAGGAGGAGGGCATCCTCAGTCTTGTCAAAATTCCAAGCAATTTTTATGGACATTTCTAGGCCTTTCCTCAGCAGCTGCTGATTCTGATTGTATTAATTCGTACTTTAGTGTAAGTGATACTGATATGAAAAAACTTACTTCGATGGACGTTTTTGGTTTACGCATGTGAAATTGACTTAAAATTTGAAACGGTGTGAAAACTTTTTTGCAAAATCAAAATGACTAAAGTGACTTCTTACTAGTAACTTAGTCTTGTAGTGTGCGATACCTTTACCTCGGCACGCCAAAAAATGGGGTACACAATAAAACTAGAAAAAAACTTGGTGATTAACTAGGAGCAACATTCGCACCCCTACTTTTTCTTCTTCTTCTTTTCGTCCTTTCCCTTGGGCGACTTGGATTTGTCCTTCTTTTTCTTGTCCTCTTTCCGTCGCAATTTGTCCGGGTTGAACCACTGGTAGCTGACCCAGGGACTCTTATCCGCGCCGGCAGTGATGGTAACGTTTGACCCGTAACCACCGCGGATCGCGCGGTCGCACAGCAGCGACGGATGCAGGACTTGGTGGGACAGCGGTCTGGGGGACAAGAGCGCCGGATTTTGCGGCAGAATTCGCTGTCCCCTTGGCGTATACTCCGGCCCTTTTTCCTCGTCTTCCTCTTCGTAAAAATCGCCGAGATTCAGAATCCCTTTCGCCTTCGCCTTTTTCTCCCCCCGGTCTGGTTTCGGAGATTTCGACTTGGGCGGCGACTTTGACTTGCCGCTGGCCGAAATTTTCCCGCCTTTCCCGACCGGCTTTTTCTTCTTTGCGTCTTTCTCCCGCTGCTTCGCGTCGGCGATGACACGGTCCACGTGACCGTCGAGTTCTGCGTCCCAGTCCAAAAACAACTCCTTTTTCCTGATCACGACGATCGCCGTGCAGCCGACGTCTTTCAGTAAACACCGGTCGGATAATTTGTCCCATTTGCAGGGCGTGTCGTAGCTTTCCATCACGCGCTCCAGTTCACTCGGTGCGAGCAAGTGCCGGTGCAGGTCGCGGAGCTTTTCGATCCGGCGCTTCTTTTCCGGCGCCAGGTAGAATTCGGTTTCTTCGCCAAGTAATTCCTTCTCTGTCGAACCGAAGACCCGGGACTTCCCCAACTGGAGCAATTTTACCTGGCGGAACTTCTTGATCATCAGCGACCGCAAATCCCGCCGTGGCTCCGCCGCCACCTGTTGCATCTCCTCCGGCTCCAAGTCCGCTACGGTGTCTTCGCTGACCTCTTGTGGAATGAAATCCACGGCCGTCGCGGGGAGTTGGTCCCTGGTCGGGTCGAAGTCGGTCGTGTCGGGAAGGACTAAACCCTGTTGATCCAGCTTCGTGTTCAAGTTTTCCAGCATCTTTTCGCTTTGCAAGCTCTCGAGGCCCTGGGCGGAGCTGGCAGCGAGTTTGGCGTAGGTGGAATCGGTTTTGGATAAAGTCGTGCCCTCAACATTGTCGGTATAAACATAGGTCTTCAGCATCTCGTTGTCCACTTTGCCACCCTGTTCTAGAACAAGGAGTTGTTGTTCCTCCTCCAGCAATGTCCTTGCCAACTCCTCGTCCTTCGCCCCGATCTCGCTGGTGTCACTGTCCGAAACAGACCGGTGCTTCAGCACCGCGGGCAGTTGCTTAGTTGTACTAGGAGGAGGTGCGGGAGGTCCTTGGTCGTCCGGCGCTGCACCGCCGGATACTGCATCTGCAAGTTCTTGTTGTATTATCGGCAGATCTGCGACGGTGGTGTTTGGATCTACTACTGTTCCTGTTTGCTGCTGCGAGTCTGGAGATCCGCCATTTGCATTTTGATTTTGCTGCTCTCCTGCAGCTCCTGCAGCATCTTTCGGTTCAAAAGAGACCCCTCGTTTCGCAAAACTGCCACCAGACCCATCAGTTCTTACCGTGCCGTCCATATTACCTCCCGTGGTCTGCAGCGTCGTGTTCATAACGCCGTCGGAACTGGTAGTTGGACCTCCAAACCCATTTGTCGTTCCAGCAGTGGTGGCGAGAAATTGCTCTTTCGTGGTTCGGCCAGCCGAGTTTGACGCGTCCTCGGTTTTGACACTAGCAGCATCTACAGCTCCTTCGGGGAATTGCTCGGTGCCACGCTTATCGATTGCCATTTGCTCGACATCTTCCGGAAACTGCTCGGTTGCGCGCGGGTCGACCGGTAATTGCTGTTGCGAACTATTGTCCGCACTTGGGCTGGCAGTATCCCCACCTCCCTGCACAACATCAAGAACTCCTGTTGGCGCCACCAGCGAGGCCCCTTCGCCGATTGGCGAATCCGGAAACAAGCTCGCACTAGACCCCTCCTGGGAGTCGCGGTTGACGGGGGAATTTGTCGGGCTGGCCGTGTTATCCAGTGCAAATATGTCTGGGTCTGGAAGAATGCAAGTTTGTCATGCTTGTCTGGCATGACTCGAGAATCTGTGTTGCATAGGCACGAAAAGGCCCTCTTACCTGTCACGCAAAAACGCAGTTTGTCACGCGGAATACGTAAAACACAGGACCCAAAAAATTTGTCATGCGTAGCTGCGTATTGCAGTGCGTCTACCATTCACTTTTAGCATTACAAGTTCGAGACCCAGACATGTTTGCAATCCATACGTGTCCGTCGGGCTGGAGATTTCAAAATCCGCTGGATTTTCCTATCCTGAGTAAAAACGTACCCACACCAGAGTCACGATGGGGATTTTGCAACACAAACCTAGGAGTTTTAGGAGTCACGCATGACAAGCTTCAGTCCGTAAGGTAGTGCAAGTTAGCAAGGAAAGCCGCATCACAAATCGACCTTCTGATCCTGTTTACAGCATTACAAGTTCCCAAACACGACTGAAAACGCCTGTCATGGGGTTGCGCATCACAAATGTTCCTGTCATGGCATATCTGCATGACAACTCTGGGGTGGGGACGTTTTTACACAGGATATTTCCACCACCCCCGTCTCCGTCGCCTCTTCCTGCGCTTCCTTCTTGATCTGGGCCTTCATCGCGGCAATCAAGTTCTTCATACCGCCGATCCGGCTTTCGCTCGCGTTGGGGTCCACCGTGGCGATGGGTTCTTTTCCGTCCTCCCCGAGGTTCGTTTGGGTCAGCCCGGACGCCTTCGCCATCGCGAGTAACCCTTTTAACCCCCCGGCGCCGAAGAGACCCCCGCCGCCAGACGCTGGTGCACCATCGGCTTCTTCGGTCGGGGCAATGCCCGCTTTCTTGTTGTACTGATCTTGCAAACTCGTGCCCATCAGCTTGCTCATCTGCTTCATGAACTTCAGCCGTGTCCGGACCCGGTCGCGCAGCTGGCGCCCGCGCTCGCGCCGCAGAATCAGCGGGACGCGCTCCTTCTCCACGGCTTTGCGGATCTCCGCGACTTCTCTTAACAGTTCGGATTCGTATTCCTTGAATTTCTTCGACCAAAATTCCTGTTTCGGCATCCCTAAAGTGTCCAATAATGGCTTCGGGGGCCCGACCAACGGGAAAAACGGCTTTTTCCGCGTCAAGTCTGTATGCATTGCAAAAGTATCGTATTCGTATAATTGCATTACAAATTCCTTCAGCATGAGAAATAAGGATTGTAATGCGGATTTAGCTTGAGAACAAGATTTGTAATGCATGTTTGCAATTACTACGAGTACGATACTTTTGCACAGGATAGTCTATCTTCTCCCGCAACAGCGGTAGATGCCGCGGGTTGGATTTTTCTAAAATATTCGTGTGGTGGACTATTTCCCCCACCTGAAACTGCTTCTTGTCCGCGAGTCCGAGCACGAGGCACTTTTTACTCGTTACTGAAATCAATTTCCCCTTCCAGCGCATCATCCCCTTTGGCACCGCGTCTTCTTCGTGCCTATCAAATGTAAAAATGTCTGGGTCTGGAAGATTGCAACTTGGCATGCTAAATCTGAAGCATGGAAAAATCTGTGTTGCATGATCGCCAAAAGTCGTCCAGTTTTGACCAAGTCGGGAGGGAGTTTCTCATGCAGGATACGCATGAGAGAGATCGCACAGAATCTGTCATGCTGGGTCCTGCATTACAGACCTCATGGGTCATAGAAAAGCTGCATGACAAGTCTCGCAATCTTCCAGACCCAGACATTTTTACATTTGATAGTGCCCCTCGGGAATCAATTTCGGCAAATTCTGGTCGAGTTTCTCCAACCCTTTCTCAAAATTCCGCATGTCGGTGCGCTTCCGCTGCAGTTGTTTCCCGGATTGCAAAGCCCCGTCGAAGATGAACTCCTTCCGATGTCTGTCCTGCTCGGCGGAGTGCAACGTCGGGAACATTTGCCCCGCGATCACCGCCGACGCGTCTTCCCCCTTGCCCTTCGCAATCGCCACGGTGGCGTGCTGGTCGTACCGATTGAACTTCATCCGGTCTTTATCCAAGAAAAAAACTGTGTTAGTGTAAGTCTCTTGGGAAAACAGCATCACAAGTTTGTCTGCCATGACAGGAAAAACTTGTTATGCGCAGATAGGAAGGGAAAACACATAGGAAGCGCGCCGATCATGCATGTCGAGCATGACAAGTGTAACTGTTTTGCATTTTCTGCATCACAGATTTACGCTTACACAGTTTTTTTCTTGCATAGTCTTCAAACAAAACCGCTTGCCCAGCGAGGACCGTGTCCGTTTCCGCGGACCATTCCTTATCCTTTTCCTCGCCGGAACTGTAATCCAAATCCCCGACCGCGTCCTCCTCCTCGCTCTCCGGCAGCGGTTCGCCCTGGATCAGGCCCAGCTCCAGCGCGCGTCTTGCGCGCCGACGCTCCCGGCGCCGTTCCCGCCGAACCTGGTCCTCTAGTTGCTTGTCCCGCAGCTTCTTGTCCGCCGCGCGCTCGGTATGACAGTGCACAACTCCCCCTCCCCCTCATTTGTGATGCAAAATACCCAACCCAGTCGCATTTAAATGGCACTGCTTGCATGACAAATTCCGGAAGCCCAAAAAGTACTAAGTTAGGCACATAAACTTGTCATGCATAGGCTCCACTTGTGGTCGTGTTTGTATTGCTCTTCATGCTATACAAATGAGGGGGAGGGGGAGTTGTGCACTGTCATACTCGGCGGACATGTGCTCCGGATCGCTGTCATCGTCCCCCCGACCGGCTTCTTCCGCTTTGTGGGAAGCTTGGACGAGCGATTGTAGCCTTGCCATCCCCACCACCAGCCACCGGATCTTCCGCCACAGCACTTTGACGAGTTGTTTCATGTCCTCACGCTTTTTCCTTTCCTCCTCGGCCTCCTCCGCGTCGACGCTGTGGTCGCCCTCGATGTCGCTGTCGGTGTCCTCGTGCGCCTTCGGTCCGAACGCGTCCTTCATCCCCTGGACATAGCGTTGGTACTCCTGCAGGTTCTATCAAGTGCAAAAATGTCTGAGTGTGGAAACTTGTGACGCAAGAAAGGGAAGAGTGAGCGCCGTGTAATACGCTGCCCAGCATGACAAGTTTTTCCGTGGTTCAGAGTTGCGTAATCCGCATGACAAACTGCGTTTTTGCATGACAGACAAGAAGAGCTCTTCGGGGGCATGCAATACAGAGTTCAGAGTCATGCCAGACTAGCATGAAAAATCTCGCAATCTCCCAGACCCAGACATATTTGCAATCCATAGGTTCTCCTCCTTCCCGCCGACCGCCAAAAGCCGCTCCCGGGTGTGCGTCCGCAGCGCCCGCAGCGCCTTCGGCTTGGCCCGCCGCTCCGCGCGCAGCTGCTGTAGGATTTCGTTCACGCGTTCTTCCCTGCGCTGCAGTTCCTCCTCTTCCTGCTTGCGTCGCTCCTCCTTGCTGTCCACCTTTTCCGCCTATGCATTGCAAATAGGTCTGGGTCTGGAAACATGTAAACTTCTGATGCGCATTTGAGACCAGAAAAAAATCTGTCATGCATGGACCGCAAAAGCTGCTCATTTCTTGTCACCAAAAGAGGGAACTTGTCATGCGGATTAGGCATCGCCTAACCTGGTCAAAACATGCGTTGCTAGGACTTGCATGCTAGACCTTCTGTGTCATGCACAAACAGCATCACACTCTTCCAGACCCAGACATATTTGCATTTGATACCGCCAGCTGTTTGGCCATCTCCGCCGCCTTGGCAGCCAAGTACAGGTTGAATTTTTGGATGAACCGCTCCTCTTGCTCAACCACCGCCTGCGACCGCCCGTCCGGGTCCCCGTTGATCACGTTCGTGCCGTCGCCGGCAAGGCCGGAGCCCGGCCCGGTGATCGGGTTTCCATTTTCGTCCACGGGTACCTTCCTGCGCCGTACTTTCCGTTTCACCATGATGATTAACCCGGTGACCGGATCTAATTCCTCCACTTCAACCTCGACCTCTTCCCAGTTCGTATCCCCGGGCTCGAGAACCGTACCGTCTTCCAGCACGACGCGACCTTTGGTGCTTTTGCTCATCTCGGACTTCTTTTTCCGCTGTTTTCTATCATTCTGGATCTTTTCCCTTAACGCCCGCTCCTCCGCGAGCAGCCGCTGGAGCTCCGCTCTTTTCCGTGCCTGCTCCGCCTCCCACGCCTCGCGCCGCTTCCTCTGCGCCACAGCGGCTTCTTTCATGTACTTCTTCTGCGGGGCTTTTTCCGCGTCCTCCTCGATTTTATTCACCGAGTCACGTGGCTTCGCGCCTTTTGCAAGTAGCGCCTGCTTCTCGGATTCCAGCATCTTTTGCATCTCCGCATTTTTTGCATCTTGTTCTTCCTTTTTTATTTCCTCGTCCGGGATCTTGTCCCCGCGCGGCTGCGGGACTGGTTCCTCCACCGGAACGATCGTGGCGTTCACTTCGTCTAATTGGACCGGATCGGTATCTTGGTCCTCTGCAACAGCCGGTACAACGACTGTATTCTTCGCACTGGCAGTTGCATCTTCGATCTCCTCGATCTGGAGCTCCTGTTCAACTGCTGGTGGCGTACTACTAGCCGGCTGTATGGTCGTCACGCGCACCGCCGTCTCGATGATCTGCGTGGTGCCGTCCTCCAGCACCTGCACCGTCTGCTGCGACATGGTATCCTGCGTTGCGATAACGGCCTCCTCAGGTAGAGGTACAACCGGTGGAATCTCAATCACCTCTACCGGTTGCTGGGGTTCGACATCCTGTGGCGGTTGTTCCGGTACTGGTTCTTCTTTCGTTGCAGAAGCTGCACTTCCCTGCTCGCTGTGGTCTTTCGATTTCTTGTCCGGCGTCCCCGGTTTATTTTTTCTATCCCCCTTCTCCGGCGTACTTGGTTTCTTCTTCTTTGAATCTGGCTCTGGCGCGGATGCCCGCCGCTTCTTCTTCGGGTCCTCCTTTTTCTTTTTGTCCGAACCGGTCGTTGACCCCGCCTTGTCGGACTTCGCGGACTTGGACCCGCCGGCTTCGCTGCTGGCCCGACTCTTGACGTTAGTTCCCTCGCCCCCAGTAACGGAACTGGGCGCGCCGTCGATGGAAGACAAAGTGGTTTTCATCGCGTCTTCGTGGTCAGAAACTACTTTTTTCTTCGGGTCGTCGGGATGGCCCTTCGCGATCAGACTGCGAATCAACTCCAGGTTGATCATGCCCAGCATTTTGGGAAGCTGTTCTTCCTCTTTCTTGGTACTGTCCTCTTGATCGCTGTGATTTTCACCATCGTCGTCCTTCTTCCCCTCCTCCTCCTCCTTCAGCGCAACTGATTCGGATTGCTCCTCTTCATTCTCATCCCCGACATTTTTCAAATGCTTTTTCTTCTCCGCGTCGTGTCGCTTTTTCAAATCCACCCGGAGCTTCTTCAATAAATCCTTCTTCTGCGCCATCAATTTCGCCTGCTTCTTCTGCTTCATCACGCCGGTCAGGCCGAGCAGCCCCATGTTTTCCCTGTTGCGGAACTGCATCTCGTGGGTAATCTCCGGGTCCGGGTCCTGCCACCCGCCCTGGATGTCGTAGAGCACCACGTCCTCGGGGTCATCGACATTGTAAAAATCCGCGATCAGCCTTTTCACCTCCTTCACCCGCACGTCCCGCTCACGCCGCAAGTCGAACTTCAGCAAGTCTCCATTCAACCGCGCGAGCACCAACCGGCAGTAAACGATGTCCCGGCCGCGGCGCGACAAACGCTCTGGGATTTTAACCTTGTCACCGAGAACCATTTTGATTTTTGTTTTTCCTCGTCGGTGGTGGAGGCTACGAGCAGGTTGGAGATGATGGCTTTAATATTTGCAGGTCGTGGTCGTGGTTCTGTTGCGAACTATTTCTACTTCCCCCGGTTCGATAGTACGGCGCTACAGCTACAGGTAGCTGGGTTTAGAAAAGACAAGAGGTTCGAAGACTTTTATCGTGGTAGCTTGAGACGTGCATGTGCCATCTTGATGTTTTTCGTGGAGTACTGGGCGGTGGATACTGATATTGTACAATGCGAAATTCGGTATCGGTAGATACCTCCTAACCTCCTACTCGTTCAAGAAATCCGTCCTAGCGCCGTTTGTAAAGATCAGCGTCCACATAGAGGTAGGGCGCAAGTGCGTAAGTAGTACCGGAAAGGTATCAGTCACTCGGCACGAAGATACTTATCTTCACCGACTTTGATTAAAAACTCAAGCGAAAGAGGGGGTACCCACAAAGATTTTGATATGCAACGGGAGAAAATGACACGAAAATCTCCCTGGAAAAACATTTGGTAAACATTTATGAAAACACAAAAAACACGAATCACCGTGGCGATGCCGATGACATGCGAACGCACGAAAAAGAACGTGAAGATGTGACCCGCCGTCGGTGTTCCCCTAACAAAAAAACTGCGGACGGAGGATGCGGACGAAAAAAAGAACTTTGAGGAACGAAATGGACGAACGATTAGTTGTACGAATATGAGGAGGAGATCGTGATTTTTCAATAAGTACATACTACTGTTTCTTGTCTTTACGATGCTGAAGACGCACACATCTTTTGCTGCTTGAAACATCAATGTGTACGCACGACCATGGCAGTTGGGTGGAACGAAAGCCAAATGGCGCATTGATGTCGATGTGAAAGTAGAACAAGAAGAACAGGAATTTTTACACACGGCGATCATGCGTAAGCCACAGGCAGTGGCAGATGAACGATGCGCAGTTTCTGTATTCATTGAATGGTTGGAGATAATTTCGGAGCGTCATCAATTGGGAGTTATCACAACGCGCGAGGTCTTTCAGTGAGCGTTCTCTTTCCCGTCGTGGGTCTGAGCCCGCTTTGATGAGTCGCGAAGAGTTGCAGTGCCTGTACACGGTGTACGTGCTACATAGTGATGTCTGACGATAAAATAGAGCCTTCACTATGTGGTCGTACCACGGCTACCAGATGATGATGATGATGAAACACGATCACAAATAAAGAATAGTAAACATCTGCAAGTTTTAGTACGTAAACGAAAACAGAAAACCGAACTTCAATGCAATTGCGACACTGAACCTCAAAAGGAGACGCCGGCATAGTACCTGCTGGGGTGCGCTGCAAATTGATCGTTCATTGTTCAAAAATTCAACAGGCGTCTATTGATTGCCTGGAAACGTGGTCCTCGCCGTAAAAATTCAGTATCGACAAAATTTACTTACCGTAAATCGACGTAAAAGTAAGCTTTACAATGCGTAATCCACCACCCTTCTGCAACCCTCAATCCTTAAAAGGGACCGCCTCGGAGAGAACGCGGACGAATCTACTTCGCTCGCTACCAGATGCCCCCTGGGTCGTTCCTGCCCCGAGACCATCTTCGGAGTTTTCACTTTCATCTTTGGAAAACTGGAGGTGGTTCAGGATGAAGGCCCAGAGAATTCCGGTCGTGCTCATGTAGGGCCAACGGTATTTCAACGGGATAAATTTGAAGTTGATCCACATCAGCGGAATCCACACGGCGCACGCGGCGGTGTTGTCCTGGACGAAGTTCTTTGTGTAATTTGCCCACGCATTGTAAAGGACGGTGGTGACATTGCCATCTTTGTGGTCCTCTACTTCCTGCGCGGCGACCGCCTTGGGCTTGAGCGAGCTTTCTAACATCTCAGAAGCAGCAGCAGGGCTCGATGAGGATGATGACGTCCCGGCGGGCACGACCGTTGTTCCCCTACTTGAGGATGTACCCGTCGGTGTAGAAGGTTTTTCTGTGCTGCTGGGTAGAATGATTTCTTTCACCACGTAAAAGCAGGGGAAAAACAGCAACGGTGTCTGCACGACGCAATCGAAAATGCTCCCCGCTAGCGGATACACCTTGAAGAGCTGGGGCACGCGCGGGTAGATCACGTTGTAAACGCAATACCCCGGTCCTCCGGCGTACAAAGCGCCAAACAAACCGAAGGAAAACGACCTGCGGTAATCGACTACGGATGAAACCGCCCCGGGCTTGGCTACACTTGTGGTTCCGGCACTGGGATTTTTTTGGCTCGGAACCGCTGCTGTTGAAGCAGTGGCGCTGGTACTACTGCTGGAAGTTGTACTTCTAGACGCTGGTCTATCAAATGCAAATATGTCTGGGTCCGGATGAGTGCAGGAGTTTGTCATGCACATTTTGCATGACCCATGACGCCCCTGGTGCATGCTCGAGCATCACAGATTTTTTGACGGCTTCTCTCGATGCCTATCCTGCATGAGAAATGCGTTCCTCGCGTAGCAACGACTGGAGTGCTGGTCCTCTTGCTCTTTATGCAATACAAATTTCTTTCGAATCCAAAGGCAGCATCACAAGTTGCAACCTTCCAGACATCCAGGGATATTTGCAATGCATATGGTGGTCCATATTGCTGCGCGATCGCGTCGCAGACCACGTACCGGGTGCCGTTGGTTAAAGCGGCCGTGGCGATGGGAAAAAAGTGCGCTCGAAAGGAAGACGACGCAGCACCAGCCGAAGATGATGCCATGTTAACAAACCTAATTGGAAAGACAAAGAAATCAGGTGGGGGCTGCGCTTAGGTTAATAAATACGATCGGTGGAGGTTCGTCGACTGGTGACTGAAATGGGACATGATCAAGGCAGTGCGGGTCGTGCTGGTAGTTAAAAAGAAATGTTGAAGCAGGAAGGTTAGTTGTCTGTAGGGTCAGAGGATGTATTTTACCAGTGGGGGTGGGACTGTGCTTATCCTAATTCGTTGATTTTTCTTTCCGTCGCGCAATGTACAAAACGGGCTACAATAAGACTTTTTGATTCCGGTACAACAGCTAAAGTTGCGTTTCGGCTGTACATGACACCTCCTTACAACCCAACTCCTTTCATCACGAAGTTTTACCCTCTCTGGAATACACGTCGATACCCCTCATGATGCACCACGAGGAACACACGCCTCGCAAACTCCTACAGCTGCGGGCTAGTCAATGGTGCAACGAAAAGAGTATTGCCTTTGCAAAGGACTAGAACGGCTCAAGCGACAATTTGATCATGTTACACTGTTGGAAGTTCATCTATGCCAGTCTACGATGTGATGGAGAATGCTGTGTAATGGTGTTCTGTACGCCGGCCCAAGATCTCTGCAAAAATATGTTTTACGAAAAGTAGAGATCTTCATACTATCCAGATACTGAACACGAAAAGAACAGCAAAACATCCATAGAAGACGAGGACACAATAGCGTCTCTTCATCTTATGATGGTTCCACCCGAAAACGACAAAATTGCAAAAGCTTCTCATGCGAATGCGTGTCGTGTTGTTGAAGGAAGATATGCTCGAAGGTAGAGCAGCGATCAACTTATGCAAAACAAAAAGTTCGCTGAGCCTGAGGTCGCCGTCGCGCCATGCACAATATCACGACCTACTCAACCACTACTGGCCCTTCACCACTACCCTCCTCGGTGCCGCTATTCTCCTGGTTATCGTCTTTTGTCTCCAACTCACCTTGACCAGAAATGATGAGTTCCGCCTCCTTTTGGTATTGTTTCAGCTTTGCCCGCATGGTGTCGAACTGCGCGTGTTGTGCGTATGGGGTTCTCAAACGTTACATCCTCAACTGTTACATGATTTGTCATGCAAAATTGCCATAAGCCGCCACACGATCAAGGTGTTTCGCATGACAAATTCTCGAAGGGCGAAACAGCGCCTGAATCTGTTCCGCATTTGTAATGCAAAGCGCGCAATCTTCCCGCGCTCATTTTTGCTGTTCTTGCATCACAAATTCATGTAACAGTTGAGAATGTAACGTTTCAAAGCCCCATAGTGCGTGGAACTCGGTTTCGTAACCGACGTCCTTCAAGTAATCGACGGACGGATACCCTTTAGCTTCCGCGCTGTGCGTGGTGGTGTTCATGACGTAGCCGTTCTGAAAAGTCGCCATGATTTTGTAAAAGAGCTCCCAGTGCTGCTTCGTTAACTCGGTGATGCGGGACTGCCAAGAGTTCGAGGAAAGAGTTCTTGCTGCTGTCTTCATGGTCTCCTTGGTTGATGTTCGTTCCGTAGTAGTAGCTCTCGTGGTCTGTGCCAAGGTTACAAAGTCTTCGTCGGTCGTGTCAGTCGATTTCGATTTATTTCTCGTGTCGTGCCTTTTATGCCACGATACCGCGAAGTCCACCAGCTTTCCTTCCGTCTCCCGCTGGTACGCCGCGACGTAGCTGCGGATGTCGGAAAACCTGGGGTGAGCGTGAGTCGTGGGGTACAGTATTTACAGACTTCGGGAAGAAGACAGCACTTGCTCATCACGCCGTCTGGGGAAGCCGAGCCGTATTCTTTCGTAGTCAAAGTCAATGACATTTTGAGATGAAATTGAAGTTCCAAAACAGCTCACAGAAATTATCAATACCTGAGGTCCATCCAATTCCCAATCGCGTTCGCGGCCCACCACAGACTGTTATGCTCCACGGCCCACCCGCTCCCCGACCGCAGCTCTATCGGCGCATAGTCGGTGCTGTTGTGCAGAAACAGTGGCACGAACACCGAGGCAGAGGCGCGCGCCGGGGCGTACCAGAGGGTCACCTTGTTCGACGCCGGCGGTGTAGACGAAGCACCAGCTCGTGTAGTTCTACCTTTATTTGAATCTGCTTCATCCGTCACTGCCGTGACCTCCGCGACGTGGGTCATGGTGGTGCGGTAGATGTCGATAGATCGTTCCCAGGCACCGTATTTGAACGTTGCCTCATTCGCACCCTCGGCGTACCGCATCGGGTTCCCATAGCCTCCGGCGGCCACGTTCTGGGTCAAGTCAAAGGGCGTGTTTTCGTAGTGGTCCCGGTAAAAGCCAAACACGTCCTCCCGCGTCAACGGCCGGGATACGGGCACGGAGAAGGGGTAGGTAGGCTTCTCGGTTTGGTAGCCCAGCATGGGGTCGAGCCCAAGCTCTGGGTTCGCGTGCGAAAGCATCCGCCACGCGCGTCGGGCGGAGGGAGTATCGTTACGAAATGTTTGTCATGACATAGACATCAAGCAGCTAAAAATGAAAAAATGCACACCAGCGTCTTGGTAGAGGCATATAATTACCGTGGCTACTTCTTTCATTGGTTCACTCTACTACTAGACAATCTTTGCAGCAAGAGCTACGATGTGTGTCTTGGTCAACAAAGATTTGTTCCTGTCGATACTAGTAGGGGTGCGCGTACTCACCGGCCGAGTAGATTTTCGTGAAATCGAACTTCTCACCGGAAGCAGGATCGTACCTAGGATTTTCATTTTTGACAAACCGCTTTAGTAATCTTGTTTCAACATCAGAAGAGCAACTTCGTCGATGTGGAACTACAAGTAAACCCCGACCCTGGTGCAGTTTCTGTTGTTCATTTTTCCCTTGTATTCATATGTCTCCAGAACGCGACGGAGAGGACTGAAGCGTTATTAACCACGTGGACTACATCTGCAACACTTACTAGAAAAATGAAATAGCCGGTCGTATGATTTATGATACCACCCGTGCTTCTGGGCTACGGAGACCAGGTTTTTCGAGAAGAGGAAGGTCTATCAAATGCAAATATCTCTGGGTCTGTAAACTTCTGATGCAAGTCAGGGAACACTGCGCACCCTGTAATTCACTGCCAAGCATGACAAGTTTTTCCGTGGTTCTGAATTGCGTATTCCGCATCAAAAACTTCGTTTTTACATGACAGGCAAGAGGAGTTTTTGTGGCCGCGCACGACAGAGCTCATAGTAATGCCAGATTAGCACGACAAGTCTCACAATCTTCCAGACCCAGACATATTTGCAATGGTTAAGGTCTCGGTATCCTCCAGGTTCATTTCCCTTATGACAAACATGTTGGCCACCACGGCGAAGTGGTTGGGCTGCAGCTTTTGCGCGGCCCACACCGCCCCCTTGCCGGTATCGTCCGCCAGGATGTGGAAGACCCACGTTTCCCTCCCGTCCGTGATGGTGAGCGCCTCCCCGCTGTCATCCACCTCCAGTGTGGAAAAAAACCCGTACTTTTCCGCCAGGCGACCGCCGTGCAGCACCGCACATCTCGCCGTGGTGCACCGCTCCAGCATCAGACGGGAGATCTTATGCGTTGCAAAAGAAGTACCGTAGTAGTGGGAACTTCTGCATCAGAAATTTTATTTTCAGAAGGAACATGATCACCAAAATCTGTCATGGGGAATTAGGTACAAAAACCAGAGCTGCCACGCTGTACTGCAACTAGTACGAGTACGATACTTTTGCGAAGGATAGATTTCTTGGATTGACAGCAACGCGTGGCCTTTTCCGCTGGGATCGTTCTTCGGGAGTGCGTACAGCCGGGCCGAGCATGTGGCTTCCGCAATCCCCAGGTAGTCGCTCAATGACATCCGGTGAGGAAATGTAGTACCCAGTTCTGCTGACTTATTTTTGCCAGGCAAATAACCTGCCTCCCCGCCAGAATGTGTCTTGTCATGCGGCTCGACATAGAACCTGTCATGCATGAGTCTGAAAGCGTCTGAAGGTTTTTTGCACTATGGGCAGCAGCCCCTGGGTACTACGTTTTTTCACTTCGGGTAATCAACGCGTAGCTGCCGTCGTAGTATGGAAACGTGAACTCGTGATCTGTGGTCACTCGAATTTTTGTTTCCCCGGTTTTACTTTGTGACGGCGCGACATCGAAAAAGTTCTCCTCGTCCGCTTCAAACTCTGGGATGAAGCCGAGCGGCTCCGTATGGGGTTCTCAAACGTTACATTCTCAACTGTTACAACATGAATCTGTAATGCAAGAATGGCAAAAGTGAAACGGGGGACCTTGCGCGTCTTACATGACAGATTTGGCACAGATTATCAGCCTGCTTGGGCCTCTGAGACTTTGTCACGCGAAGCAGCTTGATATGGTGCCGATTCTGAAGGTAATACTGCATGACAAATCGGGTAACAGTTGAGAATGTAACGTTTGAAAACGCCATACTCCGTGGGCCGGTCGTCGGGGTGGAAAGGGCCATACTCGGGCGAGATGGTTGTCGGCGCCACCAGGCGCGGCGTGCCCTCCAACGGGTAGAAAAGCGGGCGGCTTGGCTGCGCAGTGCGGTTTCGGGCCGGCACGAAAATGACCCGGTAATCCTCGTCACCCTCGCCATCGGAGGTCTGCGAAACCAGCGCGCCAACGCCCTCCGCAGTGGCGTTTGGGCCCATCCCGAGGCACGTGCAGTGGTCGCGCGGACGGCGGGGCAGTTTGCTTCTTTGCTGGTGGTGGGCATCATGGCTTGTTTCCTGTTCAGCAGGAAGTGCACTAACCTGTAGGCCTGAGGGACGTGGACCTGCCGGGGGTTTCCTCGAGCCTCCTGCGCCCATTTGTTTGTTTTCGCCGTGGACTGCAGACTTTTCCGCATCCTTGTCTATTCCCCCAGTTTGATCTTTCTGTTGGGAGAGGACGACATTGAATTTCGTACTCGTTTTCGTCCCGCCGACGGCCGCCAGCAGCGGTTGGCGGCTCGGTTCGTGTGCCGCTGCGGACCGGATGAAAGCGAACAGCGACACCAGGACCAGCACCAGGTACGACGAGCCGGGAGTAAAGTTGTAAAGTTGGGGCTCCTGCACGGGCATTGTCGAAGATGCGATAGAAGTTACTCACACATCCAAGAACTTCTGCCGGAGAAAGTGGAAGTATTGGACCCCCTGTTGTAGCTTTCCGCCCTGGACAACGGTACCGTTTAGTGCACTTTGTACGTAGGTGGTCGTAAGTGGCCCGCGTGGTAAGTTCTTGCTTTTTTGTCCGCAACAGCACGCCAGGTCCTTTGGCTCTGATGATGATGTAAATCTATTCGAGGTAGTCCCCTTAGATTATCCTCTTCCGTCCTCTAAGTCTCATGATTGCTTGGATTGGTAGTCTTTCGTTGTTGTTGTTTGCTTGAAAGGAGAGCGCTGAAGATGTATTGCTGCTGCTTGTTGTTTTTGCTGATGCTGTTGCTGCGCCTGTGGTGATGTCTCGCCATAGATTTCGATCAAGGCAGTCCTTTACTGTTGCTCGCTTTCGATTGAGATCCGCGTTGATTTCTGCTATCCAGGTCTTTGTTGCTCCTTGCCCTTTTTTCGTCTTGGCGTTCGGCACGGTGGCTGACAACATCAGCCGCGCCCAGCGTTTCGCTGGATACCTTACCACGCGGCCAAAGTATCGCAGCCTTCGCTCTCTAATTTTCTCAGAAAGCGCCCGGGCCTGCAGCTTGTTGTAGATGTCTCGCGTTTTGACGTGGTCGCGTTTTGTTATTCCTAGACAGTGGCGGAGCTTCTTATTCCACCACGTGTCTAACAAGATTTCGCCACTTTGTCGCAGACACCACGTCTCGCACCCCCATGCGAGCACGGGGTATACGAAGGCGCAGAGGATTTTCAACTTGAGCCGCGGCGTGAGTATTTTACCGTTGAAGACGTTGGAAAGCTCCCCGGTTTTCTTTTGTGCTAGCAGGATTCTCGTCTCGATGTTTGGCTCTACTTTGTTTCTTCTGTTTGGCGTTCTAGTTCTTCGCGGACATTCATCATTTCCGCTGCAGGGAGCCCCGCACGAAATCTCTCTACTCGGCTGCACTCCTCTCACTCACTGCTGCGTCGCTTATTCTGGCCAAGGCCACTCGCACTCGATCCATCCTATCATTTGCAGAGAACCATCCACCTCACTACACTTAAAGCCCGCCTCCGAAAACAGGCACGCTCTGACTCCTCCATTTGAGAGGATGAAGAGTGCCAGAAGGCAAAGTTGTTCTCAATCTAAATCTATTTTATGACTTAAAATATGCACGCTCTCCCCTTATTTTAGCAGAGATAGGTGGCTGTGGGTACTAAATTTGCCAGCGCCCATCTCCCACGAACACGATCCTAACCAGACCAAAAACTCACTACGGGACCGCCGTGCCATGCTATTTTTATTTTTTCTGTGGCGCATTTCTATGTGTATGAAAAAGGCGTCAGCAAGGTGATACTTTCAAAGCCCACGCGAGCGGGCTACGCAAGCGGAGCGGGGGCACATCGTGCCCAGCGATGCAAGATTCACGGAAGGCGTAATTAGGAGCGGAAGCACGCCCGCGTGGTGTGCTGAAATTAATTTTTCGTGCGCCTTTATTGCGTACAATACACCAGTGCTCTGAGACTGGGGGGGTCTGATCTATGTGCATCTTTGAACTCGTCTTTGAAAACAGTTTCTTCCGCAAGACGATCCTTGATGTGGTGTTTGAAATATTACTTCTCGTGCACTACAAAACATGTGGATTATGATGGTTGTGCTAATTTGCGAAAATGAGATGCAAAAAAAAACATGTAAAAATCTGAAAGCGTGCGAAAAAATTAACACAAAAGCGCGGGTGAAAAAATCAGGTAAAAAATTGAAAAAGCGAAACAAAGGTGCAATAAGACGTGTATGAAAATCGAAAAAGCAGACTGCTCTGAAAGAAAACAGGCTGTTCTGAGATGCTTGAAAGTCCACTGTATTTTTTGCTTCAGGGCATCTGTGTACTTAGTCTATTCACTTTATAATTAACTTTGTTTTGTTTGATAGAACTGTAGATTTACTCGTTCGCTTCGTTGGCAGTGTCGGCCTCGGGCGCCGGTGCGCTTTCCTCAACACCACCTCCTTGGCTTTTCCTACCGCCTTCGCGGCTCGTGCGGGAAACTTTTTGACCATCTTCCCCGGGAGGAGCAGATCCAGATTTCGCACGGCTGGCGCGGCTGGCCTGATTCTTGCTCCCCTCCTGTCTTGCCGCTTGGTTCACTGCGGATTTCTTGGAAGGTTGTCCACGCGCTGCCTTTTCGCCTTTCGCGGGCGCGGCCGAGTCCGCATCAGCTGCCGTGGCACCACTACCGAATAAACACGGGCAACAGGAGGCGGGGGGCGGTGGCGACGGCTGTTGTTTATCCTGTTGTTCCGCAGGAAACAACCCACTTTTTTGCTTCGCAAGGGACTGGTTGACGTTGGAGAGGGATTTCGACAGGCTTTTCTTTGGCACCAGTTTCGCTACCGACTTCATCACTTCCGCAGGCGCCGGCGCCTCTTCCCCGGCCGCTTGTTTTCCCTCCCCAGCAGCCTCGTTCACTATTCCACCGTCTTCGTCCACCACCGGCAGCTTTGGCGTGTTCTTTTTCTTCTTCGGTGGCAGCATCGCGCTCGTGAAGTTTAAGCCGGTTTCCACGCGCTCGACCTCCCCCACGTGCAGGTCCAGCGTCATGGTGTGCACCGCCAGGTCCAGCGAGAGCTGCTTCTGCGCCCGTTTGTTGATCGCGCCGGCCCGCGCGAACCCCTTCCACAGCACACTCACCGACTCGACATGATCACCTTCATTGTCGCTCTTTTGCCCCCGGTGGATCAACTGGGAAAAGAGTTCGTAGTCCTCACCCTCAAGGCCCATCTCCTCGAGGTCATGTTTACTCAAGCTGTTGACAAAGTTCATAATTTGCTCGTCGGTGGGCTCCGTGTCCTGGACCCCCTCCAGGCCTTCCTGGAGCTTGGTGGCCAGCTTCTTGGCGGCCACGGGCGTGAACCCGTGCGCCACGAGCGCGTGCTCGGTGTGCCCGAAAGAGAACCGCAGGTGCTCCCCGGTGAGCAGGAGCTCCTTGACCCCCTCCTCGCCGTACTTCTGGACCGCGAGGTTGTGCAGGAACCCACGCATGCGCCCGACCTGCTCGAACCCGCCCTCGAAGTCCAGTCCCAGCTGCGTCATCACCTCCAGGTCCTTGTTTAACGACGGCCTCGCAAGGTCCTCGTTGTTGCTCACGCTGGGTCTGCTCACCTGCGCCGCCAGCTTCTTGGCGTACATGGGCGACAGTCCGGCCGACAAAAACGCCGCCTCGGCGTCCCCAAAGGACAGGATAAACGCCTATCCTGAGTAAAAACGTCCCCACGACCCCAGGGTTGTCATGCAGATCTGCAAGCGCAAGAGCGTTTGTAATGCGCATCCCCATGAGAGGCATTATCCATTTTGTTTGGGAACTTGTAAAGCTGTAAACAGCATAAGGAGATGGCTTTGCTATGCGGCTTCTCTTGCGAAACTGCACTACACTACACCCTGCAATTTGTCATGCGTGGTTCCCAAAACTTCAAGGTTTGTGTTGCAAAATCCCCATCTTGACTCTGGGCGGGTGGGGACATTTTACAAATGATAACACCGGGTCCGTGTTCAGTTCCAGATCCGCTTGTTCTACTTCCGGCGAGGCCGGCGCCAGCACCTTTGCAGCCTCCGCTGCCGTGCAGCAGAGAAACAACACAATTCCGAGGATCAGGAGCAAGGCGGCGCAAATGCCGCCGCCAATCGCCAGCGGCGCCGCCAGCCCGCCACCGGCTTTTATGGAGTAGAGAAAAAAGTGTTTTTTAACAGTTGTTTACAACTACGTACACATCGCGTTCTTGCCGAACCCGCAACAGAGATGCGCTGTTCTTTGAAGTGCGAGATATTAAGCCTGTAGTGCTCAATGAAGTTTGTAAAATTGAATTTTGTAAAAAAATGCAGCTTCCCGTTTCTTCCCTTATGATCCCCGAATAATCTCATCTATTCTTACATCAGGCGTTTCTTGTCATGCAGACCAAACCTGGGCTGCTGGATTATCTCTTGCACTTGCGAAAATGTGCAGTATTAACTGTGACACTTTTTTTCTTGGATAGCTTCGACCGCTTCCTCAGTAGCGTTAGTGGTAGACTCGTTGGTTCCCCCGCCACCGAAGATCACCTCCTCCACTTTCGAGTGATATCAAATGCAAAAATGTCTGGGTCTGGATCTGGAAACTTGTGATGCTAAAATGTGCATGATGAAAACACTTCCGAATGCAGTCCGGCATGACAACTTCCCAAAACGCTTTGTTCTCATAGGCAATCCGCATGAGAAACTGCGTTTTTGCATGACAAAAGAGGCTGCGACTTTTGTTGGTTATGCAATACAGATTTTCTAGGTATGGAAAGCTAGCATTACAAGTTCCCACCTTCCAGACCCAGACACTTTTACAATCCATAAGTGACCCCCGGTAGCGATGTGCGTCTCGGTAGTGGCATTGGTGCAACACGTTGCCTCGCAGTCGGTCACGTCCGGCAACGAGAACAAATTATTCGTCACATTTAAATCGCCCACAGCCCGACAGAGTTGGCTGCTGTCACCAGTGACATTGTAGCCTGGGGCACTGCATGCCCCGCCGAGAACTTCACACGTGGGGAGGCACGCTTTCCAGTCCATACGAATGTCCATTAGAACGTAGCCGGGTTCAGTACAGAGCGCACAGTCTTGCTGACCATCCTCGTGGCACGTCGCGGAGTCAGCTGGGTTTGTCGTACCATGCTGGCATTCGCAGACCTTCGCCGCACGAACGCAGCTTCGCGCACTGGGGGCGCCGGGGACGTCCTCGTCCGAGAGATTGTAGCCGGGCTCAGTACATTCGTAGCAGTCTTGCTGACCATCCTCGTAGCACGTCTGGGAGCCAGCCGGATTCTTCGTACCATGATCGCATTCGCAGACCGGCGGCGGGCGGCACTGTTTCGCATCGGGGGCATCGGGGACGGGCCTTTCAACGGAGTCGGTCTCAGTACAGAAATCACAGTCTTGCTGGCCATTTTGGTAGCACGTAGCTGTGGAGAGGACCGCCTTCATCGTACCACCGTCGCACCTGCAGGTCGGCGTGCCCGTGTCCTCCGGAAGGCACTGTTGCGCACCTGCGACGTGCTCGATAGGCGCTAGTTCGAAGCCGGCCGTGGTGCATTCGGCACAGTCTTGCTGACCATTTAGGTAGCACGTATCTGTGGTGGCAGCCGCCTTCTTGTTACCATGTTCGCACTCGCAATGTTCAGGCGCAGTCGCAGTCTCGTCTGCGCACCCTGCCACCTGAAGTTCAGCACCTGACTGGCTGCAGTAGAATTCTGCATCGCCGCTTCCCGCGCAGCTTGCTGACCCGATATCGACGGGCATTGAAATCGCACTTTTACCTGGCATCATCCGAGAATCACTCAGCCAGGTTTTCCAGTTACCCGCGGAAAAAGAAATCGTTACCCTGTTGTAAGATTTTATTGTCAATTTAGCCTTCGTTCATTCATTTTGCTAGGAAGAGGAAATGAAATGCTGATGATTTGACCGAGCTGAGCTCGGCACTGCTCGTGTTCCCTCCCTCCGCCGCAGCGCGGCTGGAATAAAGCAGTAGCCTGCCCTGATACCATAGCGAGAAGAACGCCACTGAGTGTGAGTGAGGCTAGGGCTTGTCGACATTCAAATTTGGAGCGCCAACACTCTCGGTCGTCGAACTCTACTTCATCGGTTCGGGGTTGGTCGGAGGTCGTCGTGCGGGTACAGAAAAGCAACATGTGTCTGTGTGGCCGCGCGGATCGATAGTACAAAGAAAAACTATGTGAAGCAAACTTCTTCGACAAAGGGTCGTCTGGTACTAAATAAATATTGAAAATCGTAAAGAGCTGTACTTGTCGAAAAACCCGGAAGCGTCACTCGGCTTCTTGCATCCCTGCACGCAGCATGCTGTCTGACAGGCCTGAACAGTCTTATGGGTGTGTCAGGATCGAAATCGACAAAATCGAAAAACTTGTGATGCGTAAAATGTAGAGCACTGAAGGCCTGTATTGGGGAGCAAGCATATGAGGCCGATTGTAGGCCTGTTGAGGGGTGTGCAATGTGCTGCCAGAGTAGCATGACAGGAGCAGTCTTCTTTCCCCAAACAGCACGACAGACTGGATTTTGGTGCTCCCGAAATTTGTCATGCGCCACTGGAAAACTGCGGCACCGACTGACATCGATTTTGTGCATCACAAATTTTTCGATTTTGCCAATTTCGATTCTGACACTCCCATAAATCTCCTCACCGTCGTATCCTGCCACTGACGCGCAATCCGTGTCGGCAGATACGGAGTCCTGGTAGATGTAGAAAGGCGTCTCCTGGGCGTCGCTTGATCCGGGCACATTACAATCCGCAGCAACACGGCTGCATTTCGGAACGTCGCAGCCGTCCATGAGAACCTCCGCGCCGGCTGCGGGGCAGTACCATTTGGGCGTGCTAGACGAGTCCGAACTCGAGGTCCAGCCGTCGGCGCACTCCACTAGCTCGGTCCCGCTGGTCAGCTGCCACGTCTTCCTGTCCGAGCTTGCGACAGCGAGGCTGTTCTCGGGTTTCATGTCTTCCGAACGCAAAAGAGCCGCCCACTCCTCGTTGCTAGCGAGGAGCTCCGGAAGGTTTTTCGTTCGCTCCTGCATACTTGTAAAATCGGCATCTGCAGGCGGCTTGCAGCCTGTCGTACAACAGGCAGACTCGCATTCATCATCCGGGAAAGTGCTGCCGAAGGCAACGTCGTTGGACATATTTTCGTTACAGAAAACCTGCGAGCTGTCTGACGTCCGCACCAGGTACGCGCCCGTGCTGTCGGCCGTGGCTCTACATTGGGTCATCCCCTGACAGGTGGGCCAACAGACACTCACCGGCTCATCCTCGGTGCCAAGATTCCTCAATGCGTAACCGTGATCGCATTCTGCACAGTCCTGCTGCCCATCGGCCAGGCAGGTAGATGCGGTCGCAACGTTGCGCTTTTCTCCATTCGAACATTGGCAAACAAACTGGTTATCCTGGTCACCGATGACAACAGCATCGGTTGTTCCGCTCTTGATTTGGGCGCACACTGTGTAAGCACTGTGGACGGCGGCATTGTGTGGCGGCGCCCATTGCGTACGGTATATGTTCTCATCTGGCTTCATGGTCGCGTCGCGTAGCCAGCAGCCTTCGGCCAGATCGGTCCCGTTTCCGCGCCCAGCAGACATGGCCTTGCACCAAGGTGTGATCCGACACCACGCCATACAAAGGAAGTAGCCCATCCCCGGTCCGTCGGGAAGATATTCCCACGTCCAGTCCTCCCCAGTTTTCGGCACGCCTGTGACCTTCTTCACCGTGGTGAAGTCACCGGTCTCCGCATCCTGGAGGGTAATCGCCGTCACCGTAACCGATACCTGTCCTGTTGTTGCATCCTGGTACACAATGCTCTCGGAGGCGTCCTGATAAAGGCCTTGATTCACTTTTGCGTTACCGAACATGGAGCCTCCGTGTGGGGATTTGCCTCCCGCACTCGACGGCCAGTCCAGGAAAAGACCGAAGTCTCCTTCTTTGCAATCCTCGAAGACTTTTTCGTCCGCACTGTCGGTTAACACAGAACACGGAACACCCGACTCGATGTCGTCGCTGTTTGAGAATTTGTACCCTCCTTGTGCCAGGTCCTCGTGGCTGGTAGTACCGACGAAGTCGATTTCTGTCCACTCCCCTGAAAAGAGCCGGCACGCGGGACCCTTCGATTCCTTCGCATGGTCTCCGAATTGGCCGTTTCCGTCAAAATCCCAGTTTCGGCCATTCGTGTACCAGGATCCGTCGACCGGGTCGACGGGGGTCGGCCCCGTATGACAGTGCACAACTCCCCCTCCCCCTCATTTGTCATGCCAAATGCCTAATTTACGCTTTGGCTCTCCCTCTCGGCACTGTTTGCATGACAAGTTCTGGTAGCCCAAATAGCACTGCAATCCAGTTCAGATCTGTCATAGAAAGATAACATGTATTCTTGCTGACGCTTGTATTGCTGTTCATGCAATACGAATGAGGGGGAGGGGGAGTTGTGCACTTTCATACCCCGAAGCCTTGTTGTAGTACGTCCAGCCCGTACAAGTCACATCCGGCACGTGATTCTCAAGTGCATCGAGGGGCTCTGGTTTGATTTTATTGCCAGTGCGGCTTGAGAACTTGGGCCACGCGGCACACACGGCCGCACACTGTGCGGCGTTGACGAGGTTTGGCCCCTGCAGGGTGTTGGGCGGGCGGGCGTTGACCTCGGGCGGTACGGCTGCCGCACCGACGAGAGTGTAGTGCATTGTATCATCTCCGCCGAAATTTCGTTCCGGGGTCCAAACGTCAAAGTCTAAAATGACAGTCCCGTTCAGGAGCTTGTTGTGCCTGGCCTCCTCGTCACCGCAAATTGTCGTGTCAGAAACGACGGAGACTTCTAAGCCCTGTCCTGCCTCTTCCCGCTGTACAAGGGATGCCTGTGTCACCGAGCCGCTATGTAGCTCGTGGTGGCGCGAAGACGACAAAAGTCCCGCCTCTTCTACCACATGAGAAGATGAAGGACCACTTTCAACTGCGTCGGTGAGTTTCCGAGTGCTCTCGACTGTGGTCCCTTCCCGCCCGACAGCTGCTGTGTCGTGTGACGCTTTCTTCGTTGGCACTGGCAGCTGTTCTTCCGCAGTTGTTGTATCATCATGCAGTAAAAACTCGGTGTCGTCGTGTTGCTCTCTCGCCGACTTCGCACGGTTCACAAGTGTAGTCAATCTAGTGCCCCTTGCTCTCCAGGGGCCAGTACGGGAGGGTGCAAAAGTTGCGAGAAAAGCGCTGCTGGCTCCGCGACGGGCCCCTTGTTGTTCCCGATTGCTGGGCCGCTTGTTCACCAACTCGCTGCTTTCTTGTGCCGCGGTGAATTCCTGTTCAAATTTTTCCTCTGCTGGTCGATCTTGCGAACCGTCAGGACTCCTCTGCGACGTGCTTGTTGCGGACCCTACTGCATCATTGCTGGTTGTACCCGTCTTCGTGTTGACCGCGCGAGCTACGTAATTATGCAGCGAAAAAAAAGTCGTTGTGAGGGTGCGGGTGGAGCTCTTTTCTTTCACTTCTAATATTCTACTGCTTTTGACTGCTTGATCTTGGGGCACCAGCGTCAAGAACATGCTCATGCCGGGACAAGAATAACTTGTTCTTTCACAGTGCACAAGAAAGGCTCTAAAATTATTTGATGGAGAGAATGAATAAAATAGTTTCATGCATGTTGTAGTACACATCCGTCCTGGATTCAACCAGCACAGTCTATCCATCCATGCTTACAGTGCTTTTGCACCTACAACATGACTAACACTAAATACGACTTTTTATCTTCCATAAATGGTGCGCTTTGAACGCGGCGAGACCCCGCCGGGCTTTCGTACCACGGTGAAAGCAGCCACGTGGCCAAGCAATAAATTTGCCTCGAAAAAACCTGATGTGGCTGTCAACAGGAATACAGATACACTGCCCGCCTTACTAACATTTGCCGTTCTAGCAGGAGGCGCAGTGCCGGCGGTTGACATCGTCATCGTCGGAGAAGCGATGATCATGCCTCCATCTCGCGGGCGGTTTGAAGGTGTTCTGGCCATCATTGTGAAGAAAACTCCGGAAACGAAACACGAGTACTTCTACGGGCAGTCAGTCGGTCGGTGGTGGAGACCGGGAGTTCCTGCCGTCGCTTCGACTTCTTGGTCCACTTATTTCTCGGCGGCGGATGCGAACTTTGGTTTTGCGTAGTTACGTTTTTCAACAAGAAAGAGAGCGCGAAAGAACTCGGTAGTACCAAGAGTAACGGTTTAATACGACGGGGGAAATTTCTACTTGGAAAAGGGGCGTGAACTCGCACTTCACTGGTGGTATGTGGTTTTCATGTAAAACAAAACTGAAAATTCTCGATAAGGTAACTACTTGTTGCACACAAGAACTACCGTGGACGAGGGCAGAAAGATCACGAACGAAGGAAACCGAAAACCTGGCTACGAATGCGTCCAATACTACATGTGCTCGTGGAAAATCACCATGCAGAGCAGCCCGGTGATGCGTACACTGCCAGGCGGGACGTACAACTTTGACAACTTAGACTTAAGTACTTTATTACTTTTCTGGACGACGGCATGGAGGTTGGGTTGTACGTACGAAAAGATAGAACGAGCAGGCAGTCCAATGGCAGAACGAAAAATGTTGAAGATACGTCTACAACGACTACCTCCAACGATAAGAGGCAGGACGACCTGGACCTGGCAGCAAACGAAACTCAACAGAACGAAAGACATATGAGACAGGGCCTGGAAACCACGAGTATGGTACTTATTACGAACTGACGCCACATCAACAGCTGAAGAACGAACCGAGGCTGAGTCTTGTCTTTTTGTCGTCGTATTCGTATTGCTTTTAGTTTTACTAGCTAGCAAGAAATACGAACGCCTGCAAGATCCACACGACTCGGTGCAGCAGAAATGGAAGTGCACAGACAGCGACAGTGCATAGTCTCGTTCGGTAGCTACATACAAATGCACAAACCTTTTTTGATGCACAACATCGGAGGACGAAGGGGAGTGTACATCATAAAACTGACACGGTCATTTGCCAAATCCTGTAGTATTAATTTGGGGTCGTCGAAGGGGATTATATCAAGAAACTTTATTTTGCCTGCAAATTTTAAAGGTGACCGGCATCGCCCAGGGTAATATCGCTGCTGCTGTAGATGAACTGGTAAAAACCTAGTACAATTATCGGCCTGATGTAATCGAAAAGCTGCACTTATTTCGGAGCAGTGCGAAATTTCTGGACGTGCCGTTCCATCGAAAAGCCCGACAAATTTTGATTTCAAGTAGTTCCATGGGGGGTTAACGCAAAATTTTTTTTCAAAATTCTAGTGCCCGCGCTCACGCTCTTAAGCGTGTAGCCGGAAAAAAAACATAAAAAGTTAAACAGAATTTCAAAACAACGACAAAACGAACATGATAGATTGTCCTCTTCCTCACTTCTTTTCTTTTTTCCCCGCCGTCTTGCGTTCCTTGTGTTTCTTCGGGGGGATGTGGGGCGTGAAGCCGGACTGCAGCTGCACTTGCTCGACTGGGCCATCCAGATCCATGCCCTTCCAGGTGCTCAGGTCGATGGACATCCGCTTCTTCTTCTCCGTGGGCGCCTTCGCTTGCACAAATGCGCTCCACATGTCCGCGTGCTCGGCCTCCCCGCTGATGTGATACAGTTGCCGGACCAGCTCCAGATCCGCCCCATCCAGTTCCAGCTCCGCAATGTCACTCTCGGAAAGCTGCACCCGCGGTGCCTGCATCTTCTATCCGACGGAAAAACTTCCTCGTCTCTCTTGTTCCCCACATCGCCAACACATATTAGTCACGGCATCTTCATCATCTTTGAGCTGATTGAACTCAAACAACATTTACATGGAGGTTGTGCACATGCTACATCGCGACTATCGTACACACCTCTAGCGTGTATTTGCATCGTAGCATCAGCAGGGTATCGTACGTTGCATGTCGTATGTTCAAACAAACAGAATCAGAATCCAAAACGTCTTCATGACCATATCTCCGCTTGTTGCACAAACCGAACTGAGAGGAGGACAAGCGACACGCCAGAATCAGGTCGCTCTTCGTCCTTGCCTCCTCAAGCACACAGATTCATGACTATGTTCCCTGCATGATGATTCTATCTACTTAAAATCAATCTTAATTGCCCCTTCGAAGGAAGATGCTCTAGTTACACGGTGGGGAACCGAAGAGCCGGTGGCTTTCTAGCGGTGCGGTGGATAAGTTACGCGTCTTGGTCAGCGAGGACTGCTGAAACTCTTTCGAAGCGTTCCGGCGCAGGCGCGTGGCAATCTTTGCGGCCGCAGCGGCGGAGAAGCCCTTCGCCTGCAGGGCGCTCTCGGTCTCGCCGAACGAGACCATCTGCGGAGTGGTGGCGGTCAGGTGGGCGTCCACGTGGTCGTTCCCGTACTTGTCGCGCGCCAGGTTCTGGAGAAATTCCCGCATCCGGCCCACGCGCTCGGGGTCCCCAGCGAAGTCGAACCCAAACACCGACATGGCATACACGTCCGCCTCCGCCTCCGCCGGCGTCAGGTCGTCTTCGTCGTCGACGAGGGGGGAGCTCACCTGCTCCGCCAGCGTCTTAGCGTAGGCGGGGGTCAGACCCGCGGACAGAAAGGCCTTCTCCGCGTCGCCGAAGTCCATCAGAAACACGGCTTCCAGGTTCGGGTCCTCCGCCGGCTTCGACGCCTCCGATTCCTCGCCGGCCACCGCGGCCGCGGCGCCGCAGCAGCAGCACGCCAAAACCACGCCCAACGCGATCAATGCCAGCAGGGCCCCGAGGCCGCCAATCAGCGGGGCCGCCAGACCGCCGTCCGCGTCCTCCGTCGCTGCAGCGGAGGATGATCCATTGGTGCCGTTCGGCGGCGACCCAGTGGAGTTCGTGCCGTGCTGCTCTCCGGAATTGTCGCTGTCGGGTTCCTTCAATTCCTTGCAGACCGTGAACGCGGAGTGCACCGCCGCACCCTTTTCCCAATCTCCTGGGTAGATGTTTTTTCGTCCGACCGCCGTGCGCATCCAGCAACCGTCCCACCAGATTTCCACGTCCTGAAACTGGCCCGAGTCATGTTTTGGTCCATGCCCCGCGGTCATGGCCTTGCACCAGGGCGTGATGCGGCACCACGCCATGCAGAGGAAGTAGCCCTTCCCCGGGCCTTTCTGCAGATATTCCCAATTCGCGCCGGGGGTCGGCACGTTCGCGAACTGGTTGTCGCCGTTCGCGTCGGTGGTCATTTCCACCTTTACCATTCCCTCTTGGAATACTCCCTCTTCGTTTTGGCAGCTCGGGTTTTTCGCGTCCTCTGGGTTTGTAGAATTGCTGCAGATGACCATGTTACCGTCTGCGGCAGCGTAGTAATTTCCCTGGTGTACCTCGGGCGCCCCTTTCATAGCACCTCCGATCGGGCTTGCTCCGCCATGGTTAGCGGGCCAGTCCAGAAAAAACCCGAAGTCCTCCTCCTGGCATGTTGTAAAATCAAGGCTCTTGATCCCATCTGCCTCCCTCGGACACGGTGCGCCTGACTCGATCGGAACCGCTGCGTCGAACCCGAACTGTTCAGGGCTGTTACCAAAATCCACTACATGCAGTTGCAGCAGCCCGGAAAAGAGGCGGCAAGCGTTTCCGGCTGGCCGGTCGTATCCAGCGTTGTAGTAATTCGGGTTTGCGAACCCGGATTGAAGGTGTTTCTCGTCGTAGTTTTCGCCACGCCCGAAGAAAGTCCAGCCAGTGCAAACGACGTCTACGCTTGACGGCGCTTGACCTGTTTTTCCAGAAAACTTGGGCCAGGCGGCGCACACGGCCGCGCACTGCTCTGCGTCGCTCAAGGTGGGACTACCATCTTCTGGTGTCGCAGCTCCGACGAGATGGTGAGACTGCCCATGCTCCCACGAGTTGTCTGCATTCCACACGTTAAAGTCAAGGATGATATCTCCTACGAGGGCGAGATTTCTGCCAGGATGTTGATCCTTGCTGCGCTTGCAGGCTGCTGTCGCGCTCGTACCAGTAAAGTCAGATACTTGAACGTCGTTGCTATTACCGTGCAAACCTAGCATAGTTGCGTAGCCCGCGGCGGTAAAGTTGAAGTTCGTCAAATCTGGGAACTGGTTCGTCGTCGATTTTTTCTGCTGTTGCCGTCCTTTTTCTTTTTCCAAACTAGCCGTTGCCTCTGCGGTTTCTTGCAGTAATGCGGAGGTCTCCGGACCAGCAGCACTACCCCACCCTTCACTGGTAGAATCTTCAATACGCGCCTGTCGATGAAGTTCTCCCCCAACTACACGATCCGGTCGTGTACTCGCAAGAAGCTGAGCTTCACCAGCTTCCACGGCGGTCTTGACGACATCGCGAGCATCGCTCCGACCCGAATTATCTTCCTCGCCATTATTCCTCTTGTTACCAGTAGAAGCAGCCTTCCGTGCAAGTTTGTTTCTGTTGCCGCCCTTCATCGGGTGGTGCGTTGTCTGCGGGTGTTGCACATCTGCCGGTCTGCGCACAACCGTGAATGCCGTCGTGTGGTGCAGCAACACAGGCGCGAAGATGGCGACAAAGGAGGAGCCGGAGAGTTGTAAGACCGGCGCCGAAAGACGAGAGGAAAACGCCGCAGGTTTTTTGTGTAGCGCTACGTTCGAGTTGCGGTTATCTTCCTGCGACATTTTTCTGCCACTTCTACCACCTGCTCCGCGCATCATGGTTTGATTGAAGAGGAGAGTTGTTGTTTAGTTTTGTTGTTGTTCGGTCCGGTGGATGAAAAATATTTAAGTGAGAGCGACACTAGTACTTCTCAAAAACACGACGAAGGCCAAAGGCCATCCTTGTATTCGAAAGTATCCTCGTATTTGTATGGAAAAGGGGGACAAGGCAAAACTTGAACTTCTGTGGGGCAGAATAATGATTTCGGTCTTTCAGGGTTTTATTGCCCTATGATCCCAAAACCACTTCGCCTGTATTTCTTTTGAAAATCGAAATTCGTAAAGCGGCAGGTGCATGAATCAAATTCAAACCGAGTACGAAAGCGTTCATATGCAAACGAGAAACAAACGACAAGGACGTTTTATTTTGTCGCACAAAAAAAGCCTGACGAGAATTGCACGACCGCCGAAGCAGAAGAAGAAGAACGAACGGGTTCACCGACCGCAACGAAAAAATAAAAAGTAATTCGCTTTCAAATAACAATTTCGTGCACGAACTTACCGAAAAGCCTGACCTACGATGTGCAGCGACTCTTGTTTCCTTGACTAAAAACGCGTCTTCGAGGAAATACGATTGGAACGTGAAGAAAACCGACGCAGGTTGGCGTTGTTTAGACGCATCATGGTGTAAAGCTGTAATCTTTTTTCTACGGACGACGACAGAACCGACGAGGAGAAGAATCAAATCCAGACCGACAGTCGCTGAACAAAACGGGTTTGATTAATTTCCGCGACGCGACGCAATGAAAGATCGCTAGAAGGCATGGCGGCGCACGTTCGAATTTGTTCGGGTCGGAAAAGGAAACATAAACACTACTGATATATGAATTTTTCTGATCTGGTTCTGCTTGTATACGAGTAATTTCTAATTTACGTAAGTGTGGCTGTGTGAAAAGAACGCTTGTCACTTCTTCTTGGTTCTTAATCTACTTGTTAGTTGGTTGGATCTCTCTAGAAAATGCTTGTGATGTGAATGAAAACAGAGATGCATGTGAAATGATAGAAAAGCAAAAAATGTCGGGTAGACCAATACATAATCGGTGACAAAGTCATCTTCAAGAATTTTACAAATTTAGCAAAAAAAAATGAGCATTATCATAATAGCACGGCCAGGACCATAAAGATGAAACGTCGGAGTCTCGTATATTACTATCTTCAGAGGCCGTAGTTGGCCTTGATGTTTTTCCGGATGAACTCACGTTTTTTCGGCCCGGTCGTGAGACCGTCCTGTTCGTAGATCTTCGCGACGAGATCGCTGGCCGTGACCTTTTTCGCGGGGGCCTGGATCTCCTTTCCGGCTTCCCGGATATCCAGCCCGAGCTGCTTGACCCAGTGGTCTATCAAATGCAAAAATGTCTGGGTCTGGAAGAGTCACGCTGCTTTTGCATGACAAAGAAGGGCTGGCATTGAAGCTCTAGCATCACAGGTTTCGAGAAGCTTCCGCAATGCCGAATCTGCATCACAAATGCCCGATTTTGGTGACAGAAAGTGGCCACCAGCTTTTGCTGCTTATGCATGAGAGATTCTTGTGTGTTATAAAATGCGCATCACAAGTTGCATCCTTCCAGACCCAGACATATTTGCAATGCATATGGTCCAGCAGTTCCGGCTTCGCGAGGCCCAACAGCTCCTGCAGTCCCTGGTCGTCGTCCGTGCGGCCCGCCGGGGCGGTGCGCCCCTGGTCCAGGAGCTTGTTCTTTTCCGCCTGGTTGGTCGTCAGCACCCGCTCGGCCAGCGTCTGTGCGTAGGCGTCGCTGAACCCGAGGTGGCCCGTGCAGAGCTGCTGGAGGTCCTTTTTGCTCAGGGCCTTGGACTATAGATTGCAAAAATGTCTGGGTCTGGAAGATTGTCATGCTAGTCTGGCATGACTCTGAACTCTGTATTGCATGGCCGCGAAGAGCTCCTCCTCCCTGTCATGCAAAAACGCAGTTTCTCATGCAGCGTACGCAACTCAGAACCACGGAAAAACTTGTCATGCTGGGCAGCGCATTACAGTGCGCTCACTCTTCCCTTTCTTGCATCACAAGTTTCCAGACCCAGACATATTTGCATTTGATATGGACCGGTGGTCCTCCAGCTCCGCCTTCTTTTGCTCCACCTCCTCGTGGTCGGACCCAAAGAGCTCATCGTCGTTGAACCACACGTTCTCGTTGACCTCCTCTTCCATCCTGAGTAAAAACGTCCCCACCCCAAGGTTGTCATGCAGATTTGCAGTCACAGGAAGATTTGTAATGCGCATCCCCATGAGGGGCATTTGCAATAGTGTTCCGGGATTTGTGATGCTGTAAACAGGATAAGCAGATGGATTTGTGATGCTGTTGTCCTTGCTAACATGCACTACACTACGGAGTGCAACTTGTCATGCGTGGCTCCCAAAACTTCTGGATTTGTGTTGCTAAGTTCCCAACTTGACTCTGGGGTGGAGACGTTTTTCAATGTGATATCTTCCGTTTCGTCGTCGTCCTCGTCCAAATCGTCGTCGCTGGAGTCGCTGCTATCGAAATCCGTGTCGTCGTCGCTGTCGTCGTCGCTGTCGTCGTCGTCGGTGGAGGAGTCATGAAGGTCCACTCCGTCGGCCTTGATCTCGCTCCCGTGCTTCTTCTTCTTGGCGACCAGCATAAAGTGCCCTTGGAGTGTCTGCACGGATTCCGCCGCGCCGAGGCCCAGGCCAGACAGCACTTGCAGGTCGTGGTCCGCGTGCGCCGGCGCCACGGACGAGAGAAGCGCGCTGGACAGCGGCGCTGCGGAGGAGTCAGCTTGTTCCTGTTTCTCCATTTCCGCAAATTTTTCCGTCAGGGTTTTCGCGTACTGCTCGCTCAGCCCGGCCTCCTGCATCGCCTGCTGCAGCTCCCCCTGCGTGGCGTCCTCCTTCTCTTCCAGCTGCTTCACCTGGTGCTTCACGATCTTCTTCCGCATCCAGTTTTCCATGTCCCCCACCTTTTCCAAACTGCCCAGCCCCAGCTGCTCCAGCAGCTCCCGGTCCTGGGCGTTCTCCGCCTGGAGCATGGCCTCCGACTGCTCGTCGTGAGACTCAAGGTCTTCGGACTCCTCGCTTTGCATCCCCGCCTCGTCAGGGGTGCTCTCGTCGGAAACGGGGCTGTCCTTGTGGTGGTGTTTGTGTTCCTTTTTCTCCTTTTTATCCTTCTTGTCCTTCTTTTTTTTCTCCCTCTTTTCCTCCCGCTCCTGGTCCTTTTCCGCCCTCCTCCGCTCTTTTTCCTTCTCTCGCTCCTTCTTGGCGTCAGCCTCCTTCTTCATCTTCTTGGCCATGGCCTTCGAGTACTCGGGCGTAAACCCCGCCTGGGCGAGCGCTTTCTCGTAAGCCTGCTCGGTGGGCGGCGCCAGGGTCCGCGCGCCCGCCAGCGCGAGCACTTTTTCCTTCTCCTTCTTCTTTTCCATCTTCTGGAATTGCTTCTTTTCCATCTTGGCGCGCTCGTACGCGCTCTCCTCGCTGTCGGTACTGCCCACGCTCTCCTTACTCAGGTTGCTGCCTTTGCTGCTCTGGCTGTCCTTGCCGGAGGCGTGGTGGTGTTTTTGCTTCTTCTTTTTAGTACCCTTCTTGCTGCCGTGCCCAACATGGTCCGTGTCACTGGCGCCTGTCTCGCTATCGAAGGCGTGCGCCGCCGTCTGTTGCTTCGCGAAATAGTTCCGGACCTTTTGCATCGTGACCGTTTTGGGGTCTCCCCCGTGCGTTAGTAGCCCAAGCTTCTCGAACGCCAGCCGGTCCTTGTCCTTGGCGCCCGGTGTCAGAAACTCGGGGATAGACTTGTTCTTTTCGTGCCAGTCCTTGAGGAGCTTGTCGCAGTAACCGTGAGAAAGCCCCGCTTTCTCGAGCTGGCGGTGCAGGTCGCTCTTCCCGCCGTGCTTGGCTTTCCCGCCGCCAATGCCCGCGAAGTGCTCGTCGTCGGTTTCCTCGGCTCCTGACGAGGTCGCGCCCCCGCCCCCCGCCTTTTTCTTCGCCTTTTTGTTGGCCTTGGCCTTGCCCCCGGCCTTCTTCTTGGCCTTCGCGCTGCCCTTCAGCTTTTTCCCCGCCACGGTTTTGTCTTTCTTGTTTTTCTTCTTGTCCCCCGGGGCCTTCTTCTTGAAGCTGCCCGATTTCTTCTTGTCGGCGCGCTTCTTCTATCAAATGCAAATGTGTCTGGGTCTGGAGGATTGCAACGTGTCATGCTAAATCCGAATTATGTAAAAATCTGTTTTGCACGAGCGCCAGAAGCCGTCCACGTTCGACCAAGTTGGAGGGGAGTGTCTCATCCTCATGCAGGATAGGCATGACAAAGACCTCAGGGAGTCTGTCATGCTTATGTCCTACATACCAGACCTCATGGGGCATGGAAAATCTGCATGACAAGTCTGGCATTCTCCCAGACCCAGACATATTTGCATTTGATATCTTCCGCGATTCAACCTTGCCCTTGGTGAACAGCATCTTCTGCATCTTCGCGGCCGTCTCCTTCTCGCCAAAGCCCAGCGTGTGCATCAGTTTCAAATCGGCGGGCGCCGCGCCGTTCAGGTCAAACTCCTTCAGCTTCTCTTTCCCCGCCAGCTGCCCCGCCAGCCGCTCCCGGAACGCGGGGGTGAACCCCACATATTGCAGGGCCACCTCCGCCTGCGCCTTATCTACCACTTTCTCCTTTTTCAGCTCCTTCTGCTTCGCTTTGGCCTTCGCCTTCGCCGCTTTGGCCTTCGCCTTCGCCCGGGCCTTCGCCTTGGCGTCCCGCCCGCTGTGCTGCTTTTTCAGGGTCTTGGCCTTCCGCGCCACCAGGTACCCCCGGAACTCCTGCACGGTCTCGGTGCCGCCGAACCCGCACCGCTGCATGACGTGCAGATCGTTCTCGCTCACCGTTTGCAGCAGCGCCTGGCTGCCCCTATCGTCCCCCGCCAGCTGGATCGACAGGTCGCGCGCGTAGGTTTTCGAGAATTTCAACGCCAATACTTCCTTCTCGTAGGCCGCAGGGGAGTGCAGCTGGGCCTTCTTTGCGATCTCTTTGTTGCCCGCCTTCTGGTTCATGCGCTTCTGCTTCACCTTGGGCGTGAAAAAGTCCTGCATGTTGCCCACCTTGACCCCCTTTACGCCCCCCAGCCGCAGGGCCTCCAGGATCTGGATGTCGTGCTCCTCCTGCGGCGGCGGAATCTCCGCGTCCTCCGCCGCGTTCGGGTCGGCCTATCCGGTGCAAAAACGTCCCCGCCCCCAGACTTGCCATGCAAATCTGCATGCGTAAAAGGTTTCTCATGCGCAGCCACATGAAAGGCATTTTCTCATTTTATCTGGGAGTTTGTGATGCTGGAATCAGGATAAGAGTATCGATTTCTCATGCGGCGTGCCACTAACTACAAAACAGAATTTCTAAATTGCTCGCCCAAGAAGCTTGTCATGCGCAACAGCCAAAACTTGTTGATTTGTGTTGCAAGATTCCGATCTTGACTCTGGGAAGGTTGGGACGTTTTTACGCAGCATACGGCCACCTTTTTCGCCAGCGTCTTCACGTACGCTTCGGTGAAGTATGAAAGTGCACAACTCCCCCTCGTTCTCATTTCTCATGCAAAATACCAAATCCACGCTTTCCCTCCTGTCACTATTATGCATGACAAGTTCTGGTAGCCCAAATAGCACTCTACTCCGGCGCAAATCTGTCATGCAAAACTGGCACTCTTGCTGATGCTTGTATTGCCGTTCATGCTATACAAATGAGGGGGAGGGGTAAGTAGTTGTGCACTGTCATAAGAAGCCCATGGCCTTCGCCACCTGCTGCGCCTCCCCCAGCTCCGGCTTGAGCCGCTCGCGCCGCAGCGCCACGTCCAAGAGCGTGCCCTTGCCGTCCGTGGCCAGCTTCGGCGCCTTGGGGTGCAGCGCGTTGTACAACAGCGTGTCCTCGGGCTTGGCGCCCGGCGGCGGCGGCTTGTAGTGCAGCGCGGCGTAGAGGAGCGTGCCCTTGCCCTCCTTGCCCTGCGCGGCCCGCTGCTTCCGTCGCCGCGCGAAGGCGCCCTTCATCTCCACCACGGTTTCGGTGCCGCCCAATTCGTACAACTGCAGCAGTCGCATGTCGTTCTTGTCTTTGGAGCGCACCATCAGGTCCGTCGGGTCACACGCGTCGTCCGCCAGCTGCACCGCCAGCTTCGCGGCGTACGCCTCGGTAAAACCGCTGCCAATCAGCGCCTTCTCCCACTCCCTCACGGTGAAATCGGGGAAATCCTCCAACAGTTCGCCGGCCAATTTGTTCTCGCGTTTTCGCGCGACGGCGGGCGTGAACAGTTCCCGTGCCTCGCGCAGGGTGTGGATGCCGCCGAACTTCAGGCGCTGCATCACGGCCAGGTCCGCCGGATTCGGGCGCGGCAGGTCCGTGTCGTCGCTCAGAGTCGCGTCGGCCAGCATTTTTCCCACTTTGCGGGAATACTCCGGCGAGAATCCGGCGGCCAACATGGCCTGCTCCGCCTCCGTCCGGTCCGGAATGATGATCTCATCGTCTTTATCCGGGGTAAAAACGACGTCCCGATCCGCCCAGAGTTGTCATGCAAATCAGCAATAAACCTAAGACGTTTCTCATGCGCAGCTCCATAAGTAGGAGCGTTTTTCAATGCTACATCTGGGAACCTGTCATGCTGAAATCAGGATGAAGGTAATCCACTTGTGATGCGGCTGCACTAGCGGAATACGATCATTAAACTGCTCGCCCACATTTGTCATGCGCAACAGCGGCCAAACCTATGTTGATTCGCGTAGCAGAGTTCCCAACTGTTCCATTATGCGGTGGGGACGTTTTTACATGTGATAGTCTTCCAAATTCAGTGCCGCGGCGGAGTCCCGCACGTCCTCTTCCTCGCTCGCCGAGTGTTCCACGGGCGGAGGGGGCTCCTCTTTCTTCTTTTTACACAGACAACACAAGAGGAGCAAAAGCAGCAGCAAAGCCAGCATCGCCAGGATCGGCCACAGGGGAAACCCAGCCTCCTCCTCCGGACTGCCCATATCCGTGCCGTTCACGGGCGGTGCGCCTCCCCCGATGGGCCCGGTCGTGGTCGTGGTCGTGTCCTCGTCCATCTCATGCGTGTTTAATCCGATCCATGACTCGCAACCCATCACTTTGACCTCCGTATCGGCCGCCTCGCAGCGAAACACTGGGGCGCTGCCCTGGTACGTGTCTGCACAAACTACCGTCATCAAACCGACCGGAAACGGATGCCATGCGCCTTCCGGGTTGGGAAGCATTTCGGGACGCGTGAGAAATCCTTTCCAAGCGTCGAGGCTTTCGTCGGTAAAATTGAACCTGAGGACGGAGTGCGTGTGTTGAGAAAGTTCGCAACATAAGAAGAATCAACAGGCCAGTGTGATTATTAGTAGTAGGTGTAGGTGTGAGGTACAGCATACACCAAGCCCATAGTACCGGATCATACAGACGGGGAATTTCTGACAGATTTACGTTTACCGCTCTCATCTCCGCCAAAGTCAAAATACACCGTAATCAGCATGTGCAGACGAAAAAGCCTTGCGCTCCTACAACTACCTACGACAACGACTCGCAACAAAAACAAAGAAAGTAATTAAGTAGTACCTTTCTCGATCCGGATTCGCAGGAACAAGCACTTTGCAGCCCCGCTGGCAGCAGTTCGCTTCGCATTGGCTTTTCAGTAAATTCAGATCAGCAAACCAGTCCCCGCCGCACTTCTCGCCCGGATCTTTTTTGATCTGATACGAACCGCCCGAGACATCGCAATGATCTGTCTCCGCGACGAGCCCGCACTCCGGCTCGCAGCGCTGTCCTGTGACGGTGGTTCCATCCTGCAAGGTTTCCACAAACGAGATCGGCCCCACGAAGTTCGCGTCGCACTCCAGACAAAACTCGAGCAGGGGAGCGGGGCACTCCCAGGTGTCGGTATTTGGCTGGGGCGAACCTCCATGGGAACAGCGGCACTCGGGCGGCGCAGTCGGGTCAACATATGTGTCACAGTTGATCAGCTGGAGCTCTGCGCCACTTCGTGGGCAGAGAAACGCCGGATTGGCCGGCATCCAATTCTCAGCGCAGGAAACACCAGCTAAGGTGACCTGAGTGTTAAAGGACGCCAGCTTTCCAGTATCTTTGAGAACTTCTTCCCAATCACTACCGGAGAGGCCTTGCGTTTGGTTGAATATGGACGAGCTGGCTTCGGGAATCAGACAAGTGGCGATGCAGCAAGAGCTTAAACACTGGTCCGTCGGAAAGTCTTCTTGTACCAGTTCGCCCCCGCACTTAGTGTTGCTTTTGCTTGGATCTCTAATGGCAAGTGCTCTGCCACCTGCTCCAGTCGTTGTACAAGCGTCGGTCTGCTGGAGGCCTGCACACGTTGGATAGCACACCTTGTACATTCTTGAACCCTCTCCGAGGACTATCAGTATGGAAAGCGTCGCACCAGTGATGCGATCAAAGACACCAGAGGCCAAGCATTACTGAGCAGTGAGTTTGAGCTTGAGGCCTTCCTGCTGCATGAAAAAATACGTGCGACTGCACCGGCTACCTTTGCATTTGCTGGCGTCCTCGTGCGTAGCTCTTTCCAAGTGGCGCGTCGCTACCAAACACTGTTCTCATCATAAACAGTGGAATTGTATGGATACGGACGCAATGGGAATCGCATCCGCATGCACAGCACACAAAATCAAATTCCGGTTTCCATTTCCGGGAGACAGCAGGCGACTAACACTAATTCTATCAAATAAATGAAAATGAAACTCTCCGACATGATCAACTTAGGTATGCATAAATATCTTGTGCTTGCGTAGGTGGTCTTTGATCTTACTATCAAGGTACAGCTCGAATCCATTTGATATCCATCGCAGGTTCGTAACCGTCATCGCATGTTTTACAGTCCTCCTGACCATCTGCGTAGCAGGTGAGCGTGTGAGAACTACTGTCGCCGTTTTTATAATCTTTCTTAACCCCATTGGTGCAGGTGCAAACCTTTTCAGTAACGGTCTCGGTTACTTGTGCTGTATCACGCTGCGGACACACCTTGAACGAGCTATGAACTTCTGCTCCGTTCCGTCGCCACTCTGGTAAATAAGTAAGCGAGGCTGCTCCGACGGCGTCGCGCAGCCAGCAGCCGTGTACCTGATCTGGCGGATGCTGGGTCCACGAGTCCTCATCGCTGGGTGATTGGTCTTCATCCAAAGCAAAGAATCGTTTGGTACTTCCGGCTCCAGCCGACATTGCTTTGCACCACGGCGTGATCCGGCACCAAGCCATGCAAAGGAAGTAGCCCATCCCCGGGCCATCGGGGAGGTACTGCCACTCCCAATCCTGACCTGTCCTCGGAACTCCGGAGATACTGGTGATGTCCTTTCCGGTTCCGTCCTGGAGTGAAACTTGAGTGATCTGTACCTGAAAGCTTTCCTCTTGTTGGAATACTATCGAAGCAGGATCCTGACCCGGTGGATCCTCGTACCGATACCACTTCATTCCCAAAGACTCCAGGTCGACATCGTTGTCCGCGTCCTCCCAATTTCCTTGAAAAACCTTCGCGTTCCCCAAAAAGGCCCCGCCGTTTGGGGACCCGCCACCCATTTGTTCTGGCCAGTCCATGAATAGTCCATAATCTTCCTCCTTGCAATCGCCGAAGTTACTGAAACCCTCGTTAGCAAATGTTATGAAATGTAAATGGGACTGCTCAAACAATCAAATGAAGAATGTTTCCGTTTCCATGTACTTAGTTAATTTTCATGTTCACTTCGCGGCATTGCAGCACATGACCTATTTTTGCTCATGACAGAGCGTCGCAGTAAACGCAACAACGTGCGGAAGTAAGTTTAGATACTAGCAGCCTCACCCGAGTTCAATTACCTCCGACTCTATGCATTTCAAGTATAAAAATGCCGTCGTGCCTGCTGTGAATGTGAGTGTTAGCTTGCTGCTAAGCGCGCGTCTTGTTTTTCTTTTATTTGATTGTAGTGCTGCAGAATGGAGTCGCCTGGATAAACATTCCTTGGCGGTCAAAGCATGGGCTGCCGGACTGTATGTCGCCGTACTTGTCGCCAAGAAATTTGTACTCGTATCCCGATGTGTCATGCTCTGACGCAGCCATTGTTTCCTCTGTCACGATGTTCTGAAACAAACGACAGGCAGGCCCTTTTGATTCTTTTTTATTGCCGGCGTAAAACCCTCTGTTATTTTTGAACCACTTTCCATCTCCATCCGCTGGTAGTTCCAGCGGGGTCGCACCTGCTGCCTTGTGGTAAAAGGTCCAACCGGTGCAACGCGTATTAAACGATGTCTGGGGATTTTCTCTTAGCGCCTTGCCACTCTTTTCCCAGAACGTCGGCCAGGCAGCACATACTGCCGCACACTGATCGGCGCCCTCCAGGTTGGTTCCGTCCGGGTCCTTATCCATATTTGCCGCACCTATCAGATGATAGCTCTCTGTTGACCCCCAGTAGTTTCTCTCCTTTGTCCACACATCGAAGTCAAGGATTACAGTGCCAGTGAGGACTTTTTGTTCACCAGGGTTCGTCTTGTGGCACATCGCCGCGTACGCATTCGTAGAAACCTCCTTTTTGGCATCAACTTGCGTTCTTTCCATCATAGCCACATCATGATCCTCGCTAGCTTCTATCTGTTTCTCTTCTACTAACGCCGGCGTCTCTCGGAGTACAACTTCCGGTGTGCTGACCACAACAGGGTCTCTTTGTCGAGCGCTGCCGGGTGCCTCCCCGTCCTGTAGAAAGTCGTCCTCGCGGAGTACAACTACGTCTGTTATCAAATGCAAAAATGTCTGGGTTTTGAAGAATCTAAACTTGTGATGCTGTCTCTGGATTCGAAAAAGATTTGTATTGCATGACCAGCAAAAGGAGTAGATTTTGTGCTCCGCGGAGATGGCATCTGTCATGCGGAATACATAGGCATGAAAAAGCGCTCTAACAATCTGTGATGCTACGGCATGCATCACAGACATCATGGGTCATGGATGGTATGCATGACAAATCTAGAAATCTTCCTGACCCAGACATTTTTACAGTTGATATCTGTAGTTTTTGTTCTATCGTTTATTTTATTCCTCTCATCAACACGACTTCTGCGTTGATCTCCTGTCTCGTCCTTTCCTCCCCCCTGATTCCCGGCTGGAACCGGAGCGTAGTTTTCATCGCTCGAGGATGTTCTTGACCGGTGCGAAGAAGTTATCGAACTTGACGGCAGGGAAAGTTTCCTACTCCTTCCGGAAGTTGTACTCGTATTTCTCTTGCTCGGCGCCCGAGCTAGCAGAAACTCCTGAAACGACGCTGTTCGGCTACTATCAAGAGTAGGACCATTTGACGACGGCGCTCCTCTCGCAATCGGTGTTGTTGAGTGAACATGATTACTCTCCTCCTGCTCGTCTCGCTGGTCGCCTACTCTTTTCTCCACTTGCTCCACCAGGTGGGAAGTTGAAGAAACTGCACGCCTTTTGGTCTTGAGCACGTGGCGCGGTTGTTTTTTGGTCTTCTTGTTGTTCCGTTGCACCATGTTGAGCCGGTACGCCATGCTGGGCAGTATCTGCTCGAGCAAGAGTATTGATGCGGTGAGACTGCAACCCCAGATCGTCAAGGCGTACGCGACAGTAGCCCACCTCGTTGTTCCTGCCGATATTAGCATCATCATCTTCACGGTGGAATTGGCACGTCGCTTCTCCAGCTTCTCTCAACGGTTTTTATTTTTTCCCAAGCCTTGACGTCGTGGGCGCAGTAGTCATCAGTAGAAATCGCCGTGCGCACTGTGGGGTTGTAGAGTTGTTGTGGGATTGCTACCGCTCATGTTGGGGGGAAGAACAAGAAAGTAGTATTTTCTTATTGTGCCAGGAGTTGTGCTCTCACTGTCTGCTGGCCACTGCCGAACGAAACAACGCTACCCGGTTTGGGAGTCCACTACACGAAAAGTCACAAACGAGATGACAAGTGATGATTGGGGAGCGATAAAGAAAAAAACCGTGAAAAGCTAAATAACGCACTTGAGGGGAAGACGAAGAGGGTTACAGATAATATTGCAGCACAATTATAACTGCTGGTGGGCGGGGGAGGGGAATGCATTGCTTTCTTATTGCTTTTCAACGTGTGACCAGAAAAAACACAATAAATGAAGGGGAATTACTAGTTGCAGAAAGGGCCTGACATGGCGGTTAGTAGAAGCAGAGGATTTTCTATCTGAGCCACACGACACGCAGTCGCAGGCGGAGGCGACAGAGCAAGAGTACAATCTATCTCCGAGTGACTAACAAAGGTCAAGCAACCAACACCCATGAATAGCGATGTGCGTTATAATACGCAGATTTCTCTAAATATGATAGAAGTATTTCACGAAAATAAGGACGACATGGGTGGAAGACGGACGTAACGCAAACGAAACGAACGATTTGGAAAACGACTGCGAACGGGAAAACCTGGACGATACCGATATTTTCTGCTTCGAGGTGAGAACGAGAACCGAAAAATGTCATTTCGGGAACCAAATAAACCGAGTACAAGACTTAGGTCATAATGTACTGCAATTTGTCCTCGTGTCTTAGCGAAATGTTGATTGCAAACGAATTAATAGTCAAATGAAACGCCGAGTGAAAACGCAACGAGGGCATAAAACATGAAACAATGTCAAAATGATCAATAACCATGCTGATGCTCCGGACGTACGCATCAGTCCCAACTCTGCGAACATCAAGCATGGAGTGGAAAAAGCGCCTCTTTCTTTGAAGCCATAGCCAGTCATAAGACCTTAATATTGCGCGACGTAGTTTGTGTAAGATCATAACTGTAAAGACTTACACTTACTCATACTCTGGAATCAGCATTACTTTTGGGACACAGAAGTTGGCACAAGACAGTGTGACGTGGAAGGTCCCGCACCAACGTGCATGAAAAAGAAAAACTACTTCAAAAAGGCTTCAGATTACGATTCTCTCCGGGTCGCCCTCCAAAGTGTCCGGTCCAGTTGCCTCACGCGCAAGCGTTCCATGGCGAAAAAGCGGAACGATGCTCTGTAGACGGTCCTGGTCGGTGAGTCTGTCATGGTGTTCGGGGGACGTGAAAAAGAAGAGCCGCTTGCGTTCCGCCAAGGTCCGCAGGCCGATGAGGTCGTCGGAATAAAAGGGTCCGGAGTCCTCCAATGGCACGACGGCTCCCTCGCTATTTTCCTGCGCGAAGAACTCCGTTTCTTATCAACTGCAAAAATGTCTGGGTCTGGAAGAATGCAAGTTTGTCATGCTTGTCTGGCATGACTCGACGAGAATCTGTGTTGCATAAGCACGAAAAAGCCCTCTTACCTGTCATCATCATCATCATTGAGACGGACCCCCTGTGGTCGTCCTCGCGGCGTCGTCTTGGCCCTAGGCTGTTTCGGACAGATGTTGGCTGTGTCCGGCAAGAGGACGGCTCTGCGTGGGCAAATGTTGGTAATGTCCAGCAAGAACGCTTCCGTGGCCCCATTTTCTGCCGGTTTTTGGCTTTCGCCAGGATTACCCGCAACACCACCCGTGGACAGTGAAACCCGTGGCAGGCTTTCGCCAGGCGGTCCCGGGGAGGCCCTCCTCTTGGCACAATGTCGGTTAGTTACCAACTCGCACTCCCTGGAAGCGAGAAAATGAGCCCATCCTATGTTGGTGCGAAGCACGAGTGGGATCATTGGCTCGGGCGAGTAGTTGGGGGGGCTACTCTGGGGGTACGGGGACTGTTCGACGGACTGCTGCTGGATATGAAAAACCTCGGGGCTACTCACGACCATGGTCGCAGGCTAAGTTAGGCAAAGACTCCGTAGAAGTTTTCGCTCTGGTGGCCTCACATGGACCTGTCATGCAAAAAGGCAGCTTGCCATGCGGAATAGGTAAGGCATGGCAGCCAAAAAATTTGTCATGCATAGCTGCGTATCGCAGTGCGTCTATCATTTACTTTTAGCATTACAAGTTTCCAGACCCAGACATATTTGCAATCCATATTTCTCGTGGCACGACGATTTCGTCCTGCGCAAACTTGATCAACAGCATTGCACCGACGTCCTCGGGTTCTACTTTCTGCCTGGTTACCGGTGCTCCCGGTCTCGCGCTCGCCATCGTGCCCGTTGTACCCGGCGTATTTTTCGATTGGAGGAGACGGAATTTGTCCACTGAAAATAACTGATCCTCGGTCCGATCTTCTACTACTTCCTCCTTGGGTTGTTCTGGTCTTCCTCTTGTTTTCCAGTCTGGCGGGTTCACACCGGGGTCGGAAATAGTGAAGTTTGACGTGGCAGCATTTTTTCCAGCACCCGGCGATAGCACATTTTGTTCATCCCAGTGAACAAGCATCGCACCGTTTGTTGAGAACGTGGTCTGTTCGACGTCTTGGAGCTCGTCCAGGAGTACCTTCGGATTGTAGTTCGCTGCTTCCTTGACAACGCCACGCAGGCCTTCTTCCACCTCGTCGTCCGTTTTGGTGCGGTGTCGTCGAGATGAAGTCCTGTTTAATATCTTCTTGTCGTCCTGCTCTACCGCTCGATCCCCCTCCCCAAGGAGATTTCGCAGCAGATTCTGCTTCTGCAGCTTTCCCGCCGCTGTGTCGGCGTTGTACTCCGCGCACTCGTTGTTCAGCTTTCCGAGAAAAGTATTTGCGTTGCCAAAACTCCGCATGTCCCTCGGGTTGTACACGTAGCCCGCGGGCCCGATCAGGCGCTGCATTTCCGGTGCAAAAGTATCGTGATCGTACTCGCATAAATGCATTACCAATTTACTCAGCATGAGAAATGAAATTTGTAATGCAGATTGACCTTAAGAACAAGATTTGTAATGCATGAATGCAATACGAGTACGATGCTTTTGCACAGGATACTGCACCCAGGGGTACAAATAGGCTTTCCGCACCACCCAGTCAAGCAGATTTCGGAAGAACACGGGAATCTGGTCCGAGGGCGGAATCTTGGTGATGCCCCGCTGCGGTCCGCCCACCGAGACGAAAAATTTGATCCGCAGGGGCAGCGCGCAGTTCTGCAGCACGTGGCGGCCGACCATGCCGCCATTCGAGTGGCCAATGATCGCCATCACCCGCTCGTCTGGCGCATCGTCTGCACTGCTGGAAAAGAACCTGGGGTTGGCTATGGAAGGAAAGTTGTATTGTATCATGATGACCACGCACGGTCAGTACCTGCATCTTTACTTTTTCAACATCCAGTGACGTTTCTCATCACAGAGAAGTATTCCCGCCCACGTTTTCGTGTGAGTCAGCACTCGTGATCTTCTAAGAAGAAGAACCAATCGATGTTGAAATTATAAGAAGCAGCTAAGTATTCAAGTACTTACTTTCACAGTCGTGAGGCAGATCAATACTTATTTTCTTTCGATACCCGCCTGCAACAACGCACATGCGCGGTTGGCCTGCTCGGCCACGGGGATCAGGATGGTCTCCTGTTTTCGTGCGTACTCGATCGAGTGAAACTCCCAGCGATCGCCCAGCTGCTGGTTCAAGAACGCCACCTCGTGGTCTTCCGCACCGGCGTCCGCGGAGAGCCCGTGAAAAATCGCAACGGGATTTTTCAGCTTCTTCTTCTTCGCCTTCACTTCGTGCAAAGCAGAAGGCGACGCGGCTGGGGCTGCTTCGCGAGGGTGGGTTTCATCTTGCAATAGAACCGCAGCTGTGGTGCTGGTTATACCCGCATCAGGCTGCTCTTGCGCTCGGTCGTCGTTAACTTCAACTACCCGGACTGCAGTCGTGTAGAAGCGCACGAACAAAGCGAGGACAAGACTCGCGGGAACAAAAAACCGCCGAGACCCGGGTACGCTGCCCCGCGCGAAGCCGAGGCGACGCAGGAAAGGCAGGAGACGTGTCATTTTTTTCTTCAGAATGATCAGCTCGAAATAAAAGCGCTTGCTTTTAGTTTACAGAAGTTTGAGTATTCACGTCAAGTTACGTATCCTGCCTTATTTCTCTTTTTGTTTCTATTGCGATAAATTTTATTTTGTTTGCCTCTCCAACTAAGGTGGATTGATCGTCAAAAAAGAGAAAATCCCCCTGGAACCGAGCGGGCAAAGAAATGTTGTTGTTGGCCTCGGTATAATTGTTCTCGCTTCAACCTACAACGGGTTTTAAGAAAAGCTCTTAGTTAATAAAGGTATCAGAATATTCAGTAATGATTTGCATATAGCCTCTTCGTTCTTCGAATTGTTCGACGCTTCAAGTTCCATCTACTGAACACTGCGGTGATGCATGTACATCCAGGCATCAGTAGGCGACCCCACAGCAATTGCGCACGACCAAGGCTGCAAATCCATCTCCTGATGAAAAAATGCGTCCAGTGGCAGTAGGAGTTTTCTCCCTGAAACTACCACGCTAGCCGCCCTTCACAACATCTTCCGTGCCTGCTCTGTGAGCAATCGAGAGTAGTGCGACAGACCATCAAAGTTGGCGGCACTTCGTCGTTCTTGCGAGACTGTGGCTGGGTTCTTGGCTGCTTGTATCCCTAAAATTATCCACCAGAGATTGTATACAACAGGCCGTGATTTTGCTTGTGTGCCGGAGGGATTTCGTACCAATTTGCTGAATTTCCGCTCTTTCCCGACGGAAACTCGTTTCTACCCGCCCTCTTGCATGGCATTTATACAAGCGAGAAGGGATAAAGCGATACGGCTCAACATCGGTTTACAGTTGCGCAAGACTTCTGTTGACATCAACAAGCATAAATTTACAGAGAAGTGCGGTGGCTTTCTTGTTCTTCCGTGGCACAGAGAAACTAACGGGACGAAATGGAAAAAATTGTTCTAGGAGTGACACGACAACATCACGAGTCGTCACAGGGAGGGGTTAGGAGCTACGGGGGTTTAATAATTCAGATTCTACGTTTGAGGCGAATTTCGTGTGCGATTTTTGGGTTTACTGCGGTATCACTTTCAAGAATTGGTGAGGCTAATATTCGTGGTACATGGGTGAGGCGCGGCTCTCTACTGTCGTGGTCTTGCATCCCTCCCTCGTGAATGCGACCTTCAGCAGCCTTCTCCGAGGTGAAACAGATCAGCGCACACGCACTGGTGTCTCCGTCTCGAAAGGGAAAATGCAAGACGCAAGCAGCTGTAGCAGCATGCGAGTCAGATGTTAAATGAAGAGGTAATACTAGAAGAAATCTGTAAGTATATCAGAAATTTCTACGAGGAGGTTGTGTAGGTAGTCTACGAGTTTCGATTTGTAGTGTGAGTGGCTCTCTACTTGAGGTTGTTAGGTTCTTCAGCCCCTGTTCCGCGTTAAAGACAGAGGTTTTATTCTCGAAGCAGGGGCTTAAGTTGCATATTACTTGCACGTGAATGTCAGTCTACGGCAGGCTGGAGCAGCAGGAAGTGCACAGAAAAAATCATCTGGGACTACGAAAGACACGTATCTACGCGGTGCGGGGTACTAGTTACAGCAGGCTCAGCTGCGACGTGCAACAGTCAGAGACCCTACGCGTGGTCGGTGGTTGCTCAACACCATGCCCGCCCTCATTTCCCCACGACACCAGCACTGACTCTACTACTCGCACAGAACTAATTACTTACATCCCGCAATGGCGGACCAGCCACGGGTGCCGCAGCGCGTCCTCCAGGGAGATCCGTTTTTCCGGGTCTTTCGCCAAAAACTGCAGGATCAGATCCTTGGCTTCGTCTGTTGGTTCCTCATCCGGCTCGATGGGCACTAGGTCGTCCGTCCTTATCGTGGGAAAAAAATTTTAAGCTCTAGTCGTGGACTCCTTGTTGTGCTGCCCATCAAATTTCTACGTCCTCTGATGTCTACACCAAACCGGGGACGTAACAAATCTATTTTTCAGTTCTTAACAGCTTTGCGACTCGCAAGAAGAACCCAAGCTCGATCATGGAGATTTTTGCAAAGATGATGAATCATGCCAGAATCAGGAACAACGACATGATGGTACATAGGTTCCAGTAAAGTTGTGAATTCCAGTGGGCACCAATTGTAGTAGTTCCTACGACTGACTATTTTCTCGCTTCTTTCCGTAGAGACGCGTCGCTGGTCGAACCGGGGCGCCTCTTTTTGAATCGCGTAGAACGTCGCTTGCGTGTCGTCGCGCTCCGCATCGCCCCGGCGCTCGAAGGGACAATTGCCCATCAAAAACTCGTATGCTGCGCAAAAGTTTTTACTATCGCACTCGTGGGTATCGTATACTAAACTAAATTGCAGTTTTGTTGCATGACAGATTCATTTGATTTTGATTTTGTTTCTGAATCTGTATGGATATTTCATTTTTCTTTTCAAGTAAGTATCGCAATTTGTACTCGTACGAGCACGATGCTATATGCTTTTGCGATGCATAACTCGTACAGCAAGATGCCCAGCGCCCAGACGTCTACCCCATACGCATGTCGTTGCTTGCTGCACATCTCCGGGGAAAGGTAGTCCAGCGTTCCGCACAGCGTCAGGCGCCGCTCGCTCTCATCGCGCAGGTGCACACTCCACCCAAAATCGGCCAGCTTCAGCACTTCTGTGGTTCGTTTGTCATTGCATTCTTTCATCATGGTGCGGATCATTTTTTTGTTCTGTACCGTAAGACAAAGTAAAGTATCATGTTGATCGCATCGCACCACGACCACATCAACCAGCGCATGAATGTTCTTGGCATCATGTTGGTATTCTCGATGAAAACAAAAAAACACCTCTGCCGTCCGGCGTCTTGGACACAAGAATGTTCTCCGGCTTGATGTCTCGATGGGTGTATCAAAGTGAAAGAAATCGATTGCGCGGATGTAGTTTCTAGGGCAGCAGTAGACACGAAAATTATTGATCATAAGTACAACTACGCGGTCAATGTGAATGTTTGCCTTTGCGCAAGCATCATGTCAGTCGCATTAACAAAACGCCAGTCTTTTGCTGACGTAAAGTACCTATTCAAAACCCTTGACCATGCGGTCTACTTCTAGTGTAGCTTCTTATTATTTCATCTCATCGCATGCCTAAACACGCGAACCAGGATGTCAATCGACTTCGTGTCCTTGGCAGCATGCACCCACACGAAACTGCGCAAAAGAAGTTTCGTTTCCCTTTGCATACGATGATGTGTTTCTGGTGGCAGGCCTGCAGCGCGAGTACCATCTGGCGGAAGTAGTGCGCGGCCAGGGGCTCCGGAAGCCGCTCGGGGTTGCCGTTCTTTCCCAGCACGCCGTACAGCTCGCCGTCGCTGGCGCACTCGAGCACCAGATAGATCTTTTCTTCGTCGAAAAAGTAGGTGTAGAGACGGAGCAAATTCTCGTGCCGCAGGTGCGCCTGGATCAGGATTTCCCGCCGCAGGTTGCTACACACCCCGTGCTTCACCAATTGCGCCTTGTGGAGGATCTGGTTACCACGTGTTTGATCTAATATCCGACTCATACACAAATACTTCATCTGCTGTATTTCTAGTACAACTACAACTACATGTGAGGTACTACTAGATAGAACATGCGGTGGGCTTGGGCAACGACATCGACAAGTTAACCGTAACTACTTTATACCTTCAAAGCGACCACGAAGCCGGTGAGGCGGTCCCGCGCGACGTAGACGTTGCCAAACTTTCCACGGCCAAGCAGCTTCCCGATGTCAAAGTCGTCTAGGGTGTACTCGTATCAAATGCAAAAATGTCTGGGTCTGGAACAAAGCAGCTTGTCATGCTAAATCTGGATCATGTAAAAATCTGTGTTGCGTGATTACCAAAAGCTGCCCACTTTTGACCTAATCGAGCGGCAGTTTCTCATGCAGGATAGGCACGATAGAACTCTCACAGAATCTGTCATGCTAGGTCCCGCATTCCAGACCTCATGGGTCATGGAAAACCTGCATGACAAGTTTAACACTCTTCCAGACCCAGACACTTTTGCAGTTGATAACTCCGAGGCACGCACGGACTCTTCCAAGTCGCTGGTGAGCTCCGTCCAGTCGACGGCGACGTCCTTACGGAGCAGCATCGTTTTCCGAAACGCGGCCGGATCCGCGTCGTGCAGCGGACCGCGATTACTTGTTGTTGTCCCTGTATCAACTGCAAATATGTCTGGGTCTGGAAGAATGCAAGTCTGTCATGCTTGTCTGGCAAGACTCGGGAATCTGTGTTGCACAGGCACGAACAGGCCCTCTTGCCTGTCATGCAGAAACGCAGTTTGCTATGCGGAATACGCAACAGATGGCAGCCAAAAAATTTGTCATGCATAACTGCGTATTGCAGTGCGTCAGTCTATCATTCACTTTTAGCATTACAAGTTTCCAGACCCAGACATTTTTGCAATCCATATCCTGACGGCTTGCGCGAGGTCGCCCGGCTACTGGTCCTGGAGGACGAGGCCGAAGAACTCAAGGTGGAGCCCGCAACGACTACTCCACCTCCACCGGGCCGCGCGGCACGAAACGACGTCGCGGTCGCGTGGTTCCGGAAGCCGGAACAACCGGACGCAGCGGAGGTGGTAGACGAGGATGTTGTACTAGAACTACAAGATTCACCAGGTCGTGGTGGTCCTGTCGGAGGGACTACACCCGAAGATTTGCTATAGTAGAAGTTCTCCGCCTGGAGCTCCCTTGAGTAGCTGCTGGTGCTCCTGCCGCCTGTTTATTACAATGAAAGGCGCCCCCACCACGCCGGGAGATGCAATTGCAAAAGTTTCTGCTGCATAGTTTCCAAATGTGAACTTTTTGTCTTCTTGCATGAAAGGGGTATGAGACTCTCTGATGCAAAATCTTGGCGCGCAAGTCTGTTTTGAGTATGTAAAAGATCCGGCTGTTACTGGGCTCTTTTCTTGCAACGCAAATTTATTTAGCTAGTCAGCATGGAAAATTCTGTGATGCTCTCACATGCAAGGTGAGGAGTGTTTCCATTGCGGGGTTTTGCACTACAAATCAACTCTGCGAAGTTCTGGGGTCGTCGTGGGGACACTTTGCAATACCATACCGCGATCGAATTGTTTGCGCTGGTCGTGGTTGAGGAGGCGCTCGTGGAAGCCACGGTCGTGGGGTGCGAAGAAAAAGAACTGCCCGGCTTCAGGGATGTTGTGCCACCGCTTTCCTGGTGGTCCATGGTGTCCGAATCAAATTCCTCCGTGCTGGTAGAAGAACACTCATCGTCGTCGACGCGCTTGTGCTTCTCACGTTGCGCCTGATTTCTGTTGTTTTTCAAGGAGATGGATGCGGTCGCTTTTATTGCAGTTGTCGGCATTTTTTTCTCCGGCGACCGGGAACCCGCGTAGCAGTTGTTGTGATCATCTCCGGTAAAAGTCCTACTTCTCCCCCGCGCAGTATTTTTATGCTGGTGGAAATTCATCTCCTGCTTGTTTTGCTCCTTTTGCTTCCAGAAACTCTGCAGCGAAGCAATGCGCGAAGGTTTGTTTCCCCCGGAAGGTTCGTTTGCAAGTTCCTCCACCGCAGCGACCCCAGCCACCGCAGCTGGGGTCGCTGCCGCGGCGGCTGGGTGACTCGGCGCGGCGGCGACAACCATTTTTGGCTCTGGTGCTTTAGGATCGACCGGCACGTCGGGCGGCAACTCTAGCTGTATTGCCTCCAGTTCTTGTACTGGCACGGCACAATCTTCTCCGTCGCAATGCTTCTTGAAAAATAGACCGACTCACTGTCTGGATCTGCTGACGTTTCTTTACAGAAAATCGTACGTCAAGAAAACTACAATCTGAAGATCAAGATACAAAAAAAACGCGAAGATAGACATTATGTATCGTTCACGGTGTTAGTCTACCTAAAGGACGTTGTTTCAATATTTTGTCATTCTCCCTTGATGCAGCTTGTTGAAAACGTTGCGATTTTTTGTCTCGTTAGACGACCTGACAAAGACGTTCTTCTCTCGAGGACCCGCTCTTTCTCTTGTTCCCTCGGTGCACTGACAAATCAGAGAGAGGACAGACTAGTCAATTTCTCTACGATTTATTTTCAATTCCAACACCCTGAGAACGAAGCATCAGAGAAGCGAAGGCAGAGAGGTTCTTATTGATATACTGGATTGTAGTATGTTATACGTGCGTCGGGGGTTGGTGCACGAGCACGAAACGCATGATAAAAGACCACGAAGCTGCTAAACTGGTGAGTATTGAACGCCGAAACAGCGATTCCAAGCAGTCACCATCCTTCTTTAACCCAAATCCAGGAGCAATTCATCTTGATTTCATACTTGAATTTGCAAAAATATTGTACAATATTCGATATTAGTACAGATGCTCATCGTCTTCGGGAGCATGCAACACCACAAATACAAAGACATCATCTATGCCAGAATATTATGCCAATCACCTGACCTACAATGGTCCAATGCTACACTACATATGATCAAAAATGCTACCACTACTTATTACAAATCTTTCTTGATGCTATTTCTGATGCGAATCAACGACTTATGCAGATGATGCGATAGACCACGACAAAGTTGAAACCATAGTGATAACCATAACCAGAGAAATTTTTGTGCTAAAAGTGTGTTAAGAAAAAGAAAGTGACAAAAATGATTCGTGATTTCGAGGCTATGACCGGTGCTACCGCTGCGGAAACCTCTTCTGGTTCTGTAAAAATAAACAACATGCAAAAATAATACACATCCATAGTGCGAGTTTTGGTTTTCACTGTTGAAGAAAATATACCTTTACGATCGGAATAAATCCTGAAACCTGCTTCTGGATTAGTTCTTGCAAACGCAAATGCAAACGTTAAATTTTGAATGGATGAGAAAAGGAAAAGACAAACAGGCAGCAGTTGTCCTCGTTCGTCGCAGGTACTAAAAATTCGCGATGGAAACTACCAGCTTCTTCCACCACCACCTCCTCCCGAATTCGTTCAGTACTGCGCAAATTTGTACTCGATCAGCTCTTCGATCCGGCTGGCCATGTGGTCCACCACGCAGGAGCAGAAGTGCGCCGCAAAGTCGCAGGTCATCGGTAGGCGGCCCGGCTGCAGGTTTTCCTTCAGCACCAACTTGGACATGAAGTGCAGATCCTCCAGAGACTCCGTGCTCACTTCGGAACTGTTCAGCTGGCTCCTTCCCTGCATCCGCCCCGTCTGAAAGTCCTCGGCCGTTAAGGTTTTCGACTTCATCTGAAGAGTTTATTTGGTTTGAGCAATAAACAAGGTTCGATGCTGGCTCCTGGGTCGCATTGGTATTAAACGATGAAATGATGAATGATCGTTAGAAGTTGTAAAAAAGTAGGGATCGATAAAGTTTTGAAAAAGCAGAAGACTGGTCGAGAGTTTTCATTCTATGTGTACCGGCACGTGCGGCAGGATTTTCTGCGCTTCCTCCAGTTGGCCTTTGGACAAGTGTATCACAGTGAAAAATGCCCCCACCCCCATAGTTGCAAAAAATTTGTGATGCGAAGTGTCCAACTGAAAACTTTTTGTAATGCATGAAAGGAGTATGAATCTTTCTGATGCAGAGGCTAATTAGGCTGGCGTGTATCGCATCGCTTGCATGATGACAAGCGCAGCTCTTGCCGGGGTCTTTTGCAATACAAATTGTTGCTATTCACGACTAGAAACCTGTGATGCTGATAGATGTAAGAGGGCGACTGTTTCATTTCGAAAGGTTTGCAATACAAATGCTCCCAAGTTCGGGGGTGGGGGCATTTTTCCTCGCGATAAAGTGCACGGTGAGTTCCCAGACCAGGTCCCACAGGTCGCGCATGAGTTCCTGCTGCAGGATGAGATCCGGCAGCGTGAATTTGCGCAGCAGCATGTGGTATCAAATGCAAATATGTCTGGTTCTGAAAGATTGCGAGGTTTGTCATGCATGTTTTGCGCGACCCATGATTCCTGGATATGCATGACCTAGCATCACAGATTTTTAGAGGGGGTCCTGATGCCTATTCCGCATGAAAAATGCCCTCTCCGCGTAGCACATCAAACTGGGCTCCTATTGCTGGCCATGATGCAATACAGTGCTTTTTCGAATCCAAAGACAGCATCACAAGTTGCATCCTTCCAGACATCCAGGGATATTTGCAATGCATATGTGGAAGTGGTATTTCAGATAGATCTGCAGCCAGTACTTGGCGTCGACCAAAAAGTCCGTTTTCGAGATTTGGCGGAACCGCAGCTGTTTCAGCTGCGAGATTTCCTTCAGATGCATGTCCAGCAACACCGTGGACCAATGCATCAGCCGGGAGTGCAGCTTTTATCCCGTGCAAAAGTATCGTACTATCTCGTATTGCAATCACGCATCACAAATCTTCTTTTTAAGGTAAATCCGCATTACAAATTTTATTTCTCATGCTGAGGAAATTTGTAATGCACTTCTCCGAGTACGATACTTTTGCAGTTCGTAGCTTTTCCGACTTCGCAATGTCGTACAGCCCCAGCGCGGTCTCCATCCGCGTCCGCAGCTTGTCGCACATTGCGCGGTAGGTCGGGTCCCCAGGGACGATGTTCCGATACGGGTGCTGGCGAAACACGTTCTCGATCTTCTTCGGGCGGTATGAGAGTGCACATCACCTCTCCCTCGTTCTTGTCATTTCTCATGCAAAATACCTAAAAATTTTTTACGCATTGCCTCTTGGCACTGTTAGCATGACAAGTTCTGGCAGCCCAAATAGCACTACACTCCTGTCCAACAAATTTGCCACGCAGTACTCTTGCTGACGCTTGAGCTTCTATAATTGCTGGCGTGTATGCAATACAAATGAGGGGGAGAGGGACGAGTTGTGCACTCGCATAGGCGGAAGAAGTCGCAGCTGAACTTGCTGCCGATCGCCAGCAGCTCAAAATTTGCCTGGAATTCCGCAAACCGTTTTGCCCCCTGCTGCCCCAACAGCAGCGACTCGCGCCGCCTCGACTCGTTGGAGAGCGAATCCTATGCAGTGCAAAAGTATCGCACTCGTATAAATGCATTAGAAAATGAAAAACAAATTTCCTCAGCATGAGAAATAAAATTTGTAATTTGTAATGCTGATGCTGATCTACCTCAAGAAAAAGATTTGTATGTAATGCATGATTGCAATGCGAGTGCGATACTTTTGCAGAGGATAAATCCTCGGCCGTGATCAACGGGTTCGCAGTTTTGTTGGACAGTCGCGAGGTGGGCGATAAGGAAGAGGGCCCTGGTGTTGACGGCACGAGGCGCGCGTCGATCAGGATTTCGGATTTTTTCGTCGGGTACCGCTGCAGGCCGGCCAGCATTTCGCTGGTGATCTCCGACACGGCGGTCTCCACCCGCCGGCTGCGCTGCAGCTGCTGGTCCTGCTTCGAGAGCGGACTGGCGCTCAGCGACTGGCTGGCCATGTTCGCGAAAATCTTGCGGATCGCGTTCAGCTGCGCAATACAGTCTTCGTCCACCTGAAATTCGACCGGCAGGTCGGCGGAGAAGTAGCTGGAATTGAATAACGAGTGCGCGAGCACGCGCTTGTTCGGCAGCAGGCGTTCGCTTCGTTGGCCCATCAAGTTCTGCAGGTCGCTAGACAGCAGCGTGCCCCGGTTCTCGTGCAGCTCCTCCACCTGGCGTCGGATGCCCCGGATCTGCAGGTCCTGCTTCTTCCGCAGCAGCTCCAAATGCTCGCGGTAGGCGGCCACGACGGTGAGCAACTGCTGGATCTTGCCGTGCTTGCGCGCCACCTCGTCGGAGCTCTTCGGGTCCGACCGGACCACTTCCGACAGCATCTTCCCGCCGAGGCCGCGCGGCTGCTATCCCGCCGTGTAAAAACATCCCCACCTTATAGTGCAACTATGTTTGTTGTAATGCATATCTGCATGCTGAAAATGTTCCTCATGCGGAGATGCCCACGACAGCCATTTTCTAATGCTGTATGGTAGTTTGTCATGCTGGAATCAGGATAAGGTTGTAGCTATTTTGTCATGCCGCTGCACTAGCTTCTACATCTACCCCAGGATTACAATACGAACCCAAACTTGTCATGCTCGACAGCCAAAACTTGGGGATTTGTGTTGCAGATCGGACAACTTGACTATGGTGTGGGAACATTTTTACACAGGATAGCTGCTGGTTCTGGTTCGTCTCCCCGCTGGAGCTGCCGGCGATGGGCGCGAGCAGGTCCGCGCAGGTCTGCGCCAGCGTGCGGTAGTTGGCGTCCCCGTTGGCCAGCGCCGTCATGGCGGACGTGACCCGCTCGACGAGCGCGAGGTTCGCGTTGGCGCGGCTGATCAGCGTGGCCTGCACCTGCATCTGGTCGTGGATCTTCTGAAACACGTCGCGCAAAATCTTCAGGATCATGTCGTCGTTCAAATTGGTGGCCTGCGACGCCGGCGCCTCCCCGTCGCGCACGACCAGCAGCCGGGCGTCGTTCAGCACCGCCCCCGCGCGCACGCCGCTCGTGATGGCGCCGGCGTTGCGGGCGGCGTCGCGGAGCTCTTGCACGGTCTCCTCTACCATAGTGTGGATGTGCGGAATGTATTCCTTCGCGACCCGCTCCGCAATAGTCGGCGGGTCAACGACTTGTTCTTCTCGTTCTTGTTTCCCTGCTGGTGCATGAGCATTATTTTTAGTGCCAAGAACATTATCTTTTGGCTTGCTGGGTGGAACAGCAACTACTATTCCGGAGCTGGTTGATGTGGAGTACTCCACCATCTGCTGGGTCAACTCCGTCGTGGTCAGAATCTTCTTCGCGGAGGACCCAGCACCCGGGAGACGTTCCAAGGACGAATCGGCGATGTGCAGACACTGCAGGTACATCTCTTGCTTCTGCAGCAACCGCCGGAACGCTCCCACCGCCTCCCGCCGCTCCTGTTGGACCACCTCCAGGCCGCCGGACTTCTTGGTATCGAATGCAAATATGGCTGGGTCTGGAAGAGTCGGGGCGTGTCATGCACATTTTGCATGACCCGCGAGGTCTGTGATGCTGGTGCTAGCATCACAGATTTTTTGAGAGCTTCTTGATGCTAATTACGCATGAGAAATGCCCTCTCCGCGTGCCAAGCACTGACTCCTCTTGCTGCTCATGCAACACAGACATATTAAGAATCCGCAGACAGCATTACAAGTTCCACTCTTCCACCCCAGACATATTCGCAATCCATACTTGGCGTGGCACTGCAACAGGTCGTCGAGGGAGAGCAAAACCATCTTCTCCAGCCCCTGGTCCAATTCCTCCAGGCGACGGGCGAACTCGTCCTTGTGCTGCTCCGCGAGGCCGTGCCGCTTCTCCAACGCCGCGAGCACGGGCTGCACATTTATGGAACTCTCAAGCGTTCTTACACTCCCAGCTGTTACACGATTTGTTATGAAAAACTGCTATCAGCTGCCCCTGCCACACGGTCAAGCTACTTCGCATGACAAATCCTCGCAGTGCTAAACAGGCTGACAATCTGGTGTGCCAGGTTTGTAATAGTAATGCGACAGGTGCAGGCTCCCCCTCCCCCCTCTGTCTCACTTTTCCAATTGTTGCATCACAAATTTGTGTAAAAGCAAGTGACGAGAATGCAACATTGGAGAACGCCATAACATTGGCGGCCGCGTTCGGAATCACCTGGCGCGCAAACTGCAACTCCTCGTCTATTTCGTTTTGTTGTTCTCCCGGATTCCTAAACGCGGACTTCGCTTGTTCTTTCTTCATCTCTGCCTGCTCCGCCGCGCTGGACGGCGAAGAGCTGCTGTTGCCCTTCGCGGCGGCCTTCTTTTTATCTGCGTTTGCAACGAGCAACTTGCGCTTCTTTACGGCGGCAGCCGCCTCCGCGAGGGTCTGCTTCGCGGTCGCCAAGGTTTGCTTTCCACTGAGCACTTTCGTCTGGAAATCCACCAACTCCGCCCGACGAAGCTCCAGCGCGTCCGCCGACGTGCCGACCGCAGGCAGTTTCAAAAATTCCTGGAACGCCTCGCTCACGGCGGTCTGGCTGGAAGCGGTGAAAGAGTCCGATTGTTGATCGGGTGACGATGAACTACCGGCAGGAGATGACAGACCCTGCTTCTTCTCCGCGTTCATGAAAGAAATCAGCAATTTGGGTCCCCCGATGTCGCGCAGCACGAGGTCCCGCTTTTCCGTGTCCTCTTTCAGTTTCGCCTCCGCGGTACCGACGGCCTTCTCCGCGAGCGTCTTCCGGTTCTCGGCCACCTCCACGCCCTTCGCGAGTTTCGTGCGCCGGGCCAGCGTATGGATTGCAAATATGTCATCTGGGTCTGGAATAAAGTTCGAACCTGTAATGCTGGTCTTACATTATTCCTTTGAAATCTGTACCGCATCACTAACAAAAGGTAAAGGCGTCGCGGCCTCGTTGTTCATACAAAAATGCATTTCCACTTTCTCATGCGGGCTGCGCATGAGATGAAGGCGTTCTGGAAAGTTGTCACGCTTGGCTGCATTCGAAAGTGTTTCCATCGTTTACGTACGCTTTAGCATCATGACAACTTTCCAGAGATCCCAGACATCACAGTTGAAATGCATACAGCGCGGCTGCCGAGTGCCGGTCGTCGGCGTCGTCCGCGGAATGGTGCTCGCTGGAGTATGCGAGAAAAAAACTACGTAAAAAGTGTAAGTCTGTGATGCAAAGCACGCAACATCTTCAGCCTTGTCATGCTGGCCAGGCAAGAAAATCCTACTTCAAACGGGCTTCCACGTACCAGCTGTGCATGACAGAGTGTATTCTCTGTCATGCAGCACAACAAGTGTGTCATGCTGTCACGAGACCAACACTCAAACATTTTTTTTCTTGGATATGGAGGAGACTATCTGCACCGCTTGCTTTTTCTTCACTTTCCCGGTACCAGTGGACGAACTGGACTGCTGCTCAGAGTCCGAAATGGCCCCTGCCTTCTTCGCCAGCGGCTTCTTTTTCGCGGACTTCAATCCGGCCAACAGCCCAGCCATACCAGCTCCACCTGCACCTCCACCGGGAGCAGATGTTGACACACCGTCCACTGCAGCTGCGGCCGCACCACTATTGCCTGGACTAGTCGTGCCGCTTGTTGTTGGTAGCAACATATTTGATGTTGCTCCGGCGCCACTACTAGAAGTACTCATCTCCAGGGCACTGCTGCTACTGTACATTAACGCTTCCTTAATCGCGCTTGCCTTGTCCGGACGGGACAACGCGAAGCGGACGCCGGCCTTGGCCTCCTCTTGTTTCACTAACGCCCGCCGCTGGCTCTCCTCCTTGGCCTTCTTCTCGGCGATGACCATCTCGCAACGCGTTTTCTCGCTGTAGTAGTGCTGCAAAGCCAAGGCTTCCAGCAACTCCACCGGGAAAAAAAACCGGCGCATGTGCGTCGACTTCTTCCGGGCCAGGTGCTCCTGGTACTCGCGCGCCGAGCCCTGCGTGATCAGCCGCCGGCACTCGTCCTCCAGGCTCTGCTCGATCTCCTCGCTGATGTTGGCCTGCAAACGCGCGAACTCTGCGTGCAGTTTCACCTAGTATTTCGTGAGAAAAGGTAAAAAAGACCACTTTCTACGCTGTACAACAAGTTTTTAAGTTCTTGTAACACATTTCTCATGCGTCATCAACATCATGTTCATGACCACTTTCATTGTGCTCTTCCTTATTTCTGCATGAAGAAAATTTCCGCACATTTTAAGTAGTTACCTGGAATCCGCGCTTTAATTTAGGGTGTTTGGCGAAGATCTGTGCCCCCGCCGCGTAGCACTGTCCGACGGTGAGAAAATGCAACCCGTGCGTGCGACAGAGCGCACTGCTGACGCCACTGATCAGGCGTCCGTTGTAAAGTTGGTGCAAGGACGGCACGCGGTCCGTGATTTTCTTCCCCCGGCCTATGGAACTGTCAGGATCCAAATTGTCAAAATCGAAAAATTTGTGATGCATAAAATGCATGACGCGAAATACATGTGTTGCAGAGCAGGCAAGTGAGGCCGATTGTAAGCCTGTTTCGGATTATAGCTCGAGCTGCTAAAGCAGCATGAGAGAATCAGTCTTCTTTCCCTAAACAGCATTACGAACTGGATTTAGGCACCGCCAGAATTTGTGATGCGCCACTTAGAAACTGGGTTCGAACTGGAATCCATTTTATGCATGACAAATCATTTCGATTTTGTCAATTTCGATTCCGACACTTCCATACGGCCGACGCCCCCGGTACTGAAAAAGTCGTTTTCCGAGACCTTGAACGGGTATCAAATGCAAATATATCTGGGTCTGGAAACCTGTGATGCAAGGAAGGAAATAGTGAGCACACTGTGATGCGCTCCCCAGCATGACAAGTTTTTCGGTGCTTCTGAGTTGCGTACTCCGCATGAGAAAACGCGTTTTTGCATGACAGACAGGAGGACCTCTTCGCGGGCACGCAATACAGAGTTTAGAGTCATGCCAGACTAGCATGACAAATCTCGCAATCTCCAAGACCCAGACATATTTGCATTTCATAACGGGATGTCCATGCCGATCTTCGGGCCCTTGCCGCTATTCGAAAGAAAAGAGCTGCTGGCCTTGTCCGCAGACCACTTGAGCGGCATTCCCGACCCGGAGGTTTTCACAATCTGCGAGCTGGACGTCCCGCCGCCCGTCGTGGTGACAAACTGATTCTGCTCCCGCTGGATGCATATCAAATGCAAAAATGTCTGGGTCTGGAAGATTCCAAGACCTGGAATGTAGGTTTTCCATGAGCCGTGAGGTCTGGAATGGGGAACCTAGCATGACAGATTCTGCGAGGTTTCTACCATGCCTACCCTGCATGAGAAACTCCCTCTCTTTTAACTTGGTCGAAAGTGGGCAGCTTTCGGCACTCATGCAACACAGATTTTTGCATGATTCAGATTTAGCATGACAGGTTGCATCCTTCCAGACCCAGACATTTTTGCAGTTGATAATGCACCGCCGGACGAAGAGGTAGAACAGCAGGTCCTGCTTCCCGTACACCTCCCGCAGAAACAAACCGAAAATCTTCACGTACACGAATTCCGACCGGTACTCCTCCACCATGTGAATCAGGTCCCAGGCGCGCTGGTTCACCAACTTCCCGCTCACGTGCCCGTAGCGGCGCAGCAGGTAGTCCAAGACGAACTCCGGGAATATCACACGAAAAAATGGGAACGTTATACGAAATTTGGCAACATGAAGTAAAAATGCATGAGAAACGATGCTGCACAAGTTAAGTTTGTATTGCATGGCATGCATGATAGCGAGAATTTGTCATGCATGACTGCAATACCTCGAAGCGGTTAAACGTTACAAACACTTTTTTGGTTGATAGGGAACGAGCTGTCGTTCTGGCGCAACCGCGGGTTGTCGCGGCTGCCATTGAAGGGCAGAAACTGATTGGAAGTGGAAGTTGGTCCACCCTCCAGCGAGGTCGTTGTTGCACCACCTGTAGTCGTTCCGGCGAACATGTGGTCGTTGTTCATATCGACCTCGCGCAAGTGCGCGTTGCGGTCCGTCAGGTGCTGATTCCGTTTCGTCTCCTCCGACAGATCGATCTGGCGATTGGCGCGGTACCGCCGCTGGATGGACTTTTGCGACACGGGCGACCCGTTGGCAAACAGCGCGTTCTCCTGGCGCTTGCTGTTCAACAGTTCATACGGGTCCTCGGGCCCGTCCGCGGAGCGCACCCCGGAGGCGGATTCCGACAGTGGCATCGCGGCGTTTTTCAAGACCAAGTCCAAATGCTTCCGCTGCTCGGCCACTTCATCCCGCCCCGGGGCCTCGGCGCCACTGTAGTAGCCCTCGGACACGAAGGTGTTTTTGTCCTTGCTCATCTTGGACGACACGCTGGGGCGGAAGCCGCCGGCGGCGCGCTTCTTCGTGAAAAAGTGCGCGGCGGACCCGGGGCCGTCGCCCAGCTTCATCGCGTTCTTCAGTAAGTGCGGATTCCGCGCGCCGGGCCCCATGGTGCGGCCCGGAATCTCCGGTGCGTAGTCCAAGGCCGCGCCCGCGCGTTTCCGGTCCACGAGGGACTGCTGTTCTCTTAAATTGTTGGCACCACCTTCCCCGTCCTCGTCAGACGCCTCCTCATCTTCCTCGGTTGTCCCGTTTGCCCCCGCCGCCAGCGCCTTGCCGCTGTTCACGTAGTCCTTCCGCAGCTTGCGCGTTTCCAGGGCGTACCGGGAGGCGTAGATGTCGTCGATGAGGGCCACCAAGTAGGAGAGTTTATGGTCGATCAGCTTGTTGGTCGGCGGGAACAGCAGTCGCGCAAAAGATCGGTACTGCTCGAACACCACCTCCGGGATCACCAACTCGTCCTTGCGGTACAAATTCTATGCGGAGTAAAAACGTCCCCACCCCATAGTTGTCATGCACTTCTGCATTCCATAAACGTTTCTCATGCGGACCCCTATGGGAAGCGTTCTCTGTTCGTGTTTTGGAATCTGTTATGCTAGAGTCAGCACCTTATGCTAGATCTGTGACGCTTCTGATTTAGCCAAACAGGACGACACTACGAGGACAGACTTGTCATGCCAAACAACCAAAGCTGGTTGATTTGTCTAGCAGATTTCCCCTCTTGACTCTTGTGTGGGGACGTTCTTAATCAGGATAAATTCCCCGTGTTCTTCACGGGCGGGCGGTCTGGGCTGGCCTCGTTCAAGCTCAACTTCTTTGTGGCAGCCAACCCGCTGGGGGACGTGGCGTACCGCGCGACCAATTCATCCAGCAGCGGGTAGGCCTGCGTCTCGTCGTACTCCGCGTACACGCGGACCCGGTCCTCGTTGGAAGAGACCACGGTCGCGTTGCGGCTGCTCTCGAAGACCATGTTGCTGATCTTCTTGCTCTATGCATCGCAAACGTTGTACCGTGCTAGCATAAATGAGCGCATGACAAATTTCATCAGCATGTAATGCGGATTTACCTTAACCTTAAGATATATAGGATTTCATTTGTAATACATGCCTAGCACGCTCAATAGTACGAGTACAATACTTTTGCGATGCATATGTTCGTCTTCAAACTGTCCTGGGTGTCCGTGCCGACCAGCGACAGGTCTGCGCTGAAGAACCTTGACCCGTCGCGCTGGAAGTTCACTTTGTGCACCGCCAGAAACTCGATCATGCGCCGCCGCTCCTCCGCCGGCAATTCGGAGAGAAACAAAACCTTCTGCATCTGTGCCTGCGCGGCGCTCTTGATCTGGTCCTTTGTGAGCTGCTGGTTTGGTCCACCGCCTTGTTCGGGCCCGCCGGTTGCAGTGGGGCTGGAGGTTTTTGACCCGGGCGAGACAAACTGGTGGTCCAGGGGTCGTGCCTGTGTGTTTTCCCCTTGCAGTCCGAGCCCGCTATCGTCCGTCGCGCCCGCAGTTCTTGGAAACGAGCCGCTCTTTGTGCCCAGTTTCATTTTCCTAGCTGCTGCGTTGGTTGTGTTGTACCCTTTATTTCCGTCCGGCTGGTCGTCGATCTCGTCAAAAACCTGCGAGAACGCCGCATTTGGCTGCGCTCCGCTGGCAAAAGCCATGTTGTCGTCGAAGAGGCTGCCGAACCTGCTGGCTAGGTTTTGCGAGCTGCCCCCCGGGAAGGACAATCCCGCGTCAATTCCGCCGCCGTCCAACGCTTCCAGGGCTATCAAAAGGAAAAGCCTCCCCTCCCCATATCAAAGCGAAGTTTCTACTGATGCTGGATTTGGCTACACAAATCAAATTTGTGCTGCAGTAGAGGACTGCGCGCAGATCTTAAGCCTGGGCGCGGGCCTTTTGGTATGGGCGCCCAGCATGGTAGACAGCTACCCCTACCCTGTAGGCCTTACAGCATTACAAATCGCCTGCATCACGTGGCAGACAGCCTGAGTGTGCCATCTTGCAAGACAGACCCGATTTGTGGTCGCAAATCTGCATCGCAACTTTTCAGAAGGATGCGCTTTCAATATATATGGGGAGGGGAGATTTTTCGTTACAATAAGGGCCTCCGGGTGTTCCTGCAGTGCGCGGAACAAATTTTGCGCAGCCTGTTGGACGTCCTCCGGCACTAGGGAAGCCGCAGGTCCACCACCGACTACACCAGAGGAACTTTTCATCCCTTGGTCTCCTCGTGCATTCATGCTGGCGAAGAGTCTTGACAATGCGTTCAACTGAGCTGTACTGGTGCCGTCCTGTGTCCGCGCGGATGAAGCAGAAGCGCCACCCTTGAGGATCCCGGTTTTTTTCTTCGACTTTGGGGCGGTGTGCTCGCCGTCCTCCAGTGCAGCAGCCCCTTCGAGAAGCAAAGCATCGCTGTCGCTGTTGAAATCGTTGTCCACGTCGCGCTTTTGCGTTTTCCCCCCTAGCATCATGACCGCGTTGGCCATCGTGGACCCCGGGTCCTCTTCCGTGGCATTGCCACCCAGCATCTCGTCGTCACTATCGTCCTCAACCATTTTTGCCGAGAAGCGCTGACTCGCAAACCGCATGGTACTGCTACTCGCCGCCGCGGCCTGGGGCGGTTTCTTCCCGGTCTTGCGAAACTTCTGGTGCAGCCGCTGCGCCTCCTCGTCCGAGTCATCCTCGTCGTCGTCTATCCGCACGGCCTGCTTCTCTCCCTTCGCGGCCGAGGACTGTCGCAAAGCGCTGGCTTTTATGTCTCGGTTAACTTCTTGGTCCTCGTCTTCTTCGTCGGAGGAGGTACTAGGTATCTTCGGCGGCAAACCCGTTTTAGCGTATTTTTTTGTTATTTTTTCCTGTTCCTCGTCCGTCTCGGTGAGCATCCCCAGCTCATCGTCAAACTGCAAGACGCGATCGCCCCGCGCCTGGCCGGAAGGTGCTTCTTGCCTGTCAACAGAAGAAGCTTGTTCTTTATCAGTACTACTTGCCGCATTCAAAAGATCCTCCTCTTGCTTCTCCTTTTTTTTCTTTTTCTTTTCATTACTGTCCGACTTATCTACTTCGCTGGAACCTTCGTGATGGTGATGCGATTCCTTCTTTTTTTTCTTGGCACTGTCATCCGTGTCGACGCTCTTTGTGCGCTCCTTCTTCTTCTTCTCTGCCGGTGGTGGTGTTGGTCCTCCTACGGCATCTTCTTGTTCTACAGCTTGTTCATCCGAAGCAGACGGCTTTGCTTTCTTTTCAGTCTTCTTTTTCTTTTCCTCTTTCACGGCCCCTCGGTCCTCGCTGTCCCGCTCTCGGCTTCGGGATTTCGATTTCTTCTCCTTCTCCGGCACGATTTCGTCCTCCGCCATCGCTTTGGCAGCTTTCTCATCACTGTCTTTCTTTTTGTGGTGCTCCTTCTTTTCCTTCTCTGGGGGCGCGGACTCGCCCTCGGCGGAGACTTTTTTCTTTTTTTCTTTCTTCGCCTTTTTCTCTTTCTCGGGGTTGGTTCCTTCCTCGGGGTTGTCCTCCGGAAAAAACAGGTGAATGCTGTTTTGCTCGTCCATGTTGGCGAGGTCTCTGGTTTAAGAGTTGTGGTTTTTCTAGTCTATGTGAAGACGATATGATGAAGCTGACATGGTCAAGTAGACCGCTTATCAGCTTCGGCTACTTTTTACGAGTGTCTTACTTTCCCTCTTTTTTTTAGTATGATACAAATATCAACCCCAGAAAACGAACCACCAAAAAAAACTTACTCCTGGATAATTGAGAAGACAGACATTCCTGTTTGCTGCAACAATGTTAGATTTGTGATATTACAATAGTGAATGAGGCACGACGACCACGATTTTATTCATTATTTTCGTTCAGACTTACTTTTGTCCACGATGACTTTTTACAACGAATTTGAATCCTAATCACCTTCACGAATTTCACGATGCCATGGAGGCCATGGAAGAGAGAGACCACGACCGATTCAGACACAAATACTTTTTCCGACATACGACAGGTACATGACACGATCTTTTAAGGCACAGCTACTTTACCACGATGAGGGAGTCGCACAGCTGACACAAGAGCAAGACGAGCGGAATCAAAAATATTACAGATACAGAGGCGATGCCGGGAATGGTCCTGCGTTGACCGATGCGAAAAAGATCCTTTCTTTCTAGCGAATGAACAGAAGTGAAGGTTGCAGCTGCGAAACAGTAGCCGGGGCCAGTGCCGCACGATTATCGGGCTCAATGCTTTCGTCGAAATTTTGTACTGGTGAGACAGTTTCAATTCGCGATATGAAGTATCAGTGTCGAAGCTTGTTGTCTTCTCGCTTTTTTTCAACATTTCATCAGGTTGTTCTACTAGGTCGGTGTAGTACAGCAACCAAGGCAGGCGCTAGCTTGCCCTGCAAAAACCACTCGCGGGTTGAAAATACTAGTCTGAGAAAAATATTATATCACATGTTTGTTCTTCTGGGGTTTCTAGTCGGTCGTATGAAGATTTCACAGCAATCTTCCACTGGACCTCCAAACCGCACCCCTAGTTCCCCCTCGTGCTGTCGTGTTCTTATGGATGTGTCAGAGTTGAAATCGTCAAAGTTGAAATAATTTGTCATGCATAAAATGGATGCCAGTTGGAACCCAGTTTCCAAGTGGCGCATGACAAATTTCGGTGGTCCCTAAATCCAGTTTGTCATGCTGTTTAGGCAAAGAAGAGTGGTTTTCTCATGCTACTTTAGCAGCTCGAGCTGTAGCCCCAAACAGGCTTACAATTGGCCTCACTTGCCTGCTCTGCAACACACGCACCTCGGGCCATGCATTTTATGCATTACAAAATATTTCAACTTTGACGATTTCAAACCTGACGCTTCCATAGTTCTGGTGTCGATGTTATGTCAGCTCCGTTGTGGAAAACACAAGGCTTCTTCGAAGATACTGCACATCGGTCCTTTCATCTCGGACTCGGTAGTTGTTGAAATACAAATAATCACTTGTCGAAAAGCAGGTTGTCGTTGTGGTAAAAAGCGCGTGAGTGAAAATTTACAACCTCCGCTTGAAACCAAACTTTTTCCGCTCGTAAAATAAATCCGTTTTTGCCTGTCCCAGGTTCACAATCTTTGGACACCCGTCGCGGTCCTTCTCCTGCTGGACGCACTCTTTGCAATAGTACGCGTCGGATATACCCGCGCCTGGATAGTGTTTTTTCATGATGTTTCAACGCGGCATTTGGCAACAATTGCAGCCACAGACACAGTTCGTATAATTTATTAAGCGACGCTTTACATCAACGCACTCCATGAAAAATTTGATAATTTGATTGAATCTCTGCTGCTAGTACTTGCAAAATAAAAACAAGTATAGAAGAAATCTAGTACCTCCGCAGATGACACATCTCCCCTGGTAACTGCCGTAGTTGCATTCGTCGCATACCCGCACCAGAATCGTTGGTCGCACATAGGAATCACAGATGGGGCACAGTCCGTCGTGTTTCTCGCACAGCTTGCCGATCGCCACGCCCGGCTGCTTGCGGCACATGATCAAATCTGGATGATGCTTCGCCATTCTGTTTCTTCTTCTGTCGGTAGTGGAAGAGGCTTAGACCTGGTGTTTCTGTACGTAGCTGTTCCAAGTGAAATTATAAAACAGAGGAAGTTGTTTCGGTGTGCTATACTATTTCTCAAGCCAAGACTGGAGACCTTTAATGTTGTCTATTCTCGTGTTCCTAAACAAATCAAATCAAGAATTTCGCTTGTGTGGTGGGTAAAGCTGTAGGTGTAATATCGAGAGTGACTTGTTTGCTGTGGGTTCGTCGTTTCGTTCCTGTTGATCTGCTGGTAAAAAGAAGGTTAAGGTTTGGAAAATAATTTGGGTTTGCGAAAAAAAGCGCGTTCTGGAAATGGGATCGTAACTGTGTTGAAAATGATCAGCATCAGTTTGAGCAGCAGGCCCAATGATCTTTCTATTCGTACCACATCTTCGTGGATCTTCTGCATTCACAGTGATCTGCTCTGTGCGATTGCGAAAACGACCTGGCATCTGTCTTCACAAGCACCTTTGACACACCTCCTCGTCTTTCAGTTTTCTAAAATTCTGATCTTCGCTTTCGAATCTTCAGTAGAACATCTTCCAGTTGGCGCGCGCGCAACGTTTTTTACTGCAGCGTCGCCGAGGCTGTTCCGGCTAGACTTCGACTTTGTATGCTAAGTAATTATGTCGAAATTCGACAAACATGGCGTTGGCGCTTCATTTCGGATGGCAAATTATACTCCTCTATCTATACGTGGAGATCGTCTCGGTCTAAAGCTTAACCTAAAGAAATAATACATGCGATACATACAGGTTCTTCCGAGTGTAATATTGTTGTTTGGACTTCCGTCTCCTGCAAGGAGAGCAGCGTGATTCATGTACGTTATGTGCATTTTGAGATCGAATGTATACTTGAAATGCGACAACAAGGATCTTCATAAGGAAGCGTGAGACGAGAATGAGAAATGATCTCGGCTCGTTGCTTCACGACCAGATCCTTCAGTACGCCGCGGAAAATTCCTCTAGCATCTGTTCTTGCTGCACCTCGACGACGCCCCAGCCGCCTTCTGTGCCCAAGATCTGGAGCTCCGACTGGTGCCATTTGCGCACCTCCGGCCGGTGCGCGATGCTGAAGAAGGTGATTTTGTCGTTTTGTGCCAGCAGGGAGTACAGTTTTTCCTGCACGTCCTGACTCACCGCACTGGTGGCTTTATGAGAGTGCACAACTCCCCCTCCCCCTCATTTATATGGCATGAACAGCAATACAACAACCGCCATCCGGAAACGGAATGCAGGTTTTGCATGACAAATTCACTTCGGACTGTAGTGCTGTTTGGGCTGCCAGAATCTGTCATGCAAAAAGTGCCAAAAGGCACAGGGCGCATTTGGTACTTTGCATGACAAATAAGGGGGAGGGGGAGTTGTGCACTCTTGTAAGCTTCGTCCAACGCTGCGAACGCCGGTTCGTGGAAGAGCAGACGCGCGAAGGACAGCTTCTGCCGTTCGCCGCCCGAGAGCATCTTCTCCCAATCCTGGCCCTTCTCTTCCAAACTATCAAATGCAAAAATGTCTGGGTCTGGAAACTTGTGATGCAAGACGGTCAATAAAAAATGCACTGTAATGCGCCCCCAAGCATGACAAGTTGCTTCGTGCTTCTGTGCTGCGTATTCCGCATGAGAAACTGCGTTTTTGCATGACAGGCGAGAGAGGCTGTTTGTGGCCACGCAACACAGATTTAACGGCCATGCCAGATCAGCATGACAAATCTCGCAATCTTTCAGACCCAGACATTTTTACATTTGATACAAACGGGCCGTGTGCGACTCCAGGCCGACTTGCTGTAGCAGATCCAGGATGCGGTCTGTTTTGATGTTTTTTTTTAAACAATTTTTGCCCAGTGCCAATCAGGTATAAGCAGGAAATCCGGCCGAATATAGAATTTTCTTCATCTGCTCCTAATTTTAGGGGATTGATGTGATGATGCATTTGGTAGGAGTAGGTAGCGATGCCGTTGTCTTGTGCGTCCACCAGCGCTGTTCGTTGTACAACAGGATAACACTTTATCAACACATGCAAATACTACCTTTTTCGACGACGTTGTGCCGCTCGGTTTTCCTCGGGTACCACACGTTATCCAGCAACGTCCCATATCAAATGCAAAAATGTCTGGGTCTGGAAAAGTGTAGACTTGTCATGCAGATTTTCCATGACCCATGAGGTGAGGAATGCGGGACTTAGCATGACAGACTCTACGAGGTCTCTGCCATGCCTATCTTGCATGAGAAACTCGCTTCCAACTTGGTCAAAAGTGTGCCGCTTTTGGCACTCATGCAACACAGATTTTTGCATGCTTCAGATCTACTTACCATGACAAGTTGCATCCTTCCAGACCCAGACACTTTTGCATTTGATATCCCAACGCAGATGTAGGGATTTTGCGGTAGGTAGAAGATCTGCGGACCCGCACGGTCCTGGTTGTGCAGCAACTCGTATCTGTCCATAGTTCTTCTAGAAGCGTTGTGGTGAACTGTATCAAGAACCTGGTCGTGGTTTGGATTCTTGGCAGCAGAAGAAGTTCCTAACTCATGATGATCGTCGTGGTCGGCATGATGTGCGCCAGATGGCTGTTCGAACACTACTTCCCCGACGGTTTCCTGCAGAAACTTCGCGGCCTGCCATGCGGTGCGCAGCAACCGCCGCCCCGGCGCCTCTGGGTCGATAATGGTGGGGAGGGAAAGGTCGAGGGGCCCAGTGCCGCGAGGGGCAAATTTGTTCAGATTTCTTATCAAATGTAAAAATGTCTGGGTCTGGAAGAATGCAAGTTTGTCATGCTTGTCTGGCATGACTCTTAAATCTGTCATGCACATTACCAAAGAGCCCCACTTTTCTGTCATGCAGAAACGTAGTTTGTCATGCAGAGTAGGCAACACCTAGAAGCTCAGAAGCTTGTCATGCTGAGCCAGCAATTGTGGCCTCCTCATGATACGCCACACAGCATCACAAGTTTCCAGACCCAGACATTTTTACATTTGATATTTCTCCCCACACTACTGATGCTTTCCATTCCACCGGAGATCACCCGTGTCCGGCTCTTGCTGGAGGTCTTCTTCGGCACAGCAATATTGTCGGCCGTCTGCTCTGTGGAAATGCTAGTGGCGGTCCCGTCTTCGCTCGTCGGGCTGCTGCGGCTGTTCAACGACGGCCGCTTATTATTATTGTTATTCGCACCCGCTACAGCTTTCGGACTCAGGAACGCAGCAGATGTTCTCGACCCGTGAAGTAGATGCTCATCCCGGTCCGCTGGCGGCGCCCGCGTGGAAACAATCACGTGCCCGAAGGCGGGCTTCCACAGCCCGGACAGTGTGCGGAACAAACTCGTCTTTCCGCAGCCGTTTTATCAAAAGGAAAAATACCCCCTCCCCATATCAAAACGAAATTTCTGATGCTGGATTTGAATACACAAATCAGCTCTGTCTTGCTGGAGAGGAATGCAGCCCCATACTGAGCCTAGGTAGAGAGGCTCTGGCCTAGGCGTCTAGCATGAGAAACGTCCGTGCTGTAGGCCCATCAGCATCACAAACCGCCTGCGCAATGCAGCGGAGCTTGTGGAGTTGCCTTCTTGCAAGAAAGACGTGATTTGAGGTAGCAAATCAGCAACACAAATTTTCGGAAACATTCCTTTTCGATATGGGGAGGGGGGTTTTTTCCTCTTAATACGTTCGGGCCGGACACCAGCACGTTGCAGCCCTTGCGGACCATCATGTTCAGGTTGCGCACCAGCAACCGCCCGTCCGGGGTGTAGACCGTCAGATTGCTGAAACGCACAAATTCGTTGTGGATCTGCTCCATCATTCTCTTCCGTTGCTGCACCTGCTGCTTCAGCTGCGAGGCCACGTGCTTGGCCGCGAGAATGTTGTGGATCCCGAAAGACTCCGAATTCGTGCTATTCCGGCGCTGGTCGACGGAAGAGGTGGAAGCCGAAGGAGCTGTACCATTTGTAAAATCTGCGGCTCCTGCAGTGCCGGCACTTGTAGTGGTCTCCGCCGTGCTATTGCTAGCTGCACTTTGCTTCTTACCCTTGTTTCTCTTTCCCTTTTTGCCGCTGCCTTTGCTACCCCTATCGGCTTCTTTCAGCTGCTCCTCTGCAGAAGTCGTCTGCTGGTGCCCGCTCGTGGTTGGCGGTGGTTGTACGACGATCTTCGGTGAAGAGCCCACACTGGGCAGCTGCTGCTGCTGCTGCGGTACCGCCCCGACCGCGCGCACCCGAGGACCTCCGGAAGCAGATGTGCCGCCGGCATTTAATGTTCCCCCAACTACCGGGCCGCCTGTAGCAGTACTAGTCCCCAACGACCCGCCGACCATCGGGGTCGCTAGAATGCCGGCGGACGTAACTACCGCGTGCTGTGACAAGCTGGAGGCGCTTTGGAACGTAGAACCAGCTCCGAACATCTTCATCCTGCCTGCACCTCCTCCGACAGTGTGCAAGTTTGCGTTCCCTCCACTGGCGCCGCCGAGCAGTACCATGCCCGCAGCATCGTCCGTGGTAAAAGAAGCGTAGCGTTGCAAACCCCGCGGGGCTAGGTTGCTTGTTCCAGTACTGCCAGCATCGGACTTCTTCTGTTGTTTCCTCGGAACCACGGCTGTTGAGAGAGCCAGCGTAGAAGTACTACTACAAGTATCCGGCACTTGCAGCAGATTGTTCGCCTTGAAGATGCTGTTATTTTTTCCGGCGGATGTTGCCGAACCAACATCATGCCCTGTCGTTTTGTTCGAATGGGGCACGACCGCACTCCCAGAATTTGAATTCTTCGACGAACTCTTGCTAACAGAACCACCTCCGAAAGGCGCAAACTGCTCGCGCAGGAACTCCCAGCCGGCAGAAGCCAGCATGTTGCCAAAGGATATCCGCTCTTCGTGCTGCGCCCCCGCAAGGTCTTGTTCAGCAGTAGTGGTCCTCGTGCCACTTGTTTGTTCCGCCTCCGCCATCGAGAGACGAGCGCCGCTGTCGAGTAACGCGCCGTCCAGGGCGTCACTTGTCGAGATTCGTCGCGGCCCCTGCCTTCTCCTCGGCTCGGGTTGGTCCTTCTCACTGTCGTGGTCGTTGCTTTGGTGGTCCTTCACCGCAAGTTTATTCCCTGTCGAAGCTGCACCAGCACCACTCTGTGCACTACTATCCAGCATGCAGTGGTCGAGAATTTCCGTGACTCGGATCGTGTAGCCCTGCAGGATGTGCAGCTTGTTGACCGCCAGGATCAATTCCCCGATCGCGCCCGCCGCGTGGCGGATCAGGGAGTCCGCCGTGCGGTGCCGCCCGAGCACTTCCGTCTTCGTCAGTGTGCCCGCGGCGTACTTCATCATCAGCGGGTAGCTGATCGCGGCCATGCCGATGATCGAAGCACAGTACTTCACGGTCCACTGGTCCAGCAAGTTCTGCCGGAACTTCGCCCACGCCAAAGCGCCCTTGAAGTGCAACAACGAGTGCAGTTTGTCGTCCAGTAGCGCGTGCTCCCGGGACTCCCCGCCGAGAAAGGCCACCTCCTCCGCGTGCACGCGCAATCGTTGGTGGGCGCTGGAGAACGCGGACTGCAACCCGGCCTCGGCCGCCTTCAGCCGCGAGAACGGCGGTTTTTGCAAGCCGAGAAAAAAGGCGTTCACCATGAAATACGCGTACAGCAGCATGGGGGACTGGAACCCGAGCGTGGCGAACAGCGCGCGGGAGCTGAGAACCACGTCCAGCAGCGGTTTCAACGTGTGGCCGTAGAGGTGCACCAATTCGTGGCAAAATTCCCCGATGTCCTCACTAATCCGCTTATCCGCATTGAACTGCTGAACCGCGGATGAGGAGGATGTCGCTTCCGCAGGAGCTGCTCCGTCAGGAGATGCACCAGTACTAGCGTTCTTGTTAAAGGGATCTGCTCCACCACCCCCTGCTCTCGACGAGGATGGAGTTTTGGAGGGTGGAAGCAGCTTCAGATTGTCCATCGAGCCACCGCGGCTTCTAGAAGCAGATGTACCAGAAGAAATACTTGAGGATCCGGCTTGTAGCTTCGCCGCTTTGGAGGTATCATTCTGCTTATTGTTCTTGCTCGCCGAAACACCCGAGGTGGAAGCAGGAGTAGTTTTGGAAGATGCGACGATTCCTATCTCTTCGTCAGTGCTACCACCAGCTGCGGTAGTTTTATTCGTCAGCGCCGAAACCATAGCCTTCCTCCCGGCGCCGCTCGCGACCGCGGGGTAGGCCAGGTAGTAGTAACTTCGGTTCGCCAGGTACTGTTCATGGATGGTTTCCGTGGCCTTGTGCTGCAAAGACTCCGCGATGTATTCCTCACACCACTTCAAAACGCTGTTCACCCAGGCGGACAAACCCCCATAGCTCAAAAACCGGTAGGCGTACAGGATGAACTTATCCCAGCTACCCTCGATCACCGTGGCCGTGGCTTCGCCGTACAGCTCCGAGATCCGGATGGAAAGCCAGGACCGGAGAAAGAGGAAAATCCCGTGCACCCCGAACCAGACCGCCTGCTTCGCGCCAATCGCAATGCGCAAAAGGGAGAGCAGCCGCCCCTCGTCGGACCGCTCTCCTGGTTCAACATCCGTGCCTTCTTCTCCTGCGGGAAGATCTTTTTCATTCCCGTCTGAAGTCTTCGATTTGCTCCTGCTCCGTCGCCGGGACGGATTTCTACTTTTCCCGAAGAGCGCGTTGCTCAACCTTTTGGAGAGATAAAGCAGAATCGCCTTCAGCTTCAGCAAAAGCAGGTTTTTCTGCTTGCTCGCCTTCTTGCCTATGTTGTAGCCCGTGGCCTGCTGCACCAGATTCTTATACAACCCGAGAAAACGCCAGCGGAAGTACAGGCAAAGAACCGCATTCACGCTGCAGCCCGCCACGAAAATCCGCAGGGGGGTCGCGTTCTATCCTGTGCAAAACTATCGTACTCGTAGTAATCGCAGTCATGCATTACAAATCTTTTTATCAAGGCAAATCCGCATTACAAATTCCATTTCTCATGCTAAGGAAATTTTAATATGCATTTATACGAGTACGATACTTTTGCAATTGATACGTTCTGCACCGAAATCAAAGGCCGCATCTTCTTCCTTGTATGGTCAGGAACAGGTGGGAGAGGTGTTGAAGTCTCCACTCGTCGGGCCGTCCGGACGAGATATCACACCGTCGAAGTATTGCTTAAATTTCTGTCACCTCCGGTGGGATAAATATCGCTGTGTCGTTATTGTGAAACAGTAACAGAGGAAACGAAACGAGAAACAATAACAACTCGACGCATCGTACAAAATTGGACGAAACAATGAATACGTAGAGTGGGTGGAGCTGGACGGGTGGGAAATAACGAATGGAGGACAAGTTTGCAAACCTGAAGCTATGTGTGTGTGGGAAACAAAGTGACTTTGACTTTGGTATAGAAAATCAATATCGTTGTACCGATGGACCTCTTGGCGCTCGACAAGTAAACCGAAAAAACACAGAAAGCATGTCTAGACGCGTCCAACAAAACGGTCTTCATGTACCAAAATCGCTCGTGGGATTACCTAGCTACACTGAGGCCACTTTCCTGCTCGTTCCTCTTTTCGCGTCTGGTCTCTTCGAAGTCAAGAGAGTCTTGGCCCTCGACAGCACGCCACCTTCACGTCTTTCAGTCACAGAACTCAAAAAATTTTTTCTTCACAAACCGAGTTGTGGGAGGTCAACTGCTTTAGCCTTCAAAAAAAAACCGATAGAATTAACGCTGCGATGAGGATCCGGAGCTATCACGCAATCGAAACCGATTTGAAATTTTCTTTTGTGTAATTTCTGCACCGAACAAGAACGATTTTGGTTGTATGCCTGCTATGCATAGATACTACAGCCATGAGCAGTGATTAGGCCTGGCGTATGATCAAAAGAAAAACTGCTCACGCGTCGCTTTAGTTCGACCAGTTTGCAGGATCTATGCTGTGACATCATCTCGTTGGTCCACCACATTTATTATCGCAGTCATTTCAAAAGCTTTTCGACGAGCCCGCGCACCTGCGGTACAATCTTTTTGTGTTTCGGGTCTCGCGGCCACGGAGACGAAGCACTTCGCATTTTGATGTCCTTTCGCTTGCATTTCGCCCGCGGACGGAGAAACACGAAGGAGCCTTCTTCTGGAGCACCATCTTGTTCACACGCGTCATCAACATCGGCACACGTCACTAAGTTACCGTGTCTTCCGTCGTAGAAGTGTTCCCAAGCAAGCGCCGGACGGAGCCACCAGCCCCAGTGGTCCAAGATTCTCCCCGGATGAAAAAGGGTATTTCTCATCGACGACAAGGTGCTTCTCGACAGCGTAGTTGTAGTTGTGTGTGGAACCGTGTAGAAGGCCGTCAAAAAAGCAGGAGTTTGAAGCAGCGGAAAGAACGCTGACCGCACCGCCCGGGAGAGGACGATTGCGGGAGCGGCAAAAGCTGACGAACTACTTGCAGCCATTTTCTCAAAGTCAAGACGAGGTCCTCGTCTGGGCGACCAATTTAACAGGTCTTGGAAAACGTATTAAACTCGATGCTTCTAGCCGCGTTTTTGTGTGTAGAAAATTCAAATTGCGAGATTAAACAGAGATTTGATCTCAGGGAAATCAACGACGATCGAGAACAAACAAGCATCCATCTTGGGGTGCTTTCACTGAAGACGGGTTCGAACACGAAACAAGCCGGGACGAGGGTCTCCGCTCCTCGACACCATTGAAACGCTATGCTATAGAAATAATTTACACAAATCACAAAGAATTACGCTGCGTTTTGTCATGTTGCAGGCGTCGGGGGACATGAGTTGATATTCCTGTGCACATGAACTATTCTTGCTTCAGCTTCTGTATGTTGTGGCATAGTATCTTCTTTGCTTCGCGACTGCTTTCGGGCCCAGCAGTTTGCGCACGTAGCTGTCTAAAACGTAAAGGTCGATTTTATCGATGTCGGTAAATTCCGTTCTGCGCCACCTCGCGACCTTCGCGATGTGTTTTTCTTTGTCTGCCAGCCTGGTCTCATATTCCTTGAGGAGACGCTCCAACTCCGCTGAAATTTCTATGGGACAAGTAGTAGTCGAAGCATCTTTTACTGTTGTTCCCTTGTTTTTGTTTATCGCCCCAGCCCCGCCTCTGCCAAAATTCCGGCGCAGGTCCTGTACCTTTTCGATTCCTGCGTTCGCGAGCGACTCGCTTTTCCGCACGTATTCCGACAGCGCTTCGTGCGCCGCCGTCTCGAGAGCGGAGAACCGCTTTGTTTCTGCCATGAAGGCGAGTAGCTGCCGTTCCTTTTCACGAAAAGAGGAGAGGAAGCCAGCGGGTTTTTGAAACAGAGTCATCACCGCCTTCCACTGCGAGAGCTCCAGGACCGAGCTGAGGCGATGAACAGGGACCACGGAGAGACACCGCGTCAAGGGCAGAAGCGGCTTGGTGGCTTGAAGTGATCCTTCGATGTCATTATGGTCTTCGGCAACGTAGTAATCTGCATCTCCTTCACCTTTCGATTCTTCATTTCTATTTTGCCCGATCCAAATTTGTTCCTTCACACCCGGCCCGAGGAGACTCGTGAATTCAGCTTGATTTCGTCGCATATAGCCGACAAGCTGCTCGCCCGTCAGCATGCTGCGACTACTGTCGGGCTGAGGATGTTTCACCGCTGGGGCTTCCTGACCCGAACTGTTGGCTACTACGTCCTCGTCAGAAGCCACGTCGAAAGCAGAAAAGCCAAAATCAAACGTGTAGGGGTAACCGTGGCTGTAACAATCCAAGGTCCACAGCATAGCACGAAAGTAATCGCGACTGCGTCTGTCGAGTCCAAGTGGTGCAGCCGCTTCACTTTGGGAAGATGGACAGTTTTTGCCTTTCCCAGCCGCGCCCTTCTTGCCGGAAGAGGCTCCCTTTTTCAGCATCCCCTTACTATTTCGTGCTTTGACATCAGAGCTGCCTCCATCCACTCCGTTTTCATCTCCGAGCAAGATCTCTTCTAGCGTGGACGTGGAGGCAGTTCCAGTGCAAAACCGGTGGTAACAGTAATACCATTTTTGATACACCTTCCCGGACTCCACTTCCTCCAGCGGACTAAAGCGGTACTGGTCCCCACCGCTTTGCGACACGCGGACCACCTTCACGATGCCCCACTTGTCGGGCTCGTGCGCTTGAAAGTTTTTCCGCGCGGTTATTTCGGTGTACTTTCTCCACCGGGCGTTTACGTTCCACGCACCGTTTAAGCTCACCCCGGGTACGTAATCATTCCCCTGGAGCATCGAGAGAAAGGTGAAGTCCCGGCGAAGGGTGAGTTCGTGGTCTGAAGGTTTCGCGAAGAACCCTGATGGCGGCTGCGGACGAGCAGTAGTAGTAGACAACAACGCAGCCTGAAGTTTTCGCACGTCGATGAAATGTGCGCCGGAAGACGGTTTGTTTTTCAGTTTGCCGCCTTCAGCAAAGTTGAAGTAAAGCTGGGACTGGTTTAACCTTTCTGCGGCGTTCAAACCGCACAGCAGCAGGTCGGAATCCCCCCCGAGGATGACGTGACAAAACGTCGGTCGACTAGAACACCACGACGAGGATCCCTTCTGCTCTTCCCTTGCCCTCGCCGCCTCGTAGTATTCTTCTTCGTTGATCGCTTCGATGATCTTGTGCTCCCCCTCCCCGGGCACGTCCGCGTCACTGAACACGATTTTGGTTATCACCTCGCCTCGTTTGCGCACAAACTTCTGGCAAAAATGCGCTTCCACGCGGTTTTTCAGCAACGTCTGCATCACCTCCGTGCCCGGGGTCAGCGCCTGCCGCCAGAAGCTGCTCTCGTCCTTGCGTCGGCGGTCGCGACTGACGAGCAGCTTCGCGCGCGATCCGGGGCCGTCGAAGAAGAGAAAAATGCGGAGTGCAGAGGAAGTGGAGGATGTTCTTTGATGGTCAACATCCAGGTAAGGCGCAACGGCGTCATTCAGTGCGGATATGACTTTGCGCAGAAAGACCTCGATCTCCGCATCTTTTGCCACAGGGTCGTCAAAACGAGCGTCGTGCCAGACGAAGGAGATTTTTTCTACGTCTAGTTTATTTTCCTCGTGATCTTTATTTGATACTCCATCAGGACCAGTACTACTTGAAACAGCCTGCGATCTCCTCTTCTCGCTTGCCTTCTTTTTCGCGCCGCCACGGCTTCCGCTTGCTGTGTGGAGTAGGAAGTTTCCATCGATGTAGAGGTGCGTGGTGCGTGCGGGAATGGTCGCGGCAGTTGAAGCGTCGACCTTTATACCAGGAAAAAGGCCTTCCACACTCGGAATCAACTTGGAAATACCCATTTTTTTCAAAAACTGACGTTCACGTTTGTACAACTCGTGATAAAGAGAGACATACACATCACAGCCTGAGGCTATGTACTATTTTTAATTCAGTGTCAGTACAACAGCGCAGCGCGACTATCTATGATACCCACTCAGGTCGTGGGCACGATGATGATGAGCCTCCTGGGTTCATCGAAAAGTGCACTCTATGTCTAATTGTAATTACCTTGCTCTACTAGGAAGCAAATATCTTCAATCCCCCTAGCCGTACAAACTGTTCCGATCGTTCATAGCAGATCCAAATCTACTTCCTGCGGTTCCTGCTGTTTCGCGCTCGTCACTGGCTCCACCCCACTCAACAAAACGAACTGCTGAATAGAATAAAAGTACGCACTGAGCACGTCGTGCCAAGCGGTGACTGCACCAGACAAGATGCTGCATTTTTTGCGACCTTCTCACTTGAAATCATTGTTCATTTTCGATCCAATTCATAGCGCAGCTACTGTGGTGCTTTCCTCGTTCATTTTTATGCAAAAACGATAGTAGTAGAGCCGTGCTGTAAGTAAACATTATGACAACTTCTACGCGCAACATAGTACCACGACTGCTTCTTCTACCTGTGTTAATGTGTTGATTTTATCGTGTAACTCCTCTACTTTCATCTTTGTTAATACCTATTCTTCAAGTTGTGTCATTTGCTTCCTGCGTTTTTTTCATTCTCTAAAAACTCGACTACGACTTCTATTGATTGTTACAATTAGAGTCTTGATTATCAAGACACTCGGCGTCAACATTTCTCGCTGCACCTCCGGCGTTCAACTCTACAACCGAAAACTGCGAAAAAAAATCGTTAGATGTTGGTGGCCATCTGGAGCTTGACGATTTCGTCCTTTAGCAACGCGTCGGAGTCGTGCAGGAGAAACTTTATCCTGTGCAAAAGTATCGCACTCGTAGTAATTGTATTTATGCATTACAAATCTCTTTTTCAAGGCAGATCAGCATTGCAAATTCAATTTGTAATGCTGGGCTAATTTGTAATGCAATTTATACTAGTGCGATGCTTTTGCATTGCATAAACTTCTCCTGGCAGCAATTCTCCCACTCTTCGACCTTCTGCAGCAATTCCTCGACCAGTTTCTCTTTTTTGCGCCGCAGCCGATTCCGCTGCTGTTCCTCCTGCAAGAGCAAAATCGAGTTGCCCTGTCATGAGGTGATGTGAAGATTTAGGGTTCTTTCTTTGATGCCGCGAGCTAAGTTCCTTCTTTTTATGAGCAAAAAACCTCTCATGCAAAGATGAAAAGAGTAGGTAGGAGCTACATTGCGACTACGACTGCCTACCACGAAACACCGCACGAAAAGGATGTTTCAAATTTAAGCACAAGAGTCAAGTCATCTCAAAGACAGCCTCTACCTTGAACCGATCCGCGCCTTTCTCCTGCGTGTTGGCTTCAAACTCCCTTATTTTGGTTTTCAGCTGCACGCACTGGTCGTATTTGCGCAAGATGATCGCCCGCGCCTCCGTCTTCACCCGCAGGTGGTGACATTCTCGACGCACAAGCAACAACGCCTTCAGCGGGCTTTGCCTCAGCAGCGTAAAACCGGCGAAATGGGGCGAACTGCCAGGGCTGGCGCTGGAAGGTGGTCCGAGGAAGCTGCCAAACGTGGTGGAATAGGAATTGCCTTGCGAGGATGAACTATCGTGGTCCAAAGTCACAGTTGTACTACTCGAGGAAGTTGATGCGTCCACTTCCTCGCGCAGCGACACTGCGAATGTGGCAAACACGTCCGCATCCAGCTGCTGACAAGTCTCAGAGGAGAGTCCTCCTGCAGCTATTCCGCCCGCTCCGAACAACGTTGGTCTACTACTTGTAGTTTCACTGGGAGTTGTACCAGTATCGTTCTTCTCAACACCGCTAAGATGAATCATTCCTGCCCCGTTGTTTATCGGCGTCGAGGTCGTACTACTTGCCGCGGAATGGGAATCCGTGCCAGAACTTTTACAACCGGTCCCGTTGAGCAGGCTCTTCACCCGGGCGGTGAACCCGTTTCTCTCCTCCTCCGGGGTCTGCAGTTCCTCCCACAATTCCGCAAGCTCGACGCGGGCGCCGGCCACTTCCGCCCGGCACTCCTCCTGCAGCCGCTCGAGCTCCAGTTCCAGTTTTCGTACTTCGAAAAACGAGCAGGGAGTTGATGAAATGACGCTTTGAATTTCCTGCTCTGATGTTCTACTTGACGAGCTTTGCTTCTTGTCTTTGTTTTTCGGCGTATTCCCCGTTTTCTTACTCAGATCCACAACAACTACCGGTGTGGACGTCGCAGAGGAGCTTGAGTTTGATGCTCCCTGCTGCTGCCCACGATGCTTGGCCGCCCGTGCGTCGGAGAGGGATTTTATCTGGATAGAAGACGAGTTGCTTTCCTGGTGGTCTACTCCACTCGACGCATCGGAAGTGGTCTGATGTGGCGTTGTTGTACTAGTACTGGCACCCTGCTTACTGCCAAAAGAACCCCCTCCAAACGAACCGCCAGTTACTTGTTGCTCTTGCGACAAGCCCGGTCCTTGTTGTTCCAATCGGTTGTTGTAGCGCGAAATCTCCTTTTGCAGCTTCTGCTTCACGTGTGCGACGGCTCTCTTGACCAGCTGCAGTTCCTGGTTGCGCTGTGCAACTTCGCAAAGGAGATGCTCGCTCCTTTGGTTCGACGCCTTTAGTACACCACTTCCCGATGATCCTCCAGCTACCGACGGAGCAAGTGTCGTAGCCTCACCAGCTCCGGCTCCTCCGGGCAGTGTTGAGGCAACTACTCCACCTGGCGTTAGCAAGTTGCTCGCTTTTTCCTCATCCGTCAGACTCGCTATCTCTCCGTCGACAAAGAGGCGAAGCTCCACTCCGCTCATGGGCGCCCACAGTGTTTTCGGTGGCTGTAGGAAAGTCGCGTCGTGCGCTTCTTGCAGGGAAAAATCGTTTTGCTGCTGCTGCACGGACGCGAGGGTGCGGGGTCCGGGGGTGAAGGAGGCATAGTTGTACTTTGATGTCGCCTGCGTAGAGGAGCTACTGCTGCTCTTCGACACCAGTACCACATCCGATGCTCTCGACGTCGTTGATGTGCTAGCAGATGACTGCCGTTCCGCGCGACCATTTGCAGGATCAACATCAACCTCGGCTTGCTCTTCACCTTCAGCCGGGATGTTGCAGGATCCACCACCATACACGAGCCACTTCTTTGCGATCCTTCCTCCCACCGCTTTCGTTCCCGCCGGGACGAGGTAGAGCTCCTCCGCTAGCAAGCGCAACTGGCTGACCTGTTCGGTCAACACATCCTTTGCCACGTGCTGCAGTTTCTGCAGCCGTTCGTGCAGCGGCAGTGGGGTAGTTGGTACGACAGCAGCTGAATTCTGCTCCGATAGAGAACTGGAAGAGGAAGATGCTGCAGCTCCTCCGATGGGGTGAAAGACGAGTCCATTTGCTGGCCCGGTAGATGAACTTGAGCTTGATGACGTTCCGAGATCTCCTTGATGCTTCTGCGGAGACAAGGTCAACACAGAATACTTGTCAAGCACTGCGGTCAAAGCGGAAGGCTTTTTCCCCCGCGTCGCAGTGGAGGCAAGGATGTTTCCCTTCAGCAAGGACGCATTTATGTTGAAACTACCTGGTGTATTATTTACGGCGTTGCCGTTGGCGCCACATGGCTGCTGTAGCTGCTGGTGTTGTTCTGTCGATGAGTGCGACGTTGATGTTGAACTACCCTGGTTATAAAACCCGTTCTGCTTCACAGTGGTTGCTAGCCGGACGTCATATTTCGAGAGCAGTTCCGGGAAACTGCTTGCAGCCGGTAGTTGTAAGGAGCCACTTGCAGTTGATGTGCCACCGGTATTCAGTGCTTTGCCCGATGCGCCACTGCCACTTGTGTAGTTCTTGCCACCGCTCGCCGAGAAGGTACCAGTAGATGCTGAAGTTGTACCAGAACCCCCAACTGTAATCGAGTAGCACTTGGACAGCCCCTCCTCGAGCCGACCGGCTTCTTTTCTCAGCTGATACCACCGGTACTCTTGGTGCTCCAACTCGTGGGCGCAGATGTCAATGACCCGCTTCTCCAGAATCGACAGCTGGGCTTTCTGCTTCTCCGCGCCCATGCCCACGTCCGACCAAATGTCAAACAGTAGAGCTTGCGCTTTCGCCAAAATTGCCGGCAAGGGGCTGGGCTGTGGTTGCGAAACGGTCGCACTAGCACTGGAGCTGCCTGACGACTGGGTACCACTGCTGCTCTCACTCGTCTTTTTACTGCTGGCTGCGCTGGCCGCGATGGCTTCGTCCGCTAACTCGTAGAGCAACTTGCTCAGCGTGCCCGCTGCGGGCTTCGAGGATGATGTTTTAGATCGTTTCGATGATCCTGGTACGACGAGTGTTGTCGCGAGAGATCCCGAAGTTCCTGATCCACCACCAGGAGTTCCACTATCCAAGTCTTCCATGATGTGGTCACCAGGAGCTCCTCGACTCAGATCATGATCCAAAAAGCTGTTTCTACTACTACTGCTTGCTTGCTCCGCTATCAGCGCCGCGTTTTCTCGCCGCAAGTCGGTAACGGTTTCTTTCAACTGATTGAGTTCGTCCTGCAGGTGATCTGCGGTCGAGTCACGACCTTGCGGGGGGAATATCCTCGCTGTACTGGCGCTTGGTTCATCCGCAGGTCTTGTCCCGCTTTGCCGCAGCTCGTCGTTTTGTTTGCGCAGGTCGAAGTTCTGCTCTTGTAGGAGCCGCAACTGCTCCGAACGCAGATCCTCCTCATTATGGTGATTTCCGGTCAACAGTGAGGATTTCTTGCCATTGCCACTGCCTGGCTTATTCTGTTTTGCCGGAGAGGTGGACGTTGCACTAGGGCCGGCAGAGTTCCCTTCTACCTGCGTAGAAGAGGTAACACCACCTTGCACTTCGTTTAGCAAAGCCAGTTCCTTCTCCACGTGCAGCCGCTGTATTTCCGCCAGCTCCCTCTCCGCTTCCTGCTGCTGGACGTCCAAACGCTGCTGCAAGTCGGTCTGCACCAACTGTCCCTGCTCGATCTCAGCCTCCAGCGACTGCAGGCGCGTTTTGAGCGCTTTCGCCTCGGAGAACGCCTCGTCCAATTGGTCCAGCGCTGCCACGCACACCGTGGCCACGTTGCGGTGCGACTGCAGCTTCTCAAATAGCTTCGCCCCGAAGGATGTTGTAGCACCTGCTCTATCGCCAGTACCACTAGCAGGCCACCTTGAAGTAGTAGAACTACAAGTAGCGCTGCTGCTAGTGGAAGTACCTGTACCATTATCCCCTTGCAGTAACTCTGCGAGCTCCTTTTGCGTTTCGGCGATCCGGTCGGTGTCGTACTGGAGCTCGGCTTGCAACGTTTCTTTCTCCTCCCGCAGCATTTGTTCGTCGTCGCCGTTGGTCAACAGCTGCTTTTGCAGCTCTTCGTTTAACTGCTGGAGTTGCGAAACCTTATCGTCCCGCTCTCGCAGGTCTCTTTCCAGTTTCGTGTTGGCGTCCTTCAGCCGTTGTGCGCGGGCCATCTCGCGCTCCACCCACAATTTTCGCTGCGCGATCTCCCCGCTTAGCAGCTGCGTTTTGTTCGTTGCATTGGAGGTTTGTTCAACACCTCCCGCTGTAGTACCACTAGTAGTACTGCTCCCGCGGGGATGTTGCAGTTGCGTCGAGCCGCTGGAATGTCTAGTTCCAACCGGCGTTGCTGCGTTAGAAGCTGCAGCTGTACTATTCCACTTCAAACCACCAAGTCCGAGTGGTGTTCGCGGCTGCGAGGTTCCAACCAGCAAGGGCGTCGCAGCCCCGGACCGGAGCGTGGACGTCGACCCACCACTGACATTCGCGGGGTAGGTTACCGGCGTGCCCGCGAGCACCTGTTGCCTCCGGATTTTACTGGTCAGCGCGTTGTTTTCCTCCTGCAGGTTTTTGTACTTGGCCTGCCACTCCTTCTTCCACTTCCGGAACCGGTTCTCCTCCTGCCGCACCCGGTGCTGGATGGTGTCGCGCTGGCCCCGGAGGCGCGCGATCTCGTCGCCCATCTTCAGCATCCTCCGTTCCTGCGCCTCCTTGGCGCGAAACAGCCGCTGCGCCTCCTGCTGCTGCCGTTGCAGCTGCGTCAAGTGCCGGTTAACCTCCGCGAGCTTGCCCTGTAGCAGCGCCTGCTTCTGATTAGAACTACTACTTACCGGCGTTGGAGTTGTTGTAGCACTACCAGACAGCGGACCAGTGGTGGTACTACTGCCCTTTTCCGAGATTTCCTTTTCCAGTTTCAACTTGTCCGCTTGCACATTCGCGATTTGGTCCTCGAGCTCCTTGCACCGGGACTCGTAACGCTGTTTCATGCTGTAAAATGCCCTTTCCTGGAAACAGAGCTGCTCCATCAACTTCTCTTTTTCTGCTATAGCCTTCTCCAAATCCACCATGCGCTCCTGCAAATTTATCAAAGGGAAAAATCCCCCCTCCCCATATCGAAAAGGCACGTCTCAAGAAATTTGTAATGCTGATTGGTGACCACAGATCGTCTCTGTCTTGCAAGAACGCAACCCCACAGGCTCCGCCGCATTCTGCAGGCGGTTTGTGATGCTGTTGGCCCTACAGACTAGACGTTTGCCATGCTCAGCGCCTAGCCCAAAACCTCCCTACTCAGGGTCAGCATAGGCGTGCAGGCCTCTCTAGCAGGACAAATCTGATTTGTGTACGCAAATCCAGCATCAGAAACTTCGTTTTGATATGGGGAGGGGGGATTTTTCCTCACAATAAAATTCTGCTGCTCCTTCCGAAACGTCTCTTCCTCGGCCTGATCCGTGGCCGCGTGGGTGAGGTCCTCGAGCTCATCCATGTCCAGGGGCGGCTCTTCCGCTGCAGAAGCTGTGGCGGCGCTGCCGGTATTGTTTGATGTTGCCTCTCGAGGAGCTGTGTTGGCAACGAGGATCTGTTGCGATGAAGATGCATCGACGAGGACCTGCGCGCGACTCTGTGCGATCACGCGCTGCAACTCGGAACTGTTGTTGTTTGCGATCTTCTGATCGGCCACCGCTTTTTGCAGTCTGCTCTCTAAATTCCGAATCCGCTTTTTCTGGTCGTCGATCTCTTTCAAGTACGCTTTCAAAGCTTTTTTCTCCAAGTCACCTTCCCCGTTGCTCGCCAAATCGTTTGTGTCACCATCGTCGTCAGTCGTGAACAGCTTACTGGCCATGAAATTGTGCTGCGCCCGCAGTTTCTCCGTTTCCTCCGAGGCCTCGCGCAGCTTGATTTTCAATTCGGTGTTTTCGCTCTGGAGCTGTTTGTTCTCTTTTCCAAACCGGTCCAGCTGCTCCCGCAGTTCCGCCACCACGTCGGAAATCTGCCCGTCGGAACGCATCGTAGCCGATGTAATTCCGCCGGCACCACGGCCGCTCATGTCCGTTTTCGCAATCAACAGTTCCAGCTGCAGCTCCTGGATGCGCTATCCAACAAAAAAACTCTGTTCGTGTAACTTTGCTTGGCTGACAGCATCACAAATTTGCTCTACATGACAGCGAAAACCGGTCATGCGTTGCTTGTAAGGGAAAACACACATGAAAAGAGGACTTCATGGCTGTCTGGCATGACAGGCGTAACTCTGTTGCATGTTCTGCATATACAAAGTTACACTTACACAGTTTTTTTCTTGCATATGCGCTGCTTCATTTTCACCAGTTCTGCGTCCTCCACGTTGAGATTTTGGGAAACTTTGTTCTTAATATTGCGCGCACGGTTGGCGTACCTGGGTTGGTGGAGTTTTTTTGTCGACAAGGCGATAGGTATTGAACATCCAACCATAATTGAACTGAACACGATCAATTGCGATTCCTTTTTCATTTGGTAGAAAGAAAACTCGTAGGCCACGGCGGATCATCGATCAACAAGCAGCAAAAAAACAAGTACTTACTTCAATGTGTTCAAACTTTCTCCGAAGTTGACGTCTGCCGGACTGACGCACGCGAGCATTACGGTCCGGGAATTCCCCCCCAGACTGTCCTGCAGGAGCCGGGTGAGGCGGGAATCGCGATACGGCACGTGCGCCTTGTTCAGACTCGCGTCCCCGAGCGCCGCAATCACGTTTCCTAGTGCGAGCAGGCCCTCGTTAATCGCACGAAAAAAGTACTACAGGTACACACTTGTTGTCAATTCAGCAACACATATTTCTCTGCATGAGAGAGAAAACTTGCAATGCAGAAATCCTAAGGGAAAACACCTATGAAACGAAGCACCTATGCATATCCGGCATGACAGAGCTGCTCTGTCTTGCTTGGCCTGCAACACAATGTGTAACTGCAACACTTTTTTCTTGCGATATGGTTGATCGCCACGCCCTCCCGGAACCGGTCCCCCATCGTGCCGGTCTTTTTCACGCGCTCGGACCCGGCAAGGTCCACAAACCGCAGCTTTGCCGTCAGGCAGTCGCCGTCCTGCTTCTGCCGTTCCACAACGACGGAAAACACCGCGTGAGACCTTTTCATTCGAGTTCGATGGGGAGTTGATGTTGTCGTATTGTTTTCATTTCTTGATCAGGTCTAGCGGGAATAAGGATCGAATTGGAATTCCTGGCCATTTGTAGAAGAGAGACCTCTACGTCAGAAAACAACATATACCTCGAGGAGTAGTCGTTCATTAGAGTTGCGCCGGTGGTTCTGTACACAGCACCCCGGTCCAGAACTTTCAGGAGGTCACTGGCCGTTCGCACCTCCACTTCGCGGAGTCCGGAAACGACGACGCCTTGGCGGGGTTTCAAATAGCCTTCAACAAATACCGAGTGTCTAGAAAGAAATAGCAACAACATGAATCGGGCACTAACTCGTGCGGCCACAGCAGGTGGAACGCGACAACTGCATACAGCGACTTACGTAGGGCTAGGGAGCAGCAGCTAACAAAACAATTATTCTTCCAAATTTTCATCTCCCTACAGCATTCTTTTTAACCTCTTACCTCGTTCCCTGTCTTCCCGAATCACAAGCCCCTGCAAAGAAGAAGACGAAGCCCCCGCCGCTCCACCACTAGAAGTTGCTGTACTTGCAGCCGACAGGCTGCTGTGCATTGCAAAAGCATCGCACTAGTATAAATCGCATGACAAATTTTCTCAGCATGAGAAACTGAATTTGTAATGCAGATTTGCCTTGAGAAAGAGATTTGTACTGCACGATTGCAATTACTACGAGTACGATACTTTTGCACAGGATAGCTGCTACTAGCCAGCAAGTCCTTCAACTCCTCGTTGTGGAGTTCGAGAAAACTGCACCGCACCAAAAACTTCTCCGTCTTCCGCTTTTCCATTTCCGCGAACAAGCACTGCACGAACTTGGGGATCATGCCCGACTGCGCGTCCCCCAGCCCGTTGTGGACCGCCTGCGCAAAGCTGCCCAGGGTGTAGGTCTTCCCCGCGCTGGTCTGCCCGTAGGCGAGCAGACTGGCGTTGAGCCCCTCGAAGACGCCGGGCACCAACGGGCGGCAGCACGTCTCAAACACTTGCTGCTGTGTCGAATCGGTGCCGAACACGTAATCAAAGGTGTACCGCTGCTGCCCAATCGCAACAACCGGGTCGAAGTGGGGTGTTGCGAGTGTTGAGTGTAACGCCCCCGCCGACGTAGTTGCAGGGTTGCTGTTGTCCAGCGAACTGCTGCCATTCGGACAAACAACGCACTCCGCGCACCCGTTCTGGGCCTCGCGGCTGATCAGCGGGCGGATCCGAACCGCTACTTGCACCCGCTCCATCGTAGAAGCTGCGTTGTCCGCAGGAGGCGGATCGTGGTCGGCGATATAGCTGAGCTGCTCCGTGCTTGGTTTGGTGTCTTCCATGACTTGCGAGCCGTCCTCAGCAAAGTCACAATCTGCTTTGCCTCCTGCTGCGGGTGATATTAGAGTTGTATCTTCCGACGACCCGGCAGCCTTCATACTCGAGCTAGGCCCAAACCCAGTTTGTCCTACAAGCTGCATCGATGTTGAAACTTCTGGTTTATTCGTTACCGCGACGGGCGAGAACCTGGGTTGTGCCAACCGGCTTCGAGCGGAGGTCACCACGACCGGGTCTGAGGTAGTGGACGGCACAGTCTGTGGCTCCTCACCTGTTCGCGGGGTTGTCGTTGCCGCGGCTGCAGCTTTCGCGAGGTATTTTTCCTTCAGCTTTTGCACGTCCTCAACCGAGGTTGTTGTGGTCTTGTTGCCGACAAAGGTCTGCGGCAACATCGGTGAGAGGACCGTGTGTGCCTTCTCTTCATGCGCCAAAAGTTCCGAGTCGTCCTCGCTCGGCACCTCTCCTCCGGAATCGCTCTCCGCTGGAACATTAGCTTCCAGCTGGCGCTCATTGGTGTCGACAAAAAACGCGGCCTCGTTGGTAGTTGCAAACGTAGCAATTTCGGACCCACAATGAAGATCTCCGCCACTTGGCCTGACGTAGGAAGAGCCCGAAGTAGCTGGTGCTGGAGCGGCTCCTGCTCCCGCTCCGCCGCCGAAGCTATAAACTCCGGTCCGCTCCTGCGGTGCCACTTGCGCCGAAGGGAGAACATCAAAACTCCTGTTCTTGCTGCTCACACGAGAAGAGGAAGCGGCCGGATCACCACGCAGTGGCAGTCTACTTTCTGCAGTGTTTATTGATGAAATATCTTCGTTTGTGTCCCCGTTTATCGCCGACGTGGCCTGCTGGGTCGTCCTCGTCGTCCTGCCGGAAGCAGGGTACTCTACAACTCCTCGCGCCGAATGCAAACTGAAATTTTCGGAAAGCTTGATTCTTTTCCGGGCCTCGTCCACACGCTGCGAAAGTTCTGCCATGTACGACCCCGTGAGCGAAATCGACGCACTTGAAGTCGTCGACGGGGCTGCACCAAATGTTGTCGCCGAAACAAGACTGGTTGTTGTACTCGTCGCGGCGGCGGAAGCAGAAGCCGTACCAACCGATGAACCACCGAGCTGTTGCACCACCTCTCGGTGCCTCTCCACGGGCGACGGCGCGACCGCCACTGGAAGATCCACTGCCGAGGAAGAGGTAGCGGGGCTGCGTCCGGTGATTGCGCCGCCGTGCGGCTCCCGAGCCATGGTGCGCGGCGGTGGCCAGAATGTTGCTGCTGAAGAACGCTCTTGCTGGTCAGCGGCAGAAGTCTGCACAGAGGTGGTGGTGGGGGCTCCTGCAGATGTTGACGATTGTGCTGTCTTAATATTACCGGTTCTGGCGCTGGAGGACGACGAAGAAGACCCTCCGGCTTGGAGAATGGAATACTTTGCCGGGTCGATGTGGTAGGTGCGCGCTGCTGCCCCATTTTTGCCGTGGTACAACGGCTTTTGGTGGAGCTGTAACTGGTGACGCTGCGCAGAATGGGGGTGTTGCTCCTCGTCCACGAGCTGCCCTGTTGTAGCTGAAACGGTCGCGGCTCCGTGTTGGGTCGTCGAGAGTAGTCTGGAGCGCTGGTCCAACCCCGAGTCGACGAGAAGCCGTTCTCTCTGCGAAGGACTCACCGGAGCGCGCCGGCCCCGGGACGGAGATGCACGCTGTGTCATGCTCAAAGTAAAAAGGAGGGAACTTTTATCGAAGAGCCGAGTTGTTCTTCCCGTGCTGTGTTCTCTGTCTATGGTGCCTCGTTCACGTGTTGAGCACTACAAATTTCGGAAAAAGTGTCGAAATATAGACGAACCAGAAGCACAAGAAAAACGAGCTGAGGAGCAAACAGGTGGTAATAGCTTTCAAGCTCTGAAAAGTAGGGACGTGGAGAGGCAGCTTTTTTTTTCCTCTTTGCTCTCGAAGACCTCCGCTTTCAGCTACAGCAGAAGCTTGTGAGATAGACGGCTTCGCTCTTTACAGCTCGGTGTACAGGCCAGCAGACGAGGGAGGTGGGCGTGAAGGTGAAGGTGTGCGAAAGGAGGTCTGTGATAAAATTTTGAAATTTCGGCACCACTCAACATTTGCACGGTCGCGAACACAAAAGCCTGGGTGGCATCAGAGCAAGACCATCGACCCATCGCTACAGCGACGCCACTTGCGGCCCTGCCACTAAGACAGGACCCCCTGCTTGGCTTCTAGTTGGTTCTTGCGTGACAAGTAGCGCGCTACTGTGGTATTAAGCCATCACTCGGCCCCGTATGTCGGGGCCAAGCAATACACGAATCAAAGTCTGCCGTATGCGAGCGACATTGATGGAGCCAGCGATGCGGGGCAGGCGGTCGGTATATCCAACCAAGCAACTGGCCCAACGCGGCCACTGCAAGTGGGCACACCGGACGCATACTGCCGGGGCGCCCGTGCAGGCGCACGCGTGCGCGTGGGTGGCGTGGCCGGCGGGGCCGCACCAAGCGCGCCCGCCGAAGAGCTAGGCGGCCAATGTTCGCCCGCGTAGGGCCCCCGGGCAAACAACGCGGAGGGCCCTGGCGCGCGGCCGGGCCCAAAGCTGCGGCGCGCATGCGGGCCGGGGCCGGCCGCGCGAATACTTACTGAAAGCACTCCCCAGCTCCGCGCGCCCCTAAAATCAGGCGGAAAACGCCCGGGCGGTTTTCCTTTCTAATAGTTCTCTAATTTTTCCGGTTTTGAAAAAAAAAGGCCCACCCAGATTCCCCATCGGCGGACCAGGCGAAGAACGTCAGTGGGAAGGAGAGCCCAGCGAGGCGCGGAGGCAATGTCGCGAAGAGGAGAAACCCAGACCATGCTAAAGACATCCCCAAAGAGCAAAGCTGGCGGCCCACTAGACGATACGCCAAAACGCATCGGCACAACCCCGACCACCGAGAGGAAAAATGCCGCGGCTCGAATGACATTTCCGACGAGGAAATCGCCACGGCCTGACGAGATGGACTGCCCACAAGACCTTGCGCATCCAATCTCCGCTCTCCCCTCTGCAGTCGCCCTCTAATTTCGCCCTCTAAAGTTGTCCTCTCATTTCCCTCTCTAAAGTCGGCCTCTAATTTTGCCCTCTAAAACGCGTCTCTAAAATGCGTCTCTAAAACGCGTCTCTAAAATGGCCTTCTAAAATCGGCCTCTAAAAGTGGTCTCTAAAAGTGGTCTCTAAAAACCACCTCTAAAACCCAACTCTAATTTTTTCCCGGATTCCTCTAAAACGTCCTCTAATTTCCCGCCCGGAGGCGGAAAATACCGGACGTTGTCCCGCCTCTAAAAAATCTTCTAAAATCACCGGTAGCGCAAAATCCCGTAGGATTTGCGTGTTTTGTGATTTTAAAAGGTGCGGGTCCGGGACTTTAGAAGCCGAAAATGCCCGATTTTAGAAGCCGAAAACGGACAATGTTCGGATCTTCTAAAATTGGGCTGGCCGAAATGTCCATACCAGAAGTGCGCGGCTTTGGACGGTCTTGGAAGATGATGTTCGAAATCCATGTCGAACATCATGTTCCGAGGGCGGGAGAACAACGTCTTCAACGCCAAGAGAAGCACAAGCCAAAACACCTGCGGAATGCGAAGTGGCAACGCACACAGATGCACGCCACTTCGCACGCAACACCAACACAAGCTGAAGTCCAGCCCTCGGGTCGGTGCGCCATACATCACCCAAATGACCACCGAGCAACCTCTTCCGGAAACTCCGAAGGGCCCGGAAAAATTGCGCGGCCCCCTTTACACCGGAAAACGGCCCAAATTTTTAAATTTTAAAACTTCGAAAGCGAGAGGGCATCGCGCCAATGGCCAACCTAACAAGCGGGAGGCCGAACAAAGGAAAGACACAGCCAAGGCGCGTGGCGGGGCGGGCAGGGTCTGGCTATTGCCCTCAGGCGGTTGCCGGCCGGGCCCGCCAAAACGGGCGCCCGGAATTTTTGAAATCCCGGAAATTTTAGCGGATTTTTAGCAGGGAAATCCGCCCGGGGTGTCTCCGCGTGACTAAAAAAATCGCGCGCGGCCGGGAGCGGCGCCCCGGCCGCCCTTCCGCTCTGAGTTCGCAGGCCCCCGAGGGGGGGCGGGGCCGGCGACCGAGGCGACGGCCAAAGCCGTAAAACCGCGCAGGCAAACCGGGACCCCACTGCCCGCTTCTCTTCTGAAGTTTGAACGTCCACCAGAAGACCACAGACCCGACAATATCAGCCCGCGCACTTGGTTCCCATTTTGCTCCGGGGAAGATGGACGGAGGCCACGCAAGCAGGCGCCGATAAAAAAAATCCTCGCGATCCCAGTTATTTTGCGCCAACTTCTCCAAAGAAATGCCGCGCTTAAAAAGCCGCGCGCCCGGCAACCAGGAACGGGCCCACCGGGCCCGGCATCATCGCCGCCGTTGCTCCCGCCGCTGCTGGACCTGCGGGGCGACCTCCGAGAACCTCGTGCCCCAGTATCCGGCCGGTGTGTCCCGGAAAAAGCGACTGCCAGTTGAGTGCGCCAATGGTGGGGCCCCGGATAGGCGGCAGGCGCGGCCAAATGTTTGCGATGACCGGGGTGGCCTCGTAGAGCGTGAACCCCATCACATGGGCCGAGCCCTGCCGGGGGATAGGCGGGTCGGCCGCGTTGCTGCGGCGGGGGGTTCCGTGATTTCCAAAAGCCGCGCAGCGTTCGCCCGCGCGGAACTGCAACGGCGCCCGTCATGCCGGACGTAATGCCGGAGGCAGCGGCGGCTGCGGTGACCGGCGCGGATTACGGCGGCCGCCGCGAGTTTGCGCACCCCGTCGCCCGACCACACTGATTTCCTGCGCCCCACGCCTGGGGGGGCGGGGCGGAAAAGCCGAGGCGCGACGCGCAGCGCCCGGCGCGCTTCACGCACGCACCCACCCACGGCCGGCCCCAGCGGCGAAAATAGGCCCCCGCGCTCCCCGTGTAGCTGAAGCACTCCCGACCGAGCACAACGCTGCGGCAGCCTCTAACCGCTTCCCGCGTGAGCACGTCGCGGGCCTGCGTAAGCGTTCCGAACCGGCTCCGGATCGTTAACTATCGGCCAGGCCATCCGAAAAGCACCACCACGGGCACACGCCGCGCGCTTCCCGCACAAGTTCCCCCATGCCTCTCCCTCCGCTCTCCAGCAGGAAGCCCGGGCGGCGCCAGGTTGAAAACTACAGGCGGAGGCAAGGGGCTGGCCCGCCCGGGTGCTTGGTGGATCCGCCCAAATACGGGCGGCTTTCCGCGCGCGCCATAGAGGGGCGCGGCCTAAAGGGCCCCCGCCTTTGGGTTCAGCGAGGCCCACACTGCTGAGCCTGTGAATGTAGACAGTCGGGGCACAAGCTCCCATCAATCCCTGGACTTCATACGAAAACGAGAAGCATTGGGAAACTGAACACAATATACCTCACAGCCGAACACTGTTGTCTGGTTTCGGCCACCGAGGCCCTAGCGCTAAATTCTCTTTTTCATTATTCCAAACTCGGCTGCAACCACGCCGCGTGTTTTTTATTTTCCACAGAGATATGGTCTTCTTTAGACGTACTATCATGTCGAATCTACTTTGAGATTTTTCGTGATGGATTCAACTCCAGGCCTCTTTCTACTCTACTCATTTTGGTGAGCTTCCACCAAGTGGCACTCCAGAAAGTAGTCAACAACCGGCAACATCCCAAGAAACAAATCTGCGTTGTTTGCCACATCACTGGTACTACGTGGTTGTGCAGTAAAAAAATTGTCGCTCGGTCGTCTTCGCTGTTAGGTGCTCTTCATTTGTTTTGTATTTAATTCGTTTTGCTACTTCCAGAAATCGTACCGCTTGATAGCAACCTCCTCATCGTCCGCATCACCTTCCTTCGCACAGATAACCACCTCGGCCTCGTGCTCCAACGCGTTGGGTTCGTTTTGCTTCGGCTGCCACCGGCTCCGCACGAAGCCCAGCAGAAAGTTCGGTCGCACCGCCTCGCGCAAGTACAGGGCTGCCGGCTTTGGGGAATTCTGGAAGACCAGGTCCAGGACGAAGTTCACTGTGTTCTCAAACCGGTTACACAGGAACACCGCGTCGTTTGGGTCTAGTTTATTGATTTCTGTATCCAGAAAAACCCTTCGCTTCCTTTGATCTTCATCGTCGGCTACAATTTCTTCATCCTCATCGTCGGGGACGAGATGTTCTTCTGCATTCTGCTCCAGTGCGTCGACGTCCTCTTGCGACTTCCCATTTTTAGAATAGACGTTGCTCTGCTGCTGTCCTCCCTCACTCCCAGTTTGGCTAACCTCTTCTTCCTCGTTCTCCTCCTCGCTATTCATGGCGGCCCGCTGCCGCTGAATCTGCCGCTCCACTTTCTGGTGCAGCGGCGCCAGACTGGATTTCAACTTTTTCTGGTAAATGTTCCCAAACAGGCTTGGATTGGCGTCCCCGAGCACGGCCTGTGAGAAGAAAGATATTGAAGAGAGGATGAGTTACATGTAGGGTTATCTACGTCTAGCGCGAACGAAAAAAGAGCACCAATAAATTTTATTGTTCCCGTCCACACCAACATCGTGCGAGCTGCATAGATAAGTCAATGTCTTCATTCGATAAATTTACAACATCTTCACCGACACAAAGCACCTTCATTTTTAAAAAACTGATCTTATTCAAAATACCGGCGCAAGCTGCGGGTTTTGTTTCAAAAAACGAAACATCTCCTGTTCCAAAGCCCGTTTTTCTGCTAAAAAGCGCGGCTTATTTTTCTGCCCGTCGTCCTGAAGAACATCGTCGTTTACGTCAGCCTCGATCGACTCAGCCTCGTCCTTTTCCGCCTCGTGCAAGGCAAGCCAAGCCCCCATAGCATTCACCGATACGAACGAGGTTGTTAGATGGGAAGGTGACTCGGCTGCGATGTCATTTGCTGCGGCTCCGTGTTGTAGGTAGTGAAAAGGTCTAGTATTTTCATCATCTCCGTGTAGAGGTTGTAATTCAGTTGTTCTGTAGTTATCCAACAAACCATGGTCCATGACGCAAGGAGCCCCCGCAGCCGTGACCAGGTCGTGCGATAACTTGTAGCTCTTGCTTCCGTCCGCGAAGCGCACCGAGACCCAGCCGTTCCGATGCAGCTGAAAGTGGCAGCCCCGGGCCCCGCCGTGCACCGTCACGCTGGCCACGATCGACGGCGCAAAGTACAGATCAAATTCCTCGTCTCGCGTCGCCGTGTGGAGGAACGGTTGTCGTTGTGGTCCTTGCAGCTGCTCTTCCTCCTCGACAAGCATGACCGGCTCGAAATTACGATTTGGATTTTGTTCCGCATCCGATTTAATATCTTCGTTCACATCTTCTGGTTGTAGTTCGAAATTTCCTGCGCCTCTTTCCAGATTCAGTTGGTTCCCTCGCGCGCGGGTAGAAGTAGCACCACTCATGTCCAGCTGCGCTAGAGCTTCCTGTACCGCCTGCGTTCGGCGCTCCGGAGGAGGTCCTCCGGAATTCATTTTCGGGTGGATCTGCTCCCTTGCCTTGGCAAAAATGTGCGCTTTCTGATTCAACAAATACTCCGCGTCTACTTCAACAACCGGTCCATCTTCGAGGTGCGGCGCGTCTCGCTTTCGTTCCCGAATCAGTTCCAATCCCTCTTCGTCAACCAGCAGTGCCGGATCGCTGTGGTGCACCAGCACGCGCAGATTCTGGTCGAAGGTGCTGTCGCCTTCGTCGTGCTCTTGGATCGTGCAGTGTCGGTGTCGGTACGCGCACAAATTGGCCACTTTGTAGAGGAACTGCACGCCAAGCACGTACTGGGCCAGCAAGTCGTAATTCCCCACGACCAAGTCCTTGGTAATTTTCTCGTGGGGGAAAGTGTGCGACAGGAGACCGGGCATGGACAAAATGTTCACGGCTTGTTCTACTACTTCATCCCTCTTGTTGTGCGACACTGGATTTAGTGTTTTCGGGGCAGCTGACGAGGGAACCAGATCTTGACGACGTAGATCCGGTGCATGATCTTCGACCTCCCTCGGCTCCTCGGCCGACGGCGGAGGTACTGCCAGAAACCGGGGATTGACATCGTAGCGACCAGCGAGGGTTCGCTCGATCTGCATCGGGTAGCCGTGCTGGTCCGTCGTGGTAATTTGCTGCGCATCACTGCTCTTGAACGCCACCGCCAGATTGCCGGTTTTTTTTCCACGCTGCGTCATCGCCTTGCTCAACGGCGTCTTGATCGGTAAAATCTGCCGTTTGTATAGTGCTCCTCGCTGTGGCGGACCAGCAGATGAAGCAGCGTCTGGCTGCGGTCCTGACACAGCACCTGCTGTTGTACTACTTCGCATAGACGCAGAAGTAGAGGAGAAGTTATTTTTCCAAAAATCCGGCCGATAATCATACGTGCCCACGAATAAAGACGAGCTCATCTTTTCCTGTTCGGTCGTCCCAGAAGGAGGAGCCGCGTCCTGGTTACTGCGCCGAACAACTAAACTATCCGCCACCGCGGTGTCTAAGTTGTTCCCTCGCATCTCTTCAAATTTGGTTTGCCTCGCCACGTGTTTTTTCACGGGCGTCAAATTTTCCTCCAGAAACGAGGCCAAATCCTTCCAGACCAAATCTCGCGGGAAGAATTTCTTGTCCGGCCAGGCTGTTGTTGACGCTCCTCCAACCCGAGGCGATTGATGTTCCTCCGCCGGTAACGGTAGAAGTTGCTGCTCTTGCACTGTCGTTCCAGCACTATGCGCAGCTGCCACGCAGACGGCGAAACCGACGTGCACCCCGGGGCAGGCGCCCGGCAATCGGGTGTGCAAGATCAAATGGATCTGCTGGTCGGAAATCGTTCCCCGACTGGACAAAAAGCTGTCCACTTTCCAATCCGTCATCACCTTGTGCTTTTTGCTTTGCGTATTGCACCACTCTCGCAGCCAGGTTTCCACGATCCAGAGCAAGTCCGCCTGTTCGTACACCGACCGCAGCGCCGCGGCGGGGTTTTGCCACCCCGAGTTCAGCAGGTAGGTAAGGCACGGAGTCAAGACGCTGCCGGGCAGCTGCTCGGAATTTATTTTTCTCTTCAAATTATTCTTGTTATGCCGGAGTCGGGGCAACGACGGAGGATGTTTGTCCGCTTCTCCAACCGCGCTGGCGTCACAACACCTCTGCGTAATGCCCGCGCGCAGCCGGCCGCTGGGACCCGGGAGCACGCTCGCCGTCATACGCACGTTATTTTGATGCGTTCTTTCCGGAGGTGCCGCTTTCGGATTGTCTAGTTGCACCCGTTCTTCTTGCACCTCGGTTGGAACGACCGGCAATGGTACCCTGGCGGAGGCGACGCCGGGTTTCCCCACTAGATGGTGGGGCGCGTCCGCTTCAGCGAAACTGATCGTCAACGCAATTTCTCGTGTGGGGTAGCTGAATAACGGCATGCTCAATCTCGAGACGATTTCCCGATCCACACTACTCAAATACTTGGACGTCAACACGCATGCCCACTCGTAGGGGGTGCGCCCGCCGTAGAAGGAAAGCAGTCTGCTGTAGTTGTTGTACTTTATTTCAGCATAATTTTTATCGTTTGTCGTGGTCGCCGGGAATAAAGAAGAACCTCCTCCGAGAACTATTTCTTTCGGACCCGCGTTCACAGACCGCGTCTCTGGCAATCGGAAGCGCTCCACTTCCTCTACCGCTTTGCGTAGCAATTGCAGTCGGTGAGTGGCCTCGAGAAAGCCCCAAAAGTACTTGAAGCCGTTCGAGGATTCGTACCAGGCGGTGACTTTGTCAAAGGAAGCGCAGTCATTGTCCTGCTCGTAGCGGAGCTGCTGCTTCTGCTCCTCGTTCAAGAGAGCTGGCGGCTTTTCACTCGGTTGTTCAAAATAAGTGGCGGAAAATTTTCCCACCACGGCCGGTGAGTTGCCGTCGTTCTCGTTGTTTATGTGGAGGTGGTCATGAACCGCATTGAAACACGTCAGGGTGAACGACCGGCGTTCAGGCGAAGAATGAACTACGTCTTTGTTCATTTTTGACAAAACAAAAGACAAGTCCTTTGTCGCGCGATCCAGCGGTTCGAACGTATCAATAAAGTCGGGGAATTGTTCTTTTCGCGGGTAGTTTTTGTTTTTGTTGTTTTCTGGATTTTCATTATCATCTCTGGGGAACAAATCAATCCGGCCCGTTTTTTTCCCTCGCCGATCGTCAAACAGGCTTGGCCGGACGCACAGTCGAAGAAAGTTCCCGCGAATCATAGTGTCTAATACTTCTGTACGTGTACCAGCAGAGGCTGAGACTACGTCGCTCGGGATTTTTTCCAGGACTAAACTCACGCTGTGAGTGGTCCTACTCCTGGGAGAGTGTTCTTGATCTTCGCCATGTAGCAGCATTGTCGCCGATCCTTGTGCTGCACTTCCCTTCTCATGATTTATTTCCGAAAAATTCTCCTCGAGTTCTTCTTCTGCACCTCCAACTGCCATTAACTCCGGGAACATTTTTTCCATCGAGGGGATGGTCCAGTTGTACTTCTCGTCGCCGTTGGGTTCTTGAATTTCCCGAGTCATCTTCACGTCCTTCACACTGCTCAGACGCGCGGTGAAAGCCTCGAGGTCTTCCAGCGACGTGTTGGTGACCTTATTTACCTTTTGGAAGTGGTTTTCCACAAAAGCCCAGAACGCCATCGGCTCGCGGGTCTGCCGCAGGGGCCAGGACTCCGAGCCGTCGAAGCAGGGTCCGAACTCGCTGGGCACGCTCGCGATCCCGGGACCCGCGGGCCAAACGAGTTCCACGTGCGTGACCTCCTCGCGGTTCAGTCGGATCCGCAGGTCCACAGTCTTCAGAGTCCGGTGCCCCAGCACAAGCAACACTTCCTCGTGCCGCAATGACTTTCGCTTGCTGACAGAAGTTGTGCCAGCAATCGAGGACCCACCAGTTGTACCAAGTCCCACGCGGCCCCTCGGCGTCATCTTCCCACTCGCTTTTGAAGATGTAGTTCCACCCGCAGATGAAAGGGCCTGATTCACAAAAATTTTCCGCTTCCCCTTCATCCCAGAAGGTTCTTGCACGTCGTCGAGAAATGCCTTCACATCCCGCTCCTCACTCGAAAGGCCGTTCACCGGCCCCAGCGTGCGAATGCTTTCGCGCAAAAACCAGGATTTCGTGAAGGGCGACGAATCGAGATTCTTATTTTTACCGTCAATTATTTTTCCGTTGGTCCTCTCGCCAGGGCTCTCGTTGTTCCTGGTGTTGCTCTTGGTGTAGCGAGGCAGTTGCCCCGGATTATTCTGATACACCCCGAACGGCAGCCACCCTCGCTTAGTGTCTCTGTTGGTTTGCCACCACTCCCGCCCCAGCCGCTCAAGCTCCTCGTCGTAGAGCTGGGCCAACAAAACATGCAGTCGGGCGAGAAATCCAAGATTACCAAACACAATAGCCAGGTCCTGTATGTCGGGCGGAGAAGTGCTGTGTTTCCCGTTTATTTTCATCTCGTGCAAATCCCCCCACCGCTGCAGTGCCCCGCAGGACTCAAATTGCAGCGAAGAGGCGAAGTTGCGCTTCTTCTGCTTCACAATTGCCCCCGTTTTTCGGTCCCGGTACTTCATGACCACAAAATCCTCCGCGGGGGGTTCGAGCCAATGCTTTTGTTTCAGCGATACCGCGACAGAAAGCAAGTTTTCTTCCAGTCTGGTGTTCCTCTCGGCTATTTTTACACCAGCATCTCCGTCATCGTCGTCGTTCTCCACACCTTTACCTTCATCTCTGCTCACATCCGATAACTCAACATCTTCTAAATTGCACACGATGTACTGCACTGGGGGGCCCGTCGGGTAGTTGTCAAGAGGTTCACTACTACTACTTCTTCGCATTTTATTCTTTTTCCGCTTGTTTTTGTTTCCTGTCGCGTTTTTTTTCCCTATTTGTCGTCGTCCTGGTGAAGATGTGAAGACCCCGTCATAATTCATCGCAGCGTAAAAAAGCCGATTCTCCTCCTCCGCCAGGTAGGTCAAGTCCGGAAACTTCGATACGAGCTGCTTCAGTCCGCAGACCGCAACCGCCTGGTCAAGTGCGATTCGCTCGAGTTTGTACAACAGCGTCTGCAACGTGTCCTTTCCCAGCATCATGTCGTGCGAAACCTCGACTTTTTTCTCCACTTCTGCGACGTCGTCCGCGACCCAGCAGCACTTCAAGGCCCCTCCCGGGGCAGGCCACACTTCGGCCACGGAACCGATGGCCAAATGAAAAGATGGGTTCTCCTGCAGTTGCACGTGCTCTGTGGGACCGCTTCTCATCTCGTCGTGGCGCGCTGCGTCGGTTTTGTAGTTGTGGACTAGCTCTTTTAATCTCGCTTCCGCCACCAGCTGTAGCACATCTCTCATCGCTTCCGTTAGACTTTCCCAGGTTCTTGGCCGAGGACCAACTACTCCGGAAGGAAGGTCGGCAGGAGGACCTCGTCCGGGATCACCATCACCACCAGCGCCGGATGTAGTTGGTTCTGGCGAGGACACGACCCCTAGCCGCCTTTTCAAATACGCGGTCGATTCTTTTAGCGTCATGTACGGGTCGGCGGTCAACATCTCGTGGCTCGTATCTTCGTTCCTGTCGTAGCTTGCAACATCATTCTTCTCACCAACACCACGACCACCCATTGTACTAGCTGCACCAGCAGGTACAACCTCGTCTACTGCTTCCCCCTGGTCGGCGTCCCACCAGGCAGTAGTTGCACCCCACGCACTGTCGTCCTGCGCCATAATTTCCGCAAAGGTCATTTCCGAGTATATGGCAGGTTGATCATTCAACACCCCTTCTCCTGTGTGCAACGTCTTGCTTGCTTCTTCGGTGCTTTTCTTATCCTTCTTCTGCTTCGGCGGTTTTGGCGCCTGCTGTTGTTTCCCTACCAAGTACGCAATGTCAGACACCGAGTACGACAAGGGCGATCTTGTTCCCGAAGATGAACTATCCGGCGTCCCGGACACAAAAACTTCAAAGTGCACCTTCACCAGGTTCCCCACCTCGATCGGGCCGACCTTGTACACCCGGATGTACGGCCAGGGTTTATTATGTGTGGAGGATGTTGTTGATGTCGATGATGTGTTCTTCCCCTCAACATCGTCCGATTCACGCTTCACGAGCTTTTCAAACGCAAGTTCCCGAGCGGTTGGAATCAAGTAGGGGTTTTCGTTTTTCGGCCCCTCCTGGTCGTTGAAAATAATATCATCCGGGTGTGGAACGTGAATTTCGCCCTGCTTTATCTGGGCGCCCGACAGATGATCATCATCCATCGGTTGAATTTGTGGCGTGAGAGGAGCGGTGGCCGGGGTAGAGGATGCCGTGGTTCTTTCACCCCCGCGTCCCGTGGGAGATGTCGTTTCATCTGCTGGACGTAATGAATTCTTATTCATGTTCATCTTCTGCAGCATCTTCCTCTGCTTCTTTTTCATTTTGATGCGCTCGTATTTCTCATCGTTCTTCGACTTCGCTTTTATCTTCGCGAAATTTGCGTTATAGAAGTTGGACGAAGCTTTAGTACTCCGGCCCTGTAGTTTATCGAGTGCAAGGTCCGGGTCCATCGAGGAGGGGGCGCTCGAGGAGGTTCCAACCAGTACACCATTAACAACACGCTGATGTTGTTGCTCATCTTGTTGACCAGCACGATCCGCTGATGTAGTAGTTGTGTTGTTTTTCGAATCATCTCCGAAAGGACGAACCCCCGCATGACCTTCCGACAAGACTTCCCACTCTGCGTCGTCGTCTTCGACATCCATTCCGTCTGATCCATCATCCTCGTCCTGCTGGCCTACTCTATCTAGTACTTCCAGCACCTCGTCGTTTTCATAGGATTGACGTTCCTTTTCTCGCTGATCTTGAAACACACGACTAGCAATCCCCCTGCTTTTCCGATTGGAGATTTTTTCCTCTACTTCTTCCATTCCGTACTGAGAAGTTGTTGAAACGATCCATTTCGTGATGTCGATCTGAATCAGCGCCATTTCCTTTTTCAACATTCTCCTCCGCACCTCCTCCGTCGTATCACTGGGGTCGTATTTAGCGGTGAAGGCCGCGGCGCGCTCGACCGCGTAGTCACTGGGCTCCCCGAACAGGTTGTGCAGCAGGGGGGCGAAGCAGTTGGGCTCTTTGAGTAAACAGGGCAAAACCTCCTGCTCCTCGGGAGATTTTAATACTTCTGCGCGGGTTCTCACGTCCCTCGCGGCCGCGGTGGAAGAAAGCGAAAAGAACCGGTCCGCGAGCAACGTTGCGGCCTGCGGGGTGGTGGTGTTCACGCTGTTGGGTTTCGACAATTGCCGCATCTTCTCCGCGGTGTTGGTCAAAATTGATTCTCCGCTCCGGTTCGCGAAGATGCTTTGCGAAAGCAGGTTGTAATTTTTCGTGTCCAGCCGCAGGTTTTTCAGCATGTCCGGCCGCAAGGAGCAGTCCACTACGTGGGTCAGTTGCAGGACAATCTCCCGCATCTTCCGTGCGGTCAAAAGCTTGTCGTACGTCCGCTGCTTCGTCAGACTGATGGAGGACTTCGCGTTGGAAGCCGCACCAGCGGTGGTGTCCCTATCACCGCCCGAGATGATGGAGGAATTCTGTTTCTTCAGCTTCTTGTCCTTCTTCTTCGTGGCGGTCACGATGCTCGAGGACCCTTTTTTGCTTTTATTGTCCCCAACATCTTCTTTGTCGTCCTCTATTTGTTCCAGCTCCCCCTTGCTGACGCGAGTGATTTCCTTTTTCAAGTGCCCCACGCACTCGCGCACCAATTGGTCCACGGGGACGTGGGAATTCAGCTGGGCGTGCGCCATCTCGACGACGTGGGGCTTCAATGAGACAGTGATCTTCTACTAGGCGTAGTTTCCTTAGTCTTGATTAAAAAATCAAATCATGAGATGTGATAAACACTTGTCGAATTATACTTTTTTCTACTTCGTATTAAGCAGCGGCGCGTGGTCTACTTCGTACCCAGAGGCGCGTCCGCTGGCACACGATCACGCTACCCTTACTGCGTCTATTATTTCTAGGAAAAACTATTCAGCTATCTTCGACCTGTGGAAGGGCTGTTGGTTGTGGAATGAAATTGTCCCTGCGTAAACAAGAAGATGAAACGACACCGAAGCTACAAGAATCGATCCCAGCAATGTTCGCGGGCGTCGCAGACGCGCCGCGTCTAGGGTTGTACTTGTAGTGTGCCACTATATGATGTCATACAAAAACCAAAACCATCGATATGGAGGAGCGACAGCTTGGATAAGTAAGTAAGTACCTTCTTTGATTGTCTTGAATGATCTCCAACATGATGAGTTGAAAAGTCTACAATGAGCAGAATGATCGTCCTTAGTTCTAAACGGCACTGCATCGATCCTTTTGATCCGGATCGAAAATAAGTATCAACCAACTACAGCTTGTGATACTGAATATTACAGCGGCCGGCAGTTGTGTAGAAACAATCGAACTACTCGCTGCTGCAGCTCCGTTGGAGAGGGTCTTCCACCTCTTCCGGACTACTTTGCACATCGGCTGCTCTACACAACCTCCAAAAATCTGAATCTCCATCTGTATGCATTTTCGTTCTTCAGAAATACAGTTTTTTTCTTTTCGTTTCGCAGACATGCATCAAATTCGCAGATGCTATATCATATTCGATTCGGGGTTGGCATTTTTTTGATGAGGCCGAGAAAACTCTGGCCCGGGTACAGAATCGCTACCAGAGTTCTTTTTGTTGAAACGTTAGGCGAGCCCGTTAGGCATAACCTTTTCGCAGACTTCAGAGATGTTGTTGAAAACGATTTTTTGCTTACTACGGAAACCGCTCAGTTTTGTGATGAAAAGCTTCAAAGTGATATACTTACCTCGATCTACTACTTGCTTCGTTGCAGTTGTACACAGCGTTTGCCTTCTGTGGAGATGAAAATCCTTCTCTTTCTAGACTTACATACACGACTTTCTAAATCTTCGACAAGTTCATGTTCCATAACACGAGAAAACAAACAAGGAATCTATCTTAAGCATCTTGTAGTCCGATAGTAGTTTTCCTCTTCTGGAACCCCAACTGACTATGGGCGCCCATTTTTATCATTTTACATTTTTAGAAGTGTTGGTACCGGCTCCTCAGGACATCAATTCTACACATTCTGGAATGATAGCCAGATACTTGTGATGCACTGTATTTCGTGAAGAGGACGCTGCGTCCCCAGGCTGAATGTCAATGGACCTGGATGTGAACTACTTAAGTACAAAATTGGAAGCTTTTTTCTGAGGACAGCATTGGAAAATCAGACAACAAAAAAGCCGGAGGCGGAACTAAATTTTCTTTGTCCATCCAAAACATACGAAAGAAGCACCTCAACCTCTCAAGCGGAAGATGAAGTCCCCAGCGTTTGCAGCGTTTTGAGGAACTTCGCCGCAGACGCGTCCCAACCTTCCGCCATGCCGCCCGTGGAGAACGCGAGGCTCACGATGCGCGGCATGTAGGGCGCGTCGTCGACCCGATACACGCTGGATATCTTCAAACCAACGTCCTTGTGGTTTTTGCCCACAAAAAACTCCTCGCCCTCCACCTCTTGGTGGATCTCAAACGGGTTCTTCACGGTGAACATGAAGGCACCGCTTTCGATAACCTGCAAAGTTTGACGTTGTCTCGTCAGGTTGCAAACAAAAAAAATGCCATCACCTTTGTCATAAATCGCGTGCTTACAGCACAGCTTTTCGTTATTTCAAGTCTACTCTTCATCTTCCTTATTGTCAACACAATTCCACAAAAGTACCTCGGTGACACGTTTAAGCGTAAACTTTTTCAGGCCGTTTGCGCCGGCGGTCCACTTCGTGAAAGTCACGCGGTCATGCATTTTGGCGCGCTTCAGCGGTGAGTTGTCCTCGGACATAGCTTCGACTTTGTAGACGTACTTTCCGTCGGGCGTTGTGGATTCCTGCTCGGTCCCATCAATAACTGCGTACTCCATGGGGGATGGGACATAGTACCTGGGGTCAACATGTTGTGTCCGGTCGTTTAAATTTGCCTCCTTCTGCATTTAGAACGAAAATGTAAATTAGAAAAAAGTCGAAAAAAAGCATCAGCAGAAATCCCCGCGGGCGGGTACTGACAACAACATCGAAGTTCTTTTGGCTCTGCTTTTATCGCACTAGCAGCGCTCAGTCCGTGGATACAGATAGTTCTGTACTACTTTTGCAGCCGCTCCTTCTCTAGTACCACTATACCTCACATCGTAAATAGCCGTTGGCGACCTGCTGTCCACAAAAACCTTTTGAAAACCGTCCGCGGAGAAAAACGCCACTTCAGCGTCGCACTTTACCATGGGGTACCCGTTCGCATCCTTGTCCCGCCATTGTTGCGGCAAACCACGGACCGTCGGCGGTCGCGCTGGTTGTTGCTGGACTGCTGCTGGTTGCGGAAGCTGCGCGGACGCTTGGGGCAGTTGTGGAATCGGGAGGGCTTGCTCCGTGGACTGCGTCAGTTTGGTGCCGCTGGTCGCCAGCTGCTGGTTTTTCATCTTCATCGCAGATGACGTGCTAGAAGAAGAAGATCCAGCGAGAGCAGCGGCAGACGAGTCGGCAATTATCGGCTGTGTGTGTCTCCCTTGTGCCTGCGGTGCGTTGTTCGGAGGCAACGCACCAGAAACAACACTTTCCGCTGATTGCGGCTGCTGCGCTTGTTCTGGTGCTGTCGGTGCGACCGCCGAAACGATGGGCTGCTGTGCGGGCAGTTGTGCAGGTTTCATTCCTGGTAGTTGTTCTGCCGCCGGTTGAGACGACGTTGGGAGCGCTGATGTGCCAGCCCGTTGCATCATCTGCGGCGAAGGAACAGGCAGGACTTCCCCTGTCCCACTTGATAACATCAAAGGCTGCTGTGAAGTAGAAGTTCTTCCTTCTGCTCCATCCGCCTGCGTCGAACCATACCCTGGTTGCTGCTCCGCAACAGAGGCCACGGCAGAGCCCCCACTGGGAGGTTGTACTAGCGAAGATTCGACATCCGGCGCGGAACTGCTGACCGCACTCTGGAAGGACGGCGTAGGACTTTGAGAAACTGGCAGCAAACTGTTCGTGATCTGTGACTGTATCTGCGTTTGCTGTGCCTGGTTTACTATTTTCGGCTGCGCAGCAGGAGGAGGAGCTCCGGCTGGTGCGGGTGTGGCTGGAAGCTGCTGCACCCGCTGTGTTATTTCCAGTTGCTGCGGTTGCGTTTGTTGCTGCTGCTGCTGCTGAGGTACTACTACACCTTGCGGTCCAGATGGTCGCTGAATGGGCGGGTTTTGCGCCGGTAAAACTTGCACCAGCTTTCCGTTTACCATCATGTACTGGGGCTGCTTCGACATCACGACCGGACTGCCTGCGCTAGCGTGCCGTGACTGCGAGCGCGACTGCTGTTGTTGTTGTATTGGAATCATGCGCGGGGGTCCGCCGTTCTGTCCGGGCACGACGGTAAACATCGGGTTCCCCTGCGTCCCGCCCTGCGCAGCTGCATTTGCGTTCGTAGCTTGCGAGGAAACAACACCTGGCAGAGAGCCTTGTTGCTGCTGCAAGGAACCTGGCTGTCCGGGCTGGCTCGGGGCTGCACTTGCGCCCGGTCGAGGTTGAGGCACAAACACTGCCGCAGATCCTGACAAAGACCACATTCACTTTCATCAATCTAGATCTACCAGCATCTTCACAAGAAGCATGTATGTTTTTACACTGATTCTGTACTAGCATGCAAGAAAAATTTCTTCAAATGCATGTACAAAACTAAGTACCCAGCTGCGCAGCGGCGATCGTCGTTGGGAGCTGCGCTCCACCGGACTGGGTAGAAGCCGCTGGGGGACTGGCGACGATATCTGGTTTACCCGTACTACCGCTTACGGGCATTGCAGCTTGAACATCCCGAGCAGGCCAGCCTGGTGTTTGTCCTCCACCACCAGGCGTCGTCCCGGTGCTCCACGCTGGCGACGGCGCAACCGTGCTGGGGTCCCCCCTACTGCTGGCTGCGCTCCTGGTTGTGTCTTCTCCTGTGGCACGGCCACTCCTTTCGTTTGTTCCCGTTCCACCTTTTATCCCCTTAAATTCCGACATTGGTGTGAAAAAACCCTCGACGTCCGGAGGACCTGTGTTAGATGTCCTTGTCGCGGTTCGTCCAGCGTCACTTTCACTGCTGCGTTTGCTTCCAGTTGTCCTGCTTCGCGCAGTGTCGAACCCATCCGTAGCACTGGCAAAATCATCATCGTAACTCTCGTCGTTCTCGAAGAATTGCAACGACGATCGCTGTGATGTGGAGGAGGAGCCTGCATTTTTGTCCTCAACATTCGTTGTGTACATCAGCGCAGGGCTGGACCGCGTCAAGGGCCTTTGTAGTTCGGGCCGGTACCGCTTGCAGCCCCGACAGGGGATGTAATTCCCCCCGCGCACGTTCCCCTCCCAGGGCCGCATGTCCTCTTCGCTGTCGTGTTCTACTTCCTGCGTCCAGCCCATCAACTTGTCCCTGATATGCAATACAAATTTCCCGTACATGTACAAAATGCATGACAAACTTCACCAATTTGGAGGGTAAAACTTGTCATGCTGAACTAGGATCGAAGCCAAGTTTTGTCATGCAGCGCTCGCATTTGTACGTGTACTGAAAATTTACTGTGGATACCTGATTTTCCGACTCACGACGCCGGGTAAATCGAGCAGCTGCCGGAAGGAAGACGTTGGGACAGCACCGTCTGGAGGAGAAGCGACTGGTGTAGAAGTTGTTCTTGGGGTCGTGGTAGCGGCTTCGTCGTAAAGACCATCTGCACCATTTCGAGGCGGTGCATTAGGACGAACAAGCAGAGCACCATTTGCAGTTGATCTCTGCTGCTGCAGTTCTAGAGAGTCTGGCGGCAGCGTCGTTGTCGAAGAGGATTCAGACAAGGAGAAGGGAGTGCTGCTTGCGCTTTTATTCTGCACCTGCGGTTGCTCGCCTGCGGTTGTTCCCTTCGGATGACCAGTTCGTTGCTCTGACGCAAGAAAGCTGTTTTGCGAATCCGGACCCAAAATTTTTGCCACTTTGGTTTCAGCTGAGGGTGAGGTCGACGCAGCGGTATTAGAGTTCGGCGGGGAAGAGAAGGAGTTGGACGAAAAGCCCAGCGCTAAACTCCGGCTCGTTTCCGCATAGCTCTTCGCTGAGGCCGCAGCAGCAGCGGCTGCGGCGGCTGCAGTAGCAGGCCTCGCAGCAGTGCTGGACGATGAACTTCTAGCTGGGTCTCCAGCTGCGCCGCGCACGGGCAAACCAGCGCCATCGGCTTGATCGGTAATTGGCACAGGCGCTCCTGGCTGGTGAAACTCTATTCCAAATACAGACACGTACGCGGCGCCCACCACGAGCACTAAACAGGCCGTGACCAGTCCGACCGTCAACCCCGGGGCCGGCGTTTTCGAAATCAACTTACTCTCGTCGACCAAGAGCTCATTTTCCGGGCTGCTATTGGGGTGATGCAGAGGAGCCGTCGAGCCTGTAGTTCTTTGTTCGGGCCGTGCCGCTGGAACGCCTACGGTGGAGGACGAGGAGGATTCGGATGTGTCGGTTGCGGGAGGCATAGAAGACGAGGAGGACGAGGTGGACGAGGAGGCCATTTTTGTCGTCGGTCACTGTGCTAGTATCCTCGCGGCAGGAGTCCTCTTCTGGGGGCACAAAAACAGATCTTCAAAGAAGAGGCAAATTTCGAGTGAGCGGTGAGCAAAGTGCTTTTACAGGCTGATGTTGGTGTTGTTCGTGCTTGTGGAAATAAAGTCAGTGTGCAGAACCGCCGGCGTCATGGCGATCATACATGGATCGAAATCTTAGATTGCGAGAGAAAGACCGATTGTTGGCGGGATGATGTGAGGAAGAAGTACTTAAAGTTACATTCACAACACGAAAGCACAGCTACAGTGCATCAACACAACAACGACTTTGAAGACAAACGAACAACACCAAGATCGGCAGAGCGACACGCTTCGCATTCGGCGTAATTCTCGAAGGAGCTGAGCTCTGCGGGTTGGCCTACGTCTATTTCACTTCTACTCTATGACAAAGAATTTCGAGCAACTGCAACTGCATCTGCAACATCATGCTATCCCAAAATAAAAACCAAAAAAACATGACAAATATGCTCTGTTTACGTTCGTATGCAGCAAGGAACGGAATATGGCTAAATCATATGACTTCATCGGCCAGTGGGCCGTCACAGTGATAGGAATATGCAGCAAACAAAGATTGGAATCCGCAAAAGTACAAAATAGAAATCAATTTCGCGCCAAAGAGAGATTGCTCAATACCCGTTCAGCAGCATAGGTGGCAGCTGCGGGGCGTTGCGCTGGTGCTTTGCCTCGATATGCTGGGTAAGGCTCGTGAATTTGTTGAAGGTCCTGTAGCAGTGCTTGCACTGGAACGCGTTCGCGGGAACGTAGTTCGGGTTCACCCAATCGGTCACATCATTCGCGTCACAGATTGCACGATTTATGTAATTCGGCATCCGCTGCTTCACGAATTGGTAAACCGCTGCCTCTCCGTTTGTACGTCCCGGGACACAGCTACAAAAGCCTCCTTCGACATGACTCGCTACACCCGCAGCAGAGCGGAAACGAGATTGCCGGCACAACGGGCACGTGACGGTCCGGGACAGATGCGTCTGCATGTGCTGCTGACGCATGTTCTGTGGGTGTGATGATCTTTTTTGGAAGAGTGCCAGGAGAAGATCATTGATTCAACGGTGGATGTACAAATACAGTACTTATCCCATAAACGGTTGTTTCAGTCATGTAGCGTACCTCATTGTTCCTCGAATTGTTTGCGCGCGTCTGGAAGATTGTGTGACAGACCGTGCAGAAGACAGCATTGCATTCCCAATCGGCATGACCTTTGTGATCGCAAATGCCGCACGTGACCACGAAGTCAGAGTTGTAGTTGCACGCGACGCAAGCTTGCTTGTGCGCCCGGAGGTTGTTGAAGTTTCCGCTTAATGAATTATGCGATGACTGTATGACTCGCTCGCAACCGGGACAAATCAGCGCCTCGCATTGCGACTCTTCGTGCCCGGGACGCTGACAAATGGCGCAGAGTAGGACCATAACGCTTGCTGTAGGTGCTTTAACTTGACACGACAAAACGTCAGACACTCCAGCAAAGACCTACTCATGTCGGAAAAATCAAAGAAGTGACACACTACAGCTCTTAACTGCCAACACTCAACTCACACTCCTGCTCCTGTTTCTCATCGTCCTCATTGAACGAGCAGCCTGAATGATTAGTACTTAAAAAAAAAGCTCTCGTTGTCAACATGCAGTGCGAAAAATGGCGCACGGACTGGCTTGCAGAACAGTTGTGAGGGCTGTCAAAAGAACGTGAGAAGGCGTTCCTCGGGGAGAGTTTGCGCGCCGCACCGTATTTGGCTAGTAATTTCAATTTGAGAAAAAGGGTATTCTGCAGCTTATTACAACCCAAAACAAAAAAAGGAATTTCACACACAATAACACGTCACGAGGGTGGGGGTGCTACCCTGAGTCTAAGTTCAGAAATGAATTTCACTGAACTCCGCATCACTGGAGTCTAGTTTTCTCACTCCGCATCCTCCCCGTGCACTATATCGTCTATGTCGATATTTTTCACGCCGACGTTCCCTTTGACCCGGGCCTCCAAAATCTCCAGCGCCTTCCCCATCTTCTTATTTTTCTTCACATTCCCCACTTTGGGCCGCTGTCGCTCCCGCCGCTGCGCGTAGCTTTCTATCCCTAACTTCGCGGACAACTCGTCCTGCATCCGAAGGTCCTGTGGTCGGTTTTTATCGACTTTCGTCATCTTCTCCGCCAGTTCTCTTTGCTTCTCCTCAACCTGCAACGCCAACTGCGCTGCTATCGCCCGCCGCTTCGCTTCGGAGCGCGGGGTCAGGCCGAGGTCCCCGTCCACCTCCTTCTTCAAGCTCTTCTGCAACGCCTGAATGTTCATCGATCCACCGAAAATATTCGGCGCGTGGTCAACATTCGACATTTCCTCGTTTTCCGTGAGTCTCTGTGACGACATGCGGTGGGTTAGTATCTTTGAGTTGCGATGATCCTGTTCAATAACGGTCTGGTACGCGGAGTCCTTATGGCCGCGGACGCCAGAAATCAGACCTTCACTCTGCCCGGAATCGAAGATCATTCCTCCCGCACTGACCAGGTGAATGCCTGAGCCCTCTATCTGCTGGTCCTTATTTGTACCGCCGCCTCCGGAGGCCTTATTTGGTGACGCAAGCTCGTCCGCGGTACGCGCCATCGCGGAGGCCTTGGCCATCGCTGCGCCCTTGGCACCGAAGAGACCGGCCAGCGCGGGGGCGGGGGGTTTGCCGACGGGACGTACGGGCGCCTCCTGGTCGTTTCCAAAGGACGGAGGGCGCTGCACAGCCGTTGCAGCCGACGGCCGGGCCACCGGTCGCGGTGGCGCCGTGGGAGAAGTGTCAGCCGCAGCGCGCGACGCCTTCGCCATGGCCGCGCCCTTCCCGCCGAATAACCCGCCCAGCCCCGCCGCAGCGGCCGCCATATTGCCCTTCCCGAAGGCCTTCTCGTTGCCGCCTCGGCCCGGCAGGTCGGCGAGCTTGGTGGGCGCAGGACCACCGGGTTTCGCCTGTGGCTTCGGCGGCGCTTTGACACCGTCCGCACCGAAGAACGCACCTAAATTTGCGCGCAGGGATTTGAAATCCGCGGACCTCTGCGCGGCAGAGGCTCGTGGCGCGCGCTCCCTCGCACCGACCGCAGCCGCCGGATTATTTTGTGGCATCATGGCATCCATCAATCGCATATCCCCTCCCTGCAGCGGGGGCGGCAAATTTCTCCGCGGGTCGCTGGAAAGCTCCCGGCGCAGGTCCAGCGGCTTCATCAGCGTCTCCGCCCCGGGTGTACCGGGCCCGATGTTCCGTCGTTCCTCCCCCGGAACGTACCCCCGATAGGCCATGCCGGTAAAGTAATCCGCCTCCTCGGCCGGCGCCGGGGCCTCGATCTTCCGCGGCGTCACGTCCGGCCGGTAATCCACCGGGCGAAACAGGTACTCTTCGGTCGTGGTTCCGGCGCCAAATTTCGGGTTGAACCTGTCGCTCACCTCCGGCCGGTAGTCGACCGGGCGGAACATGTACTCTTCTGTGGTCGTCCCCGCGCCAAATTTCGGGTTGAACCGATCCGAAACCTCCTTCCTCTCAATCATCGGGCGGAACGTGGTCAGATTCGCGTCCGGCGCGGGCGCGGACACCTTCGCCCGCTCTTCAACTAATTCCGGACGGATGTCCATTGGGCGGAAGATGCCCAGTTCCGCGCTGGGCTTCGGCGCTTCGGGCTTCGCAAATGCCATGATGCGGTCGTACGCGAGACGCTGCTCCTTCATGCGCATAATGCCCAGCTCATCCGTCGGGAGCCCCGGACCCATCTGCGGATTGTACTTGTCGATCACCTCCGGCCGGTAGGCCGCCATGCGGAAGAGAGATTTGTCCTGCTCGTCGGGCAGATACGCGTACCCCGCGTCCGACTTCGGCCGCACCGCCTTGATGTCTACCGGGCGAAACTTCTCCGGCTCTTCGAACGGCGCCGGCGCCTCCACGCCCTCGCGGTAGCCCTTCTCGGTCGCCGGGCGGAACTCCCGGAGCGGCAGCATCTCGTTCGCGCGCAACGACTCGTCCGCCAGCGGCTTGTCCGGACCGCGCGGTTTCACCGCGGGCTGGTAAACAGCCTGCATGTTCGCGTTCCGGTCGAAGTCCACTACTAGTAGTGGGTCCGGTGGCCCTGGCTTTTGTGCCTTCAGGAGCTGCGGGGGCGTGAGCGGTCTATCGAGCTGCAAATCGTAGATTGGACTCGGCGCGGGGGCCTGGAAGGGCTGGACGTCCGGGCGGTAGTTATGGATTGCAAATATGTCTGGGTCTGGAAGAATGCGAGATCTGTCATGCAGTTTTTGCCTGACCCAGATCGCCTGGCATGTGAGCTCTAGCATCACAGATTTTGAGCACTTTTCCCAATGCCTAATCCGCATGACAAATCCTCTCTCTCGGAAACCAAAAATGGGGCTTTTTGCTAGCCACGCATGACAGATTTTATCATGATGTAGACTTCGCATCACAAATTCGAATCTTTCCAGACCCAGACATTTTTGCATTTGATAATAGTCCAGCATCCGCAACCGCATGTCCTCGTCCATCGGCAGCGGCGCGTCCGCCTGGTACTGGTTCGTCCGCGCGGAGAACGCGGGGCTTTCCTCCATGCGCACGCGCAACGGGCGGTTCAGGATGTCCACGTCCATTGGCGCCGGGGCGGGGAGTTCGTACGGGGTCGGGACGGAGAAGTTCGGCTGTTGCTCAAAGCGTCGGTCCAGCGCACGGAACGTGGTGACTTCCTCGTTCGGCAGCGGGACGGACACCAGCGCGTTCTGCGCGGTCCGCACGCTGAACATCGGCGCTTCCTCCATCCGCTGGTCCAACGGCCGGAATTTCGGCTGCTCCTCCTGGCCCGCGCCCGCCTGCGGCGCCGCCACGGCGAACCGCTGCCCGGCGGCGCGCTCCATGGCGGGGATGTTGTGCTCGCGCTGCTCGTAGTCCTTCGGGCGTAACAACCGCTCAGTGCCGTCTAAGGCACCGGCTTCGAGGTTCAACCCATACCCTATCCCGTAGGTCGCGCCGGCGAACATCACGTCGTCGCGGAGTTTTTCCACCAACTTGTCCGGGTTCAGCATGTACGCCTCCTCAAACCCCTTGGGCGCGTCGGGGATGTACTGCTGCGTCTTCGCGGAGAACTGCGGGGACGCCTCGGGGCGGATGTCCTCGGGGCGGAGCGCGCGGTCCTCCGCGGCGGTTTTGAAGTTTTCGGCCTTCAGCGCGTCTACCACCATCGCGCGGTCCGCGCCGGTGCGGCCCCCCTTCAAGTGGTCGTCCAATTGTTTCTCCTCGAAGGTCCGCTTGTCGATGATGCCGTCCTGCAGCGCGTCCACCTGGGACATGCGCGTGAACTTGTCCGCGCCGGTTTTCTGCAGTTCCGCGACCCGGTCGGCCCCCGCGTAGCCGCCAAACTGGTAGCCGTCGACCAGGTGGCCGCGGTTGCCGCCTCGCCTTTGCTCGGTGATGAAGTCGATCTGCCCCAGGGGCTGGTCGATGCCCTCCTTGACCAATTCCAAGTTGCGGTCGGCCGGCCCGTAGCCCCGGGTGGTCGTGCCGTCCTTCAAATGCCCCCGATTCCCGCCCCGCTGCATTTCGGTCACGAAGTCCAGCGGCTCTAACTCTTCCCCGATGTACGGCACGCGATCGGCGGGACCGTGGCCGGCCAGCGTTTCCCCCGCCGCGATGGTTTCGGGGGAAATCAAGCCGGGAACGTACGAAATCCTTCCCATCTCCGGCAACTCCTGGGTCAACCGGACCGGCGGCAGCGGCTGTGCGCCCTCCACGAACGAAATCCGCCCGGCCTCGTCGAGGAACTGCGCGTAGCCGAAGCCCTGGCGCGTCATGTCCACGAAGTAGCCGTCGGGCAGCCGCTCCGGCTGCGCGCCGGTCACGATGGAGATCCGCTCGGCGTCGTCCAAGTACCGTCCGTAGCCGAAGCCCTTCCGCTCCTCTTTCAAAAAGTACCCGTCCGCGATCCTCTCGGGCTGCATGCCGGCCACCTGCGAGAACCGCAGCGGCTGGTCCAGGCCCGGGTCCTGCATGTTCAGGTCCACGACCCCGCGGCCCTGGCCGTACTCGATCAGGTACCCCGTCGGCTGCTCCAGCGGCTGCAGCCCGGTGACGTACTCAATTTCCCCTGCCTTGTGCTGATCCAGCCCTTGAACATTCACCGCCAGGTTCGCGCCCTGCCCGCTGTAGTCAAGGAACATACCGCCGTCCAACCTTTCCGGCTGCGCGCCCCCGACGATCGACATGCGTTTCGCCTCGTCTAGATACCGTGCGGCGCCGAAACCCTCCCGGCCGTAGTCGACAAACAACTCCGCCGTGTCGATCTCGTCCGGCCGCATCTTCTGCAGCGCCTCGTCGGGGAGCGGCGCGAGATCCCCCATGGTCAGGTCCGCGGGGTCTTCGACAGGCTCCAAAGGCCGCAGCATCGGCAAAGCCTCGTCCAACGCCGGCGCTTCCATGTTCGCGCCAAATCCTGCGCCCTTGCGCTCGATGAAGTTCAAGTCCATCTCGTACTGATCCGGCTCCAGCATGAACTGCTCGTCGATCTGGCCAAATTTCAGGGCCAGCTCCTGGTCCGCGAAATACAAATCGTCCATGGAAATCCGCCCGCGCCGTTTCGGCTCCAGGGGCCGGAATTTGTACTGCTCCGGCTGGTCGTCGATTTTTTCCAGCCCGAGTAACGGTCGCACCGGACCGCGGGGCATGAGTAATTCCTCTCGCTTGATTCCGAAAGTATCCAGTAGGTACTGTTGCTGTTCAGGCGATAACCCCTCGAAATCGAAGTCCAACTTCTTGCCGTCAATCCGCTTCCCCGTCGCCAAACCCTTCGCGGCCAGCACCGGGCCGAACTGCGCCAGACTGGCGAGTTTCGGCACAAACTTCGGCTGTGTGAGTTTGGCGAGCTTCGCGTCGGCCTCCGGTGTTAAATCTAACGGTAAATAGTCCGGAACCACTTCGATCCCCTTCCTCCAGCGGTCCACGAAGTCGTCCAACAAAGCCGGACCAACCAAGTCGGCGTAGCCGATGGGGCCGCGCTCGTGCTCCACGTAGGTCCGATCCTTCTCCAACGCCTTGAAGAATCCCAAATCGTCCGGCCCTGCGGTCCTCAAAACGTCTTTGCGACCGCGTCTTAAATTCCAGTTTAAATCCTTCGCGGTGGCAGAGACCTCTTTGTCCAAATCATATTCATCGACTTTTGTTTCTTCGATAAAGTCCTCGTCAAACCGCATGTCGGCCTCGACCTTATCGAGCAACTCTTCCAGTTTCGGCGCGTCTTCGGTTCTATAAACAGCGGATTCTCGCTTCTGTTTCAATTGCTTATCCCCGAACACGGTTTCCTGTTTCTCGTCCGGCTTCACCACCTTCAAACCCCGCTTCCACTCCTTCAACTTGCGCTTCGCGACCGGTTTTTTCGGTTTGCCGTCGTCGTCGTAGCTGAAATAGTCTTCCTCGACAGAATCTTCATGGACGTCGATTTTTCCCGGAGGTTCTTTGGCTTTTTCCTTCCCCTTTTTCACCACAAATCCCATGATCTCCTCCGCTTTTAAATCTAAATCGGGCCGCTTCTTCTCGAAGTCTTTGCCCTCTTTCTTCAAAATCTTCTCACTCGCTTTATCCAAATCGACATCATCTTTTCTTCTTTTCCCTTTCAAAAACCAGTCGCGCCTTTGGATGACCGCGCGCGGATGCCACATGGACTTCACCGGGCCGAGCGCGACGCAGCGCTCGAGCATTCTGCTCAGCTTGTTGTTCCGGTGCCGACGTTTCGTGCGAAACCGCCAGAGCAACACGTTCCGCGCCTCGCGCTCGCTGGACACGGTGGATAACGTAGCGGTTTTGCTGTGGATCGGCAGCACAAAATTGTTCCCGACCTCGTCCATGATGTGGGCGGTCTGCATGGCGTCTAGATCGTTCTGCCACCGGCCGCGCTGGATCAGCGGGTTGCGACTGACGGCCTTCGTCTTCCCCTTCCCCTCCGCGGCCTCCGGCCACTTTTCGGGCATCTGCGCGAGATACTTGTCGGCGGCGTTGGACACGAGCTCTTTCCGCTCCGGGAGCGTCAGCTGCCCGCCGTACTTGCGGTTCATCGTCAGCAAGTCGTCGAACGCGGTGCGTTTCACGAACCCCGCGGTGGCGATCTGGTCTTTCAGCAGCCACCCGTGCTTTCGCGGGGGCGGCGTGCGGTCCCGCGTGTCGAACTCCTGGCGCGGAACGTCCTGGAAGTGGTACAAGGCCGCGTTCTCGCCGTTGATATCACCGTAGTAGTTTTCCCTGGTGCCGAGATTAATCGCGCCGGGGATCGGACCGAGCGGACTTGCGTCACCTCCTTCCGGGAGCTTGACTTTATTTTTCCCGTCCTTACTCACTGTTTTTCCGTCACCCTCCGGTTTGCCGATCAGCTCGCCCTTCTTGTCTCGCCCCTGGTAGTCCAGGGGGTCGAAAACCGTGCCGTCCTTCGTCCGCGTGCCCGCCGCGTAGTTGCCGACCCGGTTTCCCACCATGGGCTTGGACAGCTCCATGCGCGCGTCCCAGTGGGAAAACGGGGGAATGGAATAGAACCGACCCACTTCTTCCTCCAGCCAGTTCCGCTGCCGCTCGCGCGCGTTGTCGTAGTCGGTGTAGGCGTTGATCTTCGTGAAGATCGCCCGCCGAAACTGCTGAAACTCCCGCTCCGCGTGGTTCCGCATTTGCGCAAACAAGTCCGGCTGAATGGAAATGTTTGCGACCATGTCGTGCGTGTCCAGCGGGGTGGGGCTGTTGTTTATTTCGTGGTTGATGTTCTATCACTATCATTTGATTCAACCATTAACCTGTATACACAAGAACGCTTTGTTCTTGGAGACTCGGCTTCACAATCACTAATCAAAACAACTCGAACTCTCTAGTCAATCGAACCAGGGAATAAATCATGACTCAAGTATACCCTTTCCGATGAAAGCGGTTCATGGCCCTGGTGAACGCCGGGTCGAGGTATCCGCGCACGCTTATCCCGCCAAACTCGAGGTCTTGGATGAGCCTTCCCGGCTTCAGATTTTTGATCGCTTCCTCCTCGGGCAGCGGTTTCCGGAGCTTTTGCAGGTCGTACAACTTCACCATCAAGTTCGGCCACTGCGCCAGCACGGTGGGTGGCCGCGCCTTCGCCAGCAGCCCCTTCTTCACCTCGAAATTGCGTTTCCCGGCCTTCACGGCCCGGGCTTTTGATTTTTTCGCCTTGATGCGGGCACGGTTCTGCTCCTTCTTTTTCTGTTCCTCCTTGTCGTATGTTTCCTTCAACGCGGTCTCTTTTGCTCCACTGGGTTCCAGTATCCCTTTCGTCAAGTCCTCCCGTTCCTTGTGGATCCTTGCCTGCATTTCCTCGCCGAAGAACTTGATCTTCCCCGTTTTGTCGTCGTAGGCGTGCGGCAGAAATTTCTGTTTTTTCGTTTGCGGCAGCGATTTCCCGACGCGGAAATCGGTGGGGGTCGGCTGGCCGGTGATGTCCACGCTGGAAAACGGTATAACGCCCTCAGGTGTTACAATCTCAAACGTTACAAGTAGAATCTGGATTTTGTGTTGCAAAATGCGCAAAGTCTCCCCTACGTACTCCCAAAGGAGCGCGCATGACAAGTCTCGGAGCTCCAAACCCCATGAGAATCTGACGAAATTTGTATTGCGAAAAGCCTAAGTCTCTGTATGGTACTGATGCTGTTCATGCAAGACAAATTCCAGATTCTATTGTAACGTTTGAGATTGTAACATCTGAGCACGCCATAAACGGCTGGTAGGGTTTGTGTTGCTGTTCGTGCTCGCTGTGCGTGGCGGCCTTCGGGGCCCGGAAGCCGCCGGTCAGGCCCTGGCCGAAGCCGGGCGCGAACTCGCCGTAGTGTCGCTCCAAATCCGCCCCGCCGCCGAAGGGTTGGTGGGCGCTGTCGTGGCCCGCGAAACCGCCCATGGGGTGGGCGGGGGCCATGCTGCCACCGCCAAACCCCATGCTGGGCGCGCCGCCCATCGCGCTTTGCGTGCCGGGGCTGGAGTGGCTGGTGGCCAGGCTCGCCGCCTGGTTCGGTGCAAAGCTTCCCCCCATACTCGCACCGCCGAAGCCCCCGCCCGAACTCCCACCGCCACCGCCGGAACTACTACCGGGCCTGTCGTCACTGCCTGCTTTCTTTTTAGACCCGTCATAGCTGCCAGCGGCGTCGCTGCCTTGTCCTCCAAAACTCCCCGGTGGCGCGGCGGTTTTCTTGTCGTCTGAATCAGACCCGCTGGACTTTTTCCCGTCAGAAGATTTTTTCCCGTCACTAGACTTTTTCCCGCCACTGTCACTGGACTTCTTCCCGCCACTGTCACTAGACTTTTTCCCGCCACTGTCACTGGACTTTTTCCCTCCACTGTCACTAGACTTTTTCCCCCCACTGTCACTGGACTTTTTCCCGTCGCTGCCATCAGACTTCTTTCCGTCCGACTTCTTGTCATCGTCACTGCCATCATCTCCGCTGTCCGCTTGCGCAAAGCTCCCGCCCAAACTGGACGCTTTACTGCTGGACTTCTTGGTCAGTTGACTCGCGGGCTTTTCTTTCCCGTCACTGGAAGATGATGAACTAGATTTCTTCCCGTCCGATTTCTTTCCGTCAGAGGACTTCTTGTCGTCGTCACTCCCGCTCCCACTGTCCGCTTGGGCGAAACTTCCGCCCAAACTCGATGGCTGGCTGCCCTTTTTGGAACCACTCGCAGGCTTTTCCTCGTCGCTGTCACTTTCCTCGTCGTGGTCAGTGCTGCCCTCCGGGCTTTGCGAGGTAGCCCCCTTCATTTGCGACGATCCCACTTGGGAATGAGACTGCTGTTGGGATGGCGTTTGGTGTTGGTAGGAACCGAGCTGGGACTGCTGTTGGGATGGCGATTGTTGTTGGGAGGAACCGAAGGAGCTCACGTGTTTGTGCTGGGAAGAGCCCTGTTGCTGCGAGCCGAAGGACCCGGGCTCCTCCTCGACATCTTCGCCACTCGCACCACTGTCATTGGTGTTCGTGTCTTGTTCCTCCTTGCTGTCACCAGCCCCAGATTGTTCTTCTTGGCTATCCTCACCTCCTGTACTTTCCTCGTTGGTACCCGTACCACCACCGCCTTCCCCGCTATTTTCCTCGTTGCTAGCGGTGTTGCCTTGATTGCTCGCACCAGCCTCGCCACTCTCGACGCCCTCGCTCTCCTCCTCATCACCGCCGCTGCCGGATTCGCTACCGCTGCCGGATTATCAAATGCAAAAGTGTCTGGGTCTAGAAGAGTGCAGAAGTTTGTCATGCAGATTTTCCATGAGCCGTGAGGTCTGTAATGCGGGACTTAGTGTGACGGACTCTGCGAGGTCTCTGCCATGCCCACCCTGCATGAGAAACTCTCTCCCAACTTGGTCGAAAGTGGACAGCTTTTGGCACTCATGCAACACAGATTTTTGCATGCTTCAGATTTACCATGACAGGTTACCACCTTCCAGACCCAGACATTTTTGCATTTGATACGGACTCGCTGCCGCTGCTCGCCTCGCCCTCCGCTGCCCGGACCGGAGCTTTCTTGTTCTTCCGCAGAGAGCTTTGGGCCGGCAGTAGGGAGAGCTGACTCTGCGGCATCAAGGGTTCTTTCAGCACCGCAGGTTGTACTAACGACTGCATTTTCTTCGGAGCTTGTTTCTGATTCATGTTTCCGTTCCGTGCAGAAAAGAAATCAAACGACGCCTGCATCTGCAGAATCTTCGCCGGTGTGGTGGAAGTGGTGGCCGCTTCAGCTTTGATGCTTGCTCTGGTCAACATCTCCTCCTGTGCATCAAGGCGGGGAGCAGTAGTAGTGTCCGCGGTTTTGCTCGACGAGCTTCTTCTACTTCTCCTTTTCACCACAACAGAAGATCCTCTTTCGTTCGTGCTGGAGCGCCGTCGGCCTGCGCGTTCTTGTTCTGTGGACTTATTGGAACTTTTCCGTCTCACTACAAGTGGGCTACCTTTTCTACTCTCTTCCTTATTCTGCCCGAGATCAGAAGATGCTTCTGCTGCGCGACCAGCAGAGCTGGTTCCCCCTTTAACCACAGCAAGAACTTCTGGCCCATCCTCCGACACCTCACCGGCGAGTGCACTTTGAAAACTTTCGTTTCCACTCTCCTCAACGACCAGGTCATCCGCAGCCTCTCCTTCAGTGCCTACATTCGCACGTCGATGACCACCTCTATTCCGGCCCGGAATATCGTCAGCCGAGGAAGCTGCGTCGCCTTCTGCTCCGTCACCCACCATATCCATGGAAAACGGGCGCACCTCCGACTCCACGGCACTCCGAAAGCTGCTGCTCCCGTCGTCGCGCGAAGACGGGGGTCCACCGGGGAGGGAAAAATCGGCCAAGTCAATACTGCTGGTCGCCGCTGCACTCAATTCACGTTGATGTAGAAGTTCTGCGGCACTGCTAGTAGGTGGACTACTGATGATATCGTCATGCTGCTCCTCCTTGTTCAAAATCCCAAGCTGAGTAGAGGGTCGATTCTTCGCACTATATCTTTCTGCCATCACAGCCGCGGCGCCGGAATACACGACCTTGCGCTGCGAAGAGACACCCGAGGACTTCTCTGACTGCGTGGCCGTTGGGAGAACCTTAACTGGCTTCTTCCGCACTTCGGCCGCGGCCTGCTCCTGTATCTCGGAAAGATCGACGCCAGAAGAGGACTTGCTCTCCCTGGTGCGGGGCCTATTTTTACTACTTCTCCGTTTCTGGTGATCTACTTCCTCGTCTTGCAGAATCGTAGACTTTTGGGACGCTGCTTCGGAATGATTCTCCGGAGGAGAAGGGGCACCAACTTCTTGCGGTGGAAGTTTTTCCAGCAATTTCTGCAGTTCCTGGTCCACAGCAGCAGCTTCAGCTCCAGCAGTGTCATCTACGATTTCCGCGCTAGTGTCTTGCCCCCTGCTACTGTTTCGTGAAACCTTGCTCCGTTTCAACACAATCGGCGAAGTAGTTCTACTTGTCCGTGCAGCGCCTGCAACCCCGGGAGACAAATGTTTTTCCCCACGATTAGCGCCCTGCTGTCCAATCTGAAAGCCTTGTTGAGGACTCTTGATCACCGCGGGCATGAAATCAAGCCGCGGCTTCACCGCCAGGCGGGAACTCGCGGTGGGCTTTGGCGAGGCCGGTTTCGGACGGGGCGGGGCGGGGCGGACAAATTCTTGCACGACCTGCGCCACCTCGACCCCCGGCTCGGCGCTGGACGAGGAAAAATCCGCGTCGGGGAAGTCCGCGTCCTGCGGGATCGGAAGAGGCGGCACCTTTCTGGGCCCGTTTGGTTTCTTACTTGATATCGGCTCTTGGTGAGGGGTAGGTCTCGTTGAGGAAGAAGTTCTTGTTTGCGTTTCTGTGGCAGTATTTGCAGCTGATACAAGTGTATCAAATGTAAAAATGTCTGGGTCTGGAAGATTTCCAGGTTTGTCATGCACATTTTGCATGACTTCTGATGTCTGTGATGCATGCCCTAGCATCACAGATTTTGCGAGGGCTTCCTGATGCCTATACCGCATGACAAATGCTCTTTCCGTGTAGCAAAACTTGGGCTCTCTTTGCTGCCCATGCAATACAGATTTTTTTAGAATTCAAAATCAGCATGACAAGTTGCATTCTTCCAGACCCAGACATTTTTACAGGTGATAAAGTGGCTGCGGCATCGTCGTGTAGGCGTTCAGCAGCGGTTCGTGGATCGTCGTGGTGGTACTCCTTCTCTCCGCTACTATTTTCCCCGGATCATCTTTACTAGAGATGTTCATGTGCCGGTAACTCAGCTGCTGGCTAAACCGCGACAACTCTCCTTGCGGCAATTCCTGGTTTATCCGGATCACTTCGCTCCGTCGCTCCAATTTTGCCGGCTGCACGGAGGATTTCTTGGTCGTCACTTGCTGTGCTTGTTGTGTTCGCGGTAGTTCATCATCTTGCACGACGTTATTTGCAGCAACGCTCCTTCTGCGCAAGTTTTCCCGCAGCGAATCTGACCGCTCGCGCGCTGAAGATCTATCTGGAGAAGTAGTAGAGCCAAGGTTCATCAGATTCTGCTGTGTACTAGAATTCTGCTGCTGTGTCGTAGTTGGAACGACCCCTGTTCGGCGCGTTACAGCGTCCGCCGCTCGTGATTCATCCACCATCTGCATCACCTTGCCCAAATCGTCCTCCTTCGACCGTTGAGCAGATGTTGAGCCCGGTAGCTCTTCTACTGCCGTCAGAGGCTGCGTGCCGACAGGCGAAGAAGCCGTTGTACTGTTGTTTCCGAGTAGAACCTTCCGGCCGTCGGATAAGAGTTTCGCCTGCTGCTCCGGCGAGGGTGTGCTTCCCACCGGGGAAACTACACTTGCCCTCAAAGAACCTGCCGAAGTTGTTGTTCTACTGCCGCCGCTATAATTTCGCGCCCCCTGGGTAGACCCCGTCGAATTACTACCATACCGGGCCAGCAAATCCCCAATGCCCTCCGGCCGTGCTTCGGGGGAGAACGAAACCCGCTTCTTTGGCGCTGATTGTTCATTTCCCCCCGGACTCCGGCTCCGCATCGGCGGCCCCGAACGCGGTCCCTGCGGGTTTTTCGCCAAACGCGGGTCAGGTTTGATTTTGTCCACGCTGTTGCGGTGAATCAAGTCCACATCCGTGAACAGCGGGCTGGCGCTGGACGTGCGCACGTGAATCACCTCGCCCCAATATCATGTGTAAAAACATCCCCGCCCCAGAGTCAATCTGGGGATTTTGCAACACAAACATGGAAGTTTTGGGACTCACGCATCACAAGTTGCAGTGCGTAGTGTAGTGCAGGTTAGCAAGGGCAAGCGCATCACAAATCCATCTGCTTATCCTGGTTACAGCATTACAAATCCCAAAACACCACTAGAAACGCCCCTCATGGAGATGCGCATTACAAATGTTCCTGTCATTGCAAATCTGCATCACAACTCTGGGAAGGGGACGTTTTTACAAATGATACCCGAGCTTTGTTTCTAGTAGGCGAAAGCGACGCGGCCTTCAAAACATTACTCTGACTCCACACCGTCGGGTTGGTGAGGCGCTGCAACGACCGGGGCGACAACTCGGTTTTGTCGTACCGGGATAGCAGGTTGGAAAAGCTGCTGCGCTGGATGTCCTCGCTCCTCGTCGAGCTGTTCCGGGGTAATGGTGGGGGTAACCGGTCCGTAGACCCGTCGCGGCTGGCAGCCGTTGTAGGAGATGGAGCGGCCGGCCCGGCCTCCGCTTCGTAAAACAACATAGTAGAGCTGATGGTGTAGCCGCTGCACTAGTCTTGATGCGTACTTGGGTGGGGCTGGGGGTACCTGAAGCAATCACAGCTACGTGACTTCTGCTGGAAAAGGAAAACTAATTTAACTTTTTTGCATGACAATTTGGATTTTACTTTTAGCGTGAAGAAAACTAACGAAAAGGAAAATGTAATGCTACTCAAAAAGCTCTCTAGATGACGGTGGTATAATCTTGGTGGTGGTATAATCTTGATCCACATATAATAACCTGGATGGCGCAATAAAGCCGCTACTATCTATTAGGCAGGACCTGGTTTTTCTTTTTCTGAAAAGTAAGTTTAGAGGAACAATGCAACGACCGCCAGCTTAGCACGAATAAACGAACGTACCTGGTGAACGAACCGGAGAAATTTCGCTTGGACGATGGACGACAAAAGGAAGACGAATGAACGAAAACACTGAACGACCAAATGCAGAACGAAACAGCCACGATAGGACGACAAATAAGAAAGCACGGCGATAGGACGACAAATAAGAAAGCAGTTCCCTACACGAAAGAAGCAAGAGCTCGCACTGGGAGAAATCAAAATTCAAACTTTCGTGGAGGTTTATATAAAGGTTTGGTGAGAACAACGCAGCCGCCACACCACGGAAGCCTGCACAGTTCGTGGTCTTGCAAAAAACGAGTAAGTAGCAATTCTTTCTACTTTCATGAAAACATGGAAATGGGTCGCGTTTTTTAGGACACTGTCCTTCTTGTACAACTTCTTACTTTAGATATACTCTACTCATCGGTCTTTCTTGGCACATCACATGCCCTTTTTTTCATTTTCTTCGTCCATTGCAGTGCGAAACGAAAGGCACGACGGCTGCACGAGGTTTCTTTTACTCTCTTTCTCTTCAAGAGTAGAAACAAGGCCTCTAGTGGAATACTGTGCAAGTTTGATGTCGTTTGTAACGGTCGTTCTGGCATCACTTCTTTCAAAACCTCCACGCGGTATCAATAGAGCATGAACTCCTGAATGGGGAGGCCAGGTGGTTCTAGTGTGGTAAAAGTAGTTCCGGTTCCGTTCGTCTCAAAATGCAGTGGCCTCTGCTGGTACTAAACCTTTGCCTGTTGAGATGAACTCAGTCGTCTTCATCGTAGCAGTTGTCATCCCCATCTTCATATTCGTCAGAATATAGTGCCGATCCTTGTGGTTCATTTTCTGACTGAACTTCAGAGAATTCCTCATCTTCAAATTCGTCGCCCCCTGCTGGTTCTTGATTGTCGCTCTGCACCGGAATAGTACCTTGCTGCTGCACCTGATGACAAAGAGCTCCTGCATCGACGTGGTGCACCCCTGCTGCTTCTTCATCTTGATTGTCCTCGAAGTTCTCGTCGTTCTCAATCTGAACACCAGGAGCATCTAGCAGAACACCAGCCTGTACTACTTCTCCACGCGAAGAAGTTCTTGTACCACTACTTTCATACGCCTTGAACCTCGTTTCATCATTCACCAACATTTCCAGGTCCTCTAGCAGCTCTTTGTCCTTCTGTCTTTCCGCTCGGGATTGCTTCCCAAGCAGACTGTTCCTCTTCCGGCTTTCCTGCTCCAACGCTCTGAGACACGTTTTGCGCAGCGTTTCGTTCATCCGTTCGTTCCGGTGGGGGGTCCACTTTCGGATCATCGCCTTCTTCTCGGTGAGGGTGTACTCAGAGTTGACGATGTCCATCAGACTCATCCTAGCAACCTCCGCTGGATTTGGTATGCATTTATTTTTGTTCTTCGCGTTGTTCTTTCTCCTCTTCGCATTTATGTGTTGACCATACTCGTCGAACACGACTATATCGTCCTCTGGGTCGTCGTACGGCGTAAACTTGTCTTGCTTATTTGTCCGGGCCACTATCAAATTGTCAACTGCTTCGTCCTCGAATGATGATGATGAAACTGCGCCCAACCGCACGATTTCCGGATCCAGGTCGAGGTCAAGCTCGTCCTTCTTGTTTCGGTGTCTTTTGTTACTCATCTTCGGGATCACCATCGTGTTGCTGGTGGTTGGAAGTGCAACCAGGGTAGTACAATGTGACGACGAGTTGTTCTTGGGGTTCTGTTGTACTATTGTGTCGTCGCCGACATCGCCGTCTTCGAGTGGAGCGGGAGCCAGGCTGGGGCTGAAGATATCAGAGTGGTCTCCCGAACCATAATTACCAATACAACTCCGCTGGTGGTCGACTAGCCAGTCGAGATGATTGGTCTCGTCTTTCTTCTCGCCAGTTCTCGTACTAGTTGCTAGACTCGCCGCCACATTCAGGATCAACCCTGCGGTTTGGTTGGAACACGAATTGGCACCGCCGACCCCGTTGAAGTTCTGGTTCGCCAGCAGCGCCGAGGGCAAGTCAATTTCTGCGGCGGTGCACTTGGATTGCTGCTTCCGCATCAGCTCCGCTCGCTTGTGCCCGTGCTCCAGTACCCGGCACGGGTTGGCGACCAGATGGGTGATGTTGAGCTTGTCGTGCCTGTCCGCCATGCCTTCCGGGTTCCTCAGGTTAAACCTGCGAATGACGTCTTGCTCGGAGGTGAAAATGTTGTAGTTATCCCGCAAATAGTCGTTGATTTTCTTCCAGTTTCCGGGTTTGAATTTTTTCACCGCCTCCGCCAAGTGCTGGTCCTGTTCCTCGGACCAGTGGTGCATCTCCCTTCTCCCGCCGAACTGGAAGTTGAGCAGGTTTTGTTTTATCTTCTGTTGCAGCTGTTTTTTACTCTTCTTATTCATTTTGTTTTTCTTTGCTTTCCGCAGCGTCGCGATCTGCCGCTGCACGTAGCTTTTGGTTTTGCTCAGTTTGCTCTGGACTGCGCTCTTTTTCACGTCGGGGTAGTGGTCGTACAGAAAATCCTGGACGATGTTTTTGTTCCCGGGGTTCCGCTTGATTTTCGCCACGCTCGCATCTTGTTGTGCATCATCGCTTTCGAGTCCAGAGCGGGGCATTTTACCCGCTTGTTCCGAGTGGTCCACGGCCGTAGTAGATCTGGGCACTTCTCGCTCCTCATTCAAGTAAAAATCCGGCTGAAAAACTTCCGACGGAACTGGAGTCTTCTTGTTTCCCGACAAATCACCCCGACCCTGCGACTTATTTTCCTTCCTTTGCTCCCGCTTCATCAATTGGCTCTGTGTAGTCCCCGCCTTACTGTTTTTCTTAGTCGGCTGTTGAAACCTGTCTAACCCGTAGAAGAACGCCAGCGTCTGCAGGTCGTTCGCGGCGTCTGGCGCCCATTTGTGCTTCGGGTAGTTGTAGTGCTGCCAGGCTTCGCCCAAGGTCTTTGGGTGTTTCCGCTGGGCGAGAAGCTGCACCAACTATGGATTGCAAATATGTCTGGGTCTGGAACAAAGCAACTTGTCATGCTGTTTTTGGACTGTAAAAAAATTTGTAATTGCATGACCAGCAAGAGGGGTACAGTTTTTGCTACACGGACAGGGCATTTCTCATGCGGAAGGTGCATCAGGAAGTAGCCCTCTAAAAGTCTACGATGCTAGGTCAAGCATTACACGCATCATGGGTCATGAGAAATATGCATGACAAGTCTTGCATTCTTCCAGACCCAGACATTTTTGCATTTGATACCAACGTGTGCCAGTCGATCTCTTCCTGGCGCCAGTTCTGCTTGATGTACTCCCCAAAGACTTTCCGGTTATGCAAGAAAAAAACTGTGTAAGTGTAAATCTGTGATGCAGAAAATGCAAAACAGTTAAACCTGTCACGCCAGACAACCATGAAGTCCTCTCTTCGTGTGTGTTTTTCCTTACAAGCCACGCATGAGAGGTTTTCTCTGTCGTGTAGGGCAAATTTGTGATGCTGCCAGCCCAAGAAAGTTACACTAACACAGTTTTTTTCTTGGATACCGGTCCGTCTTCGACCACCACTGCTGCACGTCCCGCGCGTGCGGGTTCAGGGCGCGCACCCACCGCGTGAACACGGACCACACGGAGCGCTTAGTCCCTAACTGCTGTGTTATCGCGACCCAATTGAGCTGCGGCTTGGAAATATTTCCAAACTTGTCGTCCCAGCCGTAGACGGCCAATTCCTCCCGCCGGTTCGGGTGGTACAATTTGTCGTCGGTTTCCTCGGGCCTCGGCGGCCGCCGGTCCTTCCCGAAGTTCGGCCAGTATTGCGCTTGTCTCGGCGGTCCCGTGAGGTCGATGCTGGCCACCAGACTGCGCAGCTGCTCGTCCTCCGCGGCCGTCCACGGGCGCATTTCGTAGTCGGCAGTGATCGCGTTGGCCTCGGCAGCTCTTTATCCTGTGTGAAAACGTCCCCACCCCAGAGTTGTCATGCAGGTATGCGATAATTACAGGAAGATTTGTACTGCGCATCTCCATGGCAGGCATTTCCAATAGTGTTTTGAACAAATTTGTAATGCTGTAAACAGCACGACTAGATGAATTTGTGTTGCGGTTGTACCTGCTAAACTGCACTACACTACAGAGAGGAATTTGTCATGCTTGAGTCCCAGCAAAACTTTTCGATTTGTGTTGCGAGATGTCGCTCATCTTGACTCTGGGGTGAGGACGTTTTTGCTCAGGATACTGTTGCGTTCTTCTTCGCCTTCTGGTGACTGCTCAGGTCGCCGTTTTTACTCCTTTCCTCACGCTTGTACAACAACTCCTCAAACCGCTGCACGCAGTCTCTCGCGGTGAAATAAAACTTGTTCGGCAGGCCCGGAATTTTTTCCCTCGTCGTTTTCGATTTTTTTTCTCCGTCGTTCTCGTTTTCGATGTTTTCGTTCTGGCTTTCATATTTTTCCACGACGTCGATGTTTTCTTCGAAAACCTCATCTGGTACAAGCTGGATCGCCTCCGTGATACGGTGCGGAATTTCGGCTTCTTTCAGATGTTGATCTGGTGACGGTTTCATGTTCATAATTGTGTCGTCATCATCATCATCATCATCATCATCCTCGGAATCCTGTTGATCGTGATTTATTCTGTCGACATTTCTTTTACCACCATCGTTGATGTCCCCACCAGCACCGGCGTTTTCAGCAGCACTGCAGTCAGTGTGATCGTCGTCGGCAGCGAGGAAAGAACTATTCTTTTGTTCTTCTTCTTGTTCCACCTCCACCAAAGCTTGCTCCACCGAATCTTCCAAATCGTCGTCTGCCTCAAACAAATCCGCGTCAACATCTGCTTGCAGTTCCAACTTCTCTTCATCTACCACATCGATGTTTTTCTCTGCGTCGCAGCTCCCGGGGTAGTTCTTGTTTTTGGCGTTGTAGTACCTCCCAGTTTGCGGATCTCTCTTCGTCTTCGTGTTCCTCCCGCGGTTGCTGTTGTTGTTTTTCTTTCCTTTATCCTTTTCCGCATTTATTCTTCTCAAAGCAGCCATTTCCTCGGCAATCTTCCTGTCCACTTCGTTAACTTCAAGGTCACCCAAGTTCCATTTTTGCACCATCCACCGCATGGCTTGATTCACACTCTTTGCGATAGGTTTGAACTCCTGTTCCCACTTCGACAAGTCGAAGGTTGTTTTCGCAAGTCCCCACCAAGAGTCTACTGCTGGGTGTATCTCAGCTGCAGATTTTCCAGTTGTTTGTTCCATTGCCTCCTGTAGTTTGAAAACAATCCTCTTCATCGCCGCACATAGAGCCTCGTCGGCCGTGTGGCTCCACCGGCAGACTGGTCGCCGGAACTCACTGAAGTTTTTGCGTGGTATTTTCTGCTTCGCTTGGAGGTTATGATCAACATCTATCCTATGTGAAAACGTCCCCACACCAGAGTCAAGATGGGGAATCTGCTAGACAAATCAGCCACCTTTGCTTGTTTGGCATGACAAGTTTGAACGCGTAGTGTCATCCTGTTTAGCTAGTTAAGAAGCATCACATATCTAGCATAGAATGCTGATTCTAGCATCACAAATTCCAAAACACGAATAGAAAATGCTTCGCATAGGGCTCCGCATGAGAAACTTTTTTGGCATGCGGAATTGCATGACAACAACGGAGTGGGGACGTTTTTACTCAGAATAACATCATCCTCATTCTCGGAAGAGGACGTGTGGTACTCGGATTCATGCTGGTCCGGACACCAAATTTCGTAGCGCAACTGCTCCCGCATGGATTGAAAAAATTCCGTTGGCTGCGGTTGCGGCTCGGTCCCGTGGTTCAGGCTGTATTTTTGACAAGGTCTTATTTTGTGTGGTTCTTTGTGACAACTCTTCTCATCTGCTTCATCGACATTATCTCCGTAAGAAGAAAAACTACTACTTGGAAGAACACGACGACCAAATCCAGCCGTATTATTCCAGGTCTCGTCTCTTTTCCCCGTCAGGAAACTCGTGTTTTCGCAGAAGTGCCGCTCCCACTCCGAACGATACCCGGAAAATGAATCCGCGGTTTTTCTTCTCGTGAAGAGCTTGACTTTATTCGGACCATCCGGATCGTCGCCGTCGAGCAGGAGGCCGCGTTCGAATGACGCGTTTTCTTGTTGTGATGTCGGGATTTTCATTTTGTGGTGATTCTGGTTGGAAGAAGCTTTAGTACTTCTTGCCCTTGTTCCAGCAGGGGTTTTTTTACTTCTTGCAGCTCCGGCATGATCTAGCTGATTCTTCTCTTTTTTGTTTCTTCCCGGTGGGTGGGAGGAAGTTTTACCCTGGACGTCGCTGGCGCTCGAGCTGGTCGTCCCGTACAACGAAGAGTTCTCGTCTGCTTGTTGTCCTTGAAGATCCTCGTAACGGTCGGCCTCACCTTCATCTTCCACCGGGCCCGCCATAATTCTCGCTGGCGCTCAAGAATCTGACAACGGGTTTGTCTGGTTATTTGTGCTATCTGAAAAACTGTCAAGAACTCAAAAAAGGTTCATCTTTTACGGGGCTAAAAACAGGAAACTGGTCTCCCATAACAAATCCAGCTGGATTTCTGCTTTTGAAATGTAGTCTATTCATTGTGGTACTTAATCTCATGCTGATTTTCTGTTCCTACTTCTTTATCTTTTCCTCTGCTCCCTGCGAGACAGATAGGTAAATGCAATTGCCTTGATCGAGGACAAAACGGGCCAGGTGGATCAGGAAGAGTTATGATCTTGATGTAGCGATTTTCAGATTTCAATTCGGATCTTTTTCGGAACGTCGTTCTTGTGAATTTTTTGATGCAGTGTCGTACTTTCTTAGCGGGAATTATTTCGTCTTCTTTAATGATAGATCGTCTTGCTGCAATTGCTGATCAACAATTTTCGGACAATCCTATAAATTCTGCCTCAGGATCTTGTGCTCTGACAATGCGGGCGCGTAGTACACGAATTCAATTACGTGGTTCCTCTGTGACAAGTTTACAACATCGCACTTCAACGGCTTTTTTCAATTTTGTACTACTCAACAACGATCGACCTCTTACTTCCCGCAAGGTGCGCGAATTGCCAGCATTGCTCTTTGGATTTCATGAGTTATATATTTCCTCACAGCTTCGTTTTGTTGTTGTTATTTCTGAAGTATCCTACAAAAGTTTGTCATACAGCATGAGGTTCATTTTTTCTTTTCGCACATCTCCTGCTCCACGAAGAATACAATGACATTCAATCAGGCCTCTCAACACGGTCCATACATCTCCCGGTCCTGCCTGACCTCCAAATACGCGGCCGCCACCCCCTCAATGCGGCTGTTGCTGCGGCCGGCCGCTTCGAAATTATGCTGCACTTTCCGCAGCTCCCTGCTGGTGAACTCCGCGCCAATTTTTTGGAAGCGGACCGCCAACCGTTTCCACGCTGGCTCGTCGCGAATCTGCATGTTTGCAAAGGACGTGGTGATAGCCAGCAGGCTGTCCGCGCGCAGGTGTGAGGCTTTGTCGGACCCGACGAAGGCCAACACTTGGTAAATCAGCCGCGGATCCCGGGCGAGCGTCGGCGGGGAGAGAAGGGGAGAACGCAAATCTTCGGTAGCTAGCAGATTTTTGCTCTCTTTCGTTCTGATAGTTGCTCCGTCCGTGTTGTAGTTGTGGATGTTATACTTCTTACCAAAATTATAACCGCTGTTCTCCGCTCCTGGTATTTCTCTCCTCGTCGAAAGACAACTTTTCTGCTCGGAAGGCGTAGTTGCATTTGATGTCCGCCTAATTTCCACAAAGTGATTCTGTTCAGCGAAGCGGCCAAGGAGTTCCATCGCCTGCAAGATTTTTACCACGTGGTCCTGGTTGAAGGCGATATCCAAGCGCAGTCGCCTGCTCCGCTCGTTGACTGCATCCAGGAAAAGCCGCAGCAGATGGGCTCGGTTTTGTACCGTTTGGAGCAGTCGGGAGACCGCCTGCTTTTCCGGTTTTGAGAGAGAAGTTGGTCCTCGGGGTCTTTCAGCGAGGCCGGCGCTATGATGGTTCGTCCAATCGGGTGGATTACTATCGGTGCTGTGACGATCATGTTGAAACAAAGAGCGGGACGAAGATGAAGTGCCATTTTCAGTGTTTGTTTTCTCCACCTGCGCATCTCTCGCGCCATCTAGCCGTGGTCGTGCAGGTCGTGTTTTGTCTGAAGGTTTTTGCTCTGCGGCTTCCACTTCTCTTACCAGTTGCACTTTGTTCGGAAAAAACACTCGATTCTGCAGCAGTTGCGTCGTTACCTGGTACAAGGACGTCAATGCCTGGGCCGTGAACTGTATTTCGCAGTCCTCCAAGGCTCGGGTCGTGGCGGACAGCAGCAGCGTGAGGAACGCCGTGTCGCTAGGGGAAACCGTACAGAAACTCTTCAACAAAAGAACCAGGGAGTGGGATGAAATGCGGGGGGCTCCTTGCGGGACATTCGTGGGAGCAGGTGTCGGTTTCAAAACATGATCAGGACCCGTCTTGGATGGCGTAGTTAGTACACTTGTTGCTCCCGTCGTTGCAGTAGTTGTGTCAGATCGAACATCATGATCGTCCAGACCCGTTTCTACTGCTTCTCTTGTACTAGTGGAAGTACTACGAGACGTCGCATCGGTTCTTCGGTCCTGACCATCTTTACCTCCGCTTGTTCGCCTAGCTTCTTGAGCAGGATCTCGATTTTCTTCAGGTCGTTCTTTTCCTGGCGCCGTTGCTATGGAAAACGCGAAATTCCTGGAATTCGGCGAAAACCGAGGGGAAATCATGGCGGTAAGACTGTTCCGACCGTGATTTTTGTGGCCGTGAGGATGTTGTTTTCTCTCTAGTACAGCATGATCTACTTCATCCGGTACTAGGCGGTAAAAGTGCAAGTAAGCCCGGACCGCATCCTGCACCACCCCGATGTCTCGCACGTCCTTCCGCTCGACCGCAGCGAACCCCCACATCATCAGCGCCAAGTCCGCAAAGGAACACATCTGGTGCCGGATAGGGTGGGCGGCGGGAGTTGTAGGGGAATCAGTAGAAGACGAAAGTGTAGTTGCAGATGTAGCCTCCACAGAAGGTTGTGAATGTACCTCGCCGGGTGAAGAAGATGCAGTTCCTGCTGTAGCGCTCTCATCCTTTTCGTCCGAGCATTTGTCGTCGACGACGCCGTCCTGCGAATCACGAAAACCGGGGGAATCCGTACTAGAAGTGTTGCAGTTGCTCGCCGCAGAAGTACTAAAAGCACATCTTTCCGCTTCGGCTTCGCCCGTGGGAAGGAGCTGCACGGTGGAACAACTCGAATGTTGATCTCTGTTGACAGCAGATGAACTCGTGGTCATTTCGGCAGCAGCTGAGGGTGTATCGCAGCTCCTGGCAGTCAACATTGTGGTAGCCGACATACAACTTTGATTTTCCTTTCCAGCACCCCCGGCAGCTACACCCGAGGACGAAAACCCGTCAAAATCCTCCCTTGTGTAAATCAAGACCATCTTTGTCGCCAGCAAATCCCACACCCGTTCGTCGTACACATGGCACCGCCCCAAACTCCAGGCGGCCAGCGCCAATTGCTTCGGCGGAAGGTCGAGCACCAAACCCTGCAGCCGTATGAAAGTGTCAGGATCGAAATTATCGTCAGAGTTGAAAAAATAATTTGTGATGCATAAAACGGATACCAGTTGGCGCCTAGTTTTCAGGTGGCGCATGACAAATTTGGGTAGAACTCAAATCCAGTTTGTAATGCTGTTTGGGTAAGGAAGACGCCTTTTGTCATGCTACTTTAGCAGCTCAGTTTCTACCCATCAACAGGCTTGCAATCTGCATCCCTTGCGTCCTCTGTAATAGGGGTAATTTTTGCGTTGCACTTTATGCATCACAAACTACTTCAACTTTGACGATTTCGATTCTGACGCTTCCATAAGCCGGGGCAGGAGTTTGAACACCGCGGGCGTGTACCGGAGCACGGCGTAGCGGTGCAGAATCAGGGGCAGGTTTTTGTTTGTCACGCCAAAATTCCGCACGTGTTCGTTGAACAGCCGGAAGTATCAAATGCAAAAATGTCTGGGTCTGGAAGGTTGCAAGATTTGTCATGCAGATTTTCCATGACCCATAAGGCCTGTAATGTATAACGTAGCATCACAGATTTTTAGACGGCTTCCTGATGCCTACTCCGCATGTGAAATGGCCTCTCCGCGTAGAGCAAACTGGACTCCTCTTGGTGGTCATGCAATACAATTTTTTTTTAGAATCCAAAGTCAGCATCACAAGTTGCAGCCTTCCAGACCCAGACATTTTTGCAGTTGATAGGAAGGCCTCCCAACTGCTGTCGAACCTGTGTTGCTGCGTCGTCAGGAGTATCAAGTGCAAGAATGTCTGGGTCTGGAAGAATGCAAGTTTGTCATGCTTGTCTGGCATGACTCGAGAATCTGTGTTGCATAGGCACGACAAAGCCCACTTACCTGTCACGCAACATCAACGCAGTTTGCCATGCGGAACACGTAAGACACGGCAGCCAAATAAAGATTTGTCATGCATAGCTGCGCATTGCAGTGCGTCTACCATTCATTTTTAGCATTACAAGTTTCCAGACCCAGACATATTTGCATTTGATAAGGAGCGTCAGCGCCGCAAGCCAGTCCCGGTACTGTAGCTTGGTGCGGTAGGCATGGCAGTAGGAGAACACCGCGAGGGGATCTTTTCCGAACCTCTCCAGCTTCTTTGCGTGCTTCGTGTCCGTTTCCCAACGCAAGCGCCCGGCGAACCAGCGTCGCTGCTGAAAATTGCAGGGGACTACTTGCTGCGGGGGTGCGGGGGGCTTCGTTGCCCTTATTTTCCGCGGTAGCAGTGGTGAACATGGAGAACTACCACACGGGGCCGACATTATGTTTTCAATTTTTCGGCGGTCTTTTTCAGTGCTGCTGGCGCTGGTGGGCTAAGTTCTTGCATATGCCAATAATAATTTTCTGGATACCGAGCCAAGGAGGTGCAGTTCTTTGACGCGAGTATCCCGGCCTGGGCTTCAGTTTGCTTACTTTACACGAAGAAATGGGCTAAATCTGGAGAAAGAACGCAGCCCAGGTCGATTCTGCGTCCTCTGCTAGTTCTCCCGAACACCTTGCGCGGAGCCGGTGCTACCTATCTATCACCACACGCGCCCCACGCAAATTAACTTCGCTCGCCGGCCGCGCGGCTTCTTCTGGCTGGAATAACCATGACGCAGGCTGACAGACGATGAGAAACGTGGCGCGGTCCCATAGGATAAGCGAAGTACCCACGCAGGCACTGCGCGCTCTCACTAGCCGAGAGGACGCGGGCGGCTCAGGCGGAAAACGCCCGGGCGGTTTTCCTTTCTAATAGTTCTCTAATTTTTCCGGTTTTGAAAAAAAAAGGCCCACCCAGATTCCCCATCGGCGGACCAGGCGAAGAACGTCAGTGGGAAGGAGAGCCCAGCGAGGCGCGGAGGCAATGTCGCGAAGAGGAGAAACCCAGACCATGCTAAAGACATCCCCAAAGAGCAAAGCTGGCGGCCCACTAGACGATACGCCAAAACGCATCGGCACAACCCCGACCACCGAGAGGAAAAATGCCGCGGCTCGAATGACATTTCCGACGAGGAAATCGCCACGGCCTGACGAGATGGACTGCCCACAAGACCTTGCGCATCCAATCTCCGCTCTCCCCTCTGCAGTCGCCCTCTAATTTCGCCCTCTAAAGTTGTCCTCTCATTTCCCTCTCTAAAGTCGGCCTCTAATTTTGCCCTCTAAAACGCGTCTCTAAAATGCGTCTCTAAAACGCGTCTCTAAAATGGCCTTCTAAAATCGGCCTCTAAAAGTGGTCTCTAAAAGTGGTCTCTAAAAACCACCTCTAAAACCCAACTCTAATTTTTTCCCGGATTCCTCTAAAACGTCCTCTAATTTCCCGCCCGGAGGCGGAAAATACCGGACGTTGTCCCGCCTCTAAAAAATCTTCTAAAATCACCGGTAGCGCAAAATCCCGTAGGATTTGCGTGTTTTGTGATTTTAAAAGGTGCGGGTCCGGGACTTTAGAAGCCGAAAATGCCCGATTTTAGAAGCCGAAAACGGACAATGTTCGGATCTTCTAAAATTGGGCTGGCCGAAATGTCCATACCAGAAGTGCGCGGCTTTGGACGGTCTTGGAAGATGATGTTCGAAATCCATGTCGAACATCATGTTCCGAGGGCGGGAGAACAACGTCTTCAACGCCAAGAGAAGCACAAGCCAAAACACCTGCGGAATGCGAAGTGGCAACGCACACAGATGCACGCCACTTCGCACGCAACACCAACACAAGCTGAAGTCCAGCCCTCGGGTCGGTGCGCCATACATCACCCAAATGACCACCGAGCAACCTCTTCCGGAAACTCCGAAGGGCCCGGAAAAATTGCGCGGCCCCCTTTACACCGGAAAACGGCCCAAATTTTTAAATTTTAAAACTTCGAAAGCGAGAGGGCATCGCGCCAATGGCCAACCTAACAAGCGGGAGGCCGAACAAAGGAAAGACACAGCCAAGGCGCGTGGCGGGGCGGGCAGGGTCTGGCTATTGCCCTCAGGCGGTTGCCGGCCGGGCCCGCCAAAACGGGCGCCCGGAATTTTTGAAATCCCGGAAATTTTAGCGGATTTTTAGCAGGGAAATCCGCCCGGGGTGTCTCCGCGTGAGGCGGCACGCCCAGAAAGGCTGCCTGCACCCCGAAGAGCCGGCGCCGGGGAGCGGGCGCGTGCAGTGCCGCGGCCATGTAAGTAGTCGGGCAGGCGGGGGCCAGGGGCGCCGGGCCTGTCCGCAGGCCCACCAAAGAAAGAGAGCCGAGGGGGCCCGACCCGGGGCGGCACTTCCAAAACCCAGTAGACGAGCAGCGCCCGCCCCGGGGCGGCACGGAAGGGCGCTGCCCGCGCGCGGGGCAGGCCGGGGAAACTATACGAGGGCACGCGCGCACGCGCGGGGGCAGCTCCCCCCGCGCCAAACCTACCGAAGGCAACCGCGGCGCATCTGCAAGACATTGCAGCGCCCGGCGGGATACATCACCGCGCCGGCCATCCTTCGCGAGGCCCAAGACGCGCGCGCGGAGCTCGGTCGCCGGCGCGACCGCCGCCATCGGGGGGCCGCTTTATCAAGCCACTTGCCTCGCAGCCCGCTGCCATCTGGCTCTGCTTGTGGGCGCGACGAGTGGGCGCGCGAAAATCCTGCGGCGCTGTGCCGTTGCTCGGGATGTTTGTACCCCAGGCGGGCGGCCTTGACGTTTGCCACGCCGCGCAGAAAACTTCAGCGCTGTGGCCCGGGGTGGCCGTCAACCATGGCCCGGGCCACATTCATAACCGGGCGGGGCGCCGGCTCTCCGGCGGGGAGCGCTGCGGCAGAAACAACACGACACGCCCGGGGGGGCGCATGCAACTGGCCGCGGCCATCCGCCGCCCCACCCCTTCAATTTGAAGCACCCAGGAGGGCGCCGATGTTTTTGATTCCCGTAGGCCTGTAAACCTGCAGCCCCATTGGACCAGCCCCGTCGTCCGCCGTTGCGCTGCGCAGATCTTGCGCAACAGCTGTGGCCACACTCGCGGCACAAGATCCGTCAGCCCGGCGAGTTTGGTGCCCCAACAGATATGGCCGCGCCCATCGCAACGCCTTACATCCCCGCGCACTATCTTGAACGCTGCCCGTAGGTGGTCGGGCGTATATCTGTGAAAGCCATTGAGCGCCGCCAAGGCCTCCCCGCGAGGTACAACGACGCTGCCCGCCGCGGCCCCGGCTATATACTGCGCCGGCAAGGCCTGCAGCCTCCGCCGATCCACCCCCAACACACTGGAACGATGCTCCTGGTGTGCATGTGGCAAAGCAAAGGGCCCAAAAGCCCCGGGCTGGCGCGGTGCCTCAGGCAAGCAGGCCGGGACGGGGGCCCCGGCCCGCCCGACAAGGCCCGCCGCTGCCTGCAGCCACTCCGCCCCCTGGGCCGCGAGCGCCCGCCATCTGCGACCCTGCTGCCCGATCACGCTTGCAACCCGCGCCGCGGCACGCGGGTCCAACCTGTCAAGCGTGTCACCATGGCCGCCGGGTCGGGTCTGTCCGTGAAGGAACGGGGCCGGCCAAACAACTGGCGTCGCTGGCGGGGGAAATTGCCTCAGCCGCCTCCCCGAACGCTTCCAGGCGTTGCAGGGGCCCGGCGTGTCTATGCTCTCGACCCCGTCGCCTCTCTCAATATGGGCGGGCCCCGCATGGGTTTCGCCGAATGCTCTGGGTCTTATGGCTACGCAGTGGCGTCTTGCTACGGGCGGCCTGGTAGAGATTGAATTTGAATTTGAAAGCAAAAAAAAAAAAAACTTAATTAAACAACGGAACCCAAACTGAGGAACTTGTCTTCAAAAAGAAACCACCCAGTGCTAAGCACAGTACTTAGGCAGAACACAGCACGACGCGCCACGTCGAAGAACATGCTCGTCACTTCTGCATCCTCCAAGCTGCTCCAGCTTGATCTTTATATGTTTGTGCTTCATGTGGTCAGCATGCCACCGCAAAACAACCCCAATTTCTTCATCATCCAGAATCCACCACAGAAATAAATGCTGCGCAAAACACTGTCACGTCATGTCGTGTGGATCAACCACAGCATCTTCACAAGAGTGGCTATTTTTAAATCCACCCGACCAGCAGCACATCTTCAAGTTTTATCGCTAGCTGTACTTCATCATCACTTTTTCGTGGATGTACCCCGCTCCGTACTCGTCATAGTCCCCCGCTGTTATCCACAAATCCCGCTGCATACTGCCGAGATTTGCGAACACTTGTGCCCCCTGCCACACGGAGTTTTTCCGGTCGGTCGCGGTGGTCACCACCCGGGTCGGCAGCTGGCTGCTGGACATCAGCATCAGTTCCCGGGAGAGCCGCGCGTCGAAGTTTTTGAACATGGTTGTGCCACCAGAGAGCACAATGTTCTGCAGCAGCGGCCGGCGCGTGTCGATCTCGCAGCCAGCTACGCAGTCCCATATCAGGCCCGCCACACCACCCGCCTCCGCTTCGATGCCAAGCTGTTTTGTAGATACGTGCGGATTATACAGAAATTCTTTCAGATTTTCATTCTTCAGAGCTGCAGATGTACATGTTGAACGGAGGATACATTTAAAAAAGTCATGCATGGGCATGCAACATGAAGTAGAGTGTGAAATCGCAATCGGCATCAAAATCCAATACCTGTCCAGGATTGAACAGCGCTTCGGGGCACTTCCAGCACTCTTCCCCGAGCTGAATTTTCTCTCCGTCGGGCATCTTGTAGATCGCGGGCTTGATCACGCGCTCCTCTGTGGGGTCCATGGAAACGTAACAGAGCCGCTCCTTCATCTTCACAATCTCCCGTCGGGCGAAGGAAGTGGAGACCTGGTACCCCGCCTTTGCAAGCAGCTTTGCGAGGTAAACGTCGAGTTCCCGGCCCGCACAGTGCATCTTTTTGATGTTGTACGGCATCCCGTAGCCGTCGAGAATGGGGATGGCGTGGGTGACCCCGGCGCCGGCATCGAGCACCAGACCGGTCGTGCGGCCCTGCCCCATCAAAGCGAGGACCCCCTGGATCCGCACGGATAAGCTGGGGACCTGGATATTTGGTACGAATGGGTGCTGAAGAAGTACTCAACGTCACGTATTACACGACAAGAACAAACGGCCACGATAGAAGTTGTTCTACTTGTGAATCTGAACAATTATGCGCCTATGTACTATCGTCTTCGCAGTCGCAGTAACCAAGCAGACACCATTGCACGAAAAACCGAATTATACCCCAAAGGCCTCGAACATGAGTTCGACTGTTCTTTCTCGGTTTGGCTTGGGGTTGTAGGGCGGCTCCGTGATGAGCACGCCGTGCTTCTCCGGCTGGATCTGCAGCACGTCCACAAAGATGTAGTCCCACAGCATCTCAATGTGCTGAAAATTTTCAATCACCGCTCCCTCCACCGGGTGCGATACCGACAGGTACTGCTGGTTCTCGGCCACCTCGTTCCCACAGTAGAAATCGCGGTCGCACTTCTTGCGGTGCCGCCTTCGCGGAATGCCCACGTCGGTCGGGAAGACCTGATTCGGTGTTGCTTGGCAATGTGGATAGAAGTTGCTGGTGGGAAAAAATATGCAAGTATAAAGAATACATGTTTGTCACAATTGGTGAATCGATATAAGAACTAGTGCTTTTTTGCGCAGCGCCCGGATGAACATCAAATCAGAAATACCGACACTGGCTGGTCGTCGCAGGACATGCCCACCTTCGTTATGAAATGCAAATATGTCTGGGTCTGGGAGATTGCGAGACTTGTCACGCTTGTCTGACATGACTCGGAACTCTGTCATGCGTAGGTGCAACAAGATCGATGTGTCTGTGATGCAAAAGCGCAGTCTGCCATAGCAGAACTACGCTACACATAGCAGCTCAAAAACTTGTCATGCTTGGCCACGCATGACAGTGCGCCCAGTATTCCCTGGCTTGCATCACAAGTTTCCAGACCCAGACATATTTGCAGTGCATATTCGTGAGCGCCGAGCCATTGTCGATGATGCAGACGAGCTCATCGACCTCAAAGTCCTCCTGTTCGAGTATGCTGAGCAAAAACGTCTGCGCCCCAGCTTTGTCATGCCCATCTGTATGCTTCAAATATTTCTCATGCGGAGCCCCACGAGGAGCATTTTCTAGGTTATTTTTGGGATTTGTGACGCTCGAATCAGTGCGATAAGCTTAATCTGTGACGCTGCAGAACAAACTAGCTAAACAGGACTACACTACTTACGAGGCCAGACTTGTCATGCGCAACAACCAAAGCTGGTTGAATTGTCTAGCAGAATTCCCGTCTTGACTCTGGAGTGGGAACGTTTTTGCTCAGGATATCGAGATCCACGTCTTCTGCCGCATTCTGCGCTCCCAAGTTGTCGCGGATGTCATACGGGTTCATCTGCCGCTAGTACCGGTCCGATCCTAGTAGTGATAGTTCCTGCTACGTGATGTGATTGCTGCTCGCGGATCAGTTGGTAGCTACCGCGTTTCTCTGCTTGTACATGGAGTTGTTGAAGCACTACCTAGCAAACACTTCATGAATCATCACCAACACTTGCTGCTCCCGTGGTTTTGATGCTCGCTGTGGCAGGGAGATGTCTGTGCGTGCACTGCGGCTCCTGCTGGCGCTGGGTAGGTGCTGCAATGAGTTCTTGCGAAAGGCTGTGCTGCCGCTGCGTTCGCGTGCGCCGCAACTGGGAAAGTGGGCTGTAACAACAAATTCTGGGGTCGTCCTCGTTTGAACCGCTTCTTTGCACCGCTCGCCCAATCTCGTCCTCTGGATGATTTCTTAAAAGCGGGAGCACGGCTGTCGAAAGTCGATATATCTACCTAAGTACGGGCGGTTCCTGTTGAAGACACCCGCAAAAACGTGACCGAATTCAGACACTATTCCTTGCTACGCGTCCTGGCCCTGCAGCCGTGTCTTCCGAGACGGTAAAGCTAGCACAAGAAGCACCGGACGAAAATTGAAGTGCCTCTGTTCCGCCTGCTGTTCTGATCTGCAACTTGACTGCCGCAGTCCTTGGCGTTGTCAATTATTGCATCGTCCTGGCGCCATGGACTTGGACGCCGTCAACTTTGATTCTTCTCAGGATCCGCAGCAAACCAGTTCGACGAATGCTGTGGCGCGACGATGAGAAGCACGTAACATCATGTCGGATTTGTCGCACGCGGACTGGGCAGAAACGCAGTCGCCAAAGCGGAAGAAATCGAACTCCGGAGAATTACAGGACCCAAAACATTCAGCTAAGAGCAAGCAGCCATTCGTAAGGTGTTATGATCGTGCCCTTCTTTCTTAGTTCCTGTAACAGCTCAGGAGCGTACTAGGTAGTCTTCTTCGAAGCGCCGTCGTCGAGTGGTGTAAACCATAATATGACTTTCGACTTTCTACAATAGGTGATAAACGTCAAGGAGCGTAGTAAAATACTGACACTGTGTGAAGCGAGCTTCTACTTCAAGAACCTGAACAGTTTGGTAGAATATCATACAGGATCGGCAACTTTCGAAGCTGCGATTTAAATTCACGAGACGTTCGTTCGTCACAAAGCAAGTACTTCCTACGGATAGATATATGCTGGGCGGTGGCACATGCACTCCCAAACACAAAGTGAACATACACAGTACGCCGGCAGCGTAATTTGACCTTCCCGCAGCTTAGCGAGGGCGAACTCCCACTGCGCTGCGTTTCTGCTTCGACTGCAACATCCGCGGGACGCTTGCGGCACCCCTACCCGCATGCTCGCCGGCTGCTTGCAGCAGGGCGGGCGGCGACCAAGGAACGGGAAGACGACAGACCCCCCCGCCCGCCGGCCCAGACAAAGAAGGCGGCCGCCAATCGCGAAGCGCCCCGCCACAACCGCAGGCGCCGCCCGGCTGGCGGCAGGCCGGGCCGGCAGGCCGGCCCGAGCGAACCCCTGCGCCACGGGCAGCACAAACCACGCCGCCCCCAGAAACGTACGCGGCGCCCCCAGCGAAAGAGGGGCAACAACGGGCCCAGCCCCATAGCCGCAGGCCCCCCGGGCAAGTAGTTCGGTGGCCCGGGCGGGCCGCGGCAGCGCCCGCGCTGGTCGGCTGGCGGGGCTACACTGCGGAGGCAGGTAGCCCAGGCCGCGGGCCTTCTCACTGGCACAAGTGTGGCCCCCCCCCGTGTCTGAAAAGGGTCGCAACCTGCCCGCGCCGCGGGCCTGCTCGCGGCAAGGCGCGCACTTCGCCGGTTTTGAGTAGGATGGGCGCGAATTTCCCGCGGCCGGATTGGGGCGCGTTGCGTTTCCGAATCCGAACACTGGGAAGCCCGGGGAGCCGCTATCCTGGGGCGCCGGCCTGCGCGCCTGGCGCGCACCGGATCGGTAGGCCAGAGGCCGCCCCCCGCCTGCGCACGGGGGGAGGGCTCGCCGCCAAAGAAACAAACAAAGCGAAGCCATCAGAGGCGACGGCTCTGCCCGTTTTATCGCCCGCGCCCCGCGTTCTTCGTTCACGAAAACTCGAGGGGGCAACCTGCGGCAGCCGGTGGCCGTCTTGGTGCGCAACATGACCGCGCTAGACTGGTCGGAGGCGGCCACGCTTTCCCGTGGCGCTCGTCCACATGGCACCCCGAACTTTTTGCGCCGCACTTTTCTTCACAGTGGGCAAGCGGCCCACCCGTGCATCTCTGCTGCCAAAAGTACGCGCCGGGTAGTTTGACCGCTGCAATCTGTTGCAGACCGCCCCGCCGCGCCAAAGCAGTCGCGAAACCTTGCCCCACCTGCAGCCGCCAAGCCGCCGCCGCATCTGCGACGACTTAGGCAGTCAGTCTCGGGCTGCGCCACCACGCGGGTCTTTTCGTTTTCTCCTGCGTACTCGAGTGGGGCGTATTCGTATTCACCAGCCAGCGCACCCATTGAAGAAATCAAATCCGACATAGATTCCGGTCCTTCTTGTACACCCAGCGCGGACCTTCTAACGCCTCCAGTCTTGTGCTCATGCCTTTTGCGCGACGCCACTCCGAGCGCCCGGACACCCTGCAGCGCGTGCCCTACAATATATCCATTTGCAAGCACTTCATCAGCCTTTTTCCGATGAATAGAGGAGGACCATACAGGCCGCTGCTATGAACACATGCCCAGCCGGTAAATTGAGTGGATCCGTCAAAGGAACCACGTCCGCCAAAAAATGCGGAAGCCACGACAACCAAATTTATTCATGGTCTTGTAGTGTTGATAACGTCTATTTTGGTGAATACGGTTCATGTTCTTTCGTTGTCGCTGGTGGAAAAAATCAGTTGTGGCTGATTCGGTAGTGAAAATTTCCAAAGCCCATAAAGCATCAAAATTCACATAGTGAAGTAGCATACAGGATTGTCACATTGGACACCACACACAAAGGGGAGTGCGTGGCCGCGCTAGAAGGACAAGAATTTGGAGCAGGGACTAAAATTTGTCTACTTATGTTGAAGTTTCCTTTTTGAAAAAAGAGCTTCAAGTGGTCCAAATCTTCCCGTGGCTCCACCACTTCCTCCCTTTCCACTCCAAGCCTCACTCCAACATTCACAGACGCAGCGGCTGTATGCCCAGCTTTGCGCGGCGTTCGTTCTCCAGCGCGATCTCCTCCAACTCCTCCTTCGTGTACTCCTTCTTCTTCGCCTTCTTTGCGGCGTCCGCATCGGCTTCGCGTTTCTCTGCTTCCCGCTGTCGCTTGCGCTCCTTCTTCTCCTGCTTCACTTTCGCCCCGAACAACGCGGTCTTCTTCGGATCGATCGTGCTCGTGTTTTTCTGCCCCTCGCCTGGAATAAAATCTTCGTCCGAAGGCAAATCCGGGTTCCGGATTCGTTTTCGCGTGTCAACATCCTTCTTCTTGCTCTCCGCTGGAACCTCAACATCCTTCGCAGCATTCTTGTCTTTCTTCGATTTATTATTTCCCACATCACCGTCGCCATCGCGCCTACTACTTCTACCTCTCCCATTATCTTTTCTTCTACCGTTCTTATCGCGCGCTCCTGCCCTGGGTGAAGAAGATCCACGCCGCCGGTCCCTCTTCTCCTTGCGCCGCGAGCGCGATCGCTTCCTCTCAGGGGAAGACAAGAAGGAGTCGCTGCCCAACCCGTGGTCGCTTGAATTACTCTTGCTGTCCTCCGAATTCCTTTTCCGTTTTGCAGTTTTGCGATTTTTCTCGCCGTCGCGCTCCCTTCGCCGTGACCGGTCTGCCTCACGCTCCCGTGATCGACGCGACGGCCGACGGTCTTCGCTGTCTTCTCCCCTGCGCTCCTTGTCGCGTCGTTTGCGAGCGTCGCGATCGTCACTGTCATCATCCCGGCGTTTCGACGTGGTTTTATCTGCGACTTTCTTGGACTTACTCCTCCGCCTCCTCTCCGCAGTAGAATCTCCACTTGCTGACCTGCTCTTTTCATCTTCGCGAGAACCGCTTCTGCGCTTCCGGCCTTGCGCTTTCTTCTTCCCTTGGCTTTCATCGGAGGAGGAGGACGAGGCAGCAGCTGCTGCTGCGCCACTGTCCTTGGACTTCGATCCTTTCCTTCTGGAACGGTCGTCTTTCGAAACAGCAGGTTCTTCAACAGCTCCAACCCTGCTCTCCTTCTCGTCCCCACTGTCGCTTTTCTCCGAGTTTTTATCTCGTCGTGGTCCACCCGGTGATTTTATTTTCCCAGTAGACCCTTCCTCGCCACTGCCTTCGTCTCTATTCTTCGCTCCTTCCTCATCTTCCGATGAACCGTCTTCGCTGTCCGAAGATCCTTTGTCTCCTCCGAGCTGTTCCAGCTCCGCGGTGACCGCGGCCACGCGCTCGTCTAACCGCTTTTTGCTCGCCATAATCGCCTGGTACTCGCTGTCGCTGCTGTTCGGCTCCTCCACGAGCGGCATTTTCGGCCCCTGCTGCACCGCGTTGCGGGCGGCCCGTGCCTCCTTGCGGGCCTTCTCCCGCGCCTCGCGTTCGTCGCGCCGCTTCTGCCGCTCCTCGCGCTCCTCCTCCTTCTCGCGCTCACGCGCGGCCTCGTCGTCGCGGATGTTCTTCTGCAGTTCCAGCTGCTCCAGCTCGTCGGCCTGGGAGGTTGAGTATTTTTCGTAGTTAAGCGATTTTCTGAATGACAGATTACTCGTTTCTTAGGCAAATCAGCATTGCAAATTCATTCCTTCCGTTTCAACACAAGACTAAGGTTTGTAAAGCGCATGATGCACATGAAGCAGCTGCAATGCAGAACCCTATACCAGCGGCGACTCGTAGGGCTCCAACCGGTCCAATTCTTCCATTTTGACCCGGCTGGGGAGCTCGTAGAACGCGACGTCTTCCAGCAAATGCCGCTCCCACAGCAACTCATGCAAAAAGGTGTCCATGTGGGAAATGGTAATGCTCCCGTCCAAGTTCCTTCGACATATCCGTCGGTTGTCGGAGAACCAGGGTTCCAGCTGCTCGTAAATTGTTTCCGGGTCCCCGGTCATCCGTAAGTACGTGGCGCCGAGGCACCGCAAATAGCGGAACTCCTTCTGCTGAATGTAGGCCTTGATAATCTCCACGTCCGGCTGGATTTGCAGCATCTTCAACAGAAGGCAGAGGAACTTACCTGCACGGAAAATTTTACAGATTTGAATGTCAAGTTGGGAAACTACGCACTGGTGAATTTATCCCTATGAACAAGGGTCATGGTCGCGCCGCACCAATCAAAACAACTCTGCTCATCAATCTTCATTCTGTTTTTAAAAAAGTCTTATTTACTAGGTCTCCTCCGCCCCCCGTAGGTCGCGCCGACGCTGCGGACGTGGTCGATGCACACGTCGCATATGTCCGCGGCGTTCAGGCCAAAGCAAAACTCCTTCCAAAAGTTGTCTTCCAGGATCTTGGGTCGCACAATGTTGCTCAGCAAGTACATTGGGTTCCCGATGCTGTGCACCGACCCGATCTCCCCGTAAATCCGGTTCGCCATTTTTGGTTTCTAATGGTCAAATAATGCTTTACAATTCAGACAATCAAGAGTTCTTCTAATTCCTTGCCACAAAGGGGCAGCTCAAGTACTACAACTATCTAAGAAGCAGTAAAAACATCCTTGCTAGCTAAGAACTCTACTCGAACCGCCCCTGCGTTCAACCTGATCCTGTAAAACAAGCGTAGCTTTTTGAAAAATTGAAACAATTTTGACTTCCACCCGCCACGGCTTCACCGCTGCACATTTAGTTTGACTTCCGGTTATTTCGCTTTCCTACGCGGGGGCATACCCGGAAAATCATAAAAGCCACAAAACCACATCTATTCCCCCAAGAAGCATCATGCAGACCTTCTTCATTTTCGCCTCCTCTCCTGGCGGATCATGTGGTGCTGATCCCTATTTGCCGCCGTCCAAAATTTGATCACGAAAAAGTGCCAATCTGGATCCAGCAAAATTGCTTCTGTGTTCATCTTGTTTTGCCCCGTCGAGTGAGTCGATCGATTTTTCATCTTCGTCCTGTGGCGCATGCATTTTTCTTGCCGAACAACCAAGCGATAGCGAGCAGGTCGCTCTGCAAGTAGTGTTAATACCCACTTTGTTCTGAGGTTGGTTCGATGCGTAGTAATACTTCTCAACAAAGAGAGCTCGCTGTGCTACGTACCTTTTCCGCGTGGTGACACAACATAAAATCGAAGAATTCATGTTGGTTGATTTGAAAAACTTCTCATGTGGCGGTCAAGAGTTGTACAAGTAAAGCACCCAATTAGTTGGGGTCGATCAACTCTTCCACTTTCCAAATCTCCGTTTCCCCGTTTGGCAGCTTCCTTCGGATGTGGAAGGGAATTTTCCCTTGGCGGAGCTCTTTTTCGGCGATTTCCATCGGATCGTCTTCTCCCACGTCCAACGGGACCATTATTGGCGAATTTAACGAAATCTGCATCGCACGCGTACCTGAAAGGAGTTTTATAACTTGCGAGGTTGGATAGTGCGACGACCCGCGTCACCTTTCATATTCATCTCATGCCAGGACCCTGCATGGGTGTGTTGGTCTTGATGGTGAAAAAAGCAGAACAATTTTTCGCGGCACACAGTCGCAACTGCAGTGAAGTATAATTTGCGATACCTATTATTCTTGCCCGCTCGTACTTGGTCATGTAGGCACTTGTTTTCCTCTTTTTCTTCTCCTCCTCAGCCTTCTTCTTTGCCTCCGCTTCTGCTTTCTTATCTGTAGAGGAGTTTTGCATTTTCGGTGTCTCGTCATCTATGCAGTGCATGTGCAAAAGCACTAGTTCATCTAAAAACGCAATTTGTCATGCTTGATACGGTAGAAGGTCTAGATTCCTCATGCATGCCTGACTGCAATTCGTCATATTATAGTACCTGCTTCCTCCAGGTTTTCCGCGACTTCTTGGTCTAACTTTTCCTGCTTGTCCATGCGGTCGAATATTACAGTGAAAAATGCCCCCACCCCCAAAGTTGCAATGATTTGTGATGCGAAGTTTCCAAATGAAACCTTTTTGTCATGCATGAAAGGACTACAAATCTTTCTGATGCAGAGTCTAGGCGTATACAGCATCGCTTGCATGACAAGCACCGCTCTTGCTGGGATCTTTTGCAATACAAATTTTTGCTATTCACGATCGGAAATCTGTGATGCTGATACACGCAAGAGGGCGAATGTTTCATTTGGAAAGGTTTGCAATACAAATGCTTTCAAGTTCGGGGGTGGGGGCATTTTTCATTGTAATATCGAAGTCATCCTCTTCATAGGGGTTGTCGTCCTTTTTGGGTTATCAAATGCAAAAATGTCTGGGTCTGGAAGAATGCAAGATTTGTGATGCTGTTCTTCCATGACCCATGAGGCCTGGAGTGCAACACCTAGCATGACAAACGCTGTGAGGTGTCTATCATGCCTATCCTGCATGAGAAACTCCCTATCGAACTGGTCAAAAGTGGACATCTTTTGGTAATCATGCAACACAGATTTTTGCATGCTTCAGATTCAGCATGACAATTTGCATTCTTCCAGACCCAGACATTTTTACATTTGATATGGGTGCCGCCGGGGCCGCCGCGGGCGGAGCTCCCTTGCCGCCTGGCCTGGATCCCTTTGCGCCGCCGCCGTGACTATCCTGTGCAAAAGTATCGCACTCGTAGTTGTAATTGCATTCATGCATTAAAAATTTTTTTCTTACGGTAAATCCGCATGACAAATTTTATTTCTCATGCTGGGGAAATTTGTAATGCATTTATACGAGTACGATACTTTTGCAATGCATAACGACCCATCATGCGGGCCTCGAGCGCGGACCGGGCCGCGTAACTGGAGCCCGGAGGTTGTTATCGCAAGAAAAAAGTGTTACACTTACACATTGTGTTGCAGGAGCCGCAAGAGAGACAACCTCTGTCATGCAGAAAATGCTTGCGGGTCTCGTTTCCTACGTATTTTCCCTTATGATTTTTGCATTACAAGTTTTCTCTGCCACACAGAGAAAATTTGTGATGCGGAAACTCCAACAAATGTGTAACTGTAACACTTTTCTCGTGGGATAGTTGTCCTTGCATTTTTATTTCAGTGTGTCGCCGTGGAAATAGAGCGATGAACTAGCTATAACGTATGTAATTTTTCTACTAAATAACACACTAAATGGTCCTTCTTCAGCGGTATGTAGTCGTAACGTGTAAAAGTGCTCTAGTACTAATACAAATATATCCCATCGTCGCGGTCGCTGATTCGGTTCGTCAGATATAGCTGCTTAGCTCGTCTTCACTAGTACACCGTGTTTCAAGAAGATGAATCTGTGCATAGGGATTACCTCACTCGTGAGCCTCGACGAAGATCTTCCATGAGACAGATTTACGTCGATTTCTTGGCAAGCAAAGACGACCTGAAGAACCTCATTTACAACATATCTTCTATCACTGGAAATTTGACGAAGATTTTGAGAACATAGCACTTCTAATACATCAATTTGTTTTCAGGTTCTTTTCTTTTTCCAAGGCCGGCTTTTTGTCAAAATTATCGATTGATCGAATTCAGTTCAGCTTCACGCAGTACTACGCGATCTGGAAAAGAATAAAAATCCTGTGCGAGGACGACAAAACATCTATTTCAAGTCGACCCCGCACATGCTGGGAAGTAATTTTTCTGCGAATTTCGCTTCGAAGGATTTCAGATCGGCAAATTGAAACACGGTACGGTTGATCGTGGCCTTGGGAAAGTTTTGGTTCAGTTCCCGGGACAAGCTGACCCAGGACCGTTTTGCCAGACCGCTCATCCCACCGATCTTCACGGACAGTAAGTGCGCCCGAAAGTTTTGCCCCTGCAGCATCTGCATCTTCTGGTAGTTCGGGAGGAAATTAGTCGCGGAAAAAATCAGAATTTTCTGAGTCGCGTCCGACCGCGCCCCTGGGGATGTGAAGAGCTCGCGCGCGACGGAGAGTCCGCGATACAGGTCGAACGGCCCGCCGTTCGCGGAAGGGGTCACAGCAGTGGAAGATGCGACTTTGTCCAAGGCGGCGGTTACCGCAGTCGAATCGGCTGACCAAGGTGCGGCGGTGGTGGCGGTGGGAGCTGCGAGCTCTTCCTGTTGTTGACCTTCCGCTTCTTGTAGTAACGAAGATGCTGCTGCTGACCCAATTCGCATCGTGTCGTTCAGCTTTTCCAAGGCCCTCTTCTGCTGCGGCGCGTGCACGGCGAGCATTTCTAGAAACGTGGGCCCCTTCACCGTTACGACGGCAACCTTCATTTTGTCCGCAGCTAAATCTAAGCCGGTTACAAACTTTTTCACCGCGGCCACCGACCCGGGAACGTCGGAGTTGCCGGCGGACACGTCGAGAAGAATGACCAACTATCAAGTGCAAATATGTCTGGGTCTGGAAGAATGCAAACAAACTTGTCATGTAGAATTTCTATGCCCCACGAGGTCTGGAATGCAGCACCTAGCATGACAGGTTCTGCGACGTCTCTATCATGCCTGTCCTGCATGAGAAACTGCCTCTACTCTTGTTCAAAAGTGGACAGCTTTTTGGTAGTCATGCAACACAAATTTTTGCATGATCCAGACTTAGCATGACAAGTCCGCGTACTCCCAGACCGGGACATATTTGCATTTGATACCAAATCCGCCTTGCCCTGGCACTTCCGGTTCGCACAGGACACGAGCTGTCCGGAGGTTGTACTAGTGCTATTCGTCATGCTCGACGTTGTTCCGGCATTTCCAGTTGCTGCAGGCACGACCACCGCAGGTGTTTTCCCACCGCCGCCACCGATGCAGGGCTTGAACTCGCGGCGGAGCGGACTGGAGGGGGCGGCGCACTGCCCGCTGCCCTCCGGTGCGGAGATCACGTCGCGGCGCCGCACCTGCAGGCCCGAGCCGCAGGTCTGGCTACACGTGTCCCACGAAGTCCAGTCACTCAGCTGACAGTCCGCATTGCAGGTTTTGCTCGCGCAGTTCTCCATGTCGGAGGTGTTCGGGCACGCCTTCCCCCCGCCCTTGGCCTCCTTCACGACGGAGCGAACGCGGTGCCGCACTATGCATTGCAAATATGTCTGGGTCTGGAACGGTGGAACTTGTGATGCGTGTTGCAGATCCTACAAAAATCTGTGTTGCATGACTTGCAAAAGGTGCCTATTTCTGGCCATCCTGAGAGGGCATTTCTCATGCAGGATAGGAATCACCAAGAGGCTGCAGAACCTGTGACGCTAGGCCATGCATTCCAGACGTGGGGTAGCTTGGAGAAACTGCATGAAAAATTTCGGAATCTTCAAGACCCAGACACTTTTGCATTTGATACGCACCCCGGACCCGCAATGCGCGCTGCACTCCGACCAATCGGACCAATCTGAAACCTCGCAGTCCTGCGGGCATTCGAGCGTGAGCGGGCAGGCCTGAAGAATGTTTCAGCTGCACATGGACATGTCTAACTTTATTTTTCTCAGATTTACTGTGTTGTCTCTCGTCGTGTGAAGCATATCGAAGTACAACAACTTCATGTTTTTCTTACATCAAAAACCGTACCATCTTCTTTCCCAGTTCCTTCGGGCAGGCCATCCCGAACTCGTTCGCCTGGGTGATGATCTCGCGCTGCGCGAAGAAAAATTTCCCGGCCATCGTGCCACCGCCAATACCACACTGTTTCTGGCACTCCGAGACCGCGTCAGACACGTCCCAAGTGGTGACCTCACAGTCCTGCGGCAAATTTTTCTCCAGCTTCTTCAAAGCCAGCATCTCCCCCCGGGCCTGCCGCAGCTTGCAGATTGCGTCGTCGGATTCCGCTAATTCCCGCTCGCAGTCGTCCTGGGAACTCATCTTTTCGTTCGTCAATTGTGCTTTTTTCCGCAGAATCAACTCCAACTCGTTCTTGGCCTGTCCCGACTCCGCCATCAAACTGGCGACCCGCGCGTTCAAGGTGGACAGCTCGTCCCGGATTTGCTGTGACAGCTGCTTCGACAGTTGAGAATTTTTCTTACATTCCGTTTCCGACTCCGCAATATCCTCCTCTTTCGCGCCCGTTTCCATCGCACTAGACTGCAACAATTGCGTCATGGCAGCCTCGAAGTTCCCGCAGTTCGGCTTCAAATTCGGCGTGCACGCCTCGGGCAGCGGCTCCGGGGAATCCTGAAGCAGGGTGCGCATCGTGGTCTGGATCAGCTGCAAGGAACGAAGAGGAGCAGGGTGCGTGTGTCTGTTATTTTCACCCGCGGCCCGAGTTGCAGCTGCGTTGTTCCCGATGTCGCTCCTGCTGCTTCGTCTCGCTGACTCATCAAACCTGTAATTCTGGTTGAACCAGGGATGCCTGCGTCCAAACCGCACCTGGACGAAAGATCTATGGTGGTACAGATGATCGTGGTGACTGCTTCTCTTCCTCGTGCTGCTTCGCAGGTTGTAAAGAACCAGCGGATTGTGGTTAGGCCGGTAGCGGTAGTGGCGAACACCCCGTCTGGAACCACGCGCGCGCGCATTTCTACCGCCGCGATGAAACCAGGAATGCGGCCGACGAAGCGGAAATCTTGTGTCGTCGTACGAAGAAAGCAGTGCGCGGCGGCTATTTCCGTGTCGTACCGGAAATGTTGACCGGTGAAGATGGAAAGATCGCCCTCTATTTCTCCTTCCGCGGCGATGAAAAAGGCTTGCGAAGCTGGTTCTTTTTCTGTGGGAAAAACGCCGCCGATTTTTCCCACGCGGGCGGAGCGCCGGGTGGTAAATGTCTTCGTTTTCCGCAGTACCCTCGCCCAGCTTCTCGACGACGTCGATGTCGTCTTTGAAAGGAAAGTGCTCCTTTTCGCGACCAACGTCCTTGCGACGCGGGAAGGTTTTTGTTGTACTTGCGGCTGTAGTTTTCTCTACAACTACACCTTCGTGACCGTTTCCTTGCAACAGAAGTTTTTGTTTTCTTTCTGGGGTAGAAGTGGTGCCGTTGACATCGGGGGAATGATCCCTCGACTTTGAACGACGTTTTAAAGATGACTTTCTCGTCCTTTTCGATGAACCTTCCGTCGAAGAAGCAGTTTTTCTGCACTTTTTCACCGCCACGTGAAGTTGCTGCAATGCCGCAGAATCCGTCTTCGCCACCGGCAGCCCCAGTTTCTCTGGACAGGACGCCTTCAGCACCTCCGTGGTCATTTCCGCCTCCTGTTCAGCGTCTTTCAGTTCCTTCCGCAATTCCTCGCTCTTCTTGCTGCATTCCACTCTTCCCCTCGCGGCTTCGTCCTCGGTGCGCGCGAGCTCGCGCTCCTTTTGGGCCTTGTCCCCCTGCGTTTCGAGCAGCGACGCGGTGGCGCGGGCAAGTTTGGTCTGTGTGTCCTGCACGACTACGTCCAGCTGTCGCAGCTTCTCCGCGGTCTGTTGCGCGTTCTGTTTGCAATCCGTTTTGCGCGCGGTGAATTCCTCCCAACTATTCGATAACATCTTGTTCAACGAGTTGAGCCCGGACAAATCGACCGCTTGGTTTTCTTGCTCCATGCTGCTATTCTCCCCTTGGAGATAGTTCAATTTGTTGCGCTTGTGGTGCCTGTGCTGGTGGTCATGGTGAAACCGGAGCTTCGCGGGGAAGCCAGTTACTACTACACAACGACTTTGAAGCAGGGAGAGAAGCAGTCCCGTAGTTGCTGGACGAGCACGGGAGAAGGACCACCTCATCTGTCGCGAGGTCATGCTGTTCAACGCATCCATGTTACGTGCGGTCCCAGTGGCAAGGCCCGGACCCGGCAAATCGCCGCTCGCGGTGCCTCCACCCAGCATGCTGGTGAGCGCGACCACCGCGCGCTCGAAATTTCGGTTGACTTCTCACATGCAGTGACGGTGTTCTCGGGCGGTCGACTCTTCCATGGTGAAAACGTACCTCTATTATTTTCCCTAAATAGGTGGCATTGTGCTTTGATACATCCTTTCGTCCAGTGATCCCAGATGACGAAGACAACCTTTCACAAGATGTTTTGAACAAAGGCAGGCCTCTCATCAGTTGCACCATTCTCGCTCCTCGTGCCTGCAGTACAGAGACACTCAAGAACAAAACAGCGTCTGCACACCGAGCGCAGAGGCTGCACACGAGGACGTGGCCGAAGAAAATTATGCTGAAGTTCGTTTTCATCTTCTAGAAGTCGTGTGATTCTTTGCTATCTCGATCGTCCGGGGCTCTTTCTAGTATTGTACGCTAGCATCATGAATGTCGCATGTGGAAACGTGGTGCGCTGTACCTGCGTACATCAGATCTTCATGCCATTGCCACCACCTCAAGCATCCGCTCATTAAAATCGGCTCCATTCGGAATGTACTCAAGAAAAGAGGACCGACATGTTCCTGCGCCGTTCTCCGCCTCAGAAGCGGAGGAAGCGCTGCTACAGGAAGCGTGCAACGCTGGCGGGGGGAGCGCAGCTTCTCTCGAGGACGTCGCTCCTCTTTCGAAGTACTTGCGCAGCACGGAAAAAATCGAGTCGTGGGCCAAGACCAGCACCGGCCGCATTTCCTGTTCGATCTCAATCAGCGTCGTGGTGAGCAGCTGGGCCGTATTGTTCGTAGTTATCTGGTATTTATTTTCCGAAGATCTTTGTCGCGTCAGTTGCGGACTGGACGGTTGTTCTGTTGACGGATTTGTCTTTATCGCTGACGCTGTTGTAGTTGTTCCAGCACTGCTGTAGTAGTAGCCCAACGCCGGGCGGATCCGCACACCAAAATCCTCGTAAAAACACGATCCTGAACTAAATTCTAGTGCAGTAGAAGCGGAGAGGGATAAGCTTTGCATCTGGTCTTTTGCTGTTGTTTCCGCGGACGAAAGGGTAGCAGCTTCCTCGTGGTCTTTAGCACCGCCACTTGTTTCCTGTTCTACAACCTCCTCAGAACCGCTTGTCAGACCGTCCAGCATGATCTGCAGCACCATCTCCTGGTCCGAGTTTAACAAGGGGCTGAAAATGACTAGATCTTCCGCGGACAACACCTCTTGGTCGTCAACAGCGTCTTCAGTATAAAAATCAAGCCCCTGCCTCGCAGAGCAGAACGCCGTACTTCCCCGGACGAACCTGCACAGTGCTTCCGCCCGCGCAACGGTCGAGCACGCATCTACAGACGCTAGAAAGACCGGCCGCCGGGACACGTGTATGGAAGCGTCGGAATTGAAATCGTCAAAGTTAAAATAGTTTGTGATGCATAAAATGCTAGACGCAAAGTGCCTGTCTTGCAGAGCAGCCAACTGAAGCCGATTATAATCCTGTTTGGGGTGTGAGACAGAGCTGCTAAAATAGCATGGCAAAAGCTGTTTTCCCTGCCCAAACAGCGTGACAAACTGGATTTCCATGCTGCCTAAATTTGTCATGCGCCACTTGCAAACTGGGCTCCAGCTGGTATCGCTTTTTTGCATTACAGATTCTTTCAACTTTGACGATTTCGATCCTGACATCCACATAACGTGCAAGGCCATCAGATACGGGAGAATGGTAACGGCCGCGCGGCCGAAGATGTTGTGTGCCGTAACGTGGGAGGAGAGATTCAGCAGTTTTATGTAGGACACCGCGACATGCTCGTAGTTCGGGGAACTGCTCGTGCGGTGCAGCGACCGGCGGAAAGAACCTCCGGGCTTGGCAGAAGCTGGTGTTGTACCAATTGCAGCGTCCGTAGTAGTTGGACAAAAACTTGTTATACTCTCCTCGCTACTTTTCGATACTGCTCCAGAAGTTCTTTCTAATGTTGCGCACGAGTCCTCACCAGTCCTATGATCCGCTGTTCCTTGTTCTAGTACCTGTGGTAGTTGTATCTCTTCCTTTCCGATTTCTGTTCTCCACACAAATGACCTCCTCTTCAAGCGGCTCGTACACTTGTTCGTAGTGGAGGATCCGTTGCACCAGATCTTCGCGCGCCTTCCCCCGGTCCAAGCCCGCGTAGTCCGGGCTTTTCTCCAGTTTGATGTTCAGATTCGCGTTCAAGACCTCCGGCTCGTTGCACGTCGACTCCAGAAACACAACCCCCACGTGGGCGCCCAAGCGGTCGTACAGCTTTTGCGCGACGCGTTTCCGCCGGTCGCGGGTCGTATTGGTCGCGTCGAAAATCGCACATTTTAACCTCTGATATTGCAGCTCCTCAGGGATTTCATGGGGCTGTTGAACTGCACCCGAAGTAGTTGCGCGTTGTGGAGATGATGAGCCTGTGTTTGGAGTCGTGCTGCCTCCTGGTGCTCCTGTTGGTGTAAGTACACAGGTGGAACTTCTGGGCTTTGACCTGGTTCTCCTCCTAACATGATCCTGCGAGGTCGTAGCAGATGAAAGCCAGTCCGCGACGTGGTCTAGGACTAGCATGGCCAGCTCCTCGCGTCGGTTTTTCCGCGACGTGTTGGCAGAATCGAAATAGCTGCTGTCCTGCACCCCGGTTTCCGTTTCCCGGCGGAAATTCCCCACGTTGAACACCTTTGTTTCGATGTTCAGCCAGTTCAGAAACCGCTGCAGCCGCAACGCGATGAAGCTTTTCCCGCGCGCGGGCAGGCCGACCATCACGAACACCAATTTTTCCGCGTCCGGGGTGTGGGAGAACCGCGCGACCAGGGAGCGCACGCGGGCCAACTCGGTGGGAACCGCCGGAACGCTGTCTCGCCGCTCCTGTTTGAGAAGGTTCGGATCTTCGACTCCGGCTTGCAGGTGCGGTGGTCTCAGGGTGGGCGAGGGCGAGGCCGCGGAGGCTGGATTTGGCTCAACACCCGTAGCGGCCGTCTCGGTGGTTGTGCAACCCCGATGCCCGACCTCCGGGGAGGAACCTCGACTGGGCGGCGCGGTCATAATTTCAGGCACGATTTCTTGTGCTACAGATAAGTTGCAACAGGTCTCCGGATACAGGTTTCTTTTCTTGCAAGAGCAGGAGTTTAGACGAGGAAATAAAACCGATCGAAGAAAACAAGAGGGTGCAGCCTGTGGATCAGAAAGAACTGCTGGATCTTCTTGAACTTCGATGCGGTGGGAATGGCCCAACATAGGCCCTGCCTTTTGTCTCATGATCAATTCCCTCAACAAGAAAAAGTCCGGAGAGCCGGTGGAGCCAGGACACGGGTAGGTAGGAGCAAAGCCAAAGGCTCACTCGCACTCGTACGTGCCAAAAGTAAAAAAACCGTTAAATAAACCTAAGACACTCCTGCATGAGCGAACCTATTCTTGTGCGGGCCAGCAAGTCACATAACCCGTAAAAAGCTTCTGTAAGAGGGCAGCAACCTGTTCGACTGTATTCCCATTTCGCAACACTAGGAACGCCTGTAGAAGTTCGCTATTGTCGCTCAGGGAAACGCAACGCGGCTGCTGTCGTGTGGTCATGATGGTATCTATAGATATACACAGTCGCGCCAGCCCCCAAGCTGCGCGATTTGGTCAGCCTCCCATGCTACCGGCCCCGCGCGACATGCCCCTAGCCGGGGTTGCGCGCCCGGTGAATTTCTTGCAACATTCCCGCAACAAGAGCGCGCCCCTATTGCAGAACAGCCCGCGGCGCCGCCGGGCGATGCACTCCGGCCGGCGCCGGCCGCTGAAGCCAATTCACCGGGGCGGGCGCCCCGCGGGATGCGGGGCCGCCCGAGGCGCGCGCGCCCCGCCGCGCTGCGGGTTCGGGAGCCCAGTACGCGGGCCCGGCCAACAATGCGGGGCCGGCCTGGCGCGCGGCGCAATTAGCCAGGCCGCAGCGCGCGCCGCACCCGCGCGGGCAACCACCCTAAGGGCGGGCGGAGGCGCCGGCGGCCGGGCGGGGCCAGGCCAAACCAAAGGGGCCGGCCCGACGCCAGCCGGTGGCGTCGTGCTTCCTCGCTGGGCGTGCTGCGCTGCGTTGTAAGGCTGGCCCGGGGCTGGGTTTCAACAAGAGGCGCGCCACTTCGTTTGTTTTGCGTCCTGCCTTCTCAAAATTATACTTTTCTGCTTCTCTGGCACTTGGTTTGATTTCGGGGCGATGGCCTTCGGCGGGCTTGGCAGCGGGCCGGCCTGGCCACCGGCTGGCGGGGCGAACCCCGCACGGCCCCTCCCGCCTTGGTCGTCTAGGTTGCGAGCTTTCCGGAGTCGCGGCAAATTTGCCGCGATGCTGCTGCGACGTTTCCGGGGGGGGCCTTCGCCCGCAAGCGTTTGGAATTTGGCGGCCGTGCTTGCCCCCTGGAAGTGCCCGGCAACCGCCCCCCCCCGCCCCGGCGCCTTCCTGCTAAATCCCCCCGGAAGCACAGCGGCCCGCGCGGTTTTTTTTTGTCCAGCAGGAGCGGGCCGAAGTGCCGCGCGGCCGTGTTTTTCGCCGCTGCTAGCAGCCCGGGGCCGCGCAGCCCTTTTCGCTCCCGCGCGGCTCGCTTGGCCTCCTTCGCCAAGTCTGCCCGCCGTCCTGGGGCCGGCAAACAGTTGCCGCGGCCTCTGCTACCCTCCAGCGCAACAACGAACATGTGAGAACAGCGGGACGCCCGTATCGAGCGCGCTCCCCAGAATTGAGTAAATCGGGCCGCAGACGCAAAGCCCGGACGCAAGGCCCGCGGCGTACAAATAGATAGGCCCCCGCCATCTGGACAGAGGCAAACGGCCCCCGGAGTCCGGCAGGGCTACCGCCAGGAAAGAGGCGCCGCAAACCCACGGCCGCCGCGCGTCCCGTAGCCGCGCACAGCAGCGCACACGCCCCGCCATTGAGGCACGCCCCTCCCCTTGCGCGGGTTCCGCGGGAGACGGCAGCCATCCCCCCCGGGGGGAGATGCCTATGCTGGGGCCCATGCCTATGCTGGCTGCCTTGCTAGTTTCGCCATTTGTTCATAGGGCAGAGCGCTTTCCAAGACAGCGCAACTCAGAAAACTAATGGGCCCCAGGTCCGCCGTGTGCGCGCCCCGGGTATAAGGGTGGTCGGCGCACTTCCCACGCAACCACGCGGCGCACACATGCGTCCTCTGCTTCTTAGGCTTCGGAACCTTGGGGGCCGGGGCCGGGGTGGGTCGCAGCCGGACGCGGCGCCACCGGTTCCCGGGGGGCCGCCGCGGGGCGCTTGTTTGAACCTTGCTACCTAGCCTATACCTTTTTCAGCTCCACCGCCAAATCATGGAAGCCCTTCGCCACCTCGTTGCGGGCCTGTTTGGTTTGGCTGGCGCCTTGAACCGCAGTGGCAAAGAGACCGGGCAAATTGACTACCGCTGCGGCCTTCTTGAACCGAGCCTGTCCTGCGCCGATTCTGGGAGGCCCCCGGAATCGGCCTTGGTCAAACTCCAGACCCGGCCGGGCGTCTTGCCGCCCGCGGCAGGGCAAGGGCTTCCGGTAAGGCCAGGCGGCCAGGCTTCTCACCCAACAGCGCCCGAAACATTCGCCCGACCTGCCCGCGTTGCCTTGCACCAGCGCCGCCCCGCCACTTCCGGCAAAATCTCTGCGGGCCCTTGGAGCACAGGCACGGGACGCGCCTGCGCGGCGTTTGAACGGGGCACGCCACCCCCCAGACAATGCATGGGCTGCGGGGCCTACATTTTGTGAGCCCCGTGGTCACCACTGAATCTCTCGAAGCAATGCAGTGTAGCACTTCATACGAACATCATCAGCATGCAGCTGCCAAAACTCAGCAGCATCAGAGCGAGAGCTGGCGCCTACAATGTATAAAATTCTCGTCGCGCTTAGACCATGAGACCCTCATTTCACTTTGACAACAGCAGGGAAGCAAAAGCATCTTTACGACTGCGAAGTCACAACAACATGGAGATATTGGTCAAGGTAACTGCAATGGAGCGCCAACCAATGTAGGGGCGTGTCGAGCGACACATCAAGACCTTGAACCAGGAAGCGACAAGCAGCATTGTACGCCCTGCGCTGGAAGTAGTGTCTGTGTTGTGCCGCCTCTGTGGAAAAAAGTCCTTCGTTGCTACTTCCTACACCTGCTCTGCTTTCCGTTTGCAAAATACTTGTTCCGTCTCCGTTGTCACCTTTCTCATCTTCGCGTGACTGTGACACGACCGACATCACTTTTCTTCTTTCGTAACAAAGGAAAGGCAGCTTCTCGCAGACCACGTCTCCTAGCAAAATCGGTTCGTTCGTATCTTCGGAAAACACCTCGGAGGAAGTGAGCAGCGCCGGGCAACTGGAGCTCGTTTTCGCCAGCGGAAGGTCGTTGGGATCGGTGTAGGAGTTTCTATTTGCAGTTTGCCTCCCTGGAGGAGATGAGCCCGCACCCTCCACCTGTGCCGAAAGCTCCTGCTGTGACCGGACGACGAAATGAAACTTGATCGCGATTCTCCTCCAGTCTCTCCAGGTCTTGGGGTACTGCAGCTGCGTTTGCAGCAAAAACGCGTACTGCGCAAAATTGGGGAGGCCGGGGTTCGTGACCGTATCTAACAAATCCAGCTGCGACTTCATCGGCAGTCGCATGAACGCGTTGGCGCTGCCGTACCACAGAAAGACCGCTTTGCGCAGCGCATTCAGGTAGCAGGTGTGGAACCGCTTCTCATCCGTCAGCGCCACGTCGGCAAACGACTCCTGCACCTCCTGCGACGCCAGCATTACCTCGCTCGGAGCGCGGAAGTGCACCGTAAGTTCCCAGATCGTGTCGCCCGTTGCGGCGGAATTTTCGACGAAGTCTAAGACGGATGATGCCTCTTCTCCTGTTTCCTTTTCATCTTGTGCGGTGTCTGCAGTTTTTCTCTCTTCACTGCAGAAAAGCTGCCGGCGCATTTTCAATTCGCGCGGATGGGAGGTGGAGGTTGTAGCTTCGAATGTCGTGGTATTTCCACCGCGTGCTGCAGCTTTATTTGTGGAGGTCTTCACGACACCCGAGTCGCCAGCACGGGCTGAAACCGTACTTCGACCCAGCTCCGTCAGCGAGTTAGTACCACCACGGGAATAAACATCACGCGGTTGACCTCCCGGGCTGTTGATGCCTTGCGTCGCAGAGAGACCACACGTCGACGTCCCGCTGGTACCGAACAGAATGTCCCGGGTTACGCCGACCGGCAACCGCCAGTCGAGCACCGCGCCGCTGCTGTGGCTGGACTCGAGCCAAACTTCCGCTAACGGCGAGGCCTGGCTGCCGAACCGGGGTGCGAGAAACGCACGAAACCGCGCGTGCAGGGATGGGTACAGCGACGGCCAGTAACTGAGACGGGAGACGAGGGCGTAGTACGGTGATGGGACCGACGAGTCCGCCACCTCATCGGACGATACCCGGAAGCAACACAAAATGCACGAGGTTCCAAACAAGCGCCCACGGAAATCCTCTTCGAGAAGCTCGCGGGGAGCGCAACCCGCTGCGTCGAAACCTCCCATGATAATGGCACTGCTGGATGTTGCGACTAGTGATCCCCAAATGGAATTCAAAAAGTGTGTTTTCACGACCCACGGCGGCTTTTATTTCATGATAGCTCGTAGTTGTATCCGCGGCTTTCGGTCCTTTGCGCATTTGACTGTGGCAACTGACCGCCTCGACTCAACATCTCCAGACACAGTAATATCAGAGCAGATCACTCCCGCCGCACCCATGTAGTAAACGAAGAGACGCAAAATGCGAACGATACAGCGGAACACCAAATGTATATTGCAATTTAGTGTGCTTCTGCACGACTACTTACTGCTGCATTCACAGCAATATTAGAGGTGGTTTTTGTCGCTTGTAGGTGTCGCTGGTAGGGTGATTTTCACAGTACAACTTCTGCTGACCAAATAATCGTCAACATCAGTTGAGTCTTCACATTTTTACACTGGATGAATATGCTGGTGTTGTAAGTAGTCTTCGTCCTTCCCAACAAGAAGAAGAAAATGACCTTCATCACGACAAGTCCACCGCCCCGTCGTCTTCTTCCCCACCCAGATCTTCCTGGCCCGGCAGCGGATGTCTCGCGTGCTTGCCAATGCCGAAAAAGTTTTCCTTCACGGTCGTTAAATGGGTGACGAACCAGGGCTCCAGCGGTTTTGTGTCGTTGTAATCGCCTAAGACTTCTGTGAAGTCGTCCTCTTTGTCCGCTTCGAGCGCATCCACTATTTTCGCGAACAACTGCCCCTCCATGGACTTCTCAAACCGGGGGTCCTCCTGGCAGTAGCGGTCGCGGGCAATCTTGATGGTCACCATGTCGCCCATTACAAGGTGGAGGACGCCGGCCTGATAAAATTTATCTTGCATGTCAGATCCCGATCTTGTGGATGAAAAATTCATAAACCTCAGAATTTAAGATGAACTTCTCACTACTGTCCGCTAATAAAACCAGGCACATGCAAGAAACCTTGCCAACAAGTAAAGTTTAAGTTTTCCTATACCTGCCAGAAGTAGTCCTTTGCGCTGTACTGCCTCAGATTGTTGCTCAAACATGCTCTCGCCTCCGATTCAAAAACGTCGATCGCCTTTTTATGTTCCCCATTCGCCGCGGCGTACTCCGCGAGCTTCAGTCGGCACGCGGACAGTTGCGCCTTCCCGTAATCGTCCATTTCGAACATGTCGCACGCTCGGCTGTAGTACTTCTCGATGAGTTGCGTGTTGTCGGACCCGAGAGACTCCTCGCTCAACTGCTCGGCGATCGACTTCATCAGCTTGCCCGCCTGCATGTATTTCCCGTCCTGCCCCCACAGCGTAATGGCGTCCTCGAACGCCTGCAACGCCGCGAGCGTGCCGGTTAGTTTCTGCAGGCACTTCCCCCCCTCGACAAAGTAGTTCGCGCGCTGGAACCGCGGGGCGGAGTTCTTCTCGGCGACGTAGGGAAGCTTCTGCAGGTACACTTCCGCGGCGACCTGGAAATTCTTCTCCATCTTCAGCTGGTTACAAGCCTGCTCGTACAGGTCCTGGATTTCGTCGTACGGGGGGCCGCTAAAGAAACTCATCAGACCGCCCCCCTGGAGCTTCTTGTCCGCTTTCAGGATCAGGTCCATGGCTACTCGATCAGGATTTATTTTTCAAGATGTCTCGTGAAACAGAAGTTGTTCATCCGGCAAATCGACGTTAATATAGTGCAGTGGTTTCGAAAGAAATCACCTTGATGGCAACATGTTGTTGGAGAGGGTCGTGGCCAGAGAATTCGAGACCAAAGTGAAGGCAAAGAGCGAGACCAAAGTGAAGACTAAGAAAAATTAAACAGTTACTTTTAGTGAGTATTGAAAGCGAAAGAGGCACTTATTGTTTCTCTAAAAGATTACCTAGACGTTGCTGCCAGCTCTCTCCTGATATCGAAAAAATAACTCGTAACTTTGATAAAACCTTCGCCAAACATCCATTTCAAGGATGAATCGGGATCCATTTTTTTTTTCTCTTCTATTTCTTTCGTCTTGATCCTTTTTTTTCTGATGAGAGCGGAACACGCACACAGCCATGCGAAACGGGCTATCATTTATTTCCCAAACGGCATTACAAGCAGGAGCGCTAGCGCGGTCCAGATGTGTCAGCACTTCTTCAGTTTTTTGCATGTACTTCCTCGGAGAGGTTCCTGCGCTAGTGCGCAGAAACCATCTTCCCGGCCAGAATACTTAAACCCGGTAGTGCAAATCTACTTTTCGTTTTTCTTTCTGGCAATAAAGTTTCATGATCCCGACCGCATCAGATCGATGAATCCGACGCGATTTGAATCCATTAGTCACTTTCCGCCTTCCAGAGTTAGTCAGTAACTTGGTGGCGCTAGTAGGCACGTAGTAGCTGCGACCGCGGACGACCCGCAGGCGCAGACTACGTTGAAATAAAGAACCTGCTGTGCATCATGTCTTCCACAACGGGGGCTGCGGCTGTTACATTGATGTTCATGAAGTAGACTTCGATAGGCTATAGGGTCTTCAATAAAAGCTCTTATCACCATCTTCGTCGTGCATGCCCGAACTATTGTACACGGCCCAGAGTGTAGTTGTCTGTTCGTGCACACACGACGAACATGCTCCACTTTTTATAATCAGTCCGAATTGCGTCTTTACTTACACTTGCAAGCCTGCGTCGTACGGACTGGTTTAGGGTCATTTCGAAGACGAGAGAAATTAATATCTTCGGAAGGTTCTTTTCACAGAGGCAGTAAAGAACTACAAGGGTAGAAATATACTGAGGAGGTAGACTAGCTGCAGCAAACCAAGACATAAAACGCCAGAGGTTTTCTTGCAGGTACTAGAATTATTATACCAGGGGGTACAACTTACTTCTCGTGTGCACCATACATGTGTACATCAGCAGGGGAATAGTTTAAGTTTTGGTACAATCTTGGGTCCAAAATAATAATAAAGCCCAACCGGTTGTGAATAAAATTGTACATGAGCCGCGCCCGTTTAACAAGCTACAAGAGTCTGTCGATCCTCGATTACATATTCAACACTGATCAATCAATCTGAAACTCACGGCGACTTCGGATTCGAGGCCCAGTCGAAGACCGCGAAGAAGAAGCTGACGCGGCCCTTCCGCAAAAACTCCTCCGTCTTCCAGGGTCCTTGGTGGATGGCCGCGCGGCACAGCGATCCCGGCCGCTCGTGTTTATGGAAGCGTCAGGATCGAAATTGACAAAATCGAAAAATTTGTGATGCATGAAATGAATGACGCGAAATACGTGTGTTGCAGAGCAGGCAAGTGAGGCCGATTGTGAGCCTGTTTGGGGTTCTAGCTAGAGCTGCTAAAGCAGCATGAGAGAATCAGTCCTCTTTGCCTAAACAGCATTACAAACTGGATTTAGCAGGCACCACCAGAATTTGTGATGCGCCACTTAGAAACTGGGTTCGAACTGGAATCCATTTTATGCATGACAAATTATTTCGATTTTGTCAATTTCGATTCTGACACTTCCATAGTGCTCCCCGCCAAAGTACATCGCGAAGTCGCGCCCCGTATCAAATGCAAAAATGTCTGGGTCTGGAAGATTGGAAGACTTGTCATGCACATTTTGCACGACCCATGACGCCTGTAATGCATGATCCAGCATCACAGATTTTGTGACGGCTTTTTGATGCCTATACCGCATGAGGAATACCCCCTCCGCGTAGCAGAAACTGGACTCCTCTCGCTGCTTACGCAGTACAGATTTTCTTCGAATCCAAAGACAGCATGACAAGTTGCATCCTTCCAGACCCAGACATTTTTGCATTTGATACCCCGGCCGCGGGGCGATCACGCGCTTCGCCTCGGTTTGCTGCAGTTTCGGGTACTTCGAAAACCGTTTCTCCGTGAGTTCCCTCGGCCTGCCGATGGTGTGCTCCTTGACCGCGAACTTTCGAATCGGCGCCCACCGGTCGTATCGCGGGTCTAGCGTAGCGGGTTCTACTACTACGTCCTCGCGTGTCTCGTTTTTCATCGGCACAGTAGTGGAATCATTTGTTGCAGTTCCCTGAAGATGTTCCTCCTCGACAAAAGCAGCAGCGGCAGGAACAGCAGCTCCACCTGTAGTACCCGGAGCTGGGACGCCGCTGATGAACTCCATCCCCTCGAGCAGGCGGCCGTCTCCCGCAGATGGACGGGGGGAGGCGGAGGGCGGAAGGTTTATTTGCTCTTCTCCCTCCTTTTCCCCGTCCGCACAAACTTCATTGTCCGGGTGCTGGTGCTCGGGCGGCACGACGTGATCCGCGAACTTTTCTTCTGCGAGAACTGCTCCGCCCTGGCACTCCCGCACCTCGTCGCGGATGTCCACGAGTTCAGTCGTGCAGGAAAGAAAAGAGATCACGCCGTGCAGGTAGTAGAAGTGCTCGTCGATGTGCCACGGCGGCCCGTCCGAGCACTTCTCGTCGTCCGGGGACCGGACGATGCACTGCGCCATCCACACCAGCCGGTTCTCGTCCCGTTCCGGGCGGAGCATCTCCTTCGCGCACTCCGGCACCAGCAGCCACTGCTCCGCCAGGTACTTCGCCAAGTCGCACAGCCCCTTCGACAGCGTTTGGGCGAGGTCCAGGGAGATGCTCGGCTCCTCCTCCTGCTCGGAGGTTTCTTCATCATCATGCATCTTCTCTGGAGCTGCTTCTTGTACAACTTTTGGTCCATCTTCTTGAAGAACCGTCGCTGTTGGCCTACTTGTACCAGAACCTCCTTCATCTTCATCAGCCTGAACAATTTCTTCCTGGCTCTGCTCCGCTTCCTCCACGACATCTAAAAGGCGACTTTTAGCAACAAGTCCTGCTGGAGTAGACGCGGGGGCTCCACCAGAACCATTCTTGCTGTCAGTGTCATCATGATCCTCCTTCTTCTCGTCGTCCTCCTCGCCCAGTGGTTCTTGTGTGAAGAACCCGTTACTATTTCCACCCGGTGCTGCGCTAAAGGAAAAGGTCTTCATCTTGCGCAGCTGCTTATCGGTGGAGAACTTCCGGGGTGGAGGTCGGGAAGAAGCTGAAGCTGGTGCTGGAAGTTGTACAACTTCTTCTACTCCTGGAGCTTCCTTTTTCTCGTCCGCCCATGTTGAACGTGCTTCTGCTCCTTCGTGCAAAGTCGTCGCAATTGCGGTACGCAGTGGAGGAACGACCTTCGTGCCTTCGCTGTTCTTCTGCGTTTCAACATAATTATTCCCTGCTCCTTGTTCCAAAGAGCCGCCAACTACGGCCGGTGATGTTGAGGAGGCGCTAGTACTACTACAGGGGTTATTTCTACCGCCAGAAGCAGCGCTGCACGTCTTTTGTTGACAAGAACTACTGCCAACAAAAGCAGCCTCCTGCTTGTTCTTCACACCCCGCGTCAAACTGCAGCGCAGACTTTCCGCGATCTCCTTTTCCGCGTTCTCCCACTCCTTATCGCTTAATTTCTCGTGATATGGATTGCAAAAATGTCTGGGTCTGGAAGGAAGTAACTTGTGATGCTGCATTTGGATTCCAAAAAAATCTGTATTGCATGAGCAGCAAGAGAAGTCCAGTTTGGTTTACGCGGAGAGGGGATTTCTCATGCGGAATAGGCATCAGGAAGGCCTCTAAAAATATGTGATGCTAGATCATGCATTGCAGGCCTCATGGGTCATGGAAAACCTGCATGACAAATCTCGCAGTCTTCCAGACCCAGACATATTTGCAATTCATACGTGAAGCTTTCGGCAATCAAACACCGAGGACAGCGGGAAGCTGTCGCCCGTCTTCCCGCCGCTGGCCGCGATCCGGTTGGCGCGCTTTTTCACACGCAGTAAGTCGTCGTTGTTGAACGCGTCCAGCATTTTTCGCACCGTGTCCGGCAACTGCCATTTCCCCGTACTTTGCTCCAGCTCAAAAAAGTCCTGCGCCACAACGGTCGCCGGGTAGGAGTAAGGGGACAGCGGCTTCGAATTTGCGTTTGACTGTTGTTGTATCCGGTTGTTCGGGGTGGCTGCACCGTTGTTACTGTAAAGAGTCGCGCTGCTTTTGTTCCTCCCCCGGGTGGTTGATGATGTAGCACAACCATGATGCTGCTGCTGTAGTTGGAGCATCTTGTGTAGCTGACTGTACTGCTGGGATGAGAACAAAGCCGCGTTATTTGGTGTAGCCGACGAGGAGTTTGGTCGGGTACAACTACTACTAGCGTTGGTTGGCGTGGCCACCTGCTGCTCCGTGAGCCCGGAAAACCCGGGCTGCAGCGGCTGCAGTCGCGCCATGTAGTGCTGGTCAGCACCGTTGGACGTTGTCAAGAGGTTATGTGTCACCGATGGATAGTACCCGCTGCACGGCCGGGAGGGATACATCTGCACCTGGCTGTTAATCATCTCGGGAAACGCACTCACCCGCCCGGGCCGGGCCGGCGTCAAGTCGTCCGGCGAGGTGAACTGCGAAATGCGAGGGAGCGTACTAGAATTCATCGGTTGATGCGCGGCCAGCGCAGCAGTGGTCCCCGCAGCCGGGTATTGAAGACCATATTGATTATGACTGTGCCCGCTGTTGCTGTTGTTCAGGTTGTTCCCGATCTTGTTCTCTCTATTTGTTCCCGTATAATAATTTGCGTTGCTGATTATATTTGTTCCGGCCGTAGGTGTCTCTGAGCTGAAGCTTTCCGCCCCCGCACTCTGCGGGCCGAGCGAATTCAGCGCGGATGGCGCCGGGGAGTAAGCCGGGATGGGCAGAAGCCCGGGGGTCGTCATCGAAAGAACGGTTTGGTGCGAATTGCTAGTTAACAGCTGGTTGCCGCCAGGAGCTGCATTCGAAGGATAAGAATTGCTGTTGTAGAAGAGATGCGAAGAGAACTTCCGTTCTAAAGACGTCGGGTTTAGTATTGCTGTGCCACTAGTACTGCTATTGACCTGCAGGTTCGAGGAGGACAGGTTCGAGGTGCAGCTCTGTTGATTCATGATTTGAACCCGGGGGGCAGCTGCTACAACTCCCGGTTGTTGTACTACTGCCCCAAATTCTCTACTTCTGGTCCGCCGGATAGCGTCACGGAAGAACGTCGTGCCGGAACTGCTGTAGTTCTCTACTTCGTCGCGCAGCTGGTGGCTCGAGCTGGTTCTCCTGCCCATTGTCGATGTTGTCGCTGCAGTATTTGTTCCACCTCCAAGGTGCAGAGACCGCAACACACTCTCGTCAAATTTCAAACTCGGAATGGTCCGCGTACGCGCCAGAGGAGGTTCTTGAACGTGGACGACATGCTGCACCTGGCAGTAGGAACTGTCGGATTCGCACGACTGCCGCCGGTGGTCCTCCTCTTCGTCGTCGTGATAGTTGTATTGACTATTACTAGCATAATTCTCAACATCAACATCTTCATTCGGCTTACTATTTGTGCTGCTTTTCTGATGTTCTTGACCGGGTGGGGGAACTGCGCCTACTCCAACGCTCGAGCAACTGGACGACGGGGGCTGGTGATCGAAAAAGGCAGGAGCTGCTTTGGAAAAACTAGCCATCCTGGAACTGGTAGTACGGGTTTTAGTATTGCGATTGTCGTCTTCTACCAGCAAAACCGACGACCTCCCGCGATCCAGCTCGTGCGCCAACACCGGCACAACCGGCGCTGGTGGCATTTCTTGAAGATGATGCTGCTGCACTTGTTCCCTCGAATCGACATTGATGCTCATGCTATCGTAGTGCGCCGGCGGTGTTTCTGCGGAGTCGTAATTCACGGCCGTGGAGTTGCAGTTGTTGGAATTGTTCGTGGCTGCACCACCGTAGACAGGCGCATTTTTACCATAGACCACATCAGCTCGACTGCTCACGTTGATCTGGGTTCTTGTCACATCACATCCACTGCTGGTGTACACCGGCTCTGCAGAGGACTGTTGCTGCTCTAGCGAAGTTATTGTTGTACTGCCCCCGAGAACCGCTCCGGTTTGCAGCGCGGCCTTATTTGTGGTCCGAAAGTTGTTTGTTGCAGGAACGACGCCTGCCTGCCCGGTGGTTGTTATGGTCGCGCCGATATGATTCGATTGATTGTTATTCGCGACCCCGGAGGAGGTTGAGGACAGGAAGCCCAAGCCCCCATCTCCGACTGGTCGATTCGCATAGGAAAAATTCGACGGTTGGTTGTTGAAAAAGAAACCCTGGGACGACGAGGACAGACCCTCGTCGCGGTGGCCGGCCCAGGCTGCAGCAACATCTTCTACCGCTTCCTTTTTTTCGACATAATCCACCTCGGCTACCTCTCCATCCTCCCCCACCGGCACTACCTGCTCCACCCAGTTGCCGCAGGCGTCAAACGTGAACTGCCGCACGTGCCGGCCGCCCGGCGTCAACCCCACATCTTCCGAGACTTCTGTGCGACTGGTCCTGGCACTTCTAGGGGATTCATTTGGCGCGCCCGCTTGTCCCGTTTGTTCCCCCCCGGGGAGCAGATCACCTCCTTCACTCGGGAAGAACGGCACCACCGTGCTGCTCGCCCCCGTGGTCTGCCGATACTGCTGCATGGGCGTGGTTGTCGTGTTCGTCAGGAAGCGGACCGAGGGCAGACTGCCCGTGTGCATACTGGCCGTGTGCGTCACGTTGCCGGGAATCTGCATCGCGGTCCCGCCCGCCGTAAGGAAGCTCCGAACCGACCGGGAATCTTCCGCATCGTGATGTCCTTCCGCGATTACATTCTCCGGAATGTGGAGAAAGCAATTTGGCTGCGCCTGATGATGATCTAGTGCAAGAACAGCTCCTGGATGGTTTTCGTGATTTTTGACGTTGTTGTAGTTCACAGCGATGCTATTTGCCCCTTCCATTGTACCACGACGAGTAACAGCACCTTGAGTAGTTGTACAACTAGAGTTCGTCACGCAGCTAGCCTCCACGTCGATGAGGCATAAATTTGTTTCCCCCTCGCGGTCCAGCAGGCCGCGCAGCGCCCGGGCTCCGGTGGCCCGCTCAAACCGCAGCATCTTCGCTGCGCACGAGCTAAAGGTCATCAGATCGGAGGGTAAAGGGTGCATCACCGGGGCCTCGTGTTCTTGAGGCTGTGATCTACTTGCGGGAGAAGAGGACGAGGACGAAGGAGGCTGGAGCAATTCGCCGCCGTGGTTCATCTGCTGTGGCGAAACAAAGTCGCTGTTACCCAACTCCAACTTTTCTTCGGCGGAGACCAAAAATTCCTTGCCGGTTTGTCGGTCTTGCACTTGCTTTTGCTCGTCCAGCGGATTAGGATTTTTGCCATTGTAGTTCTCTTCGGAATCGTTCAGCTGTGAATAATTCGGCTCGTCTCCATTTTGTTCCCCCTCGTCGAAAAAGCTGTTGCGAGGGCGGTCACGCCCAACATCCGCATGGTCGTCTTCACCAGCATTGTTATCGCTTTCTATTTTCTCTTCTGGCGACTTTCTTTCCGATAGTAGTAAAATTTGCTGAATATTATCCCCTTCCGGGTCGTTCGTGGCTGAGAGGTTCGGGCTGGTCGATTCTTGTATCAAATGTAAAAATGTCTGGGTCTGGAAGAATGCGCGATTTGTCATGCAGCTTTTCCATGACCCATGAGGTCTGGAATGCAGGACCTAGCATGACAGATTCTGCGCGATCTCTCTCATGCCTATCCTGCATGAGAAACTCCCTCGCGACTTGGTCAAAACTGGACGACTTTTGGTAATCATGCAAAACAGATTTTTGCATGCTTCAGATTTAGCATGACAAGTTGCATTTTTCCAGACCCAGACATTTTTACATTTGATATCTTGGCTGGGTGTCGTGGGCAAAACGGTTTCTTGGTTATCGGAAATCGAGTTCTCGCTGCCTTTCCGCTGCGTTTTTGCATCTTCGGGAGTGCTTGTTGACGACGTCCTGGGTAGTAGTTCTTGTAGCTGGGCGGGACGAGTGTCTTGATTTTTGCAAAGAATAATGTTGTCATTCATTTTGCAGGACAGATTTTCACTGTGTTCTCCGCCGGTCTGTTCTTGGGGGTCCCCGCTATTTTTCCCCGGGTTTGGGATCGCGGCCGAGTTTGGAGACGCAGTAGACTTTGGCATTTTTTCGGTTTGGGGAATCTACTCGCAAGCGAGTAGTAATAGCTTTTCTGTTCCTTTTACACTACTTTATCATACTCTACGCTGCAATTTGGGAGTCAGTGGGTATCTCTTTTTAGAGTATGTTGGAAACATAGAGCAAGGTTATAGAGGTAATATTTGTGCTCTTGCTAACGCGAAAATGGTAAACATAAAACTTCAACAAAACAACCAGATTCACACTGTGATTTGAAAAAAAAAATGAACGTGCTCACAATTCGTCCTCGTATTGGAACTTCCACTAGATTTTGCGAAGATCTTCAAGAAACTCGAGACAGTTCGAGTACTTTTTTCTTTCAGACCGTCTCTCCTGTTGAGGACATTGCGATCGTATTTTCGTGCGGCTTCATTTAGTTTTTCAAACACGTATTTGGATTTGCTTGTGCGTTCAAACGCTGATCCATGATTCCAAATTGACGTTGATCTCAGTCATTTTCACATCATACGGAGCGCGCTCGGTGCGGAACAAACCGGAGCTATGACTAACAAACTTGGTGTCCTCCAGCTCTCGTGAATTTGTGCTGCTATAATTTTTGTCACTATATCCTTATTTCCTTTGGCTTCGATTCGATTTGCTCAACTCATTTCGATTTCGTATCATCATACATTTGTATCGTTACGTCAGAAGTAGTATATTGCCTGGAGCCCGCACGTCAAACTAGCCCCCAACTACAGCCGATATGCTCGTGAAGGATCGCGGGCGAAAATGTTGATCTTTTGCCGGATCTTACGAGAGTCGAGAGCGCAGAGCTTTGCCATAGAGAGAAGGGGGCTAGGTGACGCCTGGGAGTGTGAGTGAAGTTGGAGTGAACTCTAACAAATGATCACGAAGTTGAAATGAACAGGGCAAACCACGCACTTGTATCCCGCCCGAGGAGGCGGCGGATGAGTACGTGGGCCTGTGGCCTGGAATGAGAAGGGTGAGGAGGGTGGGAAAGGAAAAACAGATCGTTCTCCGTCCGCTAGGTCTGAGAATGAGGTGAATGGAGTGAGAGTGAAGTGATGGAATGAAGCGGATCACGTTTCGTTTAGCGTGGATGCGTGTCCATACCCCACGGAATGCAAACGAGCTGCCACGAGCGGCTTTACAGCCAATAACCTACTTCCGACTTCGCTCACACAAATTGGATTCCAGACGTACTACTTCGTACTACTAAGGATCCATAATCTGTATCGTTACGTCAGAAGTAGTATATTGCCTGGAGCCCGCACGTCAAACTAGCCCCCAACTACAGCCGATATGCTCGTGAAGGATCGCGGGCGAAAATGTTGATCTTTTGCCGGATCTTACGAGAGTCGAGAGCTTTGCCATTTTACCACAATAGAACAGGCGGGGCGAGACGCGAGCGAGGCCGGCTATGAGAGCGCGAGCGTCTCGCAACGGGAACCAGGAATTTGTATGAAGTGTAAACTCATGCTCATCGGGTGACAGGTGGAAGATACAGGCTTACTTTGACACTCATTTTTTTGCATTTCGTTTTGAAATCATACACAGCACGACCGTAATCGAACTTGCACCCGCCCGCGGAGCCAGTGCCGATGTTCATCGGTATGGCGATTGTGCGGCACTTTGGTGTGAGTGACTTTTTGTTCTCTTCCTTGATGTAATTGTAGATGTTGTTCATGTTGTGACGAAACAGGGATAGACGCGCTTCTTTCCCATCATCGGTTGCGTGGCCGTCCCAAATTGTCTTGAACGAATTTGGTTCAGCAGCCGGTGGGTTTCCCTTGCGAAACATTGTGTAAATGTTGCAAACACGTCCTGAAATCTCAAATGAACCGCATGGCTTGTCTTTGGCTGGTAAATGATATTTCGAAGCGGAAGGGAAGATAGCATACAAATCCTTTGCGATGCCCTTTGCTTGGGTGATCGGGGATGTGCATGCAATGTGCAAAAACAAATCTTCGTTGCCATGACCAAACTGACCTCTTGTGGCGCCGTGTAGAAGGTCTAGCTGAAACTTGAACTTCGCGCCCTCTTTCAGCTTCGTCACCTGCGGGCGCAGGTCCAACTTCGGGAATCTTTCCTGGGACCACATGCTGATCGGGACGGAAGAGTAGATGATGTAATCGTCGTCGGCGGTCAAGTCTTGCCCGTTGGGGAGTGCGAAGCACTGCGACCCGAACTGAAACTTGGACACCTGGTGCAGGGGTTGCAACAACTGAGCGAATTTGCCGCCGAGGCTCTGTACCACTACCGCGATTCTTGGTCTCGCGGTTTCCGGCGTCCCTCGTAGCAGCTTGTGGAGGTACTTGAGCGCTGGGAACAGCACCGTGGTGGGCGGGAGCCACCAACTGCGCTTTTCCACGAACTCGTCGTAGTTGACGAAGATTTGATCCGAGTGGTGAAACTTCTTTCCCAGTCTGGCGAAGTTGTCGGAGCTACTACTACAGAAAGCCTCTACTGATAATCCGGGCAGCCTGTTGGAGATGATGCCCCATGATCTTTTGTTGAAACGCTTTTCGGGGTTGTTGTCGTACAGGCTGCAAAGCTTGTCACGAAACCCCTCCTTGAGATCGTTGAAGTTTACTGCTTTTTTCTTGCAGAACCGCTGATCGCGCTGCTTTTTTTCGTCGGAACGCACATCGGGGCTGTCGCGTGAGTGTACGTCAGCGACTGTGTTTTCATCACCGTAGCACTTTGCCGCCACGAGTTCTATGCGCAGTTTGTCGATCATGTCGGCAATGTTGAGTGACGCAGCATGTAAATCCGGTGAGGCGCAGCTGCCTTTGTTGCACAGCCGCTTCGCGCACGGGTTGTCGGTGTAGTACAACACGAGTTTATCAGTGAAGTCGACATCACCGCACCCGCTGGCTTCGTGGATGATGAAGAACGGCGCCAGTGATTCCAGGCCGTTGATGTCGCAGTCGCGAAACTGCTCGGGCCACGTGCCCTTGTACGCGATGCCGTTGACCGTCCCGCCCCAGCCCGCCGTGGTGGCGGCATCACCGTAGACGACCACGAGGATGTCAGGGTCGATCGACCTGATGAATACATCCCCGAACTCGAGTACTTCGGCGCGCCAAAGAAACGAAGCGTGGCCATTGTAGTAAACTTTCGCGTACGGTTTTCGGGCGAGAACGTCGCGCCACCACCGCACTTCCTCGAATGAAGCCCAGCTGACTTCGATCCAGGGGTTGTGCTTCGGGTTGTTCTGCCACACCTTGTACACCCCACTGCTGTTAAGGTCGTACTGAATGGCGTGCAGTGGGCCGCGATTCACTACGAAAGTGATGCTCTGCAGCTTGCCAGCGCATTTTGCGAGGTCTTTTGCCTTGCAGCGGTAGTTGGATTCGGGGGACTTGAGGTAGTCCATGAATTCGCACAAGTAATCGTGGTACTTCACCCGTCGTTCCTCTTCGACGTACAGCCGCATGGTGTCGGTGTGGAGTTCGAACCCCAGCCACGGCATGTGTCGGGTTGGTTTGATGAGTTTCCCCGCGACGACATGTAGATCGAAGCCAAGATTAGACAGGAAGTAGAACTGCCGGCTCAAATCGTCCTCAGCGGCTTGGAAGGACAACGGGTCGGATGTGACTATGTTTCTTATGTCATCGACATAATCGAAACGCTTCGCCAGAATTCCCGACTGTACTCCCAGTTCCAAGGCGTGTTTGACCATACTGCGGGGTGGAGTTTGTGAGGTGATTACAAAGATGACTTGCATGAATTTTGAAAGATGATGCGAGGTATGAATCGAGTTTGTCATGCTAACGAAAATCAAAACTGTACCGATCATTGATGCCCGGGGCAGGGCCTACGCCAAACGGAACATATAAGTGTGTTCCGATTTCGCCCGTCGTGTCGTCGCCTGTGTAGCAGCCCAACAGTCGTCGGCACGATGCGGCAATCATGTAGTGGCTGAAACAATCTTTCAGGTCGATTCCCGTGAGGTAGCAGTTGGGAGTGACGTGCTCGAGCAGCTGCCACCAGCCGCTGTAGTCCACTGGCTCGCTGTAAATGGACTGACTCACGCGCGAGACTTTGTTCGACCAGTCGGTGACTAACCGTGCTTTCGTGCCGCCCTTCTGCATGAGTACGGTGGACGGTGCCCGCGTGAGATCCGCTGGGTAGATGACTTGTTGTTTTTTGAAGTCCCAGACTAGATTCTTCTGGTCCTGCCGTAGCTCGTTGTAGTCGTACAACACCAGCTTATTCGCAGTTTTGAACCGATAGATTTCGTTCAAAAACTGTTCGCGGTTATCTTCCGCACCGGAGTAATTGTTTTGCTGCGTCGGTTGAAATTCCGTGTCGGTGAAAGTGAAAGACACGCCCGAGAACCACTCCCGGACCACATCTGGGCTTACACCCCAGCGGATAGCGTTGTAGATGTTGAATGTTAAACCATCAAGCGCATGCTGGTCTTCTTGTTCGCGCCACGGGTCGGTTGGGCCGGGCTGGGACTTGAGGAACCCTGGGAGGTCCTCCGGACATGTCGGGAGGCCTGCTGCAAGGTAATCTTCAAAGGTGTACCTTGGTGCGGGTGTCAAGCCTAACCTCTTCTCATGCGCTGTGTGCTCGAGGTGCGCCGGAAGCGCCCGCGTCAGGCATGAGCGGAATGGCATTCTGAGATCTTTTTGCTGTGAGTTTCACAAATGAAGATGAGGGATTGGCGCGGTGGGTTTTGATGGGAGTACTCGTTGTTTTTTCCCGACCTACACTCGAAACGCTCGCTGAATTGAGGTCGCTCAGATGCGGCTGTTGAAAAGACGTCACTCAGAGAAAGCGCTCGGCCGTTGACGTGGCAACAACAGAGAGAACAGGTTAAACGACGACGACGCCGGTAACTACTGTCCTCCGAGCAGTGGCATGACCACGGTGAATCGTTTTCATTTGAAAAAAGGATACGAAGAAATAATGTTCACTTGCGCACCGCAGATGGATTCAGTCCGAGTTTCTTTGCAACGCGAGGAAATGCGAAGAAATTGACTTCGCCCGTGTTCAACTGGTTTGCGAGTTTCGGTGCGTACTTCAGAATGTCGTTGCTAGTGAAGTATTCTTCTTGCAGACTGTTATGTAGCTGAGTAGGCTGCTTAATTTTCTCGCGAGCATCGCGGGGTAGCGCCCACACCCGCTCAAGCTGTTGTAGCGTGGTGATTGCTCTGGCGTGTTGTACTTCTTTTTCGACGAAGCTGTCCACGATTTTGTGGAGCTGCAACGGTTCGATGGGAGCATATCTCTGATCGAGCATGTCCGCATTTCTCCAGCCACCCTGGAGATATGCTATTTTCCCGATAGCATCATGCTGTCGATAGAAAGTGGCGCCGCCGTGACGCAGCGACACTGAACCTTCGAAATTAGCTTTCCGGTGATTCACGAAGGCGCTTTTCGTGTCCAGTCGCACGCGGTCCTTCCCAAGCCTCTCGCCGCGGGTCGGGATTCTGTTCAAGCCGATGGTCACGAAGAACGGATGACTTTCGGCGTACGCGGTCGATTTGTGATGCAGAATGAGCGCCGTACTGAATTTCGTCCACTTCTGTATGAGCGACGCCATGCTCTTCGGCACGACGCAAAAACTACCCCGACCGTACTTGTCGTTTTTTGCGAACCTGAACAAAATGATAGTGGTATTGTGAATTTCAGTGCGCAGTACGATGAGGATGCGTTATGAATTTTTGCATGATAAATGACAAAGTTGCACCTGATGTGGAAGGTTGGTATCCCGTCTTTCATAGAGAAGTCGTTCCGGTTGAACTGGCGGAGTTCGTCGTTTCTTCTCACGCCGAAATAACCGACGCAAATGATGACGGCTACTTGCAACTTGATCGCCGCTGCAAGAAAGTTGCGTTTGTCAAAATGCTGATGACAGATCCACTTGGGGTTGTCCCAATTGTCGACTTCCCCCGCGAATGCAGCGTCGAACTCCTTCTGCAGGTTTCTGATGATTACTGAAATCTCGAAGAAATCCGGGATCACCTTCTTTGCTGCGACAGCGTGATAAGCGTTCAGCTTCAATCCCCGCCATGCGCGATAGAAAAATTTTGATTTGTCAGAACAACTGTACGACGACAAGTGCGGGCGGCTACTGTTGAAAATGTTTATCGCTGCGGATAACGTGAGGCACGCGCCCCATCGCACTTTGCCGTCCGTTTCTTTGATGGCCGGGCTGTTTTCTTCTTTCTTCATGATTTTGGTGAAAGCGCAGAAGAAGGTGATGCACTCCATCTCGTTCTGCACCGGCCACAACACGCGACCAACGAAGTCGCAAATTAGTGGTACGTAGCGGCTCAGCGCCTGCTGATATGATTTCGCGGTTGACGCTGCGATTGACGAGTTGTTCACCATGACCAACTCTTCTGCTAGCTCATCGCGCACCTTGTTGTCCACTGGTAGCGAGTCGAAGAAGTCGGAGGCAGCGGGAAATAGTACCAAATCTAGGGATGATGAATCACCTGAGTATTTGTCCCATTTGTCTGCCTTTCGGTGAAGTTTAATTTGGTTGGCGGTCGACAGGGATGAATTCCCGAGAATTTCCTGCACCGTTTTTTGAATGTCGTCTGTGTCGGAGTTCTCCGCGGACGAATGAAATTCCGATCCGACGGCACTGTCAGAAGTGAAGCCGTCGTCGCTTCCATCGCTGTGGTCGCTGAGAGCGATGACACCACGACTGACGTACTCGTCCACGTCGACGAGATCGTCGCCATCATCGTGAGCCTCCTCGTCATGCGCTGCGTCGCGGCGGTAGTGCATGATTTCAATTTGCGAGCGGACCGCTTGCCTTTCTTCGAGTTGCTTCTTGTTCAGCTCGACGAGAGCGGAGTCAAGAGCGGCCTCCAGAATCTCGTCGTCGGACGTTCGTGCAAACGAAGATGAAGAGGACTGCGCGCCTGCTTCGCGCTTGGACTTCTTTGCGGCTGGTGAGGCAGCAGCGGCTTTCTTCCTAGCATCTGCTTTGCCCTTCAGGTAGGCTTCCCTCGCGACCGCCTCGACGTCTACGAACGGTTGTTGTTGCTTTGGCTCCTCTGCCGCACTGCTTTGGTTCAAGAAATCGAACATGTCACTCTGAACCGGCTGCTTCGCGGTTTGTGAAGCGACAGCAGCGGCCAGCTTTGCGTCTGAGCGCTGCGCCGCTGGTAGATCCTGACGGAGTCGATCCTTCAACTCCGGCCTGCGGAAGAACATGCTAGGATCGAACATCTCTCTTCGATCGTTTTGATGATGGTTCGGACTGCTCGCTGTTAGTTTCGCGAATTCGTCGCTGTTCAGCCAGGTTGCATACAGCCCGGTGGACCACTTGTAGCTGATCGGCCTGAGAGAGGGTGGGGAGTCCGTTGCACTGGTTGTTTCCCCCGGTGGTGCCCAGTACGATGGTGGCGGGATTGCCGAGGACGGGGTCTCTTGGTCCCAGCAGCTGTGGCGCAGCACCAGCAGTGCTGCTGCTAGCTGAGCTTGACGAAGCACCCGCACTTTGTCTTGCGCTGCGTGAAGATGATGAAGCAGCTGACGATGACGCAGAATTTAATGATGATGAGTTTGTGATTATGAGGTCGTGTGTGAAGTGTAGTTGATTCACTTCCTGCAACGAATTCGCAGTCGATTCCACGAGTGCGATGTTGGCGGCCTGTCGCAGCGGGGCTGCAGCTTCCGCTGCCGCGTGCGCACGCCGCTGCTCTTCTTCCGCCCGCTGTAACACGCGAGCTTCGAAGGCCTCTGCGTCGCGGCGAATCCGATCGAGATCTGGCCCTACAACGACACTGGGCGAAAAGCTGGAAGTTGTTTTTGCGAGCTGGATACTTTCTGCTCGCGCTCGGTGTTGTAGTCGCGATTATTCCTGACGAGGTACTCGCGATAAACACCGTTGCGGAGATACCACCTCTCGACTCTGAGTGTGCCCCGGAGTGCGTTGAGCTTGGCGATGCTCCGCACTTCGTATCGCGATGTCGAAGGAGTTTCACCCGTGCCGCCGCTGGCGTCGTACGTGCCGGCTACCAAGGATTTGGCTACTTGGAAGCTGCCGCAGCTGACTAATTTTTGTTGTCCGGGCAGCACTCTGTCCACACTGTGACGCCGCGCTCAGCGGCAGACGAGCCGGTGTCTGGCTGTATTGTGACACTAGCAACGGTGGCTTCTCTGCATGGGGTATAATTGAAAACAGCCTTCACGAAATCGTAAGTTTTGCTTGATAGCTTATGCTTTCTTTCGCTCAAGAATTGCTCCACATTCTCGCTCATTTTGCATTTTGCTATGGCAAGAATAGGAGCGGAAACACGACGACCAGTGCGTACGAGACACGTTTGTACGAATGAAAAAGAAACATGACAACGAATGAAAATGAAAACATGAAGACGGCAGAACATCCGGATGAAATGACGGCACGACGCGTTCAAGAAACTGACAAAAGTTTCAAGGCGCGAAGGTACTAAAGTGATGCTTTCCGAGGCGTTTTAAAATGGGACGCACTGTGCATTTCTTTCTTCAAAGACAGTGTTAAAGTAAATTGCTATTTTTGTCGACTAAGAAACTGCTCATGCATTTCATCGTCGACCGTGCGACGTGAAATCGAGACGCAGCTTGCAGCTGCGAAACACGTGTTCACTCAAATCTGTGATGCTGTACAGCTGGGTAAAATGAAGGCGAGGCTTGTTATTGAGCTGTTGTAAATTTTTTCTGTAATCTCTGATAATAATCCCTTGACTTTAGTGCAAGTTTTTTGATTCAGATGATGAAGCCAAATGAAGCTTATTGTCTGAAAATGTCATAAGATTTCGTGTAAATTTGTTTACGTGCGGGGCCGCTTGTTGGTGCGGTAGTTTGAGTCTTTGAACTCACACTGCTCGCGCCAGTGGTATTGTCCTGAACGACCACGCTCCTTACAAATTTCACACTCCACAACACGTTCATTCTTCGCGGCGATACAGTGACTGTAACCACTTTGATGCGTAGCGTATCCTCTGCCAGCTAAAAAACAGCTCTTACACTTGTTCGCTCCCCCCGCAAGCCATTTGCTGGTCGCTTTTTCGTCTTTGTTGTAGCACTGCTGCAGCGCTGCTTGCGCAGCCTGGGCATCTTGTTTTAAGATTGCCGTGGTGAGGATCGAATCGATTTCCTTGTTCGTGTGGCGGTCCACACCGACGTACGACGGAGCCTGTGCGGCGCCACCTTGGTGGCCACCCTTTCCGCCCTGGTGCGTGTTCGCGATGCCGCCACCGCCGCCTCCACCCTTGTTCTTGCTACCTGAGGGCGGTTGCAATGACAAGACTTTGCGGCGCAAGGCGAGATGTATCAGAATGAAGAGCGTGTTTTGCATGACAAACATGACGGCGCGTTTCGCCTGAAAATATGAATTTGTGACGCAAGCAAGAATGAAAGTGATTCGAAGGTGGTTGATAGTGATACCCTTGTTGGTCTTTTCGCCATGCGAAGACGCGCCGCCGCTGCCGGAATTGGCGGTCTTGTTGGGTTTGTCGTTCTTGTTTTCGTGGAACACCATGGATTTTAACTGCCTGGCTGTGGCGATATTGCTCGCCGCGCACATGAGATAGCGCGGGGCAAACTCTAAATTCCAGAGCGCACGCTTGGCCGGAGTTATGGTGCCCCTGAATTTCACCTCCTTACAAAAACTCCTGTATTGTGAGGCGAAATGAATTTGAGTGAAGAACTTTTATGCGAAATGAAATGAAATGAGAATCATGAGTACGCATTACAAATTGCATAACTTATCAACCAGAAAACTACCTGATTGTCGAGTAGCAGGCGAAGCTGATGTTTGCCGGTAAGGTGATCATGGTGGTCTTCCCGTGGAGTTTTTCGGATTTGGGTGCAGCCATATTATGGCACTCTAATAAGTACTCAATGGCAAATTTAAATTTTGCCGCGAGCAAACTGCACGCTTCGTCCTCCCCGTAGCACAAAATGACTTTGTCCAGGTAGTCCTTGCAGGTCTGCAGCGAGCCACCGTTGGTCGGCAAAATCAGACTCTACAACAATTTTTGCATGAAGATTTTCATGTTGAATTCCCGATGAAATTTGACATGCACCTCGAAAAAATTGATAGCAGACATCCTGACGATTACCGAAATGGAGGTAAGCAAATGCTGTACCTTCCATTTGTAATGGGTATTCGCTTTCCGTTGCAAGTCCGAGATCGCGATGCGGGTCGACGCGGACACCGTACCCGACGCTTCGACCTGCGCCGCCGCGAGCACCGTCTGTGGGTCCATCCGGGTGGTGTGATCGGTGTTTTCAAAATTCGGCCGCTTCAAAACCTGAAACAAGGGTTGAAAACGACGAATGGATAAATGAGGTGAGTTTGTGATGTGTGTGAACATGCATCAGTGATGAAAGTGAAAATGAAGGGCACAGCTTTACCTTCAATCCCGCCACTAGTTCTTTGGGGTCGAGCGCGGACAGTTTGGCGCACCACTTCACTTCGGACACGATCAACGGGATCACGCTTGCATCACCGCTGCTTTCCGCCAAATTCTTTTTGACTACCCCCGCGAGGTCCTGGGCGTCCTGAACGTTACACACCGCGCAAATGTTCTGGGTCTCGTCGAGGCTGTGGTGAAGTTTTACACGTGTTTGAAACTTGTGATGCGTATTTCCGTGGTGCAAAAATGAAAAGCACTGTCATGGTGTGGGGTGAAAATGACATGATTTTAATCGGAGTACATGTTGAATTTTGACATCCAGGACGAAAAGGCTCCCACTCCGCTTTTCTTCACGCAGTCGTAGCAGGCCGCCGCGGTGCACCCTTGGCGCCGCAGGCAGCAGAACTGAATGCCCTTCTCCGGTTTTTCGGTCCGGCAAAAAGCGCATGGGTAGTCGGCCAACCGCGTGTTGGCTGCGGCGGGACCCCCTACTGCGGCTGCCATCTTGTCTACTTCCGGGTAATCGATACCAAGCAGATCGAAGAACTCTTTACAAATGCGTTGGTGATTGTGCAGCTCTAAAACGAAATGGATGTGGTGTAAGATGATTTCGAGTTTGTCTTCCAGATAGTGCAACAACCAAATACTGATGTGGTCACGCGAGAACTGGCCGATCGGATTGATCAGCAGGTCGATGAATGGATTGCGGTCCGAGTGCTGGTGGAAGAAAGCAAGCGACTCAGGCGTGATATAGCGACTGTGGTACGGATTATTGGTTTCTTGAACATCAGTGCTCACCCACACAATTTCTTCTACTTCTTCTTCTCCAATGCTGTTTATTGTAGAATCCGTATCGCTAACCACAGTGACATCAAAGTTTTTCTTAACCCAAGACATGTTGAAGCACAACTTCAGATAATTGGTCGCTGTTAGAATCGAATTTTTTTCGTACTGAAATGATTGCTTTTTCCTTTTCAAAACTGCTCCTTCGAATTGAAATGAGTACGGAGCTGAAGTGTTCTAATGGTGAATGGAGAGTGACAACCGTCTAGCAGTTTCAGTTCAACGCCACGCGTGGCGCAGTCGCGATCACTGCTTGCGTCTGCGGCATTCCGTCGATTGTGTGGCCGATCAAGGTGGTCCACCCTGTCGGCAGTCCCAGACCGATGGCCGTGACATCGGTCATGCTCCGCACGAAGAACTTGAAACTCGCGCACGGGGGCATGAGGATCACGTTGAACTCCATCAACATGTGCCGCATCCGCAAATTCGCCGGGGCTCCTTGCAGCGTGTGTTGGATGAACCCATCCAACTGCTCGCTCATGAGATTGAACGCTTCGATGCGGATGTGCGGCTCCACGCGGGAGCGCACGAACTGCTCGCAGACGTCCCCGATATTCACCAACGTGGCCGCTCCGAACACTAAAGCGCTGCACACCTGGCGTGAGTTGGTGTTTGGTACATGCTTGAAGTGTTGAGCTGTGTGAATATTTGACCATGCATGAATCTTTTTTGAAAATGATAAGAAAACGAGACCTTGAAATCCATCTGATTGGTAATTCCCGACAAAGTTTTGATTTTTTGCAGCAGCAGCAACTCGCTCGAAGTGCACTTCGTATCATACTCCAAAACTGCATAGCGCAAACCCGCGGGTAACTCGGGCATGATGACCTCGTTTTCCTTCGGGCAGCGCGGGCAGCGTGCGGGGGCCGTTGTAACGCCACGCACAGCCACCGAGTTTTCAGTCATTTTTACTTGTGTTCGCCTTCGAAAATTTTCTTGTGATCTTTGCACGAAGACGCGGAAGCTGAGCTAGAAGAAGAAGAGGGTGCCTGCTTGTCGCGCAATTTTTTGATCTTGTTCAACTCTTTGACATGATTCAACCAGCAGGGCAGTGTGCTCACACACTCCTTCCTCGGGTACGCGGACAAAAAGCAGTTCTTGCACGGAGTCTCGTGCTTTTTGAAGAACTCTTCGCGCGCTTTTTTCTTCTCCAGCGTGTCTTTGTCGGACGCATTGATAGCATTAAGAAGGAGAGAAGCTCTGTTGTCGACATCGGAAATGTGACACAGGCGGCCCAGCATGTTGGCCATTTCTTTATCAACTTTCTCGCTTTGTTGTGACATTTTGATCTGAAACTGCAGGTGAAAGTGAGTAGGTAGTCTAAAGAATTGCTAAGCTGATAGGCGAGCAATAAATTTAGAACGCATAATGATAGTGAAGTGAAAACCATGAAAGAAATGATAATTGTAGATTGAAGATCATGAGCACTTTGGCGCTAGCGAATGAAAGCACCCGACGCCTTAGTAGAACAATTTTTCTTGTTCGGTGGTGTTCCGCGTGGTGACAGCTGTCACACCATCTTCGGTGATTTCTTCCGTCACGGTGTTGCGGTCACGCGAGAAAATTTTCTTCATGGTACGCGTGCGACCATCCGCCGACTTTTCGCCCGAGCACCTCACCAAGGACTGCTGGACCTTTTGAAGTGAATGTTTTTTAATCGCATGAAAATTCTTCTAGCGCAGTGGTGTCATGTTCGATCCACGGGTTCGTGTGCAACACAATTCCCAACAGACGACACTGATTATACACCTTGCGTTCGTACACTTCTCCGATGACTTTCGCCGTGTCTGCGATGACCTTCGCCGGCTGTAACAGCTTCGTGAACAGCTCGACGATCGAGCGCAGCTGCACGAAAATCTTTTTTGTGTTGCTCATTCCCCCTTGGGCGCGCCTGTTGCTCTCCGCTCCCTGCATGAGCGCGTAAAAAGCGAACCCGGTGAGCAGGGCCTCGCACCAGGTCAACTGGAACGTGAAGCGAAAGATGCAGGGGAAGGTGAAGATCCTGCGATTAATTTTTGAGATGAATCTGTGTGAAGTGACAATGAATGAAAACATGATCACTGTGAATGACATGAAGTGAAGTCTGAAAGTATGATACCGATACGCCGAGGACGCGTAGAAAACGCAGATTCCCACATAGTGTTCGCGTTCCACGAAAACGCGCTTCACCCATCCAGAGAGCACCAGAATGGTGGCTAGCCCCACGAGAAATGGGGTGAGGATTTCGTCCTGCAGCATGAACAAGATCAACTTGTCCGCTGGGGCAAGGTCCGGCGTCGGTGGTGACATTTTGATGTGAGACAATGAAATGAGAACAGGAAGTCGAAGCTAATTTTTCTTTTGCTTCTTCGGCGCGGGCTCGGTCTCCACCTCGTCTTTTGGAATAGCCAGCTGTTGATGTTCGTCGCTGAAAATCAGAAAGCCGCTCGGCATGGGTCTAACTTTCTTTCCCAGAACTGTTATGTCATTGCTGTGCGTTCCAAAATACAAAGGATAAGCGGAGACAAACGGCTCAGTGGTGCCGTCCCATTTCGTTAGAGTGAAATGCGTTTGGCCCGGGCCAAATTGAAAATATACCGCCCGCAAGTCAGCAGGCATTTTGTTAGTTGACGAAGCTACAGGTGAATTCATTGAGGTTGAATTCGTAAGCTTGATCGCAGCATGTAACCGTACTCAAAGATCAGATTCCAGGTTCTTGAGTGCTCCTGATTGACGCTGCTCCCACTCTCTGTCTCAGTACTCCAGAACAACAACGAAAAACTGTTTCTATCCATCCTGATCAGCGGTCAGCGTTCTAAACAGCATCTTTTTATCTGTGTTCAAGTTCAAGCGTTCACGATTACGAAAATGAGATGTTGAGTGACATCGGTACAGACGAGCAAGAAAGGAAAAACAGATCGTTCTCCGTCCGCTAGGTCTGAGAATGAGGTGAATGGAGTGAGAGTGAAGTGATGGAATGAAGCGGATCACGTTTCGTTTCGCGTGGATGCGTGTCCATACCCCACGGAATGCAAACGAGCTGCCACGAGCGGCTTTACAGCCAATAACCTACTTCCGACTTCGCTCACACAAATTGGATTCCAGACGTACTACTTCGTACTACTAAGGATCCATAATCGCATCGGGCCGAAATCGAGCCAACTGCGAAGAAAATAAACATCATCAGGTCGACATCACAGCGACACAAAGTAGAAGCAATCCATTTTTCTACCTTCAGAACGCAACATGGCAACGAAGGTACATCCCCTTTAAGGCATCGCCAACGCTGAGCTAGTGCGGAATGTTACTAGGCACTGATACGTGTTCCAAAACAGCCCGACTCCGGCGTCCCAAGTGGCGCGAAAATGCGGGGAAAACAGACGCTGAATGAGCGTGAAGTTTAAAAAATCCGAGATCGGCCAGACCCACCAGCTGGTAAGGTAGATCTCCCAAAAATTCTCCCGAAAACGGAACTGGGACAGCCAAAAAACTGTGCGAACCGCCTCTGCGAAAGAAATCTGGTGTCCTTGTGCTGCAAGGTGTGAATCAACAGAAGCATCGACTGCGGTCTTGTGAATTGTACTCCGACTGCTCTTACCGCCTTCGAGGTTCTGCGCTGCGGCAAGCGCTGCACAAACAGAAACAGTGACTACAACCTCCTCTCCGGCTGAGGCCCTCGAGCGTACTAGCGCAGCCTCGTCGTCGTCACCTTCTGCTAAAGATCTGGACGTCGTTTCGCCCGACATCGATGGCCTTGCGCGACAGACTGGGGTCGCGGCACCAAACAGTTTCGCCAAGTCAGCCTCTAGCCGTGAAAGCTCGCGGGCGTTCATGAAGGTGGCTACTTGCGGTTGCAGTTGCAGACCCACATGATCGTACGGGTCGTCGTCCACTGGGGCGCCGCGCGGAATGTGGCCACTGGTTCTCTTGCCATCAACATCCTCCTCGCCGTCCTCTTGGTCCACACCTCGTTCTTCAACCCCAAAGCCAGAAGTTGCATGAACTTTCTGTAAACACGCCGGCGTTCTTGCCGCGGGCGTGACAGCGTTTCGCAGTGCCGCGCGTCCAGCCGAGCTTGTGGGAAAAAGCGCGAGGTATTTGGGCCACAAAAACCTCTCCCAGATCACCTCCCAGGTGAGGTGCGCGGTCGTGCTACAGGTCACGAACAGCCAAATGCTCAAAGGAGTCCACGCGAGCTGCATAAACAAAACCTTCTTTCCCAGAACACGAAAGTCCACGGATTTTGCACTTGATCTTACACGACGGCTGCTGGTGCTGCTCCCGGCCGCCGCGTCCGTCGCTGAAGTAGATGCCGCAGGCGGTGCCGTGACGTGTTTATTTGTGTTCATCCCATGTAGAAGTTGTTCTTGAGGCGTATTGCGTGCAACAGCCGTCGCGCCCATCGTGCGACGGTCTTGCAGGCCACTTGTGACGTCGAATAGGCGATCGGCTAGTCGGTAGGCCTGCACGAGACATCCCGTGCAAACAGGCGCGGCGCTCATCACGCCAAGGGTGCGGCACGGGTTCCAAGGCTTGTCGTGCATGAACAGGTGCTCGAGACGGTTGGCCGCGACGTCCGTAACACCGTATAACCCCACACCCAAGAGCAGCGGCGCACCATTTGGGTGGTTCTCGTAGAAAGACGCGACGCGCGCACGAAAAGCAGACAGCCGCATGTTGGGAGGTAGTATTTAGTGCGGAGTAAGAACTTGACACGGGCAGGCAGTTTTTCATGTAAAAAAGCAAGGACGCCCCCGCCCATGCGTTTTGTATCAAAGACAACAACTATTGGAGTTGTAAGCTCCAGGGGAGCATAGCTACGATGAGGGCGATTCGGGTCAGTCGCTTTTGCCTTCGCCCTAATCATGCGGCCTGGGGAAGCACTGGAAAAACGGATGCGGAGCCCTGCCACCAAACAGTCGCAGCTCGTCTGAAATGTGCAAAACCGTTTTCCTAATGAACACTTGAGGCCCGCGCAATGCAGGCTGGCCGTGGTGCCCCGGGCTAATATTTGACGCGCCTAGATTATTTATGAACTGAGCTTCTTAAGAAGGCGAAGGCCCATCGCATATTACTACGAAGCCGCGGCACGCGTGCAAGGCCGGCCCGAAACACGGGGGGCGGCCTCACGCTGCAACGGCAGCCCGGCGCACGGGGCAGCCTGCCCAAGCCCAGCCTAGGGAATGCAGCGGGCCTGTACCTGTTAGAGCGCGCACCCGCAGGCGCCCCGCCCCAAGGGCTAAGGCGGGCGCGCGGGCCGGGCGGGCGCGGACGGGCGAAACCGCGAGCCCGCCGCGCACGTGGGCAAATGACTATCCGTAGCCGCCCGCCGCGAAGGGCCTGCGAAGGGATGATCTGGGCGGGCGCGCGGCCATAAGGCTGGCTGCCCGCGGCGCTGCGGCCCGAAGGCGCGGCCGGCCCGGTCAGTCTCCCAACGTTCCGCGGCCCCCGTTTCCCCTGTATCCCCTTCCCTTTCGCCGCGCTCCTGCCTTGGCTGTGGCTCTCGGCCCCACCGGATTCCCGACCGCTCCACCGATTTTCGGCCCCAGGCCCGGGGCTGCCCCGGCCGCGCGCTGCGTCGCCGCCGTCTGTTGCCGCGGCGACCTGTTCACGCCCGTACTGGGCTACTAACTCCCACGACTCGCGGGCGGGCTAGTCTGCTAAGCGTAGCCCGTGCTCTTCGATCGTGCGCGCAATAAATCCGCGAGCATTACCGCCGCCCCAGCTGTGGCAAGTGGTGGCCGGTTCCCCACGCCGCCCGTCTTCCTTCTCTACTATTCTCGTCACAGGAACGCACTGAGTGGGAACGGACGAAAAAGCACGACGCGCGCGACCTTTTTGGCGAGCATTTCTGGAAGCCCCTGGCGGGTCTGCAGCCTGCGCGCCGCGCCAAGCAGGGGCGCGGCCAAGCGGCGCCCGCGCGGGCCCCCGCCTGGGCGGCCCAAAGTGGGGCGCCGCTGGCCATGTTCTTCGCGCCCGTCGCGCAACGCGAGCCAGGCGCCGCTCGGCCTTCGCGTTTAGCCCAAGCGAGTTGCATCCGAGAGCTGCACGAGCACGGCACTGGCCCAGTATTATTGCGACAGTGCGACTCCTGCACGGAGGCCACTCCTCTGGGGGGCTCTTGATAAGAGCACTTCCGACAAAGGTGACAACGCCGACGCCCCCGCATTCCCTTTCGCAGTTGAAATGATACCACCCCGCACGCTCGTAGTCGGTTAGAGTAAAGAAAAAGCCAGCACTTTCTGGCGGTGTTCTACTTTCTGGAAAAAACCGCCGATCCGGCGCGGCTGCGCAAGCCGGTGCCGCCGGCCTGCCACCCCAGCGGCGCGCGGCCGCGCGCTTCGCCTAATGCGAAAAACACACAGCAGCAGCGATACCCTGGAACTCCGCGCACGCTGTCTGCCGTCGTTTGTACAGCTGCAACCGAGAAAAGGGCGCGGGGGCTTCCAGGTTTGTCAAGTTGCTGGCGCCAGGCGAAACGCGCGGCCCTCGACATGCGCGCGAACCTTCGCGAGCCCGGCCCCGCCGAAGCTCGCCGCCTCTTTCCAATCATAGCCGCAGGCGGTCGCGCGGCGCTGCTGCGCGCTGTCCGGCATGATGGCAGTAATTCCGCACGACGAGGAGGCAGCGGGGCCGCAGCGCTTTGAAACGCGCGCGCGCAGAATAGTGGCGCGCTCTGTGTTGCACTTGCAGCTGACTAGGAGGCATTGTTGTGGTCTGCGCAAGATTCCCGGCAGGGCCGCAAAGGCTACAAGACCATCGCGAACACATTCTTCGTGCCTTCATCAATGTTGCACTTTATTTTCATAGCAGCAAACGCCACAGCTAGGACATAGCGGCTGTGGTACTATCGCAAGCGATCCTCTATGTTGCGACAGCCTGACAACTGCAACCTCAGCGATTCTCCTTTTTCTCAATCAACAATGGATCCAGGGATTTGTGCCAGGTTAAATGTACAAGTCGTGGCAGAAGTTGTTGCAGAACGTCCGCTTTCAAATGTCACACCTAGCTGTCTGCGTTAATTTCTTGGTGCAACAGCACAAATTCAACTTGATAGAGATGAAGTGTAGTGCACAGTAAAAAACTAATCAAATTGAAACTTCGCTTTCGCTTTCCTCAAAAATCAAATACAACGTCAACAAAAGCAGGTGGCAGATAGATAAAAACCTTGTACAGCAACACACTATTAAGCGAAACAATCTTTATCCGTAAAAAACGCACTTGTTTATTCCTCTTCGCACCCACGTTCTGGTTCTTCTCCTCCCCAACGGCCCAGATCTACGCACTGCCCTCCGGCCTCACACGCCCGTTCCTCTCCTCGCCCGTCTTCTCCTCCGCCTTCGTCTCGGTCTCCCCGTCCGTCTTCACCTCGGTAGAAGCGGGTGTCGTGGTGGTCGTGATTGTCGCGTCTTCATCCGCAACCGTATGCATTCCAAATATGTCTGGGTCTGGAAAGATGCAAGGTTTGTCATGTTTGGCTAACACGACTCTTTAGTCTGTTATGCGCGTGACCCAAGCCCCCTCACTTTTCTCTCATGCGGAAGCTCACTTTATCATGCATAATAGACAAGACTGTAGCAACCCCAAAGCTTGTCATGCTTGGCAGTAAAGTGAGGTTTTCTCGTCTTTCTCAACCAGCATCACAAGTTTCCAGACCCAGACATTTTTGCATTTGATAATCCGCCGTGGTCGTGGTTGTCGTGACAGTGGAGTTTGTCGTTTCCTCCGGGACCTCAAAGCTGTGCGGGTCGCAAGCGCCGCAAGAAATTCCGGCCGAGTATGAAGGGAAAAAAACAATAAACGCACCAGCAGCTTTGTCGTGGTGCTTGTTCATCGTCGTTTTGGTTTTCATCGTTTATGATTCTGGTGTAATTACAAGCTGTGGAATTCATGCAGATAAGTCCCGGAAGCTGTTGCTGTATGAGCTGCCTACACATGTCACTTGAATGCATGGTGAAAAAATGCATTGCCCATGCTTGTGAAACCGCGAACGACCACGGACTAGGCGCTATGCCGAAGTGGAAAGTATGTATCTCATACACCGAACTGGTTGGCCATCGCTTTTTGGAACCCGTTGCGCGAGTCTGTGTGCTCCGGGGCAGCTGAAGAGGATGGTGGGCAATAAGTAGAACATGGTTAGAGGAGATTCAGATTATAGAGGTGTTTTCTATGAATAAAGCATCAAGGTTGTTAACTTCATTATTTTTCATGTGTGAAGATTCCAAAAAAAAACTTCTATACCGTCGTAGCTGAACCACTTGTTGTCTTCAGAGCTTTTCAAGTTTTCGCCGGATGCCTTTGCCATGTCTTCCTCAAACGCCGCCTTCTCCGAGCGCCAGTCGTCGTCGTCCTTCACCTTCTTGCTGTTACGCAGGTGCTTCGCCTCGTCAATCACGACCTGCGTGACAAAGACAGCCAAGCACAAGGATCTACTCGAGCAGGAACGCATTTTTCAAGTTGCTCCCGATTTTTTTTTGTCCAGAGAAGACTGTAGAAGCGGAAGCAGGTTTGGTTTTGCGATTCGTTGCTTATGCTTTGCTGCAATAATGCGTTTCGAAAAAAAAAACTCTTGTGAAGATTATTCTTGTGTGTGATACAGAAATATTAAAGGCAGCAAGCATTGTTTTTGACTGTAAAGACACCGAGCCCGAAAAAGATATTTCAGTGACAGACGATCCAAGCAATAAGTTTTTTGACGACACCAGTGTTTACGTCACGATAGCTGCACGAAACTATGGTTAGAGCGGGGTGTAGTTGCTTATGCATCAGCTTCTCAGCACTACCAGCAGTAGAGCATAACGACACACAACGATCTTCGCGGGCCCACGATTATCAGACGAGTTGTTGAGAAAGGACCGAACGATTTCATCTAAGACACAAGTTTACAATTTTTCTTTCTCGATTGAAAACCATGGCAGATTCACCCCCTGCCACTGTTTCGGCCGGTAGCGGTACTAGAAACGATAACTTCTTGTACCCAGTACATTCTGCGTCGCTCGTCGCTTTTCTGAAAATCAAATGAAATGGGTTTGCTAATACTTACTCGTCGTCGAATTACTAACTTACTTCAAACATGAAGATTTTTCCGGGGCTATTTACTGACTCTTTAGTTTATCTTCTTCGAAGTTTCTGTCCCAGCTAAATACAGTATGTGTCGAAGAAGTGCTTCTTTGTATGATGATGTAAATCTATTCGAGGTAGTCCCCTTAGATTATCCTCTTCCATCCCCTTAGATTATCCTCTTCAGTGCTTCTTTGCATATATTGAAGTATTGTTTTTTCCTTCTCTATCCTATTATTTTGGTCTGCGTGGGAGGACCAGAGGTTTCCTCTTCTCAGGCCTTCACAAACTCATACACCCCGTTCTCCTCGTCAATGTCCAGGTCGCAGTCGAACGCCTTGCACATTTCGAACAGCAATTGCCGCGAGCCTTTCTTCTCCACGTCGTCCGTGAACACGGAGTAAGCCTTATCCCGTGTAAAACCGTCCCCAACCCAGAGTTATTGGATGCCTAAAATGTTTCTCATGCGCAAACCCATGAGGAGCGTTTTCTAGTCGTGTTTTGAGATTTGTCATGCTCGAATCAGCATGATAAGCCCGAGCTGTGATGCTGCTTCACTAGCTAAAGTTACGACTGCATTAAATGCTGAAATTTGTCATGCGCAGCACCCAAAGCTTTTTGATTTGTCTAGCAGATTTCCCACATTGACTCTGGGGAAGTGGGCACGTTTTTACTCAGCATACGTCTCCCCTTCCACAAGCGAGGCCAGGTTCATTTCCAGGTCCAGTTTCCAATCCTCGCGGATTTGCTTGTCAGGGTCAAGTATCAACGGTAAATATCCCTGGATGTCTGGCAGACTGTAAACTTGTCATGCAGGTTTTCCATGACCCCTGAGTTCTGGAATGCGGGGACTAGCATGCCAGACTCTGCTTGGTCTCTATCATGCCTATCCTGCATGAGAAACTCCCTCCCAACGTGGTCGAAAGTGGACACCAGCTTTTGGCACTCATGCAACACAGATTTTTGCATGATTCGAATTTAGCATGACAAGTTGCGATCTTCCAGACCCAGACATATTTGCAATCCATATCGAGCGACTTGCTGTCGAAATTCGCCTTCGCATCGTACGCGAAGTCGTATTCCTCCTCCCGATCTGTATTCGTACTGCCTGCTGCAGCTGCTCCGAGGGGCGGATTTGTTTGCTGTGGGAGGAGGAATTGCTGGGTGGAGGTGGTCATCTGTCGCTGATTTACATGACTTTCAGGTTGTACTATATGTCCAGAAGTCGCCCCGCCCACTTGCTGCGGATAATTTGGTGCAAATTTGCTCGTCTGTGGCTGCGCAGGTGGCGGCTCTGTTTTTGATTTTATTTTACTAATTATGCGGAGTGTGGAATAATTCTCAGTACAAGAATGCGCCCTCTACGCAGCTTCGCAAGCCTACGCTACCGCGACAAAATCACAGAATCAACATGAAAAGACTCAGAGTCGGTGTATCAAAATTCAGTACGTGCTGCCGTCTCCCTCTTATTCAAAAACGCACTTGTGCCGGTCAACACCAGCTCCTGAATCGCGGTGGCGCACTCTAACCGCGCCTCCTCCGTCCCCCCCGAGATTTCGCAGGTCTGCTGCTTCTCGCGCAGCTTGATCTCGGTCACTTGGAAGTGCTGCTTCAACTGCTTCATCATTTTGCCCTGCTTGCCAATAATCACCGCATGCTTGTCCTTCGGACAATCGATCTTCAACTTGTTATTTGTTGTGCTATTACTTGTCGTCGCTTGCTGCTGACCCAGGACATGATCGACGCTATGATCTCCGAAAAGCTGTGCCGGCAACTGACTGTTCCTAGAGGGTAATGTTGTCGTAGTGCCACCTGCCGCGGGGGCCACTGCGGACGAGGACGGTCTGCTATTTGTTCTACCGTTGTGAAGTAGAGAAGAGGATTTTGATGCGCGGCTACTGTTTTCCTGCTGCATCGCAATCCTCTGCTGTTGTAGCACTTCCTGCCGACGCCGCTCCTCCTCCTCCTGCTGCTGCCGCAAGATCTCCGCGCTTTCAATTCGGTGTCTTTCATGATCTTCTCGTTCTCTTTGTCTTTCACGATCTTCTCTCCTTCGCCTTTCCTCCTCCTCCCTCTCTAGTTGCTCCTGCTCTCTCCGCAATTTTTCCTGGCGTTCCACTTCCTGGAGCTCTTCCCGCAACTTCCTTTCTACCTCTGACTGCCGCTCTTTCCTCTCGGCGCTTTCCCGCCGCTTCTGCAGTATTTCCGCTTCCCGCATTTTACGTTCCTCCTCGTCGGCGAGCGCGTTGTCAATCACCTGCTCGATGTACATCTGACACTGTTGCCGGTCCTTCAGGCAATTCCCGCCGATTACGGTGATCACGCCGCTCTCGTCCACTTTCAAATCCTCTAAATGAAAATCCTCCACAATCTGCCGGGCCGTGGCGCCCCCGCGCCCGAGCACGGTGTTGCGCAGCGAGGGCGGAATTTCAAACTGCAGAATCTCCACGTTCTGGTGTTGCTGCTGGTTCATCATGGAATTGTTGAAAAATGTTGACATGTTTCTGCTTTTTGAGGAGCTGCTGTTCTTGTGCTTGTTCAGAAGATGGACACTTGCAGCTCCTGGCTGATTCTCGTCCACCTCCATGTCCACATTTCTAGTTCCCTGCTGCTCGTTATAATTTTCATCAACTACCACTGCCTGCCCTAAAGAAGCTCTACCACCGCCGGGGGGCAACAAGCCCCCGCCTTTAATCATACTCGCAGTCGGCGATCGCACAGTTGTGCCACGGAGTAGAGACTCCTGCAAGGACTGCTGCTTTTGCAAGTAGTCCCGGTGACCGCCGATGGTTTGGATCCGGGCATTCGGCACGTCGTCCTGGTCATGAAAGTGTTGGTGTTGCCCTCCTTGCAGATGTTGCTGTTGGTCCCCACCACCGCCTCTCTCGTTCACGCTGTCCACGTTCGCCGAGCGACAGGCGTCTAAAATCACCAATTTCGCCGTCTCCACCATCTCCTCGCTTCTTCCCAAAATTTCCACATTGATGACCTCCGCATTCTGGTCCATGAAATTCAGCGTGATCAAATCAAACTCCTGCTCCAGTTTCCGCAAGTTGCTACCCCCAGGGCCGATCACGCGCCCCTTGCACTCCGCGGGAATCTTGAACCGAATCAGTTTCGGCACGTGGTCAGCTAAAGTGCCGGCGGGAGGGGCCTGGTCGGTTATCGCAATCGACATCTCGTCTAACAAGTGCAGCCGGGCGGCCTTCGCTTGAAACAACGCGGCGGACAAACAGTTGATGTCCACACCTGTGGTAAGGAATTTTTTCAGTTTGGATCGTATATCGATGTATGGCTCGTATGGCTACAAATCAATGTAGTTGAAAATGAAAATCATGATCGAAGCGATTCAAGAAAGAACTCCATGAAAACAAGAAACCTTCACTTAAATCACCGCGACAACTACAGCAAATGCAAGTCATAATCTTCCGCATCAAAATATAATACTTCAGTATCTGTACCAGAGTTCTTTGCGTCCAGTTGCACCGCGGAGATTCCGGTTCTGCTCCCGGCGACTTTCAGATCCATCAGTCCGAGATACTTTTCCAAGTCCGTCACGTCTGTTAGAATGATCTGCGCTTCCTCCCCGACAAAATACGCCGGAAGCGGAAATTCCGGATTAAACAGACTCGGGGATAAGGAGCTGGAGTTGTAGTTCGCTCTGTCCATCTCTACTAACTTCGCAAAATCAATCTTCCCGGCGTCCAGGAGCCCGAGCTTCACGGAGGCGATCGGGGTCTTGACCGGGACGCCCGCGTCCGCCAGGGCGAGCGAACCGCCGCAGACAGACGCCATGCTCGTCCCCCCGCAGTTCTCCGTGATAAACGACTCCACCCGGATGGTGTAGGGGAATTCTTCTTCGTCTGGAAGAGAAGGCTTCAGGGCCCGCTCCGCGAAGTTCCCGTGCCCGATCTCCCGCTTCTGGTTTTTTTGTTTTGTTTCCCGGGTTGTGGTACTGTTCAACATCCGTTTCGCCGCGTCGGAAGAGGAGATCATTGCCGGGTAAGAGCACTGCATGTAGAACCGCCGGGCTGTTGATGATGAGCTACTAGAAGAAGAAGAAGAAGAGCCACCAAATTGCTGCTGCGCTGTTGCATTCGGATTTGCGTTGTTCACGCCCCCGCCGTCTTGCAAAGGTCCGTTTTCAATTCTTAGCATGCCACTGCTGTCCGCTAGAGTCGTCGTGGCGAACGTCTGCGTATCGCCGTTCGTGAAGACCGCGCTGCCGTGCGGGCCGGGTAGATATTTTAAATCCATGGAAACCTCCCGCACCTCGTGGATCTGCCGTCCGCAAATCCGCTTCCGCGTCAGTTTCACGTAGGCCGCCATCGCCTCGCCGCAAACCAACTCAAACGCCTTTTGGATCAGGGATTCCGGAAACGCGTGCAGCCACGCCGGACGGATGTGGAGCTTGAAGAGTTCGTCGAGTAACGCCAGATGTTTTGTCGGCTTGTGCTTCGACAAGTGGTTCAGAAAGTAGTGCTCGGTGATCACTTTCAAATTCTTCAATCGCATCTGTCCTACCAACGTATCCTGTGCAAAAGTATCGTACTCGTAGCCGTAGTAATTGCAATCATGCATCACATTTTTTTTTCTCAAGCTAAATCCGCATTACAAATTTCATTTCTCATGCTAAAAAAATTTGTAATGCATTTATACGAGTACGATACTTTTGCGGTTCATACAACGTCTGCAACAGCATCTCGTCGCTGTCCATCGTGAGGGCGGAGATCGACGGTTGCTCTTGCTTCTTTTTCCCCTTCCGCTCGCCGAGTTTCAGGAAGCTGTGGCAGAGAAAGGTGATGGAGTTTTGCGCCAACGTCATGGCGTACACGAGTTCCGCCTCTGTGCAAAAGTCCGCGTTCACCTCCAAGACCTGCAGAGCCGTTTTCGTTCCCACACAATAGACCACCAAATCAGCATTTTTCTTCTCTTCGTAACTCGGGAACAGAATGAACTCCATCTTCATATTTTGTTCCCACTTTCCCATACTCTGTTTCTCGATATCCGACAAGGTTTCCAACTCGCCCTCAACCATCGGGCGGTAGAAGCCCGCGACCAGACAGCCCGCCACCGGCTCGTCCATGGGGATGTCTGAAAGCCACAGCGCGCACGCCCCGGCGTTCAAGGCCAAGGGTTGCGGTAGGTGATCCTTATCCGCGGACAGACAGGTCAGCAGCACCTGCGTTTCCTGCTTCCACCAGAGCGCCAACCGTTGGCGAAACGGGGACTCCGTGAGCCGGGACACCAACAGCTCGTGGTTTTCCAAAAACTGCGCGTTTCGGTTCCCCGCGCGGTCTTTCACCAGGGTTTTCCCTAGAGCGGAGGAGCGTTCCTTGTATTCCACTGTGAGGTTGGAAAAATTCGAATCGCCGGCACCCGACGTCGCTCCTGACGCGGTCGCGGTGCCGAGCACAAAGGTGCCGCCCATCCCGCAAAACGCCGCCCCGTTGGCCTGTCGGGCGATGTGCCCGGTCTCGAAAACCAGCACGCGGTCAGCCGCGACCCGGCACTTCATAATCGTTTTCTCCGGGTATTTGGGGTCCTGCGACATCCGGATCTCGTGGTAAAACTGCACCGGGGCCAGACCGGCGGACACTTCCTCCTCGCTCGGTTGATAATTGGGCATCACATTCATCGGCTGCGATGGGTGTAGCTGCGTAGTTCCCCCTGCTCCCGGTGGACTACCGGTAGTTAACCCCGGAGTGACCAGACGGTGACTGACTGCCCTCGAGACCACCTCTGGTTGCAGCTGTTGCGCCAGAACACCTTCTTGCTGGTGTCCAGCTCCGGCGGAGTTGTTGTCAGTATTGTCATTCTGCGAAAAGGACGGGGATATGATGTTGTCCTCGTCGTCATCCGCCTGCGGCCCCTTTATTCCGTGACCACTGTCACTGACACTCATGCGCTGTTCTTGTTGGTCCTCATTCTTCTGCCGGTCGTGCTCTACCAGTTGTACTTCTCGTCGGCCCTGTCCAACATCCTGTCGCGCCGCGCTCCTCCGCTTGGAGGAGGACGCTGCTTGTTCTATTTGTGCGTTTAAATCCACAACATTCTCGTCTTCGTCCACCGAAATCAGGTCGTCATCGTCCTCGTCCTCCGGATTAGAAATATCTACTTGTTCATTCCCATTTCGGTTTTCCTCGCCTGGACCTGGAGCTCCACCGCTGCGGGGAGACGATAACACCTTACTTCCGCCACGTGGTCTACTGCTGCTCCGAACTTCTTCTGCTACTACCCGGGGAGAGGAGGGCGCGGCTGCTCTCTTAAAAACTCCTCGCCGCGCCTCTTCCCTCGCAGGCTGACTACCGCCACGCAGAGGTTCTTGTCCCGCCGCCAGCTCTTGCGCACCGCTTTTACTTGTGCCATTTCTGACCGGCGTTCCGGGCGTTCGGTCCTCGGAGAGAACCGGCCCGGCGCTACGACTTCCCTCATTTTCACCCGAATCAAAATCTTCCTCATCGTCCTCGCTGATCGGGTTCAGGGGGAGTTCTTGATCTACTAGTTGTGCCTCTTGATCAACTGCTGCGGGGCCCTGTTGTTGTTGGCCATGGCCGCCCGGCTGCCGCAGCGTTATGTGTTGGTCCTGCGCCACCCGGCTGCCGTCACTGGAGACGCTCTCGTAAGATCCGGCCTCGCTTGGTCGGCTCTCCCCGGGTTATGCATTGCAAAAGTATCGCACTAGTATGAATTGCAATACAAATTTCCTCAGCGTGACAAATAAAATTTGTAATGCGGATTTAACTTGAGAAAGAAATTTGTAATGCGTGAATGGGATTAGTACGAGTACGATACTTTTGCACAGGATACGGGTGGTGCAGCGATGTTGATAGTGCTCGTCCCTGGCTCATTTTGGTCGGTAGAAAGGATTTCTGCATTCGCCAGATCCGCCTCGTTTTCATCTTGCTCGGCGAGGACAGATATTTCCTTGTCCTCATCTCCGCCCACAGAAAGCACCGGCTGTTGTATAATGTCCTCTTCGCCAAGAACCTCTTCTTCACCAGCATCTTCGGAACTACCGCTACTACTACCCTGCTCCGACGCTTGGTCCTCGTCTTCCCCGCTGATATCCAGCTCTTCGTTCATGTCGTCCGTCACGTATTTCAGCATCTCCCGCCGCATCGTGCTGTCAAAGGGCACCCCGGTCTGCATACAAAACTCCTCGGGAAACCGGGGAAGACAAAACTCGTCCACAAAGGGGTTCTTCGTGGCGTCTTCTAACCCCTTTTGCAGGTGCGTCAGGGAGGCCTGTGGAGTTGTTTTCGACCGATTACGAATTTAGAAAAAGTAAAAGAATGAGAATCCGAAAGCGAAACATTTTCTAAAGTCTGCAAAAATCTTTATCCAAAAAGAGAAAACCTATCCATTACGTTCAGGACGGTGTCCTTGAGCTGTATTGCGTGCATCCCTTTGTAAGCCCCCTCTACGTTATGCCGCCCCTTCTTCCCCCCGAACGCCAGCCCGACCGACTGGACGACGTGGCGGCCGTCGCTGGACATAAAGGGTTTCCGCCGGTAGCACTTGTCGGTGCCCGTGGCCCAAAAGTGCCACCGCGGTTTTAACGCCCGGATCAACTCGCTCACCGCGGGAGAGGCGTTGAATTCGTAATTTTGCGGCAAAAAGTCCCGGTCCCGATGCAACTCCTCGGCGGGAACCAGGCTGTTTTTTTATTTGGCTTTTGATGATGTTCTGGTGGTGGTGACCGACCAGCATGGTTCATGTGGTTGCAGCACAAAGTAAAGATGTAGTAAGTTGCGCCAGCACTAATATGCTGTCCAAATTCGGACACTCCTGGTTGTACACTCCTGGTTGTAAAAACGTTGCATATATTTTCTTATGAGTACCTTGTCAGCCCGCAGGGTCCCTCGGAGGTCAAGAGCAAATCTACCGGTTTTCCGTCTGCCAACTCATATGGATTGCAACTATGTCTGGGTCTGGAAGGTCGCAACTTGTCATGCTGTTTTTGGTTTCTAGGGAAATTTGTATTGCATGACCAGCAAGAGGGGTCCAGTTTGTGCTGTGCAGACAATGGACTTCTCATGCGGAAGGCGCATCAGGAAGCCCTCTAAAAGTCTGTGATGCTCGGCCATGCACTACAGCCATCATGGGTCATAAGAAATATGCATGACAAGTCTTGCACTCTTCCAGACCCAGACATATTTGCATTTGATAACTCAATAATGTGTTCGATGATCGGGCGGTTGTAAGCCAGGCCCGGGCTGCCGTCGGCCTGCGCCCGAAAATTACACCGGCAAAATTGCAGCGTTTTGTCAACCTCCTCCAATGGCTGGCCCACCCCCCACCCGTTGAACGTGAACCAGTCGATCTGCCCGTGGCAGATGTTGTCCTTATCCGGGTGCACAATCCGCGGAATGGTTCCGGACAGGTAGGCCACGCGCATGCCCTGGATCTCCTTGATGCCGCACCCGCCAATGTAGTGCAGGTTGTCGGTCACCTTCATCCCGTCGCTGAAGCCCTTCTTGGACATGTGTGGCTTGTGAAACGCGGTGGAATCCTGGTCCAGGAAAAACAGGGGGATGTCGCACTTAATGCTGCCGTTCTGTGGTATGTGATAAATCAAATTTTTCTTTCTTGTTCACAAAGAACAGCGAGCTTGTTGAGCTGCCAGAGAAAGTGAAGAAGCAGCCTTGAGGACAAAAGTCGCGCTTATCGAGATCCATGCAACGTGCACGCGCACGCGTGCAACAAAAAATGTTTTCCATGACGAATACACTGCCCTATGAAAAAATAAACGAATACCGCCATGAAGGGGGCCATCCGCGCGGCATTGGTGTCCGACATGAACTTCCCAACGCAGAAACAAACATCCAGCGGCCCCTTGCTTTTGTGCACAGCCGCAATTCGAGTGTACAGCGGTTGCAGATCGCCGTCGCACGTTCCCGCGAACAGAAGGCGGCGAACAAACGGCTTCGGTTTCGGAGGTCCTCGCTGGTTGCTTGCAATTATAGTACTGCTTGACGTCGCTGGTTGATGTTCAACTTCGACTTTCTGTTTTTTCTGCAGCGGTGGCTGCGACACTGGCTCCTCACGGTCGAAGGGGTCGTCTATGCGAGTGCACAAACCCCCTTCCCCGTTATTTGTCATGCAAAATGCAAAATCCAGTTGCTGCCTTGTGGCACTGTTTGCATGACGAAATCATCTGGAGGCCCAAATACTACTAAAATCAACGCATGAGCTTGTCATGCACAGCCTTCACGCGTGCTGGTGTTTCTATCGCTGTTCACGCCGTACAATTTATTACAAATGAGGGGGAGAGGGAGTTGTGCACCACTCTCGTATCATCGCTCCGCCGCTTGGTCTTCCGGCTCGCTGCGGGATCGATACTGCTGTTTCCTGCCGACGCCATGTTGTCGCTGCTTGTGGGCGGGGGCGGCGGCGGTGGGGGCATTCGGCAAGGCTTGTACTTGTAGTACTGCTGGGAAAGCTGCCGCTCGTCTCAAAATCTTATTCACGTGCTCTTACCAAAGCATTCAGCGGGCCATTTTATTTTCATGATCATCGACGTGGTACGATTTACGCACTATATTTCTTTCATCTGTTGATGTTTCTTCAACGTAGTTATAGAAGTACTGTTGTATCTATCTAAAATCCAGATCGTGGCGCGGTCACAGAGGACAAATGACTCCAGAAAAATTTGTACTCGGCAAACTGAAAAAAGAACTACGTCCACGATCCAAAAAATTGCACGTGGATCCCTTCCCTCCTCTTCCTTCGTGCCTGATGTAGGTGTTCGGTAAAAATCAAAAACTTAGAGTTGCGACGTGTACGTCGCGCTAACAAGAAGAAACGCCAACGATTCAGGTGGACGGCACTCAACATAATTTACTTACACGCTTCTCTTTATTTGTGAACCAATCTATCGGCAAAACCGTGACTCACAATGAGATCTTGTGGCAGCACATTAGTATGATTTTATGAGTATGGGATCATCAACAAATCGGGATCGTCACTCGCAAGCTTCTGTCGTACACCATCAGTTGCACCATGATCGTCCTCTTGAACACTGCGTGTGTGTGGTAGACACGACGGACACGAAAAAGCTTTGTCCGTTGTTCCCATTGCCTTGACATCGAGGACAGCACATGCGATAGATATTGGACGAAACCTCTAATATGATTCAAACAACGAAGTCGAATATCTTATTGTGGTTAGTACCAAAGTGAGCTCCGTTCGGCTCTAGAAACCCACGGTGAAAATATTTCTTGCTGGAAAAATAAAAAATGACGAATTAAACTCGGAAAATTAACTGGTTAAAAACACGGAGACCGCACACTAAAGCTAAAAAAGTTTTCTTAAAAATTTCAGGTACAAAAAACCTAGGAGAAAGCAGTCCTTCTCCTTCCAAACCCTGCTACGCATTATTTCGCAGCGCAGAGCCAAAAATTCTTAAAATTTCAGAACGCCATAGTTCTTGTCGTCGTGCCTGTCTCTTTCAGTCGCCTTCTTTTTTTCTGTAAACACCAAAACCGTCGTGGTCCACAACATCCACCCTGGATGGCTCTTTTGTTGCTATGACGAGTGCTGGGAAGAATGGGCGGGTCCAAGATGATACATCAACTCCGTACCAGCTGCACTAGCTCCCCGCCGTGCAAAGCCACACGAGGACCCTGGCTTCCCTTCCTCCCGAAAGCCTCCTAACACGACCTCCGGAAGTAGGACCTGCACACGCTCCTCCGTGTCGTCCACCAGCTCTCGACCACGTATTCTGCTCGGCCAGGACATGATCCTGACGTGGTTGCGACCTGCACCGACCTTGTCGTGCTGCTGGGGTCGGTCCTTTGTTCACTCTGCTGCACAACGAGTGCCTCCGCAACAACTCCGGCCGTCGTGCGACCTTGATGTTCCGTTTGTCCTACTCCTGCTGGTCCTCGTCACACAAACTTCAGCTCAAAGAAGACGATGCAAAAAATGATGACCGCAATGAGGAAGAAGGTGAAAATCAAATTCAGGTACAGTTCGTTCATCTTGAGGTAGAAGCTGGTGGCTGTTGTTGTAGAAACAAATTCACTTAAAAGTTCAAAGTCTGGCTGTCAACAAAATTCAAATTACTAGTGGGGCTAAATATGAAGAGGATGAGAGAATATATGAAGTCGTGCAAAAATGATGGGAATTTCATGCGGTTCTGAGGGTGAGGTCCTGTTTGATGAAATATGGCAAAGGAGTTGTAGTACATGCGACTTTCATAGTACCTTCTTTTACACGCACAGATGAATACTAGTGGACGCTGCGCAGGCACAGCACATCTTTCTTTACGACGAATAAAAATCCTGTACGAGTGCGAGTCTAGGTTTCACGAACGAATTCAAATAGTTTGCAGTACGAGGTCGACGAGTGGCGCATTGATTTGGTGCCTCTTTTATCCGCCATTTTTATTTCCGATATGGCTTCTATTGCATAGCATTCATTGTTATACCGATCTGTTCTATCAACGACAGACCGACCTCCTGAATACTGCGAAAAGAATACACGTGGACGAATCGTGAGACGTTCTTCCAGTGACCGAAGATTCCTGTTTGACTTTGCTGCCGGAGCAGTCAGAGGCTCATGTGAATGATAGGATCAAAACATGCCGGACAAAGACCTGAAACACAAAAAGTACATGCTGGACTCCATCATGCCCAGTGGCAGTGCCGCACAGCAGGGCCTGGGAAGATTGCGCGCTCTGTGTCGCACTCAATTTGCGTTTTCTTCTTTTCTTTTTACAGACAACACATTGTCTCTCCGAACATATACTTAGTTATACAGCTGCTTTATTCCTGGTGTTGAAGACGCGTTTTGCATTTTTAGCCTACCGCCTGTAACACAGCTACCGGCGCGGTGAGCCTCTATACAGTCATTCTTGAATCAGACAAAAGCCACATTCATGCACGGCAAAGGGAAATCAAATGAAAAGCAAAAGCATTTATGCAAAAAAGAAACGACGCCTCTATTTCAAATATTCGCATTATGCAGGCAGAGCTGATTGGCAAATGCTCGCTTATGCTTGATTTCGTTCGGTTCCTTCGTGAAACAGTTTTCGCCGCAATTTTTCGTACTTAATATCGGCAAAAGCTATCCATCTTTCTCGTTCGTTTCTCTCAACATCAAAATAAGTCGTGCATTGCTCTGCAAAAAAGAAACATGTAGAATAAAAGGTCCAAAAACAAAAAAAATCACTCTCACAGGGAAAAAATCAAACTGCCGTCCAGCCAGCGCATCGCCCGGAGGTCGTACATACCCCATGGCGGACAGACCACCAGCGCGTTCGCCCATGCATTCCGCGTCACGTGCTCCGCGTACTGGCGCATCCCACTTTCCGAAAGTAAATCAAAGGGATACCGCTCCGACACATCCTCGCAAACCCGCGCTAGCAGCGCCAACTGGTCTTCCCGCGAAGAAAGTTCGAGCTGCAGATGGTAAACACGCGCGCGCAACGTGGTCAAATTGGCGACTGTAGCCGGATCGATTGATGTGACAGCCGGAGATGTAGTTGTGGTTCCTCCGGAGGAGCTCCTGCGCGTCAAACCGGCACGAAGAGGTGGTAGTGTGGGTGTCGATGCCGGATGAGCTGCTCCTGCACTGGTTGTCGATTGTCCCGGCTGCTGATCAAGTAACCCTGGGGACGACCTTTCTCTACTCGTTGTGCCAACATTTTGATGCTGCTGCAACAATCCGAGACGACGTTGCTGAGGCTGAAACGGGTGTTGTTCATTATGATGTTCGTTTTGAAGATCATAATTTTCGAACCCACTAGAAGTCCTCCTCCCTCTGCTCCGGAGCCGCTGCAGCCACCCTTCGAGCTGGTTTGCAGCGTTCACAGACGGGAATGGTCCGAACAGAATTGGCATTCGTTCTCCTCCCGTTGAAGACGGAGATGATGGGTCGCGCGAGGTCATCGGAGACTCGAGCTGTGAAAAATTAATGATGACTGTCTTTTTTTTTCAAAACTTCACCGCAGCCGATATTTCATATTTTCAACATGTCAAACCAAAGACAAAAATACGTGATCCAAGACTCGCTGCTGTTCTGCTTGTTGCGGCCCGGCGGACCCTTGTTCCATCGCCGGAACTAGCCCCGGCCCGGCCATCACCTCGCGCAGTCCATTTGCTTCTGCTTGCGATGCGTAGGAGGACGGCTGCCTTAGGAGCTGTGCCAAGCGCAACATCGAGCCGAAAGATGATCCCATTGCAGGAGCCCCTATTTCCCCTCCTCCCATGGGAACAAATGGCTGGAACTGCGGCTCTGTAACCTGCTCTTCAAAACCCGGTGCCGCCGCCATGCCTGATGGTGAAGATGCCGTCTCGTTGTTACAATACCGCAGGTTGAAGATGTGCGGCGGGTGCATAGCTAGACTGCAAGAACCTGAAGTAGACCACGAGGGTGGAGCTGCTGTGTCAGTGCCACTTATCTCTATTGGTGTTGTTCCTGTCGCACCACGATGACCCTCAAGAAAAGCTCTTCGATGTTCATTCTCTGGCGGCCAGCACGACACATGAACCGGAAGGTGCTCCGGGACCAGCCCCTGTTCAGCATGATCATTATCCGTTCTGTCCTGCAACGTAGTAGCTGCCATACTCATCTCCTCGGACTGCATTCTCTCAAACCACGGCTCGGCATCCAGCCCCTGCTCTCGAAGCCGGTCTACTTGCACTGGAAGCAAGGCGTTAGGGATCGGCGGAGTGGGCGGCCGCCGGAACAAATCTTCTACTGCCTGCTGTTCTCTGGGAAAACGAAAATTATTGACAGCAATATTATCCCTACTTCCATCAGTCGTGCTGCGAGCCGAAACGTTACCAAGCTGAAGTATTTGCCGGCAAAGCTCGGTGGCGGTTGGCTGTTGATACGGAGGACCATTAGGATGCCTCTCCTGCCGGAGATGATTCTGATTTGCGGCCCCGGAATAAGATGAGGATGGTGATGATGATAAAAACGGTCCTTTCGTGGTCTCCCCTATACCGAACGAGTGTTCTTTACTCGTCCCCGGAGTTGTAGGAGGTCCCATTTTGATCAGTTTCCGGTTCTTCAACCTGGCGCGACCACTGCCCGTTGCTGCCGATGGTGCACTGCTGCAGTTGTTATCTACTACTTCGCAACCAACCTCTGTGTTTGTCGAAGCCTCGCAAGAGCTCGAACTTGCAAGCGGAGTTGATGTCAACATTTGGGGAGCTGTTACAGTCGACGCTGGGCCACCAGCAGGAAGCAGTTCTTCTTCTTCGACAGCGACGGGACCGTTGCGGTTGTACAAGGGTCGGTAATATGATGTCTCATCTACAGACATTTCCCTATAATTCCCCTGCTCTGTCCGCTGGTTCTTGGCATGCGAACATGACGAGGAGCTACTCGTCGTCTCTGTCGCGCGACCCTTAGTACTTCTACACGATATTGCGCGGTGCTGAAGCTGCCGCTGCACAAACCAATCCGTCACGTTCAAAGTAGGCACTGTGTTTCTTGTAACACAACTTCCGCTGCTAAGGTGTGCAGGAAGTACATCTCCGGAACAACTAGGAAGCGAGGACTATGAGCGTGAGAAAGTATTCATTTCAAAAATATTCACAGGGCCGAAAAAAATTTTTTTTGCGCAATTAGTGAACGCCCAGAAAAAAGGCTCAGCGACATGCGCGCGCGAGAGCTTCGCTGCGGCGCTTCATGTAGAAATCCTGGGCCAGAAAGCGCACGAAACGCGTTCGGCGACTTGCAGGGCCGAGAGATATCAAGGCCTACGCCTCAAGTGTGGTCCTTCCTCTCTAAAGAAAACGATGTGGCGCGCGCTTTGGCGGATTGCTTGCTAGGTAGCTGGGCGCCCTCGCTCCTTTGCGGGGACCCCGCGAAGTTTTTCTGCAGAAGCTGGAAAGGCCCACTTCGCCCAGGCGCAAGCGCTACTCCTCTAAAGGCCAAGGCTGAACTGAAATGCGCCACAGCGCCGGCAATGGCTGTTTTGCACCAAGGCGGACACCTCTCGCCCGCTTCGCTTCTCAATATTCATTTTCGAATCACGACGACACTGCGTTTCCGTTTTTATTAGCAGAAGCTACTCCCACTTGATTTATCTAATATTCATCTGCGCAATTTGCGACAGCGAAAAACGCCAAAAAAGTGCGCACTTTCTGGGAAAAACAGGCGTTTTTTGGGGAGGTGAATACTTTCGCGTATCCCACTGCTATGCTCCTTCCAGACCAGCCCAAAAAGTAAAAATATTCATACCTCCTCTGAGGACGTCAAAAAAGTGCTTCTTTTCTGCTTGCAACCTTTGCGGCTTTTGGCAGCACACAAAGTTGCCGAGCTTGTCTATAGACTTGGCCAGCAGAAGCATCCTGGTAAAGGCCAGGCGACCCCGTCTTTTGCAGGGGTTTGCGCCTCGGCAAAGTGTGGCCGTCTAGAGCAACTGCTCTAATGCCCGCCACTTACCAGGATGTGCTCGAGCCCAGTCGGGATCGAGCAACGCCTGTAGGGGCAAGGCAGCGCAGAGTGGCAGCTTCTTCAAAGCTTTGAGACCGTGATCTGCCGCCTGAATGCTACGAATGCTGCCACTTGTGGAAGTTGGCTTTGCATGTCGCCGGCGTGCAGGCCGTCCCCTGTGTGTTTGAAGGATCTGACTCTCGAGCGCCATCGACCGACTGGGCTCAGCAAGCGACTTCCAGGTAGTACCTGCGTCGGGGCATCGCAGGCGCGTTAGCGCTCTGCAATGCCTCACGCACTTCGCCCCGGCACACCGGCTAAGGTGTGCAGGAAGTACATCTCCGGAACAACTAGGAAGCGAGGACTGCGGCCCTGGTTCCAGCGTCGAAACGCCACTTGCATAGAAGTTGCTAGTATCGCCTTGCTCTTCTCTCGCCGACCGAGTGAAAGGTCTACCGAGGTCGCCAGCTGGTGGATAAAAATTGTTCACTCCCATGTGGGTGGACGACGATGTTGTTGTTTCAGAAGAAGCCCTCTGTAGAAGTGGTGGTAGTGGTAGTCCTCCTGGCAGTACTAAACCCGGCGTCAGTGCGAATCTTGTCGCACCACCAGCAACTCCAGGGTTGTAGTGCGCATGATATGCGCTCGAACTCGCATAATTTGAAGAAGATGCTCCTGCACCTCCCGCGTTTCTACTTCTCCTGTTTGGTCGATTACGATCTCGTGTTCTAGGAACTAGGCCTTGCCGTCCAGCAGCGAGTGGAGAGGGACCCATATTAGAGGACTGAAACCCAGAGTTGTACCCTGTCGCTACTACACCTTCATTCCCATACTGTTGTAGATCATCTTCTACCCGGTTGCCCTGTCCTGCTGCCGCTGAGTCGCAGAAGAAAAGCAAGCAGGCGAAAGAAACTAGCACGGGGCGACGCCGGCAGCTCACTGAGTAGCTGCGACGCACCGGGATAAACTGAGGGAGCGACCCTGGTGCTCGTCCCAGCCCGCCCGCCATAATTTTCGAATCTTTTTTAATTCTAATAGTGCAATTTCTCTACATAAAATTGATCACTTTCAAATTCAAAAACTAAAACATGCCTCAAGCCCTCGGCTACCAAAAAAATAAATGTCCTTGTCCTCGTGCCTTTGTCGTAAAACTAAATTAGTACCTATGGCCGCCGCACCCTCCAACAAAATCATGGCAGCCATATCTCATCAATTGAAATTGTGAGAGAAACAACACATCAAAGGCAAAGCTTGCGAAATGTAGTATTGCACGATGCACACAAACGAGTCGGAGTGAACATCCTGGCAAACATAGCCCTTCACAAAGTGTAAGCGCGCTCGCACCGCAGTTCATTCCCGAGCGAGAGATATTCATATTCCAAATTGAATCTGTCAACAGATAAACAAAAAATCCAGTGGATTTTCCCGCATGAAGAGAGGGCCCTGTCTCTCGCACCGTAATTTTTTCCCTCCCGCTTTGCAAATAATAGGAACTGTGTCCAGCACCTCTTGCCAAAATTTGAGCTGCTTCTATATCGTGTGAGTAGTGCGATTGAGAATTTTTATTACGAGGATGTAACATAAGCATAACAACCATCCGCGAGCTCAAAATTAAGTATTCCAACGGGCGGACAGCAGCTGCAGGTGTCCGAAAAAAATTTCAAAGTCGCCAAAATTCGCAGTTTTTCATAGATGTTGGCACTGCCCACGTTTGTTCGTTTTATAAACCTTTGACGTTCACACCGTCCAGCGGTAATCGTCGCGAAACCATTTCTCGTTGGTTCTCAAATCCACGGTCAGTGTGTAAAGGAAATCCGAGTCTGGCCGGGAGGTCGTGCCAGGAAGTAGATGAAGTCCGACCGGGAAACTAACCACCACCGTGTCCGCCGCATATCCAGAGTATTCCCCGGGCTGGAACTTCCGGCAGTCGATGTCCAAAAGCGGCTGCATGGCCATGAATTTATCAAATGCAAAAATGTCGGGGTCTAGAAGATTACCAGGTTTGTCATGCATATTTTGAATGACCCATGATGTCTGCGATGCATGCCCTAGCATCACAAATTTTTAGAGGACTTTGTGATGCCTCTGCCGCATGAGAAATGCCCTCTCCGCGTAGCACAAATTGGAGTTCTCCTGCTGGTCATGCTGCATGACTTGTATTGCGCATGTATTGCATTGCAATACAAATTTTTTCAGAATCCAGAGACAGCATATACAAGTTTAGAACCTTCCAGACCCAGACATTTTTGAATTTGATAGAATTTAAACAGCCGCAACTCCAGCTTTGGGTTTTTCAAGTCGAGGGCAATTGATTTCAGGAGGATAAAATTCCGTTCATACTCCATTTCTGAAACGGTCGATTCGTAATTCGCCATTTTCCTGTCCAGCGCCTGCATTAAGGCCGGTTGCTTTTTGTACTCATCGACGAAATCCCGCAGCGCTATCAAAATGAAAAATCCCCCCTCCCCATATCAAAACGGAAATTTGTGATGCTGATTTGTGGTCACAAATCGTCTTTGTCTTGCCTGCAGGCTCATAGGAGCCATTTGACGTCGCATTTCAGAGCGAGTCTGTCATGCGCTTTCGACTACTACAAACCTGTTTGCCATGCGCAATTGCTAGCCTTCTGCATACCCAAACAGGGTCAGAAAATGCCACCAAGCACTTTCTGCAAGACAGATCTGATATGTGTACGCAAATCCAGCATCAGAAACTTCGTTGCGATATGGGGAGGGGGAATTTTTCCTCTCAATAAGCGCCGCGCCCGCTTCTAGCGAGAGAACCGTGTCTCTGGCTTCGTCGCACTTCATTTTGGAGGGGCCACTAGAACTAGTACCAGCGACGTCGCTGCGGCCAGCTGTACAAATAGTAGAATCGCCGCAACGGAATTTAGCATCACGGTTTAACTTGTTGTTGTTTCCGCGGAATTTATTACCGCGACTCGGCCACTTCGGGCCTCGCGGCCCAGTGCTGTAGTGCTGGCACTCCTGTGGATCACGGTCACCGAACGACCCCTGTGGCCGATAGTGGTCGTGCTGGAACACATAATCGGGCAAGGCCGCGGCTTCCGCCGCCGGTGGCAAAGATGTTGATGCACCACTGCTTCCTCGTGTCTCCTGCCGAGGGAAGTTGTGCTGCGCGATTACTACAGGACCATCTGACGATGAAGGAGGAGGACCACGTGGCAAAAAAACAGGACGTGGCACGACACTGCTGCAGCTTCCGGCAGTTGTAGCAGTGACTCCCCCCGCGAAATACGCTGGCTGGTCCGGATCGAAGGCGTTGGAAGTAGAATGCGCACGGTGTTCTTGTACATCGTCCTCTTGGCACGTCGTGGTCATAATGTCCTCGTTGGAAAGATTGCAATACTCGCGGACCAGGCGGTCATACGTGGGTAATATTAAACCATGTTCATCTACTACTCCGTGGTCAACATCTGCTGCTCCCAGGTCATCATGACCTGAGGAAAGTGAATGGTCATCTGGTTCCAACGCCGGCGTTGCGTGGGCCTCTAGTCGTGCTGCCGTAGTCGTTTCATCCCGAAGAAAAGCGTTCCGCACCCGCTCTCGTTGCGTCTGCCGCTCCAAGGTGTCCACGTAAGGCTCCCTGCTGCTGCTGGCATTGCTATCGTAATTGTACGGAACTGAACCACGGCTGTTGTACGTGTACCCTGGGATTTCAACATCTCGCGGATGATGTTCTGGGGGCTGCAAAAACGCCCTCAAACCTCTGCTCATGTTATTATACCGAAACATCTGCATCTGCAGTGCCATCGTGTTTGTCACGCGCCAGGCAGCAAGCAGCAACAGGGCCGCTGCGAGAGGTGGCGTCTTCGTTGCTGTAGCCTTTGCCATTCTGACGATTAAAATTTTGCTTCTGGTGTGGTGTGTGTTTTTTTGCTACCTTTTTCTACCGTGCTGATAAGTGAGTAGCTGTTCAAACTGTTAAAAGCAAAACAACAGATTCTGACCTAGGACAGACATAAACAAGACAAAATGCTTCTCTTTTGCAGGACCTCCAGGAGCAGCTCCACAGTAAATGCAATTGTAACTCGATCTAAACCATTAAAAAATGCAAGAGTAATATCCTGTGCCACACATACTTATCTTGCGATAGATTGACTACCATGTACAGCATTTTACGAATTCAAAAAAAAATGCGCGGAGCCACAAACGCAAGATCTGATTTCCGCCTACAAACGCTTGCTAGAGAGCATAGGCAGCTTCCGATCGGACGCTGCAAAAGAAAAAAATAATACTTAATTGTGATCTTTTTTGCTTGCTGGTTGCAAAGCTGGCGGAGAAAACTCTTTCATGTCAAAAAAGCTGAGGAACGCCGCCTTGTGATAGGAACCAACGAACACGGCGGTTGGAGGTGCAATTGATTCGTGGCTTCAGGACTGTTTAGTTCTCGACGCAGCTGGTGTCCTCTTGCTATCGTTTTGGAGGTTTTTGTTTTTCTCAATTTTCTTCACATAAAATAAGCGCCAATTTTGTCTTCTTGTTTTCCACATTCATTCTACACAAGCACATTTTCTCGTGTGGGAAACTGTCTTCGGTTTTTCGTTTTCTGCGAAGCGCTCTTGCAAAAATCACAATGCTCCGAGAGAAGAGAAAGACAGAGCTGAAACACAAACATGCAATGCTACTTCTTATTTCCACCTCAGAAGTCGTCCGGCGTGAAAATTATGTGTATCAATAAACTTGTAGTTCAGAGTACAGAATTTTTCAAGTGCAATCTTTCTAATCAGGGCGTGCTTTGCGCGTCGACTAGTTGCTGACATTCTTCGATGAATGCTCCGGGTCTACAATACCAGACGACCGCAAGAGGCAGCACTTATAGCAATACGTAGTGGGCCACTCTTATTCCAACAAATACAATTTCTCTCCTGTCGCCGCTGGCATGCCGGATCAGTTCTTCTCCACTGAATTCTAGTGCGTCTGAAGACGTACATCATACAAATGCAAAGAAACTAAAGAACTACGCTAGAAAATAAATAAATCGCACACCACGTTACGGACGAACCTCCCCATGGTCCTCGCGGAAAAAACCCCGCCTGGGGGTAAAGTGCCGTTTCCCGGTTTTGAAGTCTACCGTTAGCTCGTAGTGCGCTTTGCAGTTACCTCCCAGCGGAAGCTCGACGGGCACCGTGACCTTCTTCCCCTTGAGATCGACCGACTCGCCTTTGCCGAGGCTAATGCTGCAAGCGAGAAAATTAACCAGCTCGTGATACAACTGGCGAATATTGTGACGAAAAATCCCCCCTCCCCGTACCAAAGCGGGATACTTCTGAAAATTTGTGGTGCTGATTGAGACCGCCAATCGTCTCTCGATATTGCAAGAAGGCAAATCCAAAAACCTGGCCGCTTTATTCTGCAGGTAATTTGTCATGCTGCACGGCCTGCGGAGGACGTGCCTGCCTTGCTAGGCGCCTACAGCAAAACGCCCCTACTCCCGCTTTGTACCTGCCTGCACTCCTCTACTGCAAGACAAAGCCGATTTGCGTACACAAATCCCGCATCACAGATTTTCATTTCGATATGGGGAGGGGGGATTTTTCCTTTTGATAGCGAAACTGGGAGGTTTTCTTGTCCTCGTACTCTCCCACGCGCACTCCATTCTCCCGTGCCCAACCGAGCAGCATTTTCTTCCAACTTTTAGCGCTGTCCGTTTCTATCTCCCCGCTCTTTGTTGCGCAGTTCAAGATGGTCGTGCATGGCTCCTCGTTGGGAGGAGATAAGGTGTCGGAGGTTTGTTCGCAAACTCGACTCGGACGCCTTGATTGGTGGGGCCGGACCACCTGCCGTAGTGCGCGCTCCAATTTACCATGCGGAAAGATCTCAGCCGCAGAGACAACGAACGGGGAAGAATCTTTACACTTTGCTGTCGCGCCGTGTGGTCCTGCACGATCTGAAGGGAAGTAGCTTTTCGTGTCCTGATCATGCCCGGTTGCAGCAAAAGTGGTCGTCGCACCACTCGATTTTTGCCACAGCATCTCTTTTGTTTTTTCCGGCAAATTATTGTTTTCCACTGTTAGCAGATACGGAACTGTTTGCGTGACCCCCCTGTCCTGGTCTACACTGAGCCGCAAGGGCACCAAAATCTGTAACCCGCGGGTGGTGTCCGATAGCAATTCTAGCGGCATATGCATCAGGGCCGAACTCCCGAGATCCTTCGTGAGCACAATGTAGTTCAACACGGCATTGAACTGAACATCAACCGGAGATGAACTACTTCTACTTCCCGTAAAAGAAGTTCCTACATGATCCGAGGTAGTTGTACTAAGCGTCTTTATTTCCACAGCTCGCGCGTTATACAGCCCGAGTTTTTCCGCCCACGCAGACAGTGCGTTTTTCTGCTCCCCAGCAATGGGCAGGCGGAAAAAGTCCGCTTTGTCGTATCCGTTCACCAGGTCGGCCAACGCTTGCTCCAATTGCTTCTGCGGCGCGCCGCAAAATTCTTTTTGATGTTTCCCAGTGTTGCAAAGATCTTCGACAAGGTGGCATTCCGCCGAGCTGGAGGCACTTGAACTACTACGCTGTTGACCGCTGCACAGAGGTAGTTCTTGCGGAAAGAGCAATTCGTCCCCCCACTGCTCACTCGCTGCCGTAGTTTCAGGCTGAAGTAGTCCTTTATCAAGGCTGGTACGAGGACAGCTTGATGCTGTACACTCCTGAGAGGCTCCTGCAGTAGAAGATGCAGAGGCCACGCTATACGGTGTGGGCAAAAGACCTGGGTGCAGCCAGGTAGAAGATTGGCACGAGTCGCACTTACAACCAGGATGATAGGTTTTTTTCCTATCGCACCCAAGAAGACCAGCGACATCGACGCCCCCAGGATATAGTAGTAGTTCTTCCCCACTTTCTTCGCTGATTTTAGCCAATTGACGATGTTGTGCAGCTGGTGCACCGCAGGTGTGCGAGGACGTGCTCCGGTTTTCGACGACACGGTGGAACTTGTAGAAAACCGCCTCCTGCTCTTCTTCGTCCTGGTCGGAAGTACAACTAGGACCGCGCACGCCAACATTTTGACCGCTCTTACTGCTGCTGCTGCCTCCCCGCCCGCGCGGCACGCGCGATGAGTCCCAATTTAGATTTTCCTGTCGTGGCAAAAAACGGATATCTCCCAAACCGACACCCGAATGGACGTCATAGTCCAGAAAAGTAGTCGGCGGTTCGGGGACGCCAAACTTCTCCTTAAGCCGAGCGATGGTGACGGAAGGCGGACTCTTGTTTCCCTTTTTTTCTTGCTCGGCACGTCGTTCCTTGTCGAGAATCCTTGCTAAAAGCTCTTGCTCTCGTAGAGATGGTGCGGTACTACCCTGTTGGTCCTCAAGCGGCACTGGTGCTCCTTCTTGCGTGCTGACGGCGCCCGCGGTACTAGCTGCGGCATCACCAGGTCGGCTCGCCCAGACCTCCGGACCGCTGGCCCGTCGGTCGCCGGCTTCCTGACGTGGTTTTTGTTGATAATGATAGGCGGCCTGGTGGCGGGGTTGGCTGTAATTATTGCTATACCCGTGTTGATGAAAATGAAAATCCAGCCCGTGTGAAGGTTCAGGTTGTGTAGTTGTACTCTGCAGCCCGGAGGCATTGATGTGGTGCCATGGAACAGGTGCAACATCCTGTCCTCCTTGTTCCGGCCAGCCGTGGGCGGCGCCACTGGTGCTACCCGCATCATGGCCGCTCCAACTATGCCACCCCGCTGCCGCTGGCAAGGATCCCGTGCTTCCCGCATGAGCCGATGGTGCCGGGTGGTCATTTTGAAGATCCTCGCCTCTTTCAAATGCTCTTCTCCGACTCACATAATCATCATAGTGCCAGCCCCGCGGAGCCTCCTCGTGCCCGTGCGTCTGCCTGGTCTGCCTCTGCGGAAAGGTCGTCCAACTGTTGCTCGCGCTTCTGGGCGCCAGACTGGGGCGCCAGTTGCTCCCCCGACTCGTCCTGGGCGCTTGTTCTCTCTTATCTACTGGGCGCCACCGCAAGACTAAATCCCTGCCTCTTCTACCAGCGCTCCCCGTTTGTTCACCCTGACGACCAGGTGGATTGTACACGGCTGCTCCTTCCCCTAAAAGGGTGCGTTGCAGTCCCACCAATGCCAAAAGTGCGCAACCTCGGGTTATAGAGGTTTTTCGTCGTGAAGAAAACATTTTGAGTTTCGTTAGTGGTGCGTCAAGTACAGAAAATTACAAGTTTGCAAATCAAATTGGTACAGATTTGGAGATGTATACTCCTTGAAATTCGGTGACAATACTTTATGAGAAAACGCAAAACACAGACCAAAAAAAGGTCATGCAGCCTGTGATTAAACCAATTTGTCAATAATCAAAGCGTCGTGGGTAACAAGAACAACTCCCACCTGATGTTGTATGGCCCTTCCTGTTTTACTCCTGAAACCTCCACTCATAAAGATCATCTCGCACAGAGCTCATCATCTCCCTCATGAACCAGACCCGGTGCGCTTGATTTGTAGCATTTATAAGAGCAGCAACACTCTGTTACTGAGCCGGAGGAGGATCCAATTGATCGAAGAAGTCTGTTCTGTCGTTTCATCTGATTTTTCCAGTGCACGGTTTTCGCTGTATTTCTCTCGATCTAATTCCGCCATCCGTCGTCCCTCATTTACATCTTCCAGATGAACATAATCGCCGTCCTTTGACAGCACAAGTTGTAGCAGGTCTGCATTTGATCTCTGCACGGAGCCGCTAATTCGGCCGCTTAAAATCTTCTGTTTCGAAAATAAATCTGAAGAAGAGTGCTGTCGCTAGATTTTCATCGTTTCATCTACCGGTGATTCATTCTGCCATCGTACAGGAAACCTGAATTGTGCTGAACGAAGTTGCTTTCATCTCGAGGACATGTCGTTCAAGAACGCTGTCGTGCTGTCGCTGTATGTTTTTTCTTCGCGGTGAGCATCCATCTGTCGGTTACAGGTCTGGTAACATGCATCAAGCAGAACGATTGTATTATCCTCCTACAGTTCCTTCCTACTTGTAGCGGTGCTCGTAAGGATCTTGCCAAGTCACACTGTATCTATACTTGTTGTACCTAAAACTTTCGAACCACAACTACCAGATTCACTCGTAACTCGTCGTCGATTCGTTTTTACAACTGCCGATTTCAGGTGGTAGTCAGCCAAGATTTGAAGCTTTTTTGAAACCGTATCATTTGAGAAACTCAAGTTTTTCGAAAGTTATCTGAACCGCACGACTTTTACTTTTTCTACTGCCAGCACACACCGTAGGCTTCGTTCCGCACACACGTCATAGGGTGTAGTCAATCGCTAGTACCGCGGCTCTACTACTACTTACAACGCTCTACTTACCGCATCTCACAGCTCCTGCCCGGAAGTTGTTGCAAACGATCTATTACCGCTTATTTTCCGGCCGGATTGTAGAAACAAAACCACACAAACATGCCGCTCCTCGTACACTTCCTCACCCGACTCGTTCCTCCGCCTACTGCTTGCGAACACATCCGCAGCTGCCTCGGACTCGAGCCCGCATCTCTCCCCAGCGTACACGCCGACCGCGAGCTCCTGAAACGATTGCTGCAGGGAGAGAACCGCCGGTCGGTGCGCGTCGGACTTCAGCCATTGGGACAGACACCGGTACGCAAGGTCGGACGGACTGGTGTTTTGTAACAGTGTTTGCCGGTCCGAGTCCTGAACCGGAGTAGCTGGAGGGCTCGGCGGAGCATTCGGGTTTTGGCCTTGTTGATGCTGCGTCCTCGCAGCGGGAACACCACTAAGTGACCGCAGGACGACCTGGTCGCAGAACAGCTCGCTGTACTCGGAAAGCTGAGGTTGACCTCCTGCTTGTCCTCCTGCACTAGTAGATCCTGAACTACTAGTACCACTTCCCCAGTACGCTTCCCGATCCGCGGGGCTCAGGTGCTCAAACGCCTTTTTCCCGGTCGCCAGGTCGCGCGCATAGTTGAAAGCTTTTTCTTGCAGAACGGTCGGGCTCCAGCTCAGCGCCGCGGCGGAGCGGACGCGAACCGCGGGCTGCTCGTGGTCCTGCGAAGAGGGGGAAGATATTGCTCCAGCTGCTCGTCCCTGGGAATGATCGGGGTTGTGCAGTGCGTGAAAATTTTCGTCCCGCTGCAGCTGCGCCCGCAGGCCGTTCAGTAGCTTCTTCACGCCCTGTCCCACCTCGTGGGACGCAAGCCAAGCGTTGTTGGGCAGATACCAGGTCGTGGATGTTGTGCCGCTGCCAACATCGTCTCCCTGATCAAGATCGAAAACCAGACCGGCCTCCAACCCGGCGCGACCCCGGTCGCGGCAGAAAACCCACATTTGCTCGGTGCTGCGCTCCGGTTGCAGCTCTTTCAGCTTCGACCTGTTTTTGATAAAGTTTGCTGGAAGTAGAACAGATAACTCGGTTAGGGAGATGACAAAAGCAAAAGGTAGTTGCGATTTTTATGCAAGTCACAACACAAGACAGGGAAGCGAAATAAGGGCCTGAGAACTACAAACGCCACACGACACGCTGTTTTTGTAGCAATAAAGCGAACTAAAGTGTATTCTTCTGTTAGCAGATTCGAATGTCACAAAAGTTGTCGTAGAACAGTAGTAGAACTCTGTCCAGTAGTACATGAGGTTCCGGTTAAAAAGCATCGCAGGCGGCGGGTGGATCAGCATGTTATTCACCACGGGACACTTCTCGGAAAACTGCGAAGTTTCTGCATCCACCGCTTCCACCACCGGTTTTTGCCAGTACACGTGCGGCAAATCCAAAATCTCCACCTCCGCCGGCACCTCCTCGCTGTTCTCGTGCACAATCGATTGCAGGTCCAGTGGCTTGGTCAGCGTTCGTTCCAGGTCGGTAACCGTAAAAGCGATTTTATTTTTGTCCTTCGGAAAAATGTTCAACATCTTCTGATCAGCTACACGACCACCTGAGGTGGGACCACCACCTCCGCTGGCAGCTTTCCCCTGGTTCATCAACAACCCCTGTTCCGTATTTGTTCCGCGCTCATGATCCCTGTGCAGATGCATTTCCAGCACCGCGTCGGTGGTTCCGCTGGAAACCTGGTCCACCCACTTTCCCTGCGGCGTGCTGGCGTTCCGCAGCGGCTGCAGGGCGGCGAAAATGAAGACGGAAAGCACCAGGCCGAACCAGAGCAGGAACCCGACCGTGGACAAAAACCGGCCGTACTGGCTCCGCCACGCCACCTCGTGCGGGTTCAGCTCCAGTGGGCGCAACGGGGGCGGCAAAACCAACGCCACGAACTTCCGCCGGGCCGGCACCGTGTACCGCTCGTCGCGGGGCGAGCGCCGGCACTCCTTCAGGAGGTTCAACTTTTGCTCCAAATACATCTCGTGCGAGTGCTGCTTGTCGTGCTCCTTCGGGCTGCTGTTGTGCCCCCCCGTACCATGGCCGTCGCCGCCCTCCCCGGCGGCCAAGCTCAGCGCCGTCGCTTTCAAGTGCCCCGGGTGCGCGTCCCGGTACTCCGAGTAGCTCTGCCACGGGGGCGAGAAGGGGAACGCGCCGAACCAACTGTCGCTGGTGCTGGTCATTGACACTGGATTAGTCTTGTCGGCAGCTCCTGCGTTATTATTTGTCGTTGTGGACGAAGTTCTTGTCGTTGTGCCATCTTCTTCCTCTCGTCCTGTCAAGGCGGGAAGACCTCCATGATTTGTCACCACCGACCCGCTGCGGCTCTTCCGCGGCGGCGCGGGCATCAGGCTGGGGCTCCGGTACTCCTCGGGGTCGACGGTCAGTATAGCCCGCTCAGGTGTTACAATCTCAAACGTTGCCATAGAGTATGGAAGTCTGTGATGCAAGAGTGCATGATCTAGCCAACTCTCATGGGATTGCGCATGGCAAGTTCCGGAGCCCCAAACCCCACTACAATCTGGCGAAATTTGTATTGCAAAGGTGGAACGCTGTGCGAGTCTGTCATGCTCATCATGCAACACAAATTCCAGATTCTATTGTAACGTTTGAGATTGTAACGCTTGAGCAAGTCATAGTCAGCGCCGCGCGGTTCTGGAACCAGTCGTACATGAAAGTCGCGTATCAAGTGCAAAAATGTCTGGGTCTGGAAGAGTGCGAGTTTGTCATGCTTGTCTCGCGTGACTCTTAAATTTGTCACGCACATTACCCAAGAGCCCCATAATTTCTCTGTCATGCAGAAACGCAGTTTGTCACGCAGAAGAGGCAACACCGAGAAGCTCAGAAACTTGTCATGCTGAGCCAGCACTCGCGGCCTTCTCATGATACGCCACCCAGCATCACAAATTTCCAGACCCAGACATATTTGCATTTCATATCGCGCGCGCCTGCGCGTGCGCCGTCATCTGCAGCATCTCGTCCACGGCGGCGGAGCTCAACGTCCGCAGTATCCTGTGTAAAAACGTCCCCATCCCATGATGGTCAAGTTGCTCAATCTGCAACACAAATCTCCAAGCTTTGGGATTTGTGCATGACAAGTTCCATCTGCAGTCTAGTGCTGGTTAGTAAGGGCGGTCGCATGAGAAAGCCACTTTCTCACCCTGGGTACAGCATTACAAATTCCAAAACACGATTGGGAAAGCCTCTGATGGAGATGCGCATTACAAATGTTCCCGTCCGTGCACATCTGCATGACAACTCTGGGGTTGGGACGATTTTACATTTAATACGCAGTCCCTCGGCCACGGAGCGCGCGGCGCTGGACGCGTACTCCCGCGCGGTGGTGGTGGGCGAGTAGCTCCCGTTGCTGATCTATCGACTACAAAAGTGTCTGGGTTTGGAAGGTTGCAACTTGCAATGCTAGCTCTCCATAGCATACCTAGGAAATCTGTATTGCATAGCCAACAAAATAAGTCGCAGCCTCTTTTGTACACGCAAAAACTACGCAGTTTCTCATGCGGCTTTCCTATGAGAAAGCGTTCTGAAAAGTTGCCATGCTGTGTTCCATTCGCAACTGTTTCCATCATCCACGTTTTAGCATCACAAGCTTCCAGGAGACCCAGACATTTTTGCAATCCATATGATCGACACCATGGACACCACGTCGCGGAAGTGCACCCGTCGGTTCGTCAAAAAGTCCTCGTTCTGGCTGTAGTCGACAAACACCCGGCCGTCCGGACTCTCCGAGCTCCCCAGCATCGGGTTGCCACCACGGACGCTCGTCGACGTCTCCCGGCTCGGGGTCGAGCTGTCATCTTCCTCCAGTAAGTCGCTGCTGTTTTCGTCGTTTGTCTGTTGGAACCAGGCGTGGCCCGGCGTCACAAACCCAAGGTCGCTCGTGTCATCGAACCGGTTTGTTTGATGACCGCCGTTTTCTTCCCTCGCGGGGTCGTCCATGTGAAGTAGATCTTCGCCCCCGCGGCGCAAGAGAAGATTGCCTTCCTCCGCATCATCATGTTCAACATCTTGAAACAGGTTTTTAATATTTTCCTCAACTGCTTTTTCATTTTTCAAATGCTCGGGCAGTGTCTCCGGGTCCCACTCCACCAGCTCCCCCTGCATCCGCCCCTCAGCCCGCTCGCGCGCGGCCCACTTGCCCCACGCCTGCACTTCCTCCGGCTCCATGTGGGAGTGCGTGCCCACCATGCGCGTTATCAACGCTTCGTCTTCCGGCCTGAAAGAAGGTATAAAAAATTTATTTCAACTTCTTGATCTTCTTCAGGGACTACTGTATTCTAAAACACTTTCAGCACTTACACCTCATGGCTTGTTCTAGTTCTACTGCTTGAAAATCTTATTTTCAGCACAACAAGGCTCCCAACTACACCGATCACTGCTTCCCGCAGTTGTTGACCAACTCCAACATCATTGTTGTAGTAAATGAAAACTATAACCATAGATAAACTATACAGCAATTCCCCCCCGTTCGTAAATTCTTGAATTTCCTGTTTGGTTTTGGGGTCCTGCAGGATTTTTTTCGTTTCCGCCAGTGCTTTCTCAAATGCAAAAGTGTCTGGGTCTGGAAGATTGCTACATTTGTGATGCATGTCTGACATGACTCAAGAATCTGTGATGCATGGGCGCCAAACGGTCTTCTTACCTGTCATGCAAAAACGCAGCTTGCCATGCGGAACACGCAACACATGGGAGCCCAAAAATTTGTCATGCGTGGCTCCGTATTGCAGTGGAACTCTCATTCACTTTTAGCATTACAAGTTTCCAGACCCAGACACATTTGCAATGCATACGCTTTCTCCTTGTGTTTCGCCTCCTGTCGCTCCCGGCGGCGCCTGGCTTTCTCCTTCTTGGCCAATTTTGCGATCCTCTCCTGCTCCAGTCGGGCTGCGGCTTCGGCCGTAGTAGTTCTTGAGGTAGAAGACTCCTGTAGTCCCGCCACGGTACTGCTACTGGTTATCATACCGCTTGTTAAACCCTCCTCCGAGAGGACGGAGGAAGAGGACTCTCGGGACAAAACCGAGTCCGCACTGACGCTTACCCCTCGCGCCGCCGAGGCTGCTGCGCCCGGCAGAAGGTCGCGCTCGTGGTCCGCCTCCTCGGGCGCGGCTGACGGAGATGGTTCAGCTGGTACTTCTTTTCCTACTATTCGTTCGTGAACATCAAGAAGACCGGCAGCTTCATCCACCGCCGGCTCAAAAGATGAGGTGTTCCTAGGCCCAGGAACAACGGGCGGTGCGTTGTAGATGCTTGTATCCTCCTCAACGACAGTGTCGTTTTTGTTACCGTTTTTGCAACTAGCGGCCTCTCCCTCCGGGTGAACTTGTACCTTTTCAGCAGCGGTGGCGGAGGCGGAAGTAGGTGTCGCATTTATTCTAGTGGAAGAAACCATTGTTGCGTTCTTGCTGCCCTTGACGCTGTTTGTTGCAAGAACCGCCGCTTGTTCTACGTTTCCACCGTCTGCGCTGCTTTCGGAGGAGGAGGAGGAGGAGTGATCTCCGCTCGAGGTTGTTTTCCGCATCGGGTCGAGGCGAACGAGTCGAGAAAACTTTTCGTCTTCCGTCGCCGCTGCTGTTAGATAATTGTCCACCTCGGCCGAAGTTAATCGAGTCGGATAAAATCTACCCGACGTAGAAGTTCGCGACGTGCGGAGTTAGGGCGCTTACTAACTCACTTTTAGGGGGGTAGGTGGAATTGCAAAGCCGACAGGGTGGGTCAAATCGTCGCGCTGCTGGGGTTTACAGACATTAAACCAGGATTTGCTTCTCGAACAACTTTTGGGAAGGGTAAAAAAATTATCTGGGTTTTACGTTTAGACGTCAAAACGCACAACGTGCGAGTAGCGATATCGATATCGTTAAAATTGTCTGGGTAATACAGTGTAAAATCAGCGTAAAACTAGCGCTTATTTTTCTACGAATTTTTTTTCCTCACTAAGAAGGGAGATGAACGGTGTCCGAATCAAATAGATGTTTCTTCAAGGGGTAGTATTTGTTTCTAGTACTCTTACTTTTCTAGACAACTTTCAAAAGAACATCAACATAGGTAGTTGGTAACAAATCTCTACTTGTATCTGGGGGTAAATATAATCATCTGTCAGCTCTATTAATGTCACATCTTTTTTGTCTACTTTTCATGGTTCAATGAGGTCCTGTCGTTTTTTTTGGGAGGAGAAATGGAAAATTGAAAAAAAAAAATGTCCGCCGAAAAACCAAACTGATAGAAAACAACTTGTAGATCCAGCAAGCTTTCAAATGTGCGGACCGTGTACTGAAATTAATTTCCCGACTTGATGCATGTGCGCACGTCTACTTCCGGATCCGATTTGATTGGATTTCGCTTGTTACTTTAGGAGCAAAATACGCGATCGTATGTTGTATTTTTGTTTTCATAAACCGATGACTTCGTTCAGATCGTGACAGAAATTTTCTCAATTTTGGAATGATGTCCAGTTGCAACAGAAGTTATTTGCATATCCTGATCGGAATTTTGTACTTTGAAATGGAATTCTCCTGTATGCGTTTTCTACAAATGTGTTCTTCGAATCGCGTTCTTCGCCAGGTGAGAATATTCAGGGTTTGCTTATTTCCGTGGATAACAAATGCGCATCCTCTTCTCTGTATACTAAAGTACCTGGTGGCGTACTAGCATCAACAAACAATTGCAATAATCGTCCGCCTAACCAACTCTATGCCCCTAGATTTCCGGCGTTGACCTTGAAAAACATTTCTGCGATCAGAACCGCGTTCAAGGCCGCGCCGCGGAGTAGCTGATCGCCGACGACAAAAAACTCAATTCCGTTGTCAAAAACCTCGCTCTTGCGGATGCGGCCGACCTGAAAATTATGATTTACGGCAATGTAGAGTTTCTGTTTCGATCTGCAATAATAGTGCATGACAAACTGGTTTTAAAGAACTTGTCCTCATCCAGTACTACTTACAACACCAAAGCAACAGACTTGACTTCCTCAAAAGTACCGTCGCAGGCCAAAATTGGCTGATTGTGTACTTGATGTGAAGAAGATGAAGATGAATGCAAACTGAATCTATGTCTGTACCTGCACTTTGTCCTTGTTCGCGGCGAACACGGGCATGGGGTACTCGTTTTCGTCGAGATTGTCCACGACGTCTATCATATGTAAAAACGTCCACACCCCATAATCAAGATGGGGAATCGGCTAGACAAGTCCACGAGTTTTGGCTGTTTCGCATGACAAATTTGGCACCGCAGTGTAGTGCTGTTTGAGGTAGTTCGGCAGCATCACAGATCTAGTATATCATGCTGATTGGCGCATTACAAATTCCAAAACACGACTAGAGACTGCCTCTCATGTGTCTCCGCATGAGAAACATTCTCAGCATGCAGATTTGCATGACAACTCTGGGGTGGGGACGTTTACACAGGATAACGTCAAAGACGAACTCGTCCGCTTTCTCCGTCAACAACGAGCGAGCATTTTCCGCATTCACTACCGGATTTCCTCCCCCATCCTCAAACTCCAGCACCACCGTCATTGCGTGGGCCCGCATGGTATCCTGTGCAAAAGTATCGCACTCGTAGTAATTGCAGTCATGCATAACAAATTTTTTTCTGAAGCTAAATCCGCATTACAGATTTTATTTCTCATGCTGAGGAAACTTGTAATGCATTTATACGAGTACGATACTTTTGCAATGCATACATGGTGGGCACGCGCACCGCAGTGCAGCTGATCTTCATGTCGTCTCCCGCACCGAGGATTTTTTTCGTTTCCCAGGACACCTTCATCTCTTCTTTGGTGTAGCCGTTCGGCTGCGGCTTGTCGATGTGGGGGATGGCGTATGGGAGTAAACAACTCCCCGTCCCCCTCAAATGTATCGCTTGAACAGCAATACAAACACTAGAACCCGTGGCGTCGATGCATGACAAATCTATGTAGTTCTGTTTAGGCAGCTTCCAGAATCTGTCATGCCAACAGTGCAACAAGGCAGCGAGAGCGACTGGGTTTGGAATTTTGCAGGACAAATGAGGGAGAGGACGGCGAGTTGTGCATTGTCATATCACGTTGCCGATCAGTGGGTGGGCGAAATCGTTCTTGGTCACGCCCCGCTTTTGCTGCACCGCGTTGTTCTCCTTGTAGTGGTCGTGGACAATTTGGTACAGTGGGTCATCTACTTCCGATTGTTCTTCCACTTTCTTCTTCTTCTCCAGTGAATTTTTCTCCCCGTACAGCGTCATCTGCTCCTCCAGTATCCAGGAAAAAAAACTGTGTAAGTGTAACTTTGTAGGAAAACAGCATCACAAGTTCGTTTTGCATTACAGGGAAAACCTGTCATGCCCAGCTAGCACATGGAAACACGCATGAAAGTTGCCGATGATGCACATCCAGCATGACAAGCTTATACTATTTTGCATTTCCTGCATCACAGACTTACACTTACACAGTCTTTTTCTTGCATATCCAGCTCCTCCATCCCCCCCTTCCCGGCCCCCGACGCCGCCTGGTACGTCGACACCAGCATCCTCTTGATTTTTCCGAATTGCTGGGTCAGCGGCGCGATGATCAGCGCCATAATCGCCGTCGTGCAGTTCGGGTTCGCGATCAAAACGTTTTTCTTCAAATCGTATTTTTTCTCCTTATTCAAAAGGAGATCCCGCTCCCCGTTGATCTCCGGGACGATAAGGGGGATATTCTCGTCGTACCGAAAAGCGGAGCTGTATGAATTGCAAAAGTGTCTGGGTCTGGATGAATGCAAGTCTGTCATGCTTGTCTGGCATGCCTCGAGAATCTGTGTTGCATAGGCACGAAAAGGCCCTCTTCCCTGTCATGCAAAAACGCAGTTTGCAATGCGGAATACGTAAGACATGGCAGCCAAGAAATTTGTCATGCATAGCTGCGTATGGCAGTGCGTCTATCATACACTTTTAGCACTACAAGTTACCAGACCCAGACATATTTGCATTTCATAAGCTGTTGTCGATGACGATCAAGTCCGGATTCAGTTTGTGTAACTGGGGAACATATTCCTTCGCCCAATCGCCGGAGGTTGCGAGCAGCACGACGTTGCAGGTGTTCGCCACTTCCTCCGTGTTGTACTCGGTAATCGTGAGGAAAGGCGTATTGTCGTCGGCTTTCAAGTTTTCCGTTTTCACTTTCTTCCCCGCACTGCGCCCACTGGCGTAGAGCTTTACGGTTAGATTTGGAAGGTTCTTCTTATCGAAAAGCTTCACCATCTCCATCCCGACCGCGCCCGTCGCGCCGACAATGCCGACGGTGATGGACGTTGCCGTTTGCGCCAGCGAGGAAGGGGGGCTTACCATGGCTGGCGATTTTTGCAAGAAAGAGGCGAAGGAGATAGTAAAGGGTAGAGATGTAGTGAAGAGAAAAACTGTGCGAAAAAAAAGCATTAAGTTGCGTTTGCGTTTTTTTTTTAGTTGTCGTGCTATGGGTACTACACCGCCCGAGGGGATTCGATTTTGGTGCGTGGCACCTAAGTACGTCGTGGAGCAGAGAAATCGATCGGAATTGTTGTTAGCTTAAGCTTTCCTTACCTTCGAAGATTAGACCATGAAACTAACAGGCGTGCCTTTTTTGGTGCAAAAAAAGTGCGATCAAAAGAGGTGAGAAAAAGCGAGAGCTCAAAAACGGCGATCATCAGCTGAGGATCTTGTTCGGGGATCTCTTCCTCTTCTTTTAAAACCAAAAATGCAGCAAGACCTCGACGAACAGCGCAACGCCACCAAAAGCGCGAAACCATCAATGAATGTTCGCTAATGTCAATTCCACACTGAATTCTCGAAAACATCAGGCACCACAGCCCGAAAATTGCATCAAACCTGTTCGAAACTCCTGAATTCTCGAGAGCAGCTCAGCGAATTGATTATCAAGTCTGACTATATTCTTTTGAAAAAGAACCGGTTAATAAGTAGATGTATTCTCGACAGAAAACAAGAACCTCCACAAAGACCCCTCGTAGACAACTAGACGCAGCCCGACACAGTGAAGAACTTCTGTCTCTCCCCACTACATATCCGTCATTTTCACGATGGTCTGCGGCCCGAGATCCAGCCCGCCCGGCTCGCCTTTCCTCTTTTTCTTCCTGTCTGCCGCGGACTTGTGGTTCCACCCCTCCCGCATGGCGAGTTCCTTCCTGACGCCCTCCTGGTACTTCAAGTACTCCTGTTCGCCCATCAGCTTCCGGCCCAGCGTCTTCCCTATTTTGTCCTGCATCCAGCTGTTTTCCTTCGGGTTGGACTTTATGTCCTCGAACTTCACGCTCTGCATCCACTCCGACAGCTCGCGCTTCTGCCGCGTGTAGAACTTGACCGTTTTCTGGAAGTCGTGCTCGTAGTCGTACCGCTGAAAGGTTTTTATCTGGTGCGTAGGGTACTCTGCGGCTTTTCGCCGGAGCTCCTCCAGTATGAGAGTGCACAACCCCAGCATCTCCCCCTCATTTGTATTGCATGAACAGCATATACAAATACCAGCACACATGGAGCTTATGCGTGACAAATTCATCGTCCGCCTAGTGTAGTACTGTTTGGGCTTCCACCGGAATCTGTCATGCAAACAGTGCCACAGGGAAGCCCTTGCCCTTGGATTTGGGGTTTTGCATGACAAATGAGGGGGAGGGAGAGTGGTGCAATCTCATATCCAGCATGGCGGCTTCTTTCGTGCTTTCTATTACCACCTCGTCCTCCGGGGACACTTCGAGTGGCTTGGCCCTGGGAGTTTGTTTGTCATGCAGAATTGGCTATGATAGAAAAGTTTCTCTTGCACTATATCGATATCCTTATCCATATGCACCACATCTAGGAAACAAATCCAAATAAAACAGCAGCTAGTAGCGTAAGATAATTCTATACTTCAGGTACATCCTTATCAGGGCTTCTTCGAGCCCCGGACGTACAATTTTGTCCATCCAGTCAAACTGATCCTATCAAATGCAAAAGTGTCTGGGTCAGGAAGTTTTCTAGATTTGTCATGCATATTTTCCATGAGCCATGATGTCTGTGATACATGCCGTAGCATCACAGATTTTTAGAAGGCTTTGTGATACCTCTACCGCATGAGAAATGCCCTCTCCACGTAGGACAAACGCGACCCCTCTTGCTGGTCATGCAATGCAAATTTTTTTAGAATCCACAGACAGCATCACAAGTTGTGACCTTCCAGACCCAGACACTTTTGCGGTTGATAGATCCCACGTGTATTCGATGGCGTTAAAAAACGCAAATCGGTGGTTGTTGGTCGCCCAGGCATTGGCGAGACAGCAAATCTCGTGCAGGAAACTGACGTAGTACATCACCTGCGGGACGTCGCTGAAAAAAACTTTACTCATGATGCCGCCGATCTGGTGATAGTTTGGATTTTGTATTGCAAAAACACAAGTAGAAAACCGTTTTCTCATGCAGTGCTTTCATCATCAACAACCAGTCAAAAAAGCTGTTCGAGCTATTCATACCAGATTGAAGAAGATCATGACGCACAGCGCGACATACACCGGCCCCTGCGCGAATTTCTGCACCGTGGCGTACGCGAGGAGTAATATCGTTGACACGGCGAAGAACAGCAACACCATGATCACGATGTCCGCCGCGCCATTGATCCCGTTCGACCGGAATATCAGCACGGCCATCACGTCGAGGAAGAGCACGACCAGGCCGGTCAGGGTGTTGAGGGCGGCGTAGGTGAAAAGGTAGATGACGGATGTGATGTAGAGCTCCAGCTCATTGTGCTTCTGCTCCTCTAGGGTTAAACCTTCGGGCATGGTGGGCAAATGTTACGTCGCGGGCTGTTGCCCGTTCTACTTTCCTGCCCGCCACCTTCTGCACGTCGTACTCGACACGCCCACTCTCCGCTAGTTTTTCCAACCGCGGTGGACGCAAGCGCCTGCGCGACCGCCCACGCGGAGTTGCATAAGCAAAGGCTCACAGCTTAACTTTATTCTCGGACTTAGTATGGGGATGCGCTTGGAAAACTAAGAGCACAAGTACACCTGTTTCGGAGCGGATTTGTGCCAGTGATTTACACGTTCGCTCGATTGAAATGCGTTCGCAATCAGGCATGACGCGCACGAAAGACGACCAGCACATCCTCTCACTAAAACTCGCTCCAGCCCACGCTCCCAAATCTCGCTCGATCTCTCTTCTCTCTCCGCAGCATTTTGCTGGGCAAGTTTTTACGAAAATAATGCTTCAGTTGCGTTGGCGGGCTGACGTTTCACGACGAAAATACGGACGCCGCCAGCGATTACAAAAATGGACCACTTTCGGTGACGAGAATTGTATGCTTCTTCGTGGGGTCTTTAGGTGGATGTTTGTGACTCGATACTTCTGTCAGAATTCGTTCAGTAAATTTGTGCATGGCAGCCGGAGCTGCATCAGCACGAATAAAGTACGGCTCTAGCCCCTGTGACTGCCGCCGGTCAAAAGCGAGCCCTTCATCAGATTTCCACCGGAAGTACGGGTAACGCACGCCGTTACGCTCGGAATCTGACAGGATGATTCCGCGGCGCACTATTGCTTCTTGCGGAATCAAGCCTATGTAGTGCAGCTTCGCCGGGTTCCGTCGCGCAGGTACGAGCCAGATGAAAAGCTCGATGTCATCGCTGGTGTCAAACGGAACGTTGACGCCGGCAACGACCTTTGTCATGCTAGTTTGGATTCCGGCTGCGGAGTGAGTCAGATACGACCTTCGCAATACGGTTTTCACTCCTCGCAGTAAGGCGTTGGCCCGCACGTCGCCGGCACCGTAGACCGCAGGAAACACTATCTCCTCGAACACAGGGAGCTGCATGAGTTGTGCAATCATGTCGCAGCGGTGCTGAACAATGGCGTTCGGCGCTGCGGTCTGCATGTGCTCAAAAAGCGGCTTGGCTTTCGCAGCGTAGTGCTCGTGTAAATCCATCAGCCGCTTCCGAAGCTCAGCTGCTCCATCCGCCTCGGTCATGTCGATCCGGGCCGTCGACTCCAGTCGAACGCTGCCTACAACGCGATCCTTGAACACGAAAATGCTGTTTCTCGCGGGGGACGTCACCAGGTAGGGCGCGTCACGCCACCACTGCGAAATACTGGCGTTGCGCATGCGGCAGAGGATTCCCGGTCGTCCCGGCATGTCACAGGCAGCGCGAACGGTGTTGCGAATTTGCATCCCGACCCAGGACCCGTCCGTGGCGCGCAGACCCGTCTTCGGTCGCATCAGAAACGGAAATCCAGTGCCACCGGGCATGGCAAAGAATTCTAGGTCGGGTGCGCAGCGCTTCGCTACCTCCAGAAACCACACGTAGCCATGCGCCTGCTGCAGGCGCCGAGCATTTCCCGCTGACCGCACTTGTGACCGCAGCATGACTTTCTTGCTAACATTTCATCCTAATTCAGAATCACACAGACAAATGTTATTTGCGCAGGAACTCTCTCCCCGGCGCCCCTCTCTCACTCGTCCGTCTCCGTATTTTTACATTCCCTGGGGAGTCAAGAATATGTAGAACAGCCATTCGCTCATAAGATGCAAGGGCCTAAATTTGCAACCCTGCGACAGACAGCGAGGCAGATTTCGTGCGACCACGATGAACTAATTTCCTGTCGCAGCAATTCACAAAACACGAACGTGACTCCGGTTGTCATGTGTCACGAGCAGATTCCTGGTTGCGACGTCGAAACCGGCTGCGCAAGACCGCTTGCGCCATGTCCGGTGGAACTGGCCAGTAAGCCCCCTTCTGCAAATTGTCGAATTGCTTCACCCGACTGTCCACGGCAACGGAAGAAGTAGGCGCCAAGGCCTGCACAGTGTCCGCGGTCGAACTCCAGCGAGTCGTCAGCTCTCCATCTGATGTAAGGATGCCGCAGCCCGTCGCCTATGGAACTTGAAAATATTCCGCAGTCAGCCATCACACTACTCGGAATCAATCCAACGTAGTCCAGCTGCATGGGGTCGCGCCGCGTCGCAATGGCGAGTGCGCAAATGTCGATTCCGTCCGCTATATTGAAAGGGTGCCCGACGCCGTCCGTGTACTTGCACATGCTGAATTGGACTCCCGACCTGGATGTACCTTGACGAGCTACGCGCACAAGCACGTGCCGCCCTCGCAGTTCCGCATTCGATCGTACCCCGTCTGTACTGTAGCCTGGTGTGAACTGCAACTCTTGGAAGACCGGAAGCGCCATGACCTGCGCGAGCAGAATGTAACGGAAGGCATGTATTACGCGACTCTCCGCCGCGCCCCGTACAAAGTCCAAAAGTGGCTGTGCTTGGAGAGAGTAATCTTCGTAAGCGGCCATCAACCGCACCTGCAGAGTACTGGCTTCGTTCGGTTGCGCTAAATCGATGGACGCAGCGGAATCCGCTTTCACAGAAAGGACATTTTTGCTGATCTCGTTCGGGAAGAAGTAGACGCGGTTTGTTCCTGGGGACGTAAGCACAGAGGGGGCGTGTTGCCAGCGTGTCAGCATCTTCTTGTTGCGCATCTGGCAGAGAATTCCAGGTTTCCCTGGAATATCGCAGAGTGTTCGCGCGGTATTGTGGAAGTGCACGGGCAACCAGACGCCTTCGTGCGCGGCAAGCCCGCTCTGGGGACGCATCAGCAGAGGCAAGCCCGTGCCGCACGGCAACGTGTAGAACTCCAGCTGTGGCGCTAAGCGCCGCGCCACTTCCAGAAACCATGCGTGCCCCGCAGCTTGTTCCCGTAAGCGACTGTTCCCGACGTGCCGCCGCTGGGACGTGATACAAGACCTCGCAGATCTGCTCACGCAACCTCGACGGAATACGGCGAACGTCATGGTTTCTGTGCGAGTGAATATCCTGTTCTCACCCTCGTGACATGCGCTCGTCGCTCAGCAGATCTATCCATTAATTGTTTCGCGTCGTCTTCCTTTGTTCAACTGTGTTAAACACAAAGCTAGCGGCACGTCGCGGAAGCCGCATAGGTAGTCCTTTCTTTTATTTTGTTCCACTTCACAGACACTAGAGCGTCCTCGTTTTGACAAGAATTTCTTGCTTCAGTCAACAGGTGCAAGTGCCTGCCGCTCAATTGTGGCTACCGTGGACGTTAAAGTTGCTTCAGCAAGAATCCGTTCTGCGCTAGCCGCGATTACTTCTGGTGATTCATCGCACCGGATGAAGTATTGCGCAAGACCACTCCCATACCTGCCATCAAAGTCCAGCTCGGTGTCCGACTTCCAGCGTATGTAGTGATGAACGCCACCCGCTTGCGTCGCCGTAGAGAGTAATCCACGGTCGAGAAGAACGCGCGCCGGCACTAAACCAATGTACTGGAGTTGAGACGGGCTGCGCCGTCCGGGAAGAAGCCATAAAAACATCTCGATTCCATCAGTCGCTGCAAGCGGACTCCATGCGCCGTCTACGTACTTGCAAAAACCGACCCTGGATCCAGACTTGGTTGGTGACGATCGGCCTGCGCGGAAGTGAACACCAAACCCACGGAGGTGGCAGTTGTAGCGGCTCCCGTCACTTGTACCACATCCGGGTGGAAATGTCAATTCTCGGAACACCGGATACTGCATGGCTTGTGCGAGAAGGCGGTAACGGTTTGCATGCTTGGTAGGTACTCGGCCACCCGTCAGGATGCAGTCTTCAAGCGACAGTGCCTCTGGACCGCGCATCTCGCAAATTTTTCGCAATCGACGCCCCAATTCTGCTTGGCCAGAATCAGTGGCCACGTCTACGCAGGCGTCCGAGTCCAGCCGCACCCGGAAGAACTTGCTCTCGATGTTGTCGTACACGAACACGATTTTTCGTCCCGGGCAACCTAGAAGCATCGGCTTGTTCTGCCAGTACTTTGGGGTGCCGAAGTTCCCTACATTGCAGAGAGTTCCTACCTTTCCCCGCATCAGGCAGTCCGTCCGTCGTGTGCTGCGGAGCTGCATTGGGATCCAGACGCCGCTGTGCGCATTCAGGTCGTTACTACGTGGGCGGACAAGAAGCGGCAACCCCGATCCGTATGGTGGCGTGAAGAATTCGAGATCCGGCGCAAAACGTTTTGCAAGTTGCAGAAACCATTCACTACACTCTGCTTGCTGCCGCAGCATACTAGCTCCCGAAAGGGTCCTGCGCTGCACTTGGAGAAATACTCCAAGACGACACTGCCGCGACCGGAAGGGCGGCGCCGTGCTCAATAAACACGCCATCGTTGTTGCTGTAGTTTTTCCTTTTTTTCTGTGCCCGATCGCGCAATGCATTCCAAAGACCCCTCGGAAGCACAGAATGAAACTCACAGTACACCGCTCACGAAAAAGGACAACTACTCTCTGAAACCCGCTCCATCGATACTCTCTGCCCAAAAACTTCCTGGGCTTTTTAGGTAGCAGCGCAAAGAGTACGAACACAAAAGCTCCACCATCTGAATTAGAGGAGACGAGATACTCCTGTAATTGTAGAAAGCTAACCATCAAAGTGAGAAAAGTAGATGCGCGTCTGCTGCTCAAAATATGTATACACACATCGCAGTGGCTGCAGGTAAAAGTCGGCAAAACCTTAATCAATCAAAGTTTCCTCGCCAATCCCCCGCCACCCGCAGCTTTCTCTTTCTCGGCTTTTATCCTCTGATACTTTTCAATACACCCGAGAAAAATCTGCATCACCTCTTCCGTATCCGCCGCAAACACCCCCGGCGCGTACTCCTGCCCGTCCCCCGTCGCCCGCAAAGCTAACTCGAACGAGTACGGCTTACAGCTCTCGTCTAAATTCATCCGTCTGTACTTCACGAACCTGATATCCTCCGGCCGGTAGTAAACCAACTCCTTCTGGTCTTTCTCCGAAAAATAACACAACGCCCCGTTCCGCGCCAGCCACATCCGTCGCTGCAGCCAATCCGGCTCATTGTGCGCGTCGCCGTCGGTTGAGAGTTTGAAAATTTGTGCTTCGTATACTGGCTTGTACGCCTGTTCCGTCCCCCGCTCGATCTTTTCCCTTCGGTTCCGGACCAGAATCTTCCACTCGCGGAAATCCTTGGCCAACCCGGCGTTCGCGATAAACCCAGACTGCCCCTGCATGGCCAGGTCCTCGTGGGTCCGGGCGTAGTCGAGGATTTCCAACCAGGTTTTCAATTCTTTTTCACTGTACGCCGCGAAGTACATTTTCCCCAGATCGCCTAAGCCCTGGTGCAGTGCGTGGTGGTCGTCGTCCGCGGTGGCCGAGTAGCGGCCGCCGTCTAAATCGATGACGAAGGTGTAGGGTAAAGCGGATTTTACAATACTGCTGTTTGTCTCCCCCTGTTGCTCCCCCGCTTTTGTTTCCGCACTGGTTTCAGGTGTGGTTCCTGGCTTAGCCTCTCTCTTCCCATCCATCCCACCCGCCACCTCCACCTCCGACATTCTCGACGCGGCCAGCTGTTCGTGCGTAATCAAAACTAATTTCTTCAAGGTCTTCGGGGAGAAGTATCGCAATGAAAAATGCCCCCACCCCCAAAGTTGCAAAGATTTGCGATGCGAAGTTTCCAAATGAAAACTTTTTGTCATGCATGAAAGGAGTATGAATCTTTCCGATGCAGAGTCTAGGCGTAGGCGTGTGTCGCATCGGTTGCATGACAAGCGCCGCTCTTGCTGGGATCTTTTGCAATACAAATTTTTGCTATTCACGATCGGAAATCTGTGATGCTGATAGATGCAATAGGGCGAGTGTTTCATTTGGAAAGGTTTGCAACACAAATTCTCCCAAGTTCGGGGGTGGGGGCATTTTTCATTGTAATAAGAAGTAGCACAAACACCCCTCCGCGGAGAGCCACACGTCCCGTTTCTGCCAGTCCGTCGTTTTTCCCGGGTCCCCGTCGTGGTGGAGCTTGTGGAGAATAGATTTCATCAAAGGAGGTTTGTCCTTGGTCGATTCCTGGGCTCTGAGCAACCGTTTCTCCTTCAAATCCAAAGAGAGTCGGCCGCCGAGATGCTCCGGGTCGTGGACCTTTTCCTCCTTGTGTTCGTCCTGGATGTCGATGTGCAAACCCGGAACCTCCACACTCCGCATGTAGTCGTGCCTTAAACACTGCGCGAGCGACCACCGTTCGGAAGGCTTCTTCGTCAGCATTCGGGACAGGACCAAATCCGTGAACTGGGAACTGTGCTCCGCCACCTTCTTACTCATGGAAAGCGCTTTCGAGGGATCAGCAAGCCACTGGAGAAACATGAAACCCGCCTTGCGGTGGGAACCCGCGTTCTTGAAAATCTGCATGTACCTGAAGTGGATTATTGATTTTGGCGGAGATAAAATCCGAAGATTTATTTTGTGCATTTCCTATGATTAATTTTCGAAGACGCACGAAACTAATTTGTACTGACGGCTGTCCAGATAATTCGCGCAAAGTTTATTAATGGCGATAAACTGAACTTCTACGCACAAAAACCCGATACTTCGGCTTCAGCACCGCATCCAACGTGACCAATTCACACAGACTCACGCCCACACTCCACACGTCCAGCTGGTGCCCGATCCGGCAGTACTCCCCCTCCTCGATCAAAAAGTTGGCCCACTCTGGGGCGCAGTAACAGGGCGAAAACGAAATTGTGGAATCGTTGATGGACACCTTCTTATTCAACGGCGTACACCCGTCCACGTCAATGATTTTCCACGTGTCCCCCGCGCGCATGATGTTCTCCGGCTTCATATCCAAGTGCGCCAAACCCTTCGCGTGCAGCATCCCCATTGCGATCAAGAAGGACTTACAGAGTAGCTGCACCGCTTTCGCCGACATGGGCTTCTTTTCGTTCAACCGCTCGGTTAGGTAGTCCTTCAAACTGTAGTCGGCGATCTCCGTGATCACATACATGCTCCCGTCCGTGGCGTCCGGACCCGCGGTTATTGCAAGGAAAAATCCCCCCTCCCCATATCGGACAGGAAACTTGTGACGCTGTATTTGGGTACACAGATCGACTTGTATTGCTAGCAGGCCAAGGGCCGCAGCTGTGGCCTCGCCTGCGGGCAATTTGTCATGCTGTTTCCCACTTCCAGCTGTCTCCTGTCATGCTGAAGATGCAAGGCTTTCCCACGCCACCCAGCACCACAGTCCGCATCTTTATCTTTTCCCTTCTAGCATGACAAAGCTGATCTGTGACCACAAATCTGCATCACAGATTTCCTTTTTGACATGGGGAGGAGGGATTTTTCTTTTTGATAGCGGTTCCGTCCGCCTCCTTGCTGTAGTCCACGAGCTCGAGGAAGCACTTCTTCGGTATCAACTGCAAAAATGTCTGGGTCTGAAAACTTGTGATGCTAAAGTGCGAATGATGGAAGCAATTCCGAATGCAGCCAAGCATGACAACTTTCCAGAACGCTTTCTGATGCACAGCCCGCATGAGAAACTGCGTTTTCGTATAGACAAAAGCGGCTGCGTACTTTGGTGGTCATGCAATACAAATTTTACAGGAATGTGAGAGCTGCATTACAAGTTCGAGATTTCCAGACCCAGACATATTTGCAATGCATATTCGGGTCGATGGACCAAAAGTACTCGTGGCGCAGCACCATCGACTAATCTATGCCGTGGAGGCAGACGAATCTCGGAAAACTTCTTGCTGCGCGACACTATAACCCGCATCTGCTTTCCTGCTTTGCGTGGCAGAGGAGACCTCCAGCAAGATCCGTTCCGCGAAGTCTCGAATTGCACTACTCGTGGCCGATCTGTGGATGAAATACGGTGCTAGACTTGTGATGTGTGCCCCGCTAAAGTCGATCTCTTCATCAGACTTCCACTTCATGTACAGGTGCCTCACGCCGGAAACGTTTTCGCTTGCTGAAATGATCCCACTTGAAACCAGGGCCTCTTTCGGTAGGAGTCCGATGGAGCTCAGCCGAGACGGTTGTCTCCTTTCGGCAACAAGCCAGAGAAAAATGTCGATGCCATCTGTGACCTGAAAGGCCCCGCTTTGCCAATCCGTGTACTTGCACATGCTGATCTGCAGTCCTTGTGGTTTCTTCTTGGATGGACTCGGACGCGAGACACGAAATAGCACTCCATGGTTGCGCAAACACGCGTTGCTCCGCGCGCCATCGATTCCAACCGCTGGTGGAAACTTTAGCTCCTCAAACACCGGCAGATCCATTGCTTGTGCAAGAAGACCGTGACGATGAGCCCGAACGGTGCTACCGAGCGCAGCAGTCCCTATAAGCTCCAGCAGTGGTCGTGCCTGGTGTTGATATTGATCAAATATTTCGTGGAGCTTCCTCCCGAGTGCCACAGCTCCCGTAGTACTGACCGATTCAATAGTAGATTCCGAAGCTGCCCTCACGTTGAAGTAGCTTTTCACGCAGTCGTGACCAAGTGCAAAGACAGCGTCTCGTGGAGTGCACGTTATCAACATCGGCATGTCACTCCACTTTTCGAATGCGCGTTCATTTCGAACCTGGCAGATGATGCCAGGCTTTCCAGGGATGTCGCACTCGCTGCGAATCGTGTTCCGCATCTGCAAAGGCAGCCACGACCCTTCGTGTGCTGGTAAGCCTCTGCGCAGTCGCATCAGCATGGGAAACCCCGACGAGCGCGGCATGGGGAAAAACTCAAACTCTGGCGCAGCACCTTCAGCAACTTGAAGAAACCATATATGCCCACGCACCTGTTCCAGGCGTCGCTGGTTCCCCACCAGCTTGCGCTGAAAAGGGGCGAGCCACTTCGTAAACACAGGAGGGCGAAGAGGTCTGAAGTGCGCAAAGGTAGCCCCTCGGCTCGCAATCATCTTGTGACAACATGGATTTTCCGCAGCACGCTATCAAACGCATGTCAGGAGACAAAAGGAACCGGGACGATAAGGAAACATCCTGATCAGCACCCGTTCGCTTCGAGGACAATCGGAAAAATGTTCTCATCACATTGCTCACTCACCTCAATCAAAATTGCAACAGAGGTGTCGAAAACTGAGCGATCCGACGTGTGTTGAAAATGGCGGGTGAAATGGTGCAAGAAAAATCTGACACAGTAGAACAACTGAGCTTCTTGCAAATGCCAGTTTCTTCGAAGCTATCAAGTGGCGTCCGAAAACATGTGGAGCATTCGAAACATTGTACATGATGCACATGTGGTGCGTGGAAAAGAATTGTCAAAGAAAGGCGCAATAAGTGTATAATGTTATCGAACCACACCGCTACTGTTGCACTGCGCCAGCGAGGCTTTCTGGCCACTTGCCTGGCGTGGCTTCGCAGATTCGACCTCCCACAGCACTCTTTCTGCAAAATCGCGTATTGCACTTCGGCTACTGTCGTAGCACCGGATGAAGTACGGCTCGAGCGCCTCGGCATTGGAGCCGGCGAAGTCCAGCTCGGTTTCAGACTTCCACTTCATGAAAAACTGCAAGACCCCGGGATGCATGGACGACGACAACAAACCCAGATCTGCGAGAAGCTGCGACGGAAAGAAACCAATGTACTCCAGTCGTGACACATCTCTTGTACCTGCAATTAGCCACATGACGAGATCAATGCCGTCGTTAGCAGCGAAAGGACGCCAGATATTTGGCGGCCCGCTGATCCACTTGCGCAACGGGATCTCGAGGCGCGGATTTTTACGGCGTTGCTGCAGCTGCGTACCCCGGATCAGCACGGAGCAACCGCGAAGACGGGCGGTCGACCGCATACCCTCCCTGCGCGCGTCGACGGGAAAACTTAGTTCTTGGAACACATTCAAGCTCATCGCTTGCAGGAGCAGGTTGTTCTTGTGCTCCAGAAGGCGCGTCGAGGCACCGCACTTCAGCAGCTCGAGGAGGGGTCTTTCCTGGTACCTGTAGTCGTCGTACAGCTTGCGCAAGCGCGTACCTAATCCAGCGTCGCCTTCTCCGCTATCGACAACAAACCGGCAATCGGATTCCGCATAGACGGTGAATTGACCTTTGACTTTGTCGTGATCAAAAACAAAGATGCTGCTGATCCCCGGGGCGGTGAGCAACAGCGGCATATCGGGCCAACGCCGGAACGCGTGTTCGTTTCGCACGTGGCACAAAACACCTGCTTTCCGGGGCAGAGTGCAGGACCTTCGCATCGTATTCCGCAGCTGCAGCGGCAACCACACACCTTCGTGCGGCTGTGCGCCTGTACTCGGACGAAAGAGAGCAGGAAACCGCGACTCGCGCGGCATCGTAAAAAATTCAAGATCGGGTGCGCCGCGCCTCGCAACTTCAAGAAACCACTGGTACCCATCCATCTGCTCCCACCGCCGATGTCTACCTGCAGATCTTCGCTGAAAAACGCAGTGCAAAGCGTACGGACTGCCACGTCTGCACCGCAGAGCCCCGAAGTGCATCATCTTTTTTCGATGTGTTTGGCCAGGTGGGCACTCGAACTCCAAGGTCTTTCCTGACCCCTCGGTCTCTCAATTCATGGGAAGGTTGCTGAAGCTTTTGAGTCATGGCCATGGGAACACCTGAACACATATAGCGCTCAAGGAACGCACCACATAACGCAAAATTTTTTGAATCTGCAAAGGCATCCGCATCGCTTTCCGCTCTACAACTTCCTCGCCAATCGCCCACCTGTGGCTTTCTCCTTCTCCGCCTTTATCCTCTGATAAAGCAAAATGAGCTACTCCACCTCCATCGAACAGACACTGTGCCACTCATCGCGGCACGCATAGGGCATCTTGGGTTCGATGACTTGTCACATTCTCTTCATACTGTATCAGGTACTGGTTTGCGTAGAAGTTTGAAAGAGTGCATTATCGAAAATCTTTTCATCTCTTATACCACCGACCTTTCCCATTAAAATGAGCTCTGCATATTCTTGGACGCTTGTGTGCGCTATGCCGCCACAGCGGATGAAGTACGGTTTCAAGACACCGCACTGGACGCGTTCGAAGTCCAGCGAGTTGTCCGATGCCCACTTGATGTAGCGGTGTCGCGCTCCACCATGCGCAAAACTGGAGAACAACCTACACTGCTCCATAACACTAGCTGGCACTAGACCAATGTAGTCTAGTCGTGCTGGGTCGTGTCGCTCTGCAACCAAGAGAAGGCAGAAGGAAATTCCGTCAGTTACATCGAAGGCACGTCTGACCCCGGCACTGTACTTGCTGAGACTGAACTGGATTCCGGATTTCGTCGGCGCTGGTCGAGCTACACGAGCTAGGATACTGTGCCCGCGCAGTACCGCATTGAAGCGAACGCCGTCGGTACTAAAATTGGGGATGAACTTCAGTTCTCGGAACACTGGCAACTTCATCGCCTGCGCAAGCAGAACGTAGCGGTATGCGTGTATGACCCTCGTCTCCGCACCGCCCTGTACAAAATGCAGCAATGGTTCTGCATGGTGCCGGTGGTTTCCGTACGTCTTTAGCAGTCGCGTTTTCAAACACTGCGCAGCGTCCGCTCGTTGCAAGTCGATCCGCGCCTCCGATTCCACCTTGACGCAGTGCGTCTTGGAGATCGCGTCCGGCCACAGAAAAATTGAGTTCTGGTTCTGCGATGCCAGTACAGTAGGCGCATCTCTCCAACGGTCCAGCAATTTGTAGTTGCGCAGCTGGCAAAGCACTCCGGGCTTTCCGGGGATGTTGCACATGGTGCGGACGGTATTGCGAAACTGTACCGGCATCCAGAGGCCCTCGTACGCCGGCAGGCCGTTACGTGGACGAATAAGCATCGGAAGACCCGAACCGCAGGGCATTGCGAAACATTCGAATTCCGGCACCAGCCGATCAACGACTTCCATGAACCAGACGTGTCCAGCAGCTTGCTCCAGTAATCGTGCGTTGCCGACGAGCCTTCGCTGCGTCTCGTATGAAAGGCCGCCGTATCGCGTCGCACGCAAGAAAGCAGTGCCCGCGGTGATCATATTTGTTGTTTGCATCCAGTTTCTTTCTCACTCTGTCTCTCGTATCATTCTCGTCGCTCATGTCTAACGATCCTGGTACAAGTGTTTATTCGCAAAGAAGCCCGTCCGCACCAATGAACACCAAACTTACTGGAGACATACGATTGCATTCATCTCAAGAGCACATTTGTTCCAAGTCGTATAGTTCTTCGACTCTTATTTTTACAAGTAAAAACCATGTCAGCCTATGCGTTTTGCGCGATTGACGCATCAATCCCTTTGGGGAAAGATCTCACAACTTCCTCGCCAACCCTCCACCAGCAGCTTTCTCTTTCTCTGCTTTTATCCTCTGATACTTCTCAATACACCCCAAGAAAATCTGCATCACTTCTTCCGTATCCGCCGCAAATACCCCCGGCGCGTACTCTTGCCCGTCCCCCGTCGCCCGCAAAGCTAACTCGAAGGAATACGGCTTACAGCTTTCGTCCAAATTCATCCGCCTGTACTTCACAAACCTGATATCCTCCGGCCGGTAGTACACCAACTCCTTCTGGTCTTTCTCCGAAAAGTAGCACAACGCTCCGTTCCTTGCCAGCCACATCCGTCGCTGCAGCCAATCGGGCTCATTGTGCGCGTCGCCGTCGGTGGAGAGTTTGAAAATCTGCGCCTCGTACACCGGTTTGTACGCCTGCTCGGTGCCCCGCTCGATCTTTTCCCTTCGGTTCCGAACCAGAATTTTCCACTCGCGGAAATCTTTCGCCAGCCCCGCGTTCGCGATAAACCCGGATTGCCCCTGCATGGCCAGGTCCTCGTGGGTCCGGGCGTAGTCGAGGATTTCCAACCAGGTTTTCAATTCTTTTTCACTGTACGCCGCGAAGTACATTTTCCCCAGGTCGCCCAAGCCCTGGTGCAGCGCGTGGTGGTCGTCGTCCGCGGTGGCGGAGTAGCGACCGCCGTCTAAATCGATCACGAAAGTGTAAGGTAGGGCGGATTTTACAATACTGCTGTTTGTCTCCCCCTGTTGCTGCTCAGCCGTTTTTGTTTCCGCACTGGTTTCCGGCGTGGTCGTTCCTGGCTTAGTCTCTTGTTTCTCCCCAACATCCACCGCACCCGCAACCTCCACCTCCGACATTCTCGACGCGGCCAGCTGTTCGTGCGTGATTAAAACCAGTTTTTTCAAAGTCTTCGGCGAGAAGTATCGCAATGAAAAATGCCCCCACCCCCAAAGTTGCAAAGATTTGCGATGCGAAGTTTCCAAATGAAAACTTTTTGTCATGCATGAAAGGAGTATGAATCTTTCCGATGCAGAGTCTAGGCGTAGGCGTGTGTCGCATCGGTTGCATGACAAGCGCCGCTCTTGCTGGGATCTTTTGCAATACAAATTTTTGCTATTCACGATCGGAAATCTGTGATGCTGATAGATGCAATAGGGCGAGTGTTTCATTTGGAAAGGTTTGCAACACAAATTCTCCCAAGTTCGGGGGTGGGGGCATTTTTCATTGTAATAAGAAGTAGCACAAACTGCCGTCCGCGGAGAGCCACACGTCCCTCTTCTGCCAATCCGTCGTTTTTCCCGGGTCCCCGTCGTGGTGAAGTTTGTGTAAAATAGATTTCATCAAAGGAGGTTTGTCCTTGGTCGACTCTTGCGCTCTGAGCAACCGTTTCTCCTTCAAATCCACAGACAGTCTCCCCCCGAGATGCTCTGGATCGTGGACCTTTTCCTCCTTGTGCTCGTCCTGGATGTCAATGTGCAAGCCCGGAACCTCCACGCTCCGCATGTAGTCGTGTCTTAAACACTGCGCGAGCGACCACCGTTCGGAAGGCTTCTTTGTCAGCATCCGGGACAGGACCAAATCCGTGAACTGGGAACTGTGCTCCGCCACCTTCTTGCTCATGGAAAGGGCCTTCGATGGGTCCGCGAGCCACTGGAGAAACATGAAACCCGCCTTGCGGTGGGAACCCGCGTTCTTGAAAATCTGCATGTACCTGAAGTGGATTATTGATTTTGGCGGAGATAAAATCCGAAGATTTATTTTGTGCATTTCCTATGATTAATTTTCGAAGACGCACGAAACTAATTTGTACTGACGGCTGTCCAGATAATTCGCGCAAAGTTTATTAATGGCGATAAACTGAACTTCTACGCACAAAAACCCGATACTTCGGCTTCAGCACCGCATCCAACGTGACCAATTCACACAGACTCACGCCCACACTCCACACGTCCAGTTGGTGCCCGATCCGGCAGTACTCCCCCTCCTCGATTAAAAAGTTGGCCCATTCTGGGGCGCAGTAACAGGGGGAGAAAGAAATTGTGGAATCGTTGATGGACACCTTCTTGTTCAACGGCGTACACCCGTCCACGTCAATGATTTTCCACGTGTCCCCCGCGCGCATGATGTTCTCCGGCTTCATATCCAAGTGCGCCAGGCCCTTCGCGTGCAGCATCCCCATCGCGATCAAAAAGGACTTACAGAGTAGCTGGACCGCTTTCGCCGACATGGGCTTCTTTTCGTTCAACCGCTCGGTTAGGTAGTCCTTCAAACTGTAGTCGGCGATCTCCGTGATCACATACATGCTCCCGTCCGTGGCGTCCGGACCCGCGGTTATTGCAAGGAAAAATCCCCCCTCCCCATATCGGACAGGAAACTTGTGACGCTGTATTTGGGTACACAGATCGACTTGTATTGCTAGCAGGCCAAGGGCCGCAGCTGTGGCCTCGCCTGCGGGCAATTTGTCATGCTGTTTCCCACTTCCAGCTGTCTCCTGTCATGCTGAAGATGCAAGGCTTTCCCACGCCACCCAGCACCACAGTCCGCATCTTTATCTTTTCCCTTCTAGCATGACAAAGCTGATCTGTGACCACAAATCTGCATCACAGATTTCCTTTTTGACATGGGGAGGAGGGATTTTTCTTTTTGATAGCGGTTCCGTCCGCCTCCTTGCTGTAGTCCACGAGCTCGAGGAAGCACTTCTTCGGTATCAACTGCAAAAATGTCTGGGTCTGAAAACTTGTGATGCTAAAGTGCGAATGATGGAAGCAATTCCGAATGCAGCCAAGCATGACAACTTTATTCCAGAACGCTTTCTAATGCACAGCCCGCATGAGAAACTACGTTTTCGTATAGACAAAAGAGGCTGCGTATTTTGGTGGTCATGCAATACAAATTTAAATTTTACCGGAATGTGAGACCTGCATTACAACTTCGAGATTTCCAGACCCGGACATATTTGCAATGCATATTCGGATCAATGGACCAAAAGTACTCGTGGCGCAGCTATGCATTGCAAAAGCATCGCACTCGTACAATATTAAATTGCAGCCATGCATAACAAATGCACTTTCCGAACCTGACACAGCATTACAAATTCCACTTTTGCTCTTGGCGAAATTATTTGTGATGCTATTTACACTAGTACGATAGTTTTGCAATGCATAACAGCATCGGGTCCACGATGTGCTCCTTTTTCAGCGGCTCCATGAGAAATTTCAGCACGTCGATCTGCCGCTTGAATTTCGTCACGTTGGTTATCATTTGTAAAAACGTCCTCACCCCAGAGTCAAGATGGGGACTTTGCAACACAAACCTCGAAGCTTTGGGAGCCACGCGTGACAAGTTGCAGGCTGTAGTGTAATGCTGTTTAGCAAGGGGAGCCGCATAACAAATCCATCTCCTTATCCTGTTTACAGCATCACAAGTTCCAAAATACGATGGGGCATGCCTCTCATGGGGATGCGCATTACAAATGCTCTTGCCATTGCAGTTCTGCATGACAACTCTGGGGTGGGGATGTTTTTACACAGGATATTGGTGGCTAAATCTTTTTTCATTTCCGCCATCTTGAACTGTTTAATCGCCACCGGCATGCCGGTTTTCGTGTCCGTGCCCCTTTGCACCGTGGAGAAACTCCCGGCGCCGAGAAAACCCTTTTTCCCAAGGATAATCTCGTACCGGTCTAAAATCATCTCGGTGCCAGTAGTGGGGGTTGGGGGCGCGGCGGTGGTTCCCCCCGGGGGGGCGGCCGTGGCCGCGGCGGGGGGCTCCTCCTTCTTGCCGGCGGCTGCCATTGTTTAATGAATTGGGTTAATGAATTTTACGCAAATAATGGCCATTGGGGGGTAGTAGAGTCCGCAAATTGACGGAGCGAAGATGAGGCGATATTTTTGAAACAAGAGCGAAAAAATACGGTACCGGGATCAGGCAAAATGAGTTATCAAGTGGACGACGATGTTGGGGTGAGGGGGTTTGTGTGGGTACTATTTCTGTCCGCGTTGTAAATCGACATAGTACAACTTTTAGGCAATGAAATCAGTGTTCTTGTTGCAGAAAAACCATAAAGGTAGCGAACGAAAATTACTTCAGTTGCACGAGTCTAAGCTTGAATGGAGGGACGAAAACGACCGACAGGTTGATTTTTATTTTCCAATCGGCATCGGCTCTTACAATACACGACCGAGCATGACAGAATACAATGAACAGCACACGACCGACATGACGCGCAGGAGTTGCTCGCCGGGGCGAAGAGTTTAGTCTGTTGCTGCACGGGACCGATGACAGTATTTCGCGTTCACCGTGCGATGGAATAGAACAAAGCGCCCGGAGATAACTAAGTAGTATTAAAACTGGCAAGAAATAAAGCAATAAGTACTTTTTGTTTATGGAGTACTTGGGTTGATTCCTATGTTTGTGGTGTGAAGTGCTCTTCCTATGTTCTTGAGAAGTCTGTGTCGACGTCAGTATTGAAGTCTGTGTTGAGGTCTGTATTGAAGTCTGTGTTAACGTCTGTGCTTGATGATGATGATGTTACCCAGTAAAGGGTTTAGAAGAGAACGGGTCTAGATGTTCGGCTCAGCAGCAACTAGTGCGGCTTCTTCGGCATTGACGCCATCCAGGACCTCCTCCTCGTTTTCTTCCGGACGTTTTTTGTTCTTCTTCTCCTTGCACCGCTCTTCGTGTTTTCTCATCGCTCCGACTATCCACCCGAGTTGATGTAGTTGCTGGCTGGTCTCAGGAACTTGTATACAGTTGCCGTCATGTTGAAATCGGTATTTGTGCTGCTTACAGTGTCTACACCGAATAAACTCCTCTCCTGATCTGCTTGTCAATGCTGCTGTATGTGCTTGTGAAATGCTGATGTAGAAGGTGGAAGAGCGCTCACAAACGCTCGGATCGTCACATAACTACCGAGGTCAAGAGCGTCAACATCTTAAACCATTTTACTGTGCGTTCTTTACGCCAATTATAATGTTGCGGGTTGTACATCAATCATACAGGGGTATTTATCAGTTGCCCAGGTCGACCGCTTCAAACCAGATGCCACTGCCGCTGAGCAGCAGCTCTGGCGTCAGTAAGTGACCCACAAAGCGGCCGTCCTGCTACGGAAATGCTATAGCGTTCTCTTTTTTCATAAATCTAGTATTCTTTCTTCACGAGCTCCACGACTCTAAGCTCAACGCGCTTTTGCCGGTCGTTGCTTCCAAAATAAAGAACATATAAAAATCTTTAATAATGATTGTGTCGGTATTTCTTTGGATGTTTGACTCCTCACCCATTGTGGATCAAAATTAGGATGATGAAACTCGTCTGAGGACAAAGAATTTTCACACGATGAGCCGACCCTGGGCTGTCGCTCACGTGCTGCCAGATGAAACGAGGCCGGTGGAGGGCCCCGACGTGAGAGGCGTGTACCCCGGCGTTGACCCGGTTCCGGAGACAGAAAAGCGGCCATTAGGCGAGACACTACCTGTGCGCGCCCATTTCGACAGCGCAGGACCGTCGCCGGTTTCAACTTCCTGCTCCCCGACGAGCATAAGCTGCAGAAATTGGGTTGCGCGCAGGTTCAGGCGCTCCACCATCTCGTCGACGTTGCCACCGGAGCTGTGAACAATCTCCTCGATCGCGGCTGAATCCAAAGAGTTCGGATGATTTCCCGATCCACCCTCGTTCGGCCCAAAGTGCCCGCGCCCAATGAAACCAACAGCCACCGCGGCTTGGTGAACGCCGCGACAGGCTGGGTCCTCTTCCGCCGGAGAGGACCTGGAATCCATCTCTGCTGCGTCCTGTACGCTGCCCGGGAAGCGAGCGCCGAGTCCTAGATCCGACGCCGCACAAACCATCGCCGCGGCTTCGAACACCCGCGGGGAAAGAAACTGAGACGGAAACTTGGTCAAGTAACCGACGGAAAAAACGAATAAGCGGCTCAACTCCATGTACCGGACCGCAAACTCCAGCGACTGATTCTCTCGTCCGAGCGGCAACAGCTCCAGCACCGCGCGGCGGCGCGGAATTCCCGGCACGATTTTACCGAGAAACTTGCCGCACTGCTGGTTCGCGGGTAACAACCACTTTTCGAGAAACTTCATCACTCCCGGCGCGGTCGTGTTATTCACGTTCCACCGATGCCACTGGAACCCGCTCTGGGCCTCCGCGTCCCGGATCACTGCTTTGAGCAACGCCAACCCGTAAGGCTCGTTACGCGGCGGGTAGAGGAGGTTCGTCAAAGCCTGCTCTGGGAAGGAGTTGTTCCGCCCCGGTCCTCCTCCGCGGGAGGAGGAGGAGGATGACAGAGCCAGGCTGCCGCGCCCCACTTCCCGCTGCTCGGAGGTCGTATCACCCCGCTGTCCCAACACGTCGACCGGCCCCAAGCCCATTTTGACGAACACCTGCCGCAGCAACAGCGTCAGGTTGCTCATCTCGCCCACGATATCGGACAGGTGCTGGCAAATGTACGGCTGCTCCCCGCTAGGACGAGCTGCTACTCCGAATTCGCCCCACCAGGGCTTGCAGTACTTGCCGACGCTGGCCAGAGGCACGTTCTCCCACGGGTTCACGTGCGGATTTTCACTCTCGCTGATCTGCTCTTCCAGTAAGAAAATCGCCGGCGGGCGGTTTTCGACAACATCCCCGGCCGAAACCAGATCGTGCATAGACTCGTCCAAAACCTTCAGGTTTGCCACGTATTCCAGCATCCGTTTCGCGTTCGCGCGCAGTCCGGCGGCCGCCCCCTCCGGTGACGTTCCACCGAAGCTTCCCACGAGCCCCTTCAGGCATCGGTGCTCCTCGAAAAATCGGACGAGGTTCTCACCCATCTGGTCCACGAATCGATAGTGCAGCTCGGCCACCGCGAAGATCTGGCTTACCGTTGGAGCGGCAACTTCTTGTGGCGCCGCGCGATCTTCGAGAGTGGCAGAGGCATAAGCCCGCGTCTGCATCACAAAGCCCTTCAGTGTAGTCTCCGTTCCGTCGATCAGCAGCAGCTGCTCCGGCGTGTAGACAGGATCCTGCGGCTGAGCCGCGGCGGCCGAAGATTCCGGCTCCTGGCGAGGTAGAAAGGGCGTTCGGGCTTGCCCCGCCGGGGCGGCGGCCTGCACTCCCAGCGGCGCACCCGAGAGGCACCTGCTCAGGTAGAGGCCGCATGCCGCAAGGTGTGTTCTTCTGCCAATCATCGTCATTGTTCTGTTTCGGGGGAAGCACAAAGTAGAATGGGTAGATGAAAAGATAAAGGTTTTTTTCGTGGTTTTGATATTTTTGGAATACTGTAAAAAAGCTCTTGAGGATTTTTCGGTAAGTATTGACGATGGCTGTATGTACTAGGGTGGTAAACAAACAGATACTAGTGTATACGATTCTTCTTCGTTTCTAGTTTTTTTCGACGTCGTTTCTCCGAAGAGAAGCGATTTCTCTCTGTTAAGGAAGCGTATGTGTAAAAGGGTTACAAAGTATCAAACCAGAGCCCCGACGGCGGTTTTTTATCCATGCGACATACAAGGGCGGGCTACCAGCATGATATTGCAAGTGTGGTGCACGATCATGTTATGGGAGCGTTGATTTGCAGCTCGACGGATCAGAAGCGAAGATCAGAAGTGCTATGACTTTGCAAGAGTTTCGATCTCGGATCGGACCTGATTTTGCTTTGGGGCGATGTTGCAAATTGCAGGGCTTCAATTCTCTCAGTTGTACCCGTCAATAGTACTGTTCCGTCGCATATCAATCCGGCGGGGGGGGGGGGGGGGGCGATAAGAAGCAAACCCGGCCCGGGCCGCGATCGCCGATGGCGCAAGCCTTGCTTTCCGGGGGCCCGCGCCGCAATCGCCGAAGCCCCGGGCCACGATCGCTAACGCCGCGGGCCCGAGCTAAATCTGCTCGCGCGCCGCAGGGTTTGGAGCTACCGCCGCGGTGCGCTCTGCCTATTCTTGTCCCGTGCTTCGAAGCCTTCTTTCCATCGGGGGGGGGGGATGGGGTCTGCTTCCGTAGTTCCACCCCCTATTGCGGAAAAATCCTGCGGAAGGGGGGGGTCCCTTACCGCGTGGATCGCGGAGGCGTTGCCCTGCAATCAGGTGCGGACTGAGTGGGTTGACCACCGCGGGGGGCATAGGGGGACGGGGGGGTAGGCACATGTAGGGGGTCCCATAACGAAAACGCAAAAGACTTTCCACCAGCAGGCCCAAATCGCGGCGAAAGTTACGATAAAAAAGGTCATAAATGTGTAGTAGCATCACTGTGACAATCCTTTCCATCAGCCAGACCTGAGCATCTGCATATCTCTACTTTTTTGCCCACCTAAAAAAAAATAAAAAAATTTGAAAGTGCAGCGATGTGGGAAAATGCTTCAAATCATGCATAAAAGTGCTCTAATAGTGAAGACACTACGCTTATTCCTTTGATTTATATGATTTGCATTTGCTATTTTTTGTATATTTTTGCAAAAAGTGCGAGCATTGTAGAAGTTGCAAAATTTGAAAAATTTTGCACATGAGATGCGCATGCGTAAATGTCTCAAAGTTGATTTATCTGGATGCTCTATCATCCAATGTTGTTTTCATTTGGATTCTATACACATCCATTGCACTTTTTGTTGTATATGTGTGATTTTTTCGAAAATTGAAAATTTTAAAAAACTTCTCGCTGTGCGCTTTTCTATAGAAACTTTAAAATAAATTAATAAAGATTATCTTAACAATATTAAATGGCTCGCTTTGTATTGATTTCCTTTGATACTTTCACACTATTTGGAATTTTTTCATGATTTTTTGCGGATGCTAAAAATTTGGAAAAAAATCGAAGATAGTTGCTATGCTGCAAAAATCAACATAAATCAGTGTGTGTGAGATTCAAATAGTTCTGTAGACACGTCATGTCTAAACGCCAGGACAGAACCTCCTCGATTGCATGGTTTTTTTTTATATTTAGCAAAATTTCGAAAATTGCAAAAAATAGGTATCTTGTAAAAATTGGACTCGGCGGCATTTCACATCACCATTTTAAGATGTGCCAAAACGTTGCACCCAACACACATCACTTAAACACACGAAATCAGATCTATTAGACCACTTTTCACCTGCATTTCGAAAATTGCAAAAACGCAAAAAAATATGAAAGGCCAGGATCCACCTGCTTTGGAGGAGATTGATCCACTCCGATAAGGCCGCCCCCCAACACACTACTGCAGGGCGCTCTGCCCATCGTTTTCCGCCCTGTTTTGATCGGTCGGAGCACCTAAATCCACCGCATGGCCCTTCGCGGACCACGCGGGTCCGGCCTCGGACCCCGGTGCGAAATACCAGTCGGGGGAGGCGCTACCTAGGCTCTTCCGCCTCCTTTACATAGCAAACTTCGCCGCTCGTTTTAGTTGCGCGCGCTGCCGCCGCGCGGCTGAGAGATTCTGCACTTCCGGAGCCGCCGGTGGGCAAGCGTCCAAACCGCCACCAAAAGAGCAGCGCTGGACGAAGCCGCGCGCAGATCACCAGCTGGCGGTATGCGGTGCTTTGGGTCGGCCGTAAGCGACGGCGCCGTGAGCGCGCGGGCGCGAGCGCAAGTAGTTCTTCCACCGCCCTTACCGGCCTGCTTCCGCGCGCTCAGCGAATTGCCCGGCGCCCCCGGCCATTTTCTTTAAGTGCCGCCGCGCCCAGACGGGCCATCCCGCTGCGGCCGCCGCCGTACTATCGCTCCGTCGCGAGAGCGCGCGCGCATGCGACAATGAATTTGGCGGGGCCTGTGCAATAGCGCCGAACGAGCGCAGGGGGCCGATATGTCTGCGATGAGGCGCGGCGTTCCTGAGGGGCGATACGTGGTAAAGAAACTATAATATGTAAAGAAAACTGCAAAGAACCATTGGTGCACTCCGCCGTCCTCAGCTCGTGTTTCGTCGAGGGTCATCAAAAGTGAGCGTCGTGCCTCTTTTATTTCGAATCCCCGCGCCCCCAAATGTCCTCAACATCGGCGCGGCCGCAGCGTGCCATTCTCGTGACCGGCGCGAACAAGGGAATCGGGTATGCAATTTGCGACAAGACGCTCGCCGACGCCGCGGACACCTTCGTCCTCCTTGGTTCGCGGAGCGCCGAGCGCGGCGAGGCCGCCGTGAAGCGGTTGCAGGAAAAGCACTCGCCGTCCCGGGTGCAGCTCCTGCTTCTGGACGTGCAGAGCAACAAAAGCGTGGCGCAGGCGAAGGACCAGGTCGCGGCGCTTCTGAAAACGCGGCAGGACCTCACACTTTGGGCCGTGGTGAACAACGCGGGCGGCACGGGTACCGGCCAGGGCCTGGGTTTTTCGGACGCGGACAGCTTTCGCCTCTGCCAGGACTTGAACTTCACCGGCTGCGTGCGCGTCACCGAAGCCTTTCTTCCGCTCCTGGAGAAGTTCGGCGGGTCGTCCCAAGCACTACCTAGAATTGTGAACATCAACTCCGGGGCCGGGCCGGGCTTCGTAAAAAACTGCAGCGCGGCGTACCAGCAGCTCCTGACCGACGCAGATAAGACGTTACACGACTTGAATACCCTCGTGGACACGGGGGAGCAACTGCTGCGCCAGGACAACCCGCTGGAAGCCCTGAAGGCGGCGGGACTCGGCGCGGGCAGCTGGGGGATGACGCAAACGATGTACTACTACGGCTTCTCAAAAGCGTTGATGAACGCGTGGACCCGGCAGCTGGCGAAACGCACGAAGGGGCGCGTGCTGGTGAACTCCTGCTCCCCGGGCCTGGTGCACACCGACCTGACGCAGCCGTTTTGCGAAATTCGCCAGATGAACCCAGAGCAGATGAACATGCTGACGCCGGCGCAGGGCGCCAGGACGCCGTGCCGCCTGCTGCTGGACCCCGCGGTGGACTTTACCGGCCGCTTCTACGGGTCCGACGGCCTGCGGTCGCCCTTCCACACCAGCCGCGACCCGGACAAAGATCCCGAATACCAGGCTCCACCCGAAGAGGAGCTCTGAGAAGCTGCGCCGGGCGAGGACTACAGATGGATTCGGGAAGCGTTGTCCTGGTTTCCGACCGACTTTCTTAGCATCGGTGAAGGAAAAATGCACGGATCCGTCGCGACGAGTAAAGACTCTGCAATGTTATGAAGTAGTTGCTGCACCAGTGTGCTCGCTTTCAAAAAGTAAACTGTAAAAATCAGAGCGAAGCTGAACAATGCCTGACTTTAAGGTTGTAGTGTGTGTGTGTCATCTCTTACAGGCTGGCCATTGTGGTCCGTCCTGCTTGACACGTTCTGTTTCGCACTCTTTACGATGAGAACGGAGCCCTATTGTTCGTGATTGCTTCGTAATAGGAGTGTGATGAAAAGGGGAAAAAGCGAGATACGAGAAAAGTACTTCCAAATGACGAAAATTCAAATGAGCCGTATCCACCTGTTCTCTCTTGATGGGGTTGTACAATCTGATATGGCGCACTGAATCAGTAGCGAAACAAGTACAGGAAAAGTAAGCCAGCCTGTCGCACTAGCCTCAGGCGCACATCAGCAAAACTACAGCTGCCGCTCTTGACAGAATCATGGAGCAGGGCTTACCACTTTCCCCTCTACCGGCGACCGACACCGTCGAGGACCTTAGCGGCGCGGCGCCGCAAACGTCGGTGCCCCTCCGTCTACCTGCTCCGCCTTTGCCAGACATCAAGACCGCGGAGCACGAACTACACCAGGGCCAAGAACACAACAACATGAACAACTCCACACACTACATACAGCTGCAGGACTGTTGTTCGGACGAAATCGATAACAAGGCCAACTACTTTCCGCCCTCCCGCAACCCCGAGCGGGCCCGCAGCGAGACCAGCGCGACGACGCCAACTCCCGGCGGGGCGAGCATTGCGGACTTTGTCGCCCAAAGGGAAAAGCAGGATCATGGAGAAGACAAATATAGTACAACTGGAACAAACGTAGTAAAAATCGAGCCCATTGACGTGGACTTTTTTGAAAACGACGTCTCGCCGAAGAAGAACTACAACATGACCGTCCTCGGCAAAAAGAACCCCTCCTGGGACGAAAACGGTTTTCGGTGGGTCTCGGTCGTTTCTATGGATTGTAAAGATGTCTGGGTCTGGAAGAATGCAGAAGTTTGTCATGCAGATTTTCCAAGACCCATGAGGTCTGTGATGCATGCCCTAGCATCAGAGACTCTGCGAGGGCTTTCTGATGCTCATACCGCATGAGAAATGCCCTCCCCGCGTAGCACAAATTGCACCTCTTATGCTGTTCATGCAATACAGATTTTATGTAGAGTCCAAAGGTAGCATCACAAGTTCCAACTTTCCAGACCCAGACACTTTTGCATTTCATAGTTTCCGTGGATGAGCAATCGGGTAGCAGCAATACACCAGTGGCTGGCGCCAATGCTACGACTGAGGAGATGAAGCTCGAGGAGGGTGATGTGCAGCAAACAGCAGAAAGTGACAGCGGCGTAGGATCCAAAGAGGTTTTAATGACGAGCGGTCAAAGAAGCGAAGAACCTGGTGCACAAGAACATCATCTCCTCGAAACGACAAATCGCGGCTACGGTCAGGAGGTGCACCAGCTCGACGTGCAATTTTCCCGACCAGATGATCATGATGGCTCCCGCAAAATCAAAAACACGGAGAGGTCGAGCAGCAGCCCGGACTACGAGAAGGACTACACTTCTTGCGAAGACACGAAGAGTTGTGTGCTTCCTACTGCGGAGATGTTTAACAAACCTGCGAGCAGCAGCCCTTCCTCGGCAAAGACGATTGCAGCGACTTCTGGTACTGGAAGTGGTAGTACCTTTTTGACTGCAGAGGACGCCGCGTGGTCTGCGCTGACGGCTCCCGCCGCTCCGGGACTTGGGGCAACAGCAGTACCAGTTGTGCCGGGGGAAAATGAAAGCAAACCAGTCGAGGAACTACAGGTAATAAACAAGCCAAAAAACACACCTACGAGAACAACGTCGAACAAACCACCAGCATCTACTACTAGTACGGCCAACGTGAACACGATCTCTCTGCGCGAAACCGCCCTGCTCTTCGGTCGCCTGCTGTTCCAGAGCAAGGCGAACACAAAAACTTCTACGGCTTCAGCGGATAACTGCGGCAAGGGGGGTTCCTCGTCCGCGGAGGGACAGAAAGAAGTTGCGTCTAACCTTTGTGGTGATCAACGATCAGTAGGAGAAAGTAGTATTAGCATCCGTGGTCCAGCAGGAGGGTCTGCTCTTGTACAGGAAAAAACGGAAGAAAAGAATGAGCATCAAGCCGTGGGTGTGGACAGACACGAGTGCAAAACTGGAGGTAGTGCAGTAGGTAACAACGCGCCGTCGCAAAGCGCCTCTCGTGCAAAATCTCCAGACGACAGGGCGCTCTCGCGTTCGTCTTCTAGAGCCTCCGATCGCACCAGCCGTAGCCGCAGCTCCATACTCTCCACCTCTCGCAGTCGTACAACAAGCAGAAGCTCCTCGTCGCGAGGATCTCAAAAGCAAAACGAAGCGATGGTGACCCAGACTTCTCCACGTACTAACAGTCGCCGCTCCATTCCAGGTTTAGCGACACAACAAGCCGCGTCGACGCCGGCCACCACTGGTAATAATTGTAATTCCGAGCAGGGACAACTTCTACAGATGCACGTCGAGGACCAAGAGCTGCAGAGCCGCAACTTGAGCGGCGTTTCCCTCGACGAAAACAACGCGTTTTCCTCCCTGCGAACCACGGAAAATGAGGAGAAGAAGAACAACCAGACAAAAGACCGGCAGAAGGAGCTGCACAGAGGTCTCCACTACACAACCTCGCGCACCAGACGTCGTACCTGCAGCCGGGAGCGGAGCTGGACACGGTCGCTTTCTACGAGTCGGAGCTGTAGTTCTTCTTACGACAACTATCACGGTAGTAGCAGTAGTAGTAGCAGAGAACATCAAAACTACCGGCGCAGGAGCAGGAGTAGAGATCGCTATCGCTTCTCCACGAACCGCCGGGGGCACCAGCACCGCTCGCGAAGTCAAAATGCAACTTCCGCCCGTAGAGGAGGACGAGAAGAGAGTGGGAATGGGAAACACAAACACCCACGCAGCAGGCAAACCAAGACGAAGACAAACAACTACCAGAGCAGGCACTTCACGAAGGGAAAAGATGCGGCGCCAAAGCTGCAGAAAACAAACGACGGCGCAAACAAGAAACAAACCATCAAAAACGGTAAGAACTCCCGCGGGAACAACAGGAACAACCGAAGGAAAAAGGGGAAGAAGAATAACAATCGGAACAATATTATGTTGAAAAACACGACGGACGACACTTCCGCACCAGATCAGCAAAATCTACTTCGGCCGCACATCAATAAAATGAACACAAATACAACTAGCAAGCAAACTCTGAAATCCCCGGCGCAAATTCTGTTGCGGCTCTTGACCACCGCCACGAACATCGAGCCTGCAGTGAAAGCAACGCGGAGTAGTTTCAGTTCGAATAAGACCGCAGAAGAGTGGTTGCGCAAAAACGTTCCGAAGCAATTTTGCGAACAGTTGTGCACCCGAGTGGAGGCGAAAGCGGCGCTGCGTAATGAAAACGAGGGTGAGCAAGGAACAAGTCGCTCCTCAGGTACGAACTCCAGTCGCGTTGATGTCTTTGAGCGGTTGCTGGCGCAGGTGGGGAAAAACGCGGATTTTTTTGACGAGGTGTTCCGCTCGGTAAACTGGGTGCTGGTTTCGAAAAAGAAGGAGGAGGAGGGAAAGTGAGGGAGGTCGGCAACAGTACATTTTTTTTGCGTGATCTTGACAAAGTGTTTTTTGCCAATGCATCGACCCCGTTTCTTGCAACGGGTTTTGATTTGAAGGTGGATCCTACCCATACGGCACGAATGTTTAGTACACCAGTATTCCATGTAAATTTATTAGCAGCATTGTTGCGGCCAACATCAACATGACATACGGTCTGCCTTTGGGCTTCTCCATAGCTGCATCCTTCATGTGTCTTTTTAAAACTGATTGGTTTCATCTGTTTCGCTTTTCCATAGATTTCCACAACATAGAACGCACCTGTTTTCGTACGACTGCCATGCGGTCAATTTGTCTCATTTCACAAATGTCAGAAATTATTTGTCCTGAATTTTTTGGAAGAAAAAAACCTTACGAGATGATAAGCGACGCTGCAGAAGGAAAGCTTGTAATTTGAAGTAGAAACCGTGTTCCGCAGTACTGCAACAGAGTCAGAGATTTCAGCAGCGATTTCGTACGAATTTGTAAAGTAGGCTCCAAGAGAAAGAAAAACAGCCCTGCTTCGGTCCTAACGTGCGTGCAAGTTGTCCACGATGAATCGGTGCGTGAGATACTTACGTTACTATGGTGCCGTGCGTGCTGCCATCCTCGTACGAAGGCCAACGGCTAATCTATCGGTCTGCACCGTGCAACTTGAATAGCTTCTTTCGGCCGATTTCGTTCACAATACTCAACCGTCGTACAGCACACACAACGTATGGAAAGCCACAAGGTCGGTATAGAAATACCGCAGTGTCTTTGCTCTGCGAGCATATCGAATGAAAAAAACTTGGTAAAACTGTCCCCTCCAGTGCTACGTAGCTTCCCAAGTCTGTGTTGTTTGCCTTCGGGAGTACAACCTGCAGGCTGTAGTTCTTTCTAAGCGTTAGTTTATGAACCCAATAATTTCTGTATAAGCAGTACCCGAATAAAGCCATTCTGTAAGAAGATTGGGACAACACGCGGGATAAAGAACGAAAATGGCCCCTGCCAGATCGAATAAATCTACAAGGAAGTCTCCTACCACGCTGGCGGTCTCAACATCTCCTTCACCAGCATCACACCAGCGAGAAGCAACGAAGGCAAATATTAAAATGTCGTCCTCTACTTTCACCGCCCGCGCGGCCCGCGCCACCCGAACCGTCGCGAGGACCTGCTGCCCGAAACTTTGGAATACTTTCCTCACGATGCAGAGGTACGCGATGCGAGGCGGCAGACAGGAGGTGCTGGCCAATATCCCGGAAGAGGCGAAGAAAACTTCCGTGCAGTGGAGAAAAAACAGGAGACATCAAGTGGCAAAAACTACAAGTTCCGCCGCGAAAACAAAATCGCTCCTCGCTCTCGGCACCCAAATTCTCTCCGCCTACCTGGTATTCAGCGGCGCGCAGGTCTTCAGCGCTGAGTTCGGAAACACGGGCGAGCTCGTGACGGTATAGATACAGAGGGTTTTGCCATCTTGTGATAATCATCTTTTCATCTCTGCGACGATGATCATGATTTCGTTTTGGCCACACGTAGTTCGCTTTCATCGCATTTTGCTGAGGCTCTTTGACGTTTTGTTTCCCTTGCCAGAATTCACTATAGACGCTGCAAGAATGAATAAACCATCCATATCCAAACCTCTACCACAGGTTCTCGAGGACAAGCCAAAATTTTCTTTCGTTTCCCTCGCGGTCTCGGCGATGTTGCTTGGGAGTTTCGCTTTTATGATGGCCATGTTTTACCTCGTGAACCACCCGGATGAGGATATGAAGCGGTACTCCTGGCAAGTCATCTCCGCAACCATTTCAATTTTCATCGCGGTGCTCACGTTCCAGGTATAGAGCCGTGTTTCATTATTTTATTTGCATTTTTACAACTACATCATGCTAGAACGCGTTTGTATTGCTGATTATCGCATGACAACAAATGAAATTTTATTCAATTTTCAAGTGGATGATCGAAAAGTCCTGTAGCAAAAATACAAATCCTGCAAAAAAATAAAAACCTCTCTTATTTCTCCTACGTATCACAGGGCATAGACAACACACTGGTGAACGCGATCATCACGGAGCAGGGCGGCATCCGGCACTTACTCCTCGATTTCACGCAGCAGTTTTGTTGGTTCTGGATCCTCCAGTTCGCCCTCGGCAAGGCCACCGGCGCGCTCGGCGGGGGCGGGGACGAGGACGAGGAGGACGAGACCAAGGGGGAAAACCCGGACGAAGTGTGGCTCACCGAGGAGGAGAAGGAAGAAATCGAACTGCTGGTCATGTTTTGGGGCACGTTGATCGCGCACATCAACGGGTTCGCGGCGATTAACTCCTTTTCCGACTTGCAGCAGTTATCTTTTTATGCATTGCAAAAGCATCGTACTAGTACGAATTGCATTACAAGCTGTTGCAGAATGAAAAATGCATTTTGTAATGCGGATCTAGCTATAGAAACTAGACTTGTCATGCTGTGCTGCAATTAGGTTGTACGAGTGCGATACTTTTGCAGTCAATACCTTTTTCGCCCAGTCCCCCTTCCACGCCATTCTCACCGTCCCGATCGCGTTCTGCGTCATTGTCGGGTTGTTCCACCTACTCGATTCGTATCGGGAGCGGCTGGCGCTGCTCGATGGCCACAAGGATGACCGCGAATACATGTGGGACGCGGAGGCCGAGGAGTGCGAGAATGACGTGGCTGGTAGAAAAATTTTTTCGTTATTTGCATTGGTTCTATAGTCTCTCATAGTACCTCTTTACAGTCATCTTCACAGGGGCTATTTAACTTGTTTTTGATGCACTCGCGGCCATTGCGGAAACAAAGTCAAGGATCACGAACAACAATCTATAAGGATTGCCCAAAAGCTGCTAGTAAACGATGACCACCATAATCCCACAATGAATATTAAACAGGTCTCTGCCTTTCCTTCTTAACTGCCCAAGCCGTGACTTTCTCCACCGTCGGCATCATCCCGGATAGCGAGGGTGAACTCGAGCACCTCGGCGACATCACGGGGGAAATGTACATTGTGCAGTTCATTTGGTGCCTGGTGTTCATGGCCATTTCCGTGCTGGTCACCCGGCTCTGCTCCTACCTGCAGCCGGAGGAGGAGTCGTTCCAGGAGCGGATTTATGCACTGCAAAATTATCGTACTCGTAGTAATCGCAACTATGCATTACAAATCTACTTGTTAAGGTAAAGCCGCATGACAAATTTGATTTGTCATGCTGAGCCAATTTGTATTGCGATTTCTACTAGTACGATGCTTTTGCCGTGCATAGGAGTCTCGGTGTGATGAACAACTGGAGCTGCATGTCCTTTTCCTGGACGACGTATCCTCAGCAAAAAAGTCCCCACCCCAGAGTTGTCATGCAAATGTGGAATTGACGGGAACATTTGTAATGCGCATCTCCATGAGAGGCATTTCTAGTCGTGTTTTGGCATTTGTAATGCTTGAAACAGGATGAGAAAATGGCTTTCTCATGCGGCTTTCCTTGCTAGCCAGCACTACATCGCAGCTAGAAACTTGTCATGCAGAACTCCCAAAACTTGGAAATTTGTGTTGCCGATTTCTCATCTTGACTATTGGGTGTGGATGTTTTTACACAGCATACGACGCTGATGTTGTTCCGGTGGTGCATGTTCTACATCGGATTGGGGGAAGACCCGGTGTTCTTCAAGGTCGGGGTGGCCCTCTGCGCGTCCTGTGTCGCGTTTCTCCTGATCACGGCCCTGGACAATTTGTCCGATGGGGATTTCACTTCTGACCAGGTGGACAAAGCGTTGCGGCAGATGATCCTGGCTCTTGCAATCCTCGTCGGGTTCGGGTGGGAACAGTCGTTTGACGTGGGTGTGGAGGCGTTGTCCGACAAAATCGCGATTTTCGGGAGCCACGGCTTGGCCAAGTTCCTAATGACGGTGTTCCTGCTCGTCATCGTCGCGCCGGCGTGGAAAATATGGATTGCAAATATGTCTGGGTCTGGGAGGTAATGGATGCGAGATTTTTCATGCTAGTCTGGCATGACTCTGGGATCTGTATTGCGTGGCAGCTTAGGGCTCCTCTTGCCTGTCATACAAACACGCAGTTTCTCATGCGGAATTATACGCAACACAGAACCATGAAAAAACTTGTCATGCTTGGCGGCGCATTACAGTGTGGTTATTATTCGGTGACCTGCATCACAACCTTCCAGACCCAGACACATTTGCATTTGATACAAAATTTACATCATTCCGACCTACTTCCGCTTACAGGAGGAGCACGACGACGCCAGGGAAGAAGCGCAGAAAGTTTACGACGAAATCACGGGGTATTTATGTTTTATTGTAATCATGCATTACAAATCTTTCTCTAAAGGTAAATCAGCATTACAAATTTTATTTCTCATGCCGAGAAAATTTGTAATGCATTTATACGAGTGCGATACTTTTGCGTAGGTATAGAAAGTATGGGCAGGAACTTTCTGGTTGTACTATGTAGAAGTAGAGCCGCGGGTTTGGTTCTTGCGTACGCAATCCACAATTTTAAAACTATCAGGCACGATGACGACTACCACCGGTTTGAAGGCATCCCCACCAGTTTCCATGATGAGTATGGCAAGCTGAAGGACGAGCTCGAGCGCAAGCGACAGGAGGCTGAGCGGCTGGCGCTGGAGGAATTGCACGAGAAGTACGACATCAAAAACATCATTCAAGCGGCCGAAACCGAGAAGCGGGAGCGACAACAGCAAGCGCAAGCGGCGGCAGAAAAGAGCGGCTTGAAAAAGAAGTAGTCACTTCTTTTTCTATACCGCTTGAAGAGATTTATTGCGATCATCAATTATTTTATCGGGTTCTTATTTTCAGAAATAAAAGTTTGCTCAAGTTGTGGGGTGCAAATGCATAATATGCAATTTTTATCCGGCGGTAGAAGAGGGGAAGAAGTGGTGGCACTACAGAGATTCGGACGCAAAGATGAACACCGCCTTGTGCTTGTGTCTTTTTTTTGATGCAAAAACTTGTACAGTCGTAAGCAGGCCGTGCTGATTTGTCGTGTCACTACCCAAAAAAAAGCGAGAAATGTACGGCCTCTCTTGTATAAATGCCCTCAAAACCAAACTTCTTTAACCATTTATCTTCGTTTCAGCCTTTCAATTTGTCACTAGTATGAATGTGTTTCAAGGACGTTCGTTTCGAAAATAGCAGGTAGACTTTTTCAAACCATTTAGGACCAGCAGAAGTAAAAGTGGGCAGAACAGCGATGCGGGCTGCGGGCTTCCGAGCCACTTCAATGTTCTTGTAAGTAAGCCCCTTCGAAGAAGTTCAGCGACGGCAGATTGTTACTTCTTCATCCAGTTGCGCGTTCAAAATCAAATTCTTTCAAACAGGAAGCAAAATGTAGAAAGAAATGCAGCTTTGTATATTTTCTTTTTGATTAGAATGTAACATACGACAAGATAGAATAGCAACTGTAAAAACTACAAGTTCAGAATATGAAATTGGTCAAAAGAATCGACGAGCCTGTATCGAAAACTTGAAGAAGTCGAAGAGCAAAAATCAAAAAAAATGCGCTATGGATTACAATAACTACGTTGTATGCCATTTACTACAAGTTGAACGGTGTTCCGGAACGAACTTCCTGTGCGCGATGAAATAAGAAACACCGTAGCACACGCTTGATATTTTGTGTGATCAGACGTGCCACTTATTTTATGCGAAGGAAAAACCAATGATTTTTACCGAGGGTCACACGATACCAAGGAAGAAGATTTTGTAAGTATACTATCCTGATGCGAGAAAGTTGAGTTTCATGACACGTTCGAAAAATGTAGATTTCCTTTCAGTTCCCCAAAATATTTTTCGCTGGAAAGCTTTTTCCTTCCCTTTTTGCTAGTCATTTGCAGATCTTTTCCATGGGTAATTATACCAGCCCGCCCCATTTTCACCCCGTAATAAAGCTGGATTTGGACAACTTTCAAAAGAACGTTTGGACGATCACTCTCGGCAAAACAGGCGACAAGTTTAATGTTGAAGATCCTCTGTAGCTGAAGCTTTTTTGGTACTACAAGTAAATGAAAGACCACATGAAGTAGGCCTCAAGCTGATTCTTGTTTCCACCCTAGGACTACGTACTAGCGACACACATTGTATTCATGGTACTATTAAACACAATACCAATGTGCTGAAAAAGACTAGACAACCAGAAATTTTAATCGACTGAAGTTTATTTTCCACCACGACCCCTCATAGAAGCCATGGACCGTGTGAAGCACCTCGCCGTGGTCCGCAAGGTCGCGGCGGAAATTAAAAACCACTGGGGTTTGGACGACAAAGACTTGGCCGAGTTCATCGTCGACCTCGCCCAAAACGAGTCCAATGACGCGCAAGACTTCCAGACGCAGCTGGCCGAGAACGGGGCGGAGTGCACCGAGGATTTCGCGACCCACTTGTTCGACCTCGTGCAGAAGATGGCCCCACCCAAAAAGATCCAACTCGGGGGCCCGGGCGGCGCGCGACCCGGGATGTTGCAGGTGGGGGGGAGTAGCAGCAGTAGTAGCTCCACGGCGAATGGGAAGGTTGCGGCCGCGGCGCGCGAGCCCCGGAACGAGGTAGAAGCGCAGTTCCGCGGCTTAGCGATCCCGGACGCGGCGCCCAACACCGGGTCGTTAGAAGCGGCGTTCATTGGGCGGACGGAGCGGGATGGAGGCGACGTGGGACGGACGGCGGCGATACCAAATGTAGAAATGTCTGGGTCTGGAAGATTGCAACTTGTGATGCTGTCTCTGCATTCTAAAAAAATCTGTATTGCATGACCAGCAAGAGGGGTCCAGTTTGTGCTACATGGAGAGTGTATTACTATTGAAACTGCAGCAACAAGCCAAAATTGGCATTCCTACCCTGGTTCCAGGGTAGGTTCCAGGGTAGGTTCCGGGGTAGGTAACACGAGGGGACAGTGGATTTAAGAGGGGGGGGGTACAGCCTACCCAGGAACCGACCCAGGAACCGACTCAACCCGACTCCTCAGCCGACCGATACAGCTCGGGGAAAAAAACAAACACGAGCTGTGGAGTCGGGTGAAGAGTCGGGTAAAAGTCGGGTCCAGGGTAGGTTTTGAGTCGGGTAAAGTCGGGCAAATAGCTCGGGAAAGGCAAAGCGACCTTACCCGACTCTACCCGACTCCAGCTGATGCGATATCCTTTGCCGATGTGTGTGGGTCTGGTTGGAAGAGGCCAAGTCGGTCATGCATACTGTGCGTGGCCCACTATTCGCTAGGAGCAAAACCACGCTCGCCACAAAGCGCCGCGGCTGGCTTTTTGGATGAGGGCACCATGTAGGAAGGACGCGCGGGAACTGGCCTGGGGACACGGAGCAAAACCGCGGCAAGAAGTTTCCCAGAATTGGGCGAAGGTGGTGCCCGGTTTCTCGCGCAAATCGGCACGGGGACACACACGAAGCAAAGCCGTGGCATGAAGCTGCCCCGAACACAATAGGGCGAAGGCGGTGCCCGGTGTCTCGCGCAAACTGGCACGGGGACACGGAGCAAAGCCGCGGCCAGAATCGTGCCCGCCGCACTGGCACACGGAGCAAAACCGCTCCCCCCCCCAGAATTGGGCGAGGGCGGTGCCCGGTGTCTCGCGCAAACTGGCACGGGGACACGGAGCAAAGCCGCGGCCAGAATCGTGCCCGCCGCACTGGCACACGGAGCAAAACCGCTCCCCCCCCCGAATTGGGCGAGGGCGGTGCCCGGTGTCTCGCGCAAACTGGCACGGGGACACGGAGCAAAGCCGCGGCCAGAATCGTGTCCGCCGCACTGGCACACGGAGCAAAACCGCTCCCCCCCCAGAATTGGGCGAGGGCGGTGCCCGGTGTCTCGCGCAAACTGGCACGGGGACACGGAGCAAAGCCGCGGCCAGAATCGTGTCCGCCGCACTGGCACACGGAGCAAAACCGCTCCCCCCCCAGAATTGGGCGAGGGCGGTGCCCGGTGTCTCGCGCAAACTGGCACGGGGACACGGAGCAAAGCCGCGGCCAGAATCGTGTCCGCCGCACTGGCACACGGAGCAAAACCGCTCCCCCCCCAGAATTGGGCGAGGGCGGTGCCCGGTGTCTCGCGCAAACTGGCACGGGGACACGGAGCAAAGCCGCGGCCAGAATCGTGTCCGCCGCACTGGCACACGGAGCAAAACCGCTCCCCCCCCAGAATTGGGCGAGGGCGGTGCCCGGTGTCTCGCGCAAACTGGCACGGGGACACGGAGCAAAGCCGCGGCCAGAATCGTGTCCGCCGCACTGGCACACGGAGCAAAACCGCTCCCCCCCCAGAATTGGGCGAGGGCGGTGCCCGGTGTCTCGCGCAAACTGGCACGGGGACACGGAGCAAAGCCGCGGCCAGAATCGTGTCCGCCGCACTGGCACACGGAGCAAAACCGCTCCCCCCCCAGAATTGGGCGAGGGCGGTGCCCGGTGTCTCGCGCAAACTGGCACGGGGACACGGAGCAAAGCCGCGGCCAGAATCGTGTCCGCCGCACTGGCACACGGAGCAAAACCGCTCCCCCCCCAGAATTGGGCGAGGGCGGTGCCCGGTGTCTCGCGCAAACTGGCACGGGGACACGGAGCAAAGCCGCGGCCAGAATCGTGTCCGCCGCACTGGCACACGGAGCAAAACCGCTCCCCCCCCAGAATTGGGCGAGGGCGGTGCCCGGTGTCTCGCGCAAACTGGCACGGGGACACGGAGCAAAGCCGCGGCCAGAATCGTGTCCGCCGCACTGGCACACGGAGCAAAACCGCTCCCCCCCCAGAATTGGGCGAGGGCGGTGCCCGGTGTCTCGCGCAAACTGGCACGGGGACACGGAGCAAAGCCGCGGCCAGAATCGTGTCCGCCGCACTGGCACACGGAGCAAAACCGCTCCCCCCCCAGAATTGGGCGAGGGCGGTGCCCGGTGTCTCGCGCAAACTGGCACGGGGACACGGAGCAAAGCCGCGGCCAGAATCGTGTCCGCCGCACTGGCACACGGAGCAAAACCGCTCCCCCCCCAGAATTGGGCGAGGGCGGTGCCCGGTGTCTCGCGCAAACTGGCACGGGGACACGGAGCAAAGCCGCGGCCAGAATCGTGTCCGCCGCACTGGCACACGGAGCAAAACCGCTCCCCCCCCAGAATTGGGCGAGGGCGGTGCCCGGTGTCTCGCGCAAACTGGCACGGGGACACGGAGCAAAGCCGCGGCCAGAATCGTGTCCGCCGCACTGGCACACGGAGCAAAACCGCTCCCCCCCCAGAATTGGGCGAGGGCGGTGCCCGGTGTCTCGCGCAAACTGGCACGGGGACACGGAGCAAAGCCGCGGCCAGAATCGTGTCCGCCGCACTGGCACACGGAGCAAAACCGCTCCCCCCCCAGAATTGGGCGAGGGCGGTGCCCGGTGTCTCGCGCAAACTGGCACGGGGACACGGAGCAAAGCCGCGGCCAGAATCGTGTCCGCCGCACTGGCACACGGAGCAAAACCGCTCCCCCCCCAGAATTGGGCGAGGGCGGTGCCCGGTGTCTCGCGCAAACTGGCACGGGGACACGGAGCAAAGCCGCGGCCAGAATCGTGTCCGCCGCACTGGCACACGGAGCAAAACCGCTCCCCCCCCAGAATTGGGCGAGGGCGGTGCCCGGTGTCTCGCGCAAACTGGCACGGGGACACGGAGCAAAGCCGCGGCCAGAATCGTGTCCGCCGCACTGGCACACGGAGCAAAACCGCTCCCCCCCCAGAATTGGGCGAGGGCGGTGCCCGGTGTCTCGCGCAAACTGGCACGGGGACACGGAGCAAAGCCGCGGCCAGAATCGTGTCCGCCGCAGTGGCACACGGAGCAAAACCGCTCCCCCCCCAGAATTGGGCGAGGGCGGTGCCCGGTGTCTCGCGCAAACTGGCACGGGGACACGGAGCAAAGCCGCGGCCAGAATCGTGTCCGCCGCACTGGCACACGGAGCAAAACCGCTCCCCCCCCAGAATTGGGCGAGGGCGGTGCCCGGTGTCTCGCGCAAACTGGCACGGGGACACGGAGCAAAGCCGCGGCCAGAATCGTGTCCGCCGCACTGGCACACGGAGCAAAACCGCTCCCCCCCCAGAATTGGGCGAGGGCGGTGCCCGGTGTCTCGCGCAAACTGGCACGGGGACACGGAGCAAAGCCGCGGCCAGAGTCTTCGTGTCTGCCGCACTGGCACACGGGGCAAAACCGCCCCCCGCCCCAGAATTGGGCGAAGGCGGTGCCCGGCTTCTCGCGCAAACTGGCACGAAGACACGACGCAAAGCCGCGGCCAGAATCGTGCCCGCCGCACTGGCACACGGAGCAAAGCCGCAGAATTGGGCGAGGGCGGTGCCCGGTGTCTCGCGCAAACCGGCACGGGGACACGCACGGAGCAACGCCGCGGCTCGAACCGCGTCCGCCGCACTGCCTGGCACACGGAGCAAAATCGCCCCCCCCCCCAGAATTGGGCGAGGGTGGTGCCCGGTGTCTCGCGAAAACTGGAAAGGGGACACGGAGCAAAGCCGCAGCCAGAACCGCGTCCGCCGCACTGGCCCACGGAGCAAAACCGCTCCCCCCCCAGAATTGGGCGAGGGCGGTGCTCGGTGTCTCGCGCAAACTGGCACGGGGACACGAAGGAAGCAAAGCAAGCCGCGGCCCGAACCGTACCGCGTCCGCCGCACTGGCACACGGAGCAAAACCGCTCCCCCCCAGAATTGGGCGAAAGCGGTGCCCGGTGTCTCGCGCAAACTGGCACGGGGACACACACGGAGCAAAGCCGCGGCCCGAACCGCTTCCGCCGCACTGGCACACGGAGCGAAACCGCTCCCCCCCAAGAATTGGGCGCGGGCGGTGCCCGGTTTCTCGCGCAAAATGGCGCGGGGACACGGAGCAAAGCCGCGGCCGGAACCGCTTCCGCCGCACTGGCACACGGAGCAAAACCGCTCCCCCCCAGAATTGGGCGAGGGCGGTGCCTGGTTTCTCCCGCAAACTGGCATGGGGGTGCACTGCGCAAAAGCGCGGCCCGAAGCTTCGCAGAATCAGCCGGGCGAAGGCGGTGCCCGCCCGCTTTCTCGCGCAGACTGGCTTGGGGACGCACACGGGGCCAGGCCGCGGCCTGCGCTTAATAGTTTCCAAGACTTGGGCGCAGGAGGTGCCCGGCTGGGTTTCTCGCGCCAACTGGCGTGGGCACAGACACGGAGCAAAACCATGGCCAGGGGCTGCCCAGAGTAGGGCGAAGGGGCTGCCCGGCTTCTCGCGCGAGCTGGCACGGGGACACGGACCAAAACCGCGGCCCGAAGCTTCACAGAGAAAGAGTCGAGCGGCCGAAGGCGCTGCCTGCCCGGTTTCCCGCGGAGACTGGCAGGGGGACACGGGCGAGCGGGTTGCCAACGTCTGCCGCCGGGTCGCTTTCAATCAAAAGCCCGCCAGCGCTTCCAGAAATCCGGGACCGGCCTCGCGTCCGTGGTCGGCGGCTTGCGGGATTCCGGCCGGCGCAGACATCCAAAAGCCCGGCCGCATTGGCCAAAGAAAAGCCGGGCGGCGACTTCCGCAAGGCTGGGGGCCGCTTCCTTCCGCAGGTGTGCCGCCGGCTTTTAGAAGTTAGGCCGCCCGCCAAGCGCTTCTCTCCTGAAGTAGGGCCGCCAGGCAGCGGCGCCCAATGGCCCGGCGCCGACTTCGAAACGCTTGCCATCAGCTTGCAGGCCGGTGTCGGGGTCCTGCAAGTGGAGGCGAACGCGCCACCCCTCGGGCGCCCATCGGGGCGCCCTATGTGGTAGCCCGCTGGGGATGGCGCGGCACTGGCCATTCCTCTACTTCGCGACGCGCGTCCCCGTTGCGGTTGCGTTCGAATGTCGCGCGGAGCAAGCCCGCACGGCCTCGGAAACTGCTCCGGCCGCCCAATGCCCCTCAAAGATGCAAGGTCTCTGCACGGGGGCCCCAGCCCCCGTGCTCGGACCTTGTTTCTCATGCGAGATAGGCATCAGAAAGCCAGCTAAAAATCTGCGATGCCAGGTTATGCATTACAGACGTCATATGTCATGTAAAATCTGCATGACAAGTCTGGCACTCTTGTTCCAGACCCAGACATTTTTACATTTGATAGGCGAGTTTGTTGGAGTCAGAAATGACAGAAAGGGAGAAGAGGGACGCGGCGAAGGGGAAAGGTATTAAATACGACTTGTATTTTAGTGTACAGCTGCTGTGATTTTGAAACGACTGGGCTCCTGCTTCTGCGTTTAGAGTTTGTCTTGGTGGAAGATGAACTCCAAGGACAGGTTGAAAACAATAACAACCGTCGCTCATCAACATCGTATGATGTCAGTTTTTTAACATCTCACACTATCTGCAGTGCGTATAACAAATTCGAATTCCTTTCATTTTCCATGAAAAAATTTATTCCTAACCCAGGTAAGAAAGGCAAAAAGGGGGCCAAGAACGACCGCGACAACATATCAAATGTAAAAATGTCTGGGTGGTCTGGAAGAGTGCATGTTTGTCATGCTTGTCTGGCATGACTCTCAAATCTGTCATGCACGTTACCCAAGAGCGCCATTTTTCTGTCATGCAGAAACGCAGTTTGTAATGCAGAATAGGCAACACCTAGAAGCTCAGAAACTTATCATGCTGAGCCAGCACTTGTGGCCTCCTCATGATACGCCACCCAGCATCACAATTTTCCAGACCCAGTCACTTTTACATTTGATACAACAAAGGCTCTGACAACTACTACCGTGACCAGGGCTACGACCGGCGGGAACGCAGCCCGAGACGAGGGGAGGAGAAGAAAGAGCCCGAAAATATGGATTGCAAATATGTCTGGGTCTGGAAGGATGCAAACTTGTGATGCGCATTTCAGAACACAGAAAAATCTCTCATGCATAGGTAGCAAAAGCTGCCCACTTTCTGTCACCAAAGTGGGCGACTTGTCATGCGGATTCGGCATTGCGGAAGCTTCTCGAAACCTGTGACGCTAGAGCTTCCATGCCAGACCTTCACTGTCATGCAAAAACAGCACGACTCTTCCAGACCCAGACATTTTTGCATTTGATAGAAAAATCCATCACCCAAATCCGCGCCTCGCTCCGGCGGAAAGCCTTGGAGAAATGGGAAATCTACGCGGGCGAGGTGCAGAAGCTGCAGGACTACGGCGCTTTTATCTCCATCGACACGAGTGACGGCCGCAAGGAGGGTTTGTGCCACGCGCAGTTCATCACGAAGGACCCGGATAAGGGGACCCGGCCCGACCAAATCCTGCAGCGGAGGCTATGAAAGTGCACAACTCCCCCTCCCCCTCATTTCTATTGCATAAACAGCAATACAAGCGGCAGCAAGAATACAGGATTTGCATGACAAATTCGGACAGGACTGTAGTGCTATTTGGGCTTCCAAAACTTGTCATGCAAACAGTGCCAAGAGCCGAGGCCCTTAATTAGGCATTTTGCATGACAAATGAGGGGTTTGGGGGAGTTGTGCACTCTCATAGAGGCAAGAGGTGTTCGTGAAGGTCGTCGCGTTGACGGAGAAGAAAATCTCCCTTTCCATGATCGAAGTGGACCAAAAAACGGCGGAGGATTTGAAACCGCGAGACCCCGAAACCGGTTTACCCGTGAAGATGATGAACTCCAGTAGTGGCGCGAACAGCTTACCGCTAGGGGGTAATAGCATGTTGAAGACCAGTAAAAATCAGAACAACGCCCTGAAAACCCACGGCGAGCACACGGGCGTGAATTTGAACATCCCCGACACGATCGGGGGAAGGCAGAAGGACCGGAACAAGAAGAAGTTAAACGATTACGACCGGTGGGAAAATCAGCAATTGGTGAATTCCGGGGTCATCAAGCGGACCGAAAGAGCGGATTTTGACCCGAACGCGGGCGTATCAAATGCAAAATTGTCTGGGTCTTGAAGATTTCTAGATTTGTCATGCATATTTTCCATGAGCCATGATGTCTGTGATGCATGCCGTAGCGTCACAGATCTTTTGAGGGCCTTGCGATACCTCTACCGCATGAGAAATGCCCTCTCCGCGTAGGACAAACCCGACCCCTCTTGCTGGTCATGCAATACAAATGTTTTTAGAATCCACGGACAGCATCACAAGTTGCAACTTTCTAGACCCAGACACTTTTGCAATCCATAGGGCGGCTTTCTGGCGGAGGAAGAGGTGGAAGAGGAGTACGAGGTCGACGTGATCGACCAGGAGCCGGCGTTTCTCGTGAACCAGACCGCGCGGAGCGGCGCGCAGTTGTCTCCCATCCGCTTGGTGAAGATGCCGGAGGGGTCGCTCGCGCAGGCGGCGTCCAACGCCGCCGCGGCGATCAAGGAGACGCGACAAGCCCGGGACGCGATCCAGCAGCAGAACGCGCAGGAGATGATTCCCAAGGACATGAGCAAGCCGTGGGACGACCCGAAGCCGGACCCCGGGTCGCGGGCGTTGGTGAGTCAGATCCGCGGGATCTCGGACACGGGGAACTACGAACTCCCGGAGTGGAAAAAGCTGTACAAAAACAACTCGGTGTCCCTCGGACAGAAGTCCAACAAACCGATCAAGGAGCAGCGCATGGGGCTGCCGATCTTCAAGTTGCGGGGGCCGCTGCTGGAGGCGATTATTAACAACCAGGTTTTGGTGGTCATCGGGGAAACAGGGAGTGGGAAGACGACGCAGATCACGCAATATTTGGCCGAGGCAGGTATAAGAAGATGATGTGTCACGACGAGTCTCTGTGATGCTATGCTGAATATAGCAGTAAAATGTATGCGCTCTGCATGCGTTGGTGAGTGCTGTCCACCTGGTGAAAATTATTCTGATTCATTGCTAAGTTCTTGTGCAATAATTTTTCTTTCGACGAAAAATGGAAGGTTCTGAGTACGCTGAAAAATTCATCAACCCATTCAGGTTTCACGTCCCGCGGTATGATCGGTTGCACCCAGCCCCGTCGTGTGGCCGCGATGTCCGTCGCAAAGCGCGTCGCGGAAGAGTTTGGCTGCCGGTTAGGGCAGGAGGTCGGGTACAGCATCCGGTTCGAGGACCAAACCAGCCGGGACACGGTGATCAAGTACATGACGGACGGTATGCTGATGCGCGAGATGTTGCAGGACCCGGACTTGAAACGGTACACCCTGATCATGCTCGACGAGGCGCACGAGCGGACGATCATGACGGACGTGCTGTTCTGTTTGTTGAAGAAAGCGTGTAAACGCAGACCCGATTTCAAGCTCATCGTGACCTCCGCGACGCTGGATGCGGAGAAGTTTTCTTCCTACTTTTTCGACGCGAAGATCTTCACGATTCCGGGCCGAACCCACCCCGTGGAGATCAACTACTCCCTCGAACCGTTATCAAAAGGAAAAGTGCCCCCTCCCCATATCAAAACGAAGTTTCTGATGCTGGATTTGCGTACACAAATCAGATTCGTCTTGCTGGAGGGGACTGCAGGCTTTATATCAAGCCTGAGTAGACAGGTTTTGGCCTAGGCACTTAGCATGAAGAACGTCAGCACTGTAGGCCCAACAGCATGACAAACCGCCTGCAGAATTCTGCGGAGCCCGTGGAGTTGCCTTCTTGCAAGACAGACGCGACTTGTGCTCACAAATCAGCAACGCAAATTGTCGAGCGCGTACCTTTTCAACATGGGGAGGGGGGATTTTTCCTTCTGATAACCGTGTGAAGACAGCTACGTGGACACGGCATTGATGTGCATCATGGAGATCCACTATCAAATGTAAAAGTGTCTGGGTCTGGAAGAGTCATGCTGTTTCTGCATGACAAAGAAGGTCTGGAATGGAAGCTCTAGCATCACAGGTTTCGAGAAGCTTCCGCAATGCCGAACCCGCATGACAAATCCCCCATTTTGGTGACAGAAAGTGAGCAGCTTTTGCTACCTATGCATGAGGGATTTTTGTGTGTTCTGAAATGCGCATCACAGGTTACATCCTTCCAGACCCAGACACTTTTGCACTTGATATCCACTTGCGAGAACCCGCCGGGGACATTTTGCTGTTCCTCACCGGTCAGGAAGAGATCGACACGGCGGCGCAGGTGTTGCACGAGCGCATGAAGGCCTTGGAGAGCAACAGCCCGCCGCCCTTGATCATATCAAATGCAAAAGTGTCTGGGTCTGGATGAGTGGAACTTGTAATGCTGTCTGCGGATTCTAAAAATATCTGTGGTGCATGAGCAGCAAGAGGAGTCAGTTCTTGGCGCGCTGGAAAGAGAGGGCATTTGTCATGCGTAATTAGCATCAAGAAGCTCTCAGCAAATCTGTGATGCTAGCACCAGCATCACAGACCTGACGGGTCATGCAAAATATGCATGACAGGCCCCGACTCTTCCAGACCCAGACATATTTGCTGTTCATAGATCATTCTGCCGGTGTACTCCGCGCTGCCGTCGGAGATGCAAACCATGATCTTCGAGCCCGCGCCGCCGGGGTGCCGGAAGTGCGTGATTGCGACGAACATCGCGGAAGCGAGTCTGACCATCGATGGTACTATTCTAGATGCATATAATTTTTCCTTGTTGACCACGTTAACGAACTCTGAGTGTAGTTGCAGTTACAAAATTCTGCACCTCCTGTTGCTGCTTGTATCTTCGGGCGATGAACATCGTTTGATTTTTTACCATTTCCAACACCCAGGTATCTACTATGTGGTCGATCCGGGGATGGCGAAGCAGAAGTGCTACAACTCCAAAACCGGGATGGATTCCCTGGTCATCGTGCCCATTTCCCAGGCCAGCGCCAAGCAGCGCGCGGGTCGCGCCGGGCGTACCGGGCCCGGGAAGTGCTTCCGACTGTACACGGAAGCGGCCTACAAGAACGAGATGTCCCCCATGAACGTGCCGGAAATCCAGCGGACAAACTTGGTATCAAAGTGAAAAATGCCCCCACCCCCAAACTTGGAAGCATTTGTATTGCAAGCCTTTCCAAATGAAACACTCGCCCGCTTGCATCTATCAGCATCGCAGATTTCCAATCGTGAATAGCAAAAATTTGTATTGCAAAAGACCCCAGCAAGAATGGCGCTTGTCATGCAAGCGATACGATACACACCTAGACTCTGCATCAGAAAGATTCATACTCCTTTCATGCATGGCAAAAAGTTTTCATTTGGAAACAAATTTTTGCAATTTCAGGGGTGGGGGGCACTTTTCACTGCAATACTTGGCGAACGTGGTTTTGGTGCTGAAAGCCATGGGCGTGAACGATTTACTTGGTTTCGACTTCATGGACCCGCCGCCCGTGCAAACGTTAATCAACTCGTTGGAAGCGCTGTGGACCCTCGGGGGGTTGGACAACGAGGGGATGCTGACGCGTTTGGGCCGGAAGATGGCGGACTTCCCGTTAGAGCCCGCGCAATCCAAGACGCTGTTAGTGGCCGTCGACCTGCAGTGTGCAGACGAGATCATGACGATCTTGGCCATGTTGTCCGTGCAGAACGTGTTTTACCGCCCGCGCGAGAAGCAGACGCTGGCGGATCAGAAGAAGTCCCAGTTTCACCAGACGGAGGGCGACCACATCACGTTACTCGAGGTCTACAAGGCGTGGCAGCGGAACCGGTTCAGCAGTCCGTGGTGTTTCGAAAATTTCGTGCAAGTGCGGTCGCTGAAGCGCGCCCAGGAGGTCCGAAAGCAGCTGATCGGGATTTTGGACCGGTATCAGCTGGAAATTCAGTCCTGCGGCACCGACTACAACCGGTATCAAATGCAAAAGTGTCTGGGTCTGGAAACATGTGTTGCTGATGCTTGCATTGCAAACTTGCTGCTTGTACGGCATAACAGCATGAGAAATTTCCGTCGGCATTCCTTGTGGATTTCATTTGTATTTAGCATTACAAACTACCATATCCAGCACGACAAAAAACCTGGCCAATGGTATTCATGCATTACAGATCTTGTTGTCCTTGAAGTCCTGCGTCACAAATCCAGACCCAGACATATTTGCAATGCATAACCGGTTGCGGAAGACGATTTGTGCAGGGTACTTTAACCACGCGTGCAAGAGGGACGCGAAGGAGGACGGTATCCTGTGTAAAGACGTCCCCACGACCCCATGGTCAAGATGGGAAAGCTGCTAGACAAATCCACAAGGCTTGGCTGTTGCGCATGACAGGTTTGGCCCTGGAGTGTAGTCCTGTATAGCTTGTTCACCAGCATCACAAATCTAGCACGTCATGCTGATTGGAGCATGACAAATTCCGAAACACGACGCGAAAACGCTTCTCATGGGGCTCCGCATGAGAAACATCTTCAGCGTGCATAATTGCATTACAACTATGGGGTGGGGACGTTTTTATATAGGATAGACGGGTATAAAACGTTGCTCGACAACCAAGTCGTCCACATCCACCCGAGTAGCTCCTTGTACCAAAATATCAACTGCAAATATCTCTGGATCTGGAAGATTGCAACTTGTGATGCGGATTATGGAATAGACAAAAATTTGTATTGCATGAGCGCCAAAACAAGCTGCTCATTTCTTGCTGCGCAAGTCGGGAATTTCTCATGCAGGACCACAGTCAGCAGAAGGCCTGCGCGAATAAACCTGGAATGCTTTTGCGTGCATGGCAGACCATTTGCATAATCCAAAAGATGCATGACAAACACGGGCTGCATTCTTCCAGACCCAGACATATTTGCAATCCATACAACAAGCGCCGGAATGGATCGTCTACCACGAATTGGTCTTGACCACGAAGGAGTACCTGCGCGAAGTGTCCACGATCGAACCCCACTGGCTCCCGGAGCTCGCGCCCAACTTGTTCCAGAAGGCCGACGAGAACAAGATCTCGAAGCGGAAACAGTTCGAGACGATCGAACCCTTGTACAACAAGTTCGAGGAGAAAAACTCCTGGCGTCTCTCCAGGCGCGCGGGGTAGAAGAGAGGGGGAAGAGAACGATGCCTGCTATGTATTTCTGGTGGTTGGACTTGGCTCTTTCTTCTGGCTCTGCGGAAGAAGGTCCTGGTCATCAGTTGTACTTAGGAATTTCCTCTCGCAGCAGTACCGAAAAGCGAAGATCATGTGCGGAGCAGCAGTTTTGGATCTTCACTTATTTATTTTCGTGAAGAAATTATACTTCGTATCTTATCCTCAGACTTCATTTATCGGCGACACTCAAGAACAAGCAAAAACTATATTTCATTTGTGTTTCGAGGATTGACATTGCCATTGATGAGCCACATCAGCGATTTGTCGCTTTATTTCACCATCCCCGAGTCTGTACGACATGGTCGTGGAAACAAAATATTTAAGATGAAAAGCAAAGAATCCGTCTGTGCTCTACTCACGGGGTACAGGGTATGCAGCCGCGGGTGTGTTTTCTATCTCTGTCCACGGGTTACGAGGTCGTGTGAGATGAGCACAAGAAGAAGTGGAAAAGTAGCACAGCACGAGCGGATTTTTCACAACTCGTAGGCGAACGAAAAATTCAAATTTCAGAGCGGAGTGTCAGGTGGAGATTTGCTGTATGTCAGTGTAGTTGCTTTCAACTCGTAACATAATAATTCTGTCGTCCTCGCTTGAAGTTGTTTTCAAAATTCGCCTTGTTCAAATTCATCCAAAGAACCTGACTTGAAAAACCATGGCAGCGCTTATTTTCCAGCACTCTCGTCGGCAACTACACGCTTGTAGGGTGCCATGTGCGGGGGCCGCGGGGGTTTCGAGCAGACCATTTCTCACCCTTCCGGCTGCGTCAGCTTTACCACACCGAACGCAGGCTCGCCACATCGTTGCGTCGGCGTGGGCGCGACAGCATGAAATGCAAATATGTCTGGGTCTGGATGAAACTTGTGATGCAAAGCTACGAATTGTGGGCGCACTACAATACACAGCCCAGCATGACAAGTTTTTGCGCTGGTGTGTCTTTCGTTTTTCGCATGACAAACTGCGTTTTTGCATGACAGGCAAGAGGCCCTTTTCCTGCTCATGCATCACAGATATAAGACTCATGCCAGACAAGCATGACAGATTTGCATGCTTCCAGACCCAATCATATTTGCATTTGATAGACAGCACGCAGAAACCATGCAGGTCGAGAGGACAGCAGGGAGGACCTTGGTGAGAAATAAGAGCTTAGGAGTTTTTATTCATGATCCGTGCAGACCACGAGCTTCTTCTACCAACCCAATTCTAGGCGCGACAGGAAGTTGTAGTCCAGTGTTCATCCGTCCTTTCTCCACCACAACTCCACCGGCGCCTTCCACACCCACCTCTAGCGATATTTCCGTCCCGCCCCATGTTATCCTCACCAAGTACCCCACCATCGAGGAGGCGGAGCAACTGCCCCGCGACTGGCACGAGCTGGATAACCGATCGCTGTGGCACCACTGCGGTCCGGGCGGGATCCACGACGCCAACGAGGAGCGGCTGATCCGGGAAATCATGAAGGTGCAGAAGGTAGAGTACCAGCACGCGGTGTACAGTATGCATTGCATACAAAAGCATCTTCGCACTAGCGCACAGTGCATGACAAGTTTATTTTCCAACCTGAAGTAGGAAGTTTACACTTGCAATGCTGATGAGGGTACAAAGAACAGTCTGTCATGCATGTACTGCAACGATGCAAATGCTTTTGCTTTTGCGCAGGATATAGAAATTGATGGAGATCCAGGAGCACATCATCGGTGGGAACACCATTTTCCGTATCAAAAGGAAAAATTCCCCCACCCCATATCGAAATGGAAATCTGTGATGCGGGATTTGTGTACACAAATCGGCTTTGTATTGCAGGAAGGCATCGCGGCCAGATCCCCAGGCTATGCAGGGGCGTATCGGTCTAGTTGTGTAGCATGGCAAACGGCTCCGCTTTAGGCCCAACAGCATGACAAATCGCCTCCATAATGGGGGCGAAGCTTTTGCCCTTGTCTTCTTGCAAGACAGACGTGATTTGTGACCTCAAATCAGCAACGCAAATTTTCGGAAACATGCCTTTTCGATATGGGGAGGGGGGATTTTTCCTCACAATATTCCGGCACATTGGGTTAATGCCCTACAAGGTGGGCATGGCGACCGCGGGGATTTTGGGGATCAGTACCGTGCCGCTGATTTTCCACAAAAACACTGTACTTTGGTTCAACGACTTGTTTGTGACCGCCGATCTTCCGGAGCAGAAAGATCTGGAGACGTGGCTGGAAGTCGGCGGGTTCGCCTGGAACTGGATGGAGCCGCTGATTGGTTATCCTGTGCAAACGTATCGTACTAGTATAAATCGCATGACAAATTTCGCCAGCATGAAAAATGAAATTTGTGACGCAGATTTGCCTTACGAAAAAGATTTCTAATGCTAATGCATGACTGCAAGTCGTGCAATTACTACGAGTGCGATACTTTTGCAATGCATATTGGTGAAGATTTGCTTCTCATTGGTCACACTGCTCGTCATTCAAAGCTACAGTTGTGATTTGTACAACCGATTAGATGCAGTTTCAGAACTCAACCAGGGATGATGTAGTTCTTACCGGTTTTATTTGCCGTACAAAACTAACAATGATAAATGTAAATCCCATACCAAAGGTCAACTGAGCTTCATGTTCCTCGTGGCGCAGTACATGCGAAGTCAGTTGTTGAACCTGGGTTTAAAGCCGTACACGGGGATATGGAAGCGTCAGGATGGAAATCGTCAAAGTTGAAATAACTTGTAATGCATAAAATCGATACCAGTTGAAAGCCCAATTTCTAAGCGGTGCGTGACAAATTTTCAGAGCACCGGAATCCAATTTGCCATGCTGTTTGGGCACAGGCGACTGCTTTTGTCATGCTACTTTAGCAGCTCTATTTCAAACCCTAAACAGGCTGACAGTCGGCCTCACTTGCCAGCCCGGCAAGACAGGCATTTCATGCCTTGCATTTTATGCATGACAAATCATTTCAACTTTGTCGATTTTAAACCTGACGCGTCCATAGGGGATGCTGATCAAATACCGGTGCGACCGGGCCGTGGAACATTACCCGGAGTATCCTGTGCAAAAGTATCGTACTCGAACTAATTGCAAATATGTATAACAAATATCCCTTTTTAGGTGAATCAGCATTACAAAATCCATTTTTCCTTTTGAGAAAATTTGTGATGCAATTCATACTAATACGATACTTTCGCAATGCATACGGAGTTTTCCGCGACAATTTTGACCGATTACGCAACCACGATCTCATGGGAAGGACGACGGAGGAATTAAGCGAAGGATGGGCGGGTTTTGAATTCGATTTCGATGTAAGATTGGTAATACTTACCCCGGCGATTTTTAGAAATAAGTACCACCTGTATGATGATGTAGAAGAGTTCAGGATGGAAAATTCGTTTTCTAGATGAACACGAAAATGTTGTACCACGAGAAATAAACCAGGACTAGTTGCATTCGAACTTGTGTGTGTAAAAATGCAAACGCTCGCTATGAATTACTTATGTGATGAAGCAGGGCGAAGACGTAGACGCCTCTCCACTACCTCCTTTTTGCGCAATAAGAGAGTGCTGTGCTGTTTTTTTCGTGTCACGAAAAATTTTTGCAGGGCAAATGCAAGCAAAAACGTCTTAGGGAGAACCAGTATTATCGTCGGGACAGCCAAAATGATCGTAGGGAGAACCGGAATTAGTTTCGTTTGCGTCGTAGGGAGGAAAAAAAAGTGTCGTCTGCTGAGCGTACAGATCAAAAGTTTCTCGTTCGTGATCCGGTACTAGTGGGTGAGTTGGCCGCTTTTCGTTGCAATCGCTTCGTCTTCGCTGCCTCTGGTTGATAGAATTTCATCGGGATATCTCGTTGTGAAGCTGTGATAAAATAGGTGCAACCACTTCATTGCGTACACAATTCGTTTTTTTGCGAAAGGCAGTATCAAAATAGTACAAAGTCTTCGAGTTGAGTATATTTATCCACTGCAAGAAACTTGCGAAAAACAGTACCAGCAAATCATGGCAAACGCCAGTGACGAGTCCTCCCCCTTCCGAAACCTGGTGCGTCTCCGCGGGACGAGGAAGGCTCCGATAATTATGGTCCGAGAGGAGGACTTTGAGGAGTTTCAAGCGCACAAGGACTTTAAGTCCGCGCTCGCGGCCTTCCTCGCGAAGGAAGCCCGGATCCGCACCGAGAACCGCAAAAAACGGGCCGAACTGAAACTGCAGGCGCGGCAACGCCGAGCCCAGGAGCGAGCGCAGCATCGTGAAGCGCGGCGACAAAGGCAGGCGGCAGCGGGCGAGCAGCCCGAGGAACGGGAGGACGAGAGTTCCTCTTCTTCAGAAAGTTTCTTATCCGACCCAGATAAACACTTCGACGAACACATCGCGGTTGTGCGCGCGGAAGACGAACTAGTGGTCATTCCGCCCGTGGCGCCCTCCGACGAGAACGCGATGGCGGAGCGGTTGAAGGAAGCTGCGCAGGGCGTTTCCTCTACTGGGGAGAGCAGTGGTGCACTAGCAGACCAAGACGTACCGGTTATCTCTACCACGTCCGGTAGTTCCGAAGGCGAAAATGGTGAGCACTACTGCGAAGATAGCCAGGAATGGAGCGGGGGTTCTGCGGGAGAGAAGAAGTCCGACAACCTGAAAAAATGGGAGACTTTTCTCGAACAATGCGAAAAAGCGGGGATGGACAAAGTGCCAGAAATGGCAAGCAGAATGCTGCGGGAGCAACACGACCATCATGAAACCAGACACAGAGCACTGTTCCGGATTGAAAGTATCTTTCAAGGCTACACGAGGAACGCTTCCGACTCAGATAGACACCGGTCGATCGCCATCGCCAAGGCGACGTTGAATGCCGTCCCCGAGGCGCCGCAGCAAAAGGGCGGGACTTCTAGTGGATTTACCACAACAGGTGGGCTGGTGGAGGACAGCTGGAATATCATGGACGAAGAGCTGCGCTTGCTATCGCCAACTCGTGTGGACTTCGAAATTCTCTCCATGAGCGGTGAGGTCATCGCTCGCGGCGCAGCGCCGTGCTGCAATTTACGGCTGACACGCAACAAGCGCGATTTTTGCGAACTTCGCCCCGAACACATTTTCCGCAGCCTGGTGCAGAAACTCTACGCCGTCTCCGTTCTCCGCTACAGCTTGAGTTTTCAAGCCCCGCATGCACTGGCAAAATACGCCGTCGATGTCGGGAAACGTCTGGAAGCGGCGCTGAAACTCCCCAAAGGCACGTTTGACGAGACGGCGCTTGTGCACGACGGAGAGGTGGGATCGGGTCCAACGGATCATGTTCCGTTTTGGACACCGGAGCGCCTCAAAGCACAAGAGGAATACATCGAGCGAGACGATTGCAGGATGCTCCTCGTGTTCAAGAAGCAGCACTGGATCTACAAGTCTCAAACGGATGAGAGCGGGGGGGACTGCGGTGAGTGGAAACGAGTCTCCTTCGGCGTGCAGGTTAGCGTGTGGCAGGGGCGGGTCATCGCTCGCGGCTTGATTACCCGCAGAAAGTCGGACGGGGCGATCATTTTGCCAACGACGTGGCGAAACCACACGGAGTTTTATTGCTTCGAAAACATGACGTTGTTCGACGACGATGACTACTATGAGGCGCCGGAAGCTGGCGGCGACGAGAGTGCGTTTTGCAGCGAATTCCACGTGCTGCCGTCGCGCACATACGAAAGGAATAAATGTGGCCGCACAGCCGAGACCACCTGGTGCGACTCCGCCGCAGAGTGCGCGGAGCAAGAAGGGGCAAACCGTGTTGGGATTTACGTGGAGAAAGAGGCGCAGCTGCGCGCAAAGGCGGGCAGTTCGGCCGGCTCCGCAACAAATGCGGAGGCGGCAAAGAACTGGGCGAGCCAGAGTAAAGTCTATCCGAGCGTCGTCATCCACGAGAACGTTGGCCTGGATGAAGGGGACTACGGGGACTACAGAGTTACCGTTCCGCACAAGAAGACGTTCTTCCAGTGCGACTCGGACGAAAACGCGCAAGCGGTGTTTGACGATCTCAAAAGATTTGTCGACTTCATCCAGGGGGCCAGCAAGGAGAAAATTGCCGCGAAGCACTTTTCGCTTCGCAGCGTCGTGAAGGCCATACCGTGGTTTGACCAGAAGCCAGCGATTTCATCCGGTCCGGTGGGAAACTGGGAACGCGACGTTATGGGACTTGACCAGATACGGAGCCACTACCCAATGCGAGATCGGATGCGTCGTGACGAGCCGGCGGCTGCATTGTCAGACGGCGTGTTTGCCATCTCGAAGGCGTCCGGTGGGGAATTGAATCCGGACCTGGAAAAACCGTCCTTCGGCAAGGCCACGTGGGCCGACCTGGTGCGCGCCGTCTCGCAGCATCGTGGCGTCGACGGGGAAACGAAGTTCGGCGAGCCGATCATGATCCACTGGGGACCTAAAGCAGTAGTGTCGGATGAACCTGCGGACGCGGAGGAAGATGCGTCGGATGAAGAGGACGACCGGTCTGACGGTGGCGAGTCGTTGCTATCGTACGGTAACGAAACGCCGCCCTCCGCCCGGGGAAGAGCGAGGCGAGCTAATGATAACGTCAGGGCGGCGGGAGAACATATGGGCGACGCAGACTGGCTAGTAGGGTTACTTGGGCCTGGCTAGCAGGGTTACTTGGGTAGAGCGGTTCACTTTTGAGTACTGATGAAAAAGGGGTCTTCGGCTCGGCGGCGAGACTTTCCAGTAAGTAGGTCCCTTTACAGCTGTTCGAGCATGTATGATTTTTGTTTGAAAATTATTCATCTTCTTTTGTGATCATTATTTGAGAGAAAAATAGTAGCAATGTAAGACCAACCGCCGCAATTTGACTTTTGTGTTTATATCGTTAATCTTTATCTTGTTACGTTCTTCCCCAGAAGACTATGTGTGTCTAGAGTTTGGGTGCGATTCTCCGGTAAAAGTTTTAGAATTAGGTTCGCAGAATATATATACGTCGGATAAGAATAAATCAGAAGGAAAACCATTCGCATGACAGCAGAGTATGGTGAATCAGGTCCAGGAAGTTTTTGGGATCACGTCTGAGGATATTGAAATATGACGCTCGGAAATCGGTTCGGGCTGAATCAATACCACGACGTGAAAGCTTGTTTATGAATCTCAGCACTCAAGCGAATCTTTGAAGCACTAAAGCGACGCACAAAGGACGGCGAAGTTAAGCGACGAACGACTTGAGTGGCGCACGACATAAGCGAAGCACGACTTAAGCGGCCCACGAGCACGACTTAACGGGGGCGCTGCTTGAGCAACGCACTACTTAAGCGACGCACGACTTAGGCGGCGCACGACTTAAGCGACGCACTACTTAAGCGACGCACTACTTAGGCGGCGCACTACTTAGGCGGCGCACTACTTAAGCGCCGCACGACTATACTCAACGCACGACTTAGGCGTCTCATGACTAAAGCGCCGCACTACTTTAGCGCCACACGACTCAAGCGGCGCACGAGTTATACGACGCATGACTCGAGCCAAGTACGATTGAAGCGCCGCACGACTTATGTGAGGCACGACTTGCGGAAAGCACTTACGTGAGGCATTTAGGCAAAGTACTTAGGCGAAGTGCTTCGGAGGTGAAGCACTCGGGCGAAGCACCTCGTCCTGGATGCCTCTTCTGGAAATACTAGGCGGCTTCGGGGGGATCCGGCCCCGCGGGGGGCGAGTCGCGAGCGGCGGTTGTGCCGCTGTACAAGGCGGATTAGTGGGACCCGGCCTCGCGAGGGGGCGAGGCGCGAGCGGCGGTTGTGCCGCTGTACAAGGCGGATTAGCGGGACCCGGCCTCGCGGGGGGCGAGGCGCGAGCGGCGGTTGTGCCGCTGTACAAGGCGGATTAGCGGGACCCGGCCTCGC